CACCAAAGACATCTTGACAGCGTTCCTCAATTCAATATCCACCCTCGAGGTTGATGTATGTCCTGGATCATTTCCAGAACCCAAATCTTACATGGTGGTCTCGATTTTAGTTGCTCTCTGTAGACGATGACAATGTAGGACTGAGTGCACCAAGCACTGTAAGATGCATATCAATCACTCCATTGTTACAGTCGTTATCTTTTAACCAATCGTAAAAATGAACACCCTGCTTTTGCATTCATACACAAGCAGATTCAAATTTTGGCAAGTAAAGAACGTCCTCTATGTATGGGGAGTGTGACGCAAGCCTATCGTCTCCGAGAGATCGCGACTTTCCTATAATGGCTGCATCACAAACATCGTTTAGCCAGCTTTGCTCGAATCTCAAGTCTCAGTGAATGACGTGCCAATGATAATGCTCATGTTGCAAGAGCGATTAGAGAACATGTTGCATGGTATCTCCATAGACCACTGTTGAGTGATCCCTGACATTATTCCCAACCCGGACCGTCAGGAAGGCAAACACGAACTTCGGAAACACAGTACAGGGCAGGGCGTATATCGATGATCTTTGGCATGAAGATGGAGGGTATACTCAAAAGCACGATTTGACCCTCGCTAGCATAAGAAATAATGAGGGGAAACATGTCACTTATAACGCCACTTGGAGAGGGGGTAATCCCTCAGCTACGTGGTTCATGGAAGAATTTGAAGGTGATCAGATTGAAGATGAAAGAAAGGTCATCAGGGACCAGCGTTGCCTCTGCCATGAAAAAATTGGATTTTCACGTCGTTCTTTTGATGTGGGAGTCCACTCACCCAGATCAGTTCAACTTATAACACAATTCTAAGCGAGTTGCTGCCCAGTAATGGATTGACCTACCTCTTGTCCGAACGTAGTAGACCTAGAAATACCATAATGTCAGTGATCTTTTCATACTTGGTCTTGCTCACCCCAATGGTGCATTACCCCGACAAGGCGGCAACTGTGAAATGGCAGCAAAGGTCAGTGCATTCGTGCTTGATATACCGCAATCCAGCGCTTACATCGCTAAACTGAGATTTGAGGGATGATATCTGATTGATCGAAGTAAAGTGTTTTCAGCCTGAATTCCAGTAGAAAGACGATGTGCATCCAGGGATACTGATGGGATAGAGGTAAAAGTTGTTGGTGAAATCGCAAAGCAGTGACTCGCGCGGGAATGTTTGAACGCCGCAGAAGATCGGAGAACTGTTCGTGATTTCGGCAACCTGCCAGTGTGATCTTTGAAGCATTCTTTTCGTATTCGGTATTCTTGCTGCAGTCGAGTGAGGGGCTCAGCCTTGGCCCATCGACGACACCAGACCAGCGCCTAAGGCGAGTCAATTACGACACGAGCAGAATCTACAACCTTTCTTCAAATTCATGTACGCGCTGATCAGTACAAATGTGACCAAAAGTACATACATGCATCGTATTCAATTCCCTGTCATAAAACACGATCGACATGTGTAGCGATTAGGGCAGTCGTACAAAGAAAGTGGGAAGTTGTACAAAGAAGGGGGGGGAAGGCGCGGTTGTACAAAAGAGGATGGGGTTGTTGTACAAAGAAAGAGCGATCAAATGGTGTGGACAGGAACGGAGGCAGTAGGAATGAAAGTGATGACGAAGGGGCGGTGATGATACACGCTTGAATGCGAAGCTAATGAATGTGTGACGACATTGGTTTGGTGGTTCATAAGTAAGTAATGACAGGATGGAAGGGATGCAATGGTGAATAGATAGATCAAGGCCGTCGACGAGCTTGAGGAGCGAATAGCCAGTTGGGAGAGAGAGAATCTGAGAGAATCTCCCATTCGTTGAAGGGAGAATTTCCCCAATCCGTAAAAAAACCCGTTCTGAGGAGACGCGGAGACGACATAAAGAAACTGAAAAATAGGGAGTGTGAACTCCGCGTTTCACAGCATGAGCTAGAGTGACAGTGGCCGCTCAAAGAAGAGAACGAAGGATTGTGCAAGCGTGCATTATCGCGCATCATGGCGAACGGGCGAGCGAGTGTGGGCGTCCTAAGAAATACAGAATGAAATATGGATCATCAGCATATACAAAGTGAGGGACTTGCAAGACATACCTTTGACGATTGGAAATGAAAAAGACCAGTCAGCAGCGAAGGCATGGGTGGTGACGAGATAGGCAGAAGAAATAGGAGGGAGGGTCAAAGAGTTGGGTGGAGGCGAACAGGACGAACAGATAAGAACTCGCAAAAAAGTACCGAAACTAGATCAGTTTTCAAAAAGGCGACAGCAAGAGAAGATTGAGAACAAGAAACAATAATAAGTAAGAAGCATCTTGTGAACGACCAGACTGTCAAAAGTGAAACAAAACAAGCTGAAACGCACTCCCGAGCGGGAGGATCCCACTCTTGCCAGATAAAACAGGACTCGTAGCCCTCAAACTCCCAAACGAGATCCTACGCACGGCACGACGAAGTGTGAGTGGACGTGTCTGTGTAGCGAATAGAGGCGTAGCAGGCATACTCGGGGATGCAGTGACGGGAGATGCGAGGGATACCGTGACAGGAGGTCCGATGGGAGACGACAGTGGGATACGTGACAGAGGCGATGCAATCGCCTGTGAAAACGGGAGTTCAGGACCAAACATGAAGGGTTCGCACGAGGTTGCGGCAGATGGACTTTGGCTTTGTCGTCTCCGGTCCCTCCTTCTCCTCTGCCTTGGGTTTTCGCCTTCGGCACGGTCAGCCACGTGGTTCATGCAAGAATTCGAGGGTGATCGGATCGAAGATGAAGACGAGTGGTCCATGTAGCACCCAAAGCTTACATCAAACAGTGCAAGCAATGGTGTGCACCACCTTTATCTTCGCAGGTGTGTACAACAGCGAGCTACGATAAGTTAGATGCGTGTAAATGAGAAACAGATCACTCACTGAAAGGCTTATCTCCACAATCGGGTAGCTCATCCTATGTCATTCCAAGTTCGCAACGACTTCCCTGTGGCCCTAAGTAATATTCCTTATAATACATCTGGTAATATACATACCGAGCATCAGCATTCGAATCATGTTTGTGAGTCTCCGTAGAATATTTTAAAAGGTCGCGATGTCGGACCACACCGTATATTGGGTCGGATGATAGGACTCAACAGCTGATTTCTAGCCTCTTCGGTCAACAATGATGGGCAAGTAGACGCTTGCAGGTATGTGCTTGGAAGACGCTTTGAGATTTTTTGCATTGATGACTGACGATGGAGCGTGAGGGTGAACGAAACGAATACTGAGGTGATGTGTGACCTACCTTGGAGTTGATAAGCTGGCCATCCACGCTACCGGAGATGAAGTATCACCTGAAGAGTAGCGCAGAGGATGACAGGGTGTGGTTGTTGATTTTGGCGTTGGTGTTGTGGGTGAGATCGATGGGGGGAATGTGGCAGGGTTTGAAATATCGCACCGGTGGTCTGCTGCATATTTGTATTCGTATTACTGATACCCAGTCGCCTTTGGAACTAGAATGCAAGTGAGTGGCATACCCAGGAATGGACAATGCAACGGTATGCATCAACGGAGAAGGTGAATTCGGAAGATTGTTAAAGGCGAGATCGCGTCATACTGACTCATACAACCTCTGAAACGATTTCCTTTTCTGACAAGTTTCCTTTTTCAACTTCATCTTCCCTTGCCGCCTAGACCGTCTTCTCTGGACTAGTTATCAAAACGCGATCAATATGACTTCGTACCTTCCACGGGTGAACCATATCACAAAGTCCTAGAACTCTACTGCTTGCACGTCTTGCCTCTGAGTTTGGGCGAGTGGCAGTACGTCAAAGAACTTCTGTCCTGCGCAAGTCCTGCGAGAATGAACTCTCGTCCGACGAAAAACACGTGAGTTTAATTTCATGATCCTTATGTCGCACTGAACACAATATTATCAGGAACTTCATTTGGCCCTCGAGGCTCAGCATGCTCACGCGTTAGAGAGTACAAGGCAGGAGACGCCAAAACCCGAGACTCCTTCCCTCTCCTACATTAATACCTCCACTCCGCTCTCTAAGAGCTCTATCCCCAACCTCTTCCTCCTCTTCTCTAACCATCACATCAACCCGCACTGCCATCCCAGCATCCCCCGTCCAAAACTTACTCGCCAACAATCCGCGTCCTCCACATCAGCAGTTTCGAACTCCACCATAACCAGATCCCCTCGCCACCAATTGAAAGAACAAAAACCCTTGCGATGATCCGAAATAAATCAGATGGAACATAATGGCATCGATACAAAGTGCAAAGACATCACTGAATTGCTCTGCACCATGTCATAGACTATCAGGCTGGAGCGCTGAACTGCAATGCATCTCGTGCAGCTTCCTCTTCGCGGCCTGCAGCGTCCACATTCACGTCAAACTGCGTTCGACCTGTTCCTTCCTCGCGCGTTGCCTTCGCCTGTTCAAATGACTCCAATCTTCCCAACACCTACGTCAGCTGCCATGAGCCGAGGCAATCCTAGTAACTCCGACTTCGAGAGAGTAGAGGCAGGCAAGGCTTAGGTGGAGGAGGGGGCGCCGTCATCTCCACAACCAAGTGTTTCTCGGTGCAGCGAGTAATGCAGCCTGTTCCTTCCGCGCAACTTTGGTCACCGTCTGAAGCCGGTGGTCAATTGCTGCTTGCGGGAGCGTTCGCTTGGTGTGAAACATTTTGATCTTCTTCGAATTTACTAGGTCCGGGAGCACCACTCTTCAAACACCTGCATTATGAGACTGAGTGCTCAGTGCATCGACCAAGACCTATATCAATATCAACTCACTGTAGAGACCCCATGGGATGCTCTGGATGGGGCGGTCAAGTAGAAGGTTGCCTTGTTATTCTACGTACGATAGTTGGATGCTCTTTCTTCGCCACATTATGCTCCAGCCTGAGTGACTCACAAGTTAGATCGCTGTCTGTTGCAAAGCTACATTGTAAATATCCTTAGTCGACAATGGCATTGTCTATCAACTATACTGCGTACAAGCTCACATACTGAATGCAAGCAATGGCGTGGCCAGAGATTTTTCGAAATAAGGGAATGGCGGCTGTGACTTTAACTTTGGCGTGCAAGAATTGGGCAGCGACAACTTGAATGTACTCACTAAGATGCTCAGTCTTGTTCAATGTTCGCCACTCGAAGTTTTGGTGACACATGTGGATTCTGGAAATATTAGGTTGACGAGACTCGAAAACAGAAGATGACAAAAACGGCTCGAAAACGCTACAGTACTGTGAATGTACACTAGTAACTAGAGTAGTACACATTAACTAGTGCACGCAGCGCATCATTCAGTCGGACAAGAGTAAAGTCAAGCTCGGTGCTAGGTATAGAAATCGACAAAGAATCAAACGGTACACTCAATGGTGCAGTAATAAAAGTATTGTTACATGGAGCTAGAAGTCCTGATGTTAGCAACTGCGAGAATGGACTGGTAAAGACTAAGAACTCACGCATCTCGGCAACTCGACCAGTGCTGTCCCATGTGCCATGCGGCTCAAATCAAGCTCAACACCTCCTCTCGGGATCACCAATGCAGTGCTAGGAGTATAAAATGGATATCGGGAAGCGGGAGGTACCCAGAAAAGGAGCCGATGATTGGGTCCCATGATCCATCCATCAGCCTGCAGCACGAAAGGGGTGGAATTAGAATCATGATGAGAGGCGGGTTCGAAGCAGGTCAGCGGGGTTAGGCAGGGCGTGTTCCAGGCTGGACGAGAAGGAAATGAAGTGATAATTGCAAGTGTTGGTTGGCATGGTACAGCGTTCTTGAGTGGGGGGTGCGGAGCTTGGATGTAGCGAAAATGGGAAGGAATCTGGTTCTCTGGGTATGGGGGGATGGCTGCACTTTCCCTACATCCCATAGCCGCACAGTGTTATCCGCCGAACCAGACGCGATTGTACCATCCGGTGAGAACGAGACTGACCGAACCGAACTAGTGTGCCCCTCCAAGGGCTCACCCATTGGCTGTCCCGTCCCTGCATCCCACAGCCGCACAGTGTTATCCTCCGAACCAGACGCGATGCGAGTACCATCCGGTGAGAACGAGACTGACGAAACATAACCAGTGTGCCCCTTCAAGGGCTCACCCAATGGCTGTCCCGTCCCTGCATCCCACAGCCGCACAGTGTTATCCTCCGAACCAGACGCGATGCGAGTACCATCCGGTGAGAACGAGACTGACAAAACATAACTAGTGTGCCCCTTCAAGGGCTCACCCAATGGCTGTCCCGTCCCTGCATCCCACAAGCCGCACAGTGTTATCCTCCGAACCAGACGCGATGCGAGTAGCATCCGGTGAGAACGAGACTGACAAAACATAACTAGTGTGCCCCTTCAAGGGCTCACCCAATGGCTGTCCCGTCCCTGCATCCCACAGCCGCACAGTGTTATCCTCCGAACCAGACGCGATGCGAGTACATCCGGTGAGAACGAGACTGACGAAACCCTAACTAGTGTGCCCCTTCAAGGGCTCACCCAATGGCTGTCCCGTCCCTGCATCCCACAGCCGCACAGTGTTATCCCTCGAACCAGACGCGATGCGAGTACCATCCGGTGAGAACGAGACTGACAAAACCTAACTAGTGTGCCCCTTCAAGGGCTCACCCAATGGCTGTCCCGTCCCTGCATCCCACAGCCGCACAGTGTTATCCCAAGAACCAGACGCGATGCGAGTAGAATCCGGTGAGAACGAGACTGACGAAACCTAACTAGTGTGCCCCTTCAAGGGCTCACCCAATGGCTGTCCCGTCCCTGCATCCCACAGCCGCACAGTGTTATCCCTTGAACCAGACGCGATGCGAGTAGAATCCGGTGAGAACGAGACTGACGAAACCTCACTAGTGTGCCCCTTCAAGGGCTCACCCAATGGCTGTCCCGTCCCGTGCATCCCACAGCCGCACAGTGTTATCCAAAGAACCAGACGCGATGCGAGTACCATCCGGTGAGAACGAGACTGACCAAACATAACTAGTGTGCCCCTTCAAGGGCTCACCCAATGGCTGTCCCGTCCCTGCATCCCACAGCCGCACAGTGTTATCCAAAGAACCAGACGCGATGCGAGTACCATCCGGTGAGAACGAGACTGACCGAAACCTAACTAGTGTGCCCCTTCAAGGGCTCACCCAATGGCTGTCCCGTCCGTGCATCCCACAGCCGCACAGTGTTATCGTGCGAACCAGACGCGATGCGAGTAGAATCCGGTGAGAACGAGACTGACGAAACATAACTAGTGTGCCCCTTCAAGGGCTCACCCAATGGCTGTCCCGTCCCTGCATCCCACAGCCGCACAGTGTTATCGTGCGAACCAGACGCGATGCGAGTAGAATCCGGTGAGAACGAGACTGACGAAACCCCACTAGTGTGCCCCTTCAAGGGCTCACCCAATGGCTGTCCCGTCCCTGCATCCCACAGCCGCACAGTGTTATCCCTTGAACCAGACGCGATGCGAGTACCATCCGGTGAGAACGAGACTGACAAAACATAACTAGTGTGCCCCTTCAAGGGCTCACCCAATGGCTGTCCCGTCCATGCATCCCACAGCCGCACAGTGTTATCCTGCGAACCAGACGCGATGCGAGTACCATCCGGTGAGAACGCAACTGAATTAACCGCACCAGTGTGCCCACTGATTATGGTCTGAACAACCGCCCAGTTCAAATCGCGGCCTAATGCTAGACGAAGATTATTCGGAAACCTTGCCGTGAATTTGGTAGCCATGGCGGAGTTAACAGGAGAGAATGGGAGCGCTGATAAATATAGATGCGGCGTGCTGTGCAAGATCATGCCACCAAACACTTGGATGAATCTTTGTACATCCATCGTGGTGGTCCGCAAATCTTCGTATCCAGAATGGCCCTGTATTTATTTATGAGCTGTTCATCCGCTACTGCCTCGTCAGCATGTGCTCACCTTCAGCCACTTGGAAACGAGTGGAAGCACAATAATTGCACCCCTGATGGCATCGAGAAGTCCGAGTGCTTCGATCCAGAAGAGCAGTCGCTCATCGTCGAAGAATGATCTGATCGCCTTTGCGAGCTCATCGTCGAAGTCCGTTGTTTGAACATGCGTAGCCCAGAATCGACAGGAATAGGAAAGATGTGGGGGAATGGATGTTTTGACTCGTTGAGGCAGTCCGGTATCTTCGCGATTAGGGAGGTACGATGACTTTAAATCGCATATATTGAAGCCAAGGCCATGTTCCATCACTCGAAGTGATGCCAACGCTAAGTCGTGGTGTTGCGCCTTCGTCACCTCGACGAAAAAATCACCGCTGGATGATTCGTGTGTGAGGAACTCTTGGAATGATGCGTGAAGGGGTTTGACGGGGATGTGTGAGTCGGTTGTGCCACTGAGGAGGGATCCCATATGTTGAATGATGTCTACACTGTAATGTTTGTTGTGGTCTGGGAAACAGTCCCGCATGGCGTTGAGGGAATCGAATGGGAGGGGTTCAGCCGTGCCGAGTATTTGTCCCATCACCGAACGAAACCTTGCTAGTGCTTCCTGGTACTCGTCATCGTCATACCGATCTCGCGGCCAGATATCTGCCAAAATAAGTCTATACATATCATATAACTGGTTTGTCAATTTCCCAGGATTGCGGTTCACGACAGTTTCGAAGCGAGACCTTGGGTTTACGCCGGGAAGGTCTTCCTTAATGTATTCGCATGCAAGACGTGCCCACTCGAAAAGTCCATCGGCTTTCGTAGCGAGGTTTCCAAACTCTTTGTCACCAAAACCCGACAGCCCTTTTAGTTTGTCAGATACAAAAGCACGGATGTCGCGCTCCGCCACTGCTGCTGGAATCTTGTCCATGGATAACGGTAGAATGTGCCGAGCGCCGTGAAATGCATCTTCGATATCATGAAGTGGGCGAGAGGTAACGAGAATCCGAAAGTTGGATGGGAGTTCTGTGATTTGGGGAAGACCTTTGCTCTGAAGTTTGCCGGAAAGTATGCGGAGAAGGTCCCGCCGCGTCTCTACTCCGCCGCTCTCGTCCAGCGCTTCGATCACAATCAAGACGGGACCCACACTTGACCCAGAGGATTTCTTCAGTGGTTCCATGAGAAGCTTCTCCCACTGCTGGTAAATATCCTTCGAGTTCTTCAGTGAAGTGCAATTTTTGACCGCATCCGCCAATGCTCGTCTCATCTCCGGATCACGATCAGCTAGGTCACGAGCGATAGTGGAGAAAACTGTTTCATGGCGTTTCTCGGTCTTGTCGAAGCAGAAACATGAACCAAGCACCCCCATGTCGCTGAACCACTTGGCAATCGTGTGAGCGATGGCTGATTTGCCCGTGCCTGCAGGGCCAGATAGCCACAGCACACGTTGAGCAGCATCCCCGCTGCCGTTGATCCAATCCGTAATCTGGGAGAGAATCTCCGTGCGCGTCCCTGGTAGGCACTGTTTCATGGTATTTAGTCCTGCGCCCTTTGCATAAGCGATATCCCCGAGATCCAGGGTATCACCTGAAACGGTGTGAATGAATGTAAAGACAGAAGCATATCAGAATCCTTACTCGTTCGTTGGACGAAGACGACCACGTCCCGATCAGTTTGGTCCCGGAATTGTTGCATAAGGTCGTCCAAAGTGTCGCTGTACTGTTTGATAATGTTGTCGGTTTCTGAGAGAACGTTTTTGCCAAGTCTCTTCCCTACGATAACAGCATAAGTTTCATGTACGAAGTGCGATAGCTTGGTGACTCACAAAAGCTCTTTGTCCCCGAGTAGTCCCTGATAAAACGGGCACACTCAAGAGTCTGTTGAATGATCTTTCCAACGATACCGCGCATCGATTCAATTTTGATAAGGCTGTCATCTTGAGTCATGAAGCGGTAAACTTCAGCCAATTTCTTGAGAAGAGTACAGATCGATTTGTCGCGCTCTGCTTGACCGATTATAATCTACATGAAATTATGACTTCTGAGTGAGACTGGACTCCGGGAGAAACCGGACGCACTTTGGATGCAGCAGACAGCACACCCAGCGCCATCTTTGCGTACGGGTGTACCTATACACCTTGATTAGTTTGCTTCCGATCAAGAAGAATGGCCCATACATCCGCGATCTTCTCAAGAACAGAATCGATAATCTTTAGGGGTTCGAGATACGTCGTCGCAAAATCATCCGCGGCAGCGAGACCCGCTGGGGCCTTGTTGGCGGCGGATGCCATAGAATTCGCATTTCCCCCGAGCGGTCTCATGCTTTCCGTACCATCACAGGCACCCTTAAGTTCAGCATTAGCTAATTGGAGATTAGGTCCTTCCTCCTCGCCAGGAGGAACAGGCTGAACCTGGGGAACCGCCGAAATTAGAGAAGAAAGTAAAGTATTCGACCAAAAATACCTGAGAAGGAGGCTCTACGGACAGCACTTGATTCACGGAGTCGCTGGGAATCTCAGGTGTGGTGGGATGCTTGTTATCGGTCGAAGGATGCAGCATGTCCTGGGCGCCTGTAAGAAAACCGAAGAACCAGGATAGCTACTTCAAGCACTTACCTCGACTTTCCGACCCGATGAAGCCCCTTCAGTTTCAACGTTCTGGACCGCAGTGGTGCGGTCGCTTGTTCGCTTGAAGCGTTTCTGCACAATCTTAGCCGTATTCAGGACGGTCAGGATTCACGTCCACGCACAGGAAGTTTTTTGGTTAACGCATTCTTCAATTTCCGCAGGGACTGACGGATTCCTCTACGAGGTTGGTTCTAGATGAAAGATGCATAAGGGCAGCGATGGATTTCAGAGACCACATACCGAGCTTTCAGCAACATTTGCCTGGCTGGTTCTGGAGGCTCCTGGAGGAGAATCAGGCCTACGGTCTTCACTCATCACGAGTGGTCGTAGGTCAGTGCGAGCGAAACGGTGGGGAACAATGAGAAGAGTGTGAGAAGGGAGTTGGCGTCTCATCCTTTAGCAGAGGCGAGGCCGAACGTTAGAAGCATGGCAAACACGTTGTCTTCGAGCGCTAATCATTCCGAGCCACGCAATTCGCGTCGGTTCATAGCGGGAGGTTATTGTGTGCGCATCACAGTGTAATGAAGAGAGATGGCACAGTCGAGAAAGCTCTGTCTACTCCAGAGTCGAGTTATATAGCGGTCCCTTGCAGTTCAACAGGCCTGGTGTTGTCAAAGTTCAAGTTGGCCTCGGCGAGCCTGCCTGCTAATGTAAAGTGTCGTTACGTACAGCTGTTCGAACTTCAAGCATACAACGAGACTGGTGTATAGGATGAGACATTAACGTTTTAACAGTGGTGCTGAGGCGGTTTCGCTGTAAGTAATGAGCTCACTGTCCTGTCCTATGACGTAACGATTCAAACATGAGGAAAGTAAGGCACGTGTAGTACAACAACCGTGTGGTCTTCATGCTTCCTCAGGCACATGGACCTGCCACACTCCGACAGCACTCGACTCGGAGGGCTTTGACTCTGAAATCATCAATGGCATCCGCAAATTGCCATATGTGGGTGTTCAAGGAATTTATCGACAGTCTTTTTGAGTCATCGATGTATGAACCAGCTTGACGATCTTACCTTATCTTACTGACCCAGGCTGTCACCCGTTGTTCACATGGCGCCGCGCTATATGTATGACTTCACGCTCCAGAGCTCCAATCATCGCCTGCATCGACATTTCACGGGCGTGCCAACATCTACCTCCTTTCTGTAATCAGCCGAGACCATCACTTTTCAACTTGAAAGTGTTCCGCTCACCATATGTAGACGACCATGCAGGTAGCTGCAGTCGTTTCATTTCTACTCGCCATCGCTCAGCGCTCAGCTTCAACTTGCGTACACTATTCCTTCCTTCGTCCTCTCATGCTGATTGCAGCATCAATGTTGTCGCCGTCGTTTCACTTTGTGAGATCTTATACGGCTCCAAGTCAGGCGATCTCTGAAGTTCTGGGTCACAACATTTATCATCTTGTGGACCGACCATCTATCAGAATATACACTGAATGGCAAATCCGTCGAGGTAGACAACACGGATGATGAAGGTCGTCTGGTGCGTACTCTTGCTGTTCCCTGATGCGGCAAACTCTGACTTTCTCCGAGACTCGTTCTACTACGCCCGCATAGCGAGAGTCACAGGAAAATAGGTTTATATATTAACATAGAGCAAACCATACATAGAACATGGTCAAACAGGAGACGAGCAATATCAGAATACTGATGCAATACATGAATTGACAACGTCCACTCCAGATGTGAAGAAACTCACCTTTCTAGCAAAACCAATTCCAGAAAATATTCCAGCACCAGCATCCACGCGCTTTGGCACTGTTAGTATCCCGCTCCATATAGATCAACGCTCTCCCGGACCTCTCTACCGATGTGGCCTGGTGTATATCCTGGTCGTCCAGCTTGCCCAGACGACTGTGCTGAGTCGTTCTGAGCTGCGACATCGTGGCGCAAAAGTGAGGTTGTGGCTCCTTGGTAATTATGCCCAACATCACTAGATGCCTGAGTCGAGCCTTCCTGAGTCGACGCCGACCGCAAATGGGGATTTGCCCTGGCACCACTAAAAGACTGAGCGTCAAATGTCCGACGTGGACGTGAAACTACAGTCCTCTGGGAATTTCCTGAGATACGTCATTGAAAACGAACAACGTACCATTTTAACTTGTGCGGTCGCTACCTCGACAACATGCTGAGTCGATATTGCCCTATGGGACTGAGTGCCGAATGCGCGTCCAAATGTTGCCAAGAGGTAGGACACGCCGTTCCCGACTGGCAGATCAATCAATTTAAGCATATACTTGAATTCGAGTCTGGAATGTCTTACAGGGCGACCCTTTGTACTGCCAGAAGGATGTGGCGGCTGATCGAAGAACCCCGGGTTAACTTCCACTGAACGTTGTTTTCCTAATCGTTGCAGGCAACTATTGCATATCATGAGTTGAGTGTTCTACCATAACCATAGATCTCACACCGGGGGCTGGAATCAAGAATCTAGTTCGCTTTGTTAGTAGTCGGGATTGAAGGTGTAGTATAAGTGCTTCCTCATCTTATTAGATCTTGGCAAGTTGGTACACCGCACCTATTACCAAATTGGGTAATTTTTAAGCCGATGGTGTTCAGCGGTGTCATGACCTACTTTCCGCGACAGCTTCAAGCAATTCCATTTTGCTTGCAACGATGGCAGCTGCCTCAGAGGAACAACCAGTCATCAACAAAAACAAGAGGCATCGAAAGGAGAAACGTAAGCATTTAAATCTTCCTCAACAATCCGTGAAGGCAACTTTTCGTTTCAGCATGGGACACCGATGACATTGACCAGTGAGCACTGCCCGCATGTCAATTAAAACCACTTCTCACTGTACCTCCTCTCCAGTGTAAGCACCATCACGAATGATAATATGTCCTGTCAATACGTTATCAACTCTGCTCTAGTGGAAAATCGATCCATTCCAACCAGATGACAACAAAGGCGGCGTATTCACCGAAGAATCCTCTTTCGCAACCCTTTTCCCAAAATACAGGGAGAAGTACTTGAGGGAGGTTTGGAGCGCCGTGACCAAAGTTCTAGACACACACGTAAGTGCTCACATCCATTCCGCCATACTCCACCATCGACTTAGCGTGTTGCGTCCAGGGTATCGCATGCACATTGGACTTGGTTCACGGCTCCATGTCCGTCCGGACAACACGTAAAACATTCGATCCATACATCATACTCAAAGCAAGAGACCTCATCAAACTGCTCGCTAGAGGGGTTGCGATCACGCAGGCTCAGAAGGTATTACAGGACGACGTGGCTTGCTGATATCATCAAAATTGGCAATTTGGTTCGTAATAAGGACCGGTTTGTGAAGCGGAGACAACGGATATTGGACCGGATGGGAGTACGTTGAAGGTGAGCATCGTATACTATTTCGATTGTCATGCATGTTGTTGACTTTTTGCAGGCCATTGAGTTATTAACCCAGTGCTACATTCTCGTACAAGGGAATACCGTCAGCTGTCATGGGTCCGTACAAGTCCCTAAAGGAAGTCCGACGAATAGTCCTCGATTGCATGAAAAACATTCATCCCATCTACCGCATCAAGGTGTGTCAACTAATCATTTGTTCTTTCCGCAGCTTTATTAAAGTACTCGCAGGAGCTCATGATAAGAAGGGAACTCGCAAAGGATCCCAAGTTAGCAACAGAGTCCTGGGACCGGTTCCTCCCCAAGTTCAGGAAACAACATCTGAAGACCTCCGAAAAGACGATCAAGAAGAACGAGAAAGTCGCTGCTAAGGAAGACGCACGCAAGGCTGCAGGCCTTGATGCATCGAGTTCTGCCAAAAAGGAGAAACCAGCAAAGAAAGTGTACACACCCTTCCCTCCGCCACAGCAACCACGGAAGGTAATTAACTCTGCTGCTGGCTGTTGAGTAATGCTGACGTTGTGTCCAGGTTGACCTTCAGCTTGAGTCGGGAGAGTATTTCCTCAAGCCCCATGAGCGGGAGGCCCGGGAAATTCAACAACGAAAACAAAAGGTGCGTATTTACTGTGCAGTCCGCAACAAATCTCATTTTATTTACAGCAAGCTGAAGCAACGCTCAAACGAAAAGCGGAACGGGCAGATGTGTATGTCGCTCCCAAGAAGAGGCAGCCCCTACAGTTGAAGAGAAGCGAAAGCGACGGCATAGGGATACGGATGACAATGATAGGACGGCGAAGTCGAAAAAGAAGAAAAAGGACATTGCTGCCTAGGCGCAATGGACTTGTCACACCGTTCGTGCGCGCATCGCGAACGTAACAGTACTCATAATATTTGATGCACGCTGCGTATTGAAGATGTCCCACCGCCAATATGATGTTTGACTCATGATGCATTACTAGCGTTACGCCAAAATACGATAAAAACACAGTAAGTACACGTACTGAATCACATCAGATCAAATCAAAAGCATCTCAAACAAAAAGCACGATCAAGTAGGAATATCGCCTTGCAGCCTAAAGTCCCTACTGCTCGCACCGATCGAGAACGAGATCTGGCCATCAGGCTTGCGCCACCCCTGAGCAACGACGTCCCAGATAGACAGGTCATAGCGCGAGAGCGTGATCGAGGCTTGTTCTGTGCTGGACGGCGAGACTTCGATGTTCGTGAAGCCCTTTAGGACTGACGGAGGCTCACTAGCGGAAGACGGGAAATGAATGTAAAGCTGAGGAATCTATTCGCGTGACTTGGGCGTAAATATCAAGATAATGAGGTTGATGGGTGTGACGAACCTCCATCCCAGATACAGGTCCAGTGTTCGTGACCTTGAAAGTTACCTGGAATGCAGGCTCATGGAGCCTGGTAAGTAGCGGTATCAGCCTACAGATCCTTCACCGGTCATAATAAATCTCACCAAAGTGCAGTAGAAGACCCTTCAGCGATGGGCGAAGCCTCCCCGTTCTCCCAAGCAGTGATCAAATCCGCCTGATCAGTGTCCGATGACTGAATCGGAGTCACGCAAAGCTCGGAGTACGTGAACGTGGTGTAACTTAAGCCGAAGCCAAACTCGAAGCGCGGCGTGATGTTTGCCTGAATTTACTCTTGTTCAAAACGTGAAAACACCTAGTAAAGTCGGGGAACTCACTTGATCAAAGTGGCGATAATCGATGAACAACCTGCGAAGTTAAATCAATATCAATGAAAGGCGACCTCGGCTCCAGTGACATACCCCTCTGTGTAATCAATGGTAACAATTTCGTCTCCCGAATCATCGGTGATGAGTTGTGTAGGATAATCGGTTATATCCTTAGCAATAGTATACGGGAGTCTTCCTGAGGGGTTGTATGCGCCATAAAGTACGTCAGCGATAGCGTTGCCCGCCTCCTGGCCTTGGATGCCGGCCCAGACGACAGCGGTGATGTTAGGGTGCTCGATCCAAGGCTCTATAATGAGTGGGCCGACACTGTTCACGACAACTACGGTATTGTTGTTCTGCGCAGCGACAGCGAGGATGAGGTCATCACCATTGTGCCAAGCAGTGAGGTTGTTGCTGGCTGGAAATGAACAAAACCGTCACTTAAAGATGTGCGAGGAACGTACCGATCTCCCTGGTTGCCATCGACAGTAATGTAATCCTCGCCAGAGTCGGAGTTGGTGAAAACGAGAGCGACGGCCTCGCCATACGCCATACTACCAGCCAGAGCGGTGTTCCAGTCGTCAAAGTCCCAGAACACGCTGCTACCATCCTGACGAGCACGCTCCTGAATACCCTCAAGAGGCGAGATAAGGTAAGGGAAGTTACCAGTCCTGTGTCATCAATCAATTTTCAAGAAGAATACAAGTACGCCTGAGAGAGCACATACCCAGATCCCCAGCCCATGGCCAGAATCCCATCACTTCCACCTTGATCTGCGAATTCGTTCGGGCCGGAGTTGCCTGGACCCGCATCACTTCCGATCAATACCAGGTTCCTCGGCTTGTTCAACGGCAGGGTGCCGTTTGTGTTTTTCAAAAGGACCGTTCCAGCTGCGCCAATCTCCCTCACAAGCGTATAGTGGTCAGCCTGCACGTTCACATGCTGGTTGGTCGCTTCGTCGTTCGGATTGAACGCATTGAAGTTCGTTGCAGGGTAGCCCTCGTCCTGGTGAAGGAAGTACCAACCAGCGATGATACGCGTCGCCATGTCGTCCAAGCGAGCCATGCTGATGTAGCCGTCGTTAACATAGTCCGTGAGGTTGCCGCCGAAGTAAGAGTCGCCAGAGTCAAAGGTGATATCGCCGGGCATAGTCATGTCAAGCCCTGCAACAGCAGACAACGTTGACATCGTCGCCGACCAGTCAGATTGAACGAAGCCTTGGAAACCGTACTCCCGCTTCAAGATATCATTGAGCATCTTGTCGTTGTTGCAAGCGTAAGTTTCGTTGATGAGATCTGCGATTCAGACCTCAGAACGATATGAATGGTATAGAGCACGGTTGAGGCTTACTGTAACTGCACATGACGGATGAAACGCCAGCCATGACGCTACGCAAGAATGGGTGCGCGTAAATCTCATGTTGAGTCCGGTCATCGACATTTGAAGATTCTGAAGTGCGGAAGTGCTCCTGCTCACTAGCGGGACAGATGAGTGCAAGTGCAAACAGGCGTAACAAAAGACGAACTTGTTGATAAAGTGTTTAGCAGTGGCTTGTACTCCAGCATTTTGCAGGCCTAAAATCGTCTCATATGCAGATTCGCCAGTCAGGAAAGGGTCTGCACCGAAACCCTCCCAGTTACGGCCGCCCTGAGCGACACGACCCATGTTCATCATGGGACCAAGGGCAATGTTGACGCCCTTGCCCTTGAATTCCTGACCCAAAGCCAGGCCACGAGCACGCATCAGAGGGCGATTCCAACTGTGATAGAGATTATGACAGATATCAGACAGGTTAAGTCGGTGAACTTGGAGATGACTTACGTAGACGCTACCTGAATGCCAGCTGGGAACGCAGTTGCGTAGTCGGCAAAACGGACAGCGAGAGGCGAATCCTAGCAAATTGTGAGACAAATACGTCATAAATTCAACCTACGTACCTCAAGACATAAACCGGGGAAGTTTTTATTGGGTGGGATATTGCCAACGCACAACCCATTCGCCCAACCGACGCCCGTGGTGATGTTGACTTTTTCCTCGATGGTATAATCCGATATCTGAGTATGAAGGATATTCAGCACGTGTCGACATAGAAAGAGTGATAAAGCCGGCAAAAAATGATCGCTAAAATGGATGCACTCACAAGGGCCTTGGCTTTTTGGTAGGCAGTAGCCCATGCAGGGGCAAAATCGGGCACGACTTGTGGATCACTGTTAACAGAAGGAGGGTTCAAAGGATCTGTTGCAGGGAAAACTGGGGGCAGAGGGTTGAGAGTAGGTGTAGGATAGGGAGCGAATGAATAGCTAGAGAGCGGAATGGTGATGACACCAGTTGTAGACACGCCTGAGGTGCTGGCGGGAGCGGAAGATGTGGTGGAGTTTAGCGTAGCAGAAGCTGATGATGAATTGTATGAGGTTGTCACCGGCGAATATGAACTAGCTGCAGTAGTGCTAACATTGCCACCTGGAGCAGACGACGTTGCAGCAGACGGAGCCTCAGCTAAGGTCGGTGCACCTAGAACAAATGGAATTATAGACAGCAGTAACAGTTTGGACAGCATGACGGCTGCACGCAGGAATTTCTGGAGAAACAGATGGAAGAACGACCGAAGATTACTAGGTTAATTTCATGAGGGAACCGAAGCTTTTGTACTTTGTTCGAGCCGAATACGAGCCCGGCGGGGAAACCCATAGCCGCTTCCTATAAGTGAAGATCGCAGGTGCCAGCTGGAGCCGCCAGCCGCCAGCGTTAGTGGCGATTAAAATCATATAGAAGCGAGTTAACTTGTAATATTTGAAATGTAGAACAGACCGGCCGTAGCCCGTCACTACGAATCATGATGGAAGTTCATATGCAACTTGAAGTACGAGGAAAACCACGTAAGCCAAGCATGTTCACTAGTAGGTCCGGTTTAGTTGATTTAAACTCTTGCAAGGATCCCCGACGAGTCTCAGACGCGACCATGCCAATCAGAGATTTCTTCCTGGACTTGTTAGTTACACTGTGAACGTTGTCACGATACGTGCGTAACATTAATGACCAATTGATGACAATGTTCCATCCATCGTCCTCACGATCGTAATTAAGAATAACATTTGTTATGTTATTCCTTGCCCGACCGCGAATTCAGCGGTAACGTCGTCTGGCGAGATACTCTTTGGACCTGCAAAAATGTCATTTGCATCATGAGGCTCGGTCGAAGGCCGAGGTGCATACACGAAATATGCTTCAAGATCCTGTGCGATCTCGACAGTAATGCCAACCTCTTCACGAGTGTGCATGGGTGAATCTCGGAATTGATTGGATGGTTTGAAGTTCCACCATGAAAGGCTGTCTGTTTGACCGTCAACACCATCATGATCCAGTCGGTTTTTTTATGAATTCAAACCATCTATGTTATCATATCTAAATCATATCTCCACGAGTCTCGGATACGGTACTAGTGTTGTTGGCAGAACTCGGGAGTTTTGCCAACCGGTTTTGCTGGTTTTTGGCAGAACTCACGCAAAATGGGGGTGGCAGAACCTGGCAGAACTCCAGGGTATCCGAGACTCGCAGAGATGTAATTTAGATCTATGATAACAAAATTTGAATCCAGGAGAACATCAAAACTGACGTCCTTAAAGTAAGATGGTGCAAACTGGAGGGCGCCCCCTCGCATCACTGATTGACGAGAATTTCGAGCGCCTGGGACGAGTTGACAACAACTCGAATCGCTACTACTGGAAATGCAAACATTGCGGCGACGCTGATAACTCATCAGGTGCTCAAATCCAGGGTCGTGACAACAGCCTACCGAACCATCTTATCAGGCGCTGCACCAATGTAACTGCTCCTCTGCGCCAAGCAGCGCGCCTGTTTGTTATGGACAAGATAGGCAACCTCAGCACCCCTGATTCAATTCTTACTTCCGCTGCTTGATCAGCGCGACGGTGTAATCTCTCAGTTGACACATTTGAAACACTTGGCAAAATTCGTGCAAACCTTCGACACCACAGTGCCATGAAAGTCGCGGAGGTTGGGAAGCCTACCCGCCGTCGACATGCTCACATGCACACTTGTGAAGAGGTTGGCATTGCTGCCGAGACTGCACAGGATCTTGAAGCATCCTTCGCGTGGGCACCTCCACTCTCGACCGAACCTCGCGATGCAGATGACTTGCTTGCTGGTCCAGAGAGTATCTCGCCTGATGGTATTGCTGCTGAATTTGCAGCTCTCGAGGAGTTGAAAAGGACTGAAGAAGTTCACAACGTTAATGAAGTTGAAGTGCTCGAGGGAAATGCTTTTGATTTTGACGAGTTGGATCGGGTCGAACAAGGAATAATACCACAGGCTATTCTAGATGAGGTTGAGGTGGTTAATTACAATGGCGAGGGTGGCGGATGGGACGAGGCAACATTGATGTCATCGTTAGGAATGTCGTATACATAGTCTACATAGCGCCTAGAGTTTTGCCACCCGGTTTTGCCAGTTTTGCCGGTTATAACCGGCAGAACTAAATCGAATTAGTTCTGCCCCCCACACTACGGATACCCTGGAGTTCTGCCACCCGAGTTCTGCCAACAACACTGCCCGGGCGAAGACGACAAGGCTGAAGAGGAGAAAGTGCAAGGGGGCAATAAAATTGCGGCTGCTCGGTCTTCGCTCCTTCCAGGTGCCTCAATCTTCCGTCTTCATGGTTCCCTGGAGTCCCACAGCAATCCGTCTCGCCTCTACGTGGATTCTCCGCCATTCCTCCCTCAAAGTCCAAGAAATCTGGCTCCCGCGGCCTCTATTCTTCTTTGCACGTCCATGGCATCCCGGGGTCTTGACCTACCCTTGTTCGCGCAGTCATACAGCACGACCTGCCCACTGAAGGCGGCGTGACTGAAAGCGTGCACAAAGTGGGACGGACAGCCCGTGCAGCAAAGGGTGGTGAAGCTTGGAACATCGTCGCGCCCAGCGAATCTGAATGGGCGAAATAGGTGGAGGGGAATAATGAGGGGCGATATGGCGGGAGAAAAGTCTGACAGTGACAAAGTCAACATCACTCAAGCTTGAAGGGGCAAACATCGAGAACGTTTTGGCAAAGGGTTTTGGTGGCAAGTACGAGGAACATGCGAATCGGTGCGACAGATATTCAACTTCCTTTTGAACGATGGGTTTTGCGGCACAACGAGGTAATATTGATTTAGAAAGGAAGTCAAGCGTGTGTTGACGTCGTCTCTGCAGAACACTGAACTGGCTCGGGGGGCATTTACTTCTCACATGAGGGTATATACGACCCATCCCTCGAACGAGAAACATGTCTTCTATGTCCGACACATTTACATCGGTCATCTTGCAAAAGCATTCGCCTTGCGTGAAGCGCCGAAGACGATTACTAACGGGAAGAACAAACTGACTAGTGCATCCAAAGGTCGTGGCTCGCGTCCCGCTAAACCCACAAAGCAACACGATGCCGGCAGTGTAGAGCATTGGATGCAAAATATTGTCCGTGTGCAGGGCTGGCTGTCGAAGAAGACTGGTAAGATGGTTAGCAGTGGGACCGACAAGTTCCAGATTGCATCAGGCACTGCTTTGGATTTACTTGTCCATGGCGATCGATTGTAGTCGGATGGCAGGGTTTTCGGTTTCTTTGTTCTATACAGCACTGGCGACATGTTGCTTTACCGGGCCATGAAATTATACTTGATCCAAACAACAGATGAAAAAACAGACAGTCTTGTCATCAAACTACGGCCATGAGTGACCTCCATGAATTCGAACAGGCTTTTGAACGTACCACTGCTCGAGAGCTCGAGGGAACGAGGTTAGTATCAACAATAAATCTAACATTCGTGGGTACTTGAGGCAACATTTCATAACGAGGAGTAAGGTACATCACGTTGTCCGTCATACACAGGATACTATATTACTTGCTGGCGCTGATGCTAATCTCGCTTGGTAAGCACGGTCAATGTGATAGATTCGAGTGCTAGCGCCGGGCTGCGAGCCAGGAGATAACATGATCATTCCAAAAAGCCTGGAATATGCAATTGAGCATGTCATCCCATGGATGGGGAACACGCGAGAGATGTACAGCCCAGTTGTGACAGGCGTACTTGAGAGCGTCGGAAGCTGATTGACTTCGTTCCTGTGCTTCGTTTGCGAACCTCTCAAAGACGTTCATAGCATGAATTATCTCCCTGTCTGGTAGAAGAAGACTTTCTGGTAATGTAGAGGTGGAATGAGAGTGATGTCTTAATGCCAGGAAAACTGGAAACATCAAGAAATCTGGCAAGGTCTTGAATTGCTGGATGACTTGGAAAGTTGGCGGTAAAGGCACATCACTGATAATGATATACTCCTTGATTGCTTCCGATGTCCTCAAGAATTCTTCCATTGTCGCCCAGACGGAGGCTGCGGGAGTGGACTGCCACACTTGACCATGGGGGGTCTGCAGCCAGAATCGCCCACATGGGGTCTCTAGCCAGTCTCGTGCTCCCTCGGTCTGCAGCCAGTCTCGTGCTCCCTCGGTCTGCAGCCAGTCTCGTCCTGCCTGGGTCTGCAGCCAGTCTCGTCCTCCCTGAGTCTGCAGCCAGTCTCGTCCTCCCTGGGTCTGCAGCCAGTCTCGTCCTCCCTGAGTCTGCAGCCAGTCTCGTCCTCCCTGGGTCTGCAGCCAATCTCGTCCTCCCTGAGTCTGCAGCCAGTCTCGTGCTTCCTGGGTCTGCAGCCAGTCTCGTGCTTCCTGAGTCTGCAGCCAGGATCGTCCTGCCTGGGTCTGCAGCCAGTCTCGTCCTGCCTGGGTCTGCAGCCAGTCTCGTGCTGCCTGGGTCTGCAGCCAGTCTCGTGCTCCCCACATCTGCAGCCAGTCTCGTCCTGCCTGGGTCTGCAGCCAGTCTCGTCCTGCCTGGGTCCGCAGCCAGTTTCGTCCTGCCTGGGTCCGCAGCCAGTCTCGTCCTGCCAGGGTCTGCAGCCAGTCTCGTCCTGCCAGGGTCTGCAGCCAGTCTTGTGCTCCCTCGGTCTGCAGCCGATATCTCCCCTGCAGCCACCCTCGTTCTCCCTGGGTCTGCAGCAGCCATTCTTCTTCTTCTTCTTCTTCTTGCATTTCCCACGGCCACACCCCTTCCCCCAGCCACTTTTGTTTTTCCTGCTTCTGCGGCAGCCAATCATGTCCTCCCCGGATTTGTAACCACTCTCGTCCTGCAAGGGTCTGCAGCCACTCTTGTCCTCCCCGTGTCTGCAGCCAGTCCCGTCCTCCCCATGTCGGCAGCCAGTCTCGTCCTCCCCGTGTCTGCAGCCAGTCTCGTCCTCCCCGGGCCTGCAGCCAGTCTCGTCCTCCCCGGGCCTGCAGCCAGTCTCGTCCTCCCCGTGTCTGCAGCCAAAACCGTCCTGCCTGGGTCTGCAGCCAGTCTCGTCCTCCCCGGGTTTGCAGCCAATCTCTCCCCCCCTGGGTCTGCAGCCAAGATCGTCCTGCCATGATCTGTAGCCAGAATCGTCCCGCCTGGGTGTGCAGCCAGGCATGCCCGTCCACAGTTCCCAGCCAAGATTGTACATCTGAAGTGCGATCTCCTCGAAGCCACAGCATACATATGACAGCTGACAGTGGTTCTGGTGGACGAACAAGGAACGCCAATGAATCTTTTAACCTATGGGGGTCCTCGGGTTGCATAGCTTTGCTTTGCTTCTGCAGTTCTGGGAGTGCATCCAAGAGAGCCATGCTTGCTGGAATCGCATTCATCAAGCGGGGAGAGGAACGTGCGAGTAGGGAGTGAGGTGACGCAATATCGCGTATTTGAGGGAGGCCGCAGTTTGAGGGGTCGGAAGCATAGTCGCGAACGGACGAGTGATAGATATTCACTGGGAGTGTGCTGTCTGTAGGGATATCCATGACAGACCGTAGCTGTATCAGCGTTGTCTGCACATCCCTGCCCAGCCCAGCGCCTAGAAGTATCGATATTTGCGAGATGGGAAGAGGGTCTGCGAGGGCGGCGACAATGGACAAGTGCAGGTATGCCCGCTTGGGGTCGGCACACGTGGAGAGGATACAATCGTATAACCTGTACACCTCCGTTCCTGGTAGCAACTTGTTTGTTAACTTGAGCATCAGCTGCAGCCGATCATGGGGATCATTGTCTTCATCGTCGATAATAAACTTCATCATCGTAGACGCCACGATGAAACGTCTGCCCGCTCGGGTCGCCAGTTTCGTAAGGTCATCCATCGATGGTTGAGGGAAATTGGGATGGCGACTTTCCAGTTCTTTGAAGGAATGCCGCAAGAAAGTACAGATGTCGTTGTCAACATCTGCGCCGTCTAACGAGATGATGCCACCCTCCCCAGACGTTCTCACGGGTATCTCGCGCACCAACGGGCGCACCTCTTCGTTCTGAAAGGCTTTAGAAATATGGGATTCCGAGCGACTTGTGAGCAGAATGTGGGTCACGGGGAGATCAGGGTCACGAAGAGCCTGTGCAAGGGAAAGGATGAGATCGGTAAGCTCGGGTTCAGACGTGCATTCATCAAGTGCATCGACAACAAACGACAAAGGCGGACATCCGCGCAATCTGAGTCGAAGTTTCCGGAGGGGTTGGAGAAAGAGAGCCTCCATCTGGTCGCAGAGAGGCGTGTCTGGGTCTAGTAGAGCGGGATTGTTGCGGATAGTTCTGTTCACATCCTGTCGAACACTTGCAAAATTGGTGGCAAGCTGGTAGGCAAGCGTCGCAAAGAAATATCCAGCCGTACAGCGTTTGGTGTGCTTGCGCGAGAAAAAGAATGTTCCCGCTAGCCTCTTTTCGACATGCGTCACTTCGGTCACTTTGAGACCTCTCATCTTTTCAGCTACTGTAAACGCAACAGCAGACTTTCCGACGCCAGCCGTACCATGCAGCCAAATGAGTTGATTCTTCTTTGTGTCGTCCAGGAATCTGTGGATATGTTTGAGGAGATCCACCCGAGTCCCTTGCAAACATTTCGGATGGGGCTGACGCTCACGGGAGTTATATTGAGCACCCTTGACAGCAACCTCAGATAGTTTCGCCCAAGTTCCTTCAAGAACTGTCAAAGAGGTCAGAGAGCTTGCGAGAGATAAGAGATGGAAGTACTGACATTGATCGTCATTCATTGGCGAAGGTTGTGATATGCGAGATGCAATGAAAATGAACCAACTGAAAGTGCTAGCTGGGTTCGAGGATGCTGTTAGAAATCATCCAGGTGATGGATGAATATTTACATAAATCTATTTTGCTATAGCAAGCTCGCGCGATGATTGTGGAATGCAATTGAAGGACGAGTGAGTCTGGTTGCACATATGAGGACACAAGGTTGCTGTGTATGCCGCTAGCCAGTCACATGTTCACATCTGCTACTGCACAGCCAGCCAGAACGATTAGTATAGTCTCCGAGATATTAGGAATTGTGTGAACAAGGTTCAAGTGAGCCTCTCTTTAAAGGCTTGAATTCGAGCTTGATTCGACAATTAGCTTAGAGCCCATCTGGACAACAAATAACAAAATTTCAAATTTCAACTGAGTCATGTCACATGGTCTGGGAGATCCCGGATCACACACCTCGGTTAGACTTCGTATTAACAATGATAACGCTTCGCATACATGGACTATGATATTGACCTTGAAGCGCAACAACAATTCGACCAACGTCGACGTCGCTGGACCGTGATTCTCATAGCTATGGTAGTGCAAATTATGAATACCTACCAGCTTCTGTTCTTATCCTCAACTGTCCGCATCCCATATCATACATCCATCCTCACTGGTGAAGCATGGGTGTACGAGCTCATTTATGGACATCCTGACAGGATCCGGCACAACTTTGGTATTGATGGCAATGTTTTCAATGCACTGCTGCAGGTTCTTCACCACAATAGATTTGTCCTATCCCGCAATGGTGTATCAGTGGAGGAGCAGCTTGGCATTTTTTTATATACATGTGTCACTGGATTATCATCCCGCCTTGTTGGGGAGAGATTCCAGCGCTCCCCTGACACGGTCACAAGGTATAGTGGTCTCAATATTATTTTTCAAGCGACTTAATCTATTTTCCAAGATATTTCAAACGCATGCTTTTCTTCTTCTCGTCGAATCCATTTTACAGCTCCCAGATCACATTTCCGACTCACACAACCCCAATTTCCCATAAAATTCTCGATGATCCTCAATATCGGTTCTTTGATCAGTGTATCGGTGCCGTAGACGGCACGCATATCCAGGCTTTTGTACCGCCAGAGGAACACTTTCACATGCGTAACCGCAAAGGTTTTTTATCGCAAAATTGTCTGTTCATCTGCGATTTTGACCTCCATTTCTTGTATTCACTCTGTGGGTGGGATGGATCTATGTCTGATGCTGCTCTGTGGACGGACGCCCATTCAAACGACCTACGCATCCCTGAAGGTCGATACTTTCTTGCAGGATGCTGGTTTTGGTACCTCCAATGTCCTCCTTGTTCCATACTGGAGTGTCCGTTATCATTTGAAAGAGTGGCGACAGGCCAATATCAAGTAGTACTAATCCTTTATTATTTTAAGTTAGCGTCTGACTTGGATTCTACACAGGCCACAGAATGCCAAGGAACTATTCAACCTTCGTCATGCTGGACTTCGCAATGTGATTGAACGCATTTTTGGTGTTATGAAGCGTCAATGGGGCATCTTGCGACATGTCCCTGAATATAACATGGATATTCAGGCTCGGATCCCTGTAGCGCTGTGCGCACTGCACAACTTCAATCAAAGGTATCATCCTGACGACTTTGACGTCGAATCTGACGGAATGAACCTTGATGTTGCGTTGGGTGAACTCGGCGATGGACCAGCTGACACAGCGGAATGGAGCAGAGTGGATCAGCGGCGGGAGAGAATTGCAGAGGAAATGTGGGCTGACTATCTCAATGAGCATAGGGAACGAGGACTTCCATTGCCAGGTACAGCTTGAATACAAATAAGTAGTAGTTTGTATTGTCGTACTACACTCCGCGGAACCGCCGCTTCAAGCTCTATACCATTACTACATCGTCGTCTTGGTTGGACTTGAGTTTGCGGAGAGTTTTCTCCAACCAGGCAGCTCGAGTTGTCTCTGGAAAATTAGAAAAAATTACAGCCTGTGTCTTGTCCCTAGCGAAGTAGTCTGCGATCTCGAGCTGATCATCAGCTGTAAGAGTCTTATGTTCTGATAACAAGACAACAGCACGAGCGAGGGGGTCAGATGAAGTAACCTGGGGGGGAGTTTGGAGGTAGTCTTTGATGTAAGTAGTGAGCTCCTTCATCGTCTCAGACCCATCCTTTTGTGCCTGGGCAGTTACAGATAGTGGCCGGCGTGTACGTTTCGAGCGCTTGCTTCTGATTCAATAATTGAGGGTGTGGAACTGATTCTGCGCTTTGCACTGCGGCTAACACTTGTCAACACAGACGAGGGGGCTGAGCCACCACCGGAAGAGGTAAGGAAACAAGATGGAGTAGAGGGCGATGTTGATGAGGGATCACTGAAAGTGGCCGATGGCCCAGGAGTGCGGAGAAGCCCACTGCCACCCACTTGCATGACTTCTTCGGTTGCAGAGGTAAGCTGGCTGAGATTAAAGGAGGGAGGAGTAGCCTGAGGGATGTCATTGCCGGTGGGCACTGGAGGTGGTCGATAGACATGCGATCCTTTTGCAATCTTTGGCATCATCTGCTCCATAGCAGAGGTATGTTTGAAGCCCTTATTTTTGAAGGCCTTCGCTGCAGGGCGTCGCTGAGAGTGATTGCGTTATTAGTAGTGCCGGCTGCAGCAGTGGCAACAATACATACCTTGACGTACCGATCCCAGACATCATCATTCTTCATCACTATTCCAGCTCCATACTCATCACTCCATGTAAATCCCGATGTGTTCTTGATATCTGCGACAGCACCATATGATGTTTTGAGCTGCAAGACATACATTCTTTGAGTTTTCCCTGATCACCGGCAACACGATCATCGGACTGATAACATACAGATTGCCACTTGTTCTTACAAACACCAGCTGTCTTCTCAGCACCAGATGCGTTTGGGAATCTCTCCTTCAGTAGATTTGCAGCGCTGGTGAGTGTTGTACCCTTGGGATTTCCATCGCCACTTGCAGAGAACTGAGATAACAGGAAGTCAACGAAAACAGTTTCTTCTTCTAGCGTCCAGGAGGCAGCAGGCTTTCTTTTGCTTTGGTTCTTCTTCAATTCTACTGGATCAACAGTACCACGAGAACGAAGGGAGCAATTAGATCCATCACTAGTACTGTGGCTTGATACATTAGATGACATGGCGGTTATGGCAGGGAAGCAAGGTGCCCTGTGTGAAAGAATCTGTGTGATCCAGGATCTCCCAGACCATGAGACATGACTCAGTTGAAATTTGAAATTTTGTTATTCGTTGTCCAGATGGGCTCTTAGCTATAGGTGACGCACGTTTGAATCCATGTCGTATATATACTACATATGAGGTCTATTCTGCATCCGACAGATTCGCACGTGTTTTTGACAGCGAAACAGGCGAACTACTCCATCATCAATATTCCCGACACCCACATGATGTTAGTGCATTCAAAAATCCAACTTTGTGGCAGTTCGAGCTCGAGCTTCACTCTAGGGCCGCCGTGGAATTACAGCCACCATTGACGTAATATCATATATATGCAACAACCATGCCGCATAGTACCGTTCATTATCAGTAGTCTCCGCTAGACAGACTACTATAGACGAAGATATAGTCCGCGTTTCTTCCAACAACGGCCCGTCTGCCCTAGTGAACAGAACACGGAGAATGCCCTTCTTTACAAGGAAGAGGCAGCCTAGCGCAAACCAGCTCACTGCCTCATCCGCAGCAGCCCCCCTCGCTCAACAACGTCAACAAGCTCACGATGTTATATCAATCACACAACAGCTGCTGCTGCCGTCCCAATCTCAGCAGCAGCCACCCATAGGCACCCAACAGCCTCAACAACGGCCAAGTTATCCCTGGTCTGTACAGCGCCTACTCCTCCCTCCCCCCCTCGTTATCCCGAAACCTGACGTGATCGCACCAACTTCACCTTCACCTCTTCCATTCCCTCGCTATGGCCATGCACTTCCAGCGACAGCCACTGTTTCGGGAGACTTGTATCTTTTTGGTGGTCTCGTCCGCGAAATTGCCTACAATGATTTATATCTTTTTTCTACCCGCCATCTGTCCGCAACTCTTGTCCAGACAAGTGGTGATATACCCTCGCCCCGAGTCGGTCACGCGAGCGCCATCGTTAGCAGCATCATCATCGTATGGGGAGGCGACACCACCTTTACCGATCAGTCAGAAAAGCAAGATGATGGCTTGTATCTTCTGAACATCGGTGCGTTCATCCAAACTATCGAGAAAGCGTACTTCATGTAAACCCCAGTTTCACGAGAGTGGACCCGCATACCAATGCACGGTCCTGCACCTGCTGGACGGTATGGTCATACTGCTACTATGGTTGGCACCAAATTTTTCGTCTTCGGAGGTCAGGCAGATGGCGAATTCCTGAATGACCTCTGGTCATTTGATCTCAAGACTCGTAAGTCCCATTCAATTGAAGCTTACTTTACTAAACCTTACATTATGTTATGCTCTTAGTACGGACAACAACAGTTTGGGAGCTGTGTCAACCCTTCGGAGCCGCCCGTCCTGCCCAACGCACAGGACATGCCTGTATAACATACCAGGATCGCATCATCGTGTATGTTTGACGTTCATTCTGGACTAGCTCATATTCACCTTTCACAGGTTCGGAGGAACAGATGGCTTATACCATTACAATGATACATGGTCGTATAACACTAATACAAGGACCTAGTCGGAATTGCAATGTATTGGCTTTATTCCATCACCCCGGGAAGGCCACGCAGCCGCTGTGATTGACGACGTCATCTACATTTTTGGCGGACGGGGTGTAGTTGGCAAGGACCTGGGCGACTTGGCAGCATTCAAGATGTCAAGTACGTGGTTTGATAAACAATTGGTGTGCGTGATTCTGAGCTTGTCGCGTGCAGACCAGCGGTGGTACATGTTCCAAAATATGGGTCCAGCGCCTAGCGGCCGTTCGGGACATGCTATGGCATCCATGGGAACTAGAGTTTTTGTTCTTGGTGGAGAGTCTTTCACGCCAACTAAGGGCGATGACCATGGAATTATTAATGTTCTTGACACCGGTATGTGACCGCTCTTCTCCGCCAAGGTCAATGCTAACGGCTTGCTCAGAGCACATCAAATACCCTGATTCAAGCAAAGGACCACCGACCAACAAGGCTAATCGAGAATCAATTGCAACTCCTCCGCCGGGACAAGTCGCACCAGGAAGCTCTCTGCCCAATGTTACTGGTGCCATAGATGCGGACGACATTCGCTGGACTATGTCTCAGCCAAGAACCAGATTCGGAACTCGTACACCGAATGGTGCCCGTGCGCAATCATCCCCCAATACCAAAGATAAGGCACCGAACCGCTCTCAAAGAGATGATCGAATTGTGCTCAGAACGGATGATGGGAATGGGACAGAAACCGGTGCTACTCTCAAGTCTAATACCACTTCCCGGGATCACACACCATCTCCAGAGCAGATCCGAGCACCGTCATATTTGCCACAAGATCTTACTAATGAACTCCAGGGAAGATCACGCTATCCGATAACTTCTGGAGGCTTTGGAGACATCTGGAAGTGTGAATTAGTGAAGCCCGATGGGACCGTCAAGGCATGCCCAGCTTCCCCCACTTCATACAGTTGTTATTGACCATGACCTAGGTAGCAGTGAAGACCATCCGTGCTTTCGAATCGGACAACGAGGTTCTGATGCGGAAGAATAGTAGGGTAATGTGCTCTTCCACAGCGTCGCGTGTGTCGGTTTAGCTTATGCTGAATCAACTTTAGAGAGTGCGTCGCGAACTCAAAGTTTGGGGCCGTCTTAAGCATGATAGCATTCTTCCACTCTGGGGAGTGGCAACTGACTTTGGACCCTATCCCGCAATGATTTGCCCGTGGGCTGATGATGGAGCACTCACGGGCTATCTTGAGAGGCAAGAAAGCTTGTTGTCGTCTCACGATAAGTTCTCCCTTGTAAGCCCTGTATATCCAGCATCCCCAAATGCTTGCTGACCTCCTGGCACCTGCCAGCTGAATGACATTGCTCTTGGATTGCAATACCGTAAGTCCATCGTTCACTGCACCCTAGTTTTCAGATGCTCATGTCGGTTCAGTCCATAGCAAATCAGTTGTTCATGGGGACCTGACGGGGGTGTGTACGGCCATACAGAGAAGGTTTACGTTACTCACGTGCAAACTCTCTAGTCAAATGTCTTGATTTCTGGCAACGGTCGGGCATGCCTTGCTGATTTTGGTCTCTCCACCATCATCCTGGAGTTTGTCGGCACCTCATATTTTACGAGCTCCATCCGAGGGAATGTCCGATGGCTAGCTGCAGAATTATGTGAAGTATCGGAGGACGACGAGGTTTCGCTCAGCACCGAGTGCGACATATACTCATTCGGCAGTATCACGCTCCAGGTTGGTAACTCGATTTTGACCGAAATATGTTATTCACTTCGCACATGCTCTAGGTATTGACTTGTAAGGTACCCTACTACAATGTGAAGAAGGATATTGCGGTGTTGGGACAAGTCATCAAAGGTATGAAACCGGAGCCTCCTAAGGAATCGCAGATAGCGGCTGGGCACTGGGAGTTCATACAGCGATGCTGGTCGCCTCGTGCAAGTCGTCCATCTGTTGCAGAAATTGTGACGTTTGTAGCGCGCGAACAACAAGCTGCGTTGTCCTATGTATGAGAAAGTTTTCAGCGCCTCGAGTAGCCCCGACGTGCAACAACAACTACACCACGACAGCTACCTCAATTCGTCTGAGAATAATGTAAATCTACTTGTTTTCATGTGTACCTTAATCCTTGCTGGCCAGAATTTTAAAAATCCAAAGTTCAAATTTTTCGTTGCAAGAATTTGAAACATTACAAGAAAAACAGCAATTGGAGCCTCTAGGCATACCTCAGGCTGGTACCCCAAGATGACATTGCAGAGGCCCCTACAGCATCGCAAGGACTTCTGCCGTCGCACTAATGCATGAATGGGACTACAATGTACTGCTTTGAAGCACAGGAATCACAGCAAACACTGCTTGTTGTGCCTTTTCTAATTTATGCAAGAATTCGGCATGCCTCTATAGCACCAAATATTTGCGGTATATAAGTTTGATTTTTCATCTCAAAGAACCTGAAATTGGTAACAACGGCGGCATGTTACTTCCTAAAATTGCTATGAAGTTGTGGTCTGTTGTGGTGGCGTATTTCTGATAGGCTGCTCGGAGGTGCTGTATTTGATTTTGTGCTTCTTACACATGTAGCGACGTTGGCATTAATGGACTTACTCTCTGCACCTCATACTTTATCTCAGCTTAACATGTGAGCCATACCACAGAATGCTATAGCCAACCCTGGTGGGGCTATAGAGCAATGTTCAAATTAAAGTTGTGTATGCGGGGTCAGGGGGGAAAGAGACTTGTCAACCTTTCCACTTTGGTCGTGGCCCGGGCAGTTACTTACCCATAACACTTATCCAGTGGCACCAGTGCAACATATAAGCGCTCTCCCTCGCAGATATATACAGTCGTGGCTATGGACCTGTACCCATCAGTGCCCACCTTAATCACATACCTCTTCCAGAACAGGTTCGTGCAATCTATCTCTCTCTCCAGCAGCTCATACTATATGTAGCCTGCTGACTCGTTTCTCTACCGTAGGTGGGCGCCTGTTTGTGATGGCGACCCCATTTCAAAATCCCACTGGATCCTCTACCAATCAATCAGCCACTGATTTCGAGCCTTCCGAACAATGGAAGAATCACCTGAAAGTGGATATCGAGACCAACTTGCGTTCCATGGTCGACGAAGCCAAACAGAACCTACACAACGCCCTGAAGAGAGCCCCAGTCAGCGCTGTCGAGCGCCAACGCTTGACTGAGGAATACCTCGTTACCATGAGGAACATCCGTAATCTTGCCGAGGAACAGTTCCGTATCTCCCTAGAACGTGAACGCCAAGTACGCCGTTGGTCTACTGGTCAGGTCTTAGATCAGGAATGGTCGGACACCATAAGAAAGGAGCAACAAGCTATCCTAGACAACATTGAAAGAAAACGCAAAGATAATGCTACTTATTCTTCCTCGTCTCAGCCCATCGCAGATTTTTTAATATCTCGTTCTAGCCGTTCTTCAGAACGTGTTTGGACCCCGCACGAGCACGCGGAATTCGAGCACGACGCAGATTACTTCCCTCGTTTACCCAGCCGGGAATTTGAGGAAGACCACTTACCACCACCTCGTAATACTGGGAAGGCTCGTGCCGGGTCTGTTAGTAGTGCAGTTGGATCATACAAGCCACCGTCCACGTCGGATACAACAGACAGAGGTGTTGAGCGCCCAAAGCCTTCACACGCCATCGACGAACTAGACGACATACCTAGATCTGTTCGGTCAGCTACGGATGTTCAGGACAGCATCGGACGCGGAAGCCTTCACTGCAGAGCTACTAGACAGCTCCCAGAAATCTGGCTCCCTTCTATCACGCCTGAACAAGACGCTCAGATGTCTCGTCCTTTCAGTATCGCGCGTCGTGGGAGTACAGCGAGCACTACCTCTTCCTATCGGGCACCATCAGTGGTCAACATCCCGTTTTCTTACGAACCGCATGACAGTACGATCGAGAAAGAGGGAGAGCGTATTTCGGCTATGAAACAGGAGTGGAGCTCTATGGATAGAGCGAGATATGGAGAGAGAACAACTCCGTACACTTATGCTGAAGCTCGGGCTGGCGTCACAACCACTCCTCAGCGTCTGGACGAATGTTATACACCGCCCGTATCCTCAGTTGCACACATCATAAGCTCCGCAATCTCATACACTCGCCCCATAGAAGGCTTAAGTTCCACAGTCCCCATCGCATACACTCGCCCCGCAGACGGCCCAAGCTCCATAGTCCCCATCAGCTACATGCGCTCCTCGGACAGTTCTCACCCACACGCACCCCCACCATCAGCCAGCAGACCCATCGTCGCCGAGAAATCCTTCACGTATGACGGCGATTTTCAGGCTAGCCCGAGTCCCAAAGGCTGGACCAGTCCCTCACGCTCGCCGTACGACCCCCGCTACGAAACCTCGCGCTCTCCACAGACACCAGGAGAAATTCCACGGAATTGGCAGTCTTCTAACTTGCGCGCAGGGCCGTCATCGCAAGACATGCGCTACGGGTATAATCCGAGCGAGACTGGGTCCTATGCTACTCGGCCTGTTCATACGCATCATGAGGTGTCAGAGGGGGAATATGATGTGGACCTCGATGATACTGGGTGGGAGGAGTATGATGAGGTATCGGAGGGGGAATATGATGAGGTGTCAGAGGGGGAGTATAATATGGACCTCGATGATGCTGAGTTGTGGGAGTATGATGAGCGCCGGATGCCTCAGAGAGAGGCAAGCGTGAGTTTGGGGAGGGAGGAGGTTGCTCAGCCCGAGCAAGAATTGAGGAGGGAAAAGAATACGAGACGTGGGGCTAAGCTAATGGAGGAGCTCAGATCAGACGACAAGCAGCAGGTTCAGCAGGATGAATTTCGAAAGCGCGAAGAAAATATACGCCGCCAGCGCACAGAAGAAAAGAAGAAACAGGAAAAGTTCAAATGGGAGTCCTGGAATCGTTATCCACCGGAGACTACTAGTAGTCGACCCATACCACCTCCCCAGATGGCTACTTCTCAATCTCAATCTTCGTCTTCTACAGGACCTTGGCCAATCGCCAATCGTAGCGACCGTAGCATACCTGGACCAAGTCCGCCGACAGATAGGAGCAGCTTTGGATCAACCAGCACTAGTCGTAGCAGTGCTGCCTGGACGACCTCGACTCGGCCAAACTCGACAGGTAGTTCGCCCCCACCGAGCACACCTAAGTCATCAACGTCATCAGCCCAGCAGAACGCCAAAACGGCACTCGGTCCCCCGCCTACCCCCTTTTCAGAAGTGGAGTTCCACCGTCGTCAGGCTGAACAAGCTCAACAGCGCGAGGAACAATTCCGTCGTGAGCAAGCCAAGTTGGAGCAGGAAAGACTCTCGAAGGCTGTCAAGGTGAAGCAGGACGCTATTACTATCAAGCTCTTTGAGCGCCATCGTGGTCAGTGGGATAAATTACAGATGTCCCGTGTGTTGATATGGGACAATTTCCCATGGCCTGTGTTCAAACGCTCCAACGGCCCCGATGATATCACGACTCCTGACATCACTGTCTACATGTTGTCGTCTCTGCATCCTATCGACAAGTCTCCGAGGCACCGTGTAAAGGAGAACATCAAATGGTGGCATCACGATCGATTTGGGATGTGGCTTCTACCGAAAGTCAAGGAGAGCGACAGAGACAGCGTGCGAGAAGCTGCGAGCACTGTGGCCAGGACGTTGTACCATCTTCTACGCTCCAGCACGCAAGATCCTGATGTCTCGACCGCTAGCTCACGCATCATTATACTCGAACCACCATTATTAGCACAGCAGAACACCAATGCGCCATCCCACCCCACATACACCCCCATTCCAGCTACACAGATTCCCACTTCACCTTCGCCGGAAGCAACAGCAACAGTGGAAGAAGCTAGCCAAGAGTTGCCCGATTCCGTGTCAGATTTGCTGGAAGATCTTACCAACGAGCTCCAGAGGAAATCGTCTTTCCCGGCCGCTTCCGGAGGTTTTGGGGACATCTGGAAGTGTATTTTAGTCAAGGCGAATGAAAACGTCGATGTATGCTCCACTTGTGTTACTTCCTGTCGCATTGTCCTGATCATGATCCAGGTGGCAGTAAAGACCATCCGTGCTTTTGAGACGGATAACGAGGAGTCGAGGCAGAAGAAAGCGAGGGTAACGTCTCTGTTCCATGCATCTCGAGTTTTTTTTAATGATGATTCGGTTTAGAGAGTGCGCCGCGAGCTGAAAGTTTGGGGTCGTCTCAAACATCATAGCATTCTTCCACTATGGGGAGTGGCAAACGACTTTGGGCCCTACCTTGCAATGATTTGCCCATGGGCCGTTAATGGAGCTCTCACAGGCTATCTTGAGCGCCAACAAGACACGTTGTCGTCCTTAGATAAATTCTCCCTTGTAAGTCCTGTGTATCCAGCATCTCCAGATGCTTGTTGACTTCCTGGTGCTTGCCAGCTGAATGACATTGCTCTTGGATTACAATACCGTAGGTGAACACTCACTGCACGTTTTCAAATGTTCATGTTGGTTCAGTCCACAGCAAATCAGTTGTCCATGGTGACCTGACAGGGGTGTGTACGGCCACACACAGAAGGTTCTAATTACTCACTTCCCAACTCTCTAGTCAAATGTCTTGATTTCTGATAATGGTCGGGCATGTCTTGCTGATTTCGGTCTCTCTACTATCATCGTAGAGTTCATCGGTACCTCCTATTTTACGAACTCTATCTGGGGGAATATCCGATGGGCAGCTACAGAGCTGTATGAAGCACCAGACAATGCATCGCTCACGACCGAGTGCGATATCTACTCATTTGGCAGTATTATATTGCAGGTTAGTAACTTGAATTTTCCACCGTCGGATCTTATTCACATTTCGCTTGCTCTAGATATTAACTTGCAAGGTACCCTACTGCAATGTGAAGAAGGATATTGCGGTGTTGGCCCAAGTCATCAAAGGGATTAAACCGAAACCTCCTAAGGAATCGCGTATAGCGCCTGGGCACTGGGAGTTCATACAGCGATGCTGGTTGCCTCGTGCAAGTCGCCCGTCGATTGCAGAAATCGTAACGTTTATAGCATGTGAATGGCAGGCTGTGTCATCCTAGTCCTTCTGAACACACCAACAGTACCATGATACTGGAATGTAGCAAGAACTGACCTTCAGGAAATACTTACATAGAAAGGTCATCGTGCATCAATGAGTATTTCAAATTCGAGGAAGATCATCATTTTATGTAAACTCCTCGTAAGGAAGGTCTTGTAGTTGGTTGGGGCCCGAACTGGCCCGAAGGAGCTGACCGAAGGCTATGACTCATAGGCTGCTTCCCTTCATTCATACTATGGACACGGTGTCAACATGGTATATTTTCAGTGTCCAGCAAGCTAGAAGTACAGACTCCCGCCATCCTTCTTTGCCGACGAATCGCCATAGACTATAGTTCTCTCGGCAGCTCATGACTAACTGGGACGCCGGATAGGATCTCACCCACTTGACGGGAAGAGTACGAACTTTTGCAGTGATAACCATCATAATGCATATGGTCTTCACCTCATGCCAGGTTAGTGCCAAGATTGCTGACTTTCAGTATCGGCTCACACCAGCAGGGCTGTCAGCTTAATATCAATGACCGCTCGATCAAAGACTCTCAGGCTAGTTTTATATAAATTGACCAGAGTCCAGCCCTCGTCCATTGGGAGGCTTCATCAACCTTTCCGCTTGGATCCATTAATACTATGTATGATCAACCAAGCACTCGGGGTCCTGGAATCTTAGGTCAGTTGCTTCAACCCACGTGCACAAGCCATTAGTAGGCGCCCTCCTTAAAGGCTCCTTTGCAGACTGACATCGCGCTTAACTGCCTTAGTTCCGCACTATCTCTCGTACCGGCACATATACCTCACTCCATTCCATTTCATAGCTCTTTCCAAAGTTCAGAGAGGGAAGTTCATGTAATCATATTTCCTCCAGCTCATGATAGTGGTCAAAAAGTATGGCAAAGGAGCATCAGCCTGGCAGGATTGGACTGAGTGAGTGCAAAAACAAACCTGTTCATCCTCTCCTTTGTCCTCTCTCATCAACGTATTGCAGGGAGCTCAACACAGGCTAATCGCCACATACCTCGCGGTGTCGATACGGGTCCTGCCAGATCTACCATTGGATTGGGGTCAACGTCGGATACAAATTTTGAGCGCCTCAAGCCTCCATCAACCACCGGTGAACGAGAGGATGTGACTAGACAGCGATTCGCGAGTTCAGCTGCGGATACTCAGGATGGCCGCAGGCGAGAAAGACAGCCCATTAAAGTGGGCAATTTCAAGCCTGAAGAAGACGCCCAGGCGTCTCGTCATTTCAATGTCACCCATCGTGGGAGCACAGCGGGTCCTGACCCTTATCGTGTACCACCATTGTCAGTCACTTGCAAAGACCGCGATTATATTTCGGCAATGGATCATGAGCGAGACAGACACAAGTCATATGCCAACATCAATACCACATCCTATATCCCAGCCTTATCTTCATCAGCGACGTATGGCCCAGGTTATACGGCCCCCGTCAATGCGCCCCCCAGTTTCTGCTATCACCGGCGCCATGAAATCAGTTTCGTTTGAAGATAGCGGTGAACAGTCCAGCTCGAGTCCCAAAGGCTGGAATGGTCCGTCGCGCCCGCCGCCAGTTTCGTATGGTACACGCCCCAGCGTACCACCACCTTCTATTATCAGACCTATTACCACCAATAGATCGGTTTCATACGATAGCGGCGTTCAGTCTAGCACAAGTCTTAATAATTGGAATGGTCCGTCTGACAGCCAGGACCCATACGCACGCCGCGGTGTACCCCCACCGCCTAGCAGCAGACCTATCATGACCAAGAAATCGGTCTCACTCGATAGCGGCGTTCAATCCAGTACGAGTTTTAATTATCAGAATGGTCCGTCTGACAACCAGAATTCGTACGCACGCCGTGGCGCACCCCTACCGTCTAACAATGGACCCATCGTTACCAATAAATCGGTCTCGCTCAATAGCGGCGTTCAGTCTGGCACGAGCCTTAATGATCAGAATGGTCCGTCTGACATCCAGGATTCATACACACGCCACGGCGTACCCCTACCGTCTAGCAGCAACGGACCTATTATCACCAATAAGTTTGTCTCGTTCGATAGTGGCGGCTTTCAGTCTGGCTCCAGTCGCGAAGGCTGGACTGGTCCGTCGCGCTTGCCGCACGAAAACCGCTATGAGTCTTCGTACTCCCAAGAGACACCAAAAGAGGTCCCTCAGAGCTGGCAGTCGTCTGACAGACTCAATTCTCAACATCCCTTGCTAGACATTGCGAGCGGGAGTCCTTACTATCCCGTTCGGCCTTCTAATATGCATTATGAGGTATCTGAGGGCGAGTATCATCAAACTCTCAACCGATCAGGAAATGAAGTACAGCGCAAAGAGCTCGAGATGAGAAGAGATAAGGAGGAGGAAGCCAAACGCACTGAAAACGAAGTCAAGATGGAGGAAGGGCGGACCCAGAGAATGGAAGGGTTTACAAGGCATGTGGAGAACTCAACAAGGCGGTTTGGTGGGGAAGACAGACGTCTAGTACAAGATCCAACGTTGCAGGTGGCGAAACGGCAGGAAGATGAAGTTGGACGCAAGGATGAGGAAGCTAGGCTCAAAGGAGAGACGACACGCGCGATGGAGGAAGAGTTCCGGAGGAAGGCAGAAGAACACAACATGCAATGGCAAGAGCTTCATTCGCTGGAAGATCTCACTAATAAAGTCCAGAGGAGATCGTCCTATCCTGTTGCTTCCGGAGGTTTTGGGGACATCTGGAAAGGTGATTTAGTTAAGCACAGCAGGGTCTTCCAGGTATGCACAGCTTGTGACACTTGTTACCGTATTATCTGACTGTGATGTAGGTAGCAGTGAAGACCATTCGCGCATTCGAGTCGGACAGCAACGAAGTGGCGCGGAAGAAGGCGAATGTAATGTTTCTATTCCATTCATATCGATCTTTCCGATGATGACTCGGCTTAGAGAGTGCGTCGTGAACTGAAAGTTTGGGAACGTCTCAAACATAACAGCATTCTTCCACTCTGGGGGGTGGCGGATGACTTTGGGCCCTACCTCGCAATGGTTTGCCCATGGGCTGATAACGGAGCTCTCACTGGCTTTCTTGAGCTCCGACAATACAAGCTATCGTTGCAAGATAAGTTCTTGCTAGTAAGCCCCATTTTGCAAGTATTTCTGAATGCTTGTTAAGCTTTGAAACGCCAGCTGAATGATATTGCCCTTGGGTTGCAATATCGTAAGTCACTTTCCACTGCACCCGACTTTTTAAACGCTCATGGTGATTTAGTCCACAGAAAATCAGTTGTCCATGGTGATCTGACAGGGGTATGGACAGCCGCACGCACAATGTGTATTGTTCATTACTCACGTACAAACTCTCCAGTCAAATGTCTTGATTTATGGCAATGGTCGCGCATGCCTTGCTGATTTTGGTCTCTCCACTATCATCGTAGAGTTCATCGGTACCTCATATTTTACGAGCTCCATCCGAGGGAATGTCCGATGGGTAGCTGCAGAGTTATGTGAAGCAACAGAAGACAGTGAAGTCTCACTCAGCGCCGAGTGCGACATATACTCATTTGGCAGTATCACCTTGCAAGTCAGTAACTTGAATTTTCAACGTCAGATTTTAATCACATTGCGCTTGCTTTAGATATTGACTTGCAAGGTACCCTACTACTATGTGAAGAGTGACATGGTAGTGTTGGGACACGTCATCAAGGGTAAGAAACCGGAGCCTCCCAAGGACTTGCGAATAGCGCCTGGACACTGGAGCTTCATACAGCGATGTTGGCTACCTCGTGCGAGTCGTCCATCGGTTGGAGAAATTGTGGCGTTCGTAGAACGAGCTCTGTCATCCTAGTCCACTGAACGGGGCAACAAAGATTAATGAATTGGAATGTAACACTTCTCTACGAGCGCTTCACACCTGGAAAGTGGTGTTAAAGCGGCTTGACATGATTTAAATATCAATCTGCATTTTCCAGGCTCTGGCCTCACCCAACTCAAGCTTCCATCAAACATAAGTATGTGGTGCAGGGGATCATCTGTGTAGCTTCGTCACATTTCCCTACAGATTTAAACAATAAGGCCCTCGAGGCCTCCGCTGACGATCAGAATTGTTCAGATCTTCGTGCTTCCAGGTTCCTTGTGGCTCACGGGCTGGACACCATCATTATCATACCACCCTCGGACTCGATAGGTTCAATCAATTACTCTCCTTTCTTCGTTTTCTGAAGCTAAGCTTATTTTCTACGAAATAATGACTTCTCTTCATCTCGTTCCATGGAGATATTATTCTGCGACAAATTATTTTCAGTTGTACAACGAGCATCCCGAAGCGCTGTTGAGCGAAGTTCATGTGTGCTGATCGACTGTATCAGAGCAGATGGCCAGCCCGATCTCACCCTTCAATTTGAAAATCGTAGTGATGCTCCTGGTTGAGCTCTTGGTTGCCAGTGGTGGCTTGCAGAGTTTGTGTCAGGACGTTTACCAGTTTCTTGGACCGTTTTTGTTCTGTTTGATCCAACGGATGCACCACTGGAGTCGGCCACCCCACCCGGTGGCATATACTGGCCACTCCAACAGACATGACGTATGTCATAGCCTGGTTATATAAGTTGGGAGACATCCTGGACTCCCCTCGTATTTTTCAGATAAACCCCCTCAAATGCCTACCACTGTTTCATCCACCCGGAATGTCATCTTGTATTTTGTTGCGCTGTACGTCTGGCATCTGCTATTCCCAACCACTTTTTCAATAAGTTACTATACTTAAATCACGTCCAGGGTCCTTCCACCGGTAGCCGTGTTTTTCAGTAAGTACATGACCTTTTCATGCCTCCTATATTATAATATTAATGTCGACGATGATAGAACGTGGATGTGCTGCAGGTAAATATCAATAGTACCGTTTAAATCCAGGGATGCATGTTATTTTGCTAGACTTTTGGATCAATATCTGTCTTACGATCTTGGGTTGGATACCAGGAGTCTTGCATGCATGGTATGTTAGCTTCCGTTCATGCAGTCAGTTCATTTGCTGAAGTAGTGGTCATCTAGGTACATCATCTCTCGGAGCGAGGGAGCAATCGTGATGTAGTAATGACGTCATAACGTATAGACCCATTGTGCAGTCTGCGCGTCTCTACCGAACTATGTAGATGTACAGACTCAATATTGAGAAACCTTCCAGTCTGTGCATGTGTCTCTAGTAACTGTATCACAGACTCGAGAAACCTCACTAATCTATATGTCTCACATCTCGCAATATTGATCAGAGCGGAAGTTGTCAACTGATTTTTGAAGAGCCAGCACGGTTATGGTTACGGCAACTGAAGGAATCTGCCGGCGCAGCCCGCCCACTTCACATTTCAAAATTTATTACTTACTCAGCTCAACGCATATGCATCGCATGGTCTTGAATGTTTTCTCTTGCACCAGTTGCAAAGCACCTTATTATGGCCAACTGTGAAAGACCTTTCTCAACGTCTCGTGGTACTAGTTTGGCTCGTGCGTCTGCGTTGGAGTCTGCGAGCCTGTGTATGGTAAAGTCGTGGGTACTAGTAGTACTAATACTATATGTAATCGCATCATGAGACCATGACACATGTGCGCCTATGCCGCACTGGTTCTGGGCGGACAGAGCCATCGGATGATTAGATGTATGCATCCCTGCACGATTCAAGTTATAGACCAAAAGGTGTGTAAGAGTCCCTATGCTCATCACTTAATTCTAAACTTTGCTAGGATAGGTTAGGATCTGTTATCGACCTTAGCTCTCTGCTTCGTTAAATCCTCGATCATCACACCCGCCGTTGATTGTGAGCCTAACAAAAAGTGGAAGAGTGGCCTCGAAGTTGGTATCGAGAACGACTTGTGTTCCATGGTCAACGAGACCAAGCAGAATCTCAACGATACCTTTGGGAACGGCCCAATCAGTACTGTCGAGCGCGAGCGGTTGTCCGAGTCCGAGGAATACATTACTCCTATGAAGAGCATTCGTGATATTGCCGAGGAGCAGCTCCCTATTGCACTAAAACGTGAAAGCCAGGTCAAAGCTGCTCAGTTTTCTTCTTCCTCCTTGCAACTTCCCACAGATACTTCACAGTCGCACACTTCTGGTCTTACACCAAACGAACATGACAACTGGCCTCCGCAAAAACCCTCGGAGGTCAAGCGCGATTCAGGATATTTATCTCGTTTCGCCAACCGAGAGCGTGACCATATGTCTCGAGATACCAATAATGGTCGTGCTAGGTATATCAACAGCGCAGTGGGGTCACCCACATTGGATGTCACAGACAGAGGTTTTGAACGCCCAAAGCATCCATCCCCCATCGAACTAGATGACATGCCCAGGTTTGCGCGTTCAGCTCCGGATGCTCCAGACAGGCGAAGCCTTCTGCGTACAGCGGGCCTTTCAAACAGACCTGTCCCCCCCAGAGTCTTGGCTTCCATCAACGCCTGAAGAAGACTCCCTGGTGCCTAATATATTTACTATTTCACGACGGGGGAGCACGACTATCCCATCTTCCACCGAGCTGCACCACGTGACTGCCAGCGCGAAGGAGAGGGATCGCATTTTGACCGTGGAACAACAGTGGAGTGCCATTTACAGAGCTCGGGATAGAAGGCGAACAACGTCGCACACATATATTGAAGCCAGAGCCAGTGCCTCTGCCTTCGAGCGGTTGGACGAGGATTATCCACCAACACCACCACCACATTCATCCAGCAGACCTATCGCCATCAAGAAATTGTTTTCATTGGATGATGACGGCTTTCAGTCTAGCCCAAGCCCCAAAGACTGGGATGTTCCATCGCGCTCGCCGTACGATACCTACGGGTTCTCGCATTCTCCACAGACACCGGATGAGCTCCCACGGAGCTGGCGGTCATCTAATTTCCGTACTCGACTCTCCTCGCAAGACATGCGTCACGGGTATCAGCGTGTTCATCAATATGATGATGACCTTGACGATTTAGATTTGTGGGAGCATGATGAGCGCAGACTTCGCCAGATGGAGGAGAGCTTCCGGAGGAGAGAAGAAGAGATTTCTCTGCGGGAGCAAGAACTAAAGAGGAGAGAGGAGGATGTTGTGCGGGAGGAGGAGGCCAAGCAGAAAGAAGACAGGCCTGGGCGCGAGGAGAAGGAGGCCAAATGCGTGGAGGACGAAATCATGTTCAAAGAGCTTGAGGTTGTAAGACAGGAGGAGGGGGGAAATAGGGAGGGAGAAGGAACAGAACACGAAGAAGACGAGGACGAGATCAAGTGGAAGGAGAAGCTTGCGAAGAAGAAAGAGGGGAAAGCTGGGAGACGGGACGTGCAGGACAAGAAAAGGGCCGAAGACCTCGGGCGACGAGAAGAACCAGCAGTAAGGCATTTAGAGGTGGAAGAAAGGCACATGACACGAGACGTTTTGCGAAAGTCAGAGGAATCGAAACGCCAGGAAGATGAAGTTAAATCTAAAGAACAGGCATCGCGCACGAAAGAGGAAAAGATTCGGAGGAAAGAGGAAGAACTCACGCGACGAGAGGAAGAACTGATTCGTAGGGAGGCAGAGGCAAACCGCAGACATGACCAGCAGGTAGTCCAACAGGAAGAAATTCGAAAGCGCGTTGAAAAGATAAGGCGCCAAAGTGTAGAGGAAAAGACGAAGCAAGGCAGGAAGACCTGGGGATATCATCCAAGCCGAACAACGCCACCTCCCCAGATGTCTGCTTCTCGATCTTTTTCATCTTCTACAGGACCTTGGTCAATCTCCGACCATGACGAATGCATGTCACCAGCAAGTCCGCCTGCCAACAGAGGCCGCTCTACATCGATCAGCACTAGCCGTAGCAACACGACCTGGACGTCCTCAACTCGGTTGAGCTCGACCGCGAGCTCATGGCGGTCGAATATATCTAAGCCACAAACACCATCAACCCAGAGGAACCAACCTTACCAGATGTCTCCCACCAATAGTAATGAGCTTCACATGTCTGCAACAGGGAGTCCGACCGCAGATAGGGGCCGCACATGTACCAGTCGTAGCAACGCAACCTTGGCGTCCTCGAGTCGGCTGAGCTCAAATGCGAGCTTACACCTGTCGAGTACACCTAATCCGCAAACACCATCAGCCCACAAGAATCCACCCCGTCAAATGTCTACTTCAAAATCCTCTTTGCCTTCTGCAGGGCCTCGGTCCATCCCTAGCCGCAACGAGCTTCACATATCTGCAACAAATTCCCATAGGGACCGCTCCAAATCAACCAGTACCAGCCGTAGAAATACACCCTGGATGTTCTCGAGGTTGAGCTCGATCACACGCTCACAGTCATCGAACACACCTAAACTGCAAACGCCATCGTCCCAGAAGAGCTCGCCTCCCCGATCTACTTCGTTTTCTATGACAGGACGGTCACTCCCTAAGCTTCACGACCTTCACATACCTACAACAAGTCCGCCTACATATAAAAGCCGCTCCAAATCAACAAGCACTGGTCGTAGCAGCTCAACCTGGGCGTACTCGACTCGGCCGATCCCGACCGTGAGCTCACAGCCCTCCATTACAACCTAAGTCGCAAATGCCGTCAGCCCAGCAGAACAAGAAAGTGGCACCATGCGCCATGGAAGCGGGGGCAATGGAAGAGGAGGATAGCAAAGGTGGCGGAATCAAGTGTAAGGAGACGCAGGTCAGGAATAGGACGGTTGTTGTCAGACCGGAGGAGGAGAAGGAGGAAAGACACATTGCACATGATCGATCAGCAGGATCTAGACGCAAGGAGGATGAAGCCAGACTTGAAGCATTCGGGGCAATGCGCGCCACAGAGGAAGAGATCCTGAAGGAGGAACAACCAGCACGAGGGAATGAATGTGATACACCGATACCCCATGTATGCGGTTTCCTTCCTTTCCTCCACTCCCTCTCACATTCCTCCAGCACAGTGGAAATATGCTACCTCAGGCGCAGCCACTCTTGAATGTATGGATGTACGTTATTGATATATACCCCTGACTCACGCAGCTATCCAGACTCCCACTTCATCTTTCTCAGAAACAACGACGACAGAGGAAGAAGATTCTCTGGAAGATCTGACTAATGAACTCCAGAGAAGATCGCGCTATCCGATCGCTTCCGGAGGCTTTGGAGACATCTGGAAGTGCGATTTAGTGAAGCCCAGTGGGACCGTTCAGGTGGGCTCAGCTTGTAGCGCTTCCTACGGTACTATCTTGAACATCATGCAGGTAGCAGTCAAAACCATTCGTTCTTTCGAGTCAGATAACAAGGAATTGACGCGGAAGACTGCGAAGGTAATTTTCTTCTTTCATCCATGTCAATCTTTCCAACCATACCTCGACGTAGAGAGTGCGTCGTGAGCTGAAAGTTTGGGGCCGTCTCAAACATCATAGCATTCTTCCCCTCTGCGGAGTGGCAAAGGACTTCGGGCCCCACCCGGCAATGATTTGTCCGTGGGCTGATAATGGAGCTCTTACCGGCTTTCTTGAGCGTCAACAGGCCATGTTGTCGTCTCAAGATAAGTTTTCTCCTTGTAAGCCCTTTTCTATGAGTACCTCTCAGACGCTTGCTGACGTGTTGACACACGCTAGCTGAACGACATTGCGCTTGGATTGCAATACCTTCACAATGAATCAGTTGTCCATGGTGACCTGACGGGGGTGTGTATAGCTACTCACAGAAGGTGTATTCTTCATTACTCACGCCTAGACTCCCCAGTCAAATGTCTTGATTTATGCCAACGGTCGGGCATGCCTTGCTGATTTTGGTCTCTCCACTATCATCCTGGAGTTCGTCGGTACCTCCTATTTGACGAGCTCCATCCGAGGCAATGTCCGATGGGTAGCTGCAGAGCTATGTGAAGCACCAGAAGACGGTGAAGTCTCGCTGAGCACCGAGTGCGACATATACTCATTTGGCAGTATCACCTTGCAGGTTAGTAACTTGAACTTTTGCCACCGAAAGACGTCTGTTTCACTTTGCGCATGCTCTAGGTGTTGACTTGCAAGGTACCCTACTACAACGTGAAAAATGATATTTTAGTGTTGGGACAGGTCATCAAGGGCAAGAAACCAGAAGCCTCCCAAGGAGTCGCAAATAGCAGCCCGGGCACTTGGGAGTTCATACAGCGATGCTGGTTGCCTCGTGCAAGTCGTCCCTTCAGTTGGAGAAATTGTAGCATTTGTTGAATGTGAACGACGAGCTCTGCTGAACAGATCGACAGGGTGCATATGAAGTAAATTTAGTTGCGACGGGCAACGCTGCAGGTACATAGAGGTGCTTGAGTAGAAACTCGTCTCGAGTAGCAATCGTAGGCAATACTTAATCCGCCCAGTGCTATTGTAATTCTCGAAATCGACCCGCTTTGTATGTATCAAAATGATACCTCAAACACCGTAATGAAGCCTCAAATCAAACTTCATCCATTACAACTGCATCGAATGCAAAACCCTCCTGACAAGATACTCTGCAACACAGCGGCAACACCTACAATACAAATGATCAAATGAGTGGAGTAGTACTAGTGGGGCTTGAATCAAGTAGCAATCGCGAGCAAAAATATATGAGCTCTTGTAATGAGTTGTCCAGACATACAAAGCCATCCCCAGGACATCATTTCGCACTCGAAGCGTACTCCTGCCAAAGAGTGTCCACGAAATCTTTGTCTGTCTAAAAACACGAAAGTCAGAGAGGATGTTCTGGACTTGATGAATGAATATAAAACATACGTGTATGAGAGTCAGAACTTCCCGGATAAAGTCGTTCTTCGATAAATTATTCGAACTTGCGTTCTTCTTCTGGGCGAGAGCAGACAGGAGAGATGCGTGGACAGCGTCAGCGTCGATGGCGTTAGTGCCATCAACAGAGCTCTGGCTAGCTACAGAACCAGCACGCTCCAAGCGTACATGTTTGGCCTTGCCATTAACAGGAACCGCTGGTGTCGAAGCGACACCTTGAGGCTGTGAAAGTGGTACAACCTTGACAGGCGGTGGCACATCCCAGCTCTTCTCTATCTCCTCTCTCTCTCGCTCACGATCCTTCTCCCGCTCCTTCCGACCTTTCTTCTGGCTCCTCCTGTTCTTCGAGCGCTGCTCCCTTGCAAATGCATCCGGATCGCTCAGTGCACTCGTATCAGCAAAGTCGAGCTCGATCACATCGGAATCTGTTTCGACAAACGGAGCACGAGGGTATGGCCACAAGTCAGATTCTGCCTCGAATGGAATGAGCGAACGGGTTTTGGGTACGCTGTGTGCGCCATTGACGCTGGTCAATGTCGGCGTGGTATCTGGGTCCCCAGGTCGCGGAGGTGCGACAGAGGGAATGTGAAGGTGTGGTGAGGCACGCGAGTGTTTCTGAGTTTGAGCAGCTGCGAGGAGGTCCCCGACCACCGTGATATCAGAGTTGAAGCCTCGGAGCGGCGGACGAGGGGTGACATCGCCCAGGGTTTTGCCGCTCCCATTTCTTGTGCCGTTGTACTCAGATTGGCCCATAGGTACAGCGAGGAGTGGCAGCCCAGAGGATGACCCTGCAGCTTGTAGTTCCATGTTATGTTCTGCATCAGCATCAAGTACAGTGCTAGAAACAGAATATCCTCCTTCTGAGATAGACCCATCATCGCTTGCCTCGTTGTCACCCTCATAGGCACGTGACGCAGGGAACCCAAGGAGCGTGGAGATGACATCTTGGTTGAGCACCTGAGGTAGTGCAGTAGAAGTTGGTTTGGGAGAAAGGATGAGAGGACTTTGTGAGCTGGCAGTGTGTCCGAACGTCGTGGACTGAGCTTGTGTAGTATGTGTAGTTTGTGAATGTATGGAGGTAGATGGGGGGAGGGATGCTGATGCCGCTCCAGAGCGAGATGGTCCACGACTGAATTGGCTTGATGGTGGTGGTGGTGGTGGTGCGGAGGCGAAGATGGTATCCAATAAAGCTAACCCGCGAGTCGGAGGGACAGAATTGGAAGTCGGTGGCGGAAACGGACGCCGTTCTATGAGCATTTCCACCGCTGGATAGGCCGGCCAGTAAACTTGCAGCAGTCGACTCCTTGGTCTGCGATTGTAGGGGCATCTGCTGTGAAGTACATCCTGTGCCCCCCAACTTGGCAAACAGTTTATCGAGCTCAGATACATTCCCGTTGGAACCACCTTCCGAGGGGGCGGGTTGACTTGCTGCATGATACTCTTCTGACTCCGAAATGCTATGTATGCTGCTGGTGTTGGATGCGCTCGATGCCGAGCGCATATGTGAACGTTCTACAAGACATTGAGAGCAATTCTTTGAACAAGCTTGCAACTCTGCCTACCACTGGCCCTCGATGATGACCGGAAGTTCGGGGGAGGAGGACTATCCGGACCATATCTATACTCCTCTGGATATGGAAGATTCTTCTTGATATAGCTATGCAATCTACAAGCACGTCAGAGTATGCGCAAACATCACGAAAGGCCTGCCACTCACCTCAACACAACGTCTTGCATGCTTTCTCTTGCATCGGTTGCAAAGCACCACAACCCGACCGTTTGTGATCGACCTTTCTCAGGATCTTGTAGTTGTTCTAGATTTGGCACGGCGAACTCAGGAGCAAATTTGGATGCAGGACCTTCCTGCTTGGAGAGGGGTAGATTGGCTCGTGCTTCTGCGAGCCTGCGCGCGGTAAAATCTGGATAATGACGCATCATGAGATACGAACCATGTGCGCCAATACCATCTTCTGGATAGAGTCGTTGGATGTAGTCATCCATGCCCACACGGTTCAAAATATAGAGACCATAAGGTGGGTAAGAATCCCTATAAAAGATGAGCTTGCAGAAAAGCCGAACAAATGTGTTTAACGCACCGCTCATACAAAAACATACTCCCCTCATAACCCTGCTTCTCCCATTTGTCACCGTTATGGTGGTACACACAGACGTGGCTGAATTGATCGAATATAGATACAATAGAGGGATCTCTACGGCGAACAACCTTCATGTTTGATAGATAGCGCGACTGAGAAGACATCCCTAGATGTGATTGTGTAAACGGGGTTTCTGGAGGAGTTGGCTCTTGTAATTGCGGCTGTCGTTGACGATGTTGCTGAGAGTGAGTTGATACAGAAGAATTGGAACGAGCTCGGCGAGGAGGACCCATGGCAGATTTGTTGAAGCAGAATTATAGCAGATAGTGGAGTTATAAGGCAAGGAACACGTACAAGGCAAAGTGCTTAGCCTGTATAATTTACCACCCCCATTTGGGGAGGTCGAATTGAAAACAGAACTTGATTTTCGATGAAAGATGGAACAATGACGCGTACTGATATCGATGTAGTGCCAATAGTAAATTACTCTGCAATGTCTGATAGAAAGACAGCTGATGCACTAAATTATTCCTTCCTGTTCCCGCGATGCCGCAGTGGGTTGGTTTGCCCAGACTAAATTCTATCCTCCACATGTCCTATGCTACAGAAGATCGCTCCGGTTACACACCGTCGCCCGTTGAGACCTGTCCGCGTTCCTGGAAAGCGATTGTACTCATACCAGCACCCTCGTCAGAGCTAGCCACGAGTTTAGCATGATATTCTCGAATGCCAAGGATGAGACGCGGCCCCAGCACAGGGCTGTACAATTTGAAGAATGCAGAAATAGATATTGCTTACCGCGGAAGATGAGTCCTGTATTAGAAGAGATGAAGAGTAGATGAATCAATCCCAGTTCAGCGCACCATGAGCATCGGAGACAGCGAGCCAAAGTAGTTTCAGAAGCCTTCAAGGAATAGAACCAAAGTACATCATTCTGGGGGATTTTGGACCTGAACAGAATATTTGAACGCTGGTAGTGATAGAACTTGTTGTAATACCGCGTGATCGGGAGGTTCTGTATCAGTTCCACCGGACGGCGGATACTATGCAGTTATTAACCCAATACAGACCAATTACAGAACTTCCCTATATAAGCTGTGCATGCGGACTGATCATGATGGAGACGTGTACAAGGATCAAAGCGACTTCACAAACCGCCAGGAAGAATAAAGTCACTGCAGTCGACTTTGCCATGTCGAGATAGAGGAACGTTGATGAAAACATCTATCAGATCATAACGTGTGATCGTACAGCAGGTGATTCTGTCAACGTTGAACGCCGTGTTGAAGTAAAGTGCTGCGGGATGGCACAGCTACGATTGCCCTTAATATGTTTCAGCACTCTAGTCTCTTCGAGTCTCCCATAGGCAGGCCTTCGAATTCTATAGAGGGGATAGATAGTCATTTTAGGTCAAGCAGCTGATGAGTGAAGCTGAACACTCCAGAGAATCATTCGACGAGCCGCTCACATAATTGTGGCTGTACAGTCGACCCCGTGAGAATTAATAGACATAACGGCGCCGGCGTCCAGCTCCCGGCTCGCTTAGTTGTACCACCTTCGGAACTAGTTTGTTTATTTCATTTTGCGTTGGCAAATGACTGCTAATGTGATTCTATCGTCAATGCATAATGCATGATGTTCTTCAACTCGTCTCGCACCTTCTCGACCAATCTTAGCCAAGTGGTAAGCGTGACAGGACGGAAATCTGTTGCAGGTTCGAAACCTGCTCAACAATCTTTTTCCTTTTATCACGCCTTGAACATTCACTCATGGATGGATCCTTCTTGAGTGGCCATATCCAATGGCACCAGAACGGATTAGAAATCTTGGGTGGTGCTGATTTAAAACCTACTGACAAATGTTTTGTCACTCATGGGCAGTCCAGCTTCAACTGGCTCGAGAGTTGCTGACACGATCTATTGGGTTGGGCTGGACCAAGCGTTAGCTCGGGATGGGACGCAAGCAGATGGAGCCGCTCGGGAGGGCAGGATACCTGCTTACGAATTCGATCATGCCACATATGTAACTCCTCGAGTAGTTTTGGGACGGCAAAATGTAATTGATGCAGCAGACTTTGAGACGCTTGACTAACGAAGTATTAGATGTAAAATACGATGCGACAAAAATTAGAAGGGAGTGGTGGGCGGGTATAAAGAAAGACTGTTCGAGCGAGTGAGGGGTGCGATGAACGACGAACTCGACGTCGTGGTGCACGGAAAAACGAATGAAAGAAGCGAACAGCGAAATCGCTCAGTTAGACGCATGGTGCTGGGACATTCCGGCAGGCTGCATCACCCGGCACCTGGACATTCCAGCTTCGACTTGCTCGAGAGTCGCCGACACGATCTATTAGGTTGGACTGGACCGAGTGTTAGTCGGGATGGGACGCAAGCAGGTAGAGCCGCTCACCGAACAAGCCGGAGCGACACGCGGCTCATAACTGCCTAGTCCAACCAAACGTGGATGCGACGGTTAGGAAGATGTAGTATCAGCTAAGGGCTGGGAGGAGATCTGCTCGAACGCGCGGATGTAAGTCTCATATGCCAATGACTTCCACCGGCCAGCAATTCGAATTATTTCGGGGTCGACTTTCTTTGCAAGGTAAAATGATGCGCCGCCTATGCGAAACGAATGACCGAATGGTGTGCCCCACCCCCACGCTCTCAAAATCAAGTTGATCCGCTCTAAAGCTCGAACTCTCACCATCGGGCGAATCTCACCCCTACTATCGCGCCATGAAAACAAAGGGTCATCTGCGAGGGCAGGAACGACCATTGTCAGATTGCGGAGAGCTGCCAGCGGACATAAATCTCCCTGTTCGGTGAGAAAAACAGACTGCGTTTCCCCGGCTTGCGCTGTTTTCGCCGATGGAAGGTCGAGGCGTGCATAAGGGTTGTTCTGCAGGTCGTGGCCGAAAAACGCGTGAGCCCGTGTGAGATGTTTGGATGGGTCAAAGGCTGAGCGGGAAGTGACGGAGACTTCGCTGAATCGCATCATACCGAAGAAGGCACATGATGCCATCGCCCAAACGCAGGCGTCGAAGGGGTCAGATAATATAAGGGTAGCCTTGAGAACTGTGAGCATGGCTATAGACATAGGTGGTCGAGGGGGCTTCCGACGGTCAGCCTGGAGGTTCTCGAGCCCTCGTAAAGACCAGTTAATTCGTTCGTGGTGTGAATCTGATAATGGCGGCGGCCATCCCTGTGCAATGTGCCAAGCTTGCACGGCAGACAGGTATTTACGAGCAACCCCAACGGAGACTGGTTCAAAGCTAACTGAGCTTCCCCCTGCTGATAAAAGAGGGTCACCAGGCTCTCGATCTGTGACTGCCCACAGAGCAAAGGAGTGGAGCAATTTGAAGGATGCTGGAAGACGGTCGGATTCGGGTATTGAAAACACGTCGCAGAAGACATGAAACTTCCGCAATCCAGCATCGTAGCTGGCGGTGTCACGAAGGGCTGCCTGGTTGGCCATATCAGCGATGTGGCGAGTGATTGGGTGGTCAATGGTGGTCAATGGGGAAGAATTCATGCCTCGCCAAAGGAAAAGTCTTTCTGAGGCCTCATACAGTGCGGACAGAGGTATGAAGGGCTGATATTCAGGCAGCAGGCGAGGGAAATGGTCGGCTGATGTATGGTAAAATGTGGTGCAGTGCTATCACGACAATTGTATCAGCTTGTCTGACAATTTACAAATGGGGTGGTAAGGGCAAGTACTGGTACTGAATGGGATGCAGCAGGGAAGCCAGCTAGAAAGGCGTCTTTGACGTCGCCACGTGACAAACCGTAGATCATGACATGGCATGCAGGCAGCGGACTATCAATTTTTCCTATAATCGAAACCTCTGTCAGTCTGTGCGCAGGTTCGAACCAAGTTTTTCTCTCTCTCGGAACACACCTTGACATCCACTCATGGATGGTTTTGTCGAAGGTTCATCTAACTGGTCTTAACTAAGTGGCTACCACAACAGAATCAAAATCTGTTTCTCTTAGTGCAGGTTCGAAACTTGCCGATTGACAAGTTTTTTTTCTACTGGAACACACCTTGAAGGTTCAAACGTTCACTCATGGATGGTTTCCTCGGAGGGTTACTTCAGCTTCGTCCTGGCCACTTTGAAGTGATTACCACAACAGAATCTAAATCTGTCTCTTGGACTGTCCCAGTGCAGGTTCCAAACCTGCCGATGATTCTTTTTCTTATCGGAACATGCCTTGAAGATTCACTCATGGGTGGTTTCCTTGGAGTCCATCCTAACGGTATAAGTTATGGCCAGGTGGTTTCCACGACAGAATCAAAATCTGTCAAACCTGCTCACGACAATGTCTTTTTGCTTATCGACACACTTCGACTCAGACATTCGCTCATGGATGGTTCCCCCAGAGGCGTATCTAACCGGTCTTCGCCAAGTGGTTACCGCAACAGAATCAAAATCTGTTTCTCTTCGACTGCGCAGGTTTGAAACCTGCCGGATATCATTTTTCTATCGGATCAAACCTTGACATTGACTCATGGATGGTTCCCTTAGAGGCGCATCTAACTGGTCTTAGCCAAGTGGCAACCGCAACAGAATCAAAATCTGTTTCTCTTCGACTGCGCAGGTTTGAAACCTGCCCAACGACATTTTTCTATCGGATCCAACCTCGACATTGACTCATGGACGGTTTCCTCAGAGACGCATCTAACTGGTCTTAGCCAAGTGGTTACCGCAACAGAATCAAAATCTGTTTCTCTTCGACTGCGCAGGTTTGAAACCTGCCCAACGACATTTTTCTATCGGATCAAACCTTGACATAGACTCATGGATGCTTTCCTCAGAGACGCATCTAACTGGTCTTAGCCAAGTAGTTACCGCAACAGAATCAAAATTTGTTTCTCTTCGACTGCGCAGGTTTGAAACCTGCCCAACGACATTTTTCTGTCGGATCAAACCTCGACATTGACTCATGGATGGTTCCCCCAGAGGCGCATCTAACTGGTCTTAGCCAAGTGGCAACCGCAACAGAATCAAAATCTGTTTCTCTTCGACTGCGTAGGTTTGAAACCTGCCCAACGACATTTTTCTATCGGATCAAACCTTGACATTGACTCATAGATGGTTTCCTCAGAGGCGCATTTAACTGGTCTTAATCAAGTGGTTACCTCAACAGAATCAAAATCTGTTTCTCTTCGACTGCGCAGGTTTGAAACCTGGCGAATGTCATTTTTCTGTCGGATCAAACCTTGACATTGACTCATGGACGGTTTCCTCAGAGGCGCATTTAACTGGTCTTAGCCAAGTGGTTACCACAACAGAGTCAAAATCTGTTTCTCCTGGAGTTGGTTCGAAACCTACTGACAACGTTTTTGTGGTGTATAGATCCTTGAAGGTCCATCTTGATTAGGCCCAGTCATCGTACCGAAACCTCTTTTTATGTGATAGTCTCCATGAAAATGGATTCAATTTCGTGCCTCGCGATAGTTTCAGCTTTTCCTCGGAAAGTTTTCCAGTTATCATCCATAACTTACGGGCGTTCGAGAAAGCTCGAGGAGCTGGTTCGATTTTCGATGAAAGATGGAACAGTGATGCGTACGTACAGTACCAATAGTAAATTACTCTGCAATGTGTAATGGAAAGACAGCTAGTGCACTACATTCTTCCTTCCTGTTCCCGCTTTGCGGTGGGTTGATTTGCCCAGACCAGATTCTACCCTCCACACAGAAGATTGCTCCGATCATTTCACGCGTTACACACCGTCGCCCGTTGAGACCTGTCCGCGTTCCTGGAAAGCAATTGTACTCATACCAGTACCCTCGTCAGAACTGGCCACGAGTTTCGCGTGGTATTCTCGAATGCCAAGGATGAGACGCGGTCCCAGCACAAACATCTGAATAGGCTGGGCAATTTGAAGAATACCGAAATAGATCATGTTACTTGTCGGGGAAGATGAGTACTGTATTAGAAATGATGAGGAGTAGATGAATCAGTCGCAGTTCAGCGCACCATGAGCGTCGGAGACAGTGAGCCAATGTTAAGGCAGGACACAACAGCAAAGCTAGCACACGCGGAACTTCAGTGGAACAGGACAATAATATGCAAAATAACCGAGCTCACCCTACAAAGTCCAGCACGTGACCTTTTATTAACACCATGAAAGAGTCTCCTCCTGTTGGCGTTTGTCGCACTTCACAGAAGTGTTTTATAACAATCCAGAGTGCAAGGCACAAGGCGAGGATCTCCCAAATAAGAGTGGGTATCAAAGTCTCGTGAGTCAGAAGCATAGCTGCTGTATCGGTGTATTCGTTGAAACACTGAGAGATGCCAGAAAGGATGAACAACTCTGTTATTCGTCCATGAGTCTCATACATGAAGTTCGATGGATTCACCCATCATCATTATTAAAACTTACCCCATAAAACATGATTGTTTCCTATTGCGGTCATCACTCCAGTGGCGACTGTGCAAGCCAGTAAGAGTACAACGAGAAAGTTGAGCATCTTTTGAGATCGCTGATACATGGCATGTATCCGAGCCATCATGATGACTAGCGCAGTAATTCAGTGAAGTCGACGTAAAAGAGGTGTTGCAGCTGAGTAGCTCACCACCGAGCATGGAATTGATGATGACGGGTATCCATGACTGTGCAAAGTGAAGGGTAGCGCCTGAAGAACTCCAGTTAGTGATGCGCACCGGTGGACTTGATACTTCAAGTGAACTCACAGCTGTCGAAGTCGTTATGAAGAAACAAGCCGGTTGAGAGTATCACTCACCCCTATGTAGAAGAACAGTTAGTTGTTGAACGAGAATTGCAAAAAATGATGCAGGATACGCACTGCATCTGTCATTGAAACTGGCACGATACTTGCTACATGACACCAGTCAAAGGAGATAAATACAGGATATGCGAATGTACATACACAGTACGCCCCCACTGATTGCAAGAGAGAACGCCTATTAGCACGGTGTATTGCCAACTTGCTAGGATTTCGAACATACACATAAAACGGTATTCCAACATAGCGAACCTAACATATTTTGAAGTCAATGCAGCTTGCCAACTACGCTTATAACATGATCTACGCACACTGATGTATAGGACAGTCATAAGAGACCAACGTTGCCTCTGCCCCGAACTAACCGTCAGATCGTGTTGTGCTTGTGAGTCATGTAGACTGCTCACCCAGACCAATTCGAACTGTTGAAGGACTCTTAGTGAGATAGCCGCGTCAGTAATGACTTCGCCTTACCTCTTGCGCGAATGTCAGTACTTGGGTACCATGTAGATATCAATGATTGCCGCAATAAGAGTAGCTCGCTCACCCCAATCATATACCACTGCAGTAGAGGATGCAACTGTGAAATCACAGCCAAAGATGAAATGAGATGGAGTGAATGTCGTCTGACGTGCTTTCCATGCCACGTACCTATAAAATAGCTCATACCACGTTCCCAATTGATCAGCGGCCACCAAGCTGGATCATCTGATATGATAGTCATGTTGGAATCGGCGTACTTGGTAAATATGTAGTAGTGGCGTTTGCACAAAGATACACCACCACCGAGTCCAGCTCTTTTTTAGCCGCGTAAAACTGTATTTCCGTTGCTTGAATTGGAATCCCGATTGATGGCAGCATGCAACTATGGTCGAATGAAATCAAGTAGAAGTAGTTCCAGAATCTTTAAATTACAAATTTCGGGGATTTTGGATCCGGATGCCATGGAATACTTGATCATGACATCGGTAATAAAAACCTGTTCGTGATGGGACTTGTTTCAAGAGTCAATACCGCGTGCTCGAGAGGCTCTGTATCACTTTCATCAGATACCATGCAGTTATTAACCCAATGCAGACCAATTACAGAACTTCCCTATATCTAAGCTGTGTATGACACAGAAATAGACTGATCCTACAGCATCATGATGGAGACTCATGTGCAAGGATAATCAGCTAACCAGAATAAGTCACTGCAATCGACTGCACCGTGTAGTGAACGGGAAATGTTGATGGATATTCTCTTCTGTCGTCAGATCATAATACATGGTCGTAGTATACGGTATACAGCCATATGGGTGATTGTGCGATTGAAGTAAAGTGCTCAAAAAGTGCTGCGGCAAAGTAGGAGGACGACACAGCCACAATTGCCCTTTATATTAGCTTCCCCTAGGCAGATGGGATAGAATCAGATAGACAATCATTTTAGGTCAGGATAAACTTCAAAAGCAGCTGATGACAGTCACTCATGCATATGGATGGTTTCGTTGAATGTTCATCTTAACTGGTCTTAGCCAAATGGTTACCGCAACAGAATCAAAATCTGTTTCTCTTCGGCTGCGCAGGTTTGAAACCTGCCAAGTGACATTTTTCTGTCGGATCAAACCTTGACATTGACTCATGGATGGTTTCCTCAGAGGCGCCTTTAAGTGGTCTTACCCAAGTGGTTACCGCAACAGAATCAAAATCTGTTTCTCTTCGACTGCGCAGGTTTGAAACCTGCCGAATGTCATTTTGCTATCGGATCAAACCTTGACATTGACTCATGGATGCTTTCCTCAGAGACGCATCTAACTGGTCTTAGCCAAGTGGTTACCAGAACACAGTCAAAATCTGTTTCTCCTGGAGTTGGTTCGAAACCTACTGACAACATTTTTTATCCTTGGAGGTCCATCTTGACTAGGCCCAGTCATCGTGCCGAAACCTCTTTTTTATGTGATAGTCTCTCCATGGACATGAATTCGATTTCATGCCCCGCAATGGTTTCAGCTTTTCCTTGGAAAGTTTTCCAGTTATCATTCATAACTTACAGGCGTTCGAGAAAGCTCGAGGAGCTGGTTCGATTTTCGATGAAAGATGGAACCGTGACGCGTACTGGTATCATACAGTACCAATAGTAAATTACTCTACAACGTGTAACAGAAAGACAGCTAAATTCTTCCTTCCTGTTCCCGCTTTGCAGTGGGTTGGTTTGCCCAGATCAAATTCTATCCTCCATACAGAAGATTGCTCCAATCATTGCACGCGTTACACACCGTCGCCCGTTGAGACTCGTCCGCGTTCCTGAAAAGCAATTGTACTCATACCAGTACCCTCGTCAGAACTGACCACGAGTTTCGCGTGATATTCACGAATGCCAAGGATGAGACGCGGTCCCAGCACAAACATCTGAATAGGCTGGACGAATTGAAGAATGCCGAAATAAATAGTGCTTGCCGCGGAAATCGAGTACTGTATTAGAAGTGATGAGGAGTAGATGAATCAATCCCAGTTCAGCGCACCATGAACGCCGGAGACAGTGAGCCAATGTTAAAGCAGGACACAGCGGCAAAGCTAGCACACGCGGAACTTCAGTGTGAACAAGACAATGATATCCAAATAACCGAACTCGCCCTACAAAGTTTAGCACGTGACCTTTTATTAACACCATGAAAGAGTCTCCTCCTGTTGGCGTTTGTCGCACTTCACAGAAGTGTTTTATAACAATCCAGAGTGCAAGACACAAGGCGAGGATCTCCCAAATAAGAGTGGGTATCAAAGTCTCGTGACTCAGAAGTATAGCTGCTGGGTTGGTGTATTGTGTGAAACACTGAGAGATGCCAGAAATGATGAGCTCCTCTGTTATTCGTCCATGAGTCTCATACATGAAGTTCAATGGATTCACCCATAATCATTATTAAAACTTACGCTTTGAAACATAACTATTTCCTATTGCAGTCATCACTCCAGTGGCGACTGTGCAAGCCAGTAAGAGTACAACGAGAAAGATAAGCATCTTTCGAGATCGCTGATACATGGCATATATCCGAGTCATCATGATTACTTGCGCAGTATTTCAGTGAAGTCAACGTAAAAGAGGTGTTGCAGCTGCGTAGCTCACCACCGAGTATGGCATTGACGATGACAGGTATCCATGACTGTGCAAAGTGAAGGGTAGTGCCTGAAGAACTCCAGTTAGTAACGCGCACTGGGGGACTCGATACTTCGAATGAACTCACAGCTGTCGAAGTCATTATGAAGAAACAAGCCGGGTGAGAATATCCCTCACCCCTATGTAGAAGAACAGTTAGTTGTTGAACGAGAATTGCAAAAATTGATGCAGGATACGCACTGTATCTGTCATTGAGACTGGCACGATACTTGCTACATGACACTAGTCAGAGGAGATGAATACAGTATATGTGAATGTACATACACAGTACGCCCCCACTGATTGCAAGAGAGAACCTGAGAGATCACCTATTAGCACGGTGTATTGCCAACTTGCTAGGATTTTCGAACATACACATAAAATGGTATTCCAACATAGCGAACCTAACATATTTTCAAGTCAGTGCAGCTTGCCAACTACGCCTATAACATACGCACACTGATGTATAGGACAGTTATGAAAGACCAGCGTTGCCTCTGCCCCGAACTAATCGTCAGATCATGTTGTACTTATAAGTCATGTAGACTGCTCACCCAGACCAATTCGAACTGTCGAAGGATTCTTAGTGAGATGGCTGCACCAGTAATGACATCGACTTACCTCTTGTGCGAATGTCAGTGCTTGGGTACCATATGGATATCAATGATTGCCGCAGTAAGAGTAGCTCGCTCACCCCCATCATATACCACTGCAGTCACGGATGCAACTGTAAAATCACAGCCAAAGATGGAGTGAGATGGAGTGAATGTCGTCTGACATGCTTTCCATTCCACGTACCTACGAAATAGTTTATATCAAGTTCCCACTTGATCATCGACCACCAAGCTGGATCATCTGATATGATAGTCATGTTGGAATCGGCGTAATTGGTAAATGTGTAGTAGTGGCGTTTGCACCACCACCGAGTCCAGCACTTTTGTAGCCGCGTAAAACTGGATTTCCGTTGCTTGAATTGGAATCCTGGGCTTGAAGGCCTGATTGATGGCAGCATGCAACTATTAACATTGTCGAATGAAATCAAGTAGAATGGGAAGTAGATTCTACAAATAGAATCAAAGTACAATTTTCGCAGATCTTGGATCTAGATGCAGGGAATGACATCGGTAAAACATGTTCGTGGTGGGACTTGTTTCAACAATCAAGATGTAGTTAATATTATTAACCCAATGCAGACCAATTACAGAACTTCCCTATATCTAAGCTGTGCATGACAGAGAATAGATCGATCATGCATCATGATGGAGACTCACTGGTAGGGTTGAGCACGGGTGGACCCGCGGGTCGCTGGACCCACACCGTACCCGTACCCGCACACACCGCACCCGCTACGGTACGGGTGTACACCGACCCGCCAATTCTACGGGTATGTTTGCGGTATACCGCGGGTTTTTCACAGACCCGCGGGTCGTATAGCATTTTCGAGTCCTGGAGATGGCAAACACCTCCGATTCTCATCTATATTTTTGTCTGCACAGGGGAAGAAGTGGTAAACACGACCATTCACGCGCACAGCAACATGATTGGTGTCAAAAAATGCATAGACAAGTAAACGCCAATTCTTCTTGAGTTTTTCTGTATTGAATTGGTAAGGCACTGACATAGTATAGTAGTATCAGCAGAGGTCTTGCGAAGTTCCGAATCCAGGTGCTTTTCGTTGTCAGACTCCGTCGTCGCCGTGTCAATAGCATTGACATCAATTATCGATGGCTCGGGCGACGATGACGGTGATATCGAAGACGATTTTGACAAGCATGATTGAGTGGAAGACTCGTCAGCCTTCTTCAAGCGGCGCACAATCCACTGGATCATCAGCATAACCAACGCAAAAGGTTGTCACCTCGAATCGACATTGCTACTCGACGAACCTGCGGTCGAAGCTTCGAAAGTATGGGTGGATGTAGATTTCATGTTCTGGGGACGAGTGACATGGTGACGACAGCTCCGAGTCCGGCTCGGGAGGTTTAAAATTTTGACCCTCGCACCCTCGGACAAGCTGAGGGTTCCACACCCGTCCAACACCGCAAACCGCCACGGGTAAGCACGGTGTACGTGCGGGTCTCCATAACCTACACCGTACCCGTACCCGCCACACCCATCAGCGATACACCGCGGTTTTACCCGTACCCGTGCTCTACTCGACTCACTGGCATGTGCAAGGATCAAAGCAGCTTCACGAACCGCCAAGATCATTCAAGTCACTGCAGTCGACTGCACCGTGTAGTGATCGGGTAATGTTGATGGAAATTTTCTTTTGTCATCAGATCATAACACATGGTCGTACAGCAGGCGATGATGGGATTGAAGTAAAGTGCTGCGGCAAAGTTGGAGGACGGCACAGCCACAGTTGCCCTTGATATTAGCTTCCCCTAGGCAGATGGAATAGAATCAATAGATAATCATTTTAGGTCAGGACAAACTTCAAAAGTAGTTGATGAGTGAAACTGAACGCCCTGGAGAATTGAAGAGCCACTCTCAGATCGTTTTACCCATGCGTCGAACAGGACTCGGACTGAAGTCACAGTACATTTCATCGTGCATGTATGGATAGGAAGTGGGCACTGGCAGTGATTTTGGCCAGTAGCGATGCGATGATCCCATAGCCGCATGCAGACCAAATAAAAGGAAAAGAATCTACGTAGTGATACAACATGTCATTGGTTTGTCCAAAGTAAATTATATCCTACAAACCACTTCGAAAAAATATCAAACAAATACCATGAAGAAGGACCGAATAACACACAACTGAACTTTTACTATGTGCAGTGCACAGTACCACGGCGTAGTTGATCACTTGGAGCGTTTCCCATGCTACACACTACCAGCGCCGGTTGATGCGTGTCCATGTGCATAGAAATCCATTGTAGTGAAGTAAGTTCCTTCGTCGGAGCTCGCCACAAGCTGAGCATGGTATTCTCGAAGGCTAAGGATGAGACGTGGTCCCAGCACAAACATTTGCATGGCCTGGGCAACTTCGCCGATACCATAATAAAAACTGACTCCCACAGAGAAGGACTTTAGAAATGATTAGCAGTATGCAGGTAACAGTCATCAATTGGCGTACCGAGAGATTTGGAGACAGCGTGCCGAGGTTGAAGCAAGACACAACAACAAAGCTAGCACATCCAGAACTTCAGCAAGGTAATAATATCAAAATCACTTGAACTCACGTTGCAAAGTAGAGCATATGACTCTTCATTAATACCGTGAAACAGTCTCTAATGTTCGCCCCTGTCGGTGACTTTTGTAGTTCGCGGAAGTGCTTGATAACAATCCAGACTGCAAGACACAAGGCAAGGATCTCCCATATAGTGGTGGGTACCGCAGTCTCGGCATTCAGAATCGTGTCCTCTGCGCTCATATTTTCGTAACACTGATGGATGCCAGAAAAGTTTTTCTCCACTGATACTCGTGCATGAGTCCTGAGGATTTCATTCATAATTCAAGCTTACCTCCTGAAACACCAATGTTTCCTATCACCACCATAACCACAGAGGCAATCGTACAAGCCAGTAAGACTACAAGGAGGAAGATGAGTATCCTTTTAGATCCCTGGTACATAGCATGTATCCGAGTTGTCATGATGACTTGCAAAAATTTCAGTCAAGTTAATATCATTAGGTACCGTACTCACCTCCCAGCATGGCATTGATTATGGTAGGCGTCCATGCCTGTATGAACCAAATAGTGTTGCCTGACAACCAAGAGTTACGATGTGCATTGTTTAAATAAATGCTTCAAATCAACTCACAGCTGTTGAAGTCGTTAACTTGAAGGCAAAAGCTAGCGGAGAATATCACTCACCCCTGCGTAGGGGTGCAGTTAGTAGTTGAATGGGAACGGCAGGCACCGGTGAAGAATACCCACTGCATCTGTAATTGAGACCGGGAAATCCGCTGCATGCCATCAGTCAGAAGAAACGAACATATGTGAGCACACATACCCAGTATGTAGACGCTGTGAGAGATGGCTTATCAGTACAGTGCAATATCATCTGGTTAGCATTGAAAACACACATTGAAAATAGTATTCCAGTGTAGCGAATCTAGCATATGGTAAATTCAGCACGACTTGGCAACCACATCTATGATATCAAATACGTACGCAAACATAGAGAACGTTCATGAGAGAGCGGGGTCGCCTCTGCCTCGAATCAAATATGTTATCCCATTTGCTTCTAATATAGGACTTTGCTCACCCATATCAGCTCGAACTATTAAAGCATTCTTAGTAAGATGGGTGTACAGGTAATGGGATCAACTTGCCTCTTGTGCAAACGTCAGTACTTGAAAAAAGTTCAAATCAATTGGTCCCCTCCAAAAGTATTATCTTGCTCACCCCAATCATATACCACCGCGGTCAAGGACGCAACTGTGAAATCACGGTCAATGGCACTGAGATATCACCAACATCACGGGATGAACCTATAAAATAGTTGTATCTACGACTCCATTCGAGATACGGCCAATTAGAGGGATCGTTCGAGAGGTAGGTCATATTGGGGGGACTTGGTGAACGATGGCGTTTGTGTAGGTATTCGCCATCCAGCGTTTTTTATAGTGATCAGGCTAGATATACGTTCTTAAATCAAAACCTTGATTGACCGCAGCAGTAATTGTCATATGAAATCAAGTAGAACGGGGACGGAGTTCGAGAATCCATCAGTGAAATCCACATACGTATTTTTTGAATCTATAACACGCGAAGCAAAAGAACGTGCTGCCAAGTCGTTCTCGAGGAAAATTTCGCATCCGTTCCATCAGTGAGAACGTAGTCACCAATCAAACGCAGAGCAAACTGCAGAACCTTAGTTATGCAGGGTGGAAAACGGACCTTTCATGATGGAGATTTTCGATGATCAAAATAACTTTTGCGACGATCAAGAGGCAGACTGCCGTCGGGAACAACCGAGTCGCTGTCGACTTCGGCGCACGCACTGGGGAATATTGAGAACTTTTCCTTTGCACCATACGATCATAGCGTGGTGACATACCATCAGCGCGATGTTTAAATTCTCGCAAGACTCGAAGAACTCTGCTTACGAGCCAATTCTCCAAGACTGAGTGAAGAAAAGCACCTCCAGAAGTGACGTCATGTGTAACAGATGCTAATTCACCGTGGGTGGTGAGCCTGTGAACAGAATCAATTAATGGATGGATGGGCAGTGGGCACCAGTCGAACATGGATTCCTTGGTTAAATCCGGGATGATCGTGTCTTTTTGATCGCAGATTCTCCGTTATGGCCGGACGCGCAGACTTGGCTGAAGCGAATGAATATGTATGGATATGATAAAACGACGCACATTCGAGAGATAGCGCGACTGAGAAGACATACGAGCTCGACGAGGACCCATGGTAGATTTGCCGGGGCAATTATAGCAGCTAGTGAATGTATGAGGCAACGAATATACCACTTCACCCGTTTAGAGAGGTCACTTTGAAAAGAAATAAACCTCTTGTGCTGACCCGAAATAACGAGACGGAACGTAACGGCGTTGACACAAAGTGCGAAGACAATAGTGAATTGCTCTGCAACATGCCATAGACTATGGAGCTGGAGCACTGAGCCGCAATGCTTCTCGTGCAGCTTCCCTCTTCGCGGCCTGCAGTGTCCACATCCACTTCAAATCGCGCTCAACCTTTTCCTTCCTCGCGCGTCGCCTTCGCTTGTTCAAATGACCCCAATCTTCCCCAACACCAACGTCGGCTGCCGTGAGCCGAGGCAATCCTAATAATTCCGACTTCGAGAGAGTAGAGGCGGGCAAGGGCTTAGGTGGAGGAGGGGGCGTCGCCATTCTCCACAACCAAGTGTTTCTCGGTGCAGCGAGTAATACAGCCTGTTCCTTCCGCGCAGCTTTGGTCACCGTCTGAAGCCGGTGGTCAATTTCCGCTTGCGAAAGCGTTCGCTTGGTGCAGAACTTTTCGACCCCTTTCGAATTGACTAGGTCCGGAAGCACCACTCTCTTCAAATACCTGCGTTATGAGACTGAGTGTATTGATCAAGACCTATATCGATGTCAACTTACTGTAGAGACCGTACGGGATGCTCTGGATGGGGCGGTCGAGTAGAAGGTTGCCTTGTTATTCCACGCACGATAGTTGAATGCTCTTTCTTCGGCACATTGTGCTCTGGCGACTTATCTGAGACAATTTGGATCGCTGTTTGTTTCAAAGCCAAATTGTAGATGTCCTTGGTTGACAATGGCGTTGTCGATGAAGCAACTATACTGCGCACGAGCTCACGCGCCGAAGGCAAGCAATGGCGTGGCCATAGGTTTTTTCGAAATGAAGGAATGGTGGCCATGATTTTGACGTGCAACTTGAAGAATTGCGCAAGAACTTCAAGTTGCCAAACTCAAACAATGATCTGCTGACTAAGATCGGTAACGCATCCCCGAACAGCCCCGAACCCGTTCTGCATTTTATTTGTATGCTATAAGTACATGATATATACGTAGATACTACCCTGCTCAATTTCGGTCTCGTGGAACGGACTGAGGAAAGAAGGAAAACAGAGAAAAGCGTGGAATACCAACGTTCAAACTTCCATACTCCGCGTCGCGTCGTCACATGGACATCCCGTGCATTAACACTCCTCGACGCGGCTCGCATCTCCTCGACTTCATCACCAGAGTCCCAGATTTAATGATTAGCGCGCAATCGTTCGTGGTCCTTAGCTACTACCTTTGTGAATACATGGTCGAACATATGTTGTCGTAGTGATACTCGTTCACGAATTGAGTGATATGCCATATACTTATATCGGTATGTTTCACGTGAGCATGGAAGGATGAATCTTCGGTGAGGAAGATAGCACTATTGTTATCGCACATGAGAGGTGACACAGAGGATTGAATAAACCCAAGCTCAAGTACGAGAGTGCGAAGCCATTTGATTTCCTTTCTAGCCTCAGATGCCGCCATATATTTCGCCTCGCAAGTGGACAGTAATAATCTCTTTATGAGACGAAGAGCAGAGATAAGAACGGGCAGACACTGTCGTGACATATGAACATTTCCCGGCCTAGTGCGAACTGTGAATGCAAACAAGGATCAGCATCGGATCCGATGATAAGTTGATAACGTAGTGACGTACCTAGGCCAGATTCTACTAGTAAGGTCTTTCAAGTTGTCGAGAATGCAATTCTTCATGACTGTGTCGAGAAAAGCACCTTTGAAAGTCGAAGCCGCAAATCACCTTTGCTTGCGAATGTGTCATCGAAACTTGTTGTATGTTTTTGACCTTTGAATTTTGAAGGTTGCTCGTCTGGAGCCGCTTTGGGTATAATTCTGAATCTGATTATTTGCATAAATGATGGCGGTACTCGCTTCTGGGAGAACTGTATGCAAGGCAGTGATAGTTTTAGGATGGAAGGAAAATTGTGTGCTAGGGTGACCAAGTTGTAGGAAACGTTGGTAGATGAACTAAAGGCATTCAGGACATGCACGACGTCGGAGTTGTTTCCATGGAGTGCGCCGAAATGATAGGACAGGGCGGCTATGCTCACACTGTCGAGCCTACGTGGCGTTGGAGCGGCAGCTCCAGCCAGTGCTGATGGTCGATGATGCAAGATGATGTGCTTTCATGTGTCTACTGCTGTGCCTCTAATGTCTCCTCTATGCTGACTAAGCTCTCGAACCTCCGCAAAACCTCCGCTCCTACGATCCTCCTGCTAGGGGTGCCCCACTCCAAGTGCCCCCCTAAAAAAAAACCGGCGGCGTCCTCGTCGCCGTTTGCTAGTCTCCTCCTTGTGCCTTCTCGTCGTCTACTCTTTGCTTCTCTGCTGCTCTTCGTTCTCTTCCTCTTCGCTTTCTGCTAAGTCTTCTTCCTCTTGTTCTGATTCTTCTTCGTCGTCGTGGTTCTCTGTCACTTTGGTGCGTTCTTCTTCGTCTCGTTCTTCATCTTCCTTCTGCTTCGTTGGTCGTTCCTCAAACTCCTTCTGTTCTTCTGCCAATTTGGTTCCTTCTTGCAGTGCGAACGACCTTAGTCGTCTTGCATGAAATTCTCCCACTATCTCATCTCCTTTTAACGTTTCCAATTTATACGAGTTGCGAAGTTGCCGGGTGATTTGATGTGGTGGTGACCATTTGGGTAATAGCTTGCGTGTTGCGTCGAATGTGTAATCGAGACTACTGCGATAGAACTGAACTAATTGTCCTTGATAGAAGACTACCTCACCTGGTTTCCGTTCAAGAACCCTCTTATCAAAGGCCGCTTTATGTTTGATCGCGTGCTGAACTGCAGCGTCGTAACCGTCGAGCTGTTGTTGCGCCACATAGGCCATCTGTGTGCTAGTGTCTGATGTGCGTATTGCCGATGTGCTGTTGCTAAGATCTGTGCGAGGTGTGTTGACGACCTGCCCAAGTAACAGTTCTTTTGGTGAGAACTTTAATGCTGGGAGTATACGGTGGTTGAGGGCTGTTATAGCGTCGTCTAGGTGGTCCGGCCAATTAAGGGGAAGTTTGTCCCATGACAATCCTTTGTAATTGTCCTCTCCTAGATTCGGAGCGCATAACCTCTTCAGCACGTGCAATAGGATTTTGTTCGTGCCCTCAACTAATCCGTTGATCCATGGTGAGTACGCGGCCACTACGTGAGTATTACAATTCCACTTAGCACAAAAATTCCTAACGATCTTGTTGTTGAAGTGTTTCCCACCGTCTGACATGAAGGTTTCTGAGGCTGTAAAATTCTGAAAGATGTGCGTCAGCCCTTGAACTGTGGTTACCGCTGTCCCTGATTTGCACTTGAATACCCAAATATGTTGAGAGAATGTGTCTAGGTACACCCCTAGGGTGTTGTATCCTCTGGCCTTCGGTAATGTGAGATAGTCTCCTACTAGAAGTTTGAATGGGTGCCGCCGCGTTATCAGTTCTAGTAATGAGTGAAGGTGAGGCGTACTGAAGTTTTTGCATCTGCTACAATCACTTATTACCGTCATGATGGATGCGTCCAATCTTGGGCTATATATGTGGTCTGTTAGCGCGATCTTGACTGCATCTTGTCCCCAGTGTCCGCCTTCTTCATGTTGCTTCCTGGCTAGTTCTCGAGCCTCTTCTCGCGTGACACATTCGACTCTGCTGTGTGCTCTTGCCATGGTACCTCCTCGTAGCCGCCATAATTTCCCTTCATCAATCATATATTGGGACGCCCTGTGCCTAGCTCGTTTCTGTTCCCGGACTTCCTTTCCTTGGTCGATCTGCAGCATGGCCTTGATGACCTCTAGGAACACTGGTTCTTCGGTGAATCGTTGCACAAGTTGTGATGCTACAGAATCATCAATGTTAGTGGTGATTTGTAGGAGATCGTTGACCAAACCCGAATTGGACTCCCAGTCTTCACTGACAGTCCATTCACTTCTGTCCAACAGTCCGATGTCTCGTTGGTGTCCTTCCCATTGCCTGCTTAGTCCGTCTGCAATAACATTGAGCTTCCCCGGGACATGTCTGACGTCAACTATATTGTGGGCCAGTATACCGTCTCTCCATCGTGCGTGAGCTGCATTTAGGCGGTTGCTGATAAGTACGTCTTTGAGTGCCTGACAGTCCGTTTCGATTTCGACTGGGAATCCCCATATGGTATCTGAGAATTTATCTAGTCCAAATTTCAGTGCGGCGAATTCTAAGAGAAATGGCTTATAGTTTTGTTCAGTTGAGGACGTGCGTTTCGAAGCAAATCCTATTGGGTGCAGTCTTTCGGTCCATTTTCCTGATGGACTTTGAGTACGAGTCCGTTGGGATAACACCGCTGCAAAGCCCTCTGCGCATCCGTCCGATGTGACAACGAAGTTCGAGCCATCATACTTCGGGGCTTGTAAGATCGGCTTCGATATGAGGGCTGCTTTGAGATCGAGGAGGGCCTTTGTGTGCTTTTCCTCCCATATACCTTGCAGTTTGAAACCTCGTAGAATGCGTCTATACGAGTTTTTCGTGTACGGTGTTGTCAAAGGTGCTGCCTTAACAAGGTCGCGCAGTGGGCCTTCACGTAACGAGTAACTTTGTATGAGGTCCCTAAAATGACTAGTTAGCCCCAAGAAGGATTCAAGATTCAATGCGTCCGGAGGCTGTTCCCAATTGACTACTGCTGTCAGTTTGGCAAGATCTGGTTGTACACCTTGTGGCCCTACAGTAGCGCCCGCAAATGTTGTCTCTGTCATGAATAAACGGCATTTTGTAGGAGATAATGAGATTGAGTGTTCACGACACCTTTGAAATATACGTTCTAACTTGTCCATCATTTCATCGAAGCTATTTGCTGCGCATCCACCGTCATCAACAAACAGTTCCATGGTATCATCCGCTAGCATGTCGTGGAGATTGCTTCCTGTCATTTCCGAGAATGTTGAAGGGGCACCGGTGAGTCCCATGGGCATTCTCTTGTACCAGAAATAGCCACGGCCCTCGACGTAAAACGCTGTATATGGTCGTGATTCCTGTGGGACTTCAACAGCGTAGAAACCGGATGCAAAGTCAAACACTGATACGTACTTATGTCCGCTGAGGCGCAGCTGTTTTGCTCGAATGTCTCCTTGGGGCATTGGGGTGATGTTAGTAACACGATTTACCTCGTTAAAGTTTTGACAGATCCTCCATTTCTGCGGTTTTGCTTCGGACTTTACCTTATCGGGGCCTTCTTGTACTTCGCGTTCCGGTAGAGTGAATGCCGGAGGTTGGCCATGTTGCAGGCATTGCTCATTTACCTGCGCGTTGTAGTTCCTCGAGCGTCATGCCCTCCTGCTCGTGTGCTTTTTTGGTGAGGACTGTGCTTGCGCAACATTTGACGGCTTCTGGAGGTGCGTGTTCTATGATTCCGGCCTCTAGCATCTCATCTACTTTCCCGTGTAGAAATTGCAGCTGTGGGGGTGTTAGTGGGCGTTGGTGGACTCGCAAATTGAAGGTTGTTCTGTCTGGTATATTCAGGCGATGAACCGCACCTGGTACCGGTAAGACTTCTCCTAGCGAACATGCGAATATATCAGCATATTTTGAGACTAAAGCTTTTACCTTTTCTTGTTCTTCTGCAGTGAGGTCTTGACCGTACTGAACTCGCTTGACGATCCATATCGTTCGAAGTGGATTATGCGGTTGTGTGAGTCTAGTGAAGATTGCCTTGTCATCCATAAGAAAATCGGTAGGGACGTCCCTAAGGACGGAGTCGAGTTCCTCTTCTGGTATTGGACCGTCATTCGTGCTGATGCATATGGGTACCGTATATTCGATGGGTTTTGGTGTTGATGACTCTTCCTGGTGGGTGATTAGCTTGTTCTTTTGTCTCGTTTGACGATGGGTCATTGACTCGCCTCAAGGGGGGTTCTATCCCCCCCATTTCCTGATTCCTGCTTTTCCACTGTTCGAACTTCCTGTTCTTCGACTCCAATGGTGCTGTTATTCGGCGTTTGGTTGTAAAGGGTCGTTGTACCACCAATGCCTGAGACCTGGACTTCATCGACCTTATAATCATGCACGGCCTTGAACGCATGTAGTAACGGCTTTCCAAATAGGAACTTCCACCCTCCTCCACTTTGCAGTACCTCAAACTCTCCCTGTGCCTTAATTCCTCCGATGATTACTTCACCTCTCCACACTGCCTCTGATTGGACGACCGTTCCATTCGCCATTCGGAGTCGTTTCATTGATGGGCCCCAATTTCCTAATTGATGCTTGACTCGCTTGAAGACTGATGCGCACATGACGCTTGTCATTGCGCCTTCATCAAATAATGCTTGAACTCTGATTATTTCTCCGTGCGGTCCAACGAATGATGTGAACTGTAAGAATGGTGTGCAGAGTTGGTCTTTGCGCTTGTTGCTCTTAGCGTCTTCTGTCGAATACAGGTCCACGACATCACATTGCTCAACCGATGCTGGTACAATGGTAGATTCTATGTCTATGCATGTTTCGACGGCGCTGATGGGGTGGTCCTCGTATGTTGCCTCTTCACATACGAGGACAGGTTGTCCGGCCGTTTGAGGTGTCATCCTGTTGTGGGTCATCTGGTGTTCCTCTACACTGATGACCCTTGGCCTTTTCCCTGATCCCACTGCTGCACGTATTCATCTTCAAATGCTACTGTCAATTTGAACTGCATTGCCACGGTTGAAGTTTCCTAACATCTTTGCTGCGATGCTACGCCAAATCTTCTCCTGTATGGTGAGTTGTGATGCTTCCGGAATGCGACAGTCTGCTGCCATGTGTCCATGAGCTCCGCATTTGAAACATTCTCCCGAGCAAATCATGGCACTCCCCGGCCAAAGGGGGAATGGGGTGCTTTCTGTGACTCTGCCGTCCGGACCATGCTTCGAGAACCACTGTTTGATCTGCTCTTCATACGCTGTTCTGCCATTGTCCGTATCTGCCTGGTGCATCAACTCCTCGGTGCAATTGCGCATTAATTCACGCTCTTCTGGTGTAAGAGGTTGGCGTTGACGAAAGGATGGACGTATGTTAGGTGATGAACCTCTAGGTGCGTAGTGAATGCAAGGTGACTGGTTGAATGATGGGTATGCGGCGTTTGGCATTGCCTGTCCCGCTTGGCTGGGCTCGATGCTCAGTGCATTGGAGTTGTAGCCTCATTACTTCCACGGCGTCTGTCTGGATGCTTTCGAGTCTGGCTAGCCGGGCGTTCTGTGTCTTCTCGATCTCTCTCTTCTTCTTCACTCCTTCCAGCCTTCTCTCGCAACTTGTTCATATCGATGTTCTTAATTTCGTCCAGAAATTTCTGCCATTCTGCTAGACCGGGTGTAGTGAGTTCCTTCATGACGGTTGGTAAGTTTTCTCGAACTTGGTACACAAGTCCCATCGTTGTGGCTACTCCTGCTTCACTGACAAGCTGTTGAAGATTGTTGTGGAACTTGAGATGCGCCCAGGTGGCTACTCCTGCCACCAGTTATCTGCGTTCCAACCTCCTCATCTGTTAGGTGCGTAACGCTAAGATCTTGCGTTGATAGTCTAGTCCTATCTTTTCAGCGACTGGGATTGCGGGCCAGCATTCCATAAACGCTGTCTTCACATCTGCCCAGGTAGTCTTCTTCGAACTGTCTAGTTTGATCCACCATGTATCTGCCATCGATCCCGCAGATAACAGAGTGCTGAACACCATGACTTTCCCTGCTTCTGTCTTTAGATCGTTCAGCACGATGTACCTATCCACGTCCCGAAGGAAGTTCTGGGCATTTTCATCTGCCTTTCCGTGAAACCAGTTAGGTGTGTTGCCTGCCATCCTTTTCTTTGCTGGGAGTGGCGTTGACGGTTTTACTGGTGCTTTAGTTATGAACTGTGGCTTGACTGGGTTATTCACGGTTGGCGGTTTGGTGAGTGTGATAGGTGGGGCTGGCCACGATAAGGGTTGGAATGGGAGCATTAAGGTCGAGCTCGCTTTCAACAGTTCTGGGCTTTCCTCGAAGGTTGGGAGCGTGTTTTCGTCTGGGTTCGGGGCTCCTGTCAAGGATTCCCGGTCTTCTTCTGCCTCTTCTTCTTCTGCCCAGCCTAGTTGTTTCTGGACTTCGCAGGATTCGTGTTCTGAATCCGAGGTGTTGGCTGCTAGCTCGCTGGTTCTGAGTTCTGGTGTGTCTAATGGAGAGGATTCAGCTGAGGTTGCAGTGGAAGAGCTAGTAGAAAGGTTGGACGATTTCTTTCTAGCTGTGAATCGTCCGTTGGGCGCTCGTAGGATTTTGGGGGGCATTTTTGCGTTGTTGTCTTGGGCTTTGTACGTTCTTTTGGGAAAATAGTGCGTTTTCGGTGCTTTCTACACGTGTTCTCTGATGGTTCTATTGTCGTTCTAGATGCGTCCTCGTTGTCGTTCGTTGCGGTGCGTTTCGGTGCGTTTTTGACTAATTAGTCTATCTTGTGACACCTGATAGATCTTTCTGATGCGAAGATCAAATCCCACTCTCTCACCACGATGGAGCGGCAGCTCCAGCCAGTGCTGATGGTCGATGATGCAAGATGATGTGCTTTCATGTGTCTACTGCTGTGCCTCTAATGTCTCCTCTATGCTGACTAAGCTCTCGAAGCCTCCGCAAAACCTCCGCTCCTACGATCCTCCTGCTAGGGGCGCCCCACTCCAGCGTGTTGCATGAGATATCAGCCTGATGGAGAGGAATGGAACTACATACGAGATGTGATTCATCCTGCATAATGTCTGAGTTCGCGAGTCAGAAACTCATCAGGCGAACAAATACCATTGTTGAGCATCAATTACAGCGTAAAGAGTTCCTTGATTCGATCCTATCTCACCGTCCCAAGCGATCATTAACATTGTCTGTAACAGATTTTGAGCGCAATGCAGGACGAACGATCAATGACCGACCTTGTGAGCGGTGTCGTGGATGACATATATTAAGCTGAAAATAGCAGCTGAGTTGAAGGCAGGGTTGAGAGCCTTGCGTTGCCTGATGAATGAGAGAATGACTTGGATTTAGTTCAGCACGACTTGAAGGTCATAACTCCAACCTTTTGTGATTTTCGCCATTGGCCCACAATACTCCCCTTCCAACATGTCAGTCACAGAAGCGCACCATCATCTCATAGCTGTGCAAAGAAATGAGATATCGCCTTCTAGTCCCATAGTACGACCCTGGACAGTCCCAAGACGTGGGGCACCTTGTGAACCGGTCCGTACTCCCTGGCCTGATGTTCGTACAGTTCAGTGACAATAATGGTAGAATTATTCACTGTCTTGGTGAAGCCAAACAACCAACTTGGGCTCTAAGGTCCTCGTATGCGTGTCGTTCATTTTCTTTGACGATACACTGCAGGAGATAGAGGGACACCAGTATCGAAACCAGAATGCATGTTGTTGAGCCCATCAGGGCCATGCGACGTAAAGGTCCTTGAAGACAAACCATATGTCCCTACCGCGGTGCTTGGGATGCGACCATCACCAATAAGTAAGCACTTAAGTACTATGGTAGCAACGGGTGATTGAGATGCTGAACTCATATCTCATGGGGGGCCGGGGTGAATATGACGTGGTCGTGACGCGACGTGTGCGGCGCGTTCGAAATAAATTCCAAATGCTTTTGATCTTGATTGTTGATGAATGTCCGAATTTGCGTACAGGCCCCGGAGTGATGAAATGCACATCTAGATCTAGATCTCACCACATTTACAACGTATATCCTCCACATGCATAAACCTTAAGGATGGGTTATACCTTGGAATCGGACCATTGAACCAGACGTTGCGTTCGGTTCAGCGATTTTGCTGAACGCTGGACCGAACGTGTTTGAACGCATTCAATACGTTCGGTTCACATTCGATTCGGCGTTCAAACGCTGAACGCGTCCGCAATCCATGAAGAAAGAAAGTGCATACAGCGTGTGTCTGCGCATGTAGAATCACAGTGAGGCCATAGAGACGACGAGCAGAGTGTAGAGACCTAAGAGGCCCATTCAGCATATGGTTTGAAGCGCAACAATCATATGGGAGATAGACGAGGACTTGGTTAGCGGTGAGGTCTGCAAGGAGTGCGGCACCTGGAGTTAAAATGTTGGCCATGAGAGGGCAGGAGTGCACGATGGTGCAGTGGTGGTGGTGGGCGTGGCATGGCGACTCGACTCGATCAGCATGCAAAATAACGAAAGTGCGATGGCACACATACCTGATCTCTAACACTAAAACTCAATCGATACCAATCTATCTTCCTGCTTGAACCTATAATGGCAGCGATTCGGTTTTAGACTAGGTGATGTTACATTTAGCGTTGTGTTTTGGAGCGAGCAAGTCCATAAGAGCCTTGACAGCATTACCAGTGTTGGGTTCTACACATAGATCATTAGAAAAACTCACCCAAGAGCCTCATCAACAAGACGACTAAGCAAATTGTATGCTTTAAAGTAAAGACTACCATAGACAGTGTCACATACCAATGACTAGCTTAATGACCGAAGGAATGAAGCCATTGCAGACCAATGTAATAAGCCGAGTCACCGAAGAGAGAAGAACAGCTAGCAGATGCCTAAGACGTGAGAGTGCAAAGAACCTAGGGTTGTTAGTAAGTAACCCAGCAGGCTTGATTGGACCATACCGTGCGAAATCATTGAGATTACTTTTGGTCAGCATCGGTCATGTAATGACACGGTGACGCGAACACGTTCGACTATAATTCGACTGGAAGATCTATATAGTACTTTCAAACGTTCAAGCTTGACTGAAGCTCTGCAAGCCAGCAGATCTGGATGAACCTTGGAGATATTGCGCTTGGTCACCGATCATCGATGCAGGTCGTTGATCATCATCGGTCATGGTGACGGGCCAACAGATTCGGAGATCTACTTTCAAACGTTCAAACTTTCAGGCTCTCAAGCTCTGCAAGCCAGTAGATCTGGATGGACCGTGGGAAATCGTGGCCCATCCACCAGTCATGTAATGACGCTGTGACGCGAACTTGGACACGTTCGAGAAAGTACTTTCAAACGTTTAACGTTTAAACTCCCTGAAGCTCAATTGGGAGTATCAAACGTAGATCTGAACCCTCGATTCAGTTCATCCAAAGTCCGAATTGCGGTGAGTGAAGACCGAACTTTTCCATCGTTGCCCATACTCCCAGTAGCTCTCTGAACTTAGTTCATCAGTCTTTGTTGCGAGTTGGCTTCGCAAGGCGTTATTTTGTTCCACAGTGCACACCAAATTGCCGGTGGACATCGGTTCACAAGATAGATCTTATGAGGTGGCAATATGTTTGCTAGCATCGACCTTGCTTCGGAAGGTGATATCTTGTTCCACGCCAAATTGCCAATAGACCTTGCTTCACAAGGTAGACGTTAGGGTGGAAATCGTCTAGAATTGCAAGTACATCAGTCCGAAAGGGGGTTTCAGGTGGACTTGGTTCTCCTACATAAAGAACAGTATACAGCACGTAAAGGCAAGACATCTTCCTACTTTCCACTTCAGATTTATCTGAGCTCATACTAGTATCACATCCTCACGAACAATGCGTTTCGCCTTTGTCCTCGCCGTTGTCGCTGCTGTAATATCTGCCACTGAGGCTGCCAGCGAGGGCTGTCCTTTCTTCTGCTTTTATGATCACCAGTGCAAAGGCTGCCTTAGCGCACAGGATTGTGTGAGTATGAGTATTTTGTATTACACCAAATAACTCACCAGCGTGGTAGTCCTTCTTCATGTGCTCCGAAGGGGTCCCCTGTGCGCCGTGCGGGTGATTGTTGAGTTCGAGGGGGAATCAAGATCAAGATCGAGATGAGTTGATAGATGAGCGACGGTTACCTTAATCTAGGAGCGAGGAACCGATCATGTCAGAGCCAAAGGTCTAGAACCGAATCGTACTAGCGGCGCTGGGAACGCCGGTCCCCGACTCCAAGAAAAGATGATGGATTGGCAGCAAACAGTATATTGATATACAAAAAAATTCGACTCTTCGAGTATGTACAACGGTCAGGCACTTCGTAGATCAAATGCTGCAAGTACTGCAAATTTCACAAGAGTATCTGAGTGTAACTACCATCGTCAGTTTCCAGCTCCATGTCGAAGATGTCTTGACTTTTCGTTGGAATCTTCGAGTTCCTAGCAGGTGGCTGGCCTTTGAGCCCGTCAGTAGCCTTTCTTTTGCCGGGCCCGCTCACCTCTGATCACCAGAAATGTCACTTTTTCTATATAAAAAAATCTAATTAACCATTAAAATATTCAAGGTAAAATACCCTATGTATGACATTACTAACTACTAGGAACGGGGGACACCTGTGTCCCCCACCGCGTCTCCGACTTCGCAAATGCCCTGGTGGAGGGGTGACCTCCACCAGTCCGCCGTTCCTGCCGGCCGTTTTAGATGCGCAAGTCTTCCGATTCGCGAGACCATTGCTGCGCAGTTCGTGGTATGAAGGTCCCTGGCGTGTGTTGTGGATGATACAAGTACTAGAAATGTCACTTGTTGTATGTTTTTTGCGCTTTGAATTTTAAAGGCTCAGCACGCCTGTTTGAAGCGACTTTAGCTATGATTTTGAATCTGATCATCCAGCAAAATCGTTAACTTGTAATGGACTCTGTGTTCAATGTATGCCAATACATTGCGGCACAAATCGTCCATCCCGTCATGCTGTGCTGCGTTTGCGATCCACGCGGCGGCTCGGTGTCAATTGCGTTCGCCCCATTGCATGCCGCTTTCAAAGTTGCTCTTCAACGTTGCAACCTTGTTTTCACTTTCGCGACACTAGTCAGCTGTATTACTTACAACACCTAGTCTTATGCCTAGAATTCTACCTATTACGCTTTGATGCGCTGTCTGACTTGCATGCTGTGACCAACGCCGCCGTCACCAACGGCGACACTGTAGACAAGGCTCAGATCCTGTCCTGCAACTCACTGGTGTCCGTTCCTTGTGGTAATACATGCACATACTCACCTCGTCTACGTCTACTTTCTTGTCCCCCTCGCCTCTACTCATGGCTGACTGCCCCGGGCCGAGGCGGCCTTGGATCTTACTTGAACCTGCCTTAGGTGGGTCCTCGTATGCCCTTCTTTCAATCACTTACTCGGAGAGCTTTTCCCCTTCCATGCCCGCTGGCTGATGTGTAGTGGTGATGCACCTGCTACTGGGCCCGCTTCCGCATCCACCGTCATCTGTGGCGGTAAGTCACATACGCGTTCCCCACACACTACCGCCTCTGCCTCCTTCCCCACCCCTACAGCATGGTGCTGAGGCTATAATTGTGACTCCTGGATGACCAATCGATATACCGGAGATGCAAAGGACCTCTTTGCTGCTCATTATTCGCGGTGCGTCTTCCAGTAGAACCATCTAGTATATTGAAGGCAGCAGGCCAGCGCATGCGGCTACTCGTTCTTCCCATGACGCGATCCCAGGTATTCCAAGCATACTCAGTCCGGGTGAAGCGCACGGAGACTTGTTCAGACACAGGCACCGGTACCGTACCTTCTCACCACGCAGGGCGCTGATTAGCGGAACTTGCATACACAACTATTCTCCTCTCCGCCTCGCCTATACTTCATTCACAGTCCCCATATCTCTTCCCTCCATTGTATCCTACCAGGACTCAGCCCATCCTTCACCCTCCGTGTCGTCGATGAAGATGAAGATCACGACGACGGCCTATACTATAGACTTTAATGCATTGGAAAGTTACATTGCACATACTATTACTTGTTCACCATTCGCTCCGACTTGAAGGTAGCGGGACCCCGAGGAATGATATCATTTGGAGTTTGTGTCACAAGGGCATTTCTTGAAATGTAATACTTGGACGAGAAGGGCTTTTTTTCTCGTTGGTGTCATTAATGATCCACCGTTGTCAGACTATCCAATACTATCTCGACAACAGGCACAATGATTCAGGTTTGTAATTTGAAGATAGAAGTGATAGCACTTGATAATGATAACGGAATTTGGAGCTTGTGTTACATGGGTATTTCTTAGAAGATAATACCTCAAGAGAAGACAAAATTTTCTCGTCGGTGCGATCAGTGAACCACCCGTGTCAGACTATCCAATACTGTCTCAACAGCAAGCATGATGATTCAGCGTTGTAGCTTAAATAAGGACATATCACAATATGAAGTTTTCAGTGGTGCTCGTCCCTCGGCTAGCGCAAAAAAAAAACGCTAATGTAGGCTACGCGGCATCAACCTTAACGCTCTCACCCGTTTGTGTGACTTGTTGCACGACTTCACTCACAGCCGAACCGTTACCGCGCTTTTGTGCACTAGTAACAACCTCCAGCACGCTCGCTAGGCCCGCCTTCCACGCAACAAGACGCCTTTCCAGCGCCTCCCATTGCTCTCGCTCAAAACGTGCGCGCTGACGAGCGGTAGATGCGTATAGACTGAGTAGTCTGCGAGAGCTTTCCCGAAAGAAGACCGGTACGATCACTGTTCGAATATTATTTGAGATAATTATAAACGACAGAATGTCAAGACATACCATCAATCGCCCACTTCTCTACTTGACTCAATTCAATCTGCAGGACCGACGCGACCTCTGAATATGGCAGGTCATGCCCGAACGTGTGCAAAACCCAGTGACGCAAATGACAGAAGACGGATCTTCTGCTCAAGCTGTGCTTGGTCGAGTTCTACAGGCCCGTGAATGGTGGCATCAATCATAATTGACCCGACTTACCATATTTTTCGAGAACAGTTGGATGGCTTTCGAGCCATGAACGAAATTCTGGTAGGCCACTATTCAAAAACAACCTGCAGAAGCGGTGAAAAGTTCGTGATCTTGTGCTGAAACAACGGCGTCCAACTTTGAACAATGGATCGAAGTCAAAGAGGGAGGGTAAGCGCAGTGCTAAGGCTATGGCATCGATAGCTGCGGATTGACCTTCAGGCGAAAGAGGATGGTAATGAAGAAACGTAGGAAAGCGTGTAATGATATGCGGTCCTCCCTGTATGAATCAAACGTCAACTACAACCCTCATCAGTCAAGCAGAATAGTACATACGGCTGGCCAGCTTGTATGAATGCATCAACCAATGGACTTGAGGAAATGACTGCGCTCTTTCCCTAGAGATATCCCATTCTTGTAGCCACTGCTCGGACATCTTTTCTGGATAGACGCAAGGTCTCGAGCTCTCCATTTGCAGCGGCGAGCTGTAGTAACGTGGTGTAAATAGATAGGCGGAGAGCAGAATTACGAGGAGTAGCATTGAACAAATTCGATAACACGCGGTACCTCACTGATGAATGCTCGGAAGGTGATGAAGCAAGAACACCCAGGAGCGAGGAGACGTAATGTTTGATCTCTGGTGAGTTGGTCGGCCATAGTGTCAGAAGGTGAGAGAAGAGAAGGTTGAAGTAACCTCGATTTCTGCATGTAAAAATCAGATCTAATTCACTGCAGAAAATACTGGGATCTCGGACGCACCTTGTTCTGATCCATCGCCCAAGCTTTTCGTCTGATCCAGCACAAAGGTTAATGCTTTCCGTCTTCTTTCCTGATCCTTTTCAATAGGTTCTTCTAACTTAATGATATCTCGAAAAGATTGCAACGCAGTAGCATGTTCATCCTCTGGGCTACTTCGAGTGGCATAATCCGCTAGCTCTTGAATCTTACTAGAGATTCAGGAATGAGTCTTCATGAAGAGAGTATAGCCATACCTGTTCTTCGAAAGTCCCTTCTGCGAACACTGACACTGAATCTACGGTAGCCATTTTGTTGACGAATTTCGGCGATGAGCATACTTTTGTGGCAAGTGCACAACTCGATAAGTTTACATAAGCAATTAAACCTTATGAGGAGTGGCCGGAAACTCCCGAGAGACGCCGGAGTCTGCGACGTGCGTCTGACAGACTAGACGTGACACAGACTGGCTAATATTTCCCGGACTTTCTGGTGCATCATGTCATTTGCAAGTCTTAAATATCAAGGCACTCCAAGGCATCAAGATCGTATGTAACTTCTACAAATCATTCCAAGGAGTCCCACTCCACAAACTATTTCCAAAACCGATACATTCTGACGATCCGAAATACATTCAACTCCCAGTTAATGGAGGAAACTGTATACCACGGCATACCAGAAAATGTGGAGGTGCGGATATCAGCAATCTCAGGCAGGGGCTTATGGGCCAAGAATTTAATCAAAGCTGGTTAGCAAATTTGTTGCAAGATCTGACTTTTGAGCCACACATCGCTTACACGATATAGGTTCTGTTATTATATCACTAAGACCTTATTCATTTGCACTTGCTAGCCGGTGTTTGGACTCGCATTGCTCCTCTTGTGCTGCCGCATCAAACTCGGGATTGTTGAGGTTGTACTGGATGCCACACAGTTCGGTATTGCAACACTGTTAGTTGCACTAATCCCATAATGAGCTTTTTCATTGGTCTAATTCCTTAGTATTAGACGTGTCAGACAAATGACTGGTCACTTCATCGACTCGAATGTTCTGCATTGAGGAAATGGGCCAAGTCAGCACCATCGAAAAACTTATCTGTCCCAAGTGATGCTGTCAGGTGCTGGGTCGAATCTTGTGGCAGAAAAAGAAGGAAGGGTTTTTGACAGTAGTTGGGTGGGTAAAAGTTTGTGTTTCATGGATCACACCGCTAACAGCACCGACAGTCAAAAGAAATCGATGCATTGCAGTCTCGTGAGTTGTATGTCACATTCAAGTGCCAAGTTATAATCGGGGTGGGATTAGATCGACATTCTTTGCAACCTCGGTTCGTTGAAAACAATACTCATCTTGCCCACTCTCTGGTTCGATATCTTGGCCTGTCTTCTCCTGGAGAGTTGTCGGAGTTTGGCATCTTATCTGCGGGCGACCTTGCTGATTTAATTTCAAGAGTAAGCACTGGTCATCAAATGATTCGAGCATTACATACTTAGTCCCTGGCAGTTTTGACGAATACTTTTGCATTAACTTCACCCTCATTGACACCAGTGGGGGTATCGGTCTCGCCGCTTGTTGCACTTTTCAACCATTCTTGTGATCCAGGTGCAGTCATAGTTTTTCCTCGGTCTTCTCGGAATTACGCGGAGGAGCCGCAGATGCAAGTCATTGCTCTTAGAGACATTTCACCCAATGAGGAGGCGAGTATAGGTCACTTTCTCGAAGCGCTTTCACTAACCAGGGATTACTATCAGATTCTGACCTCCTATATCGACACCACCCTACCTCGTTCTCTAAGACAGGCTGCATTGAAGGAGACATATGACTTCACATGCCAGTGTGAGCTATGTCATGACGACAACAAAATAGACCCTCGTGAGTCCATATGGTGTCCAAAGTCGTGTGGAGGGATGTGCCCTGCTCCTAGTGATGGTGAGGACAATCGAAACTTATACTTTAGAACTTGGTCGTTCATACACTGCATTTCTAACAGAAAGCGAGATATATCAATGTGTGAAATGCCGTGCAGTTGTGGCTACACCTGGATTTATCATAGACGCGCTTCGTATTGGACAAGAAGCATTGGAGAAGGCAACTTCCATTCAAGATACGGGTTCGTCCTCCATGTTGCGCAGGAAAGATATCTTATATTTCCTTACAGATCATGATAGGGCCTTACAGCTAACGACCAACATCATTCCGATCCTTGTGTCTGCCGGTCTGACGCCATCTTGTCACCCGCTATTGGCCTTGATAGGACTCCATAAATCATTTCTCTTGTCTTCATTGTCGGCAGACATAGCACAAGAACTGCTGGACGAGACAATCCGTACTGCAGCTAAGCACTATATGGGACTATCCGTCATACTCTGTGATGGCCACCCTGTACGTGCCGTTGCCCTCGCGGAGCTCGGGAAGCTTTTGGCCGTTGATGAACCCCGCCCCGTCACGTCACCACCCACAAATATCGCGTTCCCACCATCCGGCCCTCCGCGACTCAAAGCTGCATACGAAACACTAGTGCGTGCTAGACACGAACTGATTATCGGTTTTGGCAGAAACAACGACGGCGGTGAGCTCGGAAGAAATATTCGCGAGACAGTGGTGTCGTTAGAGAAAGAGCTTGGAGTGTGGACACAAGGCATACACAACACGCTTCAAGACTGCTCAACTCCTCACAAAAATGAATAACAATTGAGTGCGCTTTGATTTCATATGTGGTGCTTGTTAAGGCGGGTCGATGTGCTCTCTAATAATCAGCTCTTAGCTGGATCCGTGATAGCAACGTCATGATGGGTAGCAAGGCGTCACTCAACGTCTTCGGGGAGGACTGTCGACTGTTCGGCACCATGTGAGCGCTTGCAACGCCCGTTTCGAATGAACTGCGAAAACAAAACTGAGGCACTCAATTTCACATCAGTTTTTTTTTGGCTTGCCATCAAAACATATATTGCTCCTCAAGAAATAAACTGGACGAAATAAAATGCAAATTGAGATTGCTACGTGGGCCATACTCGATGTGATGCCTTGCCGCGGATTCATCATGACATTGTTATTATGGATCAATGAACGATTCAAAGTCGTTTCAAAACATTAATTTTTTTCACTTTGAATACAACTATAATATAGATAAATTGTTATCGAGTAGGACTGTTATTTTCATTTTTTGATGTCATACCGCGTCGTTAAATGCTTCTATAGCAGACAATATCTTTATGTCTGCTGTGGGAGTGCCTAATGACGCAGTATGACATCAAAAAGTTTTAAACGACATCCCTACTCAATAACGATTTTATTGATCTATAATAGCAACGTCATGATGAATCCGTGGCAAGGGGTCACCTGCCGTCACATCGCGTATGACCTGCGTAGCAATCTCCATATTGCCTGCTGTAGACGCGCCTATGACATCAAAGGGCAAAATAACATCGGGGCTGGAACTTCTTGTTGATTCCACCGTGTACGTGTCCATTGGCAACCAGATATGTTGGAATTTTTTTTGATTAGGTTCCCAACGTCTCATGGAAGAACACTTAAATGGATCCATTTGGAGCTTGTGTGCTTCTCAAGAACACCCACTTCAGCAGCATCGTCACAGATAGATCTACTCACCGTCATGTTCCCTCGCTTCTCCTCTTCTTCCCTCTATGTTCTGCTTGCCTTGACAGCCTTTGTTGCTACAAGCTGTGCTTCTGTCACGAGTAAGGCTGACTTCGCACAAAATTTAATTCTGTCGACTCACGATACGATGTGTAGACAACGGTGACGCCACTCCCACGCCCGTCCCGGTAAGGCTTGCTTTGTATCAAATCTGATCGCCTTGAATTTACGATACAATCTACCCAGAAGAATCCAGGTGGTTGTAAGACTTGCATTGTATCAAACCTCATCACATTGACCTCGTGATACAATGTACTCAGCATGCGACCCTTAATTATAATGTAAGTGCCTAGTACCAAACCTCATTATATTATGAACCTCAGATGTAATAATGCTCCCAGTACAATCGTGTAAGCCTTGTATCAAATCCATGAATTGGCCTCGCGATATTAATATTGTACACAGGACGAGACTGCTACATTTCACGTTACTGCTACCCAAGCCCCGGCTGTCTAGGTAAAGGTAAGGCTTCGATGCTTTATGCCAGGGCTCGTTATATTGACCTCATGCACCCAGGTGCTTTGTGTAAGCCTTGTTTCGTCTCAAACCCATTGCATTGACCTCTCAGTGTTAATTTTGTACACAGGCCGAAAGCTTTACAACTGCCGGTGGTGAATTGACTTTCCACTTCGTTCCTCGAAGTCACAGTCGAACTCTAAACCAGTGATGTAACAAGCACACCCAAGCCTCGATTATTCCAAAAATCTTGACTCATGTGTTTGTAGTAGTAGAAATATTGAAATTCATTTGTATCGCTTTGACAGTTTCGAGTTTTGTACGCCTCTGAACAACTTCTTTCAAACACATCATATCGCATAAGTTTCTCGCCCAGACTCGCCATGGTCTACCAGAGGATCAGTTCCGATCGAAAAGAACGTCATCGCTCTATACGTGCCTTGGAGGAAAGATGGGGATTGCCTGGCGCAATGCACATTCTATTGTTTTTGGGATATCCTCAAAAGTATGGAGCGGTAGGAAGTAAATTCTGGTAAATCCACTCACTCGTATACGCGTACGCATTTTGGATGCCTCCATCGATACCGGCAAAGCGGCGAGCCCTGCCGTCTAGGTTTTTTCAGGAACGAACGAACTTGAAATCTAATCATCCCACAGTGAAAGTCAGGGTCTGGCCAGTCCTAGTTCTTGTATATTCGAATGGATCAAAACAGTTAGTCGGACACGAGGAGTTGGAGCAGGGTGGATCGGATATTACATGTTACAGAGGGAGAGGTCAAGTCTTTTGGGATTGAGCGCTAGCGCAGGAGTATACGGCACAGAAACGCTAAATCACTACGAATGCGGACCTCCTCAGCTATTCGTAACAACCCCAGCACAGCCTGCAGGGTACCACGTCTTAAATGGAAAACTTTCCAAGGAAAGCTGAAGCCATTCGCAGCGCATGAAAGTGAATTCCTTATACTATCACATAAAAAGAGGTTTAGGCGCAATGTCTGGGCCTAAGACCTCCGAGGATCTATATACCGCAAAAATGTTGTCAGCAGGTTTCGAACAACTCCAAGAGCAACAGATTTTGTGGTAATCACTTGGCTAAGACGTGTTATATGGACCTCTGAGGAAACCATCCACAGGTCAATCTCAAGGTGTGTTCCGATAGAAAAAAACCTCTCCCTTGGCAGGTTTTGATCCTGCGCAGTGCAAGAGCAACAGATTTTGACTCTGCTGCGATAATCACCTGGCTAATGTGTTCCGATAGAGAAAAAACTCATCATGATCAGCAGGTTTCGAACCTGCACTGGCACAATTCACGGGCAGGAGGCAGATTTAGATTCTGTTGTGGTAACCAATTCGGCCAGGATGAAGTTGAGATGAACTTCCGAGGGAAACCATCATGAAGGAATCTTCAAGGCGTGTTGCAATAGAAAACAAGATCGGCAAGTTTCGAACCTGCGCAGGCCAACAGATTTCGACTCTGTTGTAGTAACCACTTCGCTAAGACCAGTTGGATGGACCTCAGGAAACCATCCATGAGTCAATGTCAAGGTGTGTTCCGTTAGAAAAAGACCTCTCCTGCGGCTGGTTTCGATCCTGCACAGTCCAAGAGAAACAGATTTTGACTCTGATGCGGTAACCACTTGGCTAATACCAGTGAGATAAATATCCGATGAAACCATCCATGAGTGAATGTCGAAGTGTGTTCCATAGGAAAAAAACATTATCATCGGCAGGTTTGACAGAGTTTGATTCTGTTGTAGAAACCACCTGGGTACAAGACGAGTTAAGATGGACCCCCAAGGAAACCATCCATGAGTGAATCTTCAAGGTATGTTCCGATAGAAAAAGAACTCATCAGCAGCAGGTTTCGAACATGCACTGGCACAATTCACTGGCAGGAGACAGATTTGGATTCTGTTGAACCACTTTGGCCAGGACGACGTTGAGATGAACCTCCGAGGAAACCATCGTGAAGGAATCATCAAGACGTGTTGCAATAGAAAACAAGATCGGCAAGTTTCGAACTTGCGCAGTCCAAGAGAAACAGATTTCAATTCTGTTGTGGTAATCCCTTGGCCAGGATGCTTCGCAAATTGGGATGAACCGCCGGAGAACTGTCCGTGAGTGAATGTCAAGGTGTGATAAGAACATTTGTCGGCAGGTTTTGAATCCGCACTACCAATGTTTCTGGTCTGCTCTGATGCCTTACCACTTGGCTAAGACTGGTCAAGATGAACGTCTGTAATACGAGTCGAAGAATTGACAGTATAGCAGTCGTTTGCCAACGCAAAATGAAAATAAAGAACTAGTTCGATGGACACAAAACATACGAGGAGTCTTGAAGCGAGTCGGGGGCTGGCGCCGGCGCCGTGATGTTGCTATATTAATAGCGGGGTCAAAAAGCGGGATCGTAGTACAGCCAATTGACAATCATGGGCTGACATTAATGTCGATAACCTCATGTGATGCATACAAGGTAATAAATACATAAACTCTCTCTCATGTGAGCACGATAAGAACCAGCTGAGGCTCGTGAGCGTCTTCGCGGCTGCTAGTCTTCTCACGCGTCTGACGCTTTGGACTCTGCTCTGATCCTCCTTAACTGACGAGGGTTTCTGAAAGGTTTACTGTTGGTAGTACGGGTTCGGAAAACATGTTGTTCTCTTACTTGTCGCACCGTCGTGCTTGGTGAGCCTTTTATCAGCATTGTCGGTTTCCTTAACGCACTCTGACAAGGACCGTAATCATACTAGTCGCGATAAGCAACAAGAGCGAGCAGAACGAATCGCATCCCTCAAACCCATCTACCATGAGCCTCTAACATCCCAAGACAAAGAGATTCTGTCTCGCTCAGTTTCGTCTCTGGTGGCTTCTGTGCAAACCTCATCCCTGTCTCCATCCGACATCCTCGTGGCCTACTCTAAGAAAAGCCCTTCAAGCGCATGCTCAGACAAACTGTCTAACTGAGGTCATGATTGCATCTGCAGAGAATTGGGCTAAAACTGCGAACCGATCAGGTCCGCTGGCAGGTGTCCCAGTCTCGCTCAAGGACCTGGTAAGCGTGAAGGGTTGGGATTCCTCCATGGGCTACTCGGCTCTTGTTGGCAAACCCATGGCCGCCGACGGCGCGTTGGTGAGGTTGCTGCGGGATGCAGGTGCCGTTCCATACGTCAAGACGAACGTTCCCAATGACTATGCTCTCATTGGAGTCGACAAACGATGTTTTTGGTTCTACCGATAATCCCCACAAGAAGGGCTACACCTCAGGAGGCTCATCAGCAGGTGAAGCCGTACTCCTTGCGCTCGGTGCAGCCAGACTCGCGATAGGCACAGATGTTGCGGGGAGCGTTCGGGCTCCTGCGCACTTCTCTGGTGTCTATTCAATCAAATCAAGTATGTATAGATTCTTGAAGCAAGGCAGCGCGTCCAGTATGCCTGGCCAGGAAGGCGTTCCCGCAACACATAGCCCTATGACCAGAACGTTGGAAGATCTAGAGACTTTCTGGCGTGCTGTGTTCCAGATGAAGCCTTGGAACTATGACTACTCAGTAACTGAAGTTTCCGAATACTAGTGCTGTGAAGTTACTTAATGATGATATAGGTTCTTAGAATTCCTTGGAGAGATGTCAAGCTTCCAGAAGATCATCCCATCAGGTGGGGTGTCCTGTGGGATGACGGTAAGTGGAGCATCTCTATGGAGTTAAACCTCAGCATATTCATGTTTGCACAAAGGGGTTGTGAAACCCTCACCTGCCTGCGCGCGAGCATTGAAAACAGTTACTGCGATACTCGAGAAGAACGGCCATGAAGTTGTCACTCTGTAGGTCAAAATTCTTCTTTTCTGAAAGTGTTTCCTATCCCCACTTCAGGAAGTGCCCGAGCCCATACGAAGGCCTTCAGATCGCGTCACAGCTCCTCCTCGCTGATGGCGGCAAGACGGCTTCCAAAAACCATCGCGTATTCGAGTCCAATGATGCTGGAATGACTTCAGCGTTCCGGGGCTTTCGTCTCCCCTACTTCGTCATGAAACTGTATGCTTGGTATTACCGCTACATACGCCGCGATCCTATCTATGCAGGTCTGATCGACACCCATTATGAGAAGACCATGCCAGAATTCTATGCTTTAATTGCGCGAAGGGAGGGACTATCGTTCTCGCTGGTTCAAAGTGTGGCGAGACGCGGAGGTCGAAGGCCGCCAGGGCGATGAGGGAGTTGACTTCATTCTTACAGTGCCAAACAGTCTTCCTGCTGTTCCTCACGGAGGGATGAGGCACGGATGGAAAGCGTGTGGGTACACGTTCCTATTCAACCTGGTATGTTCCACTCCCTGGAACAGCTCCGATCTGAAATTCACTTTGAATTTTTGAAAGCTTGATTATAGCGCGGGGGTTATGCCAATCACGCATGTGGATGCGACAGCTGATGCTCTCCCGCGTACTTTCCGTCCACGAAACGCCATCGAACGAAACTACTACCGGATGTATGATGCAAGTGCCATGGAAGGTCTCCCCGTTGGCGTGCAGATTGTAGGAAGACGGCTTGAAGAGGAGCGCGTCCTGGAGGGCATGAAACTGATCGAACGTCTAATGAGGGAGGCAGGAACTGGTTATGTCGGTTTGCCGTTGTAGAAATGTGTTTGTTTGCCAATCCTGACATGTATATCATTCATCTGTACTTCGGAGTTTTCGGAAAGAGTGACGATAAAAAGCAGACAGGAAGAGATGGGGAGCATCAGCACATTTGATTTAAATCCGGGCCCCGGGGGCCGAAGTTCCGGATGGTTCGCCCCGAAGAGATCACTTCCCAGATTCTACAAAGGCACAGATTTTCAATCGGTAGACATCTTTCTTTTTACGCGGCACGGTCGTTAAGCCATAATCTGAAAGTCCTTCAACAGGTCTGGCAGACAGCTGGAGCCATACGTCAACCATATCCGCAAGATTTCAAATGACAGCTTACCGGATCCACTGCGATGCTACCGGAAGCTGAACTCTTTCAGGAACATTTATGGATATCATATCCAGTTGCCAAGTGCCAGAACCCGATATCTTCTGGAATCGCAAAGCTGATTTGCAGCCAATTTGTTAATTGATCAATGTGGTGGATCGTGATATACCAACGCTATCGTGGTATGACTAGGGCGGTGGAATCACCTATATGATCGACTCCTCCACCAGTGACGAGATCATAGTATCTTGTTATCGATTAAGGAGGCCAAAACCCCGAGGACCGCTACCATGACAGTTGCGCTTCGGCAATGTTTAAGACGAAGCAACCACGGGAATCTAGGCTAGCGTCATCGGGGAGGCATCATCACCGTCACGGTGATCTGAATCTGGGGTGGGGGAAGGAATGCAACGGAGTCCGTGATCGCATACCTGCCAAGGTCTAAGGTACCTTGTGCCATTCATTTATCGGGTCAACTTAAATAGTAGACCATCATGATAGTGAACATTACGGGCCTAGTCTGGCGGTTTGGCTCAGACTATGATCATATATGGCGCTAGCAGCCGCAGTGCATGGGCGGCCGCAGTGCATGATGCTGTCGTTGTGGAGATCAAGAATTAAACCGCCCCACGCTGACTCCTGAGGTTATGATCATGATCACCTAGGAAACCGGATTGCCTTGGCGGTTTTCATCCGAACGTACTGCGCTGTTCAGCCTGTTCAGACTTATCATGCGCCCCCGTATTCATCAAGATCAAATCCGATAAGAATTTGATTTATCTTATCGTATCCGTACGCAGTACACCAAGCAGGAAACCTGATTCTACAAACTCGATCTTTTCTATATCAGCCAGAAATATACATATGCTGCACAAAGTACAATTAAAACTTTCACTTGAGGGCTCGTGTTCGACCATGTGGCGGTTAAGCTGTTTGATACGTTGTAAGTAGGCGCGAATGATGAAGATCCACCTTTACCCGAAAGGGTTCGGCCTTGTCCAGAGAACGCACCAGAAGATGCGGGTTGGGCATACTGGATGACAGTTGATTTGAGGGCACTAGAATATGTGTTAAAGTGCATTCACAAGAATGACAATTCGTGAACGAACGGTGGGTTAGCGCCACGGATCCTGTGCTTTTCCTCCGTGCCTACCAAGAAAATGAAGGTCGGCCTGTGAAATATGAGGACAGAAGAAACATTCCAAGATGATGAAAAACTAACATAGCAGTGACGGAGTACTCAGTGGCGAGCTCGTTCGTTCCCTCCGACAGGTCAACCTTGAGGAAGTTCGCATTGGCGTTCTCCTTGGCGAGGCCCTCAAAGAGCGGCTTGATGGTCTGGCAAGGGGCGCACCAACTTGCAGTGAAATCTATGACCTACAAGCAAACGAGTCACTTGAGTTCGAACAACTGAGGACACAGATATTTACGGTGAGCTTCTTGGGATCGCTGGTGAATTTCGCGAGCTCTTCCTTCGTGGTGATTTCAGCAACCATTATGAGACTAGATGAAGTATGTGATGTGAGAGATTGAAGAACGCTGCTCTGTGGGCAATGGCTTTATACGTGGCTGCCGGCGCTGTCGACGTTATAAGTAAGCTGCTGGCAGTTGCATGACGTGCTTGGAAAGCAACATATAAGCCAGTCACGTGAGGTCCACAGCTTTGAAGACACGCACAGCTTTGATCATTGACACTGACTGCATTTACACCTTCTTTCACTACTACCATCATCTACTCCAGCGTATTCAATCTGCCCCTTTGTACAATTTTCTGACACTCGTAACCTAGTCCATAATACAACATGTCTGGACGCGGAAAGGGCGGCAAGGTGCAGAAAATATTGGTTGGTGTCACCTTATGGCTCGCGCAGCTCAGAGTGCAATAGGGTCTCGGAAAGGTCGGTGCCAAACGTCACCGAATGATTCTTCGCAACAACATCCAGGGTATTACGAAGCCAGTGCGTAGTATGGCGTTCTATAATCATTCGCATGCTCATATTTTTCAGGCTATTCGCCGTCTTGCCCGTCGTGGTGGTGTGAAGCGTATCTCAGGTCTCAACTACGAGGAAACCCGCGGTGTCCTCAAAATTTTCTTGGAGAACGTCCTTCATGACTCCGTCACTTACACCGAACATGCTAAGCGGTGAGCCCCAGCATCAGCTTAATTCAGTGCTTGTTTTCTCATAGGAATTATAGCAAAACAGTTACTGCTCTTGATGTCGTCTATGCGCTGAAGCGGTCGGGGCGCACGTTATACGGTTTCGGTGCATGAACAAAGTATTATTATCACTTGCCACCCATATTGTACCAATAGTGACTTCGAATATTTATTTCGAATCTGATCAGTCCGGCCGTTTACCGTGTCCTGTTGGAGATCCTTTAATTTCGGGCGAGCTCGAGGTGTGTGGTTGTGCCCGGTTGTTGTATACTCAACGATAGCGACTGTCAGGATATGTCATCTTGATATAGCGCATCCAGCAAATGAGGCTCTGTTGTTGAGTGGCCTAGAGTATACTAGACTCGACGATGACCAGTCTGACGTACGTCTTTTGAGAGGCGGGGAATTTTGACGTCGTCAGGTTATATATTAAATAGCCAGGCTGGTCTTCGACGGCCTAAGAGCACACTGCGTTTGTCTGATGAATTCACGGTTTAATTCCCGATCCGAAGCATCAAACAGGCGCGTACTACTAACTAGTACTTATAATGCCCCGCATTGTTTGTCGAGCTCCACAAGTAAACAGAAGCGGCGAGGGGAACAAGATGAAATCCGGTCTATCGATATGAATAAATGGAAGACTACTACGTATGCGTAGTGGTTAATATCACGATGAATCACTACTACGTTATCGCATATCCACATACCACGGACCACGATGGAGTGCATTATTTGACCCATTGATATTATTGCAACGCCAATCCAGCGGTCCCTACATTAGAAACTTGCAGGCTGCTGAGGCTGAAACATGTGCATGATCTCCACCCCGAGCAAACGAGAAATAAACATTAAATATTAAACTGCGATTCGCGATCTAAACAGTACTAGTGTTATCAGGTGTTATCTCGTCGATCATTTACATGACCATTGACAACACAATGACATCATGGATCAACAGCTTGCGTTATGCATGAATATATGAATGAGCAAATTTTAAAGATAGTTCAAACGCCAGAGCTTGCGCCCGTCCCTCGAGATCCGGAAATTCCAGGCTAGAAGTTTTCGGCGATTAATCACACTTGTAGACGTGATGAACATCTGCCAATCACAGTGATGCGGAAGTATAGAGGAAACTTATCATACGGTCATGACGACGCCAGCATCTATTTGAGTCGTTCGAGAGGCAGTTTCAGCAGAGCAAGTGCATTCCTAGGTATCCAGACAGTAGCCTGCGATCACAAAAGTGCTACTATGATCAGACACTTATATTCAGTCAATCAATCAGTTCGTACCTTCGAAAATTCTCGTCGACACGCAGTGACATCAAAACAGTAAGAAATGGGGAAAAACAGAACAATGCTACGAAAACACAGCTAAGCAGATGATCGAACCTCATGAATTCTCCTCCACTAACTCCACCTCCACCTCCGCCTCCTCATCCATATCATGTACCTCATCCGTGATATCACTCTCGCTCTCTGGGGGTATTGGCTCTGACGGCGGGGGTTCGCTCAGGTTAAGGCTAACCTCGGGCTCCGTGGGGGAGTCCTCGACGGAGACAGATTCAGGAGATGATGGCACGGGAGGTTCCACGAAGTGGGCGACTACTGCATCTGCCTCAGGAGAAGGGTCGAGGGGTGTTTCAAGTAATTTTTCAGATTCTGGAACTGGCTCCGGTGAATCAGATTTTTCAGCAGCTACAGGCTCCTCCACAACATCAGGTTCTGTAACACCGGGCTCAACATTTTCGGTAGCTGCAGAGGCTACTGGGCTTGAAGGCTCGGCCGGGGCAGCGGTCTTTTCGTGAGGAACTATAGGCTCGACAGCTGGCTGTTCCTGAATGGTCTCAATTGTTTCAACAATTGGAATCGTCTCTATCTCGTGTTCCAGTACAGGCGGCTCAGCAGGGGCAGCTGAGCTGGTGTCCCCAAGCAACGCCAAGGATAGATCTTCCAGAGGTGGAGAGTTTGATCCGGTGACGGTTGCCACTTCGTCGACGAGCACTTCTTCGACGGGGACCTCTTCGACGTCAAACCCAAATTTGTCGGGAGGGAACTCACTCGGCTGGCTGGACCACGAGGCTTGCGAATAGCTCTCAGGCTCAGCAGATAGCGCAGTATGCAATAAAGCATCGCTTTCGGTGACACCATGGTCGCCGCCTTTTGCAAGCTCCTCTGCAACATTGTACCCCTCACTGAACACCATAGTGTCTGTGCGATTGCGTCCCAGCCGGCGTGGACTGTCGGTGCCAATCGGGCTGTCACTGGACAGTCCCGGAGGACTCTTCTCGCGAACATTCGGAGGTTGTGCTTGTTCTGCTGTAGGTGCATTTTGATCTTCCCGCTCACGCGGTGGATTGACGGCCGCTGCAAGAAGACGTGGAGGTTCGACATCCTCATCGCGTCCCTTTCTGCCCGATAGGACAGCACCTGAGGGGATGACAAGGAACTCGGTAGGGACGAGATCGAATTGACTAGTAAGTTTTAAGAAGCGGGCATAGAGCGATGATTCGGCCTCCGCTTGTTCAAAGGCTTCTCGGTGGTGGAAATACGCATGGGCAAATATTCTACCAAGCCGACGAGCAAGCGAAGAGAAGTGTCGATATGAGGTAGGAGGTATCGAAAGGCTGATTATCGCGAAAAGTACGTATGATTGATTGAGTTCGAAGGCAGGTATATCAAGAAAGATTCTATAGGACGTGATCATGACGTACCGAGATGGGAAAGCTCGAGGTGAATTTAATAGTGCGGTTGCGCTATCCAACGTATGAAGGATGTAATCAATAGCACAGCATTGCTGAGGTGACATATACAGAAGCAGTTAGAGGAACCATATTTTTTTTAAATGATATGTCAAACGAACCTCCATAGCACCGTCATTACCGTGTGCGACGCACAAATATAACCACTCTCCCGCCTTCATCTCGGGACAGGTGTTACGAGTACATTCCTGCTGCAACATTGTGATGAGGGGATGAGATAGGTCTTGTGCGAGACGTCTGATGGCCGAACACAGTTAACGCATAAAGTAACTGGGTGAAGTAAGCATGAGAGGTACCGTAGTTGTTCGTAAATCCAGCAACCTCGGTCGACTGTTACGTCGCTCTTGCGTTCAGGATTATCTGGTTTACGCTCAGAAAGATCAGGAAGATCAGAAGACTTTTCTTCGGCGTCCTTGAAAGCAGCTTTCCCCGGAAGAGACACTATTGAGTTCACATCATGGACGTCAAGACGAATAAGAAGCGAAATGTATTCTTGGAGTTGGAATGCGCTATCGAGAGAGGACAAGGACGGGAGAGTTTTGACAGGATAAAAGGAGGACACGCGTGAGCCGCGTAACGGGCGCAGTACGGCTACCGCCATGGTCAGTGACAGTGAGCTCGAGGTTATTGTCGCCGTCGAGAGCGTTGAGCGCGAATAAGCAAACGTTGTCTCACAAGTTGACTAAATTTCGTGGAAAATGACTGTGGAAATAAACTTCCACGTTAGGTCATTACCTTATAAATTTTTTTCTGAATTTGTTTATGTATCCGAACAATTGGTAATTATGGCACGCCGAGTTAGTGGCTCGGTGAAACTGCCAAAACATCCTGTACCTGTGCCACATGATCATCGGGATCTCTTCTTCCGCCCCGGACGTTTTGAAACGTCCAAGGCGTGGATATCTAACTCAAATGGTGCCTCATAATCCTTATATTTAGGGCGTCCCTTGCGAAGGTTTGCGATTGCCATCCCTCATTCATCTCTATGATCACGATGCCCGACAATCATCCACACGAGAAGAACTCAGTCACCGACCTTGAGAAGGATGCCGCGTCCACTAGTGATCTCTCTGTGGTCATCCCCGGAGACAAGCACGGATGGCTCTCCCACCCGATAGCAAGGTCCCTTCTCAGTTGGGGCGTGGAGGAGCGAGGTGGGTTTTCCTTACAACCAAAAACTCATCTAATCTTCGTTCATAGGCACTGTTCCAGTTCCTGAAGAGGAGCGGGTGGACACTCAATACTATAAGATTTTCTTCGTTTGGTTCTCAATGAACTTCAACATTCTCTCGTGAGTTTCAGAGCATTTCGACTGTCAGCTCGTTCTTACAGATAAACTAGCTTCTCTACCGGAACGCTCGGTCCAATCGCTTTCGGACTTGGACTTCGTGATTCCTGTCTCACTATCTTATTCTTTAATATCCTGGCATGCGCGTTACCTGCATATTTGTTCGTATACTTTCCTGAACGTAGATACCGGGTCATAACTTGACTTCTCTTCCACAGCAATACTTGGGGTCCTCAAACTGGTATGCGTCAGATGATTCAATCTAGATATAGCTTTGGGTATGTGTGCTTTTTTTCCATATTTGTTACTGCCTGATCCTCTTTCAAGCTACTTTGGCATTATCATACCCGCCATCCTCAATTTGATCGGCCTGTGTGGCTTCAATATCCTTAATGGTATACTCGGCGGACAGGCACTAGCTAGCGTGTCAAGTAATATGAGCTGGGAGTGCGTATGGTATCCCACAAAATCGGTTTATCTTACCTAACCCGTATCAGTGTCGGCATTGTCATTATTTTCGTCATTGCGCTCCTCGTGCGTTATCTTACGTGACTCTTGCATTCCTTTGTATTCACAATGTTCACACCTCCAGGTCTCCTTCATGGGCTATAGAGTACTCAACTGGTAAGCGGCATTCTATATTCATCACAATTCTAGTTTTACGGTTCCCAGGTACGAACGTGTTTCGTGGTTCCCAGTTCTTATCGCATTCTTGGTTGCACTTGGCGTGAGTGGCAAGAACCTGTACAACGCTCAACCGGCGGAACCTGCAACTGCTGCTACAATTCTCAGTTTCGCATCTGTCATTGCTGGATTCGTTATTACCTACTCGGCAATGGCATCCGATTTCACGATGTACTACTCGCCAAACGTTCGTCGGTAAGTTACATTTGATGCCCTGTGGCGTTACGCTTAAGTATGTTTTTCCAGGTCCAGGATCTTTTGGTATGCATATCTGGGGTACATTGTGCCTATCGTACGTCAGCCTTTTCATCCACCCTGAGCGTCTTCTGATCTATCTCCAAGGTCCTTCTCGAGTGCCTTGGAGCTGCGGCAGTCCTTGCTGCACCAAACGTTCCTAGCTGGACTGAGGGTTACGGAACGGATGGAAATGTCGGCGGCCTCTTGGAGGCGATGCTTCAGCCCGGTTGGTAACTTTGGGAAATTCCTCACCGTCCTTCTCAGTTTGAGCGTCACCGCCAACATCGCGTGCACGCTTTACTCTATTTGTTTCAATTTCCAAGTGATGGTCCCGGCCATGTCAAAAGTCCCCAGATATGTCTTCTCGATCGTTGGCACGGTAATGTCCGTCTTCCCATTTGTACTGTCTTTACTGTCATCGGCTGATCTTGAATTTTTCCCTCGGATGCTGACAGTGCATTGCCTTTATCGATCGTCGGCGCCCACAAATTCTATACGACGTTGACCAATTTCCTTTCGCTAATCGGTTACTGGGCAAGTGCGTACGGCGCCATCCTTCTGGTCGAACACCACTACTTCCGCAAAGGTGACTTTTAGCACCTATAACCACGCCATATGGAATGTTCCTGGGCGTCTGCCCTGGGGAGCAGCTGCTATTACAGCTGTCATAATGTCTTTTGCCCTAATTATACCCTGCATGAACCAGATATGGTACCAGGGCCCCATCGGCATCACCTCGGGTGACATCGGCTTCGAGATTGCATTCCCTCTTGCAGGCCTACTTTACTTGCCCCTCCGAAAGCTGGAGCTCAAATACCAAAATACCCAATATTAAGCACCTCTCGGTCGAGATAGTTGCAAGTTAAATGTACGATGGACTATGGAACGTGTACCGTCTTGCTATGCCTATATTTAAAATTTCTTACCTTAAATCACAACAATCTAGGGTCGCTCCTATTCCTCGACCATGATAACTTCCGGCTACTCGTCTCTGCTCGTACCTTCCATACTGAGATAATGTATACTCACGAACAGCTCATTGCAAATCGAAATCTCCGAGACATCACCCACGCTCCTTGTGACTCAATGCAGCCATCTCAAGGATGAAGGGCCGATCTTGTAGTATATAGCCATGGAGAAATATATCAAATTCCAGCGTCCACGCTTTCGCCCTCGTGAGTTTGAGTGAGAATAAGTGTGGAGTGTGGTTGATAGCGTGCGGCAAATTTATTGGTTCATGGAAGTATTATCACGCTTGAGAGACTGCTGTGTCGAAGCGTGGACTCGTCGCAATGCCCAGCCATGCCCGCGACGTGGCATTGGAGTGCCAAGTACAGCACGCACGGGTCCCGGTATCGTGTATACATAAATACACGTATGGGTGCCAGGAATCATCTAAAAGAGTGCAAATTCCACTGGAGCACGTGACCTGCAAGGACAACACAAGTTCAAGAGCTTCTAACTTCTAAGCTTCTAAGAGATCCCTTGATGCTAAACCACGGGGCTAGGGTTGTGCTGTTGTGGGCAGAACTCTGTCGTTCTGCCATGTGGCAGGGCATGACTGGCACTGTGGGCCAGGTAGATCGCAGAACCTCCCGGGCAAAATGTGGCAGAACTCAGGTTCCACTGGACATGCAGAACTGCGGGCAGTAGAGGCCGCCGACGTACAGTCTTCAGATTAGTGTACGTATCATAACGTGAATTGAGGTACTTATCATAACTCTTTACAACGGCTAAGTACTGCTATACTAGTAGGCCGGTTTCCTGGATATTGAAATCAGTACATCCGAGATGCTCGGCAAGCTCCGCGCTAACCATTGAGTTTGCTAAACGGGAATACTATATGGTTACGGATCATGGATGCAAAGACTTGGAACATTGGCTCGATGTTATTTTAATATCTAGTAGTCTTCCATCCATATAGACATCTCTAGTACCATCAAAAAATCGGCGATTCTGCCGCATCCGCCACACTAACATGGTTTTGCCAGTTCTGCCGACAATACTACCGTCGGCGGCGGCGTGATGGTGACGGGGCATAAGCGATCCAATTAGTAATATCATGATGGCCAAGGTAGTTTTCAAGTTGGGTTCCAACACAGTGGATATGACCGGGGTTGAAGATATCAGGTACAAGTCAGGCAATGTCGGAAGTTCTGAACTGGTGAATAATGATTGTTATCTGTAGGCGCCACTATCTGAATCAATGAATGACAATCATTGGGTGACTTCCCGTGGGCCTAAATAATCCAGGATAGAATATAATTTCACGCGTGTGCCGCGATGCCGGGTGTCATTCCGTTACGGTCTTACCCAATAAACCTTAAATCTGTAAGGGGGGTACTTATTACAGATTATTCTGACGGGAATAAACTGATTTGGACGCTTTGTGATGAGCCGAATGTCTGAACGTAACCTTGGCCAGCGGTGCCTACTTTCTATGTTTCAACATTAACGTACAACGGACAACTGGCGTCCAATCCGAAAGTTCCCTCCAGAGATTTTCACTAGCGTTCGCGGACTGCAGTAACGGCCAGCGCAGCGTTCATTATCCCGGGCACTCCACTCGGCGACCTAGTGTGGCCTAGTGCGTTACATAATTGCCGGCTTCGGATGATCTGTACAGCATAGTCTTGGCATAGTCTATTCTTTCCAGTCCAATCTGCAGGGAGATTAAAGAAAGAACAGGCTTAGCTGTAGAAGAACCTGTCAGGCTACGTGAAGCGAAAAATACGACATCCTCGTACCGTTCGACCACTTTTCTAGAAAAGAGCGCAAAGGCCGCAGTAATGACGATTCTACGCTCGCGATGTTATCCGGGTCTCGTATACCGGTCTGGGATATCGTCATTTTTATTTGCATTAATGGACAAAAAAACTTACCTTGTTGTCCCTGTCCCTTTGCAGTAATACGTAGTAAAATGATAGCACCTCTGCGATCCGAGAGGGCTCCAAGGATTTCTCAATATCGCCAGCCACCTGGACCGTCGACAAATAATCAGACGGCATCGTCCTGAACAGGATCGGTCCGAAGGATCTTATGAGCAGTGGTGACGCAAATACGTTTGGTTCTCCTGACGGTGTGGGGACCTGCAGTGCTTCTAGAACGAATCCCTTAAGAAGACCAATGGCGGCCGCCCGCATCTGAGGAAACTCCGTATCAGATGCTAGGGTTATCAAGATCTGTTGTTGTAACACAGATGGCAGTTGCGCAAGAATAAGTGCAATCAGTCGAAGACTGAAATGCCTGACGAATGGGTCAAGATGCGTGCTTGCCAAAGCGGGAAGAACTATGCATAGCGACGTGGCAAGGTCAGGTGGGAAGTCGGGCTCGGGCTGTGTGCGATCTTGCGTAACGCAGCGAAAGATAAGGAAGAGAGACTCATCGAGAGCGAAATTCATTTGAATTGAAGTCATGAGCATCGAATGCAACTTGGAGGATAGATCTTTTGGTAGGGGATAGTTTTGTTGTTCGTGAGCAAGTATAACCAAAGAACTCATTGTCGGATTATCCAAGACATCCTGTGGTGACAGGGTCATTACCCGAAGGGTAGTCTAATACGATTCAGAATATATGACATTCCACGCTTTCTCTGACTTACCAGTACGCTCAGAATGGCCTGTTCCCCTTCTTGCCACTCGGGTTCGATTGCAGAAGACAGTGTAAGACGAGGATAGTGCATCTCGAAAGCTCTGGCACATAGCGATGCCCTGATACACGGTGCACAAGCCAAAACAGTCGTGTCCAGAAGTAATCTGATAATTTTCTGCAAGTTAATGAGTCTGCAAAGCTGTCTGTCGCAAATGCTGTAGACAGACCCTCGCCTCCGCAATATTCGCTTCGCTGCCTGTTTTGAAGATCCATGTGTAGAATGCCTCCGACATGCCAGAGACCCCTGCAAGTAATGAACGCCCACTATCCCGCGTGAAGTGACTTCCTAGCGAAGAAACCGCTAAACTAACACCGGAAACCAAGGGTGAGACTACGCTCAGCGCAGTCCTCTTTCCAAGAGTTAATCTAGGTACAGCTGTGAAACCCTAAGATGTTAGCGGTCGGTCGACACCTGTAGTACGCTCACATTTTGTAGACAACATGATAACGTTGATAAGGCACTGGACAGATCCAGGAACATGCTCCTCTTCAGCTTCATCTTCATCTTCATCTTCATCTTCACGGGCTAGCTGGGTTAGCTGTTCCAGAGTTTCCTGGATGACAATCAACACCTCCTTCGGGCTGCTGTTTTCAGAAATCAAGCTAATGAGGTCAACAGCCTCTTTACGGTGGCACCGAAGGAGATCAGGCAGGACGTCGAGGGGTTCCTACAGGAAGTCCATTGAACTCCGAAATATGATAGAACAAGTTACTTACAAGAAGGGCCGGACCCCCATTATATTGAAGAATATTATCGTATACAGTCTTGAGAGATGGCTGGTGTGTTTCATCGTCAACCGCAACTGTTATTATGGCGGAGATGTCTCTGCCAATTGCCTTTGAATCGCCTTAGACAAAAATTCCAATTATGATGCGAGGTTAAATGCCTCATCGTTAAGGTCAGGCGACAGTTGTAGCGCCTTGAGCAAGGTATCCTTGGAGTTTAGAGACATTGATGCAGCGATTCATAGTAGTTCGCAGTTGCGATCGGGATCAGGTGTGCTACCGAATTTGTGTTATGTAATCGCAGTGCCACTGGGAAGGTACTTAATAGTAATAATACTATATGTAGTACTGCGTAGTCAGCCAATGAAAATCGTTCATTGTTTAGCACAGTCCCTCGGCGACTCCAGGAAGTAATGATGGATTGGAATTTGGCAGCAAACAGTTTATAGATGCACATTAAAATTATTCGCCTCCGCTAGTGCATTCTGTTTTTGTTATTTGAGCTTGACAGATTGCGAGATAATTCCTGTAATAGACATTCAGTAACAAACAAACTGAACTCATGCCAGTACTATGAGCGAGAATCTGACAGATAAACATCACCCGAAACGCTCACTCCAGCATGAAATATATAGCCCATGCCGCCAAACATGATTTGCGAGCGTATTAAATGTTTTTCAATGAGAGAGAGCCTGCTCAATAGCATGGCATAAATTGGTGAATACGCGTCTAGACTCATCAGTTCGGTTCGCTTCTCTAAATGGCACCAATATCTTCGATGATTCATTGTCGTCATATTGCTTGAAACGGTAAGGGAGGGCACACCTAGATCGTCCAATAATACGCCACGAGATTAGGCGCAGCACTTCTTCGTACAAAGAGATGGTCTCGCCAACATCTAGACGTGCACCTTGGTGATGGAAACGAAGCGTGAGAGAAACCAAAAGTATTCAGCATGGTTACGATGTTCCTCGGGGCAGAGAAAGGACTCCACGATGACATTGTATGCGCTCATTGATATCCCACCGCATTTTCAAAAGTGTGCTTCTACTGCCCGTGTAAGCTCGTGGAGGGTTCTGGAACAGTGTTGACAGCCTAGAGGACAGAGCTGAAACGAGATTCGTCAAAAGGTGGATGCCTTCATCAGATGCGTCCAAGGGAAGTTCGCTGATCGGCGGATCATATATTCCTTACCATTTCCCCTAATGCGATCCTTCAGGGTGGCCGTGTGATCGCAACCCAAGCGCATCCCAGAATAGAGAGACGGTGAAATTCATGTCTTGAAAATCCTTTCGAGCCTACCCTTGAGCTCATGTGACATTGCTGAGAGCAGCTGCGTAGTCAGTGTGGCTGACTGGACACCGGTCCAGAACGAACTCAAAATCCTCCACAGCATCGCTCAGGTGCGAGACACCACTCTTACTCATGCATTCGGAAACTCGTGCGCGGTCTGCATCCATGGGTCGAACAATCTCGCACCCAAAATTTGACTGCACTTTACGTGCTTCAAGAGCCCATAAGGCATCACTCGCATTAAGCAGTGTCTCGTCGTCCTGCCCGTAATCGTGCGCAAAGACGACCTTTGATACGGGAGCAGGGCAGGTTTCATCAATGGGTGGGAAGGTCAGCTCTACAGGAGGCTAGTACATGTGCACGAATAGGAAGCAGATCACTCACCAAATGGTTCATCTCCATGATCGAGCAGCTTGTGTCTCAAGTTTTCCAATGAGTTTCCCATGGCCATTAGCCAAGCATTCGACCGAGTTCAAAGGATGCTCCGATCTCCAGTGATGACATAGGTGGTAATCCAAAAGTAGATGATGAGTACTAGAATCGCGTCCGGGAGTCTCGGTAGAAGGTTTTACATGGTCAGAATATCACCACAAGTTGGACGGATGACTGGTGTCCAGTGTCTCCTTGAGTCGAGGTTAATGGCTACGTGAATGCCTGCGTGGATGTACCAGGAGGGCGCTTATATATTTTGTCCGCTGACGGCTGTGGGTGAAGACCATGAGATGAAATTCTGATGCATACCAAGGTTGCATCACCTTAGAGTCTGGTCAAGCGACCCTCCAAGCTGCCGGGCATGACGACGCGACATGGAGACAAGAGACTCGGAGAATTAACTCGGAGGATGGGCAGAGAAATGGCAGAATGAGGAGTTGGACAAGAAGGGATGTAAGGATATTGGGACTGTGAATCAAGCTCAAGTTCAGACGGGTGCGCAGCAGGGCATGATCATGGTTCCATGCTGTTGACGGCATGATTAGCAGTGGGTCGGTGCGAATCCCAACCGAGTACTGGTAATACGCTACAACGGGGGGAGACTCCACGGACCATGGCTAATGAAGTGGGTCAGCCTGTTAGTATCAGTGAAGTAGCCCATCATGGGCCAGGCTCGTATACGGTATGATGGCACAAGTGCAACATTGTCCTACACAACGGCAAACCCGTAACCGGCCCCCTCACCAGGCGTTCGACAATTTTCATGTGCACGAGGGGCTACAACTCACCATTCGTGTAAATGGATGTCAAAGACATGTATTTTGTTCATGCGGCCTGCAAATGGGTATAGTGATAAGTTCAATTTCGTTTCCATCGCTCCAAAAATTACTCGACATCAAGCCAGTATCAGGCTCATTTGATGATATCCATGCGTTTTCCCAATGGCTGCGTCAAATTCCTTCGTACCCTAGCCAGGTTTCCTTAAAGTGGTATGAAGTTAGCCTTAACTGTTCGAAAAAAGTTCGAGAGAAGGCTTTGAACGTTTCGGGAGTGTGATGTCCGTACGCAGCAACACCCAGTGTTAGTGATCGGGGCAACGTGATCGCTCGGTACCGAACAAGGCAGAAAATTCTTCAATGGTTGAGCTCAAGATCAACTTTGAAGCCTACTCGTACGCAAGAGGGTCGGCAACTGCGGCCTGGAAATGTTAAGTGCGTAATAAATTATCAATTAGATGATCATTAATATTATTTACAGTAATTAATTAAACTGTGCCGCCCTCAAATTCAAGTTAGCGCTGGGGCTTACTTAGATTCCATTTTCATGAATGGTCTCATGAACAAGATTTACTAACACAGGTTGCTTTGACTCTGCAGATAGTAGATTCTGGTTTAATATCATTACTCGGGCAGTCATGCGACTGCCGCAGAGTCGCATTTTAACTAGCGAGTATCTTCCTTAAAAGCCATGGCAAAATCTAAACGGTATAGATCACTTCGTCGATTTCAGCCAAGTTTTAGGGAAACCCGGCCTTGTCGGTCAACGTATCAAGTACTTGCAATATATCAGAAGACGAAGACGGACCAAATGGCGTTGGGCACGTAGTAGGCGTGATTCCAGCTTGCTATATCCTTTCTAGATGGTACTTCACCTCGGAGGTTCGTAATCTTCGGACATCTTTTATGCAGTGCAAGTGCGCCCGACTCGGAATGTCAGTCAACACAAAAACCAAGCCTAAAGATATCCCTCCGATTGAGGATTCAGTACTCAGTGCCCCCGCCGAGGGTGCCTACCGAGGGACATTAATGTTTCAATTTGTAAGTAATAATCACGATCACTGTATGCATGGCTACTCCAAGTACTTATATATGTGGCACCTTCTAACTTACTGCAGGCGATGACTCCATATGTGCTTTGAGGCTCTTAAGACAGGTATCGACATCACCGAACGTCAAGATCTTGATTCAAGTCTTGTATCATCATCAAACATATTCGCAGTCATGGTCCTATTGAGGTGTGGCCGCGGTACTAGACGGTATAAATCTTCCATGCAGCTCAAACGTGGGGAGGGAAAAGCCAAATGTCGCGTCCCCTCGGGTTTCTTGCAACACCGTGGGTCGGAGAGCTCGGAAGATTGCAATTTGCAGCAAAGTTTCACAGACTTGTATGCCCAAGAGGAAAGCTCGATCCAAACAACGCTGGAGGGGAGTTCCAATCGCAACGTAGAATGTTCGCCTACGTACATACACCGTCGGCATCGACTAAAAGTACTTTGCTGACAGAGCGGCGCCTCGGTGACTGCAATGAGATTCCGAAGTCAAGAGGTCTATCTACAGGTATAAAACTTGGCAGTTCTGCCTACTCTTCCTCAGTTCAAGTTGCCCATCAGCTCCTTGATCACCCACCGCCTCAATCACTACTTAGCCAAAGTTCGTATATCAGTCTTGCACAATGTTCATTCGTCTCTTGTCCATCACGTCTCTCTGCCTTCTCGCAATTGCCAATCCCCTTGCTCGCCGCCAGACAAGCAGCCAGTGCGACACAGGCAACATCCAGTGTTGCCAAGGGACCCAGACAGTAGGTTCCATGAAGCTAATTATCCTCCATAATTCATGCTTAAAATCCAACAATAGGCCGATGAGTACAATAAGAACGCGACGGCACATGGAGGGATTCCAATTGACATCGACATCCTCGGTCGTGTCGGTCTTAGTTGCACTCCAATCTCCGTTGTCGGCACTGGCGCTGGCGCGACCTGTTCTCAGGAGCCACTCTGCTGCAGCGACAATCAATATGTACGTATTCAGCCTTTGACTTTCATTTCGGACCTCTCAAAGTTATCTTTGCAGTACGGGCTCGTTAACATCGGCTGCACGCCCATCAACATCAACATCTGAGCTTTGAAGGTGGCGGAACGTGGTTGCAATGTGGGAGATGAGCTATGGACAGTCGTTAGTTTGTTACAGTTTTGTTCGGGCTTGAAGAGGTTCCGTATTAGCAATGTGTCGATGTTCTTTGTGTTGAGTTAACTGACAGCCACTGCTCTGTCAAAGCGAAGGATTAATTTCTTGTCATACTTGTCTGATCATTCTATATACGGGTTCTGCTGTCGAACAATCAATCAATCACGTCTCATACTGGAGTTAGAAAAAATCGAGGCTACCTCGTGTAATGGGAATTGCCTCACAACGCATTCATTGAATTGCGAAAAATCAAAACTCTACAGCCTCTTCATTTTACAGAGAAGTAGACGATATTTCCTTGTTGCATCAAGATCGCACAGTACTACAGCTGTTTTGATATTTGACATGGTGTTTCTTGAACACCTTCCCGATTGATTCCAGCATATCGTCATTGATATTTCCAAAACATGAGATTTGCTTATACGCGACCACATTAACAATGGGTGCTAAGGTTTCACACTCTCCCGTTGATCACGACCGGACAGGAAAACAGCCTTATTTTACACATGACCCTTCACATTTGAATAATATTATGAGTACAATGAATCTATGTATAATGCTTCCCTTCAATGAAGCCATGCAATTGACTACGAATTAGTGCCACCGAAATAAACAGGTAGCGCAGAATTTAGTTTACCAGCAGTCGCAAAATGTGTGCCGCCAATAATGCCAATAATCGATGGTATCTCAGGTCACCCAAACTAATGGCGATGAGAAGGTGATCAATGGGCTCAATGGGCAACTTACAAGCGAGTGCGATGACAAAGTAGAGGGTAAGGAGCATGAGACCTTCCAGATAATTGACCTTTCCGTCCCTAAAACAACTGAGTTAAATCTCGACGAGAGGGAAGTTGCCATGTGGTTAAAGGCAAACTGACATGAGCAGTAGATTGACCAGGAAGACAGATGCAAAGAGGACGGTTGTCTGAAGATTCGTTAGAAACTTGGGTAATGACGCGTAATGTAGTCTGAATAAACAGACCTCGAAGTTGTGGAAGTGCAACGTCAGGGGTTGGTCGACGCTAACAAAAAGAACAGTGAGAATGACACTTCGCGAGATGCAATACATGATCGTACATCCAACCGACGATCACAAGAGGTGGCACTACGAGGCAGGAAATTTGCTGTCCGATAGTCAGTAGTAAGTACAATAATAATCTTATGATGAACGGTCTCCGCTTACAATCGAACTCCCAACGCAAATGGAGATGGTGAGCTCGTATTTGTTCTTCATTGCCATCCAGACTGAAGTGACATGTTCTGCGGCATTACCCTGCAAACGATGTTGGTAGGCAGTTAGCCGGATACAACTTGAAACATACCACGATCGGCAACAAGATAACACCAATAAAGGCCTTCGGGATGGAATAGCGGACTGCAGTTTCCTCAATGGAGGCAACCACTGGTACAATTAAACACTGTTAACCATGAGGCCAATGGAATAAAAAGTGGGACACATACGATTTTCAGCACAAAAAGCAATAACGACAGTGACCAATAAAAGTCTAACGAACGAGGATAAGCATCCAATGTAACAAATGACGAAACCAAACTTACGCAACACCAGCAGCGGCCGTTCCCATGCGAGGCTCCGTTTCCTCCGTTTCTGCCAATGCCACCGTTACCTTACTGTTTTGTTCAGCCGTAGGTGAAGAAGGCGCGGTGAAGAGAAAGGGATGGGATTTTAACTGAACCCTTGGATGAGTACATTGAAGAAATAAGATATTAGAACATGCCTGAAACCACAGGTAGGCACAGTAAACCCCTAGGAGCAATATGGCAGTTCCCCTGGAGATGAAGAGAAGACCCGCAGTGGGACATTCATCGAGATTGTTGCAATGATTCTGCATTCCAGCGTTTGTAGTACTTGTATAGGCCGCAGGAACAACAAGCGCTATGAAATATTAGCGAAACTCTCAAGTTGAAGAAGATATTCGTACTGATGCAAAACAGAGTCATAAGCTAGACTTGGTTAGTTATCATTGCGATAAACAAATCAGATAACTTACAGAGGTAGATCTGAAAAAAAACCTTTCAATTCAACCAAGGATTTAAAGGGCAGAAAAACAGAGGACGCACGTCTGAGCTCCAGTACCGTTGAAAAATCCTTGTTTATGATATAATCCACCTATACCGAGTGAGCCCATACTCTCTTTCAAAAGCAGAGGTCCCTTACCTGCGAGAAACGAACAACCAAGGACGAGCAATATGTTTGACAAGATCGATCCAATCATCTGATCCAAGGACATTCTATCGCAAATATTGACTGTATGAAGACACTCACAGACGTCTGAACGATTCGTAATTGACCTAGGATCATCATGAGTACTTGTGGACAACTTCAGAGCGGTGGACAAACCATTGAGTAAAGCAGCAACACCAACAATGATTTCTACAGCATTCCCAAAGGATGCATTGAGGAGACCTGAGATGGTTTCGCCTAACTTGACCGATAACTGATCTGTTGCCTCGCCCAACAGCTAAAAACGACGTTGTCAGTCTTCCAAGAGTCTGATGATAGAAGTAGTTGCCACCTTAGCCAAGGGCACGATGGCCATAGAGCTAAACAAAAACACAAGGCCGACGTCCCAGTCCATATTGTGTGAGATGAAGCTTAAAGGTACAAATACGAGTAGGATATTGAACCATGTCCCAAAAATAAAGGACTTGAACGATTCTGTCCATGATGGCTCGCCCTCGCCTTTCAAGAAGTTGACAACACGAGTAAAGGGGAGGTTCCTATGACCTATATGGCCACCATTTTCGAGTAGCGGTGCAGATTCTGAACAGGACATGGATAATTGGGAGGTGTGTTGGACGGTGCGAATTTCGAACGTCCTGCAAAACACTCCTTATATTTAGTACCAACTGTGACTACAACGTCCACCTATTGATACGGTAAGCAGGGGCCAGTGGAACTGCATCCACGTCCCGATAGATTTGGTGACGTGTCACATTGTTCTGTGTAGAAGCTTCGAGCGATCTATGTGGCTGGTGTTGCCTGGGGACAATATTTATAATCAATTGATTCACAGTCAATAGCATCCCGCCTACCTTCAGACATAGGCGTACACTGGCTGGAGATGCTCGAGGTCGATATCTTCTTTTTGTGGCGTGATTTTTGGAGGCAATTGTTAAAGATTTTTTTTCAGGCCCCAGCACAGGGGATTATCCGTATGTCAGGCGCAATACCCGGCGTGATGACGCGACCTTGTTCTTTGAAAGCAGTCTCTGCTTCTGCAGCAGTAGCAATCGCCTTTGCATGATCGAACTTGAACTGCTTGGGCTCTGCACAACGTTTGGCGGTGACCTCTTCGGATGTGAGTCTTACAAGAGAACAACGAACCTTGGCCCTTCATTATTATTTACTTGTCTAGCCAACCAACTGGGACCACTCCTGGAAAGGTCTCCGTTTCCAAAGGACCAGCGGCACCATAAGAAGGTAGCATCACCAGAGCTTGAGACCCAAGCTGAGCGGGTGAGAGGGTCGAATGACGTGGTGCAATCGGGTTGAGTAGACGGGTCAGGGAGTGCCAGTCCGAGGAGTGTAATGTTGACTCTAAAAAGATCCTTAGGAATGGTGAGTCTATATTCTGGCAGTTTGTGCACGCCGCAACGAAGGCTCGAAAGACGCACTGTTTGAACAAGACATTGGGTTTATGAGCGCCATCACGGTGACGGGTTATTTGCGTCCAACTCAGAATCCAAGGCTTCCTCAGCTTCAGGCTTAACTTCACAGATCACGCTCATTCTCGGTCAATTTAGTCCTCTCGAGTTTTCACGAAGCCTGATTATTATACTGGATTGATGATTGGCGTAAATGACCTTCATGATCTCGTGCTCGCGGACATAACCATCGTAAATCCTCTTGTTGTCATCGTCTCTCTAGCCTTCGAAGAAGATAGCGGTGTCTGATGCTTTAGCATACTTCCGATTACGGGCATCATTGAGACAAGGTGAACGAACACCTGGAGAAGTTCAGAATATTGTTCCCGGGAGAAAAACGTTGGAGACTTGAATTCGGCCCTGAATTTAGTAATTATTACATAAAGCCTTCGGGTCCGACCTACTGAATTGCGGAAACCTGCCGCTTCACGATTCACGACAGGCTTTGGTCAACTTTTGGTTGATGGCCCGTTGATCAAAACTTGGTGCCACAATCAGAGCGCTTACAAGGTAAGCGCTCATCACAGCATTTTCAAGCAAAGACTTCATGTGTCCGTACGATATGCCGCAGCCGCATTGGAGAACGTTTACTAGATCATTGACAGCTATTTTCGTTCTACACTGCCCAATGTTCATTGTCAGTACTGAAAGCTACCAATATGCCCTTAACTGCACAAGAGAGAACCGCTTTGAAATCTTTGCCCAAGCGTATCCAGGTAAATCCAATTTTTGAATCTCCTGCACGATCCCAGACGATGTCAACTGGCTTTTTCCAGCGCTCAGCAGACGGAGCCCTTGAAGGCGTTGTGCATGATCTCCGCAAACTCTATATATGGGTCGATAATTCCACCGATGTCGAGGCGAACATGGCGTTGCTCCCTATCTTTTACACTCATCTGGATCCAGCTGTGATCCCCGATCAACTTCTGCCGACCGATGATGTCCAAAAAGTCGTCATCTTGGCCAAAATCTCATTGATGAGTATCGTACAAATGTGTGTTAGCTTGCGTGGAGTTCTCAATGAAAGTCTCGCGGACAAGATGATTACGGATGCACTAGTGCGACGTTGGGACACTCTCTTTCCATGGCTGCAGTTCATGTATCGGCATTTTCTACCTTTCCCGCCTCGAAGGGACCCTCCAAAAGGTTTCGACGTCTGCGATGTGGAAGCAGTCTCCATTACAACTCGTGCCCTCTCGCAGATGGCAGTCTCCGTTGCAGGACAACACCTAGTCCAGACAAACATAGCTGTTCAACAGTTCATTGCGAAGCTATGGCTTTATATTGGGAAATTGAAGGATGAGGATTTGCTCCGGCATGACGCATCTTTTCGGCATGATGGGAAGGAGGGCGTCGATGATGAAATGACGGGACACGTGAGGAGGATTATGGTCGGAATCATTACAACGTGCATGGGTGCGCTTCCAGCACCATCTGCTCTGCCTACTCTGCACAATCTACTTGACGCAATGGGTGGATACGAACCATTCGTAGCATCGGCACTACGATATATCCGGTGGTTCGGGAGGAAGATCGGTGATACGAACAATCGCACGACTCCAAATTATGGATTTGTGACCGCGATGATGGGATTTGTCGATGCTTTATCAGTCTCAGTCCGCTTTCTCTCCTTGGTCAGCATCATGGACGCTACGTGCCAAGAAGAGCTCATCTTGCGTGGCGCACCTTCGGATGTTGTGACAGCTTCACTTCAAACATGGCCGGTTCTCAGTGGTACGAGGGTCACTTCCTCAACGGAAACCTCGACTGCAGATAGATGCACTATGATCCTGGAGGATACCTTCGATTATATAGATGTGATACTGCGTCAATCAGAGGCGTGTATTCCAGCTCTATGTCAGGTCCTCGATGCCGGATTGATCCAGTTGGTGCTGCAGGGTGGGTTCCGCTGCCCGCAGATGGCCTCTGGTGTCCTCAAGCTCATTCCGCAATTTTTGATGTACCACTAAAGTATTGCACCACTTCCAAAAAGCAATGGATCGAACTGCCGATGGAATGGCTCGTCTTGGACCTCACGCAAAGAAAGACGATGAGGTGCACCAGTCATGGATTTTGGTCCAGCAAGTGGCCCGTCAGATACTCAATATCTGCAGGAAAACCAGTCCACTACCTTTTTATGAACAAAAGTGTGCGAACTTAGAGGTATGTTTGGGGTTGGCTTGATTCAGTACGCCATAGGCTTATGACGTCTCCAGTGTCCGTATGACAACGATAAACGTCCGCACTATCGGTGCTGTGGGTGTTTCGTCGCACGATATTGTTCCCGGAGTTGCCAGAGAACAGATTGGAAGAGCAGACATCGTACTGCATGCCCTGTCCTCCATTCAGCTGGTGGTTCGTCTCTCAGTTACAAATATACGACATGTACTGACCGACTTTTCAAAGGTTTTGAGGGGTCCAAACACATTCGCGGTAGTCTTCCTCTCATCATGCTTGTGGAAACTTTCAACTACTCGCTATACGCTGACCGAATACAAGAAGCCATGGAACAAGCACGAAAGGACTACCCAGAGGATATTGATCGTCTAGTTTTGGAAACAGACCTTTCAGCTTACCCAGTCACTTTCTCTGCACGACCAGTTCAACAATACGCTGATAAGTTTGACCCCCGGTTTGATCCTGTTATGCTCAAGGAGCTAAGAGGATTACCTGGAAAGCACATCCTGATGGCCCTCAAACTCAGAGCAGGCCGAGAAGAATGCGTAGTACTCAGTCCGAGGGTGGGTCTTACACTAGCTTTCCAGTGGCCGGCTGCCAAGGAAGAAGAAGCAGGTAACAATGACTATGCTTGAATGGGAAAGGCAGGATACTCAATTGCTCGTTTTTAGTGCTGTCTTCTGTTCAAGAAGCGTTGGTTTCACGCCTCGCAGTAGGTCCAGGTAACGTGATCAAAAGGGGAGAAGGCTTCAAAGTGGTAGAATACAGGCAGCAACCGATGACCCAGTCCACGACTTCGTTTAATGGATAATTTGGTTCGTCATATACCTGTTTACTGGCTTGGTTGAGAGTAAGATATGCAACATACACGTCCATACTATTTGGTCGTTAACCCTTGCTCGGCACTGGTGACTCGATGACATTGTTCAAAGTTCAAACGGTGCTTTACGCTCTCGGACGCTAGCGCCTGCTAGCTTGTATGTAAAACAGTGCTCATAATAATATAGCAATGGCGCATGCAACAGTACGACATTATACAGCAATTTTTGAAGTTTTCACCGAACAAGTAGCTGCTGAAACTAACTGCGGCGCGGAATATTGCAAGTGGCAAAACCACTTACATCATAATCATGTAACTCGAAAGATATTTGGGTCATCAATGCATCAGATTCCAATTTAGCACCACCGAATTATCACCACATGCAGCGCCCCAAGCATCAAAGAAGCTTCGAGACCATCAAACATCGTGTCTAGAATGGCGAGAAGTCCTACGATGGCGAGGAGGACCGGGCGGGAGGGCCACATAGATACTGCCGACAATGTCTGTAACAGCCTCATCAACACGACGCCCAAAGATGCTTTAATGAAACGTACCTTCGCAGCGAATATGCACGCTTTAAGCGTACTAACCCACGCAATCTTCGGTGATCGCCAGCGTAGGAAAGTGAGATAATGTACTATCAAGTCCATCGAGCCAGCCCGACGATCGGGAAGTGGGGACGGGAGACGGAGCATGGGACTTTTTCTATCCAACGTCTCAGCAACTTCTTCCAGCATGTGTTCTGTAGGCGCCAGGGGAGCATCAGGGAGAGTGTGTTCGTTCTGAACGGCATCAGACTCATCAGGTTTTCGTCGCAGTGGGATGAGAGACTTGTTGGAAGGAGGGATGGATGGCGCCACAGGATCGAACTGAGGCGTGAACTATTAACAACATGATCAAGTATGAGAGGTTGTTTGACTTACTCGTCCCTCTCGCATAGCGCCCACGATGCGCTCGCACGAGGGTCTCAAAGAGGGGTTGATGCTCAAGAGGCCCTCGAGCAATATCAGAACGAACGCGGGAGACGGCGGGACTCGAAAGATGTTACAAGTGCAGACGTTGACCGGAATCTGAGAGCTGGTCTATAACAAGATCACAAGAGGTTTTGAGTCAACCGTACCCAGTATAGCCCAAAATTTCCTGCTCTAGCTTGTCCATCTTGTCAGCTTCATTATATGCAACGGCTTCTCCTTCCGTTGCGTAGCGGTAGGGTAACTTGAAGAAAAGCATCTTGTGCAGGATCATCCCAAGAGACCACATGTCAGACTTTGAGTCAATCTGTCGGAGAAGTCCTGTGAGAGGCGATGGAAGGGACTCCGGTGAAGCGTATTCAAGACTATGCTAGATTGAGCGGGCTGGAAGTCAAGCGATGGCAACCGAATACTCACGTTCCCGTATTACCTGATCGAACGCCACTCGACCGTACCATATCTCGGGAGGTCCCAAAATCCGATAACATTGCTCGAGGGCTGCACATAACAATTTTAGCATTGGCATTACAACCGGGAAAAATGCACTTACATGAGTCTTCCTTCGTCCCAAGTCAGTAGCACGTTACCAGGCTTGAGGTCCAAATGAAGAATGGATTTATCATGCTTCAGATATCGAGCATAATCAGTATGCCAACGTTGGAACATCGATCATAACACACCAAGAAGGCTAATCCGTGCGTTACGTCGGCAAACAAACTTTGCGCTTCCTCTGCACTGATCAGATGAACAGCTTTCCATGAGGGACGATTCCCGAGGCTATTGGTTCTTTCCTCCATCTCTCGGCGCAATCGCTCGCGTTCCTCTGGTGGGGCACGCTTCATGGTACGGAATGCACGGATGCGTGCAGATGGAGTTGGATCGTCAGGGGCAGGCGATGAAGAGGATTGCATGTGCGGTAGTCCGATTGAACGTCCCAGGCGAAGGGAAATAAAATCATCCAAACTGACAGCCAATCTTCAGTACTGATGGTCATATTCTTATACTCGAGGACGACGTTACCTTCCTCCTTCCGCCCATTGCATGAGAACGCTGTGCGATCATGGTAAATCGATCATCATCGGTTAGCCTTTCCGTACTTACTGTAGGGTAGGCACTTTCGGCCCAAAAGCGGAGAACTGATAAGTTTCCAGCCATGCGTGATGATATGTTACTATATTGCGATGGTGGAGAGACTCGAGAAGTCGAATCTTGGTGGCACAATAATGTCAGTGTGCATGATGTCAGCATATCACCACAGTTGCGAACCTCGCGCAGTATGTTGAGCAGGTAAGAGTGGGACTCTCCTATTGCGATTTTCTTGACAGCAAAGTGACCTAAGATGCTCGTTCAGCACATTAAACTATTAACTGTCGCAAGCAAAATGCTAACCAAGTGGTTCCCCATCAAGGACATGCTACCCGCAGGATTTGAGAAATAGTCATATAAGGATGTAGTGCAATTCAGCAGACCTGGCAGAGATATACACTTCCATTTGCCCCCATTCCTAATCGATACTCCTCCTGAAAAAAGGCCTTGAAGTAGCCTTCTGCCATGGTTTCTGGAGGGAAAGCACCATGTCGGCTCCCACTGCCACTCGTAAGAGGGGGACTAGATGGCCTCGAGGACGTCTGATTTGCGGCAGCAAGAAGCTGAAAGTAGTTTGATGCTCGGGAATGCGATCCAGAATCGGACCGAATATCGGAAGAGCCATTTCTATCGAATCCATTGGGAAGAGGACGATGACAGCAGGGACACAACGACGAGCCTGAAAAATCTAGTGGACCAGAGGATTTGGTTATAGATAGAGCATGCGACGTTGGATTATACAACACGATCTGATTAGAGGCCTGGAAGATTGGCTGCCATTCGGGTTCCAGAGGTGCTAACGCCACAACTGGCTGGTTCGGAGAGGGTGGTTGACTTTCGTCAAACATGGTACACCGCTGAAACTAGGAAGTAGTCGAACAGCTGCGGTTCTGGATGGTCGTCGTGGTAAGAACTTGAAGTTACGTTTGCTAACAGACACTACCGGGTATAATGATACGTCAAGCAGCCCCTGCACACGACTCCACAGTTGATGTAATGTTGCTGCAAGGTCGTGCTTTATTCAATGGTATCGCACAGGCTAAAGTAATATCGGCTTCGCAAAGTAAATATCGAGAAGGTGTTTCGAGCCTGTGGAGGTGTTAAGCAAAGTCGATGATGGCATAGCAAGGGATAATCAAGCGCTATGTATACCGGTCATCGTCCAAAAAAGGAAGTCAAGCCCTGCCAAAGGAAAAAGAATTGCCAGCATCCAGATTCCAGACCCGAACAACGTTTTTCCATTGATTTCGCCGCTTGTTCCCGCCTATCTTGTTGCCCGTGGTCACGGCAACTTGTCGTCTTCGTTTGCTGTCATTCTTTGATTTTTAACAGTCATTTGAAGCTCAAGATGGGCGGCGAGCTGCATTACCTAGAAGCGCGTCAACAACAGGGAGGCCAATCTCAATCACTATCTCAAACTCAGTCTGGCTCTGTGTCAGGCTCACAGTCGCAGACTGCGTCGGGCACTACTTCCTCGTTTCTATCCATCCCCCAATCAGCCCCTGCTGGGCTTCTTACCGTCACTCAGCCCCCCCAGCAGTCGACCTCTTATTTCAAGGTTGCTCAGAACCAGTTCATTACGTTCGGATGGAATTTCAGCTACATCATAGCCACCCCCACTCACCTGACCGTTTCCGCTGTCTGTGAGAACGGAAACACGTACCCCGTTGGCCCAACCGATGGCGTTATTCCCGGAACTGCCACCAGTGTTGTTTGGGATGCGTACACCTACCAAACCTCCCATCCTAATCTGCCGCTCGCTCAGGCACAATACACCCTCAAAATTTGGGGAGACGGAGGGCCTGACGCTGTACGCGAACCAGGCGTGCTCACGCCCAACAGTGCGCTGCAATTCGCGCTGTATACGCCGCAGGCTTACACTCCCATCAACAGCGGTAAGTGATGTCTACACGACCGCCGTATTTTTACTGACTCGTCCGAAAAGGCTGGTCTTGTGCAGGTTGTTCTAGCGCCGTATCGCAGCATATTGCGCACCCCACATTCATTGCCCTCATTGCCACCTTAATGGTGATGTTCATCTCTGGCTCAGCTCTCTTGCGACGAATATAGGACACGTTGCGAATGCACGTTCAGCAGCTTGTTGCATTCCAATTTTCATGATTAGGAAACACTGTCAGTTACATCATCAGCCTCGCGTTCATGAACAGACGATACGGACCTTTGATTACAAATACTTCTGGCATTCATTTCTTGATGGACACTTTTGTTATCTCTAACTCATAAGAGTATATCAGTTCATAATGCACCCTGGGTTCGTTTTGTGGATTGGGCAGACTGATTTCCACGACGTCATTGCGTTGGCTATTTATTCAAACTAACCTCAATTGATCGCCGATCCCAGCCATATTTTCTCTTCTGCAGTGGCCTGGTAAAAATAACATCACGCAGTAGCCGCTGATTGGCGGCGCAGTGGCGGCGGGTGGCGACCGACTTTGTTCCCACTGAAACGATTAGGTGCCTAACCGAATACCACATGACTTTCGTGCAAATATTGCCTGTTACCTGCGTCTTCGTACCACCAGCCTTTGTCACATTGATGGCCTCGGACGTCCAAAGGGCCAGCCAAGTCTGATCGCGAGCTTATGACATCGATATCGGTTCATTGGTCGCAAAGCCTAGCCGTATTTTTTATTTCTATAATTGTAAATTGATTCCAGCGCTTTATCATCATTCAACCACTTAAGATATCGACAGATTTTAATGTTGGGCTGTAGAATATAACGTATGTGGTTACTTACAAGCAATCATTCTGATACCTTTTCAACTTCTAGCCTCCCGCGGACTGTCCATGTCAACATTCGTTAACTGGGATAAAACCATCTCTCTTGCGGTTGCGCAGTCCGGCACGCTTGGAAGACTCTCTTGTGTGTTGCGACGATGCCGCGACACCCAGAGCATCGGTAAGAATATGATGGTCACGGGAAGCGAAAACCAAAGTCCACGTTCATTCCATGCATTGCTGTAGTCAAGGCCGCTCGATGCTGTGAATCATCGTGGAATTGGTATCCAAGGCTGCCATCAGTCATTTAGTGCTTCTTGCTTCTGAACCTAGTTTCACCTTGCCCTCGGAGGAGGTAGAGGGGCACAAGCGCATACCAAATAGTCAATCTGGGCGGCTTTAGATGTATTAACTATCGGGTCCCGAACTTGTGGACCTGTTATCTATCCTCGCTAGCGTCTTTGACCTTCCTTTGCTTTTCGCTCTATGAACATAGCAGCATAGGACGTCACCTATCAGTCCACGTCACGTTCAAGAGAAGCTAGTTAACGACGCAGGTGAGAGACTTTCTCACTGACCCGTGCTCACGTCGGGGCAATGCAAGTCGCCGTTAAGACTTAAATACTAACATATCAACTTCATGCATCAGATCAACTCTCCCAGCAACCACCATTTTCAATGATGGTTTTGCCTGCATCGCCGGGCGCAAGAGTGTCAGTGAGCACGGATTTAAAGATAGAACCGATGGCAAAGGCGCAGAAGGGATTCTTTTCGAGCCTCTTTTCGCGCCCACCCAAGCCGTCTGCCAAAGCTGTGATAGGGCGGCCCAGAGCACTAGTGGGTAAGGATCATGAATATATATCTTGCGTGAAGTCAAGGTATTGATTATCTGCATCATTCAGCGCTCTCGCATACTCGAAGTCATCCACTGGCACCTACAAACAACTTAACACGGGTACAATCCGCTCCACAGGCCTTGACGCCGAATCTTCCTCAGTGCAGATTTAGCGCTGTCCCTGACGTTCCTCGGTTCAAGTCCATGAAAGACAATTTGCATGAACTTGGGCTCACCACTCCTGTTGTCCTTAGGCAACCTCAAATTGCGGGCAGTGAAGCAGTATTACTGTCACAGTTAGACAGGGCAGCATCTCATCAGGCGGACATGTTCTTCCAACGCTCGCTATCGTACAACATGAGTCGCACCCCGTCTGAGTCAAGGCACGAATCGTCTCGAGGAAACGCATCTGTGGCATCAGATCACGCTATGAATATCGAACTGCCAATTCTGAATATCACCTCCGCCGATGCACAGTTCGCCTCATCACCTCTCTCAGCAACAAGTTGCCCGAGCAGTGGTCAGGCTAGTCAGGTGGATCTAGTCGATAATACCACGGTGTCCATGTCTACTGCCCCTGATGAAGCCCCGCTATTTGTCCAAGGTGGTAGTAACACTTCAGATAGAGAGCCACCTATCCCATCGTTCCCATCGGTAGCAAGTAGCTCTTCTACTCCACAGTCAAAACGGAGTCGTACCAATTCATCTACTCTTCCGGGAGGGCCTCGGACAACCCCCGGTGGCTCAAGCGACCTGAACAGGCGAACTTCCGTTGCTTCCGGGCGCCCCGAGCATCATGTACCTGCAGAGCCAGTTTCCTTGTTTCCTGTAGACGAGGGATTTTTTGGTCGTCCAAAACTACCCCCACCACTCAAGATCATCCCGAAGAAGGGCAAAAAGCACCAGCGAACACAAACTCTCGCTGCCTCCCCCCCACCCACAACCATCACTCATGAACGACCTCTTACGCGAGCGTTATCCACACGCTCCCACGAAACACATCAGACGACAGCTCGCCGAGCGCCGGCTACTGAGCCAGCAGGATTGTTCCCCATACCCAACAGTTTAACGTCCAACAAATCTGCGGTCCTCACTCGGAGATCATCCGTTATCTCACATAGCAGCAGATCCGCAGCCTCCGGTCCACCCCCGGTCCGGTCAGACAATGAACTTGAACCATCACCCTTGCGCACGCAAGCACCTAATAAGCGCTCTCTATCACGAATCAACAAATCCACAGCCCCCGGTCCACCCCCGGTCCGGTCAGACAATGAACTTGAACCATCACCCTTACACACGCAAGCACCTAATAAGCGCTCGCTAGCACGAATCAACACACAAACGACAGCTACTTCGCATCGGTCTCAGTTCTCCACCACATCAGCGCCTGAGTCACTCCAAGCGAAATGGATGTGGACTCCTCCCTCAAGCTGGTCGGGTCCTTCCTCGGCTGTCTCCTCTGAAAGCGGGGATAGTTCGCACAAGAAGGCGTTTCGCTTCCGATCAAAGAGCTCATCTCGGTCTGCCTCTATATCCAAGTCTCTCTATTCATATCCAAACTCCTCATCGCCGACGCTCAGCCCGTCCGCCACAACAAGATCTGGCAAGGGGCGTGTGTCTCCAATAGTAGAAGACGGCACCGGTGTCATCGTCAAAATACAGGGACACGAAGGTGACTGGGAGGCGGCGGCGCTCAAGGATGTCATTCCTCGCCTGAGGGAAATGAAGAGTTCCGCTCCATAGAATTAGGAAGATACTTTGCAAAATCAAACAATGCAGTGCATGATAGCTTTGTCGATATGAACACTGTACCAATATTCCCATGTGTTCCATACTTCCACATTGATTGCTTAGTTTACACTTTGTTTTTACAATCGACATACACGATATGATCAAGAGATGACTGGGGGGATTTTGATGTTAAAATCTCGACTTGTCGAATTGCGTGTATGATCTGAAATAACAAAACAGAGTTCTGGCTGTTCATTGCAAATTCGGAGCTTTACCACTGCACAGCTTTGTGCAAGGGCTTTGCTTTCCAGTAGTTTGAACTGCTGTCCGCAAAATCTGACCCCGGTTCTCTCCTCGAGACGAGCAGAAAAGCGGTGCGTTCATCGCAGCGTCGCAGAGGCGTTAACGTTCAGAGACAACTCTATTGCATTTGCAAAGTGTCCAGTGGCGTCACGATGAAAACCGTGCCATAAATGATGATCTTCTGTGTCTAGACCCGTAGACGTGACAGATTGATCGCATAGTTTGATAACAGTCAATTGTTATCATCCGCAGAAGGGGCTGTGGACCTCTTGTCGTTGGAGTCAGGCATCGCGAAAATGACAGTTGCGAGCCGGAGTCACTGAAAACGCCGCCGTGAGCCACCATCCGCAGCTGTTGTCTAGTAAGTTCGACAGAGTCAGAGGAAAATTCTTGCTGTGCGGACAGTCACGTATATGCTGCAGTCAATAATATTTGGAAAGGGAGGGGTAAATGCATGTGATAATTTGTGATCGGGGTTTATTCGAGATCTGCAGAAGCTTGAGTTTGGCTTGAGTGCTGCTTATGCGAAACTGTCATGTTACAAATTACAATTGTAACGCAGCAACCAACATTCTCATTCAGCCGAGCGAGCATTGTGAGACGTATCGGTGCCGCACTGCGCGGGGGTTCGGATGAGTGTTTGTTGATTGACCTTCGGCTTACCTTGAATGGAGGTGGCAACTGGCAAATTCCACATTCGGGTGGTTTCGAAGGATCAACGGGGAAAAAAGGAATCGCGACGTAATATGTCGGACAATAATCATTCGCCTACTGGATGAAATCTGAAATAACTCAAGGACAGTGATAATGCTCCTTCGCCAGGAACTGGCCATTCAATCCATGGATCAATATTTGGATAGTAAAAGGATGCTTCTAAAGAGCAATAGATACAGCTGCGTGCTGAACTTGGTGCCGACTGCGGAGTACGCTGTGTTAAAATTTTGACTTATGTAACAGTTGTTGGGACCTACAACACGGAGACCCCGAACTCTGCCGAACTACCGACATATTCTTGACAACCACATTTATGATTTCACGCTTTTCGCTGTCCTAGACTTGTGGACTAGTCGACATCACTCCTGGAATTATGATACGCTAGAGTCCCCCTGTGAATGCTTCTCAGAACGAGAAAAATCCAGTGCAACCACAGCACACTCCACCCGCAATCCGAGGATGTATAATGAGACTGAACCTTGTGCTTGGACCGTCTGCAAGCCATTTTCAAGCATATATCCTATGGTTTTTAAGCAGGGCTCCTGTTTACATGTGCGTTGTTAATTTGTTATATGTGTATGAGTATATACTGAATGCTGTAATAGGAAGTCTTTGTACTTCCTGATGATCATTGATGGCTCCGAGCTTTCCAGGCTATCTTGGCCTATCACTCGACTGAGGTCTCCTCATAATATAATTCCATTATACTAGTGCTGTCCTACTCAGCAGTGCATGCGAGTTAAAATTCCCCAGATTGTTGTTCATGCAACCGCGTTCCCCGCCCAGCCTGGGGGCAGTGACTAGTGAAGCGGTACATTCCTCCGCTTCGACCTTACGTATCACTTGTTGGGCTGAGTGCGTCAGCCTACCAACGAGTATTCCGTTAGCATCTTCCGCCCCCCCCATGCTAGTTCTGGGGTCTGCTGCCTGGTTCAACATTGTCTTCGCGGTTTTCTAGAGGGAACCCGTATTTTCGTCGGCACTGAAAAATCACAGCCCCCGGACGCCATGTACCTTTTGGGCGCCATTCCATATCAGTCTTTGCTTCCGCCACTTCATCCTCCGAATCTTCTGCATGTGCTGTTTTGATATGTGTGGGTTGCACTGCATTTATTGACCATTTTACCGATTCCTCGAAGCCGATATTTCGTAACATCTCGTGGCCCCGTTAAATCGCGCTGTGTGGCGGTGGCTATTGGCATCTTTTAAATCACGGACCACTCGGTTTTCCCATCTTGTTTTTAAACCCATCTCTTCCACCTCATGACCTCCCCTAATTCATTGTGAGACCACAGGCTGTATATCTTAACACACTCAAAGCGTCACACGATGTATAGCTACCCTCCCCACAGTGATCAGGAGGGCTTCCCCGATTTCGGTGGCGCACCTGAATTTCATCTGCAAGCTTATTGGCACGACCAATGGCCTGAAGCGCAACAGCCGTTACAACAACAACAGTCCGAGGGTCATGGCATGGGAGATGCAATGTTAGGTCTCAACGAAGATCAAGTACGTCCACTACTCGGTATCATTTGATCTAAATATCTAACTCTCCTAACTCAGATCCCATACGCCACGGAGTTCGAAGGAATTGGACTCGCTGACGATCACATCTATGCTCCCCAGCCTCACGCGCCCCAAATGTATGCCCCCCTCGCGGGTGGTGTACCACCAAATGTACCGGTGAGTTATCAGCTGGAAGCGATGAGTACCATCATTGAGGATGATTTCCAGTATCCACAGCATTACTTCCATCAGCTTCCATTTCATGAGATGGATGACATTGGATATCTGTACCAGGCATCATTCGATACCGTGATGTCGGGTCCTGCACTGGAGCACATCAGGAACATTCCTGTAGGACCGCCCCTCTCAGAGCCCCCGTCTCACTTAACCACGACGCTGCCCCCCGCTCCACCTACAGAGCCCACAAGCCCGATGACATCAAGCTTAGGAAGCAGTCCACGGTACAGCCCGATGCCAACGTCGTACATTAGCGGTCCCTCGACACCAAGTCGATTGAATACAAGCGGTGTGATCATGCACAGCCACTCTCCAGCAACGCCCCTAAACAGGGCGTCTCAGAGCCCAGGCTTCTGCGGCCCGGATTCTATGACAGGAACGGGCTCCCGGCAATCCCCGATTTCTCCGTCGCAAAAGCGGCCCTTGGAATATTCAGCAGATGATGTGCTGGTGTGTAATATCTTGGATTTTGTATGAATATCATTAACAACATCATGCAGCATGGACGGAGGGTTGCACCGCGTCACGCCGGCGCCTCCAACGTCCACTCTTCACCGTCGCCCGGAGGGATTAGTCCAGCTGCCTTACCGATCTCGTCAAGCGTTCCTGGCCGAGGTCCGACGGTCCCCCAACAGTTGTACAATGTAGGGACCACGCATGCTTTTCATTTCACCACCGGAAGTGGAATGCCAGTCGTTTTCAATGTCGCAGAGGGAGCCGGTATCCCTCTGCAACTGTTGCTGCATCGGCAGACAATCCAACTCCAGGGAGGTAATGATAGCATCTCAGACATGTCCGGAGATACAATCTCCATTCGCATTGAGGTAAAGGATCTGTCTTGTTGAAATACTCGCCAAGCGTTGCTTACGAAAATTGATGTGATCTACCAGTGGCCGGGCTACAAATCATTCACGAAGCAAATAGCTTCAAAGGACTGGAAGAAAACAAGGTCGCCTAACACACGCGAAAGGTTGGCGATGAAAGTTGCGGGCGCCGTCCAATCTTTCTTCAAGGTCAGTCTATTAAGAGCATAATATTTGAAGTTTACTCACCCCTAAACAGAAACATGCGAACACTCCATGCGATCCCCCGGATTCGAGATGGCGTATCGGTCCTAATGGAATCCGCTTCGAGGATCTCGCCCTTGTCTCACTACACCGCGTGTCACAAGGAAGTTGGCAGCCCAAACTGTGTCTTCTTCATAACGATTCTCAGCAGTGATATACCCTTCGTTTGACATGTATGCCGTTTTACCCTCCGGCTATCTCTGATTGACACATGTCCTCGCAGATGTCATTCAAGCATTTTTATGTTTGCACCCTGATTTTATATTAGGCATCGAGCATATTATCAAGCATATCTTCATCAAGCATTTGTTCTCATTTTCTCATTTTCAATCACGCAGCCAGTTTGGTCTGGTCATCATGGTGGTATCATTCTAAACCATCCGGGCATTGCATTCGGGTGCTTACACACTCGACATCAAATTTTTATCGCAATTTGTGGATAGAATGGCATAGTTTTCTTATGTATATTTAATCTGCATGGTTCCATAAATTTATTTCAGTCGGCTACTGATGATGTACATACAAACAGTAGTACTGACTCAAAAGGACTCAAATGACTCTTATGAAATTCTGTTGTATTCGCCATCATGAGCGTGAATCGGGAAGTACCTGGACGGCCTAGTCCGACCGTCACCAGTCTAGGAACGTCTTGCCACAGGAATTTCTACATCAGGAACACCGCGGGTATCTAATAGCTCCGATTGAACTCCGATCTTCGATAAGCATTTGATAGTGGATACATAACATTTTTTAATTAGTTTCAATATACAACGTAATACAATTTCTTGAACGGTGAAACTTAAGCTTTGAACTTTGAAGTTCAGGCTTACCATAACTCGTATGATAACAGATCTCCAAGAACACCGCTGCATCTATCTTGACCTTAAATCACCTCATTCACTATGGCTCAAACACAACTTGAAGGCGGCCAGTGCATCGGCTCACGACTTTCCCAAACTCACATTCATCCTGGAGCGAGGGAAACAGTTCGGACCCCGCGTCGGTAGACTGTGCTTGACACGACCATCCGATAGTCCATCCAACCATGTAATCGACATCCAAACACCTAATTTTCTCATCGGAACATCTCGTGGTGCAGTTCCACATTTCTCAAGGGACCATGTTCATTCAGCGAAAGGAATCAGCTGGATCAATGTACCTTTTGAGTCTTTGTGAGTTATCATTTACCCTGCCATCCCCATATGGTGAATAACGCTTCGGATGCTGCGATTTCAAGCCTCGAGCAAACACCCCCAGTACCCACTTATCAGACGGGATCGCAGCCACTACATAATTTCTTAGGATTCGACAGTTCAAAACATATCGTTTCGCTTTCACTTCGAGATCCTTTGGATGCTCGAGAGATGCCTCCAAATGGAAATTCGCATGTTTCAGCTTCATGCATGCGTGGTGTGAGGAAGGTGATTATAAAGGTAGAGTCTCCTCTGTCAAAACTTTTCATTTTCATTTTTAGGTCACGCTCGCAGACTGGCGATCGTATGTTCTGACGATGCAGCCTGATATCGCATTTGCTCTCAGTGATACGCCGTTTACTGTAGCCCCGCACTCGCAGAAACGCTTGACTAAAAGCATCGAGCGGAGTGCGGCTTGGCTCGCAGATCTGTTGCGTCCTGTTGAAAACGCGATGGATGACTCACGCACGGAGTCAACTCCTGCTACTTTGAATGTCTTCGTACATATGGCTGGTGGTACTTCGACCTCCGCAAGGAGGGCCTTTTCGCATAGCCTCACGGAGACTCTTCATGGGCTGGAAGCAAACGCCGTGAAACCACTGCTATGTTTGGATGAAGGAGTAGCTGGATATGTATTTGACCTAGCCGCCCTTCATGTCAGACCAGCTCCTCTCTCGACCCCCAACGATAGAGGCGGAGGCATCGAAATTGCAGAAAACTCTTTGATTCTGCAGAATTCAGAATCATTAGCTCAAACACCAACACCTAACACGGCTACTACACCCACATCGCTCTCGTCCAGCATGATCGAACCTCTCTCTCTCATCTCACTGACTCCCACATTGGATGAGCTCCTCCGCGCATCGTTAGAACCCCTCCCAATCGCAAAGCCACGCCTTGTCACAGATGTTCGATCCCCTCATGAAATCCTGCGTTTGATCAGAGATATTGGAGTCGACGTATTCGATGCGGGATGGGCCGTAAAAGCAGCTGATATTGGGGTAGCTCTCGATTTCATTTTTCCGGTGCCCAGCGGGCACGATAGTAGTCCAGACCATCGAAGACGCGACATTGGTCACAACCTGTATGATGCGAAGTACGCTCACGACTTCATCAGTTTGTCAGACGCCTTCCTCGCTGGCCACAACAGTAACATCTTCGTCTGAAACTCCTGTCTGCCCCTGCGCTGCATGCTCTCCAGTTGCCCCCACGTCTCCTATTCACCACAGCAAAGTTGACGTTCAGTCGCACCAAGCGCATTCAGAGGACGGCACGAGCCAGAAAAAATTCTTACCTCCTTTCACACGAGCTTACCTGCACCACCTTTTGCATACCCATGAGATGTCTGCACACACACTCCTTGTCGCACATAACGTCGCCGTCCTTGATGCCCTGCTTACTGGAGTGCGAACAATTCTTTTGGGTCATGCTGATCAAAATGAAGCAGCAGCTATTTTTGCTCAAGAGGTCACAAGGTTTGAAGAGGTTTATGATGGAGCGATGTCGGTGCTCCATGCTGCTCGGGATAACTGGAAAGACGTGAAGTACGCACGGGGTAAAGGAAGATTGGCGCGGGAGGCACAGAAAGACAAGGATGTTCGATCGGTACATTCAGCTGAAGTACAGTAGGTTTTGGTGTAATGACGTTGGGTACATATTCTCAGCATACATACCCCTAAGATGGATTTGATGTTCGTTCCCAGGATGACATAATCAACAGACATGTTCAACCTCAGGCTCGTCCATCTGCATTAACTTAATCCATTCTGCATGAGTACAAAAGGGTACTTCGCGTTTCCTCCTTCAACTCCGGGCACATCAAAATCATCATACCCCGCATTTATACCCCAGTCCCCCAATACCAAAGAGACACTCGTTGACAAAAGTGGACCTGAGAAAGGGGACGAGACGCGTAGCGAGAAACCACCACACGATGAAGATCGTATCAATCGACTTCACAAGGAACGGGAGCTCATAGAAATGAGCGAAATAGAGTGGGTTCGAGGCGGCGGAGTTCTGCGCGACGCACAAGGGCGGCGCGATAAAGCCCGTACGGAACGCATTCGCGCAGAGCTCAAGCTACAAGAAGAAGAAAAGGCAAAAATGGGTAGATGGAAAGAGTACGACGATCGGTGGAAGGCACTGGCCGCGTCAGATAAGGCTCTCGCATTCGCAGATATCCCATGGCCGCTCCGGACAGCGCCTTCCCCCACAGATACCGACGCTTTCACGCTACCTGCGATTTCAGAGTTTCTGTTCGAGTCTCTTTCTGTCCGGAGTAACACGGTCACGAAGAAGAGTAGGATCCGCAGCTCGATATTGCGGTGGCACCCTGATAAGAGCTCATTGGTTGTTGGCAGGGTTGTGGCTGATGACGTGGATGCTGTTCGAGAAGGTATTCATGCTGTGTTTCACTGCCTCAAGCGTCTACAGGATGACGAAAGAGATAATAGTAATACCGTGTAACAAAATACATGCCTTACTAGCATTCTGCGAACGAATGACGTTGAGGTTAACGTTGAATTCAACGCGTAGTACAGAACTCAACATGTGTACGTACGTACACGAGGCTTGTGCATGTACGATTGCGCTGCGTTGTACACAGCTGCCTGTTAAGTATCTCGACTCCTTCACTTCCCTCCGTCTCATATTCCCTCTGACCTATCTAACCCACCCGACCAAAATGCCCTCTCCGCCGCTCAAGGATTTTTTTCAAGGATTTCCATCTAAGCAAAGTATTCGCAGTTCGATTGAGGCGCCTCGCAGAGAAAGGACGTACACAACACAGTTCGACAATCACCCACCATGATGGCAATTACTCCATTCCTGCAGATATCCGAGTCCCTGGTGAGTTGCCTATTCCTTCACCTACTCTACAGTCAAATTCATCACCACTAGTTCACCCTGGTTCTCTGGCCAGGAATCCAGGTCTCGAAGTCACCATCAATATTTCCTCCACCACATCCTCCCGTGGCGATTCCTCTGCCCGCAATGCTTCTGACATGGCTTAGACATTTTTGCCTTTAGTCCAGGGCGTTGCAGGTGCAATTCCATTTGCCGGTCCTCCGATGCAAGCTGCTATTAGTGGATTATTGTCAATCCTCCAAGCCATAGATGTGAGACCTTATTTTATTACCAGGATGTTTCTTGATTCAAAGGCCGCCACAGAGACGTAGTCAGAATAAGGCGGACCTAGATCGTCTGGCGTCACGACTTCATCGGCTAAGCTCACATCTGTGCAACGCCCCGACTGCCCAGGATCCCTATGAAAAATACCGGAGGGATTCCATAATTGGGTACGCGCTTTGTTGATGTAGCCTTAAATTTACCCGGCATTGAGTGCGCTTAGGATTCTGCAAGAGACCTCTGCCCAGCTGACAAGGTTACAAAAACGTCGTCTCGAATACGCATCCGTCACACAAGCTATCGCTGGATGCTCCATTGAAATCGACCGTTATCTGTTGGAGTCTTTGGTTGTTTCCTATTCTTTATGAATTGGCAGGATTTGCTCACTACCCTGCTTGACTAGTGGTCATTCCAAATGGAACAAAGTCAAACCGCGCGCGGACCAGCCTGTGACACAGTTAACCGCGGCTGTTACACTTGGCTGTGTGACACTGGTTGACGCAACAGGCCACGAACATGCTATATCAGTGACCTTTTGCACCTCATTTCAGGTTTGTCTCCCCAGCGTAAAATCCGTATTTGGAAGCTTGCTCATCAAATTCTCTTTAGCAACTCAACTCGACGCTCCAGGCTCTGTTCAAACGCGAGTCGATCGAAGCTCAAATCCAGAGACGGTATATGGAGCAAGGACAGTACGATTTGTGTATTGACGATGACAAGCAAGTGACCCGACTTACAAGCCATGAATGGCCAAGCATTGAAGCAGGCATGACGATCGTCATGAGGGTCGTCTTTGAAGAGAAGACGTACTCTACAGTCGAATACAAATGTCATTTCTGCCGCGCTGTCAATCACATTAGCGCCAAGTATTCGCTTCAACGCCAGGCTAGTTGCTCGATCAATTGGTGGGTATGTTTGTCTTCTGGCTGCTGACGGTGCCTGACAATCGGAAGTCGACTATGCACACGACGATTTCAAGTCTCCCACGGAGGCTACAGTGCAAGGCGGAGCACACAATCCTCTAACATTGACTCCGTTCCCAGAACTGAAGCAGAAATGCACCTGATTCGCAACTTTCACATCACTATCAAACGAGGTATCAGGTTCGCGGAAGATGGCAAAGACGATCTAATTCCTTTGGGTTATGTTCTACGTATCAAGAAAAGGCGCGAGGAGAAAGCAAGGTTTCTTCGCGAAGAGCGCGAGAAGCGAGAAGCGAGAATTGGAGGAGGGACGGCGCAATTGACTGTATGTTGCCATGAAACTTCAGGGCTGCTCAATTCATTCAGTTCGCCAACAGCTCGAGTTCACCAGGGATCCGAGCGGGGTTGGGCCTGTTGAGGGTTAGGAATGTGAATGACAAGGTTTAGTGAGGCTTGGGATATGCTTTAAGACTGCTTGTAGATAATTCTGCACCAAGTGTTGGTGCTGCGCACTATTTAGGTACGAGTCCCGTCTACTATCTAGGACAGGTTTAGTGACGCTTAGCGGTGCTTGGTTCCCAGGTGAACACAGGTGAACTCGAACTTTTAGAATTGAGCAATCAGAAGTCGAGCATGCAAACGAGGATTTCAGGTCTCCCACAGAGGCTACAGTGCAAAGCGGAGCACACAATCCTCTAACATCGACTCCATTCCCAGATCTGAAGCAGAATTGCACCTTATTCGCAACTTTCATATCCAACAGGCTGTATGTTACCATGAAACTTCGCTAGCAGCCTTAAACTGAAAGTTCGATGTATCTTCCGCTCTCAGCCTGTGTGTGATCTCGTCTTTTGACCTATTCACCCGATGCTGATGGTGCCGCGTCCGTGTGCCGCTCTCAGAGAGTGTGTGATCTTGTCTTTTGACCTGTTTTACCCGACGCTGATGGTGCCGCGGCCGTGTCGTGCTCTCAGCTCGTGCATGATCTTGTCTTTTGACCTGTTTATCCAACGCTGATGGTGCCGCGGCCGTGTCGTGCTCTCAGCTCGTGCATGATCTTGTCTTTTGACCTGTTTATCCGACGCTGATGGTGCCGCGGCCGTGTCCCGCTCTCAGCCTGTGCGTGATCTCGTCTTTTAACCTGTTTACCCGACGCTGATGGAGCCGCGACCGTCGACCGTGTCCCGCTCTCAGCCTGTGCGTGATCTTGTCTTTTGACCTGTTTACCCGACGCTGATGCTGCTGCGGCCGTGTCCCGCTCTCAGAGAGTGCGTGATCTCATCTTTCGACCCACTTAATCGATATTGATGCCCCGACAAAGTTCCGCTCTGTCAATGAGAACGCGCGTGATTTCAATGCTGGTGGTGCTTCGGCGACGGCCTATTCACATAGGGTGTGTGATGTCGTCTCTTGAAATGTATCCTGCTTTTTAACCTTGACGCTGTTAGAATGAGTTTCTCGGTGATAGTCCAACGATATTCCTCCAACTAAGACATTTTTCATCCTCACACGGTATGTGATGCTATCTTTCCGAGCGAACAGCTAAATCTAACTTTTTCATTGCGCTCTCAGATCGTGCGTGTTTTTATCCCAATCTATATTATAGCACGTCTTTCAATTGCGAGTAGCAGAATATGGGTATGACCGCTTCGATGAGATCGAGGAAGATGGTAATGATGATTATAGAATGGAAGACTCAGATGATGGGGAGGATCACGAGGAATGGGAGGATTGCGATGATGGGGAGGATCATGAGACAAACCATTATGGCGAGCTTTGAATATGGCATGATATTTACAGTGAAGACTTGGCACTGATTATTTTAAATCACTCTATCGAGGAGATATTGAAGGAGGCTTGCAGTTGCTGTATGCAGACGAGTTTCCCGAGTAGCCGAGTAGTTGCTTCGCAGCAACGCGCGACTGCACGTCGCTTGCCGAGCATCCTGGAGAGATCTTTTGTGGTGATAAGATCATTACCGTCCTTGTCCTTGCCGGTCGTCGATATGATTTACAATCGGCAGGTAGCCTGTAGGGAGCGGGGGATTTTGTTTTTATTTACTCTAAGTTTTGTCGTAGTACTTTATGCCAGTTATTTGATGTTGCGAAATATATTTGAAAGAGACATAGCCTAGACAATGTTTCTACTGGCGCTAACTGCCTCGCACCATGTGGCAAGCCTAAGAAGAGACTCAACCATTGTCATCGCCTGGACACTATGTCTGGAATCAAGGTCGATCGATTCCATCACTAACCCACAAGATTGGTATTGCGTGTGTCCTGTACAGATCAAAGGTTTTCCGTCATGTGACGATTCCAAAGCGCGCACTATCCAAATTCAAACCCAGATTTACCAGTCCTATCGACGGCTTGCCTCATTAGACGGGCTGGTCACCAGTCCACCCCCTTGCAGTGATCTTGAGTCCATGTTAGTAATCGAACGAATTGATGTGATAAGGGATCCAATTTTTCTGGATATATCACTAGCACATTTGGATCTGCGCATTGGCCCTAGGATCTTGCTCGGCCATCTGTTGGATCAGTGATTTCAACCTTCCAATCGGCAGCAAGCCACCGTGTATCCCGCTACTAGATGACCCTTTAACCCTTTGTTCTGCAGTGACTCAAGCAAGTAAGTGATCTGCAGTTGTTTCTGACTGAACCGATAAATTTCTATCCAGGATAACATTTGATGACAGATTTGAAATTATATAATCGCAATGAGCGACTCGGACGAGGTAACGCCAGTGCGCAAGCAAGGCGGTTTTCCCTCTGGTTTTGGTCGCTGATTCGTCAATTTAGAAAGAACTTATTTGATATACTTCCTTCCTTTCACAATAAGAACTTATCAGACAACCCGGGGGAACTGGTTTCGTCGATGCTGTGTGATCAGCTCTCCTATGTGGGGTTAAGCGCATTCCATGCTCTGTTACATGTGATACTGGCCACAGTCATTATGCGGTTTGCATCCGCGGGATCAAACGTTCCATCCTTGCATATGCTGGGGAATTTTCCTGATGACTAACAGCCTTTCTTCAGCATATAAAGGTTGTCGTGTTTGGTGGTCACCTCCCAAGCTTCATCACTTGTAGCAACTGCCAACTCCAAGTCCCATTTACTTCAACTCATAGCGCATCTTATCATGCAGAGCGGCACTTACACAATCTACAACGTCGAGTTTTCCAAGCAGGTCATTGACCTGTATGGAGGCGGCACCATCGATGGCACCCCTGTCACGGGCTATAACTACATGACCACCATCAATGAGAACCAGCGTGTTGGTATATATTCCTTGACTCAGAGTGTGCGGGCTGACGATCAGTGTAGTGGACCGTGCAAGTCCTCGAGAAGGAGGGTGATGACCAAGCCACCGTCAGATTGATCAACAACGGAACTGGAACATATATGAGGGCTGAGCCAGAGACTCTGGTAAGAAATGCATGTTTGCTGCTGTAATGTACTGCTGTGACGATCTTTGAATTTACAGGGCGCAGGTGTCGTCGGCAGCCACGTCGCTACGAAGTGGACACTTGTCAAACTGGAAATGGGGAATTACATGTGAGTGATATGACTGTAACCCGTCGTCATACAAGTCACTCATATGTGCATAGGATCAAAGGCCAGCAGGGAGAGCTTGTCTTCTCCCTTAATAATGGCGATAATAGCACTCAGGTATGCCCCAAGCCTATTATATGCCAGGACAGAATAACTCACAGTTCATATTTGGTAGATCACGCTCGCTCCCCTAGACGACAGCGACAACAGGCAGCTTTGGACCTTTGACCAAGAGTAATCAAAGTCAGCCTGTGAGAGAATGGTTAGCGAAAGGCATAACGAGCCTCATGTACAAATTTCTTGAGTTTGAATGATTTGTATTGCATCGTGTTCATGTTGCCCCAGAGGCCAGCGCCATCCAGTACTGGTTCAGCATCAAGCCTTCTATGGTGAAACGTGAACGAAGACGTGACTTTTGCATATGCTCATACCACAATATTGTCCCCTTGGTAAGGCCCAGTGGTCCTGTGCAGCACCGAGGAGGTTTCTTTTATATAAAAGTCGTTCGAATGATTGGATGCTGCGATTCCTCTCTGAAAACTCTACAAAAAGTGTGAGGTTCCGTGAGAGATTGTGTCTACCTAGGTGGTTCGTCTGTTCTTCAACTTGAACGTGTGTACCATAAGTCGCAAGCCCTGCGCTGCATTACTCCTTGGATTCTAAATCCGAGGCTCTTCTTTTGAATAATTAATGTACGAGTCACCTCGCAACACCCAACCCCTCCTCGAAAAACTCTGCAAACTCACGCCCTCCTCTTCGCACTCCATCCTGCCCTTTTCCGTACTTCCCAATGTCACGGTTTTCCGGGGCGCAGCCACGACTTCGTGTTTGAGCCGCTGCAATTCTCACAACGGGTGCACGATGCAGGAGTATCCTTGAAGCTAACGTGGAGCACAGAGCTCTCATTGGCACTAGTATTCGAGCTAGGCTCGAGCACATTGACGGTGAGGACAATGAATTCCCCAAGCGAGGGAGCAACCCGAGCACCCATGAGCGCAAACCCAGTGCGTTTTTTGTATGCTCTGGAGTGCAGAGGGCATCTGTGAGTGCTTTGGGTGTCATTTGAGTGCCGACGTTTGGAGGTTTGACGATGCTCGTCGTGACTGCGTCTGATATGCGTTTGAGAGGGGATGTCGGTCGTCCTAGAGGATGGTCAAGAGTGGAGAGTCCTAGCGGACCATGGATGAGGGCGTCGAGGCTGTTGGATGTATTTCAGCTTAGGAATGGGGTGGATGAAACGGAGAGGGGAAAGACGGGCCTTTGGGGTTTATATTTCCTTGTTCGTCGTTCCATTGCCGACATCGATCTGGTGTAGCTAGGACGCAGACCTACTTTTCTCCATCGTGTGCGAGAATATCATGATCTATTACACACCGATCAACCCTTACACTAGCCTCTCGGGCTTTGCAATAGCGGTGAATATAGTCGCGCGGGCGGTCCTTTCTTGAAGGAGTCTGATTGATGGTCAGGGAGTCAGCCTACAGGGCAGAAGAAGATAGGGACAATATCATAATAGTCAACCCCCAAATCATCGTCTGAGATGACTTTTACTTTGAGCTGAGGGCTTGAAGCTGATGAGAGAAAGTCCTGGATTTGGGCTGCACGGGTTGATTTTCCAGAGTGAGAGGTAACCTGAGATGGTGACGAGCGCCCTTGAATGAGCCAATGATCACGTTTTTCGGGATCTAGGGTGCACGTAAATCATCTTGATCACCTGTCGATCACTACCCTGACCCAATCATCGACGTCTTCCTGCAATATTTCAATTTGTTAGTAACATGCAGACAGCTAATACAGTGCATGTAAGTGCCCAGTTTATAACTGATCGTGTCTGATAATATTCACTCGCTTCAGCTCGCACATTCGCAAGTGATCATATGTCTTGTGGGAGCGATCGTAGTAGCTGGAGGAGAGAATATGGCGATCTTGATCATGTCTGCCAAAGTTTGACGCGTCGTAGTTTGGGAGTGACTGACAGTGATGTTGTGAAGTAAGGCGGCGGCGGGGGCGGCGTAGAAAGGGTTCGCGATTTAGTGAAACTACCAGCTGCGCTCCTTGAGGGCCGCAGCTGCGAATTCCACTTAGAAAGCGTCCAAGACGAAACGGCAACTTGAACTCGCCTTGAAACGTTGACGCAAGTACTCGCATTGGTAGTACAGATCCACTGTGTTGCGATAGCGCATGATATATCTCTATATGGGTACTAAGAACCTGCTACCCTTGTTCCGTGCTGTAAGGCTCACTTGCTCTGAGTCAATCCAAAATTTCTTGTTAAGTATACCCGAATAATGGATACCGTAATCTGGTAGGTAGTTAGCCCGAAGCGATACAAGGGATTTAGTACTATATGCAACAGCTGGCTCATCGTCAATGGAAATGTCAGTCAACTCGGGAGTTTCAAGTAGGAGCAGTATGACGTTCTACAGCCTCCCGTGCGGCCTCTGCCCAATCCTGCTCGCACACACCAAACTCAACTCCTAGTATGGTCTTGTTGAATGTCATCAGAGTCAGTCCATAAGGTTGGCGAATGCGTGACTCCCAGCTCTCTGGGATCCGCTCATGAAGCAGAAAGCTGCGCAGGTCGTCTACGCGACCTCCAAAGACAGTGACTAGGGTCGCGGCACTAACGGAATGTTCAAAAGCGCGCTCGAACACGGATGATGCAATAACGTACTTCGTGCTCCCAAAGATCTTGTGGAAGAAGCTGTGCGAGAACTCCTTGTTACTGCACGCGCGACTGCACGTCGCTTGCCGAGCATCCTGGAGAGATCTTTGGTGGTGATAAGATCATTACCGTCCTTGTCCTTGCCGGTCGCTGCCGCAAGTAACTCCTCAATAAAAGGTACGTGTTTTATAGATTGGTCCGGTTGAAAAGCAGCATTGAGGCCTGAAGACAGATCATGTCAGATAACTTACAAGAACAAGCGGAGAAATTGCTCACATAAGAGAGAGGCGTCGTGCTCTATACCACTGTGCAGGTCGAGTTCTTCCAAATCAAATGTAATCCTTGCTGTAGCTTTTCCTGAGCATGCGAGCGGCAAAGTGCGGCACAAATGAGCAGAAGGTAGGACTGAAGTTGTATGTTGCCCGGATATGGTGGCCAACCTCGACAAACGAGATCTCGCGGCCACTGCGTGAGATGATGCCTGGGTTTTCATGTTGTTACACCAACACTGCTACCTGCGCTTAAGCACAGAGGCTGGCGGACTCACCATGGTTGGCCATCGCATTGAGTGCAGGGCAAGAGCAGCGGGAGTCGGTCTCCTTGGGAGGCCTATACTCGGGCCAGTACCCTCCATAGCCTGGGTGGCCTTCAGGGGTGACATGTCTGATGCGACGGCTCCTCCTCACAAGATTGGAGAGCGTAAGGAGAACATCCCAAGATAAAATCCCGAGGTCAAAGAAAAGACGGGACACACTGGAGAAGAAGTCCATTTTACTTTCCTTGTGTCAATGATAGGTATATCAAAGGTGATAAGTTGGGACAGGAAGAGATAGATATAGGTACGCTTCACTAAGGAGCTTGAGTATATATACGGGATCCGAATAACGTACCTGGTGTCACAGGACTGACAGACAAGGTTCTGTATCCCAGCGCCATATGTGTATCTCGAAGCATACTATAAACGCCCGGCCTCTGGACTCGCATGGTCCCCTAAGGATATGTAACTGAAACGTAGGAGGGCCCAAGATTAGTAGCGGAGAAAGGAAAAGTTGATGGCGTGGTAGTCTACGTACGCATGCATGGTTAGCCAGACCATGGGCGAACTTCCTGAAGGAACTTAAAGGAAGAACAGTCATTGCTTCTAAATTAGTGGTCTGACTGGGGCATAGCCTTCATCAAGCTTCTTCGACTCGGAGAAGAATTCTTTTTCAAATCATAATCTGGGGCGTTCAATAGCTTGAGTCATTGACGTGACTCTCAGAGCGCCTGCTTATCCGACCACATACGAACTCCGGGTCAAAGGGGCCCCAGTGTTTCATGTTTAGGGAGTTTTCTGAACCTGGAGACACCTGAGTTCGAATGACAGTGAAAAGTCCGTTTTTGTTGACGTGTGAGTGTCTCTTCAAGTGAAGTAGCCAAAAGAACAAACATAGAACTAGATTTAGTCATGATCAGTTGATGCATCGCTTGTCCAAAAAAAAAAAAGAACAAACATTGAGAATCACGTGATGTCAGCTTCCGACGTTTTCTCGGTTCTTTCAGGCGTCAATAACAAGCATGGCAGCAGCAGTAAGATGCACTCCAGGGCTTGCTTCCACCTCGTACAAGCTCCCTTCATTACTTCAACATTGCGATATAAAGGTCACCGTAATGCATGCTGCTTCTCATCCGCGTGTCGACATTGGACAAGCAGCCCACTCGCGCGATCACTATGCAACCCTTGGAGTTCCAATCACAGCGACAAATGCTCAAATAAAGGCATGGGTCATTTTCTTCGTGAAAAGAATTGTCCCTCATAAACTCATAATAGATACTTCTACTAAGTGAGTCAGTTCTCATTGGTAGCACCGGATAGCTGCTGATGGACCACGCCAACTCTTAGCAATATCATCCCGATGTCAGTCAGGACAGTACGGCATGGGGAAAATTTCACGCAGTGAGTGAAGCCTACGCAGTGCCCGGGGACGATCGGAAGCGGTACGTTTCAAAGTCCTCACCCGACATGCTGACCTGATGGCTTGATGCCAGACAAGCGTACAGTCGTAGTATCCGCCACGCATCACCCCTCTCAACACCCAAAAACAACCACTACACGTCCCTCCAATCAATCAGGGTCACGTAATGTATGGCAAAATAATTCATGTCATCATCGGCACCATGACTCCAAGTCCAGCCATGCGCATGACCCAAATGCAACTTATGATTACCCATGGGAGCGTGCTCGTACAGGCAAATACACGTACTATCAACCTCCCCCGGGTGCTCATTCGTGTACATATTATATATGGTCGCCCACGAATCCATTTTCCAGCCTACACGTCCAACGGGCGACCGGTTGTATGTCTGCATATCCACCACCAGGAACAGGCCCTTCTAGTGGTAACGATGAAGATATGGTTCAAGGCCTTCGCGTGCTCAGTTTTCTTCGTAGTCCTTTGTTTGGTACCCTTTGGCACTTTGGCACTTCCGCGCAAAGAGCGAGAAGTTGAACTCGACCAGCTCTCCAACCACGCCTCTCTTCTCCTCCACTAGTGCTTGTCTATTGTCATTGACTGAAACTTATGGCCCGTGCAATGTCACATGAAATCACGTTCACTCAGAGCTGGAGTTGCAATGCCAATCCAACATCGGATTCAGAATCCATTCGACGTACTGATCTAGGCACACTCGCAGGAATTTCAATTCCATACATACTCGGGCGGTACATACACGAGGCTTGATTGGGCTGTGTTGTACACAGCTGCCTACTGAGCGTATTAATTCGCCTTCCTTCTCCGCATCACTACGTCTTCATTTTCTCTCTTACCTGTCCTCTGAGCCATATCAAAATGCCCTCTTTGCGGGTCAAGGATTTTATTAAGGATTCGATCTGTGCAAAGTATTCGCAGTTCGATCGAGGCGCCCCACAAAAAATGGATGCATGCAACGCAGTTCGACAACTGCCCACTGTGAAGACGATGACTCCATCTCTGTGGCTTTGAAGTTCAGGCTTACCAAAACTCATGATAACAGTTCTCCAAGAACGCCGCTGCATCTATCTTCACCTTAGATCACCTCATTTGCTATGGCTCAAACACAACTTGAAGGCGCCCAGCGCATCGGCTTACGCATTCCCAAACTCATATTCACCATGGACCGAGGGAAACAGTTCGGACCCCGCGTCAGTAGGCTGTGCTTGACACAACCATCCGATAGTCTATCCAACCATGTCATCAGCATCCGAACACCTAATTTTCTCATCGGAACATCTCGTGGTGCAGTTCCACATTTCTCAAGGGACCATGTTCATTCAACGAAAGGAATCAGCTGGATCAACATATCTTCTGAGTCCTTGTGAGTTGTCATTTTACCCTGTCATCCTCCCCTGCGGTGAATAACACTTCAGATCTGCGACTTCAAGCCTCGAGCAAACACCCCCAGTACCCACTTATCAGGCGGGATCGCAGCCACTGCACAATTTCTTAGGATTCGACAGCTCGAAACATATCGTTTCACATTCACTCCGTGATCCTTTGTCTTACCTCCTTTCACACGAGCCTACCTGCAACACCTTTGCATACCCATGAGATGTCTGCGCACACACTCCTTGTCGCACATAACGTCGCCGTCCTTGATGCCCTGCTTACTGGAGTGCGAACAAGTCTTTCGGATGATGCTGATCAAGATGAAGCAGCCGCCATTTTTGCTCGAGAGGTCACGAGGTTTGAAGAGGTATATGATGGAGCTATGTCAGTGCTCCATACTGCTCGAGATAACTGGAAAGATGTGAAGTATGCACAGGGTAAAGGAAGATTGGCGCGGGAGGCACAGAAAGACAAGGATGTTCGATCGGTACATTCTACTGAAGTATAGTAGGTTTCGGTGTAATGACGTCGCCACATATATTCTCTTTATCACAATGCACATATACCCCTGAGCTTGGTATTGTCAGCAGATGGATTTGATGTTCGCTTCTTAAGTTCAACCTCGTCCATCTAGTCCATTCTGCATGAGTACAAAAGGGTACTTTGCGTTTCCACCTTCAACTCCGGGCACCTCAAGATCATCATACCCCGCATTTATACCTCAGTCCCCCAATACCAAGAAGACATTTGTTGACAAAAGTGCACCTGAGAAAGGGGACGAGACGCCTAGCGAAGAAACCACCCCACGATGAAGAACGTATCAATCGACTTCACGGAACGGGAGCTCATAGAGATGAGCGAAATAGAATGGGTCCGAGGTGGCGTACAAGAAGAAGAAAAGGCAAAAATGGGTAGATGGAGGGAGTACGACGATCGGTGGAAGGTACTAGCCGCTGTCAGATAAGGTTCTTGCATTCGCAGATATACCATGGCCCCTTCGGACAGCGCCTTCCTCCGGAGATACCGATGCTTTCACGCTACCCGCGATTTCAGAGTTTCTGTTCGAGTCTCTTTCTGTCCGGACTGACACCACGGTCACGAAGAAGAGTAGGATCTGTAGCTCGATATTGCGGTGGCATTCTGATAAGAGCTCGTTGGTTGTTGGCAGGGTTGTGGCTGAGGACGTGGATGCTGTTCGAGAAGTTATTCACATGCTGTGTTTCACTGCCTCAAGCGTCTACAGGATGACGAAAGAGACAATAATAATACCGTGTAACAAATGCATGCCTCACTAGCATACCGCGAACGAAAGATCTCGAGGCTCATTGCTATCATAGTAGACATACATGCATGCTGGTCTCAAAGTTAATTGGTAGACTGACATCTTATTTCCATTTACTGGTTGTTTGCGGCATACTACCAAAGCCATCGTGTCGCTTCGAACTGAGCATCAGACCGTCTACCTGTCGGACTACATCCGTTTTCAATTATAACAAGATCAACTCGGAGCAAATACGGCACGGGCCCAGGGTAGCAGATTCCTAGTACCTGTCGTATATAGCCAGTTACCTCCTCTGCTCAACCTACCGCAATGTGTACACACTCTGACTCAGAGCTGGAGCCAACATTTCAACTCTGAGATTTGAAATTTGATCATCGATTGATGATGTGATCGCAGCATGTCGGTCGTTCCAGAACTCAACTTACGTACATACACGAGGCTTGTGCCATGCGTAGTGCTGCCGTGGTCCGGTTCGGTCCGGTTCAGAGGGTCCTGGACGAGAACCGAGAACCGAATCGTGGTCCGGTTCTGCAAAATCATCGAAGCCAGAACCGGACCATCAAGAACCGTTCTCAACGGTCCGGTTCGGTTTTTTTGTGGTCCGAACGTGAACCGAACCGAAATTTTTTCAAGGGCAACAAAAATTGACATAGTAGATCTACTGACATTGAGTAACTAGTCCAACATAGCAGCTTCACCCCCCAAAATCGCCACACAAAACAGAATTGGAGGAAGAGTGTATGGGTTCCTCAGTATTCTCTCCCAAGGTGCTTGCACTTGTCCTCTTCCTGGGACTGAGAACGATACTAAGGAAGGGTGGGTAGGACCACAACGAGCGGCTGAGTTTGGAAGTGGGAGCCCTGAAGAGCGCTGGATGCGAATGGAGAGTTTGGAAGGTGTGGAGGTTGTCGAGGAAGTCAGTTAGTGCTAGCTGCATTTTGAGAGGTCAGAAGCATAGTCGCGCGAATGGACGAGAGATAGATATTCACGGGGAGAGTGCTGTTTGTAGGGATATCCATGACAGACCGTAGCTGTATCAGCATTGTCTGCACATCCCTGCCCAGACCAGGGCCAAGGAGTTTTGAGATTTGTGCCTACGACACAAGGCCGTCGTGTATGACAGAGTTGCCTCACAATGTGCCATCAGCGGGTGCGCCTCCTAGTTAATGCGGGGAATGCAGTGGCTTTCGAAAGTATTGATGGGTTGGACTTCAATAAATCGACGATGCAGAGCAACTATCCACGTGCGCGTGTTTCTGACCAAGCCTTTTTCCACCGAGAGGTTTCGTTGAATGGCGCAAATGCAGTTCTGTTAGAGATCCAGGTGATGAGGAGATACTCCGGGATGGGTCAACATTGCAAGGTAGTCAGGTAGTGGCAATGAATCCGTCATAGTGCCAGAATTTCCTTTTATTGATCTGATTCTGCTTCCGTTTTGAAGACCAACAACAACAGACAGAAGGAGCCGTGAAGAGAGGACAGAATGCAGCAACACAGCATGACGTGGTGGACGCTATCGCCAGCAGGATCTCGTGCTTATAGATGTTGTAGAAAACGAATGCGGGACGACCACGCACACAAACATTGGAATCTTCTTGTAGCGTTAGCGTTAACCTCCGCCAGCATGCAAACTAGGTACATACCATCAACATACCATAGACTGTAATTAGTATTGGTTCGGGGTTCAGAACGGTTCAGGACCCATCCAAACCAAAGTCGAACCGTTCACCCAACGCCAGAACCGAGAACCAGTACTATGGTCCGGTTCTGGCTGACACCTGGACCGTGGACCGAACCACAGGGGAACCGGACCAAAAGTCCGGTTCGAACCATGGTTCAGGACCAGACCACAGCAGCACTAGCCATGCGCAATGATGATTGGGCTGTGTTGTCAATATGATACATAGCTCAGGCTGCCTGTAATTAAGTACTCGACTCCTTCTTCGCCTACACCTCATATTTCCTCTCACCTATCCTCTTAATTACTCATCTGGTCAAAATGCCCTCTTCGACGCGGGTTAAGGATTTTTTTCAAGGATTTCCATCTGGGCAAAGTATTCGCAGTTCGATTGAGCCGCCCCGCAAAGAACAGACGTACACAACACAGGTTGACAACCACCCACCATGATGGCGATTACTCCATTCCTGCTGACATTCGAGTCCCTAGTGAGTTTCTCATTCCTTCACCTACTCTCCATTCAAATTTACATCAGGAAAACCACCAGCTGGTTTTTCCTGCTTATGTTACTTTTCATCCCTTAATATTTGGTAAATGCATGTTAAAACACTGCTTTTCCGACTTAACTTGAAGCAGCGCGCCCAAGCTCTTAAGTCCAGATCGCCAAATAGCAAGAAAAGTTGTATTAAGCACAATAAGTCGTAAGTGATAATACTACTGCTAGTACTACTACCATGGCTCACTGACAGATCAGCAAAACTGTGTCAGCTGGCATTTTTCTGAATCGTTCGTGGAATGGAAGGGGAGAACAGAGGATGGGGTACTAGTAGTGACAACAACCATATATTCGAAGTCAAATACGAGACTGAGGTTCTGAGCATGCTCTTCATCAGAGGTTTGGAATTCACGAATGAGGGTGACTGCGACTTACTGATGGTGTGATTGACATCCATATATTTGAAGCCGAATGTGAGACTGCACGATCTTCTTCATCTTTTCGTCAGAGGTTTGGAATTCATGAATGAGGGTGACTGTGACTTACTGATGGTTCAATTAACATCCATATATTCAAAGATGAATGTGAGGCTGAGGTTCTGAGCACGATCTTTGTCAGAGGTTTGGAATTCACGAATGAGGGTGACTGCGACTTACTGATGGTACGATTAACATCTCATATTCGAAGACGAATGTGAGACTGCATGATCTTCTTCATCTCTTCATCAGAGGTTTGGAATTCACGAATGAGGGTGACTGTGACTTACTGATGGTGCGATAACAGCCATATATTCGAAGATAAATGTGAGACTGACATTCCAAGCACAATCTTCTTCATCTCTTCATCAGACAAATGAGTACTGTTGTGTTGAAATGGAGGGATGAACCTGGCAAGACCACACCTGTGCGCATCATCTTCTTCCAGGATGTGTTAGTGTGGAGAGATGATGTCAAAATGGGGGGACGAACCTGGCAAGCATAACAAGACCGCACCTGTGCGCATCATCTTCTTCCAGGATGTGTTAGTGTGGAGAGATGATGTCAAAATGGGGGGACGAACCTGGCAAGCATAACAAGACCGCACCTGTGTGCATCATTGTCTTCCAGGATGTGTTAGTGTGGAGAGATGATGTTGAAATGGGGGGACGAACCTGGCAAGCATAACAAGACCACACCTGTGCACATCATCTTCTTCCAGGATGTGTTAGTGTGGAGAGATGATGTCGAAATGGGGGGATGAACCTGACAAGCGTAACAAGACCGCACCTGTGCGCTGAGGGCGAGGAATGATAGCTGCGTGCTAGGGGGAAGAGTGGGAAGTGGGCTCTCAAGTGCTCCTCTGGATACGAGTGGAAAGTCATCCCAAGGGGATTGCTACTGAGAAAGATTCCTCTAGTGAAAGGTGAGGGGGATCTATAACCAGCGGTTTGGTCTCAAAGCCTGAATGGGACACTGAGGCAAATAATGCACCCAAAAGTGAAGAGTGCTAGCTAAAGGCGCCTAAATGCGCTAATAAGGTGGAAAGTGCGGAAAAGCGCACTTTGTGCGATCACAACGGAGTGCTTCAAGTAGAGGTGGCAATCAAATGGGGGAATCAGGACTTTGATAGATGTGGAAGTAGACACTTAAAGGTGTCAAAGCGCCAATAGGAGGGAAACAGGTGTATTCAGATAGAAACTCCAGCTATACACTTCAATGGTAGTGGAACGGAAGTAAGTGACAGGAAAACAAACATGGTGACTTGTAGGTATGCTAAGCGAGTTCCCACAGCTCAGAGCTGAATAGGAAGTACTAAGGTAAATGGTGAGGTAAGTCAGGGTCCATAACAAGATATGATGATAAGTACTAGTGCCTGCATGACAGAGTATGAGTTCTGAAGAAGGGAAAATGCACCAATGGACCTTGGAGGACTCGGACAGGACATGCGGAGGACAGGCGATGGATCCTAGAGAAATGTGATGAAGTGCACCGTAATGCACTCGAACGCACTTGAACGCGCTGGTATGCGCCAAAGTGCGCATTGTGCGGAAGTCGTATGAGAAGCACGTTGCAAGGATATCGAGTGCATCATGAAAAGCCGTGAATTTGGCCCATATGAGCCTGGAGAAACGTGAGTCTCTACATCTCCCGGGGACTTGGCTACTGACTGTCCCCAGTCAGTCCATTGTAGCGCAAGTGGACTTAGAAAAGTTGTGGACGCAGAAATCATGTGATTGCGGGCAGATTTGACCAAATTTAGAAGAGTGGTTGAATTGATGAAAAACGCGTCGCGCTTCTCTTCTTCTCCCTTATCCATCTCATCAGTGATCTGCCTCTCAACAAGATGGCACCTTTCAGCTCTGCTTTACTTGCCCTTTCTCCTAGCCCTGAGCCTAATGCGCGCCCTGCTTCCCCAGCCAAGGAAGCCGGCTCAGCTGTCCAAGAGGTCCCAGAGACTGAAGAGCAGAGAGTACTGCGTTCTTTGGTCGCGCTATTGCAGGCATTGGACACCCAGGTCAAGATCATTCCTGGTGATAGTCCTGACCTGTTTGAGGATAGAGAGACTTGGACGCGTGGTTGGAGTCAGTTATCTGTGAGTCGCCATTTTGGATTTTCCTGGGCGCTAAGCGGCCTTCCTGTAGGCACAAATTGAGGAGGCTGCCGCAATAGCGGCGCGTTTGAAGATAGAACTCGAACTCAACGCGATTGGGAGGAAGATATTGGAGGAAGGTAAACGCGCCTATAGGAACTTCTCGAAGGAGATTCGCAAGATTAAGGAGAGGGCTGTCGCGGATCCTCTTCCTAGGACACCACCGCGTCCCAAGCGCTTATTACAGAAAATGGTAGCGGAGGTCATTCTACCTGGGATCAAGGATAGTGGGGAGAAGCTGGTGGAGGTATGTGGTTGTTTCCTCTTTCCTTGCGCATTTAACTAGCATGGCTACACTTAGCGATCTGGTGGGCACCCTGAGGTACCTAGCTGCATGCACTGTCAGGAGATGGGGCTGAAGTGCGATGGAGGCCCTGGACAGCGCTGTCCTGCTTGCGCCTCTGCTAGGAGGCTCTGTTCATTTGCATGCAAGAGTGCGTTTCTTCCTCTTCCTTTGCGCGTTTTCACTGATAGCGTTGTGCTGCTAGAGAAATCTAAGAAGGCTGCTGTGCCTCGCAAGGCAGGGTCTGCTCCAAATGTGTCTCTCCCAGCTGGGTCTGTTTCTGGCTCCATCCGTCGTCCTGCTTCATCTGCTGCCCTGGACGTCATGGATGTTGATACATCTGGGTCTGGAGAGTCTGAGGTCGAGGATAAGGAGGTGCCCATTCGCGCTATCAAGGCCCTGCCTTCTCGCACGGTTAAGGCTGACAAGGGCAAAGGTAAGGGTAAGGGAAAGGCAAGCGCGCCTAGTGTTCCTACTGATGGCGCTGATGAGGTCGAGAGTGAAGTGGAGCGCCTTAGAGCTGAGAATGAGCATCTCAAGAGCATTATCCGCTTGATGCACCAAAGCGGGCGCTCTCAGCAGAGTCGCCTTATCGCATTGTCCCACCAGGCCTATTCCATGTCCACTGAGTTGGCGCGTTTGGATGAAGAACTCGCCTTCCTTGATTAGTCTATCTTGTGCTCCTGGCGCCAAAGCGCCTTTAGAATAGCCTTGTCTCTTGTTGGCACCAATGCGCCTGTAGAATAGTCCATGCCATCCTTGTGTCGCGCCACATGTCCATGTCCACATCCTGAGTCCAAGTCCACTGGGCCTACATATTATAAGAGAATTTCGTGAATATAAGTAAATGCGCAAGAGAAAAATCATGAGAGGTGAAATGGTACAATGATTGTGCGGGTTCGCACCCGCCTTGTCTTCTTCGTGCATCTTCCTTTGTCTATTCCTTTCATAAGCCTGCGCGTTTTGATGATTAGTGAGAGGTGCGCGTAATGTCTATAGTAAAAATGTGCGCAGCGCAGCTGCACTGTCTTCTCAGATAGATGATCTATAGATAAATACCTATAAAAACAAATATCTCCACGGTCAGTGATTCAGACAAATACCAATGACTGATAACGTGGTTGTACGTGGGTGGCTGTTCAGCAGTATCTAAGCTACGTTCAGGAGAAGGTCTTCTGTGAGATCAGTAGTGAACAGTCAATCTGACAGTGTGCAGACTGCAGAGATAACAACAATGACAACAGTGACAGCAGCGGCAGCAACAGTGACAGCAGCGGCAGCAACAGCAACAGCAACAGCAACAGCAACAGCAACAGCAACAGCAACAGCAACAGCAACAGCAACAGCAACAGCAACAACAGCAACAGCAACAGCAACAGCAACAGCAACAACAACAACAACAACAACAACAAAGGAAACAAGGAATCTTGTCTTGTAATAGTAACACAGCCAGCAAGCTGTGTGAAGCAATAAAGGTCACTCCCAAAGCACAAGCAGGTAGGATCAAAGGTCAAGACTAGTCAATGCTTCAAAGCACTTTATATACTATTGAACCTGCTGTCAAGGAACTCACGATGAGTATTAAACAGAGTCAGGAACGGACATCCTTGGTGTTCGACACCAAGTCCCCTTTCAATAGCTAAAGCCTCGTGGCAAGGAAAACCCTGGCTCAGTATCACTACTCAGATGCGTATGGTCAAGCTCCCAATTATCAACTTCCAAAGTCTCCCCACTAAGATGCACTGAACCTTAGATGGACGAAAGAGACAACACAGAAATTCTGGAATATGTGTGCTACAAAAACAAAGAAACTCAGAGAAACAAACAAACAATGTAGAAAACCAACTGATGAAACAGAACCAGGTCTGCTGGTCGTGGAGCACAGTGTACTCACACTATTACTAAAGTCTCACAGAAGGGTACCCTATCAATCTTCAACAGTTCTCACTGTTGCTGATCTTGATCACACCTTACTGATAAAAACTGAGGGGTAAAACTGCTTCTTTTTTCATGCAAAAATGCGAGTCCTTATATACACAAAATCAGTGGCTGTGCTACTATTTTCCCACATTTTAGGTGGGGGTTACTTTAGCCTGGCAAAGTGAAACAGTGTAAGTATGAGTCAGCTTATGAGGGGTCAGATGACATCATCGTAAATAGTTGTGGTATATTGATGAGTCATGTGACTTCTCATGAGAAAGCAGAAAAGATCTAGACACTGATTATATAATGTACCAGTCCATGTGTTGTGTTTGTGTTTGGCTATTACATTTTCTGTTAGGGGCTAAATTGGTGCAGTACTTTGTATTTAGGGTTTCCTGTATGTTCCCACAGGACAACTTACGTGGGAAATAATTTTCGCAGTCACCTGACATGTGAGAAGTTCATGCTGAGTCATTTGTAAGCCAACTGAAATGAAACTGAATTCAAGAATAAATCTCCGAAAATATTCATTCCCGTAAACTGGGTTTGCCGAAGGATGAAAAAAAAACAAGTTTTTTTTTTTCTGGGATGTCAGGCTTCTTATGAGAATGTTAGTCAGCCATGCACCAGACTAGTTTGGTGCAGGTCAGCGCGCGTTCGAAATTGAATGTCTATGGTTGATTAGGTGCGCGCTTTTACAGTATTGATACTTAGCTATGTATAATTTGGTGGTTTTGACAGGTATATGATAGAGTCTGTTTGGTGATATGTTCATGGCAATGCGCATTATATGGGACAATTTGAGAGTAGAGAAAGATCACCGGATGAAACCCGGGGTAAAACGGAGGGTATTGTGCGGAGGCGTTTTGTTTTGTCGTTTATGTTGTTATATGATGTTTTTGTTATTTTTGTTGTTATATGTTTTCTGGAGGGAGTCGTGTATGGGGTCGAGAATATTTACGGGTAGAGTGTCGGGAGATGTGCGGGAAATGGTATTATGCGCTATTCGTCGAACGCGCTCTCGGGATCTTCTTCGTCTGGTTCTATGCCATCATCTTGCGCGATGCGATCAAGGCTCTTGTCATTCATCCCCATGATGCTAGTTACTGCAATGCGCTCTTTGCTGCACGGATAATAGGGAATGATGCGAAATGTGGCATATCGTAGCTTTGAGATTGCGCCATCCAACTCTGCCAACAGATATGAGCCTCCTTTCGTGCAACGCACAACAATAATAGGTCCCAGATACCGCGGTTTTGTCTTCTTGCTAAGCTCATACTCGACCTTTGAGTTATGCACTAGCACTAACGCGCCAGGCTTAAAATCGTAGTCTTTGATCGAGGCGCGAAAGCGCTTCTCGAAATCGCAGACAGGATTTGAAACGTGCTTTCGTTACCTTATCTTTGATAGCGTCAAGATCCTCTATGTGCTTCTGCAGTTGGCGGGCGCGCCATGCTATGAGGTCGATGGTGGTAAACGCGCCTCGCTCTGGCAAGGGCGCCAAGAACGTTGCTTCTGCTAAATCGAAAGGAAAGATAGGTTCAACGCCATGGACCATGAAATAAGGCGATAAGCCTGTCGCCTTTTGCACGGTAACGCACTCTGCCCAAAATACCAAGGGTGCGACCTGATACCAGCGGGAATCATCCCCTTCACAAGTTTTCATGATGGCCTCCCGGACATCAAGATGCCTGCGTTCGACTATACCATTGGCCTGGGAATTATAAGGCGAAATGCGGATTGGGTGGATTCCATATTTCTCTGCGAGTGCATCTGCAGCGAGTCTATAGGCGGGTGCGTTATCAGTAACCACTTCGGTAATGGGACCCCATCTGCATAGGAGATCCTCGAATATGAATGCTTGCAGCATTTTGGTATTCTCTCTGCGTACCATGCGCCATTCGGGATATGACGTGAGCGTGCAACGCGCTTGCACAATATTCTCGAATCCGCCCGCTTTGGGCATCTTCATCGTGTCAATGTGCACTTTGCGAAACAGACCTCCTGGGATGGGTACTGTTGGTGGGATATGGAGTCTGCGCATCTGGTGCACTTGGCACTCGTGGCATGTGCGTGCATACCACTTGACGTCGTCAGTGATGAACGGCCACCAGAACCGCAAGAGCAACTGCGCGTGCACGGCATATATACCCTTGTGTCCTAGGTCGTCATGTGCCTCTTTCAAAATGCGGTAGCGTTTCTGGGGCTCAAGCACCAATTGGTGTTTCCCTTGACAGTCCCTACACCAGAGATTATCTTCTAGGATAAACAAGCGTGCTGTGAAATTGACAAATGCTTGAAATTCATCATCTGTGAGATCAGTGGGTCTTTCGCGCGAGAGAAGAAAACATTTGGCTGCGACTATTTTCTCGTCCAGAGTTTGCGCTGCTGAAGAACAGGGGAATCTCCGGTTCTACTGACTCAGGTTCGACGATATCTAGAAAAACACGCATGTCTGGTAACCGCGTAGGCTGTCGCACGTATGGTGCGCTATGCACTGTGCGCGTTATTTGCATGCACACCGCATTGACTTGGTGCGTCCTTTCATTCAGGAGCGCGATCCCAAACGAGTAAGCGCAATCTATCCAATCCTTGTGGTCATCATCCTCCACAGGATCCTCATCAACTGGGGGTCTCCTTGAGAGACCATCAACGCCTGCATGTTTTGTGGCGGGAACATGAACCAGAACAAATTGAAACAAGAGAATACCCGTGATCCATTGATTGATGGTTGCGTTGGGTTGCAAATCAGGATTATTGATCATACCTTTGATATACTTCGTGTCTATTTCGACCATAAGATTTGTGACGCCAAATATGTATACGCACACTGCGCGCAACGCGCAAAAGAGCCCATAGAGCTCTAGCTTGGCCTGGGAGTAGCGACTCTCCACTTCGGTGAGTGCGGTCGATCCGAAACGGTTTGGATAGCGCTTTCCATCTTCGCCTATTTGCAGTAGGATAAATCCCACCGCAACGACCGAGGTATCAACTGCTAGAATGACCTCGCAACCGCATTCATAATCCAGCCGTCGCAATGTGGGGGACTCTAATACAGAGTCCTTCAGCGTTTGCATCGCTTCCCGATGCTCAAGTCCAAACTCGAAGGGCACATCTTTCCTGGTAAGATTGATCAATGGGCGCACAATGCGTGAGAAGTTACTGGATGAAAATGCGCAAGACTCCACAGGTGCCCAGAAACCCGCGCACATGCGTCGCATTCTTGGGTTCTGGCCAATCGCGAATCTTTTGGACCTTGGAGTCCTCTGGCACTCGGTCCTCGAATGTGCACAAGTGCCCAACGATGATTGCACTTGGTGCGGCTAAGACGAATTTAGTAGTGGATATGGTGGCGCCTACGTTCTCCAGGCGCTGAAGAATGCGATTGAGCACAATGCAGTGCTCCCATATAAAGCGATGGATGCCTGAATTGGCAGGTATAGTCTCATAAGAGCCATCCGCGCGCTGGTAGCGCGTTTTCACCGATTTGATGGGCACATCATCTACAAAGGGCGACGTATAATCTGGGATCTCATGCTGAAGGATAAAGGCAGTATCTCCTTGGTAGACCTGTACAGCGTTGGCATGCCCTTGTGGCAACGTCGTCAGCCTATGAGGGCCTAGTGGCATTCCAAAGGTAGTCAAATCGCGCAATTCCTCGTGAAGAGCGCGTTGATCGTATCCTGAATATAAATCCATCATACCATACACAGCGTATCCTGCAAATGACTCTGCCAAGTGCTCGACAAAGGGTGGCACTGAGGCGTCGCGAATCGTAACTGCTGTCTTGCTACTTAAGGGTCTTATGTACAACACGTGTATAGTGACAACACAACTATACAGGATAAGACTTCTTGCCAGTCCTTAAGTACACGGTCTACAACTTTTCTAGTTGTTGTGGTAGATAATGTGTGAGTTCTTGGGAGGGTTTACTGACGTGTCCTCTTCTTGTTGTTCCCTGGTGGAATACTCGTAGATTCCCTAATGTTCTGATAGTAAGATCTGTTTCAATCTCGTAGGTCGTGTCTCAACCTATGAAAGTCTGTCTCAACTTTGTCATGTTCTTGTGTCTCCCTTCCTGAAAAAGAGAGAGTCTGTCTTAAAATATGTGAAGCCTAGTTAGAAAGCTGTTCTGGTGTTGTATACTCAACCCCTGTAAGGTAGTACACAACAAGTAATGAAGTCTGTCTTAAATACGTAAAGCCTAGTACGAAAGCTGTTCTGGTGTTGTATACTCAGCCCCTGAAAGGTAGCACACAACAAGTAGTTTATAAATAGATTGTTATATAAGCGACCCCTGTAAGGTAGTATACAACTAATCTCTGATACAATGTTTATCTTACTTCAAGGCACTCTTGGCCTGCACTTTAAGTCTTACGGTGTCTTAATAACCGAGGGTCTTATATGAAAACGTGTAAGAATGTAATGACACCACAATTACACTGGATAAGACTTCTTGCCAGTCCTCGATTAACACGGTCTACGACTTTTCTTCTTTCATGGTAGATAACGTGTGAGTTCTTGGGAGGCTCGCTAAACCAATCAGTCAGATTAACTTAGCCGGAGCTTTATTATCTCTGATTGAAACTATGGGATTGTCTAGGATATACCGTCTAGGCACTTGAACTGGTTTCCTGAATATACGGTTAACTGTTGAGAAGCTGGTCTCAAATGTGACTACGTGGACCAAAGCTCGTGTTGGTCAATATACAAATACCTGGTGAGAACGCTGGTCTCACAAATAACAACAATGACAAATAAAAAACAATGACAAATAACAACAATGACCAAAGCTCGTGTTGGTCAGTATACAAATACCTGGTGAAAACGCTGGTCTCACAAATAACAACGTTGACCAAAGCTCGTGTTGGTCAGTAAACACTACGTGGTGAGAACACTGGTCTCACAAAACTGGGTTTCTATCGCGAGAAACTTACGTAATCTCAAGGGAAACACTTTCCCTGCACTTGTCTGGACAGTTCTTACAAAGGAAATGGGCTTTGTAAGCAGCAATTTGTTCAGACTGAAGCTTCTTAGGTGAGAGTTCAATTTGCTCAAGTGGGAGTTCTTGAATGCAACAAGTGGGAGATCTATTTTTTTGGGGGAGAATGGGCTCTCCTTATATACATTTTGTGTGGGAATATTATGTAAGTAAAAAGGTGATGTAATGACTTCAGAATGTGAGAAGAATATTCCAAAAACTTGGAGCAGAATGTTCTAGCAGATGCAAAAGAACATTCCAGAATATTCATGGTGGGATAATGACATCATTCTGAGTCACTATGAGTCACTATGAGTCATTATGAGTCATTGGAATGTTCTAGCAAATTCCATGGAACATGACATCATTATGACATCATACCCTGTAGGTACAATTTTATGAAGCATCTGATTAGTCAGAGCATCCTAATAGAAAAGTAAAGTAAAGAAACACAGAGAGAAAACAACTCAGAAATAATGGAACAAATAATAGTACACAATACGCGGGCTTTTTAGATAGGTTTTTGTTAGGCTTTGAACTTTTCTCTATGGGTTTCTCTAGCCAATGTGAATAAGCCAAATGAAAGGCAATACCTTAACCTTCATTTTGCTTCTCATATCAACTAGGTCATTATGTGATTCCCATCTCACATATGACTTTTCTTCAAAACATGGTGGATTCACGAATCACTGAGGGAAAACTGAAACTATTGGACCAAGGTTTGATACCAAGGTATGGGTTGACTAGTCTGAGGACTAAGCTAACAGACTTTGTCTTTTAGGGGGATACCTAGTAGTCATGTCCATGCATGATTCCCAAATCATGCAGGACAACGGACTCTCACGGTTTGAGAAAAGAGTGAAAAGTGGGAAGTTATTATTACTCAGTGTAGAATGGGCTCCTTTTATACCTTTTTGGGAGGCCATTTTACTAAGCATGACTCATCACAGCATTAGTAAGTCACTGGCTTACTAACCATGCCATTTGGCAGTGCTGAATCAGCTGCTTACAAAGTAGTTTACAAATAAAGTTCATAATATTACAAAGCATGATAAATCATGACGAAGCATGACCAATCATGACAAATCCTTACAAATCAGATTATTGCCTATCACATGACATGCTTACAAACATATCTGGTGGCTCACTGAAGGATTCTGTGGCTGAATGAGCCTGAAACAAATAGAAACAAATGGAAACAAATGGAAGCCACATGACAAATCATGCAGGATCCTTACAAAGCAGAATATTGCCTATCACATGACATGCTTACTAACACATCTTGGTGGCTCACTGGTGGCTGAATAAACCACATAAAAGAAATGAAAAGAAAAGGGGAAAGGTGAAAACTATCATACTGGAAATATAAATACAAGTAAATCTGTCAAAATGGAACCAATCATAATAATACAATGAGGTACACCTTAGTGTACTCTCTGTAGCTACTTCCTGTCTATCAATGTCATGGTATGAGTTCCATACCATGCATGACACCGCGTTAAGCGGCTGTAAGTCGTGAACTAAGCGCAGTGATTTTCCGTCCTTCTTGACGACACAAAACCAGCGTGAGTGATATGCAGCATCATATACTCCTGACGTGATTTTCTCCTTGATAATGTGTATAACTTCGCCAAGCATTGAGGGAGGGATAGGGATATTCTGCTGAGACCAGGGGGTGTGTGGTACAGTCGGAATCTTGTAAGGCAGGAAATATGTCTCATTGAGGCAACCTTGTTCTGAGGCACCCCATGCAAACGCGAGCTCATGAGTGCGAACGAGCCAGCGGATAAGCTTTAGCTCTTCTGGCCATAGCCATTTCGTGGGATCTAGATCGAGCTTGTCAGCACGTTTGCGCGTGAAGCGGACACCTGGAATAAATTCGGGAGGATGAGTTGGCAGTTCTGGCATGCCAGCCAACGGATCTGCGGGTAACTGGCGCACTACTCTATACTCTGGTGGCATAGTAGTAGGCACTGTGCACACTTTCTTCGCCACTGGCTTATAGACCAGGGTGTGGCGTGAACAATCATAAGAACAGACGGATGAGAAGGCCTCTATAGATGCCTTGTCTAAAACGGAGCAGGTCGAAGTCAGGTGCGCGTATTGCGCCGAATAATGCGATGGCGATGATAACGGAATAATCGGGACGGATAATGAAGACGAGCTGTGCGAGAATACAGAAACAGATGCAATGTTGCTCCTTAGGAGCTGTGAGTGCGAAACATCTGCGTGCTACGCTTTGGAATGAATGAAAGATTGAGCGTCCTTGCGAGATGGAAATGTATACCAAGGTGGGGTCATATAAGATGGATAGGTGTCTCCCCGCGAATTCTGCAGATCATCGATATCTAAAAACCCTTTTCTTCTTCTTTGCACGGCTTCAACGCATGTTGCGGACATGGAAGTCCACTTACACAACGTCCACAGCGCTTCACCCATTGCTGGGTGGGAAGGCGCAGCTCCTTGCGCATGTTGGGATCAGTTAATAGGATGTCTTGATCGCCATTGGGGAGGTCGAATGTGCGGCATGCAGTGAGCTTGAAGAACTGGTCGCCCTAGTAGAATCTCAAAATTTGCACGTTCGGTGACTTGCACTTGGAAGTACATAGGCCTGGCGCCAAAGTTGAGTGGTACGTTCTCTACCACTCCCAAGGTTGAGCCCTTCAATGTGTTGACAGATTCCATATTAAGGCGATGGTCTGCACGCAGACCTACACCTAGCGATCTCCAGACTTCCTTCGGCATCACCACTACTTCGGTGCCTTGATCGAGGACACAGGTGAGTACCCGCCCTCCAATCGTAGCAGCGCAATAGGCACGAAGTGATCTGCGACAACTTTGCCATCATCGCTTCGCAACTGATCTTGGTTGAATGCCTGCATGAACTCCTCTGTCATTTCCTGGCTGGATAATTCGTTGACTGATACCGTGCCTACGGTGACGCACTTATTGGTTGTGAGGTCGCGGAATTGTTTGCGGACATCTGGCGAAACAGCGAGTAATTCGCACACAGGGATGTTGATGCTGCTTTGAAGAAGGCGCTCTATTATGCGCTTATCGGCCTCCTTGTCCTCAAGTGCGCATAAGTTCCTGTAGTGGGTAGACAATGATGATGCAAGGGGTGTGTTAACAGATGACGATGATGCACTCTCGGATACTTTGGGTGTCTCTTTTGGCTTGGCAGCTGACAGTAGAGGGCGTCGCAGCGCTTTTTGCGCGTTCTGGCGCCTTGCCTTTGTCTGACGAAGCTTGTACGGCAGGAGAGACTATCTCTACCACATCAGAGGCTTGCCTAGATGCAGGCCCAGGGCGTGCACAAAGCTCACTGGAAACTTATACTCCGTCAAATCATACCGCTTTTCCTTTGGGGGCGTAAGGTCCATTTCCCTTCTTCTGATCGCACTTTGCAGTTGCTAGCGCTAACGCCTGCGTAGCGCGCAGCACTTCGAGATCTTCGTCGTCTACCTCTGAATCCGCTGTCTGTGATAGTGTGCACAAATGTGGACGAGTCAACCTCTATCACTGCGTCGACATCAGGATTAGCGCGGACAAAGATGCCAGCGGTTACACTGGCGCTTGGAAGCGCTTCATTTGCTGCCTAATTGGCATAATGGCGATCAATGCGCTCCTTCAAACTCCCTTCGGATGCGTGCCCAGGTACCCATCTTCCATTAGGCAGCACTATCTTCTTGTGCTGGTCGTGTATCTTGCATTTGCCCACATTTATGTACAATTCCTTCTCCTGGCAACGGCCGATGAAATGATCGCGGTTTCCACAGAACACGCATCCACTTGCTGTATAGTTGCTGCTGCGACCAGCTTGGTACTCTTGTTTGATGATAGTGCCTGGTGCTGGTTGCTGGTGCGCTGGCGCTTGGGGTGGGGTGATCAGGTTGGATGCGAAACTTGGCGCACTTGATGGGATCGCCTCTACGACCTCGACCCCAGGGAGTGAGAAGTCTGCTGCTTCATGCACATCGTCAATTGGGTAAGGGTCATCTGGGTGGTGGTCTGGGGACTTGATTAGTAACCGTGTGCGAATCTTTTGTTGGATCTCCGTTGGAAACCCTTCAAGAAACAATCTATTCATCTCTGCCTTCCCTATGCGATCTTTCGCAACTAGGGGCTGTGCGACTTTGATGAATTTGCAATAATACTCCCCTTCCGCGTCTACGCTGCGCATTGGCACGTTAAACTGATTGTGCAAAATCGTCTGCAGGTCTGCCACTGCATAGCACTTATCACCTTGACAGCCGGGATACATCTTTTTTATCCCTAAGACAAATGTGGCATAGTTGCTCGTGCTTGCTGCCATTGTCCCAGCCCATAAACCTCTGTCTTTCATGGGGACATATCGGAGGAGGCCTTTGATGCGGTCTGCGCCTAGGAGGCCAGCCTGGTCGGCGAGGTATTCGTACTCCTCGATGAAAAGCATCAAGTTTTCCGCCTTGCCGTCAAACTTCGGTGCGCCTTCTGTGCTGGAGATAGGCATCCTAAAAGGTGCTATTGACATGTTTGCTGCAGGACTGTTAGCTATTAAAATGGGTTGAGTATTAGAGACTTTTGTGATAGGCGCTACTGTTTGCGCTTGGGGGGTAACTAGAGTGCCTTGTGATCTGATGGGTTTTGGCGGTAGTGAGGTACTGGCGTCTTCTTGTTTGATAACTGGCTTTTCCGTTGTGGTGGACTGGCATGGGCGACAATGTGCCTGCCTCTGGCAGACGAAGCTCGTGTGGCCTCAACCTGATGATTATGCTACCTACGACAATGCCCGAAGGCTCTACTCCTATTGACTAAGCTGTGCAAAGGGTGGCAAACACCCGCCTGCACCACCCCCCGCTAGAGGGGTACCCCACTCCAGCGGTTACTGTACCTGACTGTGTGATTGATGGCTTGTGGGAGGTGTTGCTAGACGTAGTTAGCGCGGTTAGGGAAGAGAGGCTACTTGCGCTCGAGGGTAATATGCGCTTTGGTGTGCTAATGAATGCACCAGGGGGTAGATTCCTTGGGTTATCTTGCAGCTTCAAATTTGTCGGACGATTCGCCTTTCGCGGAATCCTTGGGTGAAGGTGTGACAGGCGAAGCGGGAGTGTGCGGGTTTGGTGCGAAGAGTGAGAGATCTGGGTGTATGGGTTCTGAGACGTGTCTTGCACAGGTTCGTGAAACCGGAACAAAAATCTCTTCTGCTTCTGTGACTTGTGGATCTGAAAATGCGATATTGAATTCTTCAATGGCTTCTTCTCTTTCTTTGTGTCCCTTAGTAGGCCTGAGCGACCTGCTAGTTTTCTCAGATGATCCCCTCGCGGTGGGCTCCAGTTGAGGGCAAGGAATGATAGCTGCATGCTAGGGGGAAGAGTGGGAAGTGGGCTCTCAAGTGCTCCTCTGGATATGAGTGGAAAGTCGTCCCAAGGGGATTGCTACTGAGAAAGATTCCTCTAGTGAAAGGTGGGGGGATCTATAACCAGCGGTTTGGTCTCAAAGCCTGAATGGGACACTGAGGCAAATAATGCACCCAAAAGTGAAGAGTGCTAGCTAAAGGCGCCTAAATGTGCTAATAAGGCGGAAAGTGCGGAAAAGCACACTTTGTGCGATCACAACGGAGTGCTTCAAGTAGAGGTGGCAATCAAATGGGGGAATCAGGACTTTGATAGATGTGGAAGTAGACACTTAAAGGTGTCAAAGCGCCAATAGGAGGGAAACAGGTGTATTCAGATAGAAACTCCATGTCATATACCATATATCCGGTTACAGATCCGATGATCTGGATCTCAGATCCGATCCAGATCCGATGAACATATCCGTCGTCCGGTCCACAGATCTGCTTTGATTCTTATTTCATTTCCTGTTCATATAACTCTAACTATCGTTCATCTCCTTTCGGTATTCCTGTACACCGGTATACCAGTTATCCTTTACTTCCGCTTTGCTTACTGATCCGCTACACTTACGAATCCGCTTTTACTTGTACTTCATTCCCGGTTCATGATTCGTGATCCATCCAACTTACCAATACACTCCACTTAGACTTTGCTTATACTTTCGTACATAGCCTCGCACCTTTGCTTATTGATCATTCCGTTAGCTATCCGTAGTATATAAACCTTTGTATATGCGCTGTAGTAGATCAGTTCGAATATCATCTTAGATTGCACTCATTCCGTCTGGACTCTAAGTCCCTCCGTTATCCGTCCGGACTTGAGTACGCTACTCTTGTCTACTCCAAGACTTAGGATAGATTCCTATAGTCTACATATCCGCCTCTGTCTTCGGACAGTCCTCACCCGTTAGTTTCTAGTCTGGATCCAATCCGGATTAGCTGTTACTCTATACATTCGATATCCGGAAGTCTTAACGGATCCGTTGCAATACTTATCCGTTGCGATACAAGACTTATACGTTACAATACTTATCCGTCTCACTAGACGCGATACTTTAGCTCTCTGAAATAAGGGGCAAGACTCGGGAGAGGGGCACAGCGCACGAGCTGAGGCCGAAGCCCTTCGGATCCGATACTACTTGAGTACGGTCTTAACACTCCAGCTATACACTTCAATGGTAGTGGAACGGAAGTAAGTGACAGGAAAACAAACATGGTGACGTGTAGGTATGCTAAGCGAGTTCCCACAGCTCAGAGCCGAATAGGAAGTACTAAGGTAAATGGTGAGGTAAGTCAGGGTCCATAACAAGATATGATGATAAGTACTAGTGCCTGCGTGACAGAGTATGAGTTCTGAAGAAGGGAAAACACACCAATGGACCTTGGAGGACTCGGACAGGACATGCGGAGGACAGGCGACGGATCCTAGAGAAATGTGACAAAGTGCACCGTAACGCACTCAAACGCACTCAAACGCGCTGGTATGCGCCAAAGCGCGCGTTGCACGGAAGTCGTATGAGAAGCGCTGTTGCAAGGATATCGAGTGCATCATGAAAAGCCGTGAATTTGGCCCATATGAGCCTGGAGAAACGTGAGTCTCTACAGCGCATCATCTTCTTCCAGCATGTGTTAGTGTGGAGAGATGATGTTGAAATGGGGGGACGAACCTGGCAAGCGTAACAAGACCGCACCTGTGCACATCATCTTCTTCCAGGATGTGTTAGTGTGGAGAGATGATGTCGAAATGGGGGGATGAACCTGGCAAGCGTAACAAGCCCGCACCTGTGCGCATTATCTTCTTCCAGGATGTGCTAATGTGGAGGGATGAATAGGCTGCACCCATGCACATCATTTTCTTCTGAGATGGTGAATGAGTACCACTGCGCACCAAAGAAGAATAGTCTTACCTAAGATGCGATCTCAAATGCGTGGTGATCTGCAAACCTGTTTACATAGAGGCGCGGAAGGCGTCATATGAGTCATAGTGTTTGAGGTTCTCTGGGATGGGATGTGTTCCATAGATTGGAATGAGGTGTGCAGCCTGGTAAATGGAATTGATATGGATAATTCCAATTAGTGGAGAATGGTCAGTATCATATGAAGGTTTTACAATCCACATGCCAGTGTCCTCGTCAGGTCCATCGCTGGCTTTCTCGAACCAGCACACTACAGCACATGGATAGGAAACTGCCTCAAACGTGAAAGAGAAAAAGCACATGACACGGCCTATGTCCATCCCCCCCATCCCTTCGACAGCTGCATTTGTGTTCACAAACACACAATCGTATTGTGGTGCCTCGTTTCTCCAAAGAGGACAAGCACGTATATGCTCCCGGCGCATGCCATCGATACCGCTGCGGTCGCTAGGTGCATAGAATGTCGAAGATGCAGAGTTGAACACTTGAATTTTCCCATCAAATCGAGGACAACTTGCAAGCAGGATGTCAGACGGAGAAGGTTCGTAATCTGGATGCAATTGTTCGAATAGGAATCGGCGGAGAAGGTTGTAGAGACGGGGGGTAGAGAGTTCTGTACTTAAATCAGGTACAGTTCGTGCACGTTTGCGTTCTGCGCAATAACGAAAATCATGAGGTATTGATTGTCAAATATAAGCTGGCTTACAGTGTGTTTTTGCTAACTGAACATGGGCCTGGACCAGCATCGGGCCGTCGATGATTTCGCCTTCTTCATTGTCACCCTGGGTAGTGACATCGGGGTCTGGGAGTAGCGTGATGCTATTTTCATTGGGCTCATTGGCTTCAGGCTCCCTAGTATTTAACTGTAAACGCGCTAGTATAGATTTTGAGCAAGCAATGCAAAAAATAATGCCATAAAAACTCACTTAATGCTCAAAGAGTGTCGGATAGACAGGTGCCGTTCAGCATCCCACGGCTTTTGAAATCGATGCATGATGCTGCCAGTTTGTCAAGGTGCTGATTTGTTACCAGCATTTGACCAAGCGCTTGGTAGCGACTTGAACGCCTCCATGGTTCCTTCACAGCTTTAATGTGCTTTGTCTCTGTAATCGAGGAACATAGGCCGTTGGGTGCACCGAACAGTCAAACAAGGAGGGCATAATGGGAACAAGAATGTTGTCGAGGGAGAGAGAATGTGAATACGACACCTGTAGACTCGAAAATCTTCCTGTAATGATGGAATCGGTTGAGAGCATCCTGGATCTGGACCAGCGTGGATTCCGTAATGATGTTACGCCATACGAAATAGCAGAATTTGAGAAATGCACGAAATGTGCGCACCACATCCATTGGGACGTAACCTTCAATGGCGGGTAGATAAACCTGAACTGTTGTTAGTCTGAAGGTCACAATATCAACGTTAAACTTACCTTCATAAGAGCTTTCGAATCGTCGCCGGTTCATTGTTTGAACCCTCAACCTTGAGGAAAATGTTGAAGACCCGAGAATGAGGCAACAACAGCAATTCTTTAACAACATCAGCTTTGAGACATTGAATTCAGACAAAAAGGACATACCTTCGATCTATATCATCTTTAATCTTCTCTGCTCCTTTCTTGCCATACACATGGTGCAGATATTGTCCCACCCATTCAACTAGATGGTCCTTGAAGGTTCCTTTAATCAATTGGTGTAGGACGTCCGGTGCGATAAGTTCATGAATACTGCCTCGGGGAAAATCATTTGTAAACGGCTAGAAATACTTAAGTCTCAACTGCGGTTCTACAAGACAGGTGACTTACAACAAGGTCGGCAACAATACCATACTCGTCCCACAGATCACTAGATGTTACTTCTTCAATGAGTGCTTCTGCATGGTCGCGATTGCGATACAATGACTTGGTGTCCAAATTTTTGCGGTGTGACATGCACCTGTATGTTAAAAATACCTAGTCAGAGCGTATATTGAAAATACATTGAGGAACATACCTTGGACACCAAGAGCGCACTATACATGCCAAGAACCTGCTCCTCATAATCTGCAATATATGGTCCAAGCCCATAGATAACACGTCAATAGTGCCCATCACCAAAATGCACAACTTCTGGTTTCATCATACCAGGCCTGAGGTTCTCGAGAATCTTCGAGATTGATGAATGGAATAGTTGCCGGCGATACTTGCGATATTTTGGGCAGGCCACATGCTCCTTGGTAGCTGCTCAACTGTAGTTAGCGCAGAACGACAATAGTAGGATGAATATTACTCTTTGGCATAGCTAGAAAACCGATGATGGCAACAGCATCGCGATGTGCACGTCGGACATTATTACTAACATTTCCAATCGATACATACAGTGGATAGTAGTCGTTGGCGCCAGTTGCCACTGAAACTGTCATTTTGTCGCTGCCAAGAATAACTGGCACAAAGGTTGAGCCAGCTGTATCTGAATCTTTGGAAATGATATCCTACCGAACATCATCAGTGTGTTAGCTACATAAAATAAGGAAAGATAACATACTGCTTGATTCCAAGCCCAGTCACCGGACATGAAGTCTTGCCATTGATGTTCGTTATCATCAGTCGAGAACTCACGGTAGGGCCGGTAGTCCATTTCCTTTTCATAGTCCGGGTTTGCCAACATGTTCCGAATGATATCATGGGGGTCTCGATACCAGACATCATGAGATTCAGTCATCCAGGGTGGTACATTGTGTGCCGGCTTCTCCCCTGTGTACCGGACATTGAAAGATTGCCATTTGACATCACCTACCAGTGTGCTATCAATGGTCTTATATAAATCACGGGAGTCCGCAAACGGTGGCTTGTCATTGTGTTTCAAAAGGGTTGCAGCCCAAAGATCCAATAAGATATTAATGTTCCCCACTGACATCTGATTACGCGTGTACAGAAATTCCGCGGTCTCGAACTCAACGCGATTTCGGTAGGGAGTCCAGTCATCAGGCAATTTGCTTGGTGGCGGTATGGGGGGTGCTCCATCAGCAAGGAATTGACCTGTTGCATCACATGGGCGACCTTCATAAGTTTATACATTAGTTGCAATTAGCTAGAAGAGCTTCAAGAAACATACCATTTAGTTTGAGGTGATAGTTGCAATATAATCTATCGCCTGGTCACCAAAACTCCGTAGCCAGATTGTCAGGCTCGTCGAGAGCCTGACCCGCATCAAATGAGCCTGCGGGGAAGTTGTCCCCTGCGAAGAAGTTGTCATGTGGTTCTTCTGGCTCATCTTCGACTGTAGCCGAGTAAGAGACACTAGTGGTAGGAGCTGAGGTGAATGTCGGATGCAAAGCATTCCAGTGCTTTGTGCACCCTGCCTGAGTTTTGGAGTGGCATTCGCAGTGCAAGTAACCGCAGGGAATCTGATGAGCGCTGTGGTCCCTGCAAGCATGATGAGACATCCTAAACATAAAATGAAGAGAAGAGTTGAACTGTATGGGAGCCTTGAGAGCCGTGCCAAATACTATAATCCAATTAGCGTGTGCGCGCCACAGTCGATATACTTGTTTGGGGACTTACTAAATTCTTGAACTTCCAACCTTCACAATTCTGACGTCTCACTCCAGCGAAAGTCCTCGTCTCAGTAACCCCATCTCCTCAGTCATGTCTACAATAGATGCTCCTCGTCACACCCGTCCATCAAATGCAACTGCCCGGCCTGGTCAGATAGTGCTTAACGCACAGGTCAAGAGACATACCAAGGCACAAAAGAATGCCGCTGACCTTGCCCTCAAGGAAGCCAAAGAATTAAAGGAGGCACAGGCTGACAAGGGACTGAAGCACCTGGCTGGTATGCAGAATGAGATGGAGAAAGCACAGGAGGATTTACTCATGAAAAAAGCGATCCCTGTTGTGCCCAAGCCAAGGGCTCGTAAGGCTATAAAGCCTGCAGTAAGGAGTAGTGACAATCATACTGATAGCATGGTGGAGGCTGATGAAGCTGATGACCTCCAGGAGACTGTTGAGCAGATGGACAGTGAAACTGCAGGAGTGACGAAGAAGAAGGTAATGAAGAAAGGTGGAAAGACGCTGATAAAGGATGCCATCAGCAACATGCAAAAGAAGATCAACGAAGCGCCATCAAAAAGGGAAAGTGACAACACTGACGGCATGGCACGTGTATCTGATGGGAAAGACTCAGTGCTGTGAGGCTTCTTCTCTTACCCATCACTGATGTTACTTCTCACCGAATCAACATTATATTTCCTCAATCTTACCTCTAGTTTCAATGCAACCGCTCAGAAATTCGCATTGGGTGGCCGGGTCACCAACTGGGTTTCCAATGTTAAGCCGCTGGGAAAATTAGAACATCCAAAGCCACTACCATCTGCATCAAGTATTACTCGAGCGCCTCCGACCTCCATTTTCTCACAAGGCACTGCTTCTACGGCAGCAACTTCTGATGCGCAGGTCCTGATTCAGAAGCCTGTGGTTCCAGCTGAAATTCCAGATGCAGATGACGCCCTCATAGGCAGTTTGCAGATGCCATCGATGATACCCTGGAGCATGAGGCCACTATTGTGAAAAGCAAGGGAAAATCGAAGGTAATTGAATGCTATTTGATTGTTAATACTAGTATCCGCTCATTAATTGGTCCGCAGGTAGCCTCAATATTTGAAGATAATGCGGACTTTGAGCCAAAGGCAACTTCCACATCAGTACCATCAGGAGCATATGACTTGGATGAAGATTCGGCGACTTCATTTGCAGAGCAGGAACAGTACTCACTGGAGCCCAAGCCTCCATTCACACAAATCGACACTCTCCGGGCCCTCAAGCAGAAAACTCTGGTGGATGACGCCTTAGATGATGAGGAGGAGGCATCTGTGGTGTCTGACTGGTCCATGGACATTGATGGTCCCGCTTTTGAGGACCCGATTATGGTTTCTGATGAAGAGTCTCAGCCCGAACCTGTGGTACTAAAGAAGAAGATTCAGCGCACAACATCTTTGGTAAGTGTGAACTGTTAATTGTGCTCATTCTGACACTCTCATAGACGTCTGTATCTGTTGCTTCTACTGCTGACAGCAAGCTGCCTGCTCTAAAAAAGGCCAAGGCCGAGTCATCCGTTACACATGCCCACAACACTCCTGCTGTCAAACGCCAGTTGAACGTGGACACTGCACCAGAGCGAATGAAATCTCGTAGCACCTATCATAACGTTGACTTACCTGCTATGATGCAGGTAGATCAGTGCTGGACAAAGAAGTATCTCCCTACTGTCATGTTGTGGGCTGGGAGTTATGGTGATATCTGGAACATCCCAGATGACGTCCTTCTCCTTCATGCTCAGCTCATTTTTAACGCGGTATACAAGGAACTTAACATCACTATCGTTCATGGTGGTGTGATACACTCCCTGGTAAGTCTATTTTTTACTGTCGAGCTTGACTGACTGTATTTGTAATTAGACAGCACAGCATATATCCGAATGGCGCAGCAATTTCAGCTCTACAGGCATAGTCATCGTCCTGGACTTTTTGATGTGAAATTCTGACTGCAATCCCGTTGAACTCGCCAAGTCTTTAATTGCAGGCTATGCATTCTTGTTTCAGGATCCTGATGAGCCAAATCCCCTCACAGTGTACCATTCTCCCTTTGTTTTGCAGTTGTTGGGTACTGTGCATCTCAATGCCATCAGTGGGTATGTGGATGTTCCCAAACTTGACATGCATGCACTCGCAACACTTGGGATGTCAGGCGTTATTGCCCTTTCTGCTGCAGCAGTAAGTTTGATCTTCAGATGGTTTAATTCGCACTTATTATTTTAGATTGAACGTGCCCTCAATATGTTTGCAGACAAGCATTTGAAAGTCAAGGAAGTCTTAGCGGCTGGCTCAGGTAAACTCGCTATCAAGCTACCGAAAATCCTCAACAAAACCACCGGCAAAATGACCAATGCCCCATTCTTATTTTCAGGGGCTTGCTGGACTAAAGTGACTAACTCGTTCATCAAGTCTATCTCGAACAAGCCTGCTGGATACATAGAGACTACGATACAGATGGCGCGTGCCTGTACTATGTCGAACGACGCGATGGATCCAGCACAGGGCTCATTTGATGATGAGGAGTCCGAGGACGATGAGTGCGCTATGCTTTGTAAGTCATTATCATTCAGGTTTAATCTCACTGACATTCATGACCTCAGAATTTTTCTATTTGTTGTGTCTGCATGATTTTCACTATCCTACATTGAACTCCAGGCTGTCGCTATCATCTTTTACTGCATCTGCCGCTGCTCCATTTGCTCCCACTGCTCTATTTGCTCCCGCATGCCCCCCTTTTGTTCCTGTACTGCTGTCCCACTTTTCATATTAGCAAGTTTCCTTAATTTTCCACTTATTGTGTAGTATGCCCCTTTTTATGAAAGACTTGTGCCGCTTTATCTGGTTTTTTAAGCAAAATAAGTGTTGAGTAAGCGGAAATTCAGAGATGGAGTGGGCTTAATCAAGTGGCTCGCGCTTTTTCGCTCAAATGACTTAATACTTCTTTTCACATAATTAAGTGACAAATAAAGCGAGATAAGCAACTGGTCATTTTCCTGATGTTGTTCCGATTTGGTGCAGATTAATGAGAGAGGAGTGATGCACAATTTTACAGCATCAAAGACACTGCAAAGATCTGGGCGCAGAGGAGTAACTGAGACATCATAAGGAGGAGGGAGGCAATTTCAAGCAAAGAACCGCATCCACGGGTATATTTCATCCCAACTCCTCACAATATACTTTGTCACAACATCGTCCTTGACACCAGTACTAGCTGAACAGGCAACCGAGGTAATCCTCACCAATCCAAAGAGAGCCAACTTCGCGCGTATGATGGCAGGAATAATCTTGGGATCGATGTAATTTGGTACTTGAACCGATTTGAGCGTTGCATGAAAGATGGGCACCAAGCAGCAAAAATGGGAAAAATTGTTGATTGGGATAGAATCAATCAGCCTTGCCAGATCTGCGGTAGATCCCTGTAGAGCCCTCTTTGCAGTAATCTTGAGTGCATGTTAGTAGTCGAACAGATTGGTGTGATAAGGGATCCAACTTGTGTTGCCGCTGGCAGTGACTTCAGTGCTTTTGCATCATCTATAGAGAGATGCAAGCTTGCGGCAGATGGCATGAGGGGTAGGTAGTAGCACTGTATAGTGTGATGGGCTTTAGCAGGGACAGGTGGAAATTGGTTCAGGAAGTCGAGAATTTGGGACTGTTATCAAGATGCATATGCCACCCCAATTACAAAAGCCTTGTGGCTGTATTTCGAATTTCGATATAAGTGCGTAAGTGCGTAAGATCCATTGGTATTACTGAAGCATGCACTCGTTTCTTGAGTCACTATAAACAAAAAGTGCATGTCCGTAGCTTGCAGATTGCTTGATATTGTTGTTGTTGTGATCACCGAAAGATTTGCGCTTCTAAGAGCAGTGTTCAACTTGAGCACTTGAAGTGAGCTGGTGTTGCATCACTCCTTGATTTGGACGCAATATGTTTGTATGTATTTGGTTGGTGTATTATGTACTGCTGTTACCCAATCCTGCTCGCGCACACCAAATTCAATTGTCAGTGCAGTCTTGTTGAAGTTTATCAGGGGTCAGTCCATGATGACATTGGCGCACAGCCAAATAGACATGCATCGACATTCTCCGATTCCGAGATACCTGTTCAGAATTTGAGATTGTTTGGCCCAAGCCCAGCTTGTTCAACCGCGAAGGTCAAACATAAAGGGGTGTTTTGTGTGTTTGTGTTTGAGGAGTTTGCCTGAAAGCTGGAGGCACCGGCATTTGAATTCTACCCTGGCAAGAGCTCGCCAGTCATTGACAGATTTGTGGCTGAAGAAGAGTTTGAGTCTTCAAGAAGGTATTCACGCAATCTCAAGCGTCTGCAGGATCTCTCGAACATGAGGAACATGCATCAAATAAGTGAGAGCAAAATAAGCGAGAGCAGACAACGCGTGAGGTTGGTAAAGTCAGACGTGTTCCAAATATCATGTCCAAGTATGTAGCCTCTTCGGGGCGGAATTTTAAGTAGGAGCAGTATGACGTTCAACAGCCTCCCGTGCGGCCTCTGCCCAATCCTGCTCGCACACACCAAGCTCAACTCGTAGTATGGTCTTGTTGAATGTCGTCAGAGTCAATCCATGAGGTTGGCGAATGCGCGACTCCCAGCCCTCTGGAAGTCGCTCATGATGAAGGAAGCTATGGAGGTGGTCCATACGACCTCCAAAGACAGTGACTAGGGTCGCGGCACTAACGGAACGTTCAAAAGTGCGCTCGAAAGCGGACGATGTAATAATGTACTTCGTGCTCCCAAAGATCTTGTGGATAAAGTTGAGAGAGAACTCCTTGTTTACTGCACGCGCAATGGCACGACGCTTGCCGAGCATCCTGGAGATCTTTGGTGGTGATGAGATCATTGCTGTCCTCGTCCTTGCCAGTCGCTGCCGCAAGTAACTCCTCAATGAAAGGTACGTATTTTATCGATTGGTCCGGTTGAAAAGCAGCGTCGAGGCCTGAAGACAGATCATGTCACATAACTTACAAGAACAAGCGGAGAAATTGCTCACGTAAGAGAGAGGCGTCGTGTTCAATACCATTGTGCAGGCCAAGTTCTTTCAAATCAAATGTATCCTTGCTGTAGCTTTTCTTGAGCATATGAGCGGCGAAGTGCGGCACAAATGAGCAAAAGGTAGCACTGAAGTTGTAGGTTGCCCGGATGTGGTGGCCAACCTCGACAAACGAGATGTCGCGGCCACTGTGTGAGATGATTGATTGGAGAGCGTAAGGAGAACATCCCAAGATAAAATCCCGACATCAAAGAAAAGACGAGACAGGCCGGAAAACAAGCCCATTTCACTTTCCTTGGGTCAATGATAGGTATGTCGAATGTGATAAGGGACAGGAAGAGATGGATAGGTACGTTTCACTATCAAGCTTAAGTATATATATTCAGGATCCAAATAACGTACCCAGTGTCACAGGACTGACAGTGACAGACAGGGTTCTGTATCCCTGCGCCATATGGTATTCCGAACCATACTGATGTACTAGGAGGGCTCAAAATTAATCAGTAGTGGACGAAAGGAGATATTGAAAAAGGAAGAGTCATCAAAGAGTCAATATTGCTTCTAAATCATCTGACTGGCAGTCTGGGGCATAAACTTCATCGAGCTTCTCCGATCCGGGCCCATATATGTCAAGGGTTCATTAATGTTCAGAATTCGCGGCGGTTTCGGAGAAGAAGGCGCCCGATAAGCTTGAATCATTTGACGCGGCTCTCACAGCACCTACTTGTCCAACCCCGAAGACCACATACGAAGGGTCAAATTTAAAGGGGCTCCGGTGTTTCGAGTTCTGCGTTCGAATGACAGTTACAGGTCTCCTCACCCGTAGTCCGTTTTGGTTGACGTGTGAGTGTCTTCACGCGCACGTTCCAAGTCTTGAGCAAGGAAAGTCACGTGACGTCGGTGTGCAACTCGTCGGACTGATGTTTTCTCAGTTCCTTCATGCGTCGATGACGAGCATGGCGGCAGCAGTAATATGGACACCAGGGCTTGCTTCCACCTCATACAAGCTCCCATCCATTACTTCAACATTGCGACATAAAGAACCCCATAATGTCTGCTGCTTCTCATCCATGTGTCGACGAGCAGCCCACTTGCACGATCACTATGCAACCCTTGGAGTCCCAATCACAGCGAGCAAGGCTCAAATAAAGGCATGGGTCACTCACTTTGTGTTCCTCACAAACTCATCATAGACACACTTCTACCAAGTGAGTCGTTCTCATTGGTAGCTCCGGATAGCTGCTGATGGACCACGCCGACTCTTAGCTTAGCAAGAAATACCATCCCGATGTCATTCAGTGTTGGACGTCAGATACGATGCGTACGCGTGCTACCAGTCCCGGAGGATTAGCCTCTGGGACTTCTTCGATTTCCTTTCCTTGTCCAGTCCTTATCATATCTTGACGTCTTCTCTTGGTACCTTCCACACCATACATCGTCTCCACTGGTGTCGTTGCCACCAGTATCGTCTTTCCGTCTGGGACTTGTCCTCATTTGATACTTAATGTCTTCTTGAATGAAGAGCTGCCTCAGCGTTGTCTATTCACGTCCGCTGAGGTATGCATGTCCTTACTACTCGTACTTAATCTTGTTGCTGACATGTCACAACCTCATTCGCTATGGCTCAAACACAACTTGAAGTCCCAGCGCATCGGCTCGTACTTTCACGAACTCAGATTCATTCTGAACCAAGGGAAACAGTTTGGACCCCGCATTGGTAGGCTTTGTGTAAGCACGCTGGCTTACTAGAGTTCCCATAATCTACATAAATACTGTCCGCGATACTGAAACACAAGCTTTCAGTATCACTGCCTTTTGGCGTAACAGTTAAGGGATGACAGTCTTAGCTAAGTTACACTTTGCTTGACACGACCATCTGATAGTCCATCTAACCATGTCATGGACTTCCAAACACCTAATTTTCTCAGAACATCTCATGGTGTAGTTCCACATTTCTCAAGGTACCATATTCATTCAGCTAATGACATCAGCTGGATCAACATATTTTTTGAATCCTTGTGAGTTGTCATTTTACCTGCTATACCCTCAGTGAATAATCTATGACTTCAAGCCTCGAGCGAACATCCCCAGTACCCACTTATCAGGCAGGATCGCAGCTACTACATAATTTCTTAGGATTCAACAGCTCAAAACATATCGTTTCGCTTTCGCTTCGTGATCCTTTGGATGCTCGAGAGATGCCTCCAATGGAAATTCGTATGTTTCAGCTTCATGCATATGTGGCATCAGGAAGGTGATTATAAAGTTAGAGTCTCCTCTGTCAAAACTTTTCATCTTCGTTTTCAGGTCACGCTCGCAGACTGGCGATCATATGTTCTGACAATGCAGCCTGATATCGCATTTGCTGTCAGTGATATGCCATTTACTGCAGCCCCGCACTCGCAGAAACGCTTGACTAAAAGCATCGAGCGCAGTGCGGCTTGGCTCGCAGATCTGTTGCGTCCTGTTGAAAACGTGATAGATGACTCACTCACGGAGTCAACTCCTGCTACTTTGAATGTCTTCGTGCATCTAGCTGGTGGTACTTCGACCTCCGCAAGGAGAGCCTTCTCGCACAGCCTCACGGAGACTCTTCATGGGCTGAAAGCAAACGCCGTGAAACCACTGCTATGTTTGGACGAAGGAGTAGCTGGGTATTCATTTGACCTAGCCGCCCTTCATGTTAGACCAGCTCCTCTCTCGACTCCCAACGATCGGGGCGGAGGCATCGAAATCGCAGAACACTCTTCGATTCTACAGAACTCAGAATCATTAGCTCGAACGCCAACACCTAATACAGCTGTTACACCCACATCGCTCTCATCCGGCATGATTGAGCCTCTTTCCTTCTTCTCCCTGGCCCCCACATTGGATGAGCTCCTCTGCGCATCGTTAGATCCCCTCCCAATCGCAAAGCCACGCCTTGTCACAGATGTTCGATCCCCTCACCTAACACTCCCTCTCAAACGCATATCAGACGCAGTCACGAGGAGCATACAACAAATACGCTGGGTTTTGCGCTCATGGCTGCTCAGGCTGCGGCCTCACTTGGGGGATTTATTGTCCTCACCGTCGATGTGCTCAAGCCTAGCTCGAATACTAGTGCCAATGAGAGCCTCGGATTTAGAATTCAATGTGTAATGCAGCGCAGGGCTTGCGACTTGTTGTACGCATGTTGAAGATCAGATGATCCACCTAGGTGGACACGATCTCTCGTGGAACCTCACACGTTTTCATAGATTTTCAGAGAGGAATCGCAGAATTCAATCATCTGAACGACTTTTATCTAAAGGAGATCTCCTGGGGCAACATGAACACGATGCAATACAGATCATTCAAACTCAAGAAATTGATACATGAGGCTCGTTATGCCTTTCGCTAACCATTCTCTCACAGACTATGACTTCGCTTACTCTTCGTTAAAGGTCCAAAGCTGCCTGTTGTCACTGTCGTCTAAGGCAGCGAGCGTGATCTATCAAATATGAACTGTGAGTTATCCTGTCCTGGCATATAATAGGCTTGAGGCATACCTGAGTGCTATTACCGCCATTCTTGAGGGAGCAGACAAGCTCTCCCTGCTGGCCTTTGATCCTATGCACATATGAGTGACTTGTATGACGACGGGTTACAGTCGTATCACTTACATGTAATGCCCCATTTCCAGTTTGACAAGCGTCCACTTCGTAGCGACGTGGCTACCGACGACACCTGCGCCCTGTAAATCCAAAGATCGTTACAGCAGTACATTACAGCACCAAACATGCATTTCTTACAAGAGTCTCTGGCTCAGCCCTCATATATGTTCCAGTTCCGTTGTTGATCAATCTGACGGTGGCTTGGTTGTCACCCTCCTTCGCAAGGACTTGCACGGTCCACTACACTGATCGTTAGCCCGCACACTCTGAGTCAAGGAATATACACCAACACGCTGGTTCTCATTGATGCTGGTATCGTAGTTATAGCCAATGACAGGAGTGCCATCGATGGCGCCGCCTCCTGACAGGTCAATGACCTGCTTGGAAAAGCTGACGTTGTAGATTGTGTAAGTGCCGCTCTGCATGGTAAGATGAGCTATGAGTTGAAGTAAATGCGACTTGGAGTTGGCAGTTGCTACAAGTGATGAAGCTTGGGAGGTGACCACCAAACATGACAACCTTTATATGCTGAGGAAAAGCTGTTAGTCATCAAGAAAACTCCCCAGCATATCTAAGGATGGAACATTTGATCCGCCGATGCAAACCGCTATAACACACCATGATGACTTGTGACCAGTATCTGTAACAGAGCCTGGAATGTAACAAATCAATTTTCGTGATATGGTCAGAGCCAGACTACATGTTCGAATGCGCTTAACCCCACATAGGAAAGCTGGTGATTGCCATTGGAGTTCAAGAATAACGATGCACACAGCATCGAAGAAACCAGTCCCCCCGGTTTGTCTGATATTCTTATTGTGGAAAGAAGGAATACGCCGCAACATATCAAATAAGTTCTCTCCGAATTGACGAATCAGCGACCAAAACCAGAGGGAAAACCACCTTGCTTGCGCACGCCGCATCGGCGTTAACTTGACACTCATTGTGACAATATAATTTCAAATCTGTCATCAAATGTTATCCTGGATAGAAATTTATCGGTTCAGTTAGAAAAAACTGCAGATCGCTTACTTGAGTGCAGGACAAAGGGTCGTCTGGTAGAAAGATACACAGACCGGACCACAATCATGTACTGAAGACAGGCTCGGAGCGAGTAATCAACAATGCATGAAATCACGATTAGTACAAGTAAAAACAGAACAGACACCTTACGTGATCGCCGCACAGTGAACATATCGGCCTGGTCCCGTTCCTCGGCTAGCCAACTGAGTTTATGTTTGAATGTCACTGGTAGTGTTGTTGGCAGAACTCGGCAGTTTTGCCAACCGGTTTGGCAAAACCGGTTGTGCCGGTTTTTAGCAGAACTCACACGAAAGGGGGGTGGCAGAACTCCAGGGTATCCGAGACTCATGGAGATGTAGTTTAGATCTCTGATAACAAAAATTGAATTCAAGAGAACATGAAAACCGTACAGCACACATTCTCCGATCTCAGCACAACACAATCCGTGCGACGGTGTAATCTCTCAGTTGACACATTTGAAACACAGCAAAATTCATGCAAACCTTCGACGCCACAGCGCCATGAAAGCTCCGGAGGCCGGGAAGCCTACCCGCTGTTGACATGCTCACATGCACACTCCTGAAGAGGTTGGCATTGCTGTTGAGACTGCACAGGACCTTGAAGCATCCTTCGCGTAGGCATCTCCACTCTCGACCGAACTTCGCGATGCAGATTGACTTGCTTGCGGGTCCAGAGAATATATCACCTGATGATATTGCTGCTGAATTTGCAGCTCTCAAAGAGTTGAAAATGATTGAAGAAGTTCATAACGTTAACAAAGTTGAATTGCTCGAGGGAAATGCTTTTGATTTTGACGAGTTGGATCGGGTCGAACAAGGAATAATACCACAGGCCATTCTAGATGAGGTTGGGGTGGTTAATTACAATGGCGAGGGTGGCGGATGGGACGAGGCAACATTGATGTCATGATTAGGAATGTTGTATACATAGTCTACATAGCGCCTAGAGTTTTGCCAGTTTTGCCGGTTATAACCGGCAGAACTAAATCCAAATAGGTCCCCCACACTAATGGCTGTCACCGATCACATGATGACGAGTCCAAGCTGATTAAATGATTAATGATTGCTCACCGTCATGTCTGAGTTATTCTCAAGATCTTGCAGAAGCTCGCGTCTGAGGGATGTCTTCAGACTTATATGTTCAAGTTGGAGCTTTGTTGCTCGCAGTGAGCCCTGCAGAATTCCTTGGACTACTCAAGAAAGTGCGAAGGTCAGTCGAAAACAGAATCTTGAATGCCAGTGATTCAACCTTCCAATCGGCAGCAAGCCACAAATTGCCGCTCCATCCTTTGGGTGCACTTTCTGGATATATCACTGGCACATTTGGATCTGCGCATTGGCTCTAGGATCTTGCTCAGTCATCTGTTGGATCAGTGATTCAACCTTCCAATCGGCAGCAGGCCACGGATTGCCGCTCCATCCATTCAACATTGGGTGCTATATTGCTGGCACATTTGGATCCGCGTATTGGCCCGGACCCGGAATCTTGCTCGGCCATCTGTTGGATCTTAACTTTATCTCTCATGGGACCCATCTGGAAGCTTCATTTCTCCGTCGTTCGATTGGCACTGACACTGACATAGCCAGGTTTACATTGTGATTGCAAGTAGAGCGCAAGCAAGGCGGTTTTCCCTCTGGTTTTGGTCACTGAATCGTCAATTTAGAAAGAACTTATTTGATATACTTCCAACGTATTCCTTCCTTCCACAATAATAAGCATCAGACAACCCGGGGGAACTGGTTTCGTCGATGCTGTGTGCATCGTTATTCTTGAACTCCAATGGCAATCACCAGCTCTCCTATGTGGAGTTAAGCGCATTCGAACATGTAGTCTGGCTCTGACCATATCATGAAAATTGATTTGGGACACCCTCATTATGAAAAGACTGCGGTCCCGGATATGCTCGAAAAATGATCGATGATCACGTAAGATGTCTGATCTATTTTTACCTGAATGTAGAGATGCATAAATTGAGACTGGCACGCCGAGTGTAGACAGGGGACCAGCCCTGGCTTGCCTCATAGAGGGGCTGGTCACCAGTCTACGCCGAGCGCCGCTGTGCATGTGATCACTCGGACCCTACTCGGTTCTGCTCCAACAAAATTCCAGGCAACACACACTCGATATTGCAATAGACCTCGAAAACCGCAAAACAAATATTCTGGCTCCTGAGTCTTCTGCAACAAAAATTTGAGTGAGTTCTTGCCTTATCGTTATCGTCTCACCGCACAAGCTGCACTCACTTGTGACCAGTGACCTCCGCTGGCGTTCTCCAGCATTTGACTGGGCGCACGCTGAAGAAACTTAATCTCCGATCGACATGCCTTTCGAATTCTATGTCAGCTCACGAGCAAATCACAGGTCCGCTTGGTTTGTTATCCGCTTGTTTGCAGACTACCCTTTTCCATATTTCCAAATGTCACAGCTTTCCGGCGCGCAGCCACGAATTGGTGTTTGAGCCGCTGCAGTTCCCACAACGTCAGTGCACGATGCGGGAGTGTTAAGCTGACACGGAGCACAGAGCTCTCATTTGTGCTGGTATTTGAGCTAGGCTCGAGCACATCGGCGGTGAGGACAATAAGTCCCCCAAGCGAGGTAGCAGCCTGAGCAGCCACGAGCGCAAAAACAATTGCGTTTGTTGTATGCTCCAGAGTGCAGAGGGCGTCTGTGGGTGCTTTGCGTGTCATTTGAGTACCGACATTTGGAGGTTTGACGATGCCCGTCGTGACTGCGTCTGATATGCGTTCGAGAGGGGGTGTTGGATCGTCCTAGCGGACCATGGATGAGGGCGCAGAGGCTGTTGGATGTACTTATTTCAGGTTAGGGATGGAGTGGGGAAAACGGAGAGGAGAAAGACGGGCCTTTGAGGTTTATAATTCCTCATTCATCGTTCCATTCCGACATCAATCAGGTGTGGCGAGGATGCAGACCTACTTTTCTCTATCGTGTGCGAGAATATCATGATCTATTACACACCGAGGAACCCTTACGCCAGCCTCTCGGACTTTGCAATAGCGGTGAAGATAGTAGCGCGGGCGGTCTTTTCTTGAAGGTGATTGACGGTCGGGGTGTCAGCCTACAGGGCAGAAGAAGATAGGGACAATATCATCATATCACGCGCGGTCAACGGCCAAATCATTGTCTAAGATGACTTTTACTTTGAGCTGAGGGCTTGAAGCCGATGAGAGAAAGTCCTAGATTTGGGCTGCACGGGTTGAATTTCCAGAGTGAGGGGTAACCTGGGATGGTGATGAGCGCCATCCAATGATCACGTTTTCGGGGTCTCCAGCACTAGGGTGCACGTAAATCATCTTGATCACCTGTCGATCACTACCCCGACCCCATCATCGACGTCTTTAGGTACTTAGTCCGAAGCGACACAAGGTATTCAGTGCTATATGCAACAGCTGGCTCATCGTCAATTCAAATGTCAGTCAACTCTGACTACCTCGGGGAGGGGTTTCAAGTAGGAGTAGTATGACGTTCTACAGCCTCCCGTGCGGCTTCTGCCCAATCCTGCTCGCACACACCAAGCTCAACTCGTAGTATGGTATTGTTGAATGTCGTCAGAGTCAGTCCATGAGGTTGGCGAATGCGCGACTCCCAGCCCTCTGGAAGTCGCTCATGATGAAGGAAGCTATGGAGGTGGTCCACACGACCTCCAAAGACAGTGACTAGGGTCGCGGCACTAACGGAACGTTCAAAAGTGCGCTTGAAAGCGGACGATGCAATGACGTACTTCGTGCTCCCAAAGATCTTGTGGATAAAGTTGAGAGAGAACTCCTTGTTTACTACACGCGCGATTGCACGTCGCTTGCCGAGCATCCTGGAGAGATCTTTGGTAGTGATGATATCATTGCCGTCCTCGTCCTTGCCGGTCGCTGCCGCAAGTAACTCCTCAATGAAAGGTACGTATTTTATCGATTGGTCCGGTTGAAAAGCAGCATCGAGGCCTGAAGACAAATCATGTCACATAACTTACAAGAACAAGCGGAGAAATTGCTCACGTAAGAGAGAGGCGTCGTGTTCAATACCATTGTGCAGGTCGAGTTCTTCCAAATCAAATGTATCCTTGCTGTAGCTTTTCTTGAGCATGCGAGCGGCAAAGTGCGGCACAAATGAGCAGAAGGTAGGACTGAAGTTGTAGGTTGCCCGGATGTGGTGGCCAACCTCGACAAACGAGATGTCGCGGCCACTGCGTGAGATGATGCCTGGGTTTTAATGTCGTCACACCAACACTGCCATATGCGCTTAAGCACAGAGACTAGCAGACTCACCATGGTTGGCCATCGCATTGAGTGCAGGGCAAGAGCAGCGGGAGTCGGTCTCCTTGGGAGTCCTATACTCGGGCCAGTACCCTCCATAGCCCGGGTGGCCTGCGGGGGTGACATGTCTGATGCGACGGTTCCTCCTCACGAGATTGGAGAGCGTAAGGAGAACATCCCAAGATAAAATCCCGAGATCAAAGAAAAGACGGGACAGGCCGGAAAACAAGCCCATTTTACTTTCCTTGGGTCAATGATAGGTATGTCGAATGTGATAAGTCGGGGACAGGAAGAGATGGATAGGTACGTTTCACTATCAAGCTTAAGTATATATTCGGGATCCGAATAACGTACCTAGTGTCACAGGACTGACAGTGACAGACAGGGTTCTGTACTATCCTTGCGCCATATGGTATTTCGAACCATACCGATGTACATAGGAGGGCTCAAGATTAATCAGTAGTGGACAAAGGGAGATATTGATAGCTCGGTAGTCTAACCATGCGTAGCCAGACTATGAACGACTCACCCGAAGGAACTAAGAGGAAGAGTCGTCTGACTGGGGCATCAAGGGTTCATTAATGTTCGGAATTCGCGGCGATTTCGGAGAAGAAGATTCAAATTGTAACTTCTTGGGCGCCCGATAAGTTTGAATCATTTGACGCGATACTCACAGCGCCTGCTTGTCCAACCCCGAAGACCACATACGAAAACCACATACGAAGGGCCAAAGAGGCCCTAGTGTTTCGTGTTTGGGGAGTTTCCGGAACCTGAAGACTCATCTGAGTTCGAACGACAGTGACAGGTCTCCTCACCCACGTACTATCATTCCCCGTTATATGCAAAACTTTCAGTAAATCTTTTGTAACTCCTCAACCACATCACATTTTCTTTTGAAAATTTGCCCCGTCATGTATTCGTATCTCCTCTACATAGATCTGATTTTTACTGATTTTTAGGATAATGTGGTGTGGTGTCGGAGCAAACCCGATAAAACTCAGGGTCCACCTCTAATCTGCAAAAGTATGGTCACGTCTTGTCACGCCTCGGCACAGTAGCGGCACAGGTGACTTTCACTCTCCGAGCGCAGGCTTGAAACTTTGAACTTCTTGAAGCGTTGTGGATCGCGAAAGGCTCGAAAACGGTGGATACGGCAAATCATTGAGTACCATGGTTCATCTACTACTGACTATGATTGTAGTACTGGTGTTGCTGATAGCCTTCTGGATAAAATTGATGCCCTGCATACCTGTGCTGAGTCTGCACCATATCACCAACTCGGAAATCTGCGCTACTGCGACTCGCCGGTGCAAAGTGAGGGTGCGAAATATGTTGAGGCTGAGGTGCAGGATGCTGCATTGGATAATGTAGGGGTGCATACCCAGGTGGGGGAAATTCGTTTCTCGACATCGAGGGTTGAGGTGCAGGCTGAGGTTGGTATCCGAACGGCTCGCGAACTGGATTTGATGGGGGAATCGCGTCCTGCGGTAATTCCGCAGTGTTATCACCGTTATCGAGACGGCGCCTGCGAGAACGGGTAGGGTTGAATAAACCCTCATACCGTGGATTTTTCTTGAGGTCAGGGTTGCCGTCAAAGTGCTGGAGAATCCGCTGGAACACTTCAGCCTTGAGTCCAGTCTCAGGTAACCGCAAGGCTGCGGCTAAGTCGCGTAGCTCCTCCAGCTTCTTGGTCTTGATTGTGCCGGTGAATGCAGCTTGGGAACGCTCCTGTTCTGCTCGCCGATCTCGCTTTGGAATTTGTGGGCCTTTGAATGAGGTTTCGTAAGGTTCTGTGCACGTCGACGAAGGGTATGGTATGGCACGTTGAACTGGCCAGCTGCAGCTGAGAGGTTTTTAGCCCTCTTCTCTCTAACAGCTTGGATAGCAGCTTTGATGTTGGCCTCGCGAATGGCATCTTTTTCGGCTGTTGTCTGGACTGCTTGCCTGCGGTGTGGTGCCATTGGAGAGAATGATGCGACTCTGTGAGACTTGACTGCTGCAGAGGATAGATGCCGGATGTGCCGAGGAGGAGATTGAATTACTTACGCATCTCCCCTGTCTGGTGTCACGTTTTTGTACTCGTCGTTGATTCTACCACTGTAGCACCTCAACACAAGAGAGTAACCTTTATCGAGTCGGTGTTCTTACATCCCTATAAGGTGTTCATTATGCTCCGGGTAAAATTTTGCGAATACCTTGGCAGGATCTTTGGGATCTGGGTGATTTGTGTTGGACCAAGGTTGCAAATTATCATTATTTCATCTCTCACAGCTGCAACATCCAAGAAATTTTTATTCTACTTGTACAAAACATCATTTCTAGGTACTCTGCATACACCTGAATTTTTTCGACACCAGTTGAGCACGATGTTGAAGTGTTATAAAGTTTTGCATATTAGCAACCGTGTACATATTACCGGGAATGATAGTACAGTCCATTTCGGTTGACGTCTCGACGTGCATGTGTGAGTGTTTGGTCTTGAGTCCATAAAGGAAAATATGGTCACGTGACGTCGTTGTGGACCATCGTTTTCTCGGTTCCTTCAGCTCGATAACGAGCATGGCAGCAGCAAGATACACGCCAGGGCTTGCTTCTACCTCATACAAGCTCCCATCCATTACTTCAACATTGCGATATAAAGTGCACCGTAATGCCCGCTGTTTCTCATCCACGTGCCGACGGGCAGTCCACTCACGCGATCACTATGCGACCCTTGGAGTCCCAATCACAGCGACGAAGGCTCAAATAAAGGCATGGGTCATTTTCTTCGTGAAAAGAATTGTCCCTCATAAACTCTTCATAGACACACTTCTACCAAGTGAGTCGTTCTCATTGGTAGCTCCGGTTAGCTGCTGATGGACCACGCCGACTCTTAGCTTAGCAAGAAATATCATCCCGATGTCAGTCAGGACAGTACAGCACGGGGAAAATTTCACGCAGTGAGTGAAGCTTACGCAGTGCTCGGGGACGATCGGAAGCGGTATGTCTCAAAGCGCTCACCCGATATGCTGACCTGATGACTTGATGGCAGACGAGCGTACGACCGTAGTATCCACCACGCATCACCGTCACAACCATCCTCTCAGCACCCACAAGCAACAACTACACGTCCCTCCAATCAACCAGGGTCACGTAATGCATGGCAAAATAATCCACGTCGACATCAACACCGTGACCCTAAGTCCAGCCATGCGCATGACCCAAACGCAACTTATGATCACCCATGGGAGCGTGCTCGTGCTGGCAAATACACGTATTACCAACCTCCCCCGGGTGCTCATTCACGCACATCCTATACATGGTCGCACACGGATCCATTTTCCAGCCCACACGTTCAACGAGCGACCGGTCGTATGTCTGCAAATCCACCACCAGGAACAGGCCCTTCTAGTGGTAGCGATCAAGATATGGCTAAAGGAGGACCACGACCGGAAAGATCCCAAACGGACGAAGACATAGCTGCATCGGAGAGCGTTATAGGGCGTGTGTTTGCGGTGTCTGGACTTTTAACTTTCATATTAGTGATAGCCCAGGTTGCGGGTGCACCGTGGGGCAGTGCGCATGCATGAATTAATGCATTGTAGAATTGTGTCGAAACTCATGGCCAGTTGGAAGCCTAATGCTACAGCAGTTGTTCCGCAATGATCTGATACATACATCAACTGTCTGTCTACGCCACCTTCCTTGCGCGGGTATGTAACTCGTAACTCGTATCTACTATGCATCAGCGCAGGCATCAGTAGTTTGTGACGTAGGGTCTTCTATGCGTCCCTGTGGTGCACTGCTTTCACTCTCGTTGTTCTCTGGTAGTAATTGCACCAGCAAGGCCCTGGTGTATCCAAGTACGCTCCCGAGTCCCCGATCCACAAGTACCACTGCGAATACCACAGAGAATGCAATGGCTAATTTCAGTTTGAATTCGCTGAAGTGAACTTTAGTCTTATTTTCTTCTGGTCTATCATGAGAAGGCATGGCTTTCTGGGGAGAGGACGAAGCTGCCTGGGCTTGCAACTTCTCCTTCTCCCTTTCCTTCTCCCTATCTCGCGTGATCTTGTTCATCACCGTCCAGTATCCAGCAGGCGGGCGATATAACGTCGTCGATGAACCTGACTTGACTGCGTCCCAAAAAGTGGGATCAAGCGGCCGGGGTGAAGACGAGGGCACTTGCCCCTCTCGCAGTCCCGTGATAAGAGCAGAATGCAGCTGCTCGTATTGATCGTATTGCCGTCTATGATAACATTCAGAACCAGTACACCACTGGTAGTTCGCCGAGTCTCAAAAAATAAAGCGCACCGAGTCTTTTTCTTTCCAAGCACAGCATAAGCCTCCGTAACCTTCCTGTAGATTTCGGGGGAACTTGAATCTTGAGAGACGTCAGGATGATGTTTCCTGCTCAGCTACACGCGCGTCATTTCAACAATATGCATCGACTATGACCAAACCACACCTCGTAATACCTTTGCTGTGGCCCCGTATCAGCCACTAGAATGAACCTCGAACTATGTAAGATTGAAGACTGACTTTAATTTGGTCCTGCGAAGCATCTCTCCATAACCCAAGTGCGGTATAGTGAACCCACCGAGTCGTCCCGCTTCCTGAACTTTTCGTGGGCTGGGGTGGTATAGTATCTCCGTGCGAATGTATCCATGATGAAAATTTAAGTACGAGAGTGTGAATCCATGACGGTTTGCCATCATCGTGTTTTGGCCCGGGGCTTTCGGTGGCGTAGTAGTGTTTGGGATGCGGTAGTGTGATGATCTTATTCCGTGATGACCATGGGGAGAGATTGAGAAACAGAAGAGAGGGTGGAGACCCTCTGGGTCTCATCGAGATGGCCAGAGCAGGCAGTTGACCTTGTTGACGTTCAAGTTGGTCGCTGGAACATTTACATAACGGAATTACTTCGTGTGGTAGCTTCAACACATGCTCATAATTGAATATTGAATTCCAACTATCTTCGTTCTACCACTGCAGGAGACTACATGCTGCAGCTGGTAGCTCTTATACGATGGGATCTACATGAATGCTGTTTTGAAGTTCGAACCACAAAATAGATATCTAGTGGGCCATTCAAAGTTACGCATGCATTCATGGTTGGTCGTGGGAGATTCTGATGTAATAAGCCTGTGCTGCGAGTGACCGTCGTTGGAATTGAAGAATACGCTTGGTGGCGTAGAAAGGGCCCACCGATTATTGGACGATTAGCTTCATTCGATATAGCCAAGTCTAGACTTGCACTAGTGACTATGTACATAATAAAGGCCCAATATTTTACACAAATGATGTAGGACCCTTCCCTTCCCTCCCATACCCCGCCCCAACCGCCATTCACAATGAGCAAAGGCAATTCATCGAGGGATTCGACTCAAGAAACCCACACATCTAGCGAAGCAACAGCTCGTGAGAGCTCGGTACGTGGCTTATGAAGATTACTTAGTAGTTCACTTCAAAACACTGACATTGACACATCCTTCGTCTAGCACCGACCCCGTGGCAAATTCCGTCAGTTTCTGGGGGAGGTTAAGGGCCGTGTTAAAGATGGTGTGCACAACTTAAGAACCTCTGTGAGTGCATGAGCCGCGTAATGAATGTCCTGGAATACGACTAAGATTTCCACAAGCACTCGAAGGATTCCCGCAGCCGTGGGCCTGTTCCCCCGAATGTCCATCATGAACGTGCTTCATCGACACCGAATACTGAGGTAGGTTCTCATACTTGCCCTCCACTTTCAGCGCTCTTCCTAAAATTCTGGTGGCTGCACAGGCTCAGGTTGCTCCGTCTGGTGTAGAAGTGGAGGCTGGTACCCAATCGGCACTTCAGGATGCACAACAGGCTGTACAACGCATGCATCCACTTTTGGGACCTGTGATAACTGTGGCTTCTGTTGGCCAAGACTCACAAGCGGATCTCGACGCTGCTTACGGTTTCCAGGACACATATCTCCAACCCCTCAGGATATTCGACGATGTTATCGGAAAGATCGCAGATGTATGGACCCTCCTCTCGATCGGAACCGAACTAAACCCGTTCCTCAGGTACATCCATATGCAAAGATGGCACTGGGCGTGTTATCTTGTGCAGCCAAAGTATGTTTTCTTTTTATCTCTTCCTATCTCCCACTGCTCAGCAATCATTTGTGCAGATTATTCTAGCACAAGCAGATCGCGACGCAGCGGTACTCAAACTTCTCAAGAAGTTGTGTCAAGTTTATAGCTTTATGGCACAAGATCAGATGCTTGGCCAAATCTCGTCGATGCGTGTTATCCTTGGACAAATCTCTCAACAGACCCTTGAATGTGCTCAATTTATCAAAAATTATTCGGAGACCAAGAACTTTTGTGAGTCTTAACAAGCTGTTGCCCTCTGCACCGTCTTAAGTTTCTACAGGGAAGAGACTCGGAAAGAACCTCGTCTCGGAAACGAACGATATAATCCAGCAGTACAGTGATGTGTTGGATATGCTCATGCAAAACTTTCGGGACCAAGTCGCTCGTGACGTAGCCATACATGTCCTCCGTACGGGTAAGGGTTTGGACGTACTTGTTACTTGACACATACTTACACCTTTTCAGGAGAAATACTAGACCTCAGTGGTATGACTTATGCAGCGGGCGCGGGCTTGGATACAAGGAAGCAATGTCTTCAAGGGACGCGCACGGAAATCCTTTCTCAGATCACGGAGTGGGTCAACAGCACTGGGGACAACGTTCCACGCGTGCTGTGGCTCTCTGGCCCTGCAGGCAAGGGCAAATCGGCCATCGCCCACACGATTGCTAAGTGGTTCCAAGACGTGGGAGGGCTTGGTTTCATGTTACTCTTTTGACCGCCAACGAGAAGCAGATCGTCGCCATGAAAAGATCTTTTCCACGATCGCCCGCGACCTGGCTGACCGTGATCCAGAGATGAGGCGGGCATTAGCAGATGCAGTTCAGACCGCAAATTCGCTTAAGAATACAGCGGATATCACACAGCAATGGCAGAAGCTTCTTATCGAACCACTGGGAAAGTCATCTGGGTCAACTGTGGGACCCATCGTGATCATGATTGACGCACTAGACGAGAGCGGCGGAGTAGAGACACGGAGAGACCTCCTCCGTATTCTAGCTGGCAAACATCAAAACCCCGCCGTTCCCAAAATCACAGACCTCCCAGACAACTTCCGCTTCATCGTTACCTCTCGCCCGCTTGATGACATCAAAGACAAGTTTCGCGGTGTTCAGCATATTCGACAGATGTCAATGGATGATATTCCGCCAGCAGACGCAAAGCATGACATCCATGCTTATGTATCCAAGGAGTTGGAAGGGCTGGATTTCCAGGACAGAGAGTTCGCAGTCCTCGCTGAGAAAGCTGATGGACTTTTCGAGTGGGCGCGTCTCGCCTGTGCATACATCAGAGAGTCCGATATGGGACTATCTCCATTTGATTGCTACAATGCTGTGGTGTCACGCGATCCTGCTGAGAGAAGTGCGCTATTGCATGACATGTATCACCTCATTTTAGCAGATATCATGGACGGGCATACATCTGCGCATCCGCCGAAATTGCGTTCGACGAAGCTAGCGACATTCCGCTCAGTGATGGGACAAATACTAGGCACAGCTGAACCCCTTCCTTTAGCTTCCCTGAACGCCATGAGGTCACATTTTCGAAAGGATGAAGACCATTTCGATGTGGAGCTTGTGGTAAAAAGCATGGGCTCCCTCCTCAGTGGCACCACCAACCCAGATTCTCCAATCCGACCCCTTCACGCATCCTTCCATGATTTCTTGACGGACAAACCATCCAGCGGCGAGTTTTTCATCGACCTGTCAAAGGCGCAATGCGACCTTGCATTCGCTTCACTTCAAGTGATGGAACACGGTCTTCGCTTCAATATCTGTGATCTAAAGTCGTCGTATCTGCCTAATAGCGAAGATCCTGGGCTGCAAGAACGAGTCCAAAAATGCATCTCCCCACATCTGTCATACTCCTCTCGATTTTGGACGTCGCACGTACGAACCACAGCTTTCGACAAGGAGCTGGCACAAGAAGTAAAATTGTTATTCGACCACGAGCGGCTGTTTTTCTGGCTCGAGTCACTCGCCCTGATTAATGCGCTCAGCGGTGCAGTTGCTGCCCTTCCACTCATTGCCCAGTGGCTGAAGGTAAGCATACCGCTACTAGGTGTCAGATAATGTTCTCACGCGCAACCACAGGGCCATCCCGAATTCAAAGATGTCTCGTCGACTGCAATGGACGTCCAGAGGTTCATTCAAGTCTTCGGCAACATCATTTTACACAGCACGCCACATCTGTATGTATCAGCACTCCCATTCTCGCCTGCCAACTCTCCGCTATCTAGAGAGTTTTCTGTACGATTTCCGAATACTCTTCGTTTAGCATTCGGACGTGATATGAACTGGCCGGCTGTTCAAACCGTGCTCAGGGGGCACACAAAACCAGTCACTTCGGTCTCGTTCTCACCAGACGGCACTCGCATCGTCACTGGTTCAAGGGATGAGACTGTTCGACTGTGGGATGCAGGGACGGGGAAGCCAGTTGGTGAGCCCTTGCGGGGGCACACTGATAGAATTACATCGGTCTCGTTCTCGCCAGATGGAACTCGCATCGTCACTGGATCTTGGGACAAAACTATTCGGCTGTGGGATGCTGCAACGGGGCAGCCAGTCGGTGAGCCCTTGCGGGGGCACACTTCTTTTGTTAACTCGGTCTCGTTCTCGCCGGACGGCACTCGCATTGTTACCGGTTCTTGGGATAACACTGTTCGGGTGTGGGATGCAGTGACGTGGAAGCCAGTCGGTGAGCCCTTGCTGGGGCACACTAAATCAGTTTACTCGGTCTCATTCTCGCCGGACGGCACTCGCATCGTCACTGGTTCTTTGGATAGCACTGTTCGGCTATGGGATGCAGGGACGGGGAAGTCAGTCGGTGAGCCCTTGCGGGGGCACACTTCTTCAATTAACTCGGTCTCGTTCTCGCCAGACGGTACTCACATCGTCACTGGTTCTTCAGATAAGACCATTCGGCTGTGGGATGCAACGACAGGGAAGCCAGTCGGTAAACCCTTGCGGGGGCACACTTCTTTTGTCAACTCAGTCTCGTTCTCGCCGGACGGCACTCGCATCATCTCTGGTTCTTTGGATAGCACTGTTCGGCTGTGGGATGCTGTGACAAGGCAGCCAGTCAGTGAACCCTTGCGGGGGCACACTGATTCAGTTTACTCGGTCTCATTCTCGCCGGACGGTACTCGCATCGTCACTGGATCTTGGGATAACACGGTTCGGCTGTGGGATGCAGTGATGGGGCAGCCAGTCGATGAGCCCTTCCGGGGGCATATTTCCTCAGTCACCTCGGTCTCGTTCTCGCCAGACAGCACTCGCATCGTCACTGGTTCGGCGGATAAAACTGTTCGGTTGTGGGATGCCGTGACGGGGAAGCCAGTCGGTGCGCCCTTGTGGGGGCACACTCATTCAGTTAACTCGGTCTCATTCTCGCCGGACGGCACTCGCATCGTCAGTGGTTCAAGGGATGAGAGTGCTTTGCTGTGGGATGCTGCGACGGAGCAGCCAGTCGGTTTGCCCTTGTGGGGGCACACTTCTTCAGTTAGCGCGGTCTCATTCTCGCCGGACGGCACTCGCATCGTCACTGGTTCGGACGATAAGACTGTTCAGCTGTGGGATGCAGTGATGGGGCGGCGCGTCAGTGAGCCTTTGCGGGGGCACACTTCCTCAGTCACCTCGGTCTCATTCTCGCCAGACGGCACTCGTATCGTCACTGGTTCGGCGGATAAGACTGTTCGGCTGTGGGATACAGCGACGCGGAAGCCAATCGGTGAGCCCTTGCGGGGGCACACTGATTCAGTTAATTCGGTCTCGTTCTCGCCAGACGGCACTCGCATTGTCACTGGTTCGCGGGACGAGACTGTTCGGCTGTGGGATGCAGGGACGGGGAAGTCATTCGGTGAGCCCTTGCGGGGGCACACTGATTCAGTTAATTCGGCCTCGTTCTCGCCGGACGGCACTCGCATCGTCACTGGTTCGGCGGATAAGACTTTTCGGCTGTGGGATGCTGTGACGGGGAAGCCAGTCGGTGCGCCCTTGCGGGGGCACACTGATTCAGTTAATTCGGTCTCATTCTCACCGGACGGTACTCGCATCGTCACTGGTTCGGCAGATAAGACTGTTCGGCTGTGGCATGCAGGGACGATGCAGCCATCGCAACAGTGCGCTGAGTCAGATCAACCAGCATCCTCAGATGAATATTGCACAATCAAGGCCGCTACTACCATAACCTTGAACACTCATAACGATCACTTCATTTGCTTCTCGTCCAACTCTATCCATGCGCTCCGGGACACCTCTGAGCTAACGGAAGGAACATCCCATGGCGACTGCAGTTCGACCCCCTTTTTCCTGAATAGTGACAGTGGGTGGGTAGTAGGGCCCGAGCGTCGGCTGTTATTATGGGTACCACCCGCTTCTCGACGCCTATTTTATAGCCCTCGGACTGTATTAGTGATACCCAGAGGAGGTCCTGAGCTTGATTTGAGCCGCATGGCACATGGACAACACTGGCAAAAGTGCCGAGAAGAGTGAGTCCCCTCAAAGCCCTTTTCTTTCCTCGCAACTACTTAAAGCAACACTTGCAGATCTTAGTACCAACGATGACCGCAGCAATGGATTTATTATGGAGATTCCAGATACAATTTAGATGTGACCGAGTGTGCAGTGGATCATATTTCGTATTCTATTCTATGCGCAGCACCTAGTTTGAGTTTAGGATTGTCCATGTGACGACGTGAGCTGAATGTATGACATTGGTGATGTTAGCGCTGGTTTGTGAGAGCATTTAACACGGACAAGGCATGCCGATTCTATCAGAGATGTAGTCGCTCGTGCGCCGTGAATTGTGTTAGCATTAGTACCGTGCTTCCTCATAGCGGACTGAGAAGCTGAACAGAAGGACATCGTTGTTGCGGTCATCCGTGGTCGATCAAGTTCCCGACTACATTCAAAGCGGGCTAAAAATTATGACGCTCCAAAGCGTACTTTAATATAGTGCGCGATACACAACATCGAGTGCGCGACATACTACATCGAGTGCGCGACACAAGACACCAAGCGCGCGATACACAACATCAAGTGCTCAACGCACCATCTATTCTAGTGAACTAGACGACCGAAATCTTCGAAGTTAGGCTCGACAATTAAGGACTTCACAAGATCATCAGCTGTACGAGTAATAAGTTTTCGCTCATGATCAAAAGCACTGTGAGCTTTCACAATATATAACACAGCCTTCCAGCAGTCGAGATTGATTTGTCCGATGTCGAGTTTCTCGAAGCGTTCGACGGCATCCTTGTAAGGCTGGGGATTTCGTCCGTCCAGTAAAAATCTGCCCATTCCGTTCCACCACAGCTGCTTCCAGTCATCCTCGCATAGTTTTTGCTTCGTGCAAGTTCCCGCGTGCACCATAGGTGGGGCTTCACATGCAATGATCCGACGATGTACATCGAGTCGTTCCTTGACTTTGAACATTGTGTTCCATACAATGGACCCAACAGCGCGAGATTCCTCGTCGGAGATATCATTGATGCGAGCTGAAACGAGTCGTTCGAAAGCATGCGGCAGGATCTCTTTGACGTTGTACTTTAATGCGAGTGAGATAAGTCGTGTTGGCTCAAGCGAGTAACGCTGCCGCTGGAGATGGTGAACAGCATAGACTCGTGCATCTTTGCAAAGATACATGTCGCTCAGCTCGAGCAGTTGAATAACAGCTTTGTTACATATTTTGAGGACATCAGGCCTCCATCTGTATGGTATAATTGTCAGACTTGTCCGAGTCGTCCGTTGTGAAAAAAACTTGAAAAAAACTCACTTGTTGTAACAGACAGACAAAAATAATTCAAATGCACTTTCGCTTACTTGCGACGGCACACAAATAGACCTGTCATCAGTACTACCATCGACCTGTTCAAGTTGGGTGCCCTGGCTTGCAGCGAACATGTCTCGGAAAGCAAGTGATTTATCCCCGAGAATGCTTGCATGCACCCTAAAGAGTGAGTGTCCTGCCTAGTAGTAGTACACTGTCAGTCCGCGGTATCCACTATGAGACTATTCAGATACTACTAAGTGATGCACGAACCTGGAAGATGTGAGTGCCATCTGAGAAGTAGAACATTTGATGGTGTTGAGCAGTCATTGAACCACTGATAGTTGCAAGGTTGACTAGTAGAATGAAGAACAGCTTGAGTGAGTAACTCGTTGTTAGTAATAAAACCGGACACAGAAAACAATGCCTTGACCACGTCACCTGTGAATTATGCCCGCGGAACTCTTGGTGACAATTTTATTACCCTTCCAACCTGCACTGACTCGGACTCTCGGAAACAATGGACATAAACAGTCCTTCATTGTCATTGTCACTTCCACTTCTCCCTGAAACCAAAAATTGGTCGGCCGAAATCCAAGCTGCCTATGAGAATATCCAACACACTTACGATCATGCAATCCGAGTTCTTCGAGCAGATGGAGCCGACCCTACCCGTATTGCTTTCCATGTGGATGCTATCTCATCAAATGCACTTCCAATCCTCGAAGCACTCACACCACTGACCAGATGCCGATAACACAGACTCGGATGAAATGTCAGAGTCTCTCCCAGTCAAATGGTTAGCTGATGTAGCCATGGTACTTGGCTGTGTAGTTTCGGGTCTGGAACACCTAGGGACTACTGCAAACAAGGAGTAAGCATAAATTTTGATAGATACATGGATACTGAGACAGGATCTTACAGAGAGGAGCATCGTGTTGATATACCAGAATTAACTGGAATCGAGAACACGGGAAAACGAGGACGGCCCAAAAAAATAATAGACCTTGATTTCTTGATCGAGGCCACCTCTGCTCAACATCACATCAGACATGTTGAGCTAGCAAAGATTGTTGATGTTCATCCAGCAACATTACGGCGCTACATGCGTCAACACAGCATTGAAAGGTGCTATTCCAACCTTCGTGACCGTGACCTTGATGCTTTGGTGAAGATATTCAAATGTCGTACATCAGGAAAAAAAACCTTTGACTACAGGGAGCTATATAGTCATTATAGTACCTGTAGTCTGGTTTGTCAAGTGTCTAATACAACGAGCTATATAGCCGCGCCGCGAACTATATAGTGCTACAGCAACTCCTGTAGCTCGTTGTAGCAACCAACTACAGGTGCTACAGAATGCTATATGTGCTACAAATTACTACACGTTCGAGCTACAGGTAGCTACAGGTAGCTACACACTGCTACTGTAGCTCCCGCAATATAGATCAGGCCACTGACTGGAAATCAACAAAACAGAATCAATTAATGTGCTATAGTGCGTGAGCATGTATACAATCATCGAGATATAGTAGCCGCCTTAATCACCACCCCCTTCTTCTTGTGCTTCTTGAGCCTCGTCTTCGTGCTCTCGAATAGCTTCATCAAAAACGTCATCTGTGAAGCTCTTGATAGTCACTGCTGCCATGAATGGATCCACACCAGCGTGCATCCTTTTTATGAATGTCAGTTTGGATGATGAACGACATAACGAAGAAAAAAATACCGAGCGACGTCGAGAAGATTGACACCAATTTTACCGAGCAGTTTGTAAGCAGCAGTCCGCTCGTCGAACCGCTGCAGGGAGTCGAGATGGAGATGGTAGACCAGGGGAGTAAGCAAGCGACGAAAATTTGATGTCCTCCTTTAGTCCAGTCATCCACTCGTCGATGCAGCATTCAATCTGTCAGATCTCAGTTGCAGTACAAGCGTCTGAATCACTGAATACACTCACTGCTGTGAGTATAAGCGCAATGGTTTGAACGGGTAAAGGATCGAAGTATTTAGCATGTACTATACCCTCGTCGCATCGGTTTGCGAACCACATATGATTCATCGCCTCCTGGATTAATCCTGGTCTTGTATATGCCACGTTTCATTTCCCAGTCCTTTTGATCCGCCAGTCAGACGTTCACTAAGGATGGTAAATTTGAATTTAAACACGCACCTTAAAAACAAAACTGTGATCCTTCCTTGAGAGACTCAGCCAGGTCACGGTTTTGCTTGATGGCGGGTATAGATCTGCTTGCACGGAAGCCAAAGAACAAGGCCGTCAGTGTGCGCATCTTTGTTTTAAGCTCCCCGCGCACTTGTGATGTGCACCTCGTCATCTATATGCAACAGAAAATCAAGTAGGGCAAGGACACAGACACTGAGACGTACCATTTTGACGAGAGAAGGAGTAAGTTGGATGGTAAGCTCTGCCATGTTACACGCCTCGCGCCAGGCATCCTTTGCTAGCTTGGTCTCAATGATCAGTGTCTCTGGAAAAGGTGCGCGAGTCACGACTAGACAGCAGGTAGATAGACGTGGCAGAGGCTGAGCAAATCCTTGGTGACTTGGTGCAAATCGCTGGCCTTTAACCGTTGGCAGTGGACCTTTATTGAAATTCATGTCAGTATCGAGGACCTCCGAGTCCTCCAGTTTGTGCTTGGTGCCGACAAAAGCTTCGTCCACTTCGTCATGATCATCGGGAGTGTTGTCCGCTGCGACAATCAGACTCGTTCTCAATGTCGTCGTGGTCCATGCTATCGACGTAGTTGTTCGAATCAGTTGCTGTCGCTGCTGCCCTCACTGTCACTGTCGTTTGTGGACGCTGAAAAAGTGTGTTAGTTTAAGATATATACAGGATAATACATAGTACCTTTCTGTGGCTTCATATGGATCTTACTCGTGGGTTTTCGGGCCAAGACAGTTGGAGGGGTCTTGCTCACACTGTATGTGAGTGCCTGTCTTGTAGGTACACTGCAGGTCCGAAAACTATTATGTAGTTGTGAGTAACATGGAGCGCCTGAACAAATAAGACACTGACCATGTTGTCTTCGTCCCTGTCAGCATCGCTGAGAAGCCCAGCAGGCTCGCTGTCGAATACCTCAGGATGTGTTCGGTATGTAGTGCGCAGTGCCTTTAAGTCGCGCTTCTTCATCTTCGTTTCTAAGGCTTGTTGGCGTTCTTCTCCTCGACGAGCTTTTAAAACTGTTGAGCAGAAACATGTAAGTGAGCGCAAGCATTCATGTTGTGCTTGATATAACTTACTTCGATATGTTTCTTTTTCAGTTGGCCGACGTTGCCGACCACTTGCGGTGCGTCCCGCGGTCGACACCATCTCTGCACGTAGGCTCTCCTGGGCCTTCAAAAGTGCCGTTTTGCCTCCCTTTTTGGAGGGGGCTTTTGCGGGCATGATAGATGGTAGTCAGTAGAAATAACGACGACAGAAGGAGGGGGTATGCATGCCTTTAAAAACCCTACAGTGGCGTCGGATCAACAAACAATTTTTGAGTTTTGTTGATCGAGTTTTGTTGATCACAAAGTTAAAGTTTTGAACTGACCAAGCAGGTGTCAATATAATGGCATAAATAAGAGGGACGGGGATGACTTCTCCTTTCAAACATACAATCGATACTCCAGCGAAATCGATACTACAGCCAAAATGAATAAATTGTAAGTGGCTGCCTTCTCCAATGCTCGCCTCACACTCACCGATGTTGTAGTTCAGCGTTCATGTCGTCGAATGACTCAGACGACGTGAAGCCGAACATCTTGTTATTGAACGGAGCTGAAGAGAAACCGAACACGCTTGAAGTCAGCAAAAGGTGATACTCAACCATAAACCATGACAAACACTAACCAGTCATCAGGCCCTGTACCTCCTCCAAGTCGACCATTTCACGTGGTCGTTGCTCCAGGACGGGCTAGGGAGGTACCTCATACGCCAAGGGAGGTTAAGCCTGCCCTTGATATTCAGTTTCCATTGGCGCCATATCGCCAAACTCCAGGACCCATCAAAATGTCGCAGACCTACCTGCGAACACTTGTCCTAGAGCGCTGGGATGCAGAGATTAGGCTGTGTGATGAGTCATGCAGAGCTGCAGCTCTCAGAGCACATACAAGGTCCTGTTGCTCACCAAAATTTGGTGCTGGGAGATGATAACGGTGCTGATGGAATGCTGAAAAAAAGCGGTGTGAGGAGTCACGCAAGGTTCAACTGTTGGAGCTCTTACTTGCGGCTCATGGCATTACTACCCTAGCTTAGTTGTCAGTTAGTTTTAGTCAAGTGTCATTCGGAATAAGGGTGCACCGTGTGTATCGCCTTTATTTTCAATGATGTTCGAGTCAATCTCCATATTATGAACTGTAGTCCGTGACAGTAGTTGGTCACATCGCTGCAAACGACTTTCGTGTTAGTCACAATTAGGGCCGGTATGAGGACTCACTTGAGGGTCGGCCTGGTCTAGACTCAAACTGGGCAGCAGCAGTAACCAGGCGCTGCGCCACAACTAGATCCGGGCACCAATGAGGCGAGTACCATAGAAATTAGAAGACGCTTACATGTATGCCAGTCGAATGGCAGTAGCACTTCAAGGTCATGAACTCGAATATAGTCCGATCTTGGTCTCTGCGAGTCCAAGAAGGAGGACCTTCTGGAACTGTGGTTTGTGTATGCCAGTCGAATGGCGGTAGGTCTTGGAACTTTGAGTATGGTGGTAGGTCATGAAACTTCGAATATAGTCCTGATTTTGGTCTCCGCAAGTCCAAGAAGGAGTTGACCTTCTGGAACGCGGTTTGAGCCTGAACAGGATAGCGTTAGCGTGTTTTTTTTTCCATTTTTGTGGCGTCAACATACTTAGGGCCGGCACACACATACTTAACACAAGTTTCGTGTCAATCGCACCGTCAATCACACCGGACAACCCAGCATGCCCCACTGTGTATTCTGTGGGAAGGTAACGACTACACCCGAGGGTCTCAAGAGACACATTGTAGGGCGTCCTGAATGTCGAACACAGTATGAATCAATGATCAAAGAAGTAGAGGCAGAGAACTTAGACGACGCACCAGATGTTGACTTCCCCCATCAAGATGCAGCTCCAGGCCATGTTCACCCACGCCCGTCTCCAGATACAGACGATAACCCAGCGCTCAGCAAGACTCGTCGTGTTAGAGTCGAGGAAGTCGAAGATGAAGAAGGGATGTCGTTCACCAACAACGGCCGATATTTCAAACGTCGGACGGATGCTGGCTGGGCACTGCATGAGGGGGAGACAAGTTTTGAAAAATATAGAACATACCAAGAGGAAGAGGGTGAGGATCCATGGTCGCCTTTTGAGGACGAGTAAGTGCTTGAATGCGCCGGCAAAGCATCTACTAAATAGATATCACTCACCAGGGAAGAGTGGGATCTGGCCCACTGGCTCGTCAAGAACCTTGGTCAGACGCGGACCGAAGAATTCCTGAAACTGCCCATAGTAAGTGCAGTGTTGATCAAACGTTGATCAAAATTTGAACTTACAATATTGATACCCTAACCAGACACAAAACCGCAGCAGACTTTCGTTTCATAACAACCGCTCGTTCTTGCAGCGCGTTGACAAACTTCCACGCGGCCCAGGATGGAGTTGTAAGAAGGTGACTGTGCGTGGAAACATCGAGGATGAGAAAGGCGAGATGTTGCAAGAAGAGGTTGAATTGTGGAGCCGGGACCCTGTAGAATGCGTGAAAGAGCTCATTGGCAATCCTGCCTTCAAAGAACATATGGCGTACTCACCTGCAAAAGCTTATGCAGACCGTGCGGGGCAACATAGAGTCATCGACGAGATGTGGACAGGAGACTGGTGGGGCGAGAAACAGGTAAGACTATTTGAAAGGGAGCGACAAAGTAACGGACTGACCTCGCACACAGAACGCCTTGCCAGAGGGTGCAACGATAGCACCAATCATTCTATCTTCAGACAAAACATCGTTGTCGCAGTTCCGAGGGGATAAGTCAGGCATGGCCAGTGTACATGTCCATTGGGAAACATCGCTAAAGCAAAAAGGCGCCAAGCATCAGCACGCGCAACCATCCTCATTGGTTACTTACCAGCTAGCAAACTTGACTGTTTCACCCCCGATGCACGCTCCTTGGCTGGATACCGCCTCTTCCACCATTGCATGACTCTACTGCTCCAACCTCTCATCGGTGCTGGAAATGACTGGTGTCGAGATGGTGTGTGCGGACTCGTGGGTTCGTCGTGTCTACCCGATTCTTGCAGCATATGTCGCCGATTTCCCGGAACAGTGTTTGGTCAGTTGTTGCAAAGAGAACCGATGTCCGAAGTGCCTTGTAGCAGCAAATGAGCGAGGGGATGCACTCAACTCGGCAATGCGTGATCCAGAGTCAACAAAAGAAATCTTGCACAAGCGCAAGATTGGTCAGCATCCTCAGGAATTCGAGGCCAATGGTCTACGCGCCAGTTTACAAGCCTTTCTGGGCTGATCTGCCTCACGCAGACATTTTTCTAGCTTTCACACCCGACCTTCTGCATCAACTTCACAAGGGTGTGTTCAAAGACCACCTTGTGAAGTGGTGCATCGATATCATTGGCGAGGACGAAATGGATGCACGTTTCAAGGCGATCCCGAATTATCCTGGCCTTCGACACTTCAAGAAAGGGATATCGAGTGTGAAGCAGTGGACAGGACGCGAACATAAAGAGATGCAGCGAGTATTTGTTGGCTTGTTGAGCGGGGCAGTACCTAGGTGTGTGTTTATCGAGTCGTTAAGATGATGCCTTGACGTCATGCCTGGCAGTCGTGTTTTGGTGGTTGCACGATCTATTCTCGACTTCTCGTATTATGCCCAGCTGCACATTCAGACGACTGAGTCCCTCGATGCCCTACAAAACGCCCTGACTGTATTTCACGCAAATAAAGACATCCTCAAGGAGCTCGCTGTTCGAGAGCATTTTAACATACCGAAATTACACCAGCTCTCTCATTACGTGCAGTCCATCACATTGTTTGGCGCAGCTGACGGGTTTAACACAGAACTTCCCGAGCGCTTGCACATTGATTTCGCAAAGGACTCATACCGTGCTAGCAATAAACGGGACTACGAGGAACAGATGGCTTTGTGGCTGCAACGCCAGGAAGCCTGTGTTTATACGTAGCGCATACCTGGATTGGTTGTCTCAACAGCCTCACTCAAATGCCACACGACGTCGACTGCAGATTCAGACACGGACTCAGAGTCGGAAACACCACATCTTCCCGCAGCTGAACCACTTCAACCAACCCATGTCCTTGCAAAAGTCCCTGTGCATCCTCACCAATCTGTTCACACCATCATAACAGCACACGGTGCTACTGAGTTCCTCCCTGCTCTCCGTTCCTTCTTACTCAAGAATCTCCCGCGCAACACCATAGTCCCTGGTCTTCAAGACCGCTTCGATCTTTATCGTCAAGTGGTGATTGTGACGCCACCAGATTTACGAGTTAGCGACATGCCAAAGCGAAGGCGCATCAGAGCAACTCCAGAAAAGTTGCCGTCAGGCCGGAAGCCTGGTATCCCCAGCCCAGTTTGACATGGCATTGATAGCAGACAGGCCTCGCTCTTCGCATTTGCATACTCTTGAAGGTATTTTTTTGCTGAGTTTCTCAGCGGTCAATTTTGATAATAGTCTTGTTGCAGGTGTACGAGTAGCCCAAGTTCGCGCTATTTTCACCCTACCTCGCCAGTTCGGCGCATATCCCAGAGCCCTCGCTTATGTCGAGTGGTTCACACCTTTCAAACCACCCGACCCTTCCTCTCGAATGCGACAGGTCTCGCGCTCAACCCGCCAACTTCGGCGCAACTGCTGCTGTAGTCCACGTTGACGAAATTGTGCGGCCGTGCCATTTAATACCGAGGATGGGACAGTCAGTAGATTTGAGGTTGAGAAGCGGGAATGCATACTGAGGTGGCGAACGATTTTTATTTCAACGAGTTCATTGATGGCGAAATGTTTTGCGCATGTGTTATAAAGTAATTAGCTACAACGACAGTGTCTAATACATACTACGGTTGCACCTGTAGCTGCCTGTAGCCGCAGTGGTAGCTCCTGTAGCTACCTGTAGCACCCCCCAACCATATAGCCGCCTGTAGCATGGCTTAAGACTATATAGCGCTATATAGGTCACTGTAGCATAAGCCGTGCCTACATAGTGCTACTGTGCCTAAAAAGTGCTATATAGCTGTCACCCGAGCTACAGCATTTTGGGTTTTTTCCTGATGTAGACCGGAGTCTGGGTTTCGGTACCTTGTTGGTTTTCTTCGACAACAAGGTGTCCGTGTACAACATAGGCGAATTTGGCAATCCCTACAACGAGTTGACAGAATTGGACGCCAATTCAGACGCCAACAAATTATTCGAAGAAGGAAATATAAAGTTAAGCGTTCCAATGCTCTTTGGCATTTGGATGGGCACCATAAGATGATTCGGTGGGGATTCGTTGTCCATGGATTTATTGATGGTTACTGCAGAACAGCATGTCACAAGTCCGAGTTGAAGTCATCAGAAATTAATCATGGCTCGTCCAGGTGGTTGCACTAGAAACGAGCACAAATAATCGTGCTACAACAGTTCTCGATTTGTTTCTCAAAGCACAAGAAGAGTATGGTATGCCATCACGTATGCGAGGTGACCGTCGTGGTGAAAATATTGATATTGCCACTTATATGGTCATGTGAAACGGCCCAAATCATGGCTTGTTTATGTGGGGATCATAAGCCTAGTATCATCATTTGATCCTTTGGGTGTTTTTCTCACACAAGTACCACAGGTCAACTCAAAATTCGAGGATTGAGCGCCTCTGGGTTGAAGTAGGAACACAATTTGTGAGACATTGGAGGGCATTCTTTAGCCGTTTGGAAAGACTGCACAGGCTCGATATTGAGCAAACAGGTCATTTGTGGCTTCTCCAAAATCTATTCTTGGATGCTATCAATGACAACTGTAAGACCTTTCGTGAAGAATGGAACCTTCATCCAATTGCTGGCCCATCAACAAACAATAAGAGTCCACAAGTGAGATTTCACATCAAAAATTTGAACATAAAGTAACTGACACCATATTCATCACAGGATTTGCGACTGATAAGCCAGGCAACACTTGGTATTTACCGAGACAATTGTGATGGAGTTCATCCAGACACAATTGAACAATACTATGGCACTCATGGGCGAGAGCAGACTCGTCATCATGGGCAGACTGGTGCTGGCCATCCTGATGACGAAGACACTAATTCGGAGGATCAGCTCATCTTACAGATAGAAGAAGACCAGGAACGGAATATTCGACATGCTGCTGTTGAAGTTCCCGGAAAGAAAAGCCCCTTTGAGACTCAGCATGACGAAAACCTTTTTTTTTCAACAGTCGAGCAAATAGTTACTGAGGGCATTGTACCGGAAGGTTATGGCTTGCTCCCTGATGAGCAAGGTGATGATGCAGCCATGATTGAAGTCTTACAATTTGGAAGGCGCAGAACAAAATCAATTACCATCTCGTTAAGTGATCCTATCTGGGAAGCTCATGCAACACTTTGGTGTCAAGGGTTATCAGCATTATCTTTGTTCGAAACAGAAGGATACTTGTAGTTACATGTAGTGAATGAATAAGCTTAGAAATTGATGAGACTTATGAGTCAATAACCAATGCTTATGCAAAATAAAAAAATCTATGACCCACACTGATTTGTTCTCCCGAACCATCTTTACTTCATTCCACACACTGCTATGTCTGATCGCTGTGAAGTATACTGCCGAGACTTTTGTCAGGGAGGGCAAGCCTGCACCTGTGAATGCTTCACCCCACCCTCTAATCCCGATGCTCCGTACTACTGTCGAGAATGCCAACATGGCTTTAGCAAGCATCCCAAAGCTCTGGATCCTACAAGAGACGCACCTCGAAAGCAAGATGGAACCACATCTGGAAAAAGAGACTTGTCAGCATATTCAAGGAAAAGACCAGCGCCGCAGGGTCTGCAGCAAGATCCTTGCAATCTGCTGCCTCTTCCAAAAGCATGCTTGATCAGAAGATAGGTGTCGAGCAAGCAAGAGATGAAGTCATGAATGGATATAGAACTGGTTTAAATTCGCAGAACAATAAGGTGCGCAATACACAATGACAGATGTGCGGCACTTACAAGTCAGAGCAGTTGCAATTTCGTCGTGTTACCAGTAAAGCAAGCTAAGCCGTGCCTACATAGTGCTACTGTGCCTAAAAAGCGCTATATAGCTGTCACCCGAGCTACGGCATTTTGGGTTTTTTCCTGATGTCTGATGCTGATGGTGCTGCGGCTATGTCCCGCTCAGCGAGTGCGTGACCTCGTGTTTTGACCTGCTTACCCGACGCTGATGGTGCTGTGACTATGTCCTGTTCTCAGTCCGTGCGTAATCTTCTGCTTTGACCTGCTTACTTGACGCTAATGGTGCTGCGGCCGTGTCCCGCTTTCAGCGAGTACGTGACCTTGCCTTGTGACTTACTTACCCAACACTAATGGTGTTATTGCCGTGTTCCTCTCTCAGTTAGTGCGTGATCTCGTCTTTCGACCTGCTTGTTGACGCTGATGGTGCCATGGCTATTTCTCCCTCTCAGCGAGTACGTGATTCCATCTTGTGACCTGCTTACCCGACGCTGATGGTGCCGCGGCCATGTTCCGCTCAGCGAGTGCGTGACCTCATGTTATGACCTGCTTACCTGACGCTGGTGGTGCTGCGACCGTCTCTTGTTCTCAGTCTGTGTGTAGTCTTCTGTTTTGACCTGCATACCCGACGCTGATGGTACTGCGGCTGTGTCCCGCTCTCAGCGAATGCGTGATCTCGTCTTGTCACCTGCCCGTATACCGTCATTTCCTCAATGATGTGATCCGACCATTGTCAGTATACCTTATCATGAATATCTAAGGATTATCCAGCATGTTTGGACTGCGAGCCATAAAGATGATAATCAAGTAACAGGAATTACATACTGGATGAGCTCAAGATAGTCCTATCCCAGACTCTCTTCCGTGCAGGTCGTTGTAGTCAATGCGCAGATGTATCTACAAGAAATACACATTCACGAATTCCACTAAGTCTAGAGACAAGCATTTAGTTGAATAGATATTTGAGGCGTACGCTAGTTAGGGGCAAGTATAGACCTCCTTCCTCAATTCGGAACCGTCAATCTCGGACTGCTCTAATTGCGGTGGCGAAGTCCAACAGACACATTCCTCGAATGCCACACTGTTATGTACGAATTTGTCGTTGGCATGCGTATCCCAAATACTGATGATGAAACGTGGCACGATAATCAATGGCGCGGTATCCTTATACAATAGTACGAGCTTCAGCACCACAATCTGTGCATGCATGCATTAGAACAGATCTGTCTAGATTCGCAGAAGATCATACCGGAGTGTGTGCCCACAATATCGCCATGATGGCTTGACTTGCCAAATTCCTAGTGTGATTCAATGAATGCCTTCAAAGAACACAGTAAACGAAGGGAAACTTACAGGACAAAGTATATGACATGATATCGAACGATCATTACCAAGTAGGTGTTGGGCTTCAATCTAGCTTCCTTTCGTTCTTTCAGGTGCTTGCCGAGGACGGCAATAGCAAGAACAACCAAGAGAATGTCATAGCATATGATGGGGATGGAAAAATATATCGCAGGCATGGGCCCGATGTGGTGGATTGTTGTGCACATCGTCACATTTGGAGTTAGCATTACTTCTTGCACTATGCAACTAGACATCAGCTTGCATGGAATTCAACCAAAATAGAAATTCACCTGACAACGCTGAGGGTCGGCTCCATAAAAATGCATCCATTACTACATAGAGCGCGACGACAGGTAGTAAAAAACCCCAGTAGAACATAAAGTATGAGCTTGGATTGGTTGTATAGGACGTAAAGACGCCAGATGAGAACAACTGCAAACGCAAGATCGGTAAGTGCAAAGGTGCGATAATGTATGGATATGACTTACCTTCCGCCAAGCAAAAATATACAGAAAAACCCCATTGCATGAACAGAAGCATACCATAACCTATTTCAATTTCATGATGAGCAAAGCTAGTTTCTGTTGAATACGATATACTCACAACTAAACAAGAGGTCAGCAGTAGATCAGGCCTAGGTGTAAAATGAACTTATGACGTACGGCTGATCAAATCTGGGTCAATCAAGAACTCTCTAGAGAAAGAATCGATACACTCACTGCTTCAGGTAGATAAATGAGACCTCCCCCTAGCGCTAGTCAGTTAATGATGTCTTAGTTGGTATCACGTCACGTACAGACGGCGCAAACCCTAGACGTCAGCGTCAACATATAATGTACCATTTGAAGAATACAACCACCGCGACGTACATTGCAAGGACAATACCAAAATATCGAACCTGACAGCAACAAAAATGAGAAACCAGGAAGCACTTTGGCGGGTGGAGCTCACAACAAGGTATAGATATGTCATCACTGACCACCGTCTTTTCTGCATAACCAGTCAGTTCTGGATCTTCATATCATTGGGGTTAAGCTCTAACCCAAACAAACGTGACCTGCGATAATATGATCATGAGCACTCGACGATGATGAAGGGACCCTCTCGTTACCTCTTTCTCGAGCTGAAGCACTAGATAATGTTACGCTCAGCTGCACTGCAAGGTTCATGGAGGCTACTGACGGTACTCATAGGTTATCAGGGTGATGATTACAACTGGAAAACGATGGAGTTCAGCATAATGGTTCGTTTCCAACAAGACTGACGAACCCGCTGTGTTGTTGTTCCAGTCAAGAGCATAAAGAGATTGTTCTAGTGTCGACATGAAACTGTGCAGATCAAATGGTGAATTCAAAGAGTGAGGGATGGGCTGCTGATCACCCATGTACAATACTTATAGGGCATGTCGGAATCTCGTTAACTTGTAAGGGTTGTGAACTTGTGGCGTCCTAATGAAAATTGTACGGCATCGTACCAAGCTTGCAGCGCCATACTTTTTCATTTAATGTCGTGAATCACTGTCCTCGATACTATCACCTGATTCGGAATGCACAATCGATGGGTAATGCACAATGCACTTCAGAGCTCACAACTCAACACATATTTCATTCGGAACAGCTGTAGAACAAGTATTAGCATATTCTCAATAAACCTACCAATTCAAAAATTTAAAATCGACGCTATGGAGCCTTCCCAAGATGAAACATTGCGCAAGTGTACCCACAATGAGTGATTTTTGGACACTAAAATGAAGATCCACCCAGATCCCATTAACCTATCAACATAAAAACTTCAACATATATAAAATACACCATTCTGAATCTACCCCAGGTGTTTCTATGTCAATAGACCGACAGCGCAGCGTGCTATTCACGATTCATGAGTGCAGCGTGACAGTCAGGCTAAATCAGGAAATCACACTGTCGGCTTGGTTGAGTCTCCGCTTTGTTGCATTTGGCAGAATCGGTGGCGTTGTCAAACGGTGTGGCTTTGAGCGCTGTCGGACTTTAGATACTCTTGTGTATTGGCATGTATTGGCCGTGGTGCCGCGCGTGACATAGCGTGACGAAATTGTGCATTCTATTGTGTTTTCGACATCTCAACTTCCGCTGCTGCCGCTGCAACAAGCTCGCAACAAAATAAAAAAAATTCTTGTTGGGCCTAATGCGCAGAGACCTAAGGTATACACTACAGTAGATCCGATACGAATATGTGTTGTTGTTGTGTTGCTATTCAGCAATGAGTGTAAATTATGCATTTCCCGTCGAATGATAGTAATTCGGTACCAACGGAAAGGCCCAACGGAAAGGTCCAACGGAAAAGTCGTAAGTATATGATCACACGGCTGCCAGTGACTTGAAGGGTCACCCTGTGTTACTGGTGGCTGTTACTGCTTCTTGGGCTAGATTCTGCCTTTCTGACCCTCTTGTTAGGTAGCATGGGCGGTAAAGTTATCTACCCTGATATGAATATGACCAGAAAACATCAAATGAGTCCCATCACCATCCATATAACCTTGACAAGCAAGTCAAGTGCGTGATTTTAAGGTCGAACTTCGAAATAAGCGAAGGGTTTGCATTGGACGTTAACTTGTTGACGTCCGTAAAGCAAAGTGGTCTCTTGCACAGACATAGTTACAATGTCTTTGAGGAAGACAACCGCGTTCGGCTATCTTACATTTATCATTGAGAATATGACTATTTGCGGAATAGAAATGACAGCCTGGCCCTCAAGGTGAGATTGGAGAGCAGGGACGATGGTCCAGGGAGCGGCACTGGGAAATAAGAGGGTAGAGTCATGAGCTCTAGCATGAGTGTATTTGGTCTTCTGAAAAAAATTATACTGTCTATCGAACATGGACAGAATGATCGGCCCCGGCATCGCTCAACCACCAAGATATTACCAAGTGGCCGCGCTGTTGACACTGTGCGCCACTACTCTTGGCGTGGCCAGGTCACTATTAATGACTAGGACTCAGTACTGAAGTACCCACCATCTGGTCATGTCGTGACTTGACATTGATATCTCACTATGACCGTGCGTCTGGAATGTCTGTATCTACAAGTTAAGTGAGTGGTGGAGTGCATGTAGAGTACGCACACGGGGGCCCGGGAGTCATGCGAATTGCTTACACGGGATCAACGTTCGAACGTTCGACAGTTCCGTCCTTAGATATGTTAGACATGTAGGATATTTACATCGTCAACGAGACCTACGCTCGGTTTTCTTCGAAGTCCTTTGTTTGGTACCCTTTGGTACTTTGGCGAGCTCCCCACCACGCTTCTCTTCTCCACTACTAAGTGCTTGTCTGTTGTCATTGACTGGAACTTATGGCCCGTACAATGTCACTTGCAATCCCAATCCAACATCAGATTCAGAATCCATTCAAAGTGCTGATCTAGGCATGCTTGCGGCAAGTTCAATTCTGTACATACTCAGGCGGTACATACACGAGGCTTGTATATGCATGATTGGGCTGTGTTGTACGCACTGGCAGCTGCCTGTTAAGTATATCGACCACCTTCCTTCTCCGCATCACTACGTCTCACCTACCCTCAACCCATCTGATCAAAATGCCCTTTTCGCGGGTCAAGGATTTCATCAAGGACTTCGATCTGGCCAAAGTACTCACTGTTCGATCGAGGCGCCAACACAGAACGGACGCACGCAACGTAGTTCGACGACTGCCCACCATGAAGGCGATGACTTCATCTCTGCAGACATCACTGACGACTTTCGCTTCGTTTCACCTCTCTATTCTAATTCATTGCCGAGAGAACCGGGTCCGGAATTCTCCACCAATGCATCTTCCACCAGATGCTCCTGGGGCGAATCCTCTGCCCGCAAAGCTCCGACATGGTTCAGACATTTTACCCTTTGTACAGGCCGTTGCGGGTCCTATTCCCCTATAGAGCGACGGGCGCAATACCAAGCGGTTACATACCGATGGGTAAGCATTATGGGCGAATCATCTAAGCGCATATACTCATCGGACGAATTCCAGACGTGCTTGTCCTTTCCGACACCTATCAATTTAGGAGGGTCAAACACATTCTAACCGAAACTTCAAGACTTGGACGCTCAACACTGCACGGGAGGTCTTTGCACTGTACCTTGCAGTCTGGGTTGTTTTTAAACACTTCCGTGAATTGCAATAACCATGGACAGGATGGTCCATTCCGGACTCGACGGTGTTATCAAAAACACGCTCACTTTCTTTTGTAGCGTGAGTTCGATATTTGCATGTGATCAGGTTTTTCGCTGACATTTCGCATCAGCTAGGTCTACAACCTTTCCTATCTCAACCTTGCCTCGGTGTCTGTGGTATATGACTGATATCTGCATCTGGCCACCGCTGATCGTCTTCTGCAGGATCTGTGGTTGGGGCTTCCTGCGACTTTTTCATTCAACGACCCCTCGTCCTTTGCGTTCGGTATGAAACAGTTGCTTTGCAGGAACGCGCATGCGCATCGATTGACCATGCGCGGTACCTCAGTACTTAGTGACGAGTGCACTAATCGAGCAGAATCTATCGATTGGGTGTTTCGATGAGATTTGTAAGAGACGTCTGAACAGAATTTGGTGTTACAATACTACTTTTCCCAAACGCGATTGTGGCCGAGCGTAAGACAAAAAAAAGCGCACGGGACAGGGAAATCATCGAGTAGAAGACCTCATGACTAACATGAAGACAACTAAAGAAAAATCTGCAGCAGCTCACTGCATGCGTACATATCCAATACAGCACTAGCGATCTGATGTGCTGTCGGCATTGTATATGGGGACATCCGACAGGTAGAGGTGAATGGTTGGTCCCAAGAGAATAACGAGCTGGTTCCCATCAGTCAACCGCCACTGTCGGAAATGCAACCATGTGCGAAGACGATGTGTGCGATGTCCCTGGACCAACATGACAACATTCCTCGATTTTGATGAGGAGCTTACCGATATGTGAGGACACGCGGACCATTTCCCCCCACCCTGCCAGTCGTTAATGTATCGCTTTGCGAAATGGATTTCTGGACGCACTTTACTGAGATCGTCACTCCCCGAAAAAATTCCAAACTTCTCCAACTGGTTCTTCGTTTCTTGTCTACCGGTGAATCGAGCCATCGTTCCATGCGCTCACTTGGTTTACTAGTGCCAAACCGTGCGAGGCCTTATATGAACATGAAGTCGATGATGCACTCCGCCGTCGAGCTTCCCTAGCGCTGTTTTCTTCCAGATCCTGGTCCGAGTGTTGTGGTTGATGAAGTAGGACCGACTGAGCAGTGAGACGTGCCACTCACATCCAGGAATAATATTTCTTATGCTAGACCATGAGTGCCTCATTCCTAAACGTACTTTCTTCACTCATCTAGTCGACTTCTAGCAAATGCTCGGGTCTACGTCTTGACGTCGTGCTTCACCATCCAACACATGGAACTTTTGCCACAGAGGCAGTGTTGTTGAGTTGGTCGATGGGCGTCAGAGTTGGGCCATGCGGCTAACCTTATCAAAGTATGGTGCTGTGCTGCCTGTGCACAGTCAGGCACAGTCCACTGTGGGTGGCGGATACCTTGACTCGTCGATGAGCAACAAGCGTCGCTGAGTCTGACAAGGCTTCTCGTTCTACTTTCTCTGCGTTTTGAACGAGAACTTGACTTGACATCTTCGTGTAGTAGGACGCCAACTGATGCCGTGCTTGTGTGCAGTGCCAAGTTGGGTAATACTAACTGTGCACGGAATCTTGCTGCTGCGGAAAAAGAGCCGGGAAGAAACCGCCATGGAAAATTTGAAATTGTTTAGATGGTGGCACGGGGCACCACTCAACGTTTCAATTCTGAGATCAGCTGCAGAGATCTGATCGGTATCTTCGATAGCGTGATTGCAGCATGAACTCAACGTTTTCAAATGTTAAATGTTTGAAATTCAGGCCTACCATCTCATTCGTTATGGCTCAAACACAACTTGAAGGCGGATCTGCAGATCTGATTATCGATGGCCGGCGTGATCACAGGAAGTCGTTCCAGTGTACATACACGAGGATTGTGCATGCACGATTAATGGCTGTGTTCTATCTGCCTGTTAAGTATCTCGGCTCCTTCCCTCCCCTCCGTCTCATATTCCCTCTGACCCATCTAACCCACCCGACCAAAATGCCCTCCCCGGATCCGCCGCTCAAGGATTTGATTAAGAACTTTTTCAAGAATTTCCATCTGGGCGAAGTATTCGCAGTTCGATCGAGGCGCCCTGCAAAGAACGAACGTACACAATGCAGCTCGACAACCATTCACCATGAATTTCGCGATAATTTCATCCCTGTAGACATCCCTAGTGAGTTTCCCGTTCCTTCACCCACTCTCCATTCAAATCCATCACTACTAGTGCACCCTGGTTCTCTGGCCATTTCCTCCTCTACATCTTTTCGGGGCGATTCCTCTACCCGCCTCGGCAGAGCTTCTGACATGGTTCAGACATTTTTGCCCTTCGTACAGGCCATTGCAGGTCCTATTCCACTTGTCGGTGCTCCGATCAAAGCTACTATTGGTGGATTATTAGAAATATTCAAAGCCATGGATGTGAGAGTTTATGTCACCGCAAGGACATTCTTGAATCTCAATGTAATCATAGAGACGTGGTCAGAATAAGGTGGACCTGGATAGCTTGGCATCACGACTCGATCGACTACGTCTCGATTTGTGCAACGCCCCACGTGCCCGAGATCATCGTGAACGATGCCGAAGGGAAAATCTTACTAGGTATACCCCTCGTTGGTGTTTGAATTCACCTGACATTGAATGCCACTTAGCATGCTGCTAGAAATCTCCGCCACGCTGACAGAGTTGCGTAAACATGCTCTCGCATACCCATCCGTCACACAAGATATCGCCGGATGCTTTACGAAAATCGACCGTTATATGGCTGAGTATTTGGTTGTGTTCTACTCTCTGAATATTGTTCGTGTTCACTTATATTCCACTTGTTAGTTGTCATCCCAAATGCAAAATGGAGATGACATACGGGCAGTGTTGGCAATTCTGCAGAGGCAGCAGGAGTATCTTCAGAGGCAACAGGAGGATCATCAGAAGCAGCAGGTCGATCATCAGAGGCAGCAGGAAATCCTGATGAGAATTGAAAGCCGGATCATCTGTGTGCAGTCCTCCGTGGGGCCGGTCGTCACACTTGGCTGTGTGACACTGGTAGATGCAACAGGCCGCCAACATCCAATACCGATGGACGTCTGCGACTCATTTGAGGTAAGCCTCGCCATAAATTCCGTCTTGGGGAAGCTTCCTCATCAAATTCTCTTTAGCGATTCGATGAGATGCTTCGACTTCTATTAAAACACAGCTCGATCGAGGCTCAAATTCAGAGACGGTATATGGAGCAAGGACAATACGATTTATGCATCGACGACGACAAGCAAGTAACCCGACTTACAAGCCATGAATGGCCAAGCATTGAAGCGGGCACGAAGATTGTCATGAGGGTTATTATTGAACAGCAGGCGTCATCATACTCTGAAATTTCCTACCGATGTCCTTTTTGCGGCGATGTGAATCGCCTCGACGTCGGGCCTGTTATGTATTCGCTTGAACGGCAGGCAGGATGCTCGGTTGATTGGTGAGTATATTTAACTTGTGGATTCTGACGGCGCCTAACAACCGGAAGTCGAGTATGCAAACAACGATTTCAGATCTCCCGCAGAAGCTACAGTGCAAAATGGAGCATTCAATCCTCTAAACTTGATTCGATACTACGATTGACGCAGAAATGCGCCTGATTCGCAACTTCCATGTCCAGCAAATTGATAATATCATCAAATCTTCGGATGTGCTCAGGGAAACCAGCTACCCAACCGCCTCGGGTGGTCTTGGAGACGTTTACAAGTGTTTATTGAATTGTGGCGCAAGTTCGGATGAAGTATTTCATACACTCGGTTTTTTTCTACACGTCCTGACTCCGACTTCAGGTTGCGGTCAAATCCCCTCGATTCCCAATTCCAAGTGATCGTGAACGTGTCAGAATCAACAAGGTATATTGGGGTCCAGTCTGACACTCGCATATCTGAACTTATAAAATGCAGAACATGGACCGTGAGATTCGTATATGGGCCCCGTTGAAGCATCAATATGTATTGCCCTTACATGGCATTATAAAGCAATTTGGCTCATTTCCAGCATTGGTTTCCCCCTGGATGCCGAACGGGACTTTGAATTCTTACCTTAATCGTGCGCATGAGACCCTCTCGATGATGGATAGGCTTCGCCTCGTGAGTTCTATCTGCGAAGCCAAGTACGAGTACTTACCACATTTTCAATAGCTTAAACAAATCACGGAGGGGCTCCAGTATCGTGAGTGATAGATTGACTATGCAAGGGACCAACTGATTTCTATGTTTCGGCAGTTCATGACAACGACGTGATACACGGTGACCTCACCAACGTGAGTTTACAAATGCCGTGCAACCAGAATCTTCATTGTTATTGTAGAATAATATTCTGGTTGCTGCCGATGGATCCCCTCGTCTTGCAGATTTCGGTATCTCGAATGTCATAGTGCAATCCAAACCTGCCTTCGACTACCACACAGGTGCAGTACGTTGGGTCGCTCCAGAGCTCATCGACCCCCCGGAAGATCAACCCATACAATGCGCAACCAAATCTACCGACATATACTCTCTCGGCGGTGTCATGCTTCAGGTCAGTGGCTCGTTGGCTTGCTAGTGACACTGACACCCCCCCACGTGCAGGTCCTATATGGGAAACAACCTTACTGGTGGCTGAAGAGCGCCATAGATGTTGTTCATGCTAAGTTGAGACAAGCAGAGCCCATCAATTCCTCCATCGAAATCCAACCCAATCACCTGGATTTCATGCGGCGGTGTTGGTCGACGGCGAAAGAGTTTTCGCCCGTCAGCAGAAGAGATAATCAGCTACCTTCAGGAAGCACTGTTGAATGAGACTTCGTCTGTATAAGGTCTTAGTTTTCAAGCGATCCTCTGTCTTGTATTTATGTCGACTTCGATTGTGCGTCCCATTATATATAATATCGCTCCCTGTATCCTGTGGCTTTCTAAGCGCCACATCATGCCCTCACCCATCGTTACCTTGACCGTCCATTCTGCTTCAAGCCGGATTTAGCTTGGAAAATCTTCAGTGCTCCTGGACTATATTTCACCTCGAGTACATTCGAGCTTGGGCTTCCAAAAGCATCGGGGACCTTCAAGACGCATGGCGTGCTTGTAGTGAAGACCGTACTGGCGTTAACGGAGATGTCCATGCTGTCAAGCCAAACATGAATGTGTACCATCCACCTATCGGCAAGTACTACTTAGTATGTACTCGTGTATGATGTGCTCACATTCCATATACCAGGTGCTTTTGTCATCATGAACCATCCCTACTCGCTTCGTTACCCACACACAACTGTATATATCCCTACTCCCACTGCCACATACATGCGTCCGGTCATAATCACATCTGTCCTCTTCCACGCCACCCTGGTCCCTATCCACCGTGCGCCGTAACCGTTTGAGAGGGCTGCTTGTGTGTACGCCAAGTCTCAACCATCCACTATTCTTGCTTTGTATCTTCAAACTCGACCACCAGCGTCTCCTGTGGCGTCACTTGCAGTTAGCCCTTGTTATGCGAGAATCCTCAGCATACATGCGCTGAGGTCTGCCACCCCGGTGAGAGAGTCACGATAGCCTGAGATGTGGGGGGTATTCTACTGAATTTCTACACCGATGCTTGCTATTCTTGTCCAATTAACTGCACTCCTACAGAGAGATGGGCGCAATATTAAGCGGTTACATACCAGTGGGTAAGCATTATGGGCGAATCATCTAAGTACACATACTCATCCAACGAATTCCAGAGGTGCTTGTCCTTTCCGACACCTATCAATTTACGAGGGTCAACCACATTCTGACCGAAACTTCAAGACTTGGACACTCAACACTGCACAGGAGGTCCTCACACCGTGCCTTGCAGTCTGGGTTGTTGTCTAACACTTCCGTGAACTGCAATAACCATGGACAGGATGGTCCATTCAGGACTGTATCAACGGTGTCATTAAAAGCTCGTTCACTTTGTTTTGTAGCGTGAGCTCGATATTTTCATGTGATCAGATTTTTCGCTGACATACTGAATCAGCTGGGTTTGCAACTGCTTCCTGTCTCGACCCTGCCTCGCTGTGATCGATACATGACTGATATCTGCATCTGACCATCGCTGATCATCTTCTGGAAAATCTATGGTATCGGCCTTCCTTCGACTTTTTCACTCAACGACCCCTCGTCCTTCGCGTGAAACAATTGCTTTGCAGGAACGTGTACGCGTATCTATTGGTAATAGTGCCTAGTACCTCAGTACTCAGTGATGAGTGCACTGGTCGAACAGAATCTATCGATTGGGTGTTTCGATGAGATTTGTGAGAGACGTCTAAACAGAATTTGGTGTTACAATACTACTTTTCCCAAACGCGATTGTGGCAGAGCGTAAGACAAAAGAGCGCACGGGAGAGGGAAAATTATCGAGTGGAAGATCTCATGACCAACATGAAGACGACCAAAGAAAAATCTGCAGCAGCTTACTTCACGCATACATATACCTTTGCATCCAATATAGCACTAGCGATCTGATGTGCTGTCGGCATTGTATATGGGGACATCCGACAGGTAGAGGTGAATGGTTGGTCCCAAGAGAATAACGAGCTGGTTCCCATCAGTCAACCGCCACTGTCGGAAATGCAACCATGTGCGAAGACGATGTGTGAGATGTCCCTTGACCAACATGACGATATCATTGTGCACTCTTGATTTTGATGAGCTTACCGACATGTGAGGACACGCGGTGCATTTTCCCCACCCTGCCAGTCGTTAATGTATCGCTTTGCAAAAATTATTTCTGGACGCACTTTACTGAGATCGTCACTCCCCGAAAAAATTCCAAACTTCTCCAACTGGTCTACTGGTGAATCGAGCTATCGTTCCATACGCTCACTTGGTTACTAGTGCCAAACCGTGCGAGGTCTCATATAAACATGAAGTCGATGATGCACTCCGTCATCGAGCTTCCCTGGCGCTGCTTTCTTCCAGATTGTGGTTCGAGTGTTGTGGTTGACAAAGTAGGACCGACTGAGCAGTGAGACGTGCCACTCACATCCAGGAATGATATTTCTTATGCTAGACCATGAGTGCCTCATTCCCAAATGTACTTTCTTCACTCATCTAATCGACTTCTGGCAAATGCTCGGGTCTACGGGCATGTTGCCTTGGCGTCGTGCTTCACCATCCAACACATGGAACTTTTGCCACAGAGAAAGTGCTGTGGAGTTGGTCAACGGGCATCAGAGTTGAGCCATGCGGCTAACCTTATCAAAGTGTGGTGCTGTGCAAAGTCCGGCACAGTCCACTGTGGGTGGCGGATGCCTTGACTCGTCGATGAGCAACAAGCATCGGTGAGAAGGCGCGTCTAAAACGGCCGGCGGGAACGGCGGACTGATGGGGGCACGCCCCACATCAGGGCATTCGCGACTTCAGAGACCAAAGGACACCGGGGGTCCTATAGATTAGAAAGCACTGTCCTACATAGAGTATTCCTCTCAATGGACAAAAAACTGGATTAAAAAAAAAAAAAAAAAAAAAAAAAGCATCGGTGAGGCTGACAAGGCTTCTCGTTCTACTTCTCTCCGTTTCGAACAAGATTTTGACTTGACATCTTCGTGTAGTAGGACACTAGTTTTCCGTATTTGTGTGGAGTGCCAAGTTGGGCAACTGTGCACGTGCTGCTGCGGAAAGAGCCGGGAAGAAACCGTCAGGGCACCACTCGTAGAGATCTGATCTTCGATTGTCAATGTTTGAAATTCAGACCTACCTGGCTCAAACACAACTTGAAGGCGCCCAGCGCAGATCTGCAGATCCGATCATCGCAGTAAGTCCGACGCTTCCAGTGTACATACACGAGGATTGTGCGTGCACGATTAAGGGCTGTGTTCTATCTGCCAATTAAGTATCTCGACTCCTTCCCTCTGACCCATCTAACCCACCCGACCAAAATGCCCTCTCCGGATCCGCCGCTCAAGGATTTGATTAAGAACTTTTTCAAGAATTTACATCTGGGCGAAGTATTCGCAGTTCGATCGAGGCGCCCCGCAAAGAACGGACGTGCACAACGCAGCTTGACAACCATCCACCATGAACCTCGCGATAACTTCATCCCTGTAGATATCCCTAATGAGATTCCCGTTCCTTCACCCACTCTCCATTCAAATCCATCACTGCTAGTGCACCCTGATCCTCTGGCAATTTCCTCCTCTACATCCTCTCGGGGCAATTCCTCTACCCGCCTCGGCAAAGCTTCTGACGTGGCTCAGACATTTTTGCCCATCGTCCAGGCCGTTACAGGTCCCATTCCACTTGTCGGTGCTCCAATCAATGCTACTATTAGTGGATTATTGGCAATCCTTCAAGTCATAGATGTGAGAGCTTATTTTATTACCAGGATGTTTCTTAATTCGAAGGCCGTCACAGAGACGTAGTCAGAATAGGGCGGACCTAGATCGCCTGGCGTCACGACTCCATCAACTAAGCTCACATCTGTGCAACGCTCCGACCAGCCAGGATCCCATTGAACAATACCGGAGGGATTCCATAATTAGGTATACGTATTCTTGATGTGTTCTTGAATTTACCTGACATCGAGTCGCACTTAGGATGCTGCAAGACATATCGGCCCAAGTAACACAGTTGTACAATCGTGGTCTTGCATACACATCTGTTGCGCAAGCTATCATCGGATGCTCCAGCGAAATCGACCGTTATCTGGCGGATTATTCGGTTGTGTTCTACTCTCTCAAGATTGTTTGCATGCACTCATTATTCTGCTTTGTTAGTTGTCATCTCAAATGCAAATTCAACACGACATTCACGAAATGCGGAAAACTATAGAGAGGCAGCAGGAAACCCTGATCAGATTTGAAAGCGTGTTCTTCCATGGACAGTCTGTGGGACCGAATGTCACGCTTGGCTGTGTGAAACTGGTAGATGCAACAGACCACTTACATGCAATACCGATGGACGTCTGTGACTCATTTGAGGTAAGCCTCGTCATAAAATCTATTTTGTGGAAGCTAACTCATGAAATTGTCTTTAGCGATTCAACGAGATGCTCCAACTTCTATTAAAACACGACTCGGTCGAGGCTCGAATTCAGAGACGATATATGGAGCAAGGACAGTATGATCTGTGCATGGACGACGACAACCAAGTAACCCGACTTACGAGCCATGAATGGCCAAGAATTACCGCAGGCATGACGATCGTCATGAGGGTCGTCTTTGAACGGGAGACATACACTAGAGTTGACTACAGTTGTCTCTTTTGCGGCGCTGTCAATGACGTTGGCGCCGGGTCAATTATGCATTCGATTCAACGCCAGGCTGGTTGCTCGATCGATTGGTGAGCATTTGTCTTCCGGCTGCTGACGACGCTTAACAAACAAAAGTCGAAATTGCAAACGACGATTTCAGATCTCCCTCGGGAGCTCCAGTGCAAAGCGAAACACACAATCCTACGACACCGACTCCGTTACCAGAACTGAAGAAGAAATGGACCTGATTCGCAACTTTCACGTCCAGGAGACGGTATGTTACCGTGAAACTTCGCTGGCAGTCTTAAACTGAAAGCTCAATGACCTTAATCCCAACCCAAACGCCGATGGTGCAATGGCCGTGTCCCGCTCTCAGTGGGTGCGTAACCTCGTCTTTTGACCTGCTTAACCGACGCTGATGGTGCAATGGCCGTGTCCCGCTCTCAGGAAGTGCGTGACCTCGTCTTTTGACCTACTTACCCCGACGCTGATGGTGCAATGGCCGTGTCCCGCTCTCAGTTGGTGCGTGACCTCGTCTTTTGACCTGCTGATTGACGCTGATGGTGCAACTGATGGTGCAATGGCCGTGTCCCGCTCTCAGGAAGTGCGTGACCTCGTCTTTTGACCTGCTTACCCGACGCTGATGGTTCAATGGCCGTGTCCCGCTCTCAGCGAGTGCGTGACCTCGTCTTTTGACCTGCTTAACCGACGCTGATGGTGCAATGGCCGTGTCCCGCTCTCAGGAAGTGCGTGACCTCGTCTTTTGACCTGCTTACCCGACGCTGATGGTGCAATGGCCGTGTCCCGCTCTCAGGAAGTGCGTGACCTCGTCTTTTGACCTGCTTAACCGACGCTGATGGTGCAATGGCCGTGTCCCGCTCTCAGCGAGTGCGTGACCTCGTCTTTTGATCTGCTTATTGACACTGATGGTGCAATGGCCGTGTCCCGCTCTCAGGAAGTGCGTGACCTCGTCTTTTGACCTGCTTACCCGACGCTGATGGTTCAATGGCCGTGTCCCGCTCTCAGCGAGTGCGTGACCTCGTCTTTTGACCTGCTTATTGACACTGATGGTGCAATGGCCGTGTCCCGCTCTCAGTTGGTGCGTGACCTCGTCTTTTGACCTGCTCACTCGATCTTGATGCCCTGACAAAGTTCCGACCTGTCAATGAGGAAGCACGTGATTTCAATGCTGGTGGTGCTTCGACGACGGTTTATTCTCATAGGGTGTGATGTCGTCTGTTGAAATGTTTGACTGTTTATTGACCTTGACGGTGCCAGGCACACAATGTTCTTGGCCATGGCCCAATAATATCCCGCCCACCAGGTCACGTTTCACCCTCACACGGTATGTGATGTTATTTTTCCAAGTGAACAGCCAAATCTAACTTTTTCATTGCGCTGTGAGATGGTGCGTGTTTCCATATCAATCTATATTACAGCATCCCTTTGAGCTGATTGTGAATAGCAAAATATGGGTACAACCGCATTGGGGAGATCGAGGAAGACAGTAACGATGATGAAGACGAGGATGGAGCGGAAGGCTTAGATGATGAAGAATGGGAGGATTGCGAGGACGGGAAGGATTCTGAGGAGACAAATCATTATGGCGAGCTTTAGATATGACATGATATGGCTACCCCCTGTGCAACTGCAGACTCGGCTTCATATGCTTTCATGTTTTTCTCCCTGTGTGCATTGTGAATAGAATGTCATTCAGGTGAACCCAGTGTGTTCAAGCTCAAGGTTACTCTGTAAAATCCGTGTCAAATCTGCTGTGCCTCATGTACTTTTTGCTGCTGTCCGAACTACTCAATTTTCCATCCCGAGTGAGAAGTAGATTCGGACATCTATACAGTATATTTAGTTGAAACCTTGGAGTTGTATGCACTCCCAAACATTTCACATTAGAAATTGCATCTTAGGAGAGCTGCAGGAGCATATGGCTTGATCGAATCGGATTGATGTATGCATGTGCATGCAATACACGTACTGGTATCAGGATATGCAAAGTATATCATATTGGGGCATGACTCAATTCTGGCGTTTTATGTTTGACAATGTGCCAGGTGAGTAACGTTCGATATCTGAGCCGCACATCAATTTGGAGTTAGAGGACCCGCCAGCCTTCGTCGATCTGCCGTCACATTTCACGGATTATTCAGAGCCATCCTTCTAGTATTTCCCGCATAAACTTGGATGCTGTGAATATCGATATCAATCATAGTAACAGCCGAGTCACTTGAACATACCCCTCGCAGATATTAGACGTAGGCTCCACTCACATAACAGATATGAAGCTATCGCTCACATCATTGTTTCCATGCTCACTTAAATTGACCAATATTCCTGTTGTGGGATGACGTCAATGGGCAGTTCGAATGAAATCATCTGCGGTTCGAGACCATCATATCACAGGAGTATATCAAAACCTGAACCGAGGATAAGGAACCACTGACATGCCATGTACTTGCGTTGTCTTCCTACTTTTCAACGAGGCTCACTGGCAGTCACGGTGAGTTAACCTTGCTTACATCATGATGTTACGGCACTATTATTTCGCTTCCTTGGTTGCTTGTCCCTTGTGCAGACCTTGTGCGAAGGTTGGCTCGGCTGTCAGCATTACCCAGGAAGGTCGGTATCAGGGTTATATTTGGTTCATGGTCTATAATGCAACATTTCCGGAAATCCTTCTGTCAAACCATGTGTCAGTCCTTCATGACCGTTCTTTATATTTGTGTACGTTCTTGCTACGAGCGCATTTGGCATCATTGCGCTGACTTCAATATATGCTAGGTGCGCTACATTGGAATACTATTTGCTGTGTACGTCTGCAAGGCTATCTACACAACACTGCAATGTGATAATAAGTCATATCTTGCAACCAGCATCAGTATCCTATGTATGTGTCCTCAAATGTGTTCGCTCCTTCTGACTGGCTGCATGCAGGGAATTTCCTGCGGTGCCTTACTACCGGTACCGACTTGACCGAAATATCATTCAAGTCATCATGATTGCTCGGATAAATGCCATGTATCGGGGATCGAAAAAGTTGCTCATCTTTCTTGTTGTAGCCTTGCTAGCTTGCACGATCACCTCCGGAGTTTTGATGGTAATTGGAACCCGGGGTATCTCGACGCGTAAGTTTTAATTATCCATGAAAGCTTGGATCACGAAAGACTCATGGTTATTTACTAGAGGAGACCACCCTTTCCGCCGGCTACCATATCTGCATCATCGAATTTGACACATCCATGATAAATTTGGATTACGAGAGTCTGGTATCCACTGCTGCGTGGGAGATCCTCAACTTGTTTCTCGCAGTCTGGATTGTCATACGGCACTTCCGGGAACTGCGACAATCGACGATAGAATTGACCATCGGGGATTATTTCAGGATATTAATAGAGAGTCACACATTTTACTTTCTAGCGTCAGTTCGGTTAGCCTAAGCTAATATCTTGTTTCACTAGAGTTCCGTATTTTATAGCTTTGCTGCTGTGGCTTGCTTCGAGCTTGGCGCACTGTCTCCAAATATTACGGTACGCCGAGCTGCGACTGGCATCTGCAGCTGATCACTCTCTCATCATTTCTCTGCAGAACTCTTTGTCCGTTGGGAGTGCTATTTACTCTGGGATTTGGTCAATCGCCGATGCATTGCAGATGTTTGTGCTGGGATCGCGTCTGATCCTCAGCGTTCGGGGATATCACGCTAAGGTCGTAGCCAGGGCCAACGGAGGAACAGGCATGACGTCCATTGCTTTTGATGCTGCTGGAGATACGTTAACCGGCGGAGATGTGTAGAGAGTGAAACGAACCAAACGATCAATCACGGTTCTGTGCGGGGAGCATGCATATTTGTTTGTTTCGTTGTGATATTTAGCGTCATCTCGCTATGTCTTCGGTGTTCTGACAGTGTATACTGTCATAATGATACATCTAATATATTGTAATGACCGAGAAAAATAGGAAATATTAATGAGGTGAACGAGCAGGTGCCTTTGAGCTACCGCAGTGATGTATCCACGGGTAGGATCCCATTCCGCTTCCTATCATTTAGGTTATGTATCCGATACATTGATTTTTTAGCTTACTACCTGCTGTAACTTAGGCTATCAGACCGATTATCGTTCGGTGGATCTGATACATTAGTTTTGACTCGTTTATGCTGTAGGGTATCTAACACTACTGAGCTCCGTTCGGCGGATCATACGAGCGCGGGTGCTGATCAGCTCGTTGTTCTTGTACGTGATACCAAAGGAGCGTACACTTTGCGTCGGACAAATGCAAATGTATTGCTGATAGCTTAAAACTTGCTACGTTAAATCATTATTTGACTAGTCGTATTTGTCTGTGCTGATCTGGGAGTGGCGGGCGGGTGCAAAACTGAGATCTAGTAGCTAGAACTTAGAGTGAGAGATGACTGCGCAGTGCGAGGTGGGCTGAAGCAAGACTCGCGCTGGCGCGACACGTAATAGACTAGCATCCTACGCTAGCCTCGTGCCTCGGCCAGCTCAGAAAGCCACTGGCACCTTTCTTTCAACGAGGCCCAGTGTGGTAAGTTTCCTGCAATGAAGAGTAGTCAGAAATTCTCAGAATACATCGTTTATTCGTGTCGTGAGTCATGACTCTGATAGCAATTTCGGTGACAAAAGAATAGCGCAGAGTCAAGCTGAGTCATTTTACGTGATTCGACGCCCCGGTCCCCCGGAGCCGTTCGAGATGATACAGGCTGACTCAGCAACGCTGTCAGACTTATATTTCGTGTGTACCGTCGAGCAGCTGCAGAGCCCTTATACCAATACCCTTCGCATGGAAACATCCTCACCTGGAACAATATTAACCCAACATCAAGCTGAGAACCAAGTACCTGGTTCAGCAAATCCAACCTCAATCTCAAGCAGTAACCGCCGTGGCAATCGTCCCAGAACTCGCGTTCCTCCAGCGAATGCAGCGAGTTCGCATGTCGTAGTTGCTCCAGACTCAGCTGGTACAAGCAGCAGGACAGCCTCGCCAAAACTTTAATCAGAACCGATCTCATGATCACAAACAGGGAAGCTCAAATCCGCGTAGACCACCTGGCGCTTCTCAGACCGCTAGCTCTAGCTCAGTCGCAGGTGAAACAGGTGATGGAAATGCACGGCCAAGGAAGAATCGCCTTCCAAGACGTCCCCAGGGAGTCACCACTGCGAATGAACCCAACGTCACTGATTCTCAAACCCAGTCGCAGTCGAAGCGTCCATCCCGGCGTTCCAAATTTAATTCGTCACTTTCTGAACCGCCACCATTTACTGGTGACTCAAAACCTAAAGTTGAAGTCCATCCCCCACCGCAAGCTTCTTCGCTGCCTAAGAAAGTCAAGCCTCCGAGACCCAAGGCGCCTCTCGCCGACGACCTCACTTCGACTCTTACTCACGCCCTCAGCACCCATCCTTATCCTGACTGCCCAATCTGCTTCAACCCCATTCGTCCAGAACAGTATACCTGGTCTTGCTCTACTTCAGATCCCTCTGAAAACCTACAATGCTGTTGGACCACATTCCACCTGAAGTGCATTCGGGCTTGGGCTTCCAAAAGCGTCAAAGACCTTCAAGATGCATGGCGTGCACGTGGTGAGGAACGTACTGGCGAATGGAGGTGTCCCGGCTGTCAAGCCAAACGTGAATCTGTACCATCCAGCTACCGGCAAGTGCTACTTATCTACTTTTATATCGTGTACTTATCTTATCATCAGGTGCTTTTGTCATCGCATCACAAATCCTTCCCCTACTCGCCTCGTCACCCCGCACAGCTGTGCATATCCCTGCTCCCGCGTACGTACTTCTGCTTGCGGTCACGGCTGTCCTCTTCCCTGCCACCCTGGTCCCTGTCCACCGTGCGCTGTTACCGTCCGGAAGGGTTGTTGGTGTGGACGCCAAGTGTCAACGGTCCGTTGTTCTTCCCTAGCATCGCCAAACTCGACTACTGGCGTTTCCTGTGGCGTCATTTGTAGTAAGCCCTTGTCGTGTGGGAATCCCCAGCATACATGCGCTCAGGTTTGCCACCCCGGCGAGTGCAAGCCTTGCGTCGTGGCTGAAATCGTCGCGTGTTATTGTGGAAAAGAGGAGAAAGAAGTCCCGTGCGGCGACAGGAAAGATCGGGCGGTTGTATGCGCTGTTGAGGGAGAGGTTGGCTGGGAGGGCCGCTATGAATGCGATGGTGTGTGCAGTAGGCAAGTATTTGTTCATCTTCATCTTGCTTATTGCCTATGGCGCATGTTTGACGGAGGGTCGTGCATGATGCAGCGCACACATTCACATATTCTCTTTACTCTAACGTATCTCGTGCAACCAATAAAGGATATGCCACCCATTCCAAATAATTATTCTGACGTTTCTTTCACAGACCCTTTGCATGCGGAGTACACACCTGCGAGAAAGGATGTCATCCCCCGTCATTCACACCTCCAAGATGCCCGCTTGATCCATCCATCATGCAAACCTGCGCCTGCGGCAGGCTCGCTCTCCCCACTGTCGAACAACACGATCGCTATATCCACGGGCCGGAATCAATAACCACTCCCAAATACGGCTTCAGTGGCAAAGACATTGCGTATTTCCTCGGACCCCGCACATCCTGTACTGTTCCTGTCCCTACATGCAAGCAACGGTGCATAAAAACCTTACGCGACTGCTCGCACCAATGCGGGGTAAGCTGTCATAATGGCCCCTGCCCACCATGCACCGAGCTCATAGAACGCACCTGTCGATGCGGAGCGACGAAGAAGATGATCAGGTGCGGCGAAGTCATCGAGACCAGTGAAAGTAACGAAGCCGGTGATATCCTTTGCGATCGTGCATGCATAGCCCTACGCATATGCGGGCGCCACCAATGCAACCGCATTTGCTGTCCTCTCGCGTCTCTTTCTGCTGCGCAAAAAGGAAAGGGCAAGAAACGTGCAGGATTTCTGGACGAGCTTGGTGCTGAAGAAGGCGGGCTGCACGAGTGCGACCTACCATGTGGGAAGATGTTGAACTGTGGGAACCACCGGTGCGACCGAAAGGACCATCGAGGCGCGTGTGGGGTGTGTCTGCAGAGCGTTTATGAAGATGTAAGTAGTTTTTTTCATTGATCATCGTTGTATTTTGGCCTGACGTTCAAATAGCTCATATGCCCGTGTGGTCGGACGGCTTTGGAGCCTCCAATTCCATGTGGTACAATGATGACTTGCAGTTATCCGTGCGCAAGGCCTTCACCTCCATGTGGCCATTCGCGCATCCCTCATGCATGCCACGAGAGCGTCATTATTGCCGGCGCGGACTCAAGCCAAGCAGTGGAGCCATCTCCTTGCCCACCGTGTCCGTTCCTCACCAGCAAACAGTGTGCTTGCGGGAAGAAGATGGTGGATAATGTCAGGTGTGCGCAGGAGCGGGTGAGCTGTGGTACCGTGTGTGGAAAGTGAGTTTTGTGTTTGTCTAACGGTTGTCATATCGAGTAACTTCCCTTTTGCTTCACAGGTCACTAGCATGCGGTTTCCATCATTGCGAACGCTTGTGCCATGCAGATGATTGTGGGACATGTACTGCTGTATGCGGCAAGTCTCGCAAATCATGGTAAGTTATCTTCCATTCTCTCCTCTCCAGCTGATATGAATTCCCCCTTTAATCTAGCTTGCCAGCACAACACCCATGCACCCAAACATGCCATGCCCCATCAGCATGCCCTGAAACTGAAGCCTGTCTCACGCTTGTCACCCTCACCTGTCCCTGCGGCCTCATTCGTTCCTCCATCCCATGCTCCCAAGCAAACTCAGCTGCCCAGCTCAGATGCACTGGTGAATGTGCGATCAAGAAACGTAATGCGCGACTTGCGGATGCTCTTGGCATCAGCTCCGAGAAACGCGAGGGTTCACAGGCCAAGGTCACTTATAATGATGACCTAGTGACTTTTGCGAGAGCGAACAGTAAGTTTGTGGGATTAGTGGAGAAGACGTTTGCAGAGTGAGTAGTGGTTTTTACGATTGCCTGATGGGCATTCTCACATTATCTTCATTCCAGTTTCATTACTTCTGATAAACGCACACAAGTCCTGCCGCACATGCCTCCTGAACGACGTAAATTCGTGCATGATGTGAGTTCACTTTGTTTCTGAAACATTGTATTTTGTGATACTAATATACCAACCGTACATAGCTCGCGTCTATCTACCGCATGGATACACAAATGGTTGATCAGGAACCTCACCGAAGCGTACAGCTCATCCGGCGCATTGACACGCGCATCCCGACGCCACTTTTATCTGCATCCCTCCCATCTGCATCGCCATCGCCTGCAGTCCTAGGCAAACTCGGTGATTTGCGAGCCCCGAAAGCTGTGTCGGGCGTAACGAGTGGAAGTGGAGTATGGGCCAAACCCCAACCAAAGGTTGCAGAAGCAGGTGGGAAGTGGACAGCAGTTGTCTCACGCCCTGGGTCTGGGAGTTCTTCGCCTGCTCCTGGTGTGTCGTCGAGCTCGGGAGGGATTCAAACTCCCGGTGCATCATCGAGCTCCGGAGGGACTCAAATTGGTACTGCTACTTTGAGTTTGAAGCCGAGTGCTGGAGCATGGGTGTCGTCTTCTGTGCAGCGCGCGAGAGAAATGGCTAGTCTAGACATGAGTGGGGAGGAAGAAATAGTGCCGGATGATTGGGAGGATGATGTGTAGAGTTGGTCAGTTGCGAGCTTGGCACATGCTGGCGACGATGGGAAATATTAAGATCTAGCTGTGGTCGAGCACAAGGCTTGGATAGCCATCGAGGTCTGTCTCGAGAATTTATATGTGTGTAAACAACTGGCAAGGCAGGGAACTGAGGCATATCACAAAGCCCCGTTGAACATGTTCAAAGGGTTAAAATTCATGATCCCCAGTAGCTGCATGACATTGACATTGGAAAGGACAGTCACCTCTACAGAATTTGACAAACACAGGGAGATGCCTACGGAATATAGGTATCACAACATCTGAAATTAGTAGGGCTCTTGCCTGCACTACTGTAAGGATTGAAGAGCTGCTTCCACACTATTCGTGAGAGTGCGGTTGGAACGAATATCTGGTAGGGTCCCGAGTTGCAGTGATCTTGCAAAACGTGGTTGAGAGCGGAGGTGCCTCAGGTGGACAAATTGTACCATGAGTGGTACCGGGCATAGGCGGTATCCTCAACTGCCACTGCAAGTGACGCTAATAAATGGTCCCAATAGAATGTCAAAGAAGTGTTGGAGTTTCGAAAGGCAGAAATGTCACTGTCCCGGAGCTACCTCGTGGTAAAAAGTAGCAAGACAAGTCCTGCGTCATCTTCATGCCCTTCTTGATCATGGCTTCGACCTCATCCATATCTTGATTCGGAAACAATGTCTGCAGTGAAGAAATCAATAAGGCGACCCTAATGAGTGGCTGCAGATACTTACACCACGTGCTAGCAATTCATTGTTATCATTATCGACGTTGATCGGCTCGTCCCCCCGGACCCAAACGTGGAATCGAACAGAGGCGAGGTGACACCATGTATGACCTGCGATCACGATGTGTTTATCGTGAGATCGTGCCGGATCTCCTTGAAGCGAATGAAATGAGGAGGGCGAACGAGCCGATGTCTCCTGGCGTAGCATCTGCCATGCTTCCGACATACGTTCAGGTGAGCGATATGGACATTGGATGATGCTCGTCAATAACAACCATTATGGCCATCAGGACTTCTGCATTGTCGGCGATTTCTTTTTTGATTTTCCAGAGAACTGAATGTGTGTGCTGCGCAAATGTACATTCCCCGATGACATGGATCTTCCTTACGCCCCACATGGCCTCGAGTCATTGCAACAGTCCAGATTGACATGTCTGGAATGGTAAATTCCAGCCCAAAGTTCATGGATAACGTGCTAGACAGAGCTTGCTGATTGTGAGAAAAGCCGAGCAAAAAGCCAAAGAATTCTTGACCCAAGAAACCGAACGGAGCTTCGTGTATGTTACTGCGTGATTCGATGAGGATGCGGTCCTTAAAGTAACTCAACCTACAAGGATTCGGTACATTATTAGTCGCGAGAATTGATCCGTTCACCCTACCTTGGTCTTGCTGGTAACAGTATGCCAATTCAACTCCATAATTTTGGATACTGCTGAGAACACCCTATAATAAACATCAAAAAACTCCTGTTACAATAATCAGATGAGCGCCTGCACTCCGCTTATGAATTCGAGCATACCACAGATTCTTCCTCGGGGTCTGGCTCCATGATACACTCCAACACGTCCCTGCATTGATCTTGAAGAACGAATGTCACAATCAGCGTAAGACTAGGTGAGTGAGTCACAAATACCTAAATCAATGGTGTCAAGGTCGGCAACGATGAGCATGTCCTCCAAATCTTCTGATGTCAGACTCGCACTATCCGAGTCCGACTCGGAGTCAGCGGCAAGCATGAGAGTGGAAGTTAGTGCAGTTTCGTTCTAGGCACAAAGAATTTGGTCACTAGTTGAAGTTGGTCTCCGTACGAGTTGGTTGAATGCAAATATTACGTTATATACATAAGTGTGAGGTACGCAGCAAACACCAGCACACGCTCGTTCGCCGTTGCTCCGAGTCGTTTGACCGAGGCTGCTGAGCGCTGCTGCCGCCACAGCCTGCTTCTTACCTTTGACATGAAAACTCGATTATGCCATTTCAATCTGTCAAAAGTCAATGTTTCAACTACCAGTAACCAGAGCCCATCATGTCCTTACAACAAGACCAAATAAACCGCTCCAGCCGCATCAGCCGTTTCCTAGCTGCGCTCCTTCGTTTATTCCGAATCATGTAAGAGCCTCCTTCTGGACTTGCAACAACAGTTTCAACGTAATGACCATGTGGATCGCGAGTTCCATGCCGCGGCATTGTCACATTTCAGTCATTGAATCAATGGCTCTTCCGTCGAGGCTGTAGTTTCTGTGGACCGTGACGTATACCAACGAGATATCTCATCCAAATAGTCATCGGAACTGATTAATTCCCATCATACGAAACCCGCGTTTATGATACCGCATACCTTTTTGGTTCCCCTCGTGATCTAGCATTTTCCCATACGATCCCTCTGTACCCTCCCGTTTCCTTCATCTTCTACGCCTTCCGCTCTCAAGGTATGAAATGTCCTATCTGTGGTACACCACCAGGCTTCCACGTATCATATGTATGAGCACGAGAGCCACTGGTTCGCTGATGCCGTGCGGAGGAGCTTTATAAAACTTTTCTCTGAGGATGAACAATTGTACCGAAACCATAGTGCACGCTCTCGTTACTGCGGGACTACATCAGGACCATCAGACCAGGGTGTCAAGGCTGTATGTGACGCTTATCAGCCAGAGTGGCAGAGGATGCTCGAGACGCTCGAACAAGCAGAAGCCGCAGAACAACGTCACGAAGCTGAACGAGCAAAGGTGGGTTGTTTTCAACAAATCAAATCTTCCTTTATCAATAATCATTTTCCTAGCAGTGGCTTGCGCAAGGTCAGGCGGAGTTTGAGGTGGAAATCCGGAGCGACAGCATAAAATCGACCAGATTCAAGCTGAAATTAAGCAACTTCGTGCAAACCTTGCAGCTTCGGAGGGCGGAGCCTAACAGGCTAATATTTGCTATCCTCATAGTCACACTTAGCTTCCCATCAATATTCCATCTCTCTTCCATGTCGCTTTGCTTCTACTACACCTTGGGCCTCGACATGGATATATATCCTGACGATTATGTTTCCTGAACTCATGCAGGATTGTCAGTCTCCGTTTCAAGCTTCCTTGCAAGGCCTGTCTTGGACGACTACTGCATGTTTGGGGTATGTCTACTTTGGTGCAGGGCGTGGTTCATTTAAAGACCAAACTGGTGTCCTTTGGCATGCTCACTTCGAACAAGAATCAGTTCTGTATTGTCGAATCTGTTGAAATTTCAACGCTGAGCGCCTCCAGTGAAGCATAACACCTAAATACAACCTTTGGAGACGGGAGGCTGATCTGCAATGCTCTCCGTGACAGCGTTATGACAAACTTTGGCGGCATTGGATAGGTAGCGGTTGGGTGTCCGAGTTGACCGGTACGTCAATTCTTTATAGGCCTTGTCAATTGGTCATTGATTTTCACCAGTCATGATCGCTTGTAATCATCGCCTTCGCACGAGATCGTCGTTGAATTTCATAAGGTGCAGTTGTATCCAAAGTTTCATCTTGAGTAGAGTTGCAGTGATGTTCTTCCAACTTCCTTTGGCTTACATTCGCAAAACCAACAGGTCAAGCTCTATAGTGAGATTGATAACCAAACATACCGACCTCGTTCGGCGTCGTCTCACTTTTTCATGGGATCCAATGAGCCCAGAGGTCTATTCACCCTGCTTGTACATATATCCTACTAGCGTGGTCGATAACCTGCTTTGCATCAACAACTTTGCTTCCAGTAGCTCACTGGTGAGTTCTGTCGTACTTGTGTTTTTGGACCTCATAGAGGCGCAAATCGATTGGTGATAGTGAAGCACCGCGCCGAGCGGCTGGTGTGCATGCCACCAAGGAGAACAACTGTTCACTGAAAGCGTTACTTTTGTCGACCGACACATTTCTCATGTCAAGGTTATGTCAAGGGTTGGAATGGTCGGTCGGTGAAACAATGGAAAATTTTGAACAAGTACGAACGTTGTTATCATCTGGTGACACAGGCTATTAAAGACATCATAAAACAGTTACACCACATTCTTTCACGTCGGTAACAAAATTTGAATCAGAATCACACCGCCATTCCTGTATGCACATCCTTATCGTCACACCTCGGACTACTTCGGAGTCCTCTGCCGCGGTCATTAGCATGAGGTAACAAATGTTGACACCAGCTTCCACCCTCTGAGAATCAACAGCTTCAGAGTCGTAGCTGGTGCTCCAGATGGATGGATATTTACAATAGGCTTGACCTCCCAAAAAAAAAAGTACTTTTTTGTGTACGTTATTTTCAATGCAAGAGCAAGAAGAGTCTAATAGGCAGGCAAGTACTTGGCCACCTCATTAGAGCTCCGAAGACGGCTCTGTATACAGTTTTATGTAGCATCAAAAGTTCGTGTCCGTGTTCTACAGCAAGTTCGTAAAGGCTGACGTTAAATTTTATCTGCGCCGCTCCTCCGCCATGGTCATCAATATTTCCTAACGACGATAACTGACAGTCCTTGTTCCTCGGCTGTTCATCCAGCAGTCTCCACAAACTGTCCAGGTCTATTTTGACGTTGAAAATCACCGTGCCTTGCAAGCTCATTAATCATTCCAAGTTTCATTTTGCCAGTGGGTTTTATACCACTCAAGCGTACAATCGCTATCCTTCCATATTCAATATCTCCCTGCAACAAAATGAAATGCAATGAAAATATACAGTGTTTGAAGAGCAAGGTTACTACTGGCGAAGCTCGGCCTTTCTCTAGTTCAACGGTGTGTTTGGCGTTGTAGAGGCATATTGGCAGGGTGGGAGAGGTGCTATCTTTGGACCTATTCCATTTATCATTTTCCGGTGTCATACTGACATTGCCAAGAGGCTGTTAACGTTACAAACCAATAAGGTACCCCCTGCCCTACTCACATCATGACAATACAATACTGACAGCCGAGGCAGGAAATATCATCACTATACCGCCAATTTCGATGATATGAGCGCTGGATGGTAGTATATCTAACATGAACACCATCATTGTTCGCTTACCAAATCCCCCATCATTGACACCCGTCCTTCCTACATGACTCAAGTTTCGAATGATCCCAGTTTGTGGCCGTTAATTGACTCGTATCGTTTTTACAGCTATTTTGTAGGTTCGTGGAGAGCCAGTTGGATGGTGTCAATGACAACCTAACCTTACCTTCTGTGGTTTCGCAGTTGCCGCCTGTACTGCGATAACATATGACTGGGGTGAGCGAAATGGGATCAAAGAATCACTTGTTTCCTTATGATTTTTCCAGCTCTGACACTTGGAAAAGAGGTACGCTTATGCTATTACTGGCAGCCTTCTCGCTAAGAACGGTGTTATAGATTGACCTACTATGGGTGAGCAGAGAGTCCTGTATCAGAAGAAAGACAGGGTTATACGATTGATCTGGGCAGAGGCCACGCTGGTCCCTCATGACTGTTTTGTATTTCGCTGTTCGTATCTTTTCTAAGCGCAGTTGGTAAGTTGTGCTCACGTCAAATTGCTCTAGGTGCGCTATGCTGGAATACCATTTTCTGCGTAAGTTTGTAGGCCTTGACTGTCAGCGGGGCGCTAATAAGCCATTCCTCACAACCAGAATGGACATGCTGAGTATGCTCTTGTCTATGCTGTATTTGTTTATGCTGATCGGCACACCGCAGTCAGTCTTCCATCAATCTTGGTGACAGATGCAGTGAGAATTCTGCACTGACACTCGCCATTCTCATTAACTCCACTCCTGTGTAGGGGTGAGTGCAATGCTTGATCAGCTTATTGTTTCAGTATCGCGACTACAACAGATGTGAGCTTTGTTGGAGCCTTTGATCCTACGAGGGTGATCACTGATTGGGTGTTTCAGGCAATATTATGAACGCCGCAACAAATTGGATGAATGGGGTCATAGATGTTCTTCTGGGCAGTGAGTTACCGCAATACACAGTGGTATTGACCTGGCTGAAACACCATACAAGTCATCATGATTGCACGGTTACATGCAATGTATCAGGGATCGAGAAAGATGTTTATCTTTCTCGTAGTAATCTTCCTGGTTGTCAATATTACCTGCATTGTGATGCTCGCGATGGGATTTGAGAATATTGTCGGAGGTAAGCTTTACTAGTAGTTATGGATCAAAAAACTTTCATCAGATAAATATCAGAGGAACTTCTCCTCTACGGCATCTATGAGTGCTCGTACAGCTACGAGAAAAGCGTCCAACGACTGATCATAATGGTTTGGATTCTCAATACAGTATGGGAGGTTCTTGCACTGTGTCTTGCTATCTGGATTGCTGTAAAACACTTCCGCGAACGTCGAGGGTCATCAACGGGATGGATCGTTAGGGACTGTTTCACCGTATTACTCGAAACACATGTGCTTTATTTTGCAATGTGAGCTTGTGCTTTGAATGCGCTTGTCTTTCCCCCTGAAATCTCGCATGTGCTAGTTTTGTTGCTACGTCCTGCCTCCACATCGGTTTTCTTTCTCCAAAGATCTCGGTACGCCAATTAGTTGTTGACATCTCCACATGAGTTGTTCATCATTTTATAGCGCTCTTGGTCTATGGGAACCGAGACATATTATGGAACTCTTCAGATCTGCTCGGTAGTGCAGAAGTTTGTGCTGGGACCACGCCTCGTCCTTGGCATTCGGGAATATAGCGCTAAGCTCGAGGCTAACTGCGATGCAGGAACGGAAATGACTTCAATGGCTTTCCAGGAGCGTGTAGATGTGTCAACTAGCGGCCACGGTAGTGTATAGCACGGGAAATGTTTGGAGGAGCAGGATAATTTTGCTTGAGTTTTTCCCGTTCAAGTTGTATTTAGTTACACTGAGTACCGTACATCATGCCACAGTCAGTTCAGTTCTACTATGTATTCATTCTGCGTTATATAACTCAACGAAGGTACATTATCAACCGCTAGCTCTACCTACGGCGACCACCCCCAGAGTTTTTGGTCCGTGTCCCACCGCAGACTCGATTGTTCGACTAGCCTCTTATCAACACGAGATAACTTCGAGTGTAGCAGCGACATCGGCATTCACATCTTCAACGAATCTCTCTTCCACCAAACGCGTTGCTCCATCACCAGCGCTGTAAGCTCATCGTAACCATCACAAGAACAACCATTCCGAGTCCCTGGAAGCATTGCACAGCGCTCTAGCCTCTGACGAAGCAATCGTGATTTCAAAGCTTCCATGCATCCCGATCTAGCGCTGACCACGAGAGCCACCGGGGAACAATGCAATATAAAGACCACCGAACAAAGGGGGAAAGAGTCTGAAAGGCCACAGTGGATCAAAGGGAATCATATATGACGAGTTGGCTGAGATTGTCATATCCAGAGCACTCAATCATCATCCCAATCATTTCACGCACGATGTCCTCGTCATTCGAGCAATTGTCAGTCTTATTCAAAGAATTCGTCCAAAGCCTCAAGTTCCAGGTTCGAAGCTACAGCACCTTCTTCAGCGTTACATAGCATACTAAACCTCACCCCAACACTGCAGATTTCCTCATCTACCCAGGAGTCTCAAATAGATATCGAGTGCCCCCTTAAAGAAAACCGCGAACAACATTACGGTTATCGCATCACCCAAGATTTCATTCTCGCCTTCGAGAATGAGATCAAGAAGTTCATCGATCCCGCCGATTTTTATGATCCCATGTGCGCATCGTTGACTCGTAATTGGCTTGTGAAGGAGTTGTGCCTCCGTCAGTTGGATTACAAGTGTTGTGTCGACCCGGTCTTAGAGCCTGAGGATTCAGCGGATGAAGACTCGGAGGGGGAGAGAGAATGGCTAGCTGATGGAAAGGAGGACGATACAAAGACTGATGAAGATGAGGGCAATCCAACTGACCACGAAGACACATAAGGAGGACGATACGAAGACTGATGAACAAGCGTCGAGTCACTATGAAAACGAAAAAGACGATCCAAAGACTGACGAACAAGGCGATACAACTTACTACGAAGATGAAAAGGACGACGATACAAAGACTGATGAAGAAGAATCAACCCACTATGAAGATGAGAAGGAGGACAACCCAAAGACTGACGAAGGTGATCCAACTCGCTTTGAAGACGAAAAAGAAGACGACCCAAAGACCGATGAAGATCAGGGCGATGCAAGTTACTATGAAGACGAAAAGGACGACGACAGCAAGACTGATGAACACGAGGCCATTACCAATGTCTATCATGAAGATACAAAGGAGGACGAACTTCATGAGGGCTATACAAGCCACGATGATGAAGGCGAAGCCTCGGTGTTTGGAGACGCCGACAATGAATTTGAAGTCGAGTATGATGCAGAAGAGGTGGTGGTGGTCATCTCCGTTTGTTCAGACGATCCCGTCAGCTTCCAAGCACGACCTACACAAGCGCAAATGGACATGATGACGACGTTGCTTGGCCAACCACCTCAGTGGTGGCTGAGCTATAGGGACATTTAGATGTACTTTGGTTGTGGGTCAATAGTATGCAGGAACATAACATTAATTACTTACAAGCTCCCATTTCCGAGTTGCCTTTCGTCACCCTGCTTCGTTACAAATGTACCTTAGCACTATCCAACTACCCATGAGACAAAGAATATTCCTCCCCCGTAGATATCGTGCGGAAGGCTATTTGGTACTTCAAGGAACCGTGTGTGTAATGACGATTTCAAGGTCGTTCGGCTCGTCCGTGTACCCAAATGTGTGAAGAAAAGGATTGGTACGATTGATCTTGATATGAGCACTACGCGTATTGTAGGTCTTGGCGTCTCCCATGACAGGGTTGGACGCAGCATCGATATGCACGGACGAGTACGAAGGATAACGTTTCGGTGGATAATCGAGCTGCCTTTGAACAAGGGCGGCCGCCTCAAGGTCGTAAAACGAGACAAATTCTCTGAGGATATGCAAGCACTCCGTATACCGAGAGGCACTATGCAGCCACGAATTAGTGGTAGATCAGTGCATCAGGCGCATGACTTGAATATCGACCAGATAATGCGCAGCGAATAATAATAATTTCACTAGATGAACTTCAGAAAGCTCGCGCGCAGAGGGAGAACCGGCGGTTACCGCGGATAGCATCTGGCAAGTTACATCATCTGTTCGAGGGCACAGCCACAGACCGGAGAGACCCAAGTTGGTTTTCCCTCCAATGTTCCATACAATGATACGACTCAACTACACTCTCGTTTTGTCTCACCCGCCTTTCGAGACTCCCTTATAGGCTATAGCTATTAGCAGCCGACGTCTCGTTTCATTTTATTAAATCATTATCCCTTTGCCGGTAAATCTACTCCACGCATCACTTTTCGACTCTGGCAGAATTCCAAAAATTCTGCACCGTGAGCTGCTGTGCCCCCCCGCCCTCACCGCTCATCCTGGACTTTCTCTACAGGTTCGAAACCATGTCTTGGGTTGCAAAACCCTTCGAGTTTGAACCCAAATAGCTTCACAAAACTATTGCTACTATTTGTACAATTGGATGTCATTGCTGATCAATAGATCTAATTTCTTTCTTGCTGCTACAAAAACTGACAGCTGCGCATAGATTGAACACTATGTTGACTGTTTTTATGCAGCACTCATTGTTCAATATATACAATGTTTGCACCTGTCACACTGAGCCGCGGCGGTGTCCTTCAAGTAAATGCACAGTCTCTCTTCAAGAATGTATGACTTTGGCATACTCAGTTGGGTTCCGTACAAAATGCACAACTCGGGCATACTTGGACGTCGGAACTGCCACCTTTGCTAGTATGTTTAGTGCGTTCCTGATATTCACTCGTGCTTACATTCATACAAGGATGTCAACTGCAGACTCGACAACTAGTATTCCCCTCTTGGCTCCAGCAGTATATGGACGTACTTTCTAGCATTAGTAGCGATAGACACAAATTCACTGACCTGCACGGACTTTATCAATCGCGCGTTTGATCTCATTCCTTCGACCATCTCACCACTGAAATCGATAGTTCTTACCTGGTCATGCCTACAAGGACGGAACCCTCAAAGCACTACGCTTGGACATGCAAAGCACCTAGTTAATTGAGGGATCGGTCAAGTGACTGCCTGTTGCAGGGCCCAGGCGGGTCACGACGACAAAGACCTCCAAAACCCTGTCGAACCTCAGTGTCAAGCATCCGTGTCAGTTTTTACTCAACTATCCACACCGAGTTGACCTACATCGTTGTACTCTCTGGCAATTAACTCTATCATGGTGTTCACTGGATGCTGTAACAGATAACAAAGCCTTCAAATGGATGTGGTTGCTTCAAGGACAATGCACTCTCGTGTCACATGGCCCACATCCACTAGTAACCTGCACAAAGTGTCCCTGTACGAACTCTACAAGCGTCTGTCCACTGAAAAGCGCAACTCTGCAGGCGTTTTTTCACCGCAAAGCACAATGGCATGACCATTGCCAGGAATCGTTTATATACCTACCCCAATACCTACCCAGCACCATCATCACCCCAAGTTGAATCATACATTCACCTCACACAGAATCAAGTAGTATCCCCAATCATACTCTTCTATAACCAATCATGTCTAAGGTAAGCCCAATCATGCGCATGCTTCATGCACTCACTTGAAGACCCTCATGAAATATTTAGTTCTACGTTTGTTCTGCTGGCTGCAACCAAAATTTTGCCAATTTCACCGCCGGCGACCTGAAGAATCATGAGATCACACATATAATGAAGTACGTGTTTCTCCTCTACGGTATACAGCTCACCTCACTTTTATTCGCTCACGCAGAGGGTACTTCTGCATGTGGCCCGAGTGTGGCTTTGACAAAGACAAAAGACAGCTACAAAATCCATACTGCTAAGCAGTACGTACTCAATCATCACCGTCATGGATTCCACCTAATGAGCAATTTTATTTTATTTCATTTTAGTGCGGGCGAGGAACGCTCCAGCTGTCCTCACGATGATTGTGACTACAAGACTCACAACCCTGCCCTCCTCACGAAGCACCGCAAGCAACAACATGGGTATGTTCCTGTGCCGCGCGGTCTTGGTGCCCCCTCCGGAACACGGTCCCAGCCTCCGGCACAGCCCCCGCTTCCTGGTACATCGTACCAATACCAACCACAACCTACTCAATACCAGCCTCCCCCACCTATTCACCACCAATCGTTGGGAGTCTTATACGGCTCAGCAAATACCGCAGACGAGTATACCATGTATACCGGACCCGTGAGGGCCGAAAATGGGTGGACTGAGGGATGTATGTGTCCTGAATTGATGCAGAGACGCCCTTCGGAGATGCCAGGGTATGAATATAGGCGTCATTAGTTTTGCATGATCTCGAGACTTGAGAATTATTTCGCATCACTTTCCTCTTTCTTTCTTCATGATTTTTTTTTTTTTTTTGGTTTTTCGCTCGTTTATGTCTGGACTTGGCACCCTTCCACTCGTTTATATCTCGTTTATCACTTGTCTAAAAGCACTTTACGATGTTTTATCTAAAGGCCAATACATTCTTTTATATGTAATCCGTTCCAAGTTATGAATGTTCCCTACAATATATGTCGGAATTTCACCCCGGAGCAAGGTACGGTATAGCGTTCACTTGCTCGATCTCAGTCACAAATCAGCGAAAATGGTCGAAGTTATCCGTACGCACACTGGCAGATGTGTTCGTGTTTGATTGGGTCATGATATGCCATCATAGATAAGAGGCCTACTTGTAACATTGTATGGGTGCCCGGATATTCATATTTTAGACGCGTGCTTCCAGAAGAACACAATTTTACATTCTGTTTTCGTTAACTTCCTGCCAGCAATGGTAAACACCTGAGGCCCGAGTCATGTTGGTGCGGAAGGCATTCAGTTGGTGACCTCATGACTGATGCGAAGTGGGACGATTACAACTGAAGAACAACCCACAGCACCTAACTTGACAGGAGACTTCTGCATTACAATTGATTGGATTTCCTTGTTGCTGCCACGTTTCCGTGTGCCACAGCTTCAGCGTATGGATCATCGAACCAGTTGCCAACATCATGCCGCCTGGTCAGGTTATTGGATCGATGAAGTGACGTGTTTTTCGTGTATTGCTCACTGTGTCAAACCAACTAGTAGATGCATGCCAGGTAAGCATGCAAAGCGCGTTAGATAACGGAAGTGTGTCTTAGCTCTATGCCCTCCTCGCTGATCATGGACAGGAATGCAATGGGGAGTGGTGCGATGCCTGAAATCAATAGCTTGTAGATATATTGCTGTCAATCGTGATCACGGGTCGAGGAGTACGTACACCTTGTCTGTTTCTGCTGTGTTATAGACTTTCCACCCTGCAGATTTGCCTGCGACTCAGTCTTTTCCGGCAGGAATCGTGTCGATTCTCTGACCGTACGTCCAGGTTAGAGTAGGTGGAGTAGGTGGTAGAATCAAATGGAGGGATAGACATTGTGGACTAGCTAGACGAAGAGAGCAAAACTGACCCTGGATTGGTTGCAGATTACATAAAATTATCATAGGTTTCAGGCCTCGTGTCCTGGGCGTCTAATGATACACGAAGCAAATTGAGGCTGTGAAGAAGCACCTGAAAGGCCCAGTACACGCACCTCTGGAACTTAAACCAAGACACCCACAAACTCCCCAGCACGTTGTGCTCAACATCATCCATCTCGAGCAGAATGACGGAACCAGAACAGCCCGCCATTCAAACCACCACATCCAGTCAAACATTTCAAGGTCATAAAAGTAGTATCACGGTAGTCGCGGTCTTCCCCGATAGACGCCGTATGGTGACGGCCTCGGCCGACAAGACGCTTCGTCTGTGGGACTTAGAAGACGGTGTTGTATTGAAGACAATGGAGGGGCATCGCAACTTAGTGCAAGCAGTTGCAGTATCAAGAAACGGGCAATTCATAGCAAGCGGCGACCTCGATGGAGTGCTCATCGCCTGGGACAGAGACGGTGAATCTTTGACCCAGCCCATCAAAGTCCACTCCAAACATATATGGTGGCTTGATTTTTCCCCAGACAGCACATTGCTGGCGAGTGGTTCATGGGACACTACAGTGAAGTTCTGGAACACAAAAACATGGCAGATGCAAGGAGATCCAATCAATTGCGGGACTGGCGCTGAAATCATGGGGATGCGGTATTCGCCATTTGGCGGACAACTTGCCATTGCAACAAAGACAAATATCCAAATATGGAATCCAGGCAAGAGGGAATGCATCGCAAAGTTCCAGGGTCACTCTGCGTTTTTCTTTTTCAACGGAGGATGGAATAATATCTCACTCGCTTGGACGCTCGATGGTAAACGGCTTATCTCGATTGGTCGTGATCGTGATCACGCCATAAGGGAGTGGGATACATCGACCTGGAAGCAGATCGGTGAGCCTTGGAAGGGCCATGCTGGGCCTGTCCACGGGATTGCCTTGAATCCTACTGGTACCCTTCTCGCGTCTGCATCTTCAGACCACGAGGTTCGCATTTGGCGGATTTCGGATCGACGAACCATCGCCATATTCAAGCACACTAATGTATTGTTTTGTGTCACTTTCTCCGCGGATGGCAAGCACATCCTGAGTGGAGGAATGGATAACATGATATCAAAGTGGGCGGTACCTTTGCTGGAGGACATTCTCGAGGACCAGACATCAAATGTAAGATTATGTTCATTTTCCGTCTCCTCGCATATTGATACTCGAGCTTGATGCCAAGGCTCAATGTGAGGCATGTTTCTAGCCCTCACTCCCTACTACGTAATCTGACCATGCGTGATGCAGATCCTCACCATCAACACGACAGCCCGCGATGCATGCATAGGCGGGGACTTGCCCACTGCTGACAGGCTGTTAACACAAGATATCGGCGCCGATAGTAACGACTACAACTCTTATGCGAATTGCTCATTTGTCAAGGCAAGAAACTCAGACTGGGACTGCGCACTTGATGATGCGCTCAAAGTTAGATGCACCGTTCCGTTGTGATCTTTTTAACAGAGACTAACTTCTATGGTGATATAGAGCACCAGTATTCAGCCATCCTTGATGGGCTGTATCTCCAAGGGCATTGCCCACTGTGGAAAACGACAGTTCCAGGACGCGATGAAAGCATTTGACCTCGCGTTCATGTACGTGGACGCAGACTTGAATAAAACTCGTCTTCTACTCTTGATTAAGGTACGTCAATTGTGTCTCATGTACTCGCTACTTACACGACAGCTACCAGGCCATCGCCCTTTTCAATGCAAATCATCGACACGAGGCAATCCTGCGCGTCCAAGAGCTAGCTACCACTCGTCCCACAAATTCTCTTGCCTGTAGTATTGTGGAAGTGAGTGCTCCTGACACAGTCAGCTCCAGATTCATGCGTCGATACTGATTTTGCGAACCTCGCAATTCAGGCTTATCTACACGTCCAAATGGGAATGAATGCATTAGACGAAGCACGTCACAACGAAGCTGCTGACCACTTCACTGCTGCTGTCAACACTATTGGTTTCTCATCTATGTCGGTCATCCATTTTAAATATGATATATTCGTGGTGGTAGGTTGATTGCAGTTCAACTGGAATTTTTTTCACGCCTGACTGCTTTTTCTAGTTATTCGGGTGGGACCTCAAGTCCTTGTGGCGAACTGCACACCAGAATTGGTGCCATGCACTCCTTCGGGCAGGTAGACTTCCAGAAGCCATCAAAGCATACCGATATATGATGGACACGACTGATGAGGCTACGAAAACACGCTGCCTTGATTGGTCCACTGGCAAGTCTTTGTAATGTCAACCGGGTATAATTCTCAACCCCATCTCACTTAGCTTTCAAGCAAGAAGTGACTGACCTCACTGCGAGCGGAGCTGCTGCCCTCGTTGCTGGTAATTACGACAGGGCTATCGAGTTATACTCTGCGGCGATCGATCTTGATTGTGCAACCGATACCATGTTTGCGAACCGCAGTAAGGCGAGGTCAGGAACAATGCTATGGGACGACGCACTCCTCGATGCGGAAAAGGTGCGATGACAGCCACCGTTTCATATTCGACACTCATTTTGGTATTACGCAGGTCATCGAACTCAACCCCTCATCTTACGTTGGATATCAGTTGAAGCATGCGGCACTTTATGGCGCACACCGATATGATGAAGCCATCGAGGCCTTCAAAACCATGTTCTGCAAGTTGGAAAATGCTCCCGACACGGAAACAAGTATGCCCTAAATAGGATATCCTTCGATATTGTTGACTCTTTGTCCAGACTTGCGCCAACACTATGTTAGTCCATCCGAAGCGGAACGAGCTATTCAAGAGACCATTAAGGCCCAACTCGACGACGTCCCGCATCGTCTAATTAACACCTCCACTGGGCGCTTATGCAATCGCGGGGTGCAGATCGATGCCTTCAAAATGAGCGCAGAGTACAAAGAACTTTTGTCATCCATAATGAAGCATGCAACCCTTCAAATGGAGCACATCAAAGGCGTGGTGGCGATGTACTTCCGTTATGTCATGCTATCGCATAGATGGGAAGGGATGGAGCCGTTGTTGCATGACATCCAGGGCAAGGTGGTCTACGACTTGGATCCAGTTGGCGGCATCGTGAAGTTACAGTCATTCTGTAAAACTGCTCGTGATAAAGGGTACTACTGGGCATGGATCGATACCTGTTGCATCGACCAGACTAACAATGTCGAACTGCAACAGTCGGTCAACTCCATGTTTATCTGGTATCGCCACTCAACACTTACCATCATCTACCTATCGGATGTTCCACCTTCATCGCAGCCTGGCGCACTCGCAAGTAGTGCTTGGAACACGCGAGGATGGACAGTTCAAGAATTTATAGCCCCCAAATTTGTACTCTTTTATCAGAAGGATTGGTCCCTATATCTCGACGATCGCTCTCCCAATCATAAAGATTCCCTTGCAATCATGCAGGAGATGAGACATGCGACGGGCATAGACGCACAAGCCCTCGTCGCCTTCCGTCCGGGGATGAGAGATGCCCGGGAGAAACTCCAATGGGTGTCGGCCCGTGTCACCACGTGGCAGGAAGATATCGCATACTCATTGTTTGGTATCTTCGGCGTAAACCTGCCTGTCATTTACGGCGAGAAGAAGCAAAAGGCGCTTGGGAGGCTCTTGCAGGAGGTCTAAGCTCAGTCGGGCGACATCAGTGCCCTGGACTGGGTGGGGCAGTCATCCGAATTCAATAGTTGTCTGCCGGCCAACATCACTTCATACAAAGCTCCGCCATACACCCTACCATCTTTGTCCGAAGATGACATTCAAACGTCAATCTCCTCGCTCCGACATGTCATGGCTGTAGATTCAGTTTTGAAACTTTACGCTCTCCTTGACAACCTGAACGCGCCTCGTTTTGGGAACTGCAGATTGCATTTGCCTTGCATCGCATTTCGTGTCGCAGCAGTCAAACAGAGTCGAGCTCAAGACCAGGAGACATACGAAGTCAAGGCCGACGGGCTTCATGACCTGCTGATCACCACGCAGGACAAGCTGAATCAGTTCCCATCACCACGACCCACTATGCAGACGTTCTTGCTTGTTCGTCCGTGGAATCGTTATCTCCTCGAGCTTCCTGACTTTGCGGAGCCGACTGACTTGGCAGAGTTGCCCAACGTTGCTGACGACATGCAGAGCGAGGAAGGCTGTTGGTCTGCGCCTGGGTCTCCATTACAGGATTCGCTTGGCGGGTTACCTGAAACACAGGAATCGGTTGATTCAGAATTGAGCGAACGAGCATTGCGATTGGCTGCTCGCCTTGAACAGCCTTTTGGCGCATTTTTGCTAGCGCGGCAGCGCGGCGGAGAATACAAGAGGATCGCGTCAGATCATGATATTATTGCACAAGTCAAAGACCTTTCTTCTATTCCGGACATGGTCAGAACGCTAGAAATATTGTAGCAGTATGTTGGAAGCAGGGATCTATCATGTGTACTGTGACAGGTCTTCGGAGTATGGTGGCCCGCCACTATTTTTTCTGCACCTCCGTAGTTAGTCCTATACTGATCAGCAAGTGACCACGATTGCAGGTTAGAATTCAGGTATCCATACTTAGACACCTCATCTTTCCTGCGATTAAACCCATTAAAGTTTGACTTCATTGAAGTAGTGCATGCATTCCATCACCCACGTCGAGACTGAAAAAGATGTAAGTTTGGAAATGTGATAGCGGCCGTTGACGCTCACGTTCTCGCGTGGATCTGTATGTGAATGTCCGTGAGTAGTGGCCTGTGGTGAGGGAAAGCGGTTTGAAGGTAGGGGCAATGTAGTAGGGAACTACAATGAGACCATCGAGTCAAGTGGGAGGGAAACAAGAGAAGAACGTACACCCAAAGGTGCAAAACTGCAATTTTCCGTGCAAATGGTTCACCACCTTTCTACCTGCGTGACATTTGACACCTACCTCGTGGCACGGCCTGTATATGTACAGAGAACTAACAAGTCTACGGATACGTGTAGGGCCTATGGGATATTGGTGTCACAGCGTCTGGGGTTGTGGAGTAGGAGTTCTGGCTTCTACTGCCACTGTAACGGTCCACACACGATGCACCACACTTTCATGACCTGCTTTCGTAATAGTGGAGGACGAGCACTGAATGACGGTTGGTCTGGGACTGCAGCGTCATTATGATATTGCAAAACATGGTTGAGGGCAAGGGTCTCAGGGGGGCGAATTGTACCATGATCGGTACCGATGATAGGCAATGTCCCAGACCCCAAACTTCAGGCGAATCAGCAAGTGGTTCCAATCAGGGCGGAAAGCAATGACAGAGTCTTGAAGGGCAGCAATGTCACCTCCCGGAGCCGCCTCCTGGCAGACAGTTGCAATACGGTCCTGAATCATCACCATGCCCTTCTCGATCATGGTGTCGGCTGCATCCATATCTCGGTTTGGAAACAATGTCTGCAGGAAAGCCATCAATGAGGCGAACCTGATGAGTGTTTGCAGATACTTACACCACACGCCTGCAGTTCACTGTTATCAACATTGAAGTTTATCGGTTCGTTCCCCCGGACCCAAACGTGAAATCGAACAGAGGCGAGGTGACACTATGTAAGGTATGGCTCACGCACTTTCCACTAACGTGTGATGGGATGTGACATGATGTGACGAGCTGTGACCTGAAACACTAGATGATCATCCTGGACAAGAACACGCTCGAATGATGTAGAAGCAAAATAAGAACACGGGACACATCAGAAGTAGTACAATTATGTAGCGTATGAGTTGTATAGACTATTAAACTGAATTATCAATTAGAAATAAGTGAAATACTTAGTCAGAGCCCAGCGTTCTCGAGTTCTGCCAGAATGGAATTAGGGAGGACTCGATATCCTTTATATATCTTAGTGGCCCAGGCAGCTTGCTTTCCTGTTAGACCTTTGTGATATCCGTCCATGAATCTACGAGATCGGCGTGCATATCTGAATGATCTCAGGTGAGATAAAGCAAACGAAAATGAAAAGTTCAACTCACTTGCGCATTTGCTCAACGCTGACTGATGCAAGCACATCAACGACATTCTTCTGCAAATCTTGCTCGCTGGCGGAGGGAGGCTTCTGGCGATATATCCGCTTAGCATGGCCCCAACACTGTTCAATGAAATTCAGCTCACAGTGAAATTTCGGAAGAAAAAGAACAGAAATCCCGCGTGCTTCACAGGCCGTTTCCAGCACGGATTTCACCAGCATGGGGGGTTGTCCAGGTTGGGAGGAGGATTGTCAGGAATGGTAGGCTGTAAATGTCAGATGCAACTCGGAGATAGTGGCATTAATATTGTGGTCTTACTGGTATGTTTTCCTTTCCTTCTTTTTCCTCCCTCTTGAGCTTGGTCCTTTTCGTATTTCTTTCTGCATATCCACCAAGGTTCTTCAGGTGTTCCAGTGCACGTTTGGGCATTGTGCCGTGGTAGTTTGAGAATGTCGTACCAATTTTGTGTTCCCCCTTAGTTTGTCACGCAACAATAAGGCTCAAAAGGGCTCATAACATTCGTTTTCTTAATGGCACTTTCAATTTCAATTTTTTCAAAAATCCAGCCGCGCAGCGTTGTGCGCAGTGTAAATACAAAGAACTCTGCGCGATTTCTTTTTGCAAAATAGGTGTTTTACAATTGCCATTAACATTTCAAACAAAAGTAACGCTTTGTCACGTTTCGTTAGCGGGAAGTGCGTGGGCCATACCTTATGGCCTGCGATCACAATGGGTTGATCGTGAGATCGTGCTGCAACCCCCCTGAAGCGAACAGAACGAAGAAACTGAGCGACATGATGTCTCCTGGCATAGCATCTACCATGCTTCAGACACACGTTCAGGCGAGCGATATGGTTGATATTCATCAATCACAACCAATATGACCATCAAGACTTCTGGATCGCCGGCGATCTCATATTTAATTTTCCGAAGAACTGAATCTGTGTCCTGTGCAAATGCACATTCCCCGATGACAAGGACCCCATAACTCTGATAATTCTCAGTTACCGCATCCATACGAATTGCCATGTCTGGAATGGCCGATGCAGATAGCTGAGAGTTCATGGATATCGTGGTAAGCACGGGATTGTCATCGTGAATGAAGCCATGCAAAAAGAGTAGACTCAAGTGTTCGAATGAAGCTTCGTGTATGGGACTGCGCCTTTCGACGAGAAGGATGCGATCGTCCCTAAAGTAACTCCATCTGCAAAAAGTTCGTACATATTAGTGGCGAGAAGTGATACATTCACCTTACCTTGGTCTTGTCGGTAACCATAGCCAATTTGAGTCAATGATGTGCGATACTGTTGAGTATACTTGATGATCAACATCACGAAACTCCTGTTACAATAATCAAATGAGTGCTTGGACTCCGCCCATGAATTCAAGCATACCGCATACTCTTCCTCAGGGTTTGGCTCCATGATGAAATTCAGGACGTCGCCGCATTGACCTTAAAGATGGAATGTAACAATCAGTGTAAGCCTTTAAGAGATGAGTTCAAGTCACAAATACCAAAATCAATGGTATCGAGGTTGGTGACTTGTCTGATAATATCCGCCCAACCAGCTGATGTTGGACTCCTAACAGCGGAAAGCATAGTGAGAAGCAGTCCGATCCTGCTCTTATGTACAGAATTGGGTGGGTTGGTGAAGGTTAATCTCCCTTGACCAGCTTGTAGAAGAAGAGGGGCAACTGCTACTAGGTGAGTGGTTCAACAAGTGTGCCATACGTAATTATTCCAAGTTGTCTTTCTGTGACAGCGTGATGCCACACGGCCAGCCACATGCGGTTCAATAGGGATGTAAACAAGTTGGGCATATCCCTAAAGCTTAAAGTGGAGAAAGGTGAGTCTTTCGGACTTCAACACGAGGCAGGAAAGAAACGATGTGCGAGGAGTTGGTTGGTCCTTTTAGTAACTAACCTGACCTCGTTAAATGTCATTTATGAGTCCGCTTTATGTTTGGATACTATGAGCCCAAACCGTCTCTGATTAAAGTAGAGATAGTAGGTAACATGTACGAGCGCTTCTACTAGGGATTTATCTCTCGTTTCCGCAGTGCGTCCCGCTATGCCCCCACAGATGCCGCCCTAGTAGGAGAAATTAGTAACGGGGTCTGGCAGGGAGGCGCGTCGGCAGCCACCTTTCAGTTGTCGGAGATTTCTGATTCATAGCATACTTCAGCACCCAGTTTGCGTATCAATGTAAGTTATGTGGTAAAATTCTGTGTGGGCGTGACGCGTCTTCGAGAAGGGTCGAAATTTTGTTGGAAGGTACTAGTCTAGTAGACTTGTCGGGTCTTGACGTTTCCTGGTCAGAGAATGGAAAAATTGGATTTGCATCCTCCTCGTGGATCTAGTTTAGACGAGTCGGAATGTGCTTCGTCCAGTTGTGCAGAGTACCTGTTTACAGTCGAGCGCCGCGGAACAACTCCAGCTGCTTCAAGAATGTTTATCACTTTCCCCTTCCCCTTAGACGAATTCGTGCTCACCAAATACGACGCGATACAAAAAGTCTCAGAGATTCAGTGCTTCAGGAATCAGCACAACCAGTACTCAAAAGTTAACGCTCAGACAATGCACACACGATGTATTTCAGTTCCTAGGAGCAAACAAGTCATCAATAAGTCATCAATGATAGTACGAGGCGAGTGATGTTACAGATTCAGTCAATGTTACCCAGCTAATTACTACGTCTTGTTCAGAACTTCACCTCTCCAGATGTTTCACCAGCATATGTGCATGCCATGTGGACTCGTAACATGGTGTTCGTGTTCGGATCCTCTGTACTCCGCCCTTCATCAACATACCAGGATGATGGGCATACCCACTCGATGTTCTTGCCCCACAGATTGAAGAATTTTTCAATAGTAGTTTGAGGCTGTCCAGAAGCGAGCAGGTATTCGTACACTGCGCGCCATGCACTATCCAGCGCACCAACAACCCACCTGTAGGTGACATTGCCTTTGAATTGTAATCATCCCAAAGACGACTGCTTTTCACTCACGCATGACGGGTGCTGATGGCTTCTCCAGCGAAATGGAACCTCTTGTTAGCATTTGGAACACTGAGAGCCGTGTATAAATCCTGGAAATCTCCAGGCCCAAAGTACGCAAAGGCACCTGTAGCGGAGCGAGTGAGCATCGATTGGATCACATCAATATTTACAGACTTACCCATGGTGAGCGGGTCGTAGTTCCAGTCCCATGCATGGATGTCCAAGTACTCACTCAACAAGAAATCATAAGTGATGTTGTGTACTTCTGCAAGATTGCGCAGCACGAGTTCCTTTAGCTGCTCGATGTACTCTGTTTTACCGGTGCTGATGAGCGCTCCTAAGCGTTCTGCATCATTTGTCCAACAGTAGCTCGCAATTAGCACTGTGGATGGTGAGCTAGAATCGACCCCGTAAGAGGGGTAGACGATAGTTCGAATGGGAAGGTCAGTGAATGATTGGCCTCCTACGATACCGAATCGGTCCGTCCACCAGGCTGATTGGAAGCGGACCCCAACTTTGATTGAAGGACCGTACTGTAGCTTGCGCAATGCATGTTTTCTGCATCACGTTTAAACCAGCACCAGAGAGATCAATCGTCCGCAGGCCCGGCAGAGGGATGGTCGATATAACATGTGAATATGTGCGGCTAGATTCGCCCCTCACAGAAACCTCCATGGTATCTTCACCCCCCTGAGAGATGCTTGTGACGCTCTTATTGAACTTGATGAGATCGTTGGTGCCCTTAGCAGTGATGTAGTCCGTCATATAGTCGATGAGTACGCGAGAACCGCCTCTAGGTACGAGAAGTGTGAGAGTATGAGTTCGGAGACAACAGGCGCGCTTACTTGAAACACTTCCATTCTACGTCTCCGATGATTTCCGACCCGGCCGTTGCGAACGCCAGCGACTCGAGAACCGCTTCAGTTAAACCGCGGTCGTACGAGCCGGTGCTGTTGTCGAATGTCTCGCACCAATTGATAACGTTGGTAGCAAGATGCATGGGCGGGAGTTCGAGGCTGACGCTGGGAATGTACTTGAACGACATGTATGCGCGAAGGGAGTATGCGTCATTCTCCTTCATGACGTCCCATCCCTTATGGACCTGCTTCTCCAAATCGTTTATGAGCATGCGGGCGAATGGCTCAATGATGTCGTCGACAATCTTCTCTACTCCCACTGCGACATACTCGGACTCAACACCCATTTCCCGGGCACGGAAGTCAGGAGGGCGCGATGTATCAGAGACTTGGTAACGTTCATTGTTGAAGTAGAGGAAAGATCCTCCTTTCCTCGCCTTGTAATAGTAATCGATAAGCGTGGACTTTAAAGGTACCTGACCGTCGTTGAGCTTTGGGTAGTTGATTAACTCGCCCAAGCGCCTCATAATACCGGTCTTGTAATTGCCATCACTGTCCTTCTGCGGCAAGGGGAACCTCATGGCGCCAACATCCTAGTTAGCGGGAGAGAAGAGAGGTTACATGGTAAGCAGCATCATTGGCGCGGTAGCATTAAATGAGTCACATACGTAGTAGTCATATTCTTTGCTATCCGGAAACCTGTAGGTGAAGAGGCGGCCACCGGTGTGGTCCGACGCCTCCAAGATCTCGTACTTGATGTCCAGCGAATCCAGCATAAGAGCGGTGTATAGACCACCAACTCCTGCGCCTAAAATTCCAACTGGGTGGCCCGTCTTGCGAAAGCCAACCTTGGAAAGCGGTAGCTGCGGAGTCTGTTGACGACCAACCCGGGAGAGTCCAGGAAGCTTTTTGAGAAGAACACCATCATAATCTTCGACGATGTTTCGACCCCAGTAGCCTAGCACGTCTCCTCCAAAATCCATGGTAAACGCAAGTGGTATTGAAGATGAGATGTGTTGGGTAAGACTCGTCTAGTGTGAACAAAACCAAAACCCACCTTATATACTGAGCTTTTCATTCGGAGAATGAGAAGGATTGGCCAATTCTGTGACCGCACAGCGCAAGGAACATTTGGATAGGAACACTCCAAGTCGCCGTTGCTCCAATGAACTCTTTGAAATACCGTCTGAGGCCAAGTCTAGGCAAAGTCAGGGACATCAGACTTGACCCCAGACGTGACCCCAGATCGGCCGCCCATGCTGATTCCTCCAGCAAACTCAATTCGGTGGGCCTTGCATGTGATCTATTTTCAGTAGTCAATGAAAACACGACCTACGCTAGAAATCAGTTCCAGGATGGTCAAAAAGCCTAAAATACTTATGTGAATGTGGTCAGGACGTTGTTCTGGCACTTGCAGAGGTTGGACATGAAGTAGCTAGCGACAATTAGAACACAATCACCAGTTAGAACTATGCCGTCCCAATATATTGTTTCTATTTGGTAATGTCACTTATGGAGATTGGGAACACAGTCAAAGTACTTACATGTCCCATTTGACCCATCCCACCACCCAGTCTTCAACTAGAGCCGTACAAGTGACCGTGTTTACAAATTGATGCATCCCATAGCGGTCAGTGTCTGCTGAGCCAAGTGCCGTTACATAGTACTAGGCAAGAAGTTATCGGAACCCCCCTACCTGTCAAGACTCAATGTCAATGACTCAGAAATGGAACATGAATGGTAAGATAGTTACACCTTTATCAACGTCGCGGATGAGGACCTTGCTTCCATATTTCCATGACATTGCGCCATGATCCGTGACCGAGGTTGTTTTGGTTCTAATCGGTTCGAAATGTGGTCGAGACACATCTTGACTCGAAAGGAACTCAGAACTGCTTCGAAACTTGTCAGATGACATGACCAGTTGACTGTCTCGATCAAGACTGACCTTGCGGTTGGAATTTTTCTGCCAATGATTGAGAACTTCTACATCCTACTACAACCGAGCTCTGTTCTGAATCCTGATCATGGGGTGGTAAAATGTGCAAAGTCCGAGGAACTTGGCTTTCTAAAGTTTCTAGCATCTGCCAGCGGTCCGAGCTAGAAGTATCAACCCCAGGGCAGTATCATAAGTTCAATCCTCGAGCGTCATGAAGTGAGTCTGGAAGTCGGAGTCCGACTAATCAGGATCCCAACACGACTCGGAGCATGGTATCGCCACTGCATGGGTGAGCGACCCTTCAACTCGTCGTATCGGGGGACTCCGAGTCATCCGTGGGAGATATCATGATGGTAAGCAACTTGAGTACTGAAGCTGAAGCTTGAAGGTCGGGATAATTGGGTTATTTGACGAAATTTACACTTCGCACTGGCAGGTAAAAACCGCAAATGCGAATCTGTCGCCCGCTGTTGCTGACCAAGCGCGCCCATCCCGCTGCCTCTTGGTTATAGGAAAGCGCCAAATTCACGTAGGCCTCACATAGGTACACCTATGTAAACAGGCCAGACACCTCAACTTTTGTTGGCACCTCGTAGGTCTCGCAGACACCAATGAATACAAAACAAATACAGCACTTTTCATAACTACATATGTGGCATCGAACTTTTTCGAGACTGAGGTCCCTAGAACCGTAAAACAGCCAACAGAGTTACTAAACACGAGAACAACACTCATTGACACCAAGTAGAACTCAGGGTTCCTCCAAAAATTTCTTCACCTCTGCTTGGATGAACTCATCATCATGCACGTTTAACCCTGCCCCAGCTACAGAATATCAGCAAGGTGCAGTTCAAGCAATAGAGCCCGACAAACTCACCCATATGACCCCACTCAGAATCGATAATGACTAGCTTTGCGTTATTCAAGAATTGCATCTCATTCTGACTGTCCTCCGGCTATCCAAGGAGCCATCAACCCAAACCCAAGTAACAAAGGTGAAAGGACTCACAGCGAAGAACAGGTCTTTCTTGCAAGGCATGATCAGACTTCTAGCCTTGATCGCTCCTAGACAGTCCTCGAAGTGACCTCCATCACGGATGAGAGAAACATCCCCCATTTGCCATGTGTTCAAGAGTGTCAATAAATCGTTGGCGTCCCATTCTAGAAGATCCGCCTTCCCAGACCTCTCTTAAGAAGTCGTCCAGGCTCGTGTGTCTAGCGGTCCTATTAAAAAAACAGAGAGCGGAATACAATAAATGACACACCTTCCGTCGAAGAGATAGCCTTTCTTGGCATACCACTGCGGCAATTTCAGTATCTCAGTCAGCTAGAGGCGCGGAACCTCACCGCCTGGCTATGTGCCCATGCGCTGAATGCACGCGCAAATGCCCGTATACCGTGCTGAGGAGTGCTCTTGCAGTGGCCATCCTGGAAGTCTTTTGAGGCTGAAAGAGCGGCTTTAGGACCTTCTAGGGCGCTGGGCTCCGATCAACACAGACACAAATGTAAGGCGTCTGAACGTACCATTGACTGTGAGGGCTAGTTCGAGCAGATCCACAGATGGCGATGTATCTTGACCGTCGTTAGAAAAAGAGCTATTCACAGTCGTCAAAAACATACCTTTCAAGGAAGTCAGGATACATGACAGACCAATGGTATGCCTGCAATGGCTCAGCAAAATTATCGTTACTCTTTACGAACGCCTTTACCTGCTGCGCGCCCATTGAAAATCCAATCACACAGAATACTTTCTTGATACCAAGCTTCTGAGTGAGCACAGCGTACTGTGCCCGGCTGGACTATGTCGGCAACTTCGACTATATAAGATGGAACAAACTCACACGTTGTCTTCATATGTGACGGTAGGGAAGTAGGGGCCGTTGAATGGCGCAGGCTACCGTCATTATGAATTCTTGTTCCAGACAGTACTCTGAGGAAACTCACCGTGTTAGAGGGTGAAGAAGACTAAATCAACAGGTGAGTTGAGCTTGACCACGCCATCTTTACATCATGTAGCATACCCTCTCCATTGGAAAATAAGGCAATGGTTACTACATAGTACTTGCGCGGATCCAAAACCTATCGCTGGCGTCAGTCGGAAAACAAGATCAAGCTACATGGCATTACCTTGCCTTCCCCTACCATGTAGCTTTGACCTAATAATTTTTATAATTCCAGCCATCCTATGATAAGTACTTTTGAAGACTCACTGTCAAGCTTTCCCTTATAACATGTAGGAAATACGATAACCGGATTCTTTGGGTCGCCGAATGTCTGGTATGCAGTGATGGCATCAGGCAGTACACCACCTGCAAGACGGAAACGCCCGTGGTGGTGGTATTGGATTTCCGCAACCTGAGACATATGTGGTTATGAGCGAGGGATGTTGAATCTATGCAGATATCAGTGAATGGGTCGAAGACTTTATAGCATTCTCAGAACTGAGAATAGAGACTCGGAAGGGCTGTCGGACACCAGCACTGTTAACTTAGTAAGAATGTCGGGATACATGTCATGAATCACTTAATTACTCCCCGCCGACTCTCACGGATCTGGAGCTCGAGGGTTTTGTCAGACGCAAGGTTTTTTTGTAAAAAATATGTTGTGGTGGATCCAAGGTGGATCGGGCACGGACTGCAAGGGAAAATGCTTACGTGAATACGATGACTGTTCCTCACTGATGACTACTAGTAGGGAAACGCACGGGTATCGCTTCTTTGCTGACGGGTTTGGCGGGTACGGGTACCATACCGCGACCCTTAAGTGATATCTTTCAGTCTGTTCAATTTTGAAAAGCCCTGCTCAACCATTACAGCCGTTGCAGAACGCTAGGCCAATCCTCCAAAAGAAAACACGAGTCGGCGAGAACGAGCTTTCAAGTTCCGATAATCAATTGTGTTCGTTACATACCCCAGAAATCCGTGGTGTCTGACCAGGCATTGTAATTCAAACAACACTGTCCTGTTTTACGATTGGCCTGGTGTTCTGCAACATCACAAACAACGTTTTATGTCTTCGTAATGAACTGGAACTTGGACGTCAAAATCACCCAAGAGAACAGATGAGATTGTGTACTTTTTGGAGGTAGTTTTGTGCGTCTAATTCCATTCTGCATATTACTACTAGCTGCAGGGTTTGTGGTTACATCCAATCACTAGCGTTCTGATCTCTTAGTGAGTGATATACGGTCATGAATCTGACGAATATACAGCATTCTATCTGTGTGGCCCGGGGTCGCAACCATTCACGGAACTGGCAAACCAACTCCTGCGCCGCAACCGCTCTGTCAGAATAAGTCGCCTTGTGAGTCATGGTACTGATAAGCAAATACGATTCTCAAATTCATGCATAGCCTACGATGGGCGGCGTCTGAATATATACTAGCTCAAATGATGATGCGGTGCCACGCTCAATGGAAGAGATGTGTGTAGTGTGGAATCGGTAGTAACCCATGACAGGCTTCCCTGTTTTTGAACCATTGGAGCAAGTGCAAGTCCATTACAGTGCTCGTTTTCAGTAAGTCACAGTGCTGTTATATCCAACAACGTTGGGCCGACGGCGATCAAAACCTGCCACCCAGCGCAGCCGCCTTTTATCTTAAAAAAGTTCTGTTGATGGAATTACTAATAACGACCCTTGGCATTCAATTCTTTTGATTTCATCAAGTGAAATGTCATCTGGGCAGACGCTTGGCCAGATGAATCTCACGTGCATGTGGCTAGAGGCCATACTTGACGGTAGAGTGGAAACTTTGATGGGGATTGCAAATGCTGAACACTTTTGCAGGAATCAAGTAATTCGTTCACTTCCCATGAGGCATGGGTGAATCTGAATAAAAATCATAGCTGCATGTTGTTCGGTGCATGTATTTGTATCATCTCAATCAGGAGTCCAGCCAACAAGTGAATATTCACGACTGTCCTCTTGTCTACGCCCTGATTTGTTTATAGCAGGCTTCTGCTCTTTGTTACCTCCTTTCTATTCGCGATGACAACTACGCATGTGATATTGATGTTTGTACAAGCGATGATTGCATTCACGAACACGACAATTGCTGCTACCCCTGCGCTGCATGGGTGACATATCGGCGACCCTACAACTCGTCGTATCGGGGGACTCCGAGTCATCCGTGGGAGATATTATGATGGTGAGCACTGGTACTGAGGCCTGAGGGTCGGGATAAGTTGGATTATTTGACGAAATTTACACTTGGCAGGTAAAAACCGTAAATGAGAATCAGTCATGCCCATCCCGCCGGTTTTCTGTCTCTTCGTTATAGGAAAGCGCGAAATTCACGTAGGCCTCACATAATTGTACCTAAGTAAATAGGCTAGACAGCTCAACTTTTGTTGGCACCTCGTAGGTCTCCCAGACACCAATGAATACAAAACAAATACAGCGCTTTCATAACTATATATATGGAATCGAACTTTTTCGAGACTGAAGACTCTAGAACTGTAAAACCGCCAACAAAGCACTGAACACGAGAACAACACTCATTGACACCAAGTATAACTCAGGGTTCCTCCAAAAATTTCTTCACCTCTGCTTGGATGAATTCATTATCATGCACGCTTAACCCTGTCCCAACTACAGAACATCAGCAAGGTGCAGTTCAAAGCAAATAGAGCCCGACAAACTCACCCATATGACCCCACTCAGAATCGATAATGACTAGCTTTGCGTTATTCAGGAATTGCATATCATTCTGACTGTCCTCCGGCTATCCAAGGAGCCATCAACCCAAACCCAAGTAACAAAGGTGAAAGGACTCACAGCGAAGAACAGGTCTTTCTTGCAAGGCATGATCAGACTTCTAGCCTTGATCGCTCCTAGACAGTCCGCGAAGTGACCTCCATCACGGATGAGAGAAACATCCCCCATTTGCCATGTGTTCAAGAGTGTCAATAAATCGTTGGCGTCCCATTCTAGAAGACCGCCTTCCCAGACCTCTCTTAAGAAGTCGTCCAGGCTCGCGTACCTAGTGGTTCTATTAAGAAAACAGAGAATGGGATACAATAAATGACAAACATTCCGCCGAAGAGATAATTTTTCTTGGCATACCACTGCGGCAATTTCAGTATGCTCAGTCAGCTAGAGGCGCGGAACCTCACCGCCTGGCTATGTGCCCATGCGCTGAATACACGCGCAAATGCCCGGATACCGTGCTGAGGAGTGCTCTTGTAGTGGCCATCCTGGAAGTCTTTTGAGGCTGAAAGAGCAGCTTTAGGACCTTCTAGGGCGCTGGGCTCCGATCAACACAGACACAAATGTAAGGCGTCTGAACGTACCATTGACTGTGAGGGCTAGTTCGAGCAGATCCACAGATGGCGATGTATCTTGACCGTGATTAGACAAAGAGCTGCTCACAGGCGTCAAAAACATACCTTTCAAGGAAGTCAGGATACATGACAGACCAATAGTATGCCTGTAATGGCTCAGCAAAACCATCGTTACTCTTTACGAACGCGTTTACCAGCTGCGCGCCCATTGAAAATCCAATCACACAGAATACTTTCTTGATACCAAGCTTCTGAGTGAGCACAGCGTACTGTGCCCGGCTGGACTATGTCGGCAACTTCGACTATATAAGATGGAACAAACTCACACGTTGTCTTCATATGTGACGGTAGGGAAGTAGGGGCCGTTGTATGGCGCAGGCTACCGTCATTATGAATTCTTGTTCCAGACAGTACTCTGAGGAAACTCACCGTGTTAGAGGGTGAAGAAGACTAAATCAACAGGTGAGTTGAGCTTGACCACGCCATCTTTACATCATGTAGCATACCTCTCCATTGGAAAATAAGGCAATGGTTACTACATAGTACTTGCGCGGATCCAAAACCTATCGCTGGCGTCAGTCGGAAAACAAGATCAAGCTACATGACATTACCTTGCCTTCCCCTACCATGTAGCTTTGACCTAATAATTTTCTAATTCCAGCCATCGTATGATAAGTACTTTGGAGGACTCACTGTCAAGCTTTCCAGTATAATATGTAGGAAATACGATACACGGATTCTTGGGGTCGCCGAATGTCTGGTATGCAGTGATGGCATCAGGCAGTACACCACCTGCAAGACGGAAACGCCCGTGGTGGTGGTATTGTATTTCAGCGACCTGAGACATGGTTATGAGCGAGGGATATTGAATCTATGCATCAGTGAATGGGTCGAAGATATAGCATTCTCAGAACTGAGAATAAAGACTCGGAAGAGCTGTCGGACGCCGGCGCTGTTCTAAGAATGTCGGGATACACGTCATGATCAAACAGTTACTTACTCTCACGTGAGTCACGGAGGGGTTTTGTCAGACGCAAACGACCAGTATTTCTGCAACAAATCTATTGTGGCGGATCGGACACAGACTGCAAGGGAAAATGCTTACGTGAATACGATGACTGTTCCTCACTGACTCATGACTACTATAGTAGGGAAACGCACGGGTACGGTTCTTTGCTGATGGGTATGGGCCATTGGGTACGGTGTTGGATATTCATACTCGTGACCATACTGCGACCCTTTACCGCGGGTTGGCGGTGTTTGAGCAGCTGGGGATTGGCGGCTCGCCGCCGCTACGATTAGATATCTGACTATCCCTAAGTGATATCTTTCAGTCTGTTCAATTTTGAAAGGCCCTGCTCAAGCCGTTGCAGAACGCTAGGCCAATCCCCCAAAAGAAAACACGAGTCGGCGAGAACGAGCTTTCAACTTCCGATAATCAATTGTGTTCGTTACATACCCCAGAAATCCATGGTGTCTGATCGGGCATCGTAATTCAAACAACGCTGTCCTGTTTTACGCATTTTTTCATTCATGGCTCTTTCACAGTCGACTGGTGATCAGCCCCTCTATGAGGCAAACCGTCGATAGAGACGGTTTGCCTCATAGAGGGGCTGATCACCAGTCTACTTTCACAGATATGGAGACTCTACGTCGTCTGGAATCAGAATTTCAAACTTTGCATCCTACCGGTAATTCAGATTATAAGATCTGGACGCTGCCAATGATGCTGGATCCCTTCTTTAGCTCATTATGTGGGTAGCTCACTGTAGTACGCATCCATCTTCTATTCTCTGCATTATCAGGTAAACATGACTTCCCACAGCTACCGCTTCTATCGCCGTCGCCTTGCTCGCATCTAAGAACACCAGCATCTTTTCGCGTACTTTTCGAGTCTTCGCATTGTCTGGATGGTCACTCGAGATGACATTAAATGTTACAGTAACCGCTGGTATCGTGTACCACATCTGGCGAACAGGACAACAGACAGCTGTTCTGACTAGTTGCTTCAGGTACAAAAGCACCATGTGGAATCTGGGGCGCTCATCACAACCTGTACATGCGTGATGTTCTGTTTATGGGTAGCAGGTAATGTTGCAGGGACGGTAACAATCAATATTGCAATACAAGTCGCTGTAAGTCCCCAGTTTCCGATCGTTTACAAACGTGATGACTGATCAAGGTTTAAATATAGACGATGGCCCCTCTGTCCGTGCTGGTCTTGGACACTCTCATCTCGGGCTTGGATCATCTGGGAAATACTCATCATCCCATTCTAGATCCTTGGAGGTCAACGTTGTTCGTTCGCAAATTACAGTCACCGATTACCCAATGGATGTCATATCTCAAGGCAAGGGCACAACCTGTACATGCGTGATGTTCTGTTTATGGGTAGCAGGTAATGTTGCAGGGACGGTAGCAGTCAATATTGCAATACAAGTCGCTGTAAGTCCCCAGTTTCCGATCGTTTACAAACGTGATGACTGATCAGGGTTTAAATATAGACGATGACTCCTCTCCTCATTGTCGTCCGCGCCGGTCTTGGACGCTCTCATTTCGGGCTTGGATCATCTGGGAAATACTCATCATCCCACTCTAGATCCTTGGAGGTCAACGTTGTTCGTTCACAAATTACAGTCAGCGATTGCCCAATGGATGTCATATCTGAGGCAAAGGGTGCGGGAGCGGGAGCGTTCGTCGTTGTCTATAGCACAAGAGGAAATGATTAGGTAGGAGAGGGTGTTAGCTCGGGATGTAGTATTAGACGATATGGAGGATACGAAGTGCTGCGGTTAGCTTCTGCAAACGCGTTAGGTATGGGTGTCAATGCAATCGAATCGAGACGCGTTATCTCCACTAATTGATTTCGACCTAATGGGGTCTGTCGAGACCTGACACATAGATCGGTGAGTTCTACGAATGTCGAGCTGTTGTGATTGGGGGCATGTTTTTTGGGCACTCTACAGCAGAGAGCTCAGTGGCATGCAAGTCTGTTCAATGCCGCTCCAGGTGATTGAGTGAAAAGTGGAAAGTTGATTACCTGCACGCGACAGGGTCACAACTCAGTATCGGGGTCGAGCGCCTACTAGGCCTCAAGAGCAGTTGCAGCTCGAAGGCAATCGCACTCGAAGCACTCAGTATTTTCCAGTGGGCTATCAAGCAGTTAGCGCTCATGCGTTGAGTTGTATACAATTATCAATTGACAACGAGCAGACGAAGCCAAAGGGTAAAGGTAAAGGAATATTGCGTGTGAACAATTGCAAGTATGAGTGCGTAAGGGTGTGTATCGTACAGTATTAAGTCCAGGCGTAGCATATGAGCATAATTCAGAGATCCAGTCTACATACCGAAGAAACAGTCCAAAATACGACACATTCACTCCGCCTCCGCATCATACTCCTCGTCCCAATTCTTCCTCGTCCCGTCCCCGTTGACGCTCAGCCAGGCCTCTAGTCTACGCCCCAGTTCCCCGCCTCGCCCACCACAAATATCACCAGTGGTATTCAGCATCTGCTCTTTCTCCCGCTCCTTCTTCAAGGGTATGTGCCCAGCCTTCTTTCGCCGCTTGAATGACGCAGCATGCAGAGCACCGGAATTAGCCCCGCAGCTGCTCGCTTGGCTCTCTGCACACACAGGCGCACTTGAGGCAGACAGCGCATCTGCAGTGCACTCGGCGTCTTTGAACCATTCGTCCTCAGTGTCCTCAGGCCCAAGTATACTATCGACCAGGCCTTCCTCCCATCCGTCCCATTCGGCACACCTGTGAGCCATGCGCAGCCGTGCACCGATGGCTTCGTAATGCAGCCACTCTTTTGCGACCGCAACAACATTCACGGGTTTACCATTGTTCTTTCCTGCGTGCGTTGGCCGAGGGGCTCGGTCACGAGCCAAATCCTCGACCGCTTCTCGGAACATACGAGTCGTGAATGGACTGGATTGCAGGAAGGTTGGAAGATGAGCACATGCCCAGAGTGGTCGGGTGGTTGTGGATTCCCAGTCAATAACACATGTCTGTTTAGGACCACTTATCAGAACGGAAAACACACGCAAGGAGATAAAACTTACTATTTCCGTGGGGTCGTTTTCGTTGACAAATACGTTCTCCAGGCTTATGTCGTGGCAGTCCAGGCCGAACTCTTCGGTCTCCCCAGAATGATCCCCGCGCGCCCCGAGTCCCTCCATTATGCGCATCCAGCGACCCATCTCCTTTCGTACAGATTCTTCCCGTCGCATGATGTGGGCGATTAGGAACGTGCTTCTCTGCATGCGCCTGTAATCCCTGTACATGACATCACCAGGGCCATCCCATTCCTCCTCGCTCTCCTGTGCGTCCCATTCATCACTATCATCACTCTGATCGCCGGGTACTGCGTTCAAGTGGTGATGCCGAGAAGATTGAATTTCATCCGGGTCAAGATGTAACCGATGCGGTGCCGACTTGCCCTCATTCTCGAGAACCACGCCCCGGACCTCCCGGTCCACGCACGAGGCAAGATACGAATGAGTACTAGACCACGGACCACGGTCAATCTCATTTGGATGGGAGAGGTCCCCGCGGTTGGATCCGAAGAAGGGCCATGACACGATAGGACCAATATGAGAATCTCTAGCCGAAGTTGGCCGTGTGACTGGTCTTGCTAGGGGTCCTGTGGCATTGGAAAAGGAACTCAATGACAATAGTGGCATGAATTTAAAGCCGTTAATTGTAGGACGCGTCACAGTTGGTGTCGGAGAGTTTGATGACCCGACCGAAAGAGGAGTGGGTGCGCCTGTGCCTGCACCCTCTAGATATAGTGATCCGATGTGTGAGAAACGCTGTGCGAACAAGGGTATTATGATAGCTGCAACATTCGCAAATAGAGATTTGAGTTCTTCATTAGAGAGCGAGTAGTATACGCGTGACAGGGGAACGCCCTTCGCCTAATATGGTATTGACCTTAAGGCACTCGACATGACAACGATGTGATAAGACGTACCTTCGACATGAGGATATACTCGCCCCCTAGGCGATTGTAGGGATTTGCATCATAGTAATAGACATCTGGAACAGGAATGGATGTCTGTTCGCGAAGGTAGTGCATAGTAGCCACCTCAGACTCGGTTTTGAGGCGAGGCATGAACCGACGAGCGACGCGAGCAACCAGCTCGCGTAGTGTCAACAAGAGTTACGAGATATGCCTGCAGAACATCAAGACGTAATATTAAATAGGGTCGCCCCACATTGAGTTATGTACTCGCCTTATGGAAAGTTCCTAAGGTTGTAATTTAGAGTCTTGGCAGTCCACGAAGACAACGACAACGTACCAGAACTCAAGAAATTTATTCTCCCGACTTCACAGCCTGTCATCTCTCGTACGACGTCTTTAAGAACTCTTCGGTCGACTTGAAAAGGTTGTGCGCCATGTAGTGCTGCGTCCGCTTTGGCCTCGAGCCGTCGGTCGTGGTGTTCGACATCCCAATCCCATTCTATGACAGACATCGAGGCTAATGCCTGCGGCAGCGGCACAGTGCCAGGTAGTAGCGTGGCGTCCTGCGCAACAGCGTCGACATGGTCGCCGTGGCCGTTGCGCTGCATCGTCACCTCGGGTTTCACTAAACGTTCAATGCGAACAAAAGATCTGCTTAATTTGTCCGAGTGCGCCAAACGCAAGTTGTAGGGGGAATCAAGAGTGTCGAGAGCGAACCTTGGGTAGTGACAATTCAAAATCAAGGAGCGGAATACGTGCATCAGGTTTCTATACGTACCTGCTTGATGTGCTCGTAATCTCTTTCGGTAATGCTACGTATTTGGCCTTGTTTCCGTTTATCTCGGGTATAGGGACAGGCATGATCCTCTTGTGTCAAGCTCTGGCGTTGACCACTGCCAGAGGATCAGAGTATGGTTCAGTTGGGCATACGCTGGCATATGGTAAGCCTGACCCGTTGGTTTTTATAGCCTATAGGTTTCTGGGTTCCCCGGAAGAAACTCCACCTTGGCACCGCATGTATTTCATGTTGACGTTATACGCAGCACTTATCGTCTTTTATATATTTAGCTCCGCTATATAAAAACTTTGACGCCGTGCACTCTACCCTGCATCAATCTAGTGGCGTCTGGATCATGATGTGGATACGGTGAGTTGCACATATGTGATAGTGATACGATGTCAATTCATGCAGGGCAGTCTCTAGAGAATCTGCTATAGAGCCTAGAGCTGTAGAAGCGGAGGTCTTTTCCGACCAAGTACCCGAGTAAGTAATACCAAGCACGCTCTCCACAAAGCCCGATCAAAACCAAGGCCGCCTAAACTAGTACGCTGTTACTATGAGTAAACCAACTAATCTGATTATCAATGATGAATCGCTCTGTGGAGTTCCAATCTGGGCTCTGTACAGCCAATCATATCTCCTTGATCACGAATCAACCTTGCTGCCCTCGGTTGCTTATCGTGCGAGTCAAAAATACACGAAACAAGTCTTCAGTAGACTACGGGCGGTAATAAATCGCCAGAAGGGGTTCACGGTCTCCGTTCCACGAGGCTACTTAGGCACATACTACCCATCTTCGTGGCGCTGCCAAGTGCAGTGCGGCTACTGCCGCAGCGGCGATAAATATTCTAGTACATCATGATTACGAAAAGACGAGGTGAAAACCAAAATAAGTTTACGCTGAATTACAACACTGTATGTACAACAATCAAAAATATGCCACTAGCCCACAACAGCTAGAGCCGCGAGTCCTGTATAATAGATAGTATCAACACCAGTTCGAATCACACCCTCAGGGAGACCTTACATACGAAGAAGGCTCAGTACAAACAACTTCGTCTACCCTCCTCTTCAGCCATTCTATTACATCCTGTCCCAGTGTTGCACAATCATACAACTCCAGGTGCTGCAGTCTCGTTGGGATAACTCCATTCACCATCGTCGCAGATCCCGACTCTGGATTGCGAGCCTCCACAAGCTGTACCAGCTTCGCAATCCCGTCAGAATGCGCATGACAACTTTTCATGGCCACCGTTGTCAAATTCGGACATGCCCAATGGGTCTGTTCTTCGTCGGGCATTCCGAGCGCCGACAAAAATGGCTCGAGTGGCGTCCCGCCTATGCTCAATGATTGCAGATGATTTAGGTCCGTTAAAAAACCCCATGAGATGACAACTCCACCAGGGCCATAATATAGCGTCGAGCTCGAGGTGCTGCCGTACGAGACAGAGAGGCGAGTAATCGGTGGATTATTCGAGCGTTGTAGAAGATTGGTAATGGTGTCTTCTATCGGGTCACGAGCTTCTACGTCAAGGTTGAGTATCTCAAGGGAGGGAAGTACAAGGGAGTCTGCTAGCTGTGACATGTGATAGTGACCGCCAAAGGTGAGTTCACGAAGCCGAGATAATGAGGTCTGGACAAGGGGAAGAATAGCTGGCAAAGCAACAGCAAAATGTAAGGTGAGTGATTCAAGTTCTGGGTTACTGGCGATGATGTGCATAATGCGATCCAAGGGTAGATGATTCGATGGGAGTGAACGGAGATTGAGGGACCGCAGATTAGTTTTGAATATCGGTGATGACCATTTGAATGGGACGTGGTGTAACATCAGGGACTCTAGTTTCCCAAGGGACATACTAGTCGCTGGACTTGAACTCGGTATCCATGGCCATTCACTTGCATAAATAGTTTCGGCACAAGAGATTTCAAATTCTCTAAGTATGGGAGCATCACCTATTACTCTCTCATTGAATAACAACATTAAATCGCTTTGGGCATGGTACGTACCAGCTATTGATTTCAGTGCAGACATAGATGGAAATTGTCTGTCGAACCTGAAGACAAACCGTTGCCACCGATGCATTTGCTCGATAAGGTAGAATATTGCGATATGGCCCCAGTGAGCATTCCGTTGGGCTTGCGGGGTATTTCTTGAAGAAGGCGGAGGGGGTGACCCCCATGAGTCGTGGTGCGAGGGTGACTGCGGGACAATGATAGGAGTGTGGGCAGGAGGTAGGAGCATTGGTGTCCCAGGAGGGTGAGGAATCACATAATGAGGTGGTGGACTGGGCGGGTGCAGCCACGGCGTGGGTGAGGCAGGTCGGGTACGGGTCGATGAACCCTCGTTTGACACGCCGTTTACTCGCAAGTAAATTTCTATATCGAGCGGCACCTTGTCTCCAGAGCGTTCCAGCCAAAGCCGTATGGTGTCTGCAGTTGCGCTTTGATTTGTTACAAGTCTTATCTAGCATAAAAAGTTAATATCACATATGAGAAAATGTAGATCAAGAACGAGGTACAAGGACAGGAACTGCATCCGCCGCACACACACATATGAGGATATCGATGCCAAATTCCATGACGCAATAACAAAGCTGACGAGTGAATAATTGCATCATCTCACCTTAGACCACAGTCTTGGCATCGAGAGCGTGAGTCTTCGCCATAGCGTGCAGACAGATGCGAGCACCCAAGCACAGCAAGGATGATCGTCGAACTTGAAGAGGAAGATATGGCGGAGTAGTTCATGTGGCAACCGGCGTATAGGAGAGATGTATGCCTTGGTATATGTCACCTTCTCTTCCAATGCCAGCTTTTCGCGTCGTAGGTCACGTATAGCGCGCTTCCTCTCGACAACAATTTGAGCCAGGGCGTCTTCCGCGGATGCAATCTTGTCCGAGAGCGCTAAGAGCTGCTCTTGCTGGACTTGGAGCTCTCTGCGAGCATCAGCAACAGCTGCGTCCGTTGGTGGCTCCGGATAATTGGTTAAATATGCGGAAGGCGTCATGGCGAACGATAATGTGGAATGTGTCACGGTGAGAAAAGGCGAGACAGGAATGACAAGTTGGATGAGCTGAAACTGATGGCAAGTCCCATATATGGCCACGTGGGTTTTGAAGGCTCATGGCCCTTGGGGATGGCGGAGTGACGGGCCCCTCATATCTTCCGAGTCTTCTGCTTTATCTACCAGGGATGTATCATCGTTCATTCAGATTATCGGTACCTAGTCTCAATAACTCAAGCCTAAGCAATAATTTCAGGCTAGTATCAGAATCGAAGTTAATATTTGCTTATCTATCCATGACAACCGTGACCAGTGAGAAATAACAGCGTGGAAAGGTAGTACAACATTGTATGGATACGAAGTAACTGCCATATGAGAATGCTCGAGCTGTCAGATAGGCCTAGACTATTTCTTTCCCGCTTCAATGGCATCTCCATTTTTACATGCGATTATTTTTACTGCGAGGTGCTGAGACCATTTCGTTCGACTCCATCTTGAAGGACGGGTTCTTGACGATGAATGTCCACACATCATCGCACAAACGGTATGTCCGAAGGCTGCCCTGAAGGAAGGAACAAAGTTGTGAGAAACCATTCATTTCAACCAGAAGCGCACGAGCCTTGAGTGTAGTCTTTGTTTTCACCTGCTTGACCATCGTGTCCGCAAGCGACTTGTCAAACTATTAGAACTTGTGGTCAACGCTCATTTACTGACAGACATTTAATCAATAAATACCTGTTGAAGGACTTTCATGGCCAATTGTGGTGTGATAGCACCACTCGTGATAAGCTCGTCCAGCGAGTCTGTCAGGGCCATTCCAATTCTGCAGCCGTGAACACCCGAACAATCAGGGAAACCGCTGGAACATACGATGACCCCCGGTAAAACTCATAGTACGCTGAAGCCATGCTAATTTGCAATATTCCTCAACTTCAGAGCAAAACAGACGGGAATGTGGCGAACAGAAAGAGCCGCTTCTAACCGCTTGCTGCCATGAGCTGCAATGGTTGGTGAGTAATGCAACCGTGACGTGTGACGTCACGCAAGAATGTGCAGTTGCAACTTGAACTTTGCATCTGATCGATGAACGTAACACTCGAATTCTATGCAAATGTCTTCCACCGTTTATCTTGATATTTTTATGGGAGACGAAGAACAGCACAAACTTGATAAAGCCGCATTTATTGCTACTCGCAATTTGCTCGCTAATAATGCAGCAATCTACGGCTTGCCATCCGATCCACATCATCTATCATCAGAGCAACAAGAAATACTCAGAGAAATCGATGTATTTGCATTTCTACCGATGCTCTATTGCCGTCATATTCAAAGATGTTTATCTTCTAATCGTTGTTAGAGATCGCATGTACTACGCTTTATGCCCGCAGAGCCCCTTTGTGTCGGCCGCCTCGTCTTTGAATTGAATCTCGAGGCCTCTCTGAAAAAAACGACGACCAATTTCACTGCACTGTGTACGGGGGAGAAAGGAAAGTGTAAGAATGCACGTAACAAAGAGCTATATTACTTGGGATGCCCGATACATCGCATCGTGAGAGATTTCGTGGCACAGGGGGGCGATGTTACAAGGGGGGATGGCAGTGGTGGTGAGGTTCGTGCTTGAAATATAACTAGTTAATTTTCTGATTTCACCCAGTCGATATATGGAGGCAAATTCAACGATGAAAAGGATGGCTTGAAGATCAAGATGAGAAGAGGAACCCTGGCGATGGCCAACTCCGGCAAAAATACAAATTCTTCCCAGTTCTTCGTTGTGCTCACGGATGACGAGACGCAGCTCGCAAAGTTGAACGGCAAATATGTGGCGTTTGGGGAATTGAAAGCGGGAATCGAGGTGCTGGACAAGTTGAATAAAGTTGCTGGCGTCGATGGGAAACCCAGTGTTCCGGTGTGGATTGGCGGATGCGGGAAGGGGACCGCAAACTGAACATGTAAAATGACACGTAACAAGGGGTGTAGTGTTCACCCAAATTCAGACACTGGGGTGCGATGATAATCGGCATACTCGTCCGAGACTTATGGCACTTCTCCCGCGAGTGGAGATCACATGAGGAGGCGAGGTCGCTTACCAAAACATGAGTTGCGTTGTTATGCTATGCGGGGAAAACATACATTCGGTGTCACATTGTCCCTTCACTTGTGTTTCTCTTCGCTTGGGCGATTGAGAGTTGATGCTAACTGTTGTGAGACAGTTCGCCCACCAAGGCCCTTGGCACGAAAACATCTGCAGATAGAACTCAGGGTTGTAAGCAAAGGTCTCCGATCACGCATCATGACTAGTACTCACTTGTCATCAAGATCCACCAATACAACGTCATTGTGGATGTATCTATAGGGCAGGTATGCACGACTCAGGTCTCAAGTGAGATGTATAGGGCGAAGAAGTCTGAGAGCAGGGCCCAGGCTCGCATTACGCGTTTCATCTTGCGTGGTAACTTTGATCTGCTTTGCCTGTAAACGCCTTCGCCTCAGAAGTATTTATATGCTGGCAGAAGATCAACGAGCGGCCGAGGAGTGATGCAACATACTTATACTGCTGAGATGATCCTGCATCGTTTCGATTGAAGCTACATAGTCTCAGCATAACCGCGGCCTCGTGTGCACTCCCAAATGTAGGCCAATATGTAGCAATCAAACCATCGGCAACGCCGGATCATGATGATCGACGGGTATAAGGAAGTTACATCGGCGGGCGGAACCGTGTGATAAGCAGGGGACCATTGCGCACGATTACCTATTTCAACATCGCCGTCAGCCTGGGATGCACTGGATGGAGATGGAGTGAACGAACAAAAACAGGTTTGGGATTGTTAAGATCCCCAGCAGCCCGTCAGATGATTAATTTAGCTTGTGGAGAAGCAAACGAGCTTACACAAATTGTTGATCATGAAGCTTTACAGCAACAACGCAAACGCGGTTGCAACGAGGATCTGATGGGGAATAAATTACCAGAACTAAAATGAGTTTATCACTATCACAGGCACTATGTGGCCGGCGGCATTGGGGAAACCTTAACGGTCACAGCCAGTCGCCGATCAAGGTTTGTACCTCCTTCCGATAAACTTCCGTTGGAGCCGCAAATGACACGGGTTTGCTTCAGAGTTAATCCTGCTTAGCGCATGGTATGACAAGCCTGTATGACTTATAGACTGTCGTCGTAATCAATGTAATCAATATGCAAAATGAATATGAATCAGGACGAGAAATGTGAAAATTCAGAAACTAGCCACCCTACAGGAAAAAATAATGAGAAAACAAGATCCACCGAGAATGAAGGCTGACGCAATTTTCTTCGGCTGGACGATCTCTACAGCCTTAAGATCCGGAGAACTGCGATTCGACACGGGCTCTCGGACCAACAGATTCCTACCCACGCTACCTCACAAAGGACTAATGCCTTCCGGTGGAATTCTGCGGACACACCCTCAGCCTTCCCTGGCAGCAGGATATGCGGCAGAATGCGACATAGAACCACTCTGACATAATTGTTGCGTCATCGTGGATGATCACAAACACTAAATTTCAGTCTTGTTGTGTGATATAGCATGAGGCTGATAACGTACTATACGCGGCCTATTACAGCTTGTACCGCGTCCCCCGTGACTTTGTAGGTCCACACTTCTTGTGGTACCAGGGTTTGCCGTTAACGGGTTTTCCAATTCAAGCATTTGCTGGCTGTTCCGGAGGTGAACTTCCGTGGGTGACTGTGGGTCCGTAAAACATCTTGGGAAGCTGTTGGGGTCCAATCGCAGAATAGGGCCCAGAGACCACCGAGGAGCGTCGTATTCGCCCAAGAGGCAGGTATTTAAAGCGCGAGAAGATCATAGCCATATTGATGTTAATTCCGCGCGGTGGAATGCAGGAAGAGCAATTAATACGACTCAAGCACGCGACGCCCTGCCAGATAGGTAGAAATAAAATTAAGTAGCTAATAATGGATGATCAAATTGTCCTACCTACAAAGCTGAGACGTTCATTATGACCGTGGACAGCCATCTTGTGACTTCCATGAGTGAGAATACGTTGCATTGAAGCTCGGGTGTAAAATGGAGAGAGGGGAAGACGTTGATTAGGTGAGTAACAAGTGACTTTACACTATGGCATTCTCAGGAAACTGAGGATGTTTGAGCAAGTCGGGGAGCTTGTCAGGGACCTGAACAATCGGCGAAACACTCGGGACACGTAGCAGACCTTGAATGTTGCTTCCAACAGAACTTGAACCTACTAGCTGCCTGCTAGTGGCCACTGGCCAGAGTTTGGCCAGAGTCAGACCAAGTTTCAGAATTTCAAACTCAATGCTTCAACGGTCACGTTATCCGATTTCCTATGTAAAGTCACACCTTCATTGATCTGCCTTGAGTTCGACGGTGACTAGTGGCTCCTCACATACACATGCCATGGAAGACGCCGATGACGGTATTTTCATCATTTCTCTCTGCGCCAGTCAGTGCTGGCACACTTCTTGTCACCTTTGGTTAGGTTGATCCCACTGCTGGGCCAGTAATCACATCTGGTCACCATCCGACATCGCACTACTCCCTCGGTGTCTCGGGTCATTCAGGTTATTAATATTTGGTATATTGCTTGCCAAGAAGAGCATCTTCTGCAAATGCACACGAACTCATGTCCATTTTTACCATCTCCGAGCCCTTTTGGGAGAGGTACAATCTTCGGGGCCGGGGATGTCAATCGGAATCTCCACGGTAGAGGATCATAGCTTGGCATCGTAGAGGCTGGCCATAGTTGGAATAGCGGTTCTATCAAGAATCGCTGCAGATGGTGTGTCGGACCTTCGGTCGCCATTATGTCAATGTTGGTGGTGCCCTCATCGTCGTCTTCTTCATCGAGTTGTTGAGATAACGTGGACACCGATGCTGAAACATCGACAATTGGAGCCAGCGAGAGGGCAATTGATGTCTACCTTCTCATTCGGAAGCACCTCTTAAATGTGAGTTTGCCGCAGTTTTCAAGACGTTCTTTGAAGTGATGCCGTAGTCAGGACTCAGCAGTGTAATGCACGCGCAGTCAGAGCGGCGACGTGCTGGACGCACGAGGTCACGGAATGAAAACCATCACTTCCCACCCAGTCACCTATCACAGTCACAGCCTCGCGTAATCAATCCCCCACCTCACAAATAACCCGTAAACTGAATTAACCGTTAGTATTTAGTAGCACCTCGATCGTTCTAGGCGAACCGGTACTCTGTTCACATCAAGTTTCTGGAACGTGGGCGTCTCGATATGAAGACCGCATTTGGGGTCTTATCCTTATGTTAGGTCATCATTCCAAAACCATACTAACCTGGCGGTAGTCCACTGTACCTCAGGGCTTACACCCTTTTTTCGAATGTGGTTCGCATATATATATATATATATATTGCATGAGTGGATTCTGTTCAAGCTCCACCGTCAACTTTGGCAGCTCTCTTCCAGATGAACTTCTGCGTTGCTCCTTGCCTCACTCTGTCCCCGATGGCCGACAGTTGTCCCTTCGAGGCCATCAGGCTATCGTTCACGTGCAATGTCAGGATTCCCCTGGGACCGACAGCGTTCACCCCGGGTGGCTCAATATCCATTTCATCACCACATGTTGAGATCTGGCTTCAAAATAAACAGGTTAGAGAGCGAGTATTCGGATATGACGGACACTAAAGATGCATTCCAGGTACTGATACGAGATCAGAACACCGCATACGGAACATATGTGAATGGTATCCGAATAGTGCAACAAACTCTCTTGCAGAGCGGCGACATTCTTGTAAGCATTCGTGTTTTAAACACAGTATACGTTGAATTTTACGTTTCTGTAGACATTGGGTGTTCCAATAATTCGGTCCTCTGGTGTCTCCACTAATGTAACAAATGCCCAACTCAAGCCCATTAAAGCAATTGTGACTATTGTGGGTGTCTGATCTCCCAGCGGCAGATATAATTCTCGTGGCCTGTATGCGGATGTCGCGACTTTCGCGATCTGTTCTTTAAAATGACCTAACACTGCCTTGGCATCATCATGCGCTCACCCCTGTGGCAGTACACACTTTATTCATTTCTTCCTTTTGTATCGATTGTCCTTTGATCATAGCATCTACGGTACGCTTGCATAGTCGAAGCATCTTTAGAGATTTCCTTCTATTTAGCTTAGATGTGCGATATGGTTAGCATCAAGACTCTTGTATGTAGATTAGACAAAAGCTGATAATGGTGTATGAGGCACGCAGTAGACAATCCCTGGATCTAAAGGCGCCCTAAAAGCCATGAAACCGACAAATTGAAATCTTATCGTAGGCGCCAATCTGCCGGGTTTGCATGTGGAACTTCGATCAGTACCTAGGAAGGCGGAGACCGTGATGAGCAGGCAGCAATATGGAGCTATGGTATATGAAATTCATACACAAGCTCTGGTGGTCCAATCTTGTAGTTCGATGAAGGTTTCCACCTCATTGGTAGGTTTAACAGGACTAATTTTTTAAAAGAACGACGTGAGCCAGGGGCCTACATACCTCGCTTCTTCCCCAGCCATCCGATCTTCAACAACTATATCAAGAACGAGGATAGAGATTCACCCAGGCATAGGCAAGCAGCACGGCTTATACTCTTGTCCTAAGTGCTTGCTTAAAACAAAAATGGCATCCTTCGTGGGCCCTCGTCCATACCACTCGTTCCTATGTTCGGAGGAGAAAGTAGGGAAGATTGGCCAAATGGAGAACGTTTTTTTTATACCGATCTGGCAGAATTCACTCGCCGTGCCCCAAAACGCTAGCACAAAAGGTTCTTGTCACCTCTGTTGAGTGATCAGAATATCTGGTTGCAGTCTCCGGAAATACGTAGGCTCTTCTGTATAGAACCTTGTTCACGGTCGTTGCAGCGATGATAGGCAGACAATTCAAATCTGACCCTTTCCTCGGACATGCGCCCGTTGAGCGTGAGTCGTCTCGACTATTTAAATACTCTCTGGTGGATTTCTAACTACATGATGTCTTTCCTTGATCGATAAGAGTTTTAAAGCGTGCAGGCACATTGGAAAATCAGAGCCTCACGGAGGAATGTACACGAAGCCGCCTTCATCGGAATGTGCGCACTATCGTCACTGAAATTCGGCCCGCTTGTAATGGCACTGTAGTATGAGTATGTCCTGGAATTGCGTGCTGTTGGGGGTGGTGTATATCCGGCACAAGACGAGAATACCGGTGAACGATCTGATCGCTTTGATTTCAGTATGTCCAACTCGTTGCATAAATCACCTAACTGTCTCCGTTTGATAAATCCGTCCACTCAAGGTGGTTTGGAAGCAATATAAAACGTAATTGATACGCAATCGTTACCCAGACCTCCGCTTCCCGCCATCATCTACAGGAGACTGGCGCATGTAGCTCAGAAGTGAAACAATGCTAGATCCTTTCTATGCGCGAGATGCTAGGCTGAATATCCTTGCCGTAAACGAGCACCTCGGAGCAGAAACAATGACCGGGGGAAGGCATTCAGAAATGAGAAGGGAATTTGAGCTCGGTTGGGGAGACCGATCACCGTCATCGACGACCTTGTCAATCAACGAATTGGGGTCGCGGTGGAAGGTGCCACTGATGTCAATATTGCTATCATCAAGTCTGCAGCGAGGACGACATTCTTTCTCCACGGGTGAGGTTACCATTCATTTCGCCACGGCCGTAACAATTTCAGCGCAGATCCATTATTGAAATCACAGTAGAAAACTGGTCTCTCAGAATTGTCATCAGTCATGATGTTGACATTGTCTTTTTTTTCTGTTTTGGACCCCACCAATCCCTGATGACATACCGAAATAGATTTCTGCTTGTGAGGCATCGATATTGACAGTCGAACCCCTAAATCCATTGTTGTGCGACTGCACGATTTAAAGGCGCGGTCTGTACCTGCTCAGAATTTGATAATCACCACGAGCAAGAAGACAATATGCTCACACCTCCGGTACTTTCGCCGACGATGAATTCAGTGGTGTCGCCGCCAAACTTCTATTCCAGAGTACTGATAATTCCGGAGTCCGTGTTGCCCAGATTTTCATCCTGTCGAAGTGGTGGAATCACTTGCAGAGTGTCATCGTTAAGATTTATGACAGCACCCAGAGGAAACTACACTTGAGGTAGAGACCGAGCTTCGCGTGGGCTCACCCACCACAATGAAGTCTATCATGTGTAAGAGCCGGACGGAGCAGCATATGCCAAAGATTATGGCAGTTCGGCGCGCAACGATTTGCCGCATTATGAGGAAAAATGTCGCGGCGTTTTCTTGCAGTAGGTTCGAATAATAATGCGATAAGTCTAGCTTGGTCTTCAAGGGCAAGACCACTAAGCGACTTCAGAATTCAATACCCAGTCCACTCGCGTTCCACAAGTTGTTCTGGCTTCTATGTAGGAGAAAAATAATGCAAAGTTTAACGTCCGGAACTTTCCTGACTTTAAACATAGCTTGGATCAATGCTGGAGCTGACTCAGCACACTGCACACCGCTGTCAAGGTTTGTCATCAAACAAAATATCATATTGCAGGATTACTTAGCAAGCTCATTATTTAACCTGCAGTTTGAGCAGGACGGTTCACAAGACGATAGGAGCATGCATGCTGTCTCTTGGCCAGCGGAGGATAGCGGTATCTGCATGCGCTCACATGCTATGCTTGCGCTCATTTGCTACGAGTGCGACGAGCTCGTCTAACGCTGTTTTGTCGATACCATCCATCTCCCGAAACTACTGGAACAATCGAAGCAGAGGCGGACAAAATCTCACTGAACGCTACCGCAGACTAGAAAATGCTCTTCGGCGAGGGAAATGCTATCACGAGGCAGATATCTGAGATTTCTCAGGACGTCGAAGATGCATCAAAGGCTGCGTCGCCTCAATTGACATCTTCCTCATGCCATGGTGCGCAAAACACTCCTGGTACCATCGCGGGCTTTGTGATCCCCGAAGAACCCATACCACCTTCAGATGAAGGTAAATTCTCTACAAAAGCTAAGTTTCCAATGTCTAATATAAGGCAAGAATGTTGCATGTCAGGATGTGCAATCTGTGTCTATGACCTTTACGAAGAATCTCTAGAGACTTACAAGGAGTCGATTGTGGCCTTGCGCTCGTCACTTTCTGCTCTTTCAATACCAAATTCCGAGTGGCCAGATCGCGTTAGAGCCAATACACCAGCCGCAGAAAAGAGGCACGAGGTCATCTTCAACGCGTTCGAAGAAATGGAGCGTCAGTTGAAGGAGAAGAAGGAACGGAGAGCTGCAGTTGAAGTAGAGAGTTAGTTTGTGGCCACTAGCTGGGGCTAGCCAATACTAACATTCGGCTTCCGATAGAAAGGACTGAGGGGAGAATTACTCTCGGATGATACAGAGAGGTCTCCTATAAACATTCAGATGTTGTACGAAGGCATTAGATGGTTATTATTCCCGAAACGTTGACTAGTACCATGGCTAGTAGGGGCTCAGAGCTCATATGTTCGATGTCTGATTCCGACAATAATATTCATTTGCACTGTACAATTTGAAATCTGCCTCCGCCACAATTGTGGCCCCTTGTCATCTACCACCACATATGACTTCTAGCACCGCGTTCAAGACCTTCTCGCTAGCGAACGACATATTTGAAGTTTCGCCTCAAGATGAGATATATGCCTTTGATGTCGAGGCTAATAAGCGGATAAACCGGGAGGCACCATGGGACAAGGAGTATGTCGGCTACCCCATATCACCTGAGCAGGCCTCAATGACTTCCCTCATAGTCCACAATACTTCAAATCATGCAAGATCTCAGCTGTCGCTTTGATAAAGATGGAAAGGTCGAACAGCTGAGATCTCAACAGGAAATCTGATGTTGTTTCCTCTGCAGGTCATTCATGCACGATCAGGAGTGCCACATGAGATTATGGGGCTCATGCAAGGCAAGGTGATGGGCAACTCACTGGTTATCATGGACTCCTTCGCACTTCCTGTGCAGGGCACGGAGACGCGTGTTAACGCTGCCAATGAAGCAAATGAGTACATGGTAAAGTATATTTCGGAGAGCGAGAAGGTATGGAACTTGAGCCTTCCAAACAACTTGCGCTTACCCCCCGTTAGGCCAAAAGATTGGAGAATGCCATTGGCTGGTACCACTCACATCCAGGCTATGGGTGTTGGCTTTCGGGAATAGATGTAGGACACCCAAATGAACAACCAGCAGTTCCAGGATCCTTTCGTGGCCGTCGTGGTGCGTCCATCATCCATGTCTCAGCCCGATCGCTGGTCTGACCCTCAATGCCATAGATTGACCCAAATCGCACCATCTCTGCTGGCAAAGTTGATATTGGTGCCTTTCCGCACGTACCCACCGAATTACACGCCTCCTAACGTATCGGCTTCCGAATACCAATCCATTCCCCTGAGCAAAATTGAAGACTTTGGTGTGCACGCGAACCAGTACTACCCACTAGACGTGGAGGTGTTCAAATCGAGCTTGGATACTGAGCTGCTCGGTTTGTTGTGGAACAAGTACTGGGTCAACACACTCAGCCAGAGCCCTTTGATTTCGGTAAGAAGCTTTTACTAGTTTCAATTGTTTTCCCATACAACACTGCGTACAGAATCGGGCGTATGCAGTGTCACAGATCGTAGATTTGCATCAGAAACTCTCTAAGGCTCAGGCCTCGGTGTCCAGCACACGGGCGCCTATGCCGACAACGAAAGGACAGGAGGAGAAGACATCAAGTGTACCCAAGGTAGGTTATCATTCAACTGTCTGTGCATTAAATACTCATGCTTGTTTGTCACAGAAGGAAGAAAAGAAGAAAGAAGACAATCAACTCGCAAAGGGTGTGAAGGATAGGTAGGTTTTTGTTGCCTTGTGTAGTGCAGTCAAGCTTATATTTTCGTAGCACAAAGATTGCCGCAGAGGCTCAACATGGTTTGATATCTCAGATTTTGAAAGATATCGTTTTCTCTTCGCGACCGAGTGAGTATGGGGCCAATCGCGTCACAGAGATAATAGACACTGTAATGACTGTCGAATAAATCTGCATTTTCTGATCATTCTATACTTTTTAATGGTACATCCATACTACATCCTCTTCATCATCATAAAGAATCTGCATGCGATAGATTTCAAATAGATCTTCAAGCTTGTATCAGAGAACAGCAGGCTTCATGATTCACGCTCCGCCACAGCCACAAACATTGACAAACAACTACCTCAAACCTTGGTGTAGATAGCGGTCTCGCCCTCCTCGCCAACGTCAACGCCTCAAGCACAAGTCAATCTCAAAGTAAGCAACTCATTTACGACGTTAGCATGCGTACAGAGAGCTCTATCGAGGAAAACAAGCTAGAAAAATTGTTTCTCTTGATGGATGTTACTCTTCCTGTCTGGATGTGTGCTAATATGTTCTGCACCAGATGGGCCTTCAAGAATTCCAGGTCGTCGGACGTCACTTACCCACTACGAATGAGCCCAACCCTAAAATCTATCGCATGCGCATCTTTGCTCCTAATGATGTCGTTGCGAAATCCCGGTTCTGGTATTTCCTCAGGTACGCTAGCCTCCAGTGTTTTTTTTGGCGCAATGTAACATCCACCTAGGCAATTGAAGAAGGTCAAGAAAGCCAGTGGTGAAATCATTGGTGTCAACGTTGTGTGTATCCCTTGCAGCCGTTCAAGTGGCAGGCGGAACGGGATTGCTAACGGTCTATATGACCTGTTTCACAGATACATGAGGCAAAACCTCTGAAGGTCAAGAACTTCGGTATTTGGATCCGCTACGACTCGCGATCGGGAACCCACAACATGTACAAGGAGTTCCGTGACCTCACCCGTGCTGATGCAGTCAAAAGCCTTTACCAGGACATGGCTGCCAGGCACCGTGCCCGCTTCCGGTCGATCCACGTATGCCATGACATCTTCCATTCTTTCATCATGTTGATATCTGTATTTCCTCAGATCCTCCGCGTTGTTGAGATCGCTAAGTCTGATGATGTCCGCCGCCCCTACATCAAGCAGCTCCTTACCCCCAACCTCAAGTTCCCTCTCCCTCACCGTGTTGGTAAAACTGCTGCGACATTCGTTGCTAACCGCCCTTCCACTTTCTGATTGTCTGTCACGATGTGAAGGCGCCATGGAGTATGGATTTGCTTGCATACCTAAGTACGGGTTCATATGTAAAATTTCTTCGTCCTGCAATGGTCGATATTCACATGCATATATGACATCCATGCTCATCATTTCCATCTTTTGCGAGATCTGTAGGTGATTCTACCTGTGGTTGACCACGGAGCACTCTGCAGTTGTTGTTCTAGTCGGCATGATCTCACAGTCATCACACATTTGTAACACGATTAGGGCTCCTGCCTGAGCAGCTGTGGTACTCATATTCTCTCAAATGCGGGAGACATCTGTGGATGGTCTCTGCTGGCCAGACATAATCTACGCCACTGTTAATAAAGATAGTGTGGACCCTGGTACGGGCGCCTGCTTGAGGCACAACAGAATGTCAGACAGTTGCTAACCTGTGCATGTCATAACTTGCGTTCCGGGTACAGTGTGGCTGTGACAGGCTCAGCCTGTCATTACCTAAGCCTGTAGAGCGCAGCCGCAGCTTTGTTGTCACCGCATGAGACGGAACTTCACCACTAGCAAGAGACTTAAAACCAGCTGACTCTAGCTTTGCAATACTACATTGCACAATGATCGTATCTTTACAGGACTCTACAGATAAAACTTCCTCTGAACTCAAGGCTCCGCCAGATACCGAGAATGAGCTTGCCGGAGAAGCAGTGCGTGAAATCTTGGTTCTGTTCTACTACTTTACTGATTTCACTTACAGCCTCCTCCATCATATTATAGCAACACTTCAGATCAAGATGCAATTGCGGGTGCATCCTCTTCCAGCATTCCTCCTCAACCCACGTACAAGTCCAAACCAACGAATTACTTGCATCTCTTCAATGAGAATAACTCTATCAAGGGGGAGTACGTCATAGACCCTGGCATGAACATCCCCACCTCTCTTCTTCCACCTCTGCGTCCAGAAGAGAGCGAGGCAGATAGAAAGAATCTATCCTTGCACTCAACAAATGGATCTGTCAATGGAGAAATATGGCTACTCGGTACTCGAGGCGCTCAACTCTCCGATTCTAAGACGTCCACAAAACGCACGATGCTTGGCATTGACTCTAAACATGGCTCTGTGACTGCGCGGGTTGTACGTTGTTTGTTTGATTGCCCTGGTTCCTTGTTGATCGGAATGCTAGCACACTATTCAAGGGGCTGCGCCGTTCTTGCTGACCATTTCAGCGAACAACGGCTCTGTGACTGTATATCTTCCGCGCTCTTTCAGCGGTTTCCTTCTTCTAACGACTAGCCACGGTTCCGTCTTCCTTTCCGATACTCTCTCCCAAAACTGCACGCATCTGAGTCAGGTGGATTTGACTCGAAGATATTTTGTTGGAGACTTGTCCACGGTTGATGACAGTGATTGGAATGGGGATGAACTGCGAGTAGAAGCGAAACATGGGAACATCAGGATAAAATATGTCGAAGAACATACAAACGCAAATAATACCAGCAGAGGAGGACTTTTGAATCGGTTATTCGGGTGGTAGTGGGTACTTTCTGGAATCACATGTACGACTACTTTTCATGTAATCAGTACGATGTGGCGTTGATCAATAAACAGCTGCCTGCCTTTTTTGTCTCGATCATCCATTGCCGCAGTACGCAGCCGCAGTACCTTGGGACTCGGAGCGCCGCAGTGCTCCTCCTTGTATTTGTTCGGTTGTGAACTCGCCCAATAATCTTTGACGACTTTACCTCCATCACAACTAGGCCCCGATGATCATGTCAGAGAAGCAGCTCCAGGATGAGCGTGCCAAGGTGACAGAGACCGGGCAAGATCAATCAGGGTCGGCGAACAACGCCATGGATGTTCGTTGATGAGATATCTTCCCGATATTGCTCTCGTTGACAGCTGTCTACAGGATGCACTACCTCCAGCATATTCAACACATGTGCAGCACACACAGATTGCAAGCTCGTGTTCCACAGAGTTTCAGCCTCCTTCCAATCCCACCAATTCCACAGAGTTTCAGTCTCCTTCCAATCCCACCAATTCCACAGAGGTTCAGCCTCCTTCCAATCCCACCAATTTTCTTTCACTTATACTCAAGGATAAACCAATACGAGGCTGTTATGTGATCGACCCTCTGATCCAAATACCCACCAGTCTGCTTCCTCCACTGAATGTTGGAGAAAACAGATAAGGACAGGAGAAATCTGTACCTTCGCACAAAGGACGGGAGTATCAATGCTGATATTTGGTTGATCGGTCAAGAGGAAGCTGCTCCTAATAATGGTCGCCGCACTACCCTCTCGCTGAGTTCCCAGGATGGAAGTATCACGGCTAAGATTGTGAGTATTGATCATTACGAGCAGTGCACCGTCTGATACGCTCTAGAATACGGTCAAGGTCGTTGCACCATTCCTGTTGGACATCTATGCACGCGATGGATCAGTAACCGTCCTTCTACCTCGATCATTCCACGGTTCGCTTCTCCTGACCACGAGGCAAAGTACAAAGCTCTCCGACGATCTTCTGCAACGGAGCACCATATTAAGCACTGTTGAGCGTACGCGGCGATATTTTGTCGGTGACTTTCCGCATCAGTTGTTTGACAATTGGAATGGGGATGAGCTCAGGGTTGAGTCTCGGGATGGCAGAATTGTAATCAGATACAGAGATGAGGCAGAGCTGCCGAAAACTGGTTTCTTCAGTCGAATATTCAGCAGCTAGATCGAACACTTATAGGGGGCAGTGATTATGTGCATCGAGTACTAGCTTAGCGAAAGAGATATTACAAGCGAATCACAGGCGACTCATTATCGATATCTCGGCAGGAGGTGTCAAATTAGATGAAGCACGCGGCGGCGACTTGCGGCGGCAGACCGCTGTGGATCACGGAAAGTAACTGTCTTGGAGGCTCCACATGTCGCACGTTTTATGTAGGCGTGGTGGCTAGATAACGACGTCCGAAATCCGATGATCATCTCCGACTCAGATCGGCATCGTCCGACTCACCCTTTTATCAGAGCAGCTCTCGCAAACCTTCAATCTCAAATCTCTCTCTTATCCATCATGGCTAACGTTTACGTGAGTGTTGTATCGGCGATATTCGCAAACAGGGGACTCATCTTTGACCCATCTGATTTTATAGTTCGACATCGCCATCAACGGCAACAATGCTGGGCGCATTGTATTCAAACTCTATGACGAGGATGTACCGAGGACCGCCAGAAACTTCCGCGAGTTGTGCACCGGTCAAAATGGATTTGGATATGCTGGCTCTGGCTTCCATCGCATCATTCCATCCTTCATGCTTCAGGGTGGTGACTTCACCAGGGGCAATGGAACTGGTGGCAAGTCTATCTACGGCGAGAAATTTGCTGGTGAGGGTCATAACGGCGCTCAGAATTCGGCATATAATCCTGATATGTTTTAGATGAAAACTTCAAACTTAAGCACACCAAGCCTGGACTTCTGTCCATGGCAAACGCAGGCAAGAACACCAACGGCTCGCAGTTCTTCATCACCACCATCGTCACTAGCTGGCTCGACGGTGCTCACGTAGTGTTCGGTGAGGATATTCATCAAGCAGCTATCGATCAGAACTAACTTATGTATCAGGTGAGGTCGTCGAGGGCATGGAGCTCGTGAAGACGATCGAGAAGTACGGGACTGAATCTGGCAAGCCTAAGGCCGAGATTAAGATCGCCGCTAGTGGTACGGTGTAAAACATGTGACTAATGCAGAAAGGTTCGGAGAAAGAAGATACTTTTATTCGTCACGAATAACTTGTACGATGTGGCATTATAGATATTTTGAGAAAACCAGTGTGACCTGCCCGTATCGCAATCGCAGAGATCTATAGATTATCGTAGATCTATCAACGTGAAACGTTACGTTTATAATGTCCACAATTAGTATTATATTCTCAGGTTGCCATCAGCGTTGACTCGGAGTTGCTGTTCTTTCACATCCCCCTTGATCGATGATCCCTAGTAGTACTAGTGGCTATTCCTACTTGGCAAGTTGGCCCAACGTGACGCTCGATCGCCATACCAGTGGCATTAATCCTGTATTTCAGCCATATACCTTTTAATGGCGGGATCAAAAATCGAGGCTAGTATCATTCTGCTTGGAACGTTGATGCACAGCACTATGATGCGTCTAGGACGTTTTGGAGTTGGAGTCTCGATTCACTTACTAGTTTCCGCAAATTTTTACGTTGCGCAGTCCTGGTATATAAGGAATCACCGCACATTCTCAATGCCATTCTTCTATTGCACATCGCCCCGTGATGAGTATTACTAGCTCGGAAGCCCAGCAGATGTCAGTGATACATACATGATCATGTATCCTGATCGCAACTAAATGTTCACAGGTTGTTCTGCAATTACTCCCTCCTGGCAGCAAACAGTACTAGGACTTAGTCTGATTCTTTATATCAGGATATTAACATGATATTCTAGGTATTCTGATATACGACCATATGGCGACCCTACCAGAAGAAATCGCTTTTATTTGGCGCCGTCCGAGAGCACTGTCTGCGATATTATTTCTGTTCAATCGCTATCTCGCTCTGCTTGTCAATATCCCCTGCTTAGTTTTAGGCTTCGTGCCGCTTTCAGTTGAGGTTCTATTATTTCATTATGCATATACTGAGCTGGCGGGTTCACAACTTCTTTCTGTAGAGGTTTGTTTCATTTTGAGTCTGGTTCTTGAATATTGATTAACAAAGATTTAGCTGTTCGGAATACGAGCTATACAGACAACTGACCTTTATTTTCCAAGCAGTCATTGTTTGCCGTGAGTAGAAGTTCACTGCGAGAACTTCATATACTGAAAGTTGCAGTTATATTGATCATTCGCACTTATGCTCTTTACGGTGGTAGCAAGCGCCTGCTTACTTTGATGACAATCATAATGATTACTCTTGCGATAACAGTTTCTGTGAGTCTTCGAAGTTTGCGTAGAATTTTACACTCTTGTACTGATCGTTTCTAGGTGGAAGGTTTGGGGCGTTATATGGGTCCTGCGGCACTTTTGCCAGGAGTTGGTTGCTATGAAACATATACAGTAGCGATGTACGCCATCCTCTTCGCTGTTCTGTGTGCCTACTCAAAAGTTATTGCAGAGCCGTCCGTCAGTGAATCCCAAGTCTAATTTGCATGCCACGACCTTATCCAATTGCAGGTCTTGGGCTAGCATGGATGGCCGAAATGGTATTCGAATTACTAATCTTCATCCTCATAGTGTACAGGACTTGTAAACTAGAGGTTTGCTGCGGTTGTCTTTAGTCACCAGGAGAAATATCATTGATATCATATTTCACGATGGTAAATTTTTCGTTGCATCTGAATTGTACACACTGAATCAACAAAACGCAGGTGCGATGTACTTCGGGTGAGATTGCTAGCGAGATTGATTCAAGTGATTCTCACCTGATCATCCGCATGCCTTCAGAGCGATGACACTTGTTAACATACCGAACATATTGACATACTACGTGAGTGAACGAATGAACATCGATAGTGTCACAAATCACTTACAGCTTGAATCAGTCTGGTTCGGTGAGCATATACAGCCTCATCTCGTATTCAGGTTTACTATTTCCTGACGATCGGCAAGGTTACTATCAGAGGCGGTCTTGCAACATTGACAAGCTGGTGAGTGGTCGATGCAATAAGCACGAATTGAGATTAATTATGACGTGACATCCAGCTTGTCCGTTACTCTGATCTCTCGTCTGATGCTTAATCTACACCAATCTATCGATACTGGCATTTGCTCCATCTCTGCCCGGGACGAAGGTCCCAGCCTCGCTGTCTTTACCACCAGAATTAATGTACAGTCCGCGATTTCCTCTCACGATTAGCAGGCTGGCATTGGACTCTATTTCTGGATGCGAAGATGCGGAGATACTTGATGGGAGTGTAAAACTGTTCTTGTAATCATTTTCTTGAATGCAGGGGCGGACGACGCTGCACCCGCGCTAGAGCTACGCGTCCTTAGATGCAATCTCATCTTTGGGCGTAGATAGTATGTTCATTATGCTATATAATCATATATGTTCGTCCATGATCAGATAATATTGCAATCAAGCCTCTCACGACGGGGTGTCATAACCTGTCGTTGAGAAGACTTATGTTCTCTCCATTCATCAGTAAAAAGTCAAGTTCGTCGTAGCCCTGGTGACAGCTATATAGAGCTATATAGCTACCATAGCGCTATGTAGCCGCAAGGTTTGCTACATACTCCTACAGTAGTCACGAACCTAAACAGTGTGTTATAGGTAGCTACAGGAGCTACCACGACCCCTACAGGACGCTACAGGTGGCTTCATTGTGCAGTAGTGGGTCTCCATGACATTCTGCAATCTAATTAGTATCCACTGAAGCGCAAAACATCTCGCCGTCGATGAACTCATTAAAATAAAAATCATTCGCGGCCTCGTATGCATCTCCACTCCTCAACCTTGACTCAACTGAAGGTCCCATCTTTGGTATTAAATGACATGGCCTAACGATTTCATTGACATGAATGACAGCAGCATTGCAGCGACAATGGCGGGTCAAGTGCGACACTAGTCGCATTCCAGAAGAAGGGTCAGGTGTCCTGAAAGGTGTGAACCACTCAATGTATGTGAGGGCTCTGATGTATGTGCCGAATTGATGAGGGAGGGTGAATATAGCACGAACTTGCGCCACTCTCAGACCTGCAACAGCGATTATTAAACACCACCCTTGAGACAACTCCCAAAAACCTACCATGCAGTGTCTGCAAACGCACAGGATGAGGACTGTCAGATATCAACCCCATATCAAACCGAGCTGGACAACCAGGCTTACAGCCTGATGACAATCTCTCAGGTGTGGCTCTAATGCGCCTCCGCGTTGGTGTATCACCAACTCGGAGGTCAGGTGGCATTACAACGACGACTTGCCAATAAACGTCAAAACGGTCCTGCACCCCTGGTACGACAGTGCATCCAGGGAGATTCTTCTGTATGAAAGATTGGAGAGCTGTCAAAAAGTTGGTAGCACCATGTGATGCTACAATCTCTTGAACTGATTGGTGTGGATGCCCTGGAGCCTTTGCAAGGACATGTGTCGTTTGCAATCACTTGGCAGATGTAGTATGGGGAGTAGCTGCCTCTGTTTCATGTGAGTCCGAGTCCGAATCCAAGTCTGAGTCGTACGTGTTTGAATCATCCTTGGTCCGGCCTACAGCTGAGAGAGGCACTTGTGCCAGCCAATCCAGATATGCACCCTGCAGAAAGATGGCATCCTGGCGCTGGAGCCACAAGACCATTTGCTCTTCATAATCACGTTTATTGGTGGCATGGTAAGCATCCTTGGCAAAGTCTATATGCAAGCGCTCAGGAAGTTCTGTATTAAAACCATCAGCTGCACCAAACAATGTTATTGACTGGACGTAATGAGTGAGTTGGTGGATCTTTGGGATGTTGAAATGTTCGCGAATAGACAGTTCCTTGAGGACATCCTTATGACTATGGAATACTGATAGTGCTATTTGTAAGGCTTTGAGCGAATCCGTCGTGTGAATCCGCAGCTGCGCGTAATACGAGAAGTCCAGAATCGAACGAGCAACTACCAAGACCCAACTGGCAGGGATCCAAACTCAGCCACATATTCCATCTTTGACACCTGAAATACACATACCTAGGAACCGCTCCGGTGAGTAAGCCAATGAACACTCGCTGCATTTGTTTATGTTCGCTTCTGGTCCATTGCTTGACAGTCGATATTCCTTTCTTGAAGTGACGGAGCCCTGGGTAATCCAGCATTGCCTTGAATCGTGCGTCCATTTCTTCCTCTCCGATTATTTGCTGACACCACCTCACCAGGTGATCCTTGAATACACCTTTATGAACTTGGTGCAGAAGATCTGGAGTGAACGCTAGGAGGATGTCGGCATGGGGCATATTGGCCTAGAAGGGCTTGTAAATGCTATGTAGTCCATTTTCCTCAAATTCAGGCGGATGCTGACCCATCTTTCACCTTTGCAATATATCTTTCGTGGTCTTAGGATCACGCATCTCTGAGTGCAGTGCATCCCCTCGCTCCTCTGCCGCAACAAGACACTTCGGACACCGATTTTCCTTACAACAGGCCACCAAACACTGTTCTGGGAAATCGGCCACGTATGTGGCCAGAATCAGGTACACACGACGTATCCATGAGTCGGCGCACACCATCTCGACACCATCATTGCCGGCAGCAATCAGAGGATGGAGCAGGAGGGCCATGCAGTGATGGAAGAGACGGTATCCAGCCAGGGAGCGTTCCTCAGGAGTGAAGCAGTTACAACGCTTTGACAGCGTCAGGCACCAGCTGGAGGTCTCTGATGAAGACATCAAAGTGAATATCCCAGACATCAAAGCGAATATCCCAGGTTTGAATGGAAGACGCCAGCGATTAAAGGTTGATAGTCTATTATGTAACGAGGAACGAGTGTAGGAATAGAGTTAAGTCTTTGCGCAAGCGTCGGGGGGCAGTACGAACCTTCTGACTTCGTACTGCAACGTCGCGCCGTATCGTCTCAGTCGTCCTCAACGACGACGTTCTTCCTCCTTCTCTTTTCTCCGTTCTTCCTACTCTTGCTACTACTCTTAGAAACACTCAGTCAATTTCTCCAAAACACACTCTTAGCAAACACTCTCCGAATTCACCCGGCCTACCACGCAACGCATCTTAGCAGACCCAGCGCTGGAAGCGCAGCCCAATTTCGAGTCAGCAGCATACGCGGGATGGCTCAACGCCCTTGTGGCAGGGGGCACGGCCAGAGAAGATGCACTCGAGCAAATGGCTGAAGGCTGGAGACTCGAGCGCCAGGAACGCATTATCCTTTGGCAGCAACAGAATGAGGAAGATGCTCGCACCCTGCAAGAACAGTTAGAGCGCGAGAGAGCTGAAAAAGAGGCCGAGGAACAGCTAGAGAGGCGCGAAGCTGAGAAGAAAAAGCCCAAGATCAATGATTTTGATGAAGGGGCTCTTGTTGCAGACGTTATCATACCTCGCCCATCCCAGTATGCTATCCAAAGGATCAAGAACATGGAGTATGTAGAATTGTGGTACTTTAGCCCTGACGGTTGCCACGAGGCTTCCACCACCTCTAGGTCCACGTCAGACTCAGATGACGCTTTTGGCTTCGCCAAAGTGGATGGTGTAGTTGCCCTCAAGACGATCGCGTCTTTCAAAGCCTCTCAGAAGGCTCTACAGGATCATGACCTATCTTGGCGGCAGTTTGACCTCGCAAAGACCAGCTTTCTTGTGCACATTGAAAAGAACAACTGGCCGCAAAAGCATCAGCAGGCTTTAGCATTATTTTTCACGCTCATTACCAACCATGAGCATCGCATGCGGCCACGAGGAGAAAAGGCTCTGCTTCGCTACGCAGGATTTGTGCGCCGTGAATGGCATGATCGCTTAGCGCAAGACCAAGGGTTCAACATTGGTTTATTCAATAATGCCCTATACAACTCGATATCTGACGACGTATGGGAGGCTGAACGAGATGAGGGTCTCAAAATGGTGCGTAGTGCGTCACCCACCAACATTCGATCACTGACCAATTTCTTTCATATATTCAATCTCACTTCGGAAACGGACCCTGCTGGCTGTCTAAATGCTTTCACTCTTGGCTATCCCTGCTTTCGGGGTACAATTCCCATCTGCTTCCCACGTGCTAACACATATGTATATGACTTCGTCTTCTGTCTTCCGCTCTCCCTTGCTTGCGCTCGCTATGCTGCCGCTCTATCTACCCTCATGCTGACACAAACTCCTGTGCTCCCGCTTTCCTGTGTCCCTCTCAAACAACTTAACCGCTGCTTCGCTTATGCCCACACTGCTTTCGCACATCCCTGTATACCATGGTTTAACCAAATCTTTGCTTTCGTATAATTGTTCGAACCCTGGCTTACTCGAATCCTTTCATGCTTGCTCTATCTCACTCAGTTGCAAAACTCGCTTGCAGTTCCCAACACTTCCTTCCGTTCTCGGGGGAGAGACATGAGTTCCAGCCGAAACGGGCATGCAGAGACGGTACCTCTTGTGAATGATGGCCGCTATCACCCGTACCGCCCTGCTAACCAAATGGCAAAGAAACCACAGAAGTCGCAGCAGTTTTTTCCAGCGGGCGCAGGCCAAACCAGCCCATCAGCCTGCGCCCTATGCCTCGGCCGGTTCCGTCACCCCATCCACAAATGCGCATCCGAGTTCCTATGGGACAAACGAACCAAGACTCGATGTCGTCGAAACGCAGAGGGTCACTTGGTCAATCCAGAGGGCCTCGAAATCTGCTACGACTGGCAGAGACCCAAGGGATGCACCAACCCCTCTCGAACTCATGTGCACGAATGTTCAGGATGCGGAGCAAAGGATCACGGAGCTCAAGACTGCCCTCAAAGCGAGAGCATCTAACGCTATCACTCCCTATAGGCCTGAGGCCTGGCTGCAGTTTCTCATTTCTTCAAATCTCATACGTAAATATGCACATATTCCGAATGGTTTTCGCTTTGGTTTCATGGGCAGCGTCCCAACCATATCTCAAACTTATACCCCACCTAATAACCCCTCACTACATGCACATTTTGACGCCTTTACTGCCATTCTGGACCGTGAATATTCCACTGGTCGTTATATCGGACCTATATCTAAATCAGAGACTGAAGAACTCATTGGTCCTTTTCAGACAGCCCCACTCTCCATGGTTCCTAAGCCGGGAAAGCCAGGAAGATTCCGTCTCGTACAAAACCTCTCATTCCCGCTTTGTCCATCAGCTACAGTATCATCCATTAATTCCTCTATCGACTCTAACTTATATCCATGCACGTGGGGCACAGCATCAACAATCTGTCTACTCATCTGGTCTCTCCCCCCAGGATCTCAGGCAGCTGTTCGTGACGTGGCTGAAGCCTACCGCACAGTACCTCTTCATCCTTCTCAATGGCCAGGCTTGGTCATCAGGACAGGAGAAGACAGCTTTGCAATTGATTCTAGCTTTTGTTTCGGGTTCTCGGCATCAGCGGGAACCTATGGTGAGGTTGCAGATGCTGGTGCAGACATATTCCGATCACAAGGAATTGGTCCTGTATCCAAATGGGTGGATGATCACCTATTCATTCGGATTCTGCGAGAGCACCTTGCCAGCTACAACAACCTGCGCAAATCTCGTGCTGCTATCATTGCACGAAATGGTGGCATGCTTATTGAAGGAGGTCGAAAATGGTATCGTGGTTCAACCATGCCTGACGGCAGAATTGAAGAGTTTGACGAAGACTGTTCATTTCCCATCATTGATCTCTCAACAGCCTCCCCGCGATCGCCAGAAGATGCTCGCTTCACATTTTGCTTTGACGACATCAACCGCCTATCCAAAATTCTTGGAATACCCTGGGAACTGGCAAAGGACATCCTTTTCTCGTCATGTGCCCCTTTTATCGGTTTCCTTTGGGACATCGAGTCGCGTTCTATCTCGATCCCACAGAGCAAGAAGGAGAAGTATGTGGCAGCTATCAGGGAATGGGAGATTCGGTCTTCGCACACACTACGGGAAGTCCAGGAGCTTTATGGGAAACTCTTACATGCTTCTCTGGTCCTCCCAGCGGGAAGAGCTTACCTCGTTTCTCTCGAAACCATGCTATCCATCTTTCACGACCGTCCACACATGCCTCGTTCCCCCCCCAAGCACACAGGTGATGACCTCCGGTGGTGGAAAGCCAGCCTCTCTCAATCACTCGTCTCTCGGCCAATCCCAGGGCCCGTCGAAGTCATTGACCCCCTCGGCTTACTCAGACGCTAGCTCAGGCACTGGCATCGCGATTTGGATCAACGGCAGATGGCGAGCGTGGCATCTCCTCCCAGGCTGGAAAGCCGAGGACAGAGACATTGGCTGGGCAGAGGCTGTCGGTATGGAATTCCTCATTATTGCACTCCTCGGTTCATGCCCAACGGGCAGCTGCATTAAAATATTCGGGGACAATCGAGGAGTTGTCGAAGGGTGGTGGAAAGGGCGTAGCCGCAACAGAGCCACCAATACTGTCTTCAAAAGGATCCATGAGCTCACTGCATCCGCACAATGCACTTTCCTCACGCGCTATGTACCCAGTAACTACAACCCAGCAGACGCTCCGTCCAGGGGAATCTACCCTCCCTCAGACCTACTGCTTCCCCCAATTAGCATTCCCCAGCCACTCCAACCCTTCATCACAAACTTCGACGATCCCGCTATCCCTTCTGAGTGCCATGCACGCAGCAAGAACGTCAAAGCGCTCCCACATGTCAATGACCGAGCCCGCTCGCGAGAATCAGCTGAGCACCTCAACGACGAGCTCCGTCGCCAAGGAGAAGAGCTCTTTAAAGCGACGCAAGCTTATTGCGGCTTATCCTGCTAATCTCAGCCCTCGGGTTTCCGTCCTAAGACCCCATTGTGCAGCTAAGGACAGGCTCCGTCTATGGCGACCAGCCACTGATGACGAATCATTATCTTCCCTTCCTCACGCCGATGCACAGCGCATTCAAGATGTCATGATCCACGCATGGGCCGGCAGCACCCAGGAGGCATATGGAAGTGGCATCCTTGCCTACCATGTGTACTGTGACTCAAATTCCATCAACGAAGCCATGCGTGCACCAGCGTCTTCTGAACTCATTTCAGCTTTTATTTCAGACTTAGCCGGATCATATTCAGGGAAAACTATATCGAGTTATGTCCACGGTATTCGTGCATGGCACATCTTACATGGAAAATCATGGTCCTTAGATGACGACAAAATAGATGCCATGCTAAGAGCAGCCAAGAACCTCACGCCCTCGTCATCAAGAAGGAAGAAAAGACCACCTTACACTGTGGCTTTCATAACTAGCATCTTGCAGAAACTAGACCCCAACAACCCTCTCGATGCCGCAGTGGGTAGCTGTCTCACAACAGCCTTTTATTCAATGGCCAGAGCTGGAGAATTCACGGTCCGAACCCTTTCATCATTCGATCCCTCCATTCATGTCAAACGATCCGACATTCGCCATGAAACAGACCGCAATGGGCTCGCGACTACAGTTTTTCATTTGCCCCGCACGAAAACATCGCAAAATGGGGAGGATGTTTTCTGGGCGAAACAAGAGGGCCCTACTGATCCTGAGGCAGCATTATCCAACCATCTCAACATCAACAACCCCCACTTCGATATCGCACTCTTTTCCTATAAGTTCGGCGAGGCACACCGTCCTTTGACAAAAACGAAGTTCATCACACGGCTCGCTCGCGCTGCAAAGGATGCTGGCCTTGACCCGTTGCAAGGCCACGCTATCAGAATAGGCGCCACCTTGGAATACCTCCTCCGAAACATCCCATTCGAAGTCGTCAAGACGATGGGAAGATGGGCCAGTGATGCCTTCCAGATCTATCTTCGAGATCACGCTCAGATTCTCGCACCATACCTTCAAGCAACGCCTGCCATTCAAGATGAATTCCTGCGGCACACAATGCCCCGCATTCGGTGACGGGTTCTTCATGTAAGCATCCATCCTCCTCCTAGTTCTATGGGTATCTTCGGTTCGCTCGATGCGTCGTCGGACTCCTAGACATTTGGGAACCGCAGCTCACCTTTTATCTGGCAGGACACGCAACTCGGGACCGGGAGGCGCTGCACGCCTTCGCCCAAATCGCTCAGAAATAGGATATGTCGAGGATCGCGAACATCGAGTATTCATAGCACGGTAGTCGAGACAATGTTAATGTGATTCTCCAAGCAGAACTGCTCCAAGTGACTCGCAAAGACGGCAGATTTTGATCATGTCACCAAGGATGTGCTCACCGCCGCTACATCCATTTACCGCTGTCTTGTGGTCACTCAGGCACCTTTTCCTGAGATGCTGTTGGTCAAAACCAAGTTAGCGAAATGTGCCTGGCATGAGGCATCTGATATTACTGGACTTACTGTTCAACTTACGCCTTCATTGGTGAAAATGGCAAGCACTCTGTTAGGTTCTTGTCCTGACCTTGATTGATGTTTTATGACGGTGTAGATAATGAGGCGCATGTCCCATGTGTGTGGGGAGCTCAAAACAAAGATGCGTGGTCTCACGGCCTTGTTTTTTGGGTTCTGGGCGAGCCGTTCAATGGCGGCTGTTAAGGCCAACCGTGACTTGGCCGAGTCATTGAAGGAAGGGACATCATTTGTTTTTAAGGTATGTCAGCCTGATCATCATTAGGCAATGTCTGACTGTGTGAGTGAAAGGATTGGGAGATGAAATCTGGCATATACAAAGCAGAGTTGATCCAGAAAGCAATCAATGATATGTGGTTTGCAAACCACATGGATGAAGGTATACTCTATGCTAAATACTTCAATCCTTTACCTGTGAAAATGATTGCGCTGGTACTCGCGGTGGTGAGTACTTTGGAGGTGTCAGATAGTTGGCGCAGCAGCTAAAGTCCGACAGATGGAATGTTGTATTGACGAGTGGTCCACTGGAGTAAGGGACGACATTAAATTCTCCTCGGTGTCTTATGCTCCGGTCTACCTGGCCCATCTGGACTTGTTGCAGCGGTTTGACGGGCACACTGCTCTTTACAAGTTACTGGAGACAATTCGTGATACTCTGCTTGATGTGGCTCGGTGCGTATCTGGCTACTTGCATTGATTGTTAGCCTAACCTAACACTGACGATAAGGTTACATGCTGGTGGTATAAACCCACTCAAGACAGCAGTATCTGTCGACGCCTTCACCAATGATGTATTCAATGATGCGATCTGAGAGTTTGAGGTCGAAATGGGAGCGGCGCGAGAAGGGCGTCCTGAAGGGGTAGAGGCTGGTGATGCTTGATGCTTCAGGAGGCCACTGGTTCTTACAAGTGTCGGAGGTATGGTTATTCAAGTCGTTGCCACCCTGAATACATTCAATTTTGTTGATGTGCGGTTCTGACGGGTTTGGTATGGCGAGAGCTACAGTGCCAACATGCAGGTTCCTGGTACTACTACGTTGATTCCTGTGGTACTATGTAGAATGTGTAGTGGCCTGTAGCTCTGTAGCCGTTTGCTATAAGAAGTTACTGTAGTGCTATACACCTAACGGTGTGACTATCTAGCAGGGTATAGTAGGGACTTGACACATTGGACTATATGTACTATACTGACTATATAGCAACCTGTAGACAAGGGTATTTTTACTGATGTTCTCAGGTTGCCATCAGTGTTGATTTGGAGTTGCTGTTCTTTCTAGTGCTGCCAAAGTCCGGTTCAGTCCAGTTCTTGGGACAAATTTTCCGAACGCCAAACTGGACCAGAGGTTTGGTTCAACCATTTGGTCGAACCCTGGACCGAACATCACCGAACACGTTTGGGAGGTCCGGCTCGACTAAGCTTGCAGACGACGGGCTGCCTGTTTTATCGTAGAGGTCTCTTGGGACCATGAGAGCTCCACCATGCTGTTCCAAACACCACAAACACCATGCACAAATGGCCATTAAGATTTTAGGGTATAGCATGGGTATACCCGCGGGTCGGAAGATCAACACTGTACCTGTTGAAGTGCATGGTCATTGATGATATTAAAATGTTGACTCACTGAACTTCGTTGCTCGTGTGCATTCGATAAGTATGATGGACAGGCTGTTGTCCTTTTCGAGTAAAAACAGAGAAAACTGATTCGCTCGTAGCCTCTACCTTTCTGCCGCTAAATGCATGTCAAGCTTTAAAAATGAATAGACTGCTGAACGCCAAGTTTTCTTGAGTGCATCTGTGAGTGAAAATTAATCAAGGTCTACGCAAACGCGAGCAATAAGTTCACATACTTAGATCAGTTCCGTCATCCTGCTCAGCGGCAGGAGGTGCATTGTTTTCGTCAACATTGGATTGCAACTCGGAGGGGATTGCTTTGGCCTGTGGAAGGATAAGCTTAACAATATTGTCCACTATGGGCTGCAGAGATGACGATACATCTGAACACGTCAAGGTAGACTCAGCAAGCAAGGCCATATCATTGGCAGTAGACTGATTAACTATGATGATGGAGTACTCGACACTGTACCCGTACCCGCCATACCCGTGACCCCCATACCTGCGGTGTGGCCTATATTCATGCTATACCCTATGGCTGTTCGAGTCGCGATAGCTGGGACCGCAAGAAAACTAATATCAACAGCAAGTATCACAGTAGACTGAGATGGTCATTTATTGCATGACAATTTGAAATGAAAGTGCAACTGACAAATATTGTATATCTCAATAGCTGTTTACAAAATTGAAATTGATTATCGGCCACCAATTGGGATCATTCGAGATGAAGGTGATGTTCGAGGGATGGATGTAAGCGAGTGGGGAATGTTAGTGTATAATGACAGTGCTAGATAGAAAAATAATCAGAAAATGGGAATCATGGACTATCAGCTGAAACTCACAGAAAAGCCTCATCAATCGAGCTGAAATCAGTAAATGTATCAGGAGCAATCAACTGACATTCCATGACACTTACCAGCAATCCACACGGAGTGCTCACTAACTCTCTGGACTCGGGGGGTGGCTGGTATGTAGAAAACAGCATCAAAATTGAGGTAGTGTAGGGCGCTGACAGATGACAGTCCTGGTGGGGTTCGAACATGTCTGAACCGGTTCTGGGTAGCTCCGAACCCTGAACCGGACTTAAGGTTCAGTCCAGGGGCCATGCCAGACCTGGGACTGGACCTTGAGTCCGGTTTGGAAAGGTTCGGGTTTGAACTGAGGTTCAGAACCGGACTGCGGCAGCACTAGTTCTTTTGTATTCCCCTTGATCCCTATTCCTACTTGGCCCAACGTGATGCTCGATTGCCATGGTGGCATAATCCTTTCAGCCCTTTAATGGCAGGGATCAAATGTTGAGGCTAGTATCACTTTACTTGGAATGTTGATATGGCACAGCACTATAATATTACATCTAGGACATTTTGGAGTTAGAGTCTTGACTCACTTACCAGTTTCCGCGAAAGTTTACATTGCGCAGTCCTGGTATATAAGGAATTACCGCACATTCCCAATGCCATTCTTCTATTGCACATCGCCTCACGATGGCTTTTTCCTAGCTCGGAAGCCCAGCAGATGTCAGTGATACATACATGACCATGTATCCTGATGGCGACTAAATGTCTACAGGTTGTTCTGCATGAACGCCCTTCTGGCAGCAAACAGTACTGGGACTTAGTCAGATTCTTGACATCAGGATAATAACATGATATTCTAGGCATTCTGATATATGACCATATGGTGACCCTACCAGAAGAAATTGCTTTTATTTGGTGTTGTCCGAAAGCACTGTCTGCGATGTTATTTCTGCTTAATCGCTATCTTGCCCTGCTCTGCAATATTTCCAACTTAGTTTTAAGTTTCATGCCAGCTTTCAGCTGAGGTTCTATTATTTCATTATGCATATACTGAGCTGGCAGGTTCACAACTTCTTTCTGCAGAGGTTTGTTTCATTTTGAGTCTGGTTCTTGAATATTGATTGACAAAGACTTAGCTGTTCAGAATACGAGCTATACAGGCAACTGACCTTTATTTTCCAAGCAATCATTGTTTGCCGTGAGTAGAAGTTCACTGCAAGAACTTCATATACTAAAAATTGCAGTTATAATGACCATTCACACTTATGCTCTCTATGGTGGTAGCAAGCGCCTGCTTACTTTGATGACAATCATAATGATTACTCTTGCGATAACAGTTTCTGTGAGTCTTTGAAGTTTGCGTAGAATTTTACAATCTTGTACTGATCGTTGCTAGGTGGAAGGTTTGGGGCATTATATGGGTGCTGCAGTCCTTTTGCCAGGAGTTGGCTGCTATGAAACATATACAGCAGCGGTGTACACCATCCTCTTTGTTGTTCTGCGTGCCTACTCAAAACTTGTTGCAGGGCCGTCTGTCAGTGAATCCCAAGTCTAATTTGCATGCCACAACCTTATCCAATTGCAGGTCTGGGGCTGGCATGGATGGCCAAAATGGTATTCAAATTACTGATCTTCATCCTCACAGTGTACAGGATTTGCAAAACTAGAGGCTTGCTGCAGTCGTCTCTAGTTACCAGGAAAAATATCATCGATATCATGTTTCATGATGGTATAATTTTCGTTGCATCTGAATTGTACACACTGAATCAACCAAATACAGGTGCGATGTATTTCGGGTGAGGGTGCTGGCGAGATTGTGATTCAAGTGATTCTGATCCCATCATCTGCATACCTTCAGAGCGATGACGCTTGTTAACATACTGAACATCTTGACATTCTACGTGAGTGAACGAATGAACATCGATAGAGTCATTAATCACTTACAGCTTGAATCAGTCTGGTTCAGTGAGTACATACAGTCTCAGTCTCATATTCAGATTTACTATTTCCTGACAATTGACAAGGTTGCTGTTAGAGGCAGTCTCTCCTCGTTGACTAGCTGGTGAGTGGTCGATGCAATAAGTACGACTTGCGATTAAGTATGACATGACATTCAGCTTGTCCGTTACTCTGATCTCCCGTCTGATGCTTAATCTACACAAATCTATCGATACTGGCATTTGCTCCATCCCTGCCCAGGACGAGGGTCCCAGCCTCGCTGTTTTTACCACCAGGATCAACGTACAGTCCGCGATTTCCTCTCACCATTGATAGGCTGGCATTGGACTCTGTTTCTGGATGCGAAGGTACGGAGATACTTGATGGGAGTGAAAAGTTGTTCTTGTAGTCATTTTCTTGAATGCAGGGGCGGACAACGCTGCACCCGCGCTGGCAGCTACGCGTCCTTAGATGCAATCTCATCTTTGGGTGTAGACAGTATGTTCATTATGCTAATTATTTTCCAATAATCATTTGTGTTCGTCGGTGATCAGATAATGTTGTAATCAAGCCTCTCACGACGGGGTGTCATAACCTGTTGTTGAGAAGACTTTATCTCCAGCTGCCAACCAAACTGTCCAGGGACATTGCTTCCGCGTTATTTCCCATTTTAGGTAATTTCTTGCTTTGTGCAATATTGCCATCATCACATCGACAAAAGAGACCAAACTATGCATACCACGTAACAGGCCATAACAGCCAGTACAAGGTATACAATTGCTACATTGCCTACAAACAACTTACAGACTTGTGAGCTATGATATAAGTCTGTGCATGCGACTGATTTATATATACACTACAAGCCTTGTGATATTTGTACTATCTCTTGGTAGAGGCTAACATTCAATACATGCTGCTACAACTCTTGTGACATTTTGTGCTTCCAGGTGGTCCCTTGTACGGGTATTGTTTATATGCATTCTCATCTGATCACAATAATGGGCAAATCAAATTGCACTGCATTAACTACTAGAGTACATTTAAATATAGGCTATAACTAACAAGCACAAGCTGATATTGACAGATATATGAGGGGGAAGTACTGAACGTGAAAAAGGTGATGAGGCGATGATTCATGATAGGTGCAGCAGCAGACTGAAGGACAAACAAAAGAAAAAGTGGAATTGATGACAATGCGAGAAGGCGCGAGAGAATGCAAGAAGGGTGCAAGATTGTGTGAGAGGGTGGAGTACAGTTTCAGATGATGGGGGAGGATGTAGAAGGCTACTAAAAGTTAGAAGTCGAGGAGAAATGAGAACACTTACATGCACAAGGTAGCAGCAGGTACACAAAGTATAATATATAAAAAGGAAGAGACAGAAGAAGAAAAATGTAGTATGGATGACATGAGATGGAGTTGAGTGCAGGAAACGCAAGTGGGCAGGAAATTTTGACTTTGTAAGAGAAAGAGGAAAACTCACTAAAATGATGCAAGTGGATGCGAGATGGCGCAGTAAGGTGAGTGGGGGTAGCAGAATGCAAGAGGCGGCAGCTGCAGGGTGTAGGCGGTCATGGTAAGGTTTCAAGTTGGTATAGGGTATGGTTGAAAAGTCGATATTTTTCAACAGCTGTTTAAAATACCTGTTAATTGAACACTGTTAAAAATTGTCGTGTCCCAAGGCCTGTTGAATAATATAGGGTGTGTGGTGTAGTGATTACCAATTGTTTAACGCCGGAAATAGCCATTTCAACGCTTACCTCTACCACCATCAGCATCAATGCACTGCCAAGTCAGTCAGCATGGACCTCACCTCTATTTTGTCTCTAATCCTTCGTCGCTACCGACTCGTTCGATCCTTATATTATTCTTCGTCACCGTCGCCCCATTCTCAGTTTGCCGTCTACAAAACTGTCAAGTTCCACTATGCAACTATCGTCACTTTGTCAATACCATACCCTTTTATATCGCCACTCACTCGATCATTTCGTGTCCCCTTCCCCTTCAGTCTACTCTACCCTGTCAGGCGCAATGCCACTCCCTTCAGCGCCCGTCGTCACACAATCAATTCAGCATAGCTATACCCGACCCTTAGTATTTCGAAGTATAAAAGTAGCCCATGTACACTCACTACTACAGGCAATCATACCAGTCTTGCAGTCTCAGTCTCTCACTCGTTATCTAAATCACATCGCTATATCTATCGTTATTGTCTCGCACTCGCCTCGATCATTATCACATAACATTCATTAACGCTAATCTAGTTCTATAGCAGTTCAGCATCGCACTAGTGGTCTCCTCACCCCTTCGAACTCGCAACGAGAGCCACTTAGGTTCTTACAGTGGGAACATTTTGAATGAACTTTTGAGGCTCAAAAAAGTACCACTACCAACTTTGTTTACTTATGTATCAGGTGAGGTTGTCGAGGGCATGGAGCAGCGAGCTCATGAAGACGATCGAGAAGTATGGGACTGAATCTGGCAAGCCTATGGCCGAGGTTAAGATCACCGCTAGCGGTACAGTGTAAAACATGTGACTAATGCAGAAAGGTCTGGAGAAAGAAGATACTTATATTTGTCACAAATAACTTGTATGATGTGGCATTATAGATATTTTGAGAAAACCAGTGTGACTATGTCCGTATCGCAATCGCATAGATTATCGTAAGGTAGGCGTCATGTGAAATCATCGAACATCACATGATGTGACGACAGTGTGACAATCTCATGCAATCAGTTTGCTGGAGCGGCAACAGCGTTCGGAGTTACAATCATCATAGAATTAGGGGGAATTACAGTAGTAGACGAGCTATGTAGTGTAATAGTAGGATGTATATAGATTGATAATGTATATTTAACTTGAGTCAACACTAGTAGACTCTGAGGACAGATTTGTGGCCTTCTCAAGATTTATCAACAAGCCTTCAGGGAGGACTTGGTGTCCATGGTATTTCTTAATGGCCCATGCTGCTCATACACCATCAAGGCCTTCTTTATATGCATTAATAAATCTTCATGACCTCATTGCAAATCTGTGTAAAGAAAAGGGAATAAGTCAAACCAGATACTAATAGCTTAAACTACTACTACATACCGTTGCATGGTTAAAAGTGGTATAGAAGCCAGTGCAGCCACTACATTCTGCTCGAGATCTGCCTCTTTTGAAGATGGGGGATTGAGCCGATAGACCCTTTTGGCATATCCCCAACACATTTCAATAAAATTCAGTTCGCAGTGAAATTTTGGTAGAAAGATCACCCAAAAGCCTCAAGCTTCACATGTAGTTTCCAAAATGGACTTGACATTTGCAAAATCCAGTTCATTAAAGAGGATTTGGCGGCAACAGCAATCCTTTTTACCTGCCTTGCATTTGAATCCCTTGCACTCTGCAAGAAGGCCCTTTGTGTTGTATCCTCGTTCTTGAAGGATTTTCTCTGTCCCTTTGAACCACCCAGCTTGTGGGTGGCCTTCAGGAAAATAAAGCGGTTATGGGGTGCCATTACGAAGGTATGCAGGAGCCATTGGAATCTTCTTTTTCAATGGTTTTCCATCAGAGCCCATCATGGGCTTTCCATTGTTGTCAGTGACAATTACATCCACGCCCCATGTTTTTGATGGTTTTTTGGTATATGTCGGGCAGACAGCGCATCATCGGCTCGTTTAACATGTGTCATGGCATTATCAAAGATCAAAATATGATCTTCATTTGGGTAATATTTTTCAAGAATATCCATTGCACGCACAGCATGCTTTAGGATATCATTGCTGGAGTAATACCCATCGCGTGACTTTCCTGCCTTGAAAAGAACCTGCGCAGTTTCTTTTCCATCTGGGGACTGAAGAAAACCATAATCCGCCGATACAAAGTGTGCCACCATCAGCGACACACCCTCCCCTTTTGGCTGGGGAAGCGCATCTTCATCTTTGTGCTCCCATCGAACTTTATGGCGGTCATTTGCATAGAATGTGGATTCGTTGTGGAACCAGGCTACAATACGGCGAGATAACTCAGGGAGAGGGGGAGAATCTTCACAGGTGAGATCATCTTGTTTCCATGTTCGTAGACGTGCCTCGGTGCTTTCCCATGCAGGCAAAAATATATTTTGGCAATAATAAACAACATCATCACGTTCATGACCATCTGAATACTGCCCCCGTTTTTCTTTTTTCCACCAATAATCTAATTTCCAAAGCCACCGTTGAGCAGTTTTTAGTGAGATTGTATTTTTGAAACCATGGCACTTCTGAACAATAGGGTCATCAAGGTAATGCACTATATTCAGTGCACGAATATATTTCCCCACACTTTGCAGGTGTAATTTGATATCAGCTGCTAGCTCCTCGTCCTCAATGTGGGAGATTGCATGGCTTTTTTGGCACAGAGGTAAGTTTTTTCGATCTCGGATGTATGCCTTTGTCCACTGACATAGGCAGTGCGTGAACCATTCACCTTTTTCGAGTTGATGTGCAACTTGCAGCGCTGCCTTGCTCCAATTTCCTCGAGATGCTGGCAGATTTAGAGAATCTTCAAGGTTGATAAATAGAACAAGGAACTCTTTCATTGATTGGAGACGTTCTTCAAGTACATGATTGAGTTTAGGGTCCATGTATCCCATCTTATCCTTCCTCTTTGGCTTGAGAAGGTCTCGGAGGTCAGCTAATGCTTGTTTTGCAGCCTCAGCAGTTAGTGATGTTCAAGGCCCGGCTTCAGGCTGTGAGCCGGGCCTAACCGGGCCCACTTAGGCCAGGCCCAGCCGGGCTTTGTAGATGGCCTATGAAGGCTTAGAGCCGGGCTTTCAGGCCACGGCTTTCAGGTGCGTTTTCCTATGTTTTCGTTCAGTCGGCAATGGCCATGAAACTGTAATAGTTTCAGCCTCTGTCTGGGACAACTAATTTGAGTTTTTGAATTTTCAGAAAATCATCCACATATGGTGCTGCATGTATATTCCGACAGCGAGGAACCACCTACTAGTACGGCACGCCCTAAACGTGTTGCTGTGCTATCAGCGAAGGTAATTTGTGCAGATAATGCTGCTGATCAAGAATTAGCTTCACACAGGCGAGTTCACGATGATGCAAGTCGTGCTGCCAATGCTCTTTCAATCATTTCTGTGGCGATACCTCTGAATCCCCCATGTACCACATCTCCTACAAGTTCTTGTAGCCACAAAGTCACCATCATTGAGGTCGACGATGACGACAATGATATCAAGCTGATGGGCAGCACCCAAAAAAAGTGACTTACAAAAGGTACATTTATGTTTATACTATTTTGTTGGATATGTACTGACTAATACCTACATCATTACAGGCAAAAATGAGCTTATAGCCCTGATCCTCCCTGAACATGCAAACGAGACTGAGCACGCTGTGGTGTTCAAACTTTCTGTAGCCTTGCAGAGGCACTTTTCACTATGCATCTCTTATTGACACTTTCCTTAGATTAGGTTCGCACTTTTGCTGCTTACATAATCATCTTCCCTTTACCTAGGACTCTACAGTCATTACCTAGTTTTCCCTTGTTTCCAGTTCTTTGGTTGCTCCCCATTCACTTGGGTTATTCAGTAGCATCCCCTAGTTGTAGCTTTCCTAATTGTAGCTTCTCAGCTCACCAGATAGCTCCTGGAACATAGTTTTCTTACCTTGACTTGGAGTACCTTCTCCACTCTCTTTCTTTGAGCCTGAGCCTAGTCAGAGATCCTTTAGGGTCGAACGTTCTTGCTAGCAAGAGTAGCAGCTAGGAGAGCAGGAGACTCATATATTTTGGTTTGGTGCTTTTACCTACAGCCCAGCCATTTCTTGTCACCACAACGCACTGCATGCAACTAGTTCAGCAAACCATTCTGACGAAGTTGATGCTGATGGCTTCCTCAAGGATGTTCAAGTCATGAGCATCAACGAGGCCTCTGAAACCCCACATCAAGAGCAGCAAAGTTGAGACATCACCAAGTTTTTTTTCCGAGCCTTATGCTGACAAAGGCAAGAAGTATCAGAATTGTTGTTTGTGCAGGTAAATTTACATTTCCATCTCACGCACATTGTACTGACTATGTGATAGCAAGAAAATGAAAAAACCCATTGCTTTTGTCAATGAGGTGACAACTATGTGACGCCATATGGATGCTTCACACAGGGTAAGTATTGCCAACCCGAGAAAACATGCCACTAAATGTACATTCACAGAATGAATATCTTACATGGGCCAAAGCCGAGAAATTTGTCTCGATGTTACCAAGAGACACCAAGCGCCGCAAGCTAGATGCTGCTGCTGACTCTCAAGCACGACTCAACACCCACCTCCATGAGCCGCAACCAAAGGAACGGATCATCCCATACTCAGATGCAATCTTCCGCGAGGCCGCCATCGAATGGCTGATTGAAACTGACCAGGTATGGTTTTTTTAATTTAATTCTGGCAATTGGACACTTATCAGTTCACTGCAGCCTATTGACGCACTCAACCACAAGTCCTTCAAATATATGATTGATGTAGCAGCACGAGCTACCAACGGTGTCAAACTACCTAGTCGACCAAAGACACGCCAAGCCATTATCGACCTCTTCAAGTGTAATCTCACCAACCTTCGCTGATGGTTACTTGTAAGTCAGTTGTTGATTTTTTTGTCATTATTTCTAACGCAAACCACAACAAGAGCGATGCTGTGAAAGGACGGATCAATCTGACATGCGATGTCTTACTAGGATGTGAAAGGCAAGAAAACTCTCCAAATTTCACAATCCTCCACGGTCAACGGTTCAGACAATTACCAACGGTTGATAACGTGGTCATTCGTGGGGGACGAGGTGTGTTGAACTTTTCAAGCGAACGCTAGTGATGTGAAAGGGACAAAGAAACGATAGAAACTAATAATGATAGAAACCAATAGTAGCACAAGATAGTGCTATAACCTTCTGAATAATGTGTTGCAGCTGTATGCAATGAACTAGAACTATACTATATCCCTCTTAGATATTCCGTACTTATACTTCAGCAATGGAGAACAAATTCACTAGCGGGATCGTCCCAATACGTGGCCTCGAAACCAACTCTCTGCTGCTCAGGATCTCACAATGAGTAATGACGCAGTCCAGAATAGAGTACACCTTCTTGATGTAGTCTTAAGTGGCCAAGCTCTTAATATTCATTGACAGATTGTAGGTCTTATTTGTATCTACCCTAATTGATGAATAATATGTGAAATTCTCCCCACAGAACTTTTCCTGTGTCTAAAAGAGAACTAGAATGATTGAAGATGATAGAATCAAAGTTGGCTCAAGAATGTGGCCAAATACTTCTGAAGAATGTGAAGTATAATGTCAAAATAATGGAGCTAAATAAGCTAATATTTCTCCTGATATTCACTTGAATGTTCACTCAAATAATGGGGACAAAGAATCTAAGGGGTGAAAGAATGTTCCCCTACGTTCCCCTAACTGTGCTTCACTCTGTTAATACTTGGGAATCAAATTGATTGCTTCAAAAGAGGGGAAAATGAGCCCCCTTATATACTACTAGACTAGTGGCTGTGCTACTGATTACTAATGTACTATAGAATATTCCAGAATGTGTCAGAATTATTGAGAAAGAACTATAGAATGTTATAGAATGTTATGGAATGTCATAGAATGATTGGTAAGATACTCATAGAATGTTCTAGAATACTCAGCAAAGGCTGTGTTCAGGTCCTTCTAGCACTGCCTTATTGCTGTGCATTGATTACCAATCCATTCCAAGCTATTTATTTTATATTGTCAACTTGGTTTGGTTGGCACTGCCTTGAGTACATAGATGTAAATAAAGTGTGCATAGAATGTGTGTGTACATATGTTTGGCATAGGGGTAAATAAAATAAAGAATTATAGAAAGGATAAAGAGTACGTTAAGTATTTAATTTGAACCGCTAAGTCGTACCTTGGTGATACATGCTCAGAAGTGTCCAAAGTAAATTGAAGTAAGGTATAGAAAATTCAGGGGAAGTGCATAGACTATAGTAAGGAATTGCATGTATCATAAATTTGCCATGACCATGTATGAAACAGGTTTCGTGCATGTCAGCGATGCCTAGCAAGCATCAAATGTCGATGGCTATTTTGCCCTCACTGGTCACTGGATCGAAGAAACAACAGTTGGCGTTTGGACTGTTCAAAGTGCCCTTCTTGGCTTTACTCGACTGAACAATGCTCACAATGGTGTCCGTCTTGGTCAAGCACTGTTCAAATTAGTTAAATGTGTTGGGATTGCACATAAGGTAAGTAAAATTCTAGCTTCATAACAGTGTGGTGCTAATGAAGTTTCAGATTGGCTATATTATGTGCGACAACGCATCCAACAATGATACCATGCTGGAACATTTCGCAGTCCACATCGAAGCACACACCAAGAAGACATTCAATCATAAAAAACGGCGCCTTCGGTAAGAGTTTCTATGTCTTGTTTATTACTACCAATTCTCACATATATATTCAGGTGCTTGGCCCACATTATCAACCTCACAACTCAGGCGCTGTTGTCCATGCACAGCAAGTCAAGACACTATGACGCCACCCAACCTAACAATGATTTGCTAGCCCCGCGACTCACTCCGCACTTGAACGAGATGAGGTTGGATTAGTCCGATCAATCTGTGTCAAGGTTTGTCATCCGTCAAATGCACATATGTTATGTTGACATTGTTCATTGTAGGAGCGCTCCTCAGCTCAATGAAAGGATCTTTTTCAGAGTGTCCAGCATCGAGACGAAGATGGCCACACACCAATCAAACATTCCCAACAGTTGCTTCTCAACATGAAAGTAAGGTGGTCCTCAACATACACTATGCTTCAACATGCATTCGAGCTGCGAGATGTAAGTTCAATTTAGGACGTCAATGTTGTGCCCACTGATGTACATATATTAGGAAGTTGACTATTTTGTGGGCTGGCTCGGTCTGCAAGAGAAGGACTCAGCTAAACAGAAAAAGATTATGGACCTTGAGCTATCATCTGAAGAGTGGACATGTGTTCAATGTCTGCTCTCAATCCTCGGTGTACATATTTTAATCTTACTTGAATCATGGCTCACATCGAAACTACAGTATGCCGAGTTGTCACAGCAGTCCTTCTCATCTGAACAAGGACCAATGCTTCACTTAGCATTGCCTGCATTAGAGTCATTGCACAGCGCATGGTCGTCATGTTCTGGACGCATTAAGTATCTCGATTTTGCGGAGGGCCTGGATGCCGGTATTGAGAAGATTGCAAAGTATTATGAGAAGTCAAGCAGTTCTGATGCACATATTATGGCCATGTGTGCATTGTTCTTTCATGTACATATCACTCCAACTGACTTTCTAATGACATTTCTTGATCCGTCACAAAAGGAGACCCATATTCACAAGTATTGGGGCGAGGAATTGCTTGCCAAAGCACACGGACATGCAGAGGAGATGGTAACTACAATTCCCGAAGCTGTCATCACAATACACTAATGTTACATCTAGTACAAAGAACGGTATCTTGAAATGTACGGCAACAATCCTGACTCTAGGAATGGTGCCGAAGTCAAGGTCAGGAAGACAGGGAATTGCAAGCTTGATGCTCTGCTGCAAGAGCTCTCTGACAGCGAGGATGACAGTGACTCGATGCTGCAGCCCACCCTAATCTCTCACACAAGTTCTGTTACTCTCTCCGAAGCTGCGAATGAGCCATGGCGGCAAGACTTTCACGCTTACCTCAACTCCAAGGACTACCTTGGAGATATGACTATCGTGCAGTGGTGGGGCATCAATGCACCTTGATACCCAGTCTGGGCGTCACTTGCATGTGACTTCCTTTCCATTATGGCCACATCCGTGTCCAGTGAATGTGCATTCTCATCTGCAGGTATTACTATCTCCAAGTGCTGAAATCATCTCAAACACGACATCGTCGAAGCACTGCAGTGCTTGAAATGCATGATCAAACATGATCTCCTGTTTCACAAGGACCCATCTGTTGCAGGCAAGGTCGTAGATGATGCATTGTCCAAAGATAAGACTCCTGCTGATGCTCTCAATGAAGATGATGGGTGGGATGATGTTGCTGAGGATTTAGGTGAGAATGAGGAGCTGTTAGAATCAGATGATGAAGATGTTTGTATTCAAATGTTAGACGAAATTTGATTTACTTGCTTTTGATTTACTTGCTACATTTTTTTTGTATCACAAGGCCCTACATCAGCAAACTACCATGTTTGTCTACAGAAGACTTAAATTTGCATTCTCGCTACAGCCAACCACAGAACTTCACAGTACACACAAAGCTCACAGCATACAGTAGCTACAGCACCACTTACTTCCAGTCACTCACAGAGTCACAGTTTCTTCCAGGCTTTGACGAGTAGTAGACTCAATTACAGCAATCTCGGCTTCAAGTTGCAAGTGCTATAATCACACAGTAGTAGTATATACTATATTCTGCACTATTTACATCACTCGCAGTAGCGCGCTGAAAATTACGAACCAATGCAACAACATATATTTTGGACATATAAACGATATCACAAGAATCTACATAGTGCATAGTATATATTGAACATGAAAAAAATGACGAAAGTGCCGCCAACAAACAGAATTAATCAAGCCGAGTGGTGACATGCTGTGCATTTTCCAAGTTATCTGTGATGTGTTCAGACATCAGTTCATCCTGGGGTACCATCATAACAAGCTTACCGGTGTGCAAACATCCTTGTCTGGATAGAGGGGGCCTGAGCGTGAGGAGTCCAACCGTGCCTCTTGAAGGCAACTCGCATATATCCTAGGCCAAGGTCCGCATCATCCACCCTCTCTTCCCCGCAGTTTCAGCTTGGAATCTCAACAAGCTTGACAGAACCTCGTGTTCTCGTAGTATCGAATCAGCGAGGGCCTTCTCAGCTTGGAAAACATCACGCTTCGCTCTTATGAGGTCCATCATCAGGTTTGCTTCACCATCAGATGGATCTCTGACGGACTGTTGAAATGCCGATTATTTTGAGATTTTATGAAAATGTTGAAAGACTGACTCACCATAGCATTGAAATTGTCAACGACTTCCAATATATCGGACATACCACTAGTAGTGTGATAACTGGTGTGCGGATTCGAACGACATGGCTCGCGAGAGTCCCCATTGCTGTTGCGGTAGGCCTGGAGAGAATTTCGCGAGTGTGAACCAGAAGCGCTGACTGATAAGGATTGTAGAGTAGAAATGGTCATCGCAATATGTGAAGAAGGATTATCGGAAAATGCCGGGCCTGTGACTTGTTCGGGACATCACACATTGACGACCTCAGCATGCCAGAAGCTTCAAGTTATTGTCCTTCATGCAGCAAAAAATTCAAAGATCACTCATCTGTCGCTCCCATATGAGTCAGCCCTTATCCGGGTGTAATATATGGCTCGATGACCTGATCCAACTCGAGCAATCCAGCTGCTCCCCGGAAGATGCCATAGAAGTGGACGACATCGCCGAATCATACATATCCAATTCCTATGAACCAGTGGGATTCATGGATTTGGGTGACGTTTTTGGTGAAGGAGAGAGTGTGGAGAGAACGCATCAGGACAGCATACAGGATGAGAGCAGCGAAGTTACAGACCATTTTCCCAATCCCCTGCTTGCCTTCAAGGACGGATACACATTTTTGAGCCTCTTCAACTCCGACGAGAACAGTATATATCATAAGACGAACCTCTATTATCCATTCAGCTCTTGGAAAGAATGGCAAATTTCATCATGGCTTCTGCGCTCGGGATTAAGCATGGGGAAGATAGATGCATTTCTAGGCCTCGAAATGGTGAGTGTCTCCCAACTTCAAGGTCATCGCTACAGCTTACATTAAAGAGTATCTAGATCAAGGACTTATCTTTATCGTTCCGCTCAGCAAGAGAGTTACGGGGCCGAGCTGAAATGTTGCCCAGTGGTCCAAGCTGGAAGTCGCAAGTGATCACTACAACGCATCCTACGAAGTCGCCCGTTGTTCTGTACTGGCGTGATCCTCTTGAGTGCATCTCAAATATCTTCAACCATCCACTGTTTCACGATCATATGGACTACAGCGCTCGCAGAGTATATACTTGTGCGCAGAAAGCCTGCCGTGTATATACTGAATGGATGACAGGAAATAGTGCTTGGGAAATTCAGGTGTGTAACATATCGAAGGGCGAAATCAATAGCTCATATTTCCTTGAAGTCTGCTTTACCTGCGGGTGCAACCCTCCTCGGCACGATTTTATCCTCGGACAAGACTACTATTTCATCATTGACAGGCAATCACGTCGCTCATCCACTCCTCATCAGCCTTGCCAATCTACACATGAACACACGCTCGAAATCATCGACCCACTCTTTTGTCCTCACTGCGCTTCTACCTGTCCCGAAGTTCGTTCACAAGAAAAAACGCATGAAGGGTGTGTTGCAGGATCGTCTTATCCACCAATGCCTTGACATCGTGTTGCATCCACTGAAACAGGCTGCTGAACATGGTATCATGTTGTCTGATCCCATCGGGCGCAGTCGCTATTGCTTTACTACCCTCGCAAGTTATATTGTCGATACGCCCGAAGCAATGATGCTGGCGGCTGTTGGGGGGAAAACATCTCCCGTGACGATGGCGATGTATACACAGTTTGGAGACAGCTTCCGGCATGAACCTAGGACAAGATCGACGACTCTCGCCCAGCTCGCTGTTATTTGCTCACATGCTGATCCAAATGATCTCGAGGCTTATTTCCGTGAAGCCCAGAAATTTTGCCTGAACGGTGTCGACAAGCCATTCTGGAGCAACTGGATATTTGCAGATCCTTCCCATTTTCTTACCCCCAAAATCCTCCACCACATCCATAAAGAGTTCTACGACCATGATGCCCAATGGCTCATTGTATCCATCGGAGAATCTGAAATTGATTTTCGATTCTCTGTTCTACAGCCCATCACCGGGTTTCGGCACTTTCGTGAAAGGATATCGAAGTTGAAACAAGTCACTGGTCAGTTGTCACCGTGACATCCAGTGATCTATTATTGCAGTGAGTGCGGATGCAGCGCCCCCCGGTGTCCTTGCTGCAGTACACGTGCTCATGCAATTCCGTTACCTTGTGCAGTCGCCGCACATTAACGAGAACGATCTCAAGCTTATCTCCGGTGCACTGGACGAATTCCATGTGAAGAAGGACACGATTATTGCTGCTGGGGCTCGTTGGTGGCACCACAATAAAGCCATCAATAATTGGCATATACCTAAGCTTGAATTGATGCAGAACATTGTCCCCAGCATTCACAACAGCGGCGTCACGAGCCAATGGACTGCAGACATCAAGACATCACAGAGATTAAGGACCCTGCAAGATCTAGCAACAACATCAACTATGATCCGCAGATCTGTCGACATCTCGACCGAGCTGACAAGTGTCATCAATTCGAGCTCGCCACCAACCTTTTAGATCATGATCAAAGCTTGCACTCGCAAGTGCAGGATGTCAACATAGACCCTAAAGACGATGTTGACACCGACACTGACGAAACTATTGAGTGTCCGTCTATGGTCCATTCATCTGGATACTCATGTCCCATCACTGACTATTTTTCTATTGCTAGGAAGCTCCAGCATATGGATTTGGTACCCTTACCTCTACGCTCATTCGTCATCAAACGCACCGCCTTCCATCTTTCCTACGATCCCGCCATTAGGAAGGTCACTGTCGATGAGATTGCCGACAAGTTCGGCCTTCCTGATCTGCGGTCAGCTATCACTGATTACCTTCAACGTGAGGCCACCTTTGGACATCAATACATTCATCCAATAGGTGGTCCTAGAAGAGCCGGACATTCTGCTATACTTCCTTTTGACAACCTCCAAGTATGGATCAAAATCCGGCTTCAAGACACAGAATTTCATGATCCTCATAGTATTCGACCTGCTCAGACACTGAACTGCGCACCACCTGGTGGCCCCTGGATTTTGGGTCATTACGACACAATCATTGTCCAGACTGAAGCAGGGTACTCTTGGCCGACTAGCAGTCTTTCAGGTAAGCTTCTGTCTTGTCTCATGCTGAAACATCAATCTAATTTAATTTAATTCGTCTCCCATCTCCTCAGGTCACGCCGTAGCACAGCTTCGACTTATCATGCGTCCCGTGGCCAAACGTGGCACCCCTTCAACATGGAAAGATCAGTTCTTGACTTACGTCCAACGCTTTAACATCTCTGGTGATCGCGACCCAATCACACAGCTGCATTTGCTCAAGAGAGCAAAGCGCTCTAATGGGACTCGCATAGGGGATGTTGTACCTGTCTCTTAATTAAGGGCACCTGTCAATCTCGTTCCACATTTTGGCGCTGTTGCGGACATGCGTCTCACTGCATACAACAGTTTGGAACATGCGTCGGAGTTCTGGTTGAATCACTTTTGGGATAAAAATACCTTTTTCCCTCTATCAGCATAGGAATATGTACATGATCTATCCTCAATAGACAAATCTTGTGATGATGTTTCCTTATGGTGTGAAGTGCTGGCATGTCATTGTCATTGTTCACCTAGTCTCTCAACAACCATGCCATATGCATGTGCCCAACCTCGGTCTGTAGACTATGGGATGAAACTTTCATCTCTGATGTCTGCACCCAAGATAAATGATGTTCCTACCATGGATGCACTCACCGAAAGGGAACTCGATGGTTTGATTTTACAGGAACCTGATGGGCACCTCAGCCATGTACTTTCCTTAATATTCAAACCTTTAGCCCTACAATCCCTCTTGCAAATTCACTTACTGTTCCTTTAATACCAAAACTCCACTTTACCTTCGTAATTTCAGGAAAAAACAAAATTTCACCAACAAGGGCGAAACTGAGTCAGTGTCACTGTACGATACTGTGAATCACTGTTGGAACTGGGCGCTTCCCACACGCGAGCGGCGTGCTAGCAAGTCACCTGACAAAAGTGGGCAGGATCTCAGAGAGGATGAGGAGGAGGATGAAGAGGACGAAGAACAGGACTCGGAAGAAGAAGGGAATGATGGTGAGGTAGCAGTTGGCATAGACTCCGACGACTCACTGGCAGACCTGCCTGATGTTGACACAGCACCGCCGCCGCCGGGACCAATATCAGCATCATCGATCAGTGATGAGACGAGCTACGCAGGGTTCTTCAATACTGTCGCCATTGCCCTCGCTGCAGCAAATGACAAGCTCACCCAATTCAATCCCAGTGGAGTGATACGGACATGGAGCGGTGCGAACTCCACACGCCCAGTCAAGGACGACGAAATCAAGCGCAAACCCGATTTAGCCTTACTAGATGACGTGGAGGCTAGGTGGGATACGATTAAGGCGGTGTGCGAGTTGACATCCCAAAAGTATGTTGATTGTTGATCTACCTGTGCAAAAACTGTGAGCTGATTTTCCAAAGGTACCATCCTACCTCTACTATTGCTAAGACTATCGATAGCAAGGCATACCTTCTTTTAAGGCGCCAGCCCTGGAGACACTTCGTTTTGCTCCTCTCAGTTTGCAATGGGTATCGAGATCTTCGTGTGCATTTGTATGATCACTCAGGTGGTATCGTAACCCCTTGCATCAATATCGACCAGGATCCAGGACAGATTCTTACATACCTTCTCGTGCATTGTTTTCGGCGGCCTCGAGTGCATTGGGTATGATCCTACCATCAGTATCTTTACTAAGATGCTTCAGCCCGGCCAGCTCCAACATTCCTCCACCTTCACTCGTCCTACCACTGGAACTGCCAAATACAATCTAAAACAAACCGAACAAGAGCGCACCTGTCATCCTCGAGAGTGGCGCTTTGGCAGATGATCCCATATCCGAGCCAGAGGGTCCTGAGCCATCAGTTTTGTCCGAACATTCCCTGCCTGAAGATCCTGAAGATCCTGAAAACCCTCTCCTGGAAGAACTCCTCCCTGAAGACCTCCTCCTCCAGGAAGGTCTTCCTTCGCCCCTTCCTGCAGATCCCCTCCTCGTGCCTCTTCCAGAGCCGATTGGAAAAATTTGAGTCAACCATCACTACTACGATATCCTGGAAGTCATGTTCTCTAGCCAAGGCCTTGTCGGTCGTGGCACTGTGTGCTACTTGACAAGGAGGGGCGAGGAGGAATACATTATAAAGGATCATTGGGTTTTAGGGAGTAAGGAGGACGTGTTGAATGAGGTCATCATGTTGAACGAGATGAAGGGGGTTCGTGGCATACCCGAACTTGTTGAGCACTGGCTCGTCGAGATCGGACCTGGGGAGGTCGATGAAACAGAGAAGTATCGCTATAAAACACTGGAGAGTATAGAAGGTACCTTCCGCACTCATATCCGGCTGGTTTTGAAGCCCTGTGCACGACCATTGCATATGTTCCGCACAAAGGCAGAGTTAGTGAGTGTGATCCGGGATATCATTGCCAGTAAGTACACGCCATGCGATGATATCCAAATTTTTGACTTACCTTTTTCTAGTTCAAAAGATAGCGGTTGAAGAGCGAGGTATTCTGCATTGAGATTGCAGCCTTAACAACTCTATGATCGAGGACGACGGTAATGGCTCTCATGGCACAATGATAGATTGGGAATTTGCCATGCGTATTCTTCAGAGCAATCGCTACCCTATCAGCGGTACGGTCAGTGTTTTACTCCCTGACTCTGTTTTCGATGGACAACTGCTCACAAAATGACCAGGGCACAGTACCGTTCATGTCACGGAAGCTTCTTCACCAGCTCTCGGATGTCATTCCTTTGGTGACTGCACAGAAGAAAACTTGAAAGAAAGCTTCACGTTCGAGACCGCAACAGGCTACGTTGATCAAGCACACTTTTTCTGATGATCTCGAATCCCTCTTTTACGTCTTCGCCTGGATCTGCATCGAATTCAGGGGTCCCCTCGGGATGAAACGGGTCCTCAAGTCTAGGGGCGATAGAACCGAATGGCTACCACGCGCATGGTCCGCCAACTCTTACGCGGAGTGTGACCAAGCTAAGACGGGGTTCTTTTTCCACTCGGAGGATTTGGAGAAGCTTGAAAAGCAGATTCATCCCTACTTCAAAAATCTCATTCCACTCGCAAAAGAATGGTACGGGCTGATGAGGAACAACGGCAACCCAGATTCAGTACCCTTTGATGCTGTGCTCGAGATGTTGAATAGACATCTTGCAGAGCTTCCAAAGGACAAACCATCCCCTGAGTTATTATTTGCCAAAACAATCCTCAAGCGAAAACGGCCAACTGGAGATGCTCCTGATTCTGCAGGTGCAGTAGATCCGGGAGTCACTAGGTTACCTAATGACACGACTGGGCACATGGGGCCAGCTGTAGGCAACATGACAATGGAAGCTGCAGTACCCATCAGGCCGTCAAAGCGGAACAAAACCCGATCTTCGTAATGACTCAATACAACTGTAGGCGACCATAGATTTTCTGTTCCGAAACGCTTCGTACCTACATAGCAACTCAGTAGTAGCTATGATGCCTGTCTCCATATGTACTTTACATGTTAGAATCATCCACACCGAGTCAGAATCATCCACACCGAGTCAGAATCATCCACACCGAGTCAGAATCATCCACGCCGAGTCAGAGAGGGCATCAGGCCCAGGGTCTACTATGTCCCGTGCGACATTCCCGCAGTCCTTGGCATCATTTATGTAAGTTTTGAACTTTAATCTACTGACTCACTCATCAACACATTGCTACCTGCAAGCAACTCGACTCATACCTCTGAAAATCGCCTGCAATGACTGCCGAACTACATCACGAAGCCCAAGGATAAAAGTGAGTGTTTGTTAATAATGCTCGGAGGCTCCCTACCCTTGTTGTCTTCCCAGCTCTACTACAAGCTCTAGTACTATGCCTGCGCAACGTGCTGGAAGTCCCAAGAAACGCAAGACAAAGCGTAAAGCTGTGGATTCTGATCTTGGGAAGACACTCGGCAGCGTTGAAGAGAAGGCCAAGCGATCACGAGTCCAATCGCAGGCTGATGCGTCACCACCAGCAAAGCCCCCACAGTCAGTCCCTGACTTGGACGACGCTGACAACTCGAGCCTTCAACGTACTAATTGTGCGGGTGCTGGGAAGGGGGGTAGGAATAGTCAGCTTGAGAGAATTAGTGCCTTGTTGGAGGCGCCTGGGCGGGCAACCAAACCCAAAGGCTCAACCACCCTTGATTCAAACGCTCCTGTGAACCCTCTCGCTCCCTTACCACCTAGCAAGGGTCGCGGGAGTCGCTCAAAGGTAACTTTTAATTCACTCATAAGCAATGCTACTGACTAGTATGATGCTATGTTGAAGGCTCCTCCACCGTACAGTGCCTCACAGCCAGTGGTAGATTCCAGTGTTCCGCCTCCAAGAAAACAAGGCAAAAAAGCCAAGGTTAGCGTCTCTTTTGTAATTCTATAGACTGACTGTTTACTTGAAAGTCTCTTACCAAGAAGACCGCCGCCCCCGCCTCCAGCATTGAGGCGCCCAATCTACCAAACTTTGTACAGCGCGAAGATGGCAAACATTTTGTGTTCCATCCATCAATTGTCCCTTCTCACATGGAGAAAGTTCTTGATGCCTCCTTAATGGCTGCCAAGAGGACCGGTCAGAAGCCTGCCACTATGAGTGTTGACACTTTGTCGCAATCACATCCTTTGAAGACGACCTCAGTTGAGATGAGGCCACATCTGCAAGCTGACTTCTATGCAAATATAGATCCTTCTCTCCGGCCAATTGGTCAGGAAGCACAAGGTGAAGCTAGTTATCGCGGCACCTCCCTCCCGTCAATTGGCCGGGAAGCTTGAGCTGAAGTCTCAACATCTGAGGATGACGATTCCTCTACTGACAACGCTGATGAAAGCGACACTGACGAAGAAAGTGATAACGACGACGGTGAAATTGGTTGGGGAGGAGACCATGGGAGTCATAGTGTGCATCCTGGTACACGATCATTTACTAATCATATCCATCACTAACGAGATACAGGCTTTTCAAAGGAAGGAACATCAGCGCCCCAACCTCGGGCTGTCGCCCTACCTTCTGATTTTGAGTTCCAGCATTCGCGAGATGAAGAGGAGAATGTTGCAATAGGATCGTTAGCAGTTGACAAGACCTCCAGTAGCAGTAGCGATGTTAACAGTGAGGTATGTCCTTCATAATTTCACAGAGTTCGTTAATCATTCCTTGAAGCCTACCAAGCTGGAGGATGTCTTACAGAGTCACCACAAGAAAAATGGTTGTCTGCGCCTCCCTGACCCCGAAATGCTTGATCTCATCCGTCGCCAAGAGACTCAAGCCACTGAATACGAAGTCTCGCAACTCCGGCATTAAGGCTCAGAAGGTCAAATCAGCCAAGTCTAAGGAACCGACTGAAGGCCCTAAGCCGACCCAACTCAGGCTGGTATCCTCCACGGTGGAAGTCCTTTCTTGAGGAGGCAAAATCAGAGTGTCGTGTCCAGCATGCAATCGAGAATGCATTCCCAGACACCGTCAAGGATTTGCCTCTTTCAGTCACCGAAGCACTCACGTCGTCACTCGTCGAATGGCTTGAAGCAGGTAACGAGGTGGAAGTGGGTATGTAATTGTTTTCTCTGAGATATCTCACTCATGAGGTTTACTAGGTATATGGCCCGAACACAAGGCTGATATGGCCAAGTTGGTAAGTATGTCCATTGTCGCTTGCTCATTTCCTCACGCACTATTATCTAGCTATATGAAGACTTATCAACCTGGCACTCCGACCTCAAGAAGATAGCTATCAGTATCACACTCATGAGGTTTACTAGGTATATGGCCCGAACACAAGGCTGATATGGCCAAGTTGGTAAGTATGTCCATTGTCGCTTGCTCATTTCCTCACGCACTATTATCTAGCTATATGAAGACTTATCAACCTGGCACTCCGACCTCAAGAAGATAGCTATCAGTATCACGCCCTCCATGTACAACCTCATCCCCCCAGCTGAGGTGCCTCCTCAAGCTCACACTGCCTGGGTTGAGAACGCTGCTTCAGAACTGTTGGACGAGTCTTTCTTTCTTCACGATGGCGTGGATGACCTTGGGAAAACCAAAAACGCTGCTCACCCTGCACTCAAGGCAGCTGCCGTCGCCTTCTTCTACACTGGTTCCTATCGCATCGCTCACAGGAGACCCGATGTCTTCAAAAAGGAGTTACCTTTGGAGTCTTTGGCTTTGGTTTGCACTGCGGTACTTGTTTGATATTTTATATTAATTATGCACTGACACCAAATTTGTAGTACAACTGCGTCTTTGACGGGCTAATCAAGAATGGCAGTGGCAAGTATTTTCCGAAGTTTACTGCCAAAGACTACTCCTCTGTCTATTTCTCGATGGTTGCCGAACTCAAGAATATCACGACGCACGAGTATCACGGCCCTAAGTTGACACGACAGCTTCGTGAGTGGGCTGCAGAAGGATGGTAAGGAGCTTTTTTTTAAATAAGTCTTCGCTAATTAAATTCACGCAGGGCGCAGTCCTGCAAACTCGACGGCAAGGACACATCAAAGCATCGTCATTTGCGGGTCCTGCTTGATTAGATTTGGACCGCTATTTCGCGACTATCTCTCTCTCACATTCATACATCCATCATTAGTAGTGCTAGTGTATCCGCATTCGTGTTTCCGTGTTACTACTATCATCTGTGATCTAGTAATACATTTTTTTGATTGTGTACGTCTTTTGCATGTGTGGACAGAACGGTACAGCTTAGTGTGCTACTGGACAGTAGCACATGATTTTTTTGTTCAAAATATTGTGCATCACACATTCTCAGTGGTGTCTGTGGTGGTCTGTACAGGAACCTACAGAATGAAGTGTTATTGTAGTGAAGTGTACAGAAGGGACTAAGCTGTGTATCTATCGCATTGTACAGCTCTGTACAGTTCTGTACAGAACAAAGTAGTTTGCTAATGTAGGCCCAGGCCGAGCCGAGCCCCAGCCGAGCCTGAGCCCTACCATAGGGCTTGGCCTTGGTTTGAAGCAAGCCCCAGCCCTCCAAGGCCGAGCCGTGGCCCCGGCTTTTGAGCCGAGCCGGGCCTTGAACATCACTATCAGCAGTTGGGGGGCAACGCAGTTCTCAGCGGTAGTCTCGTGCACTGGCATCTACATTATCTTCACTGTGACCATTGTTACTCTCATCACTGCTGTTGCAATTGGACTCGGAATCTGTTTTATCATTGGTTCCAGAAAGTGGGGGTAAGTCTGTGCTGATCTCTTCCAGGATTCCTTGGCCTGAAAACAGATCTGTCGAGCTCTCATGCCATCGAATCCCACGAATTGCAATGAGATCATCGATCTCATCAAAAACCTCCTCACATGAAACCATTTGTTGTCGGTGATGGCTGCCCTCTTTGTTGTTTTCCCGCGGCTCAGAATTGATTGTACAGACACCTGCGCAACTCAAAAGTGCGTGTTCATGTGCACAATCACATTCGACATGATTGAGTGCTAATGGAAGTGCTTCGGCGGGCTCGCTGCGCTGTTTGCTGTTGTGATCCAATGTACAAAATAAAGCAGAAAGACCCTCTAATTCACAGTTATCCAAGGTTTGTCCAATACAGTACACTATCTCATAATGCATCGTCTCATAATGCATAAATCTCATAATGCATTGACTTCGGAAGGTCCCACCGTGGGCCAGTGAGAAATTGAACCATAATGCATAAGCCTGTGGGACCATTATGCATTATGAGATAGCATTTTTGGCCGGTTGAGTCATATCGGCGATGCTTGTTCGGGTCATTTTATTCATGTTACAATATTGTCAAAGTAACCAACCTTGATTCAATTACCATCCACCATGTCCGAGTCTGTTCGGAAACGCAAACCTCGAGATACACCCTCACCATACCAGATACAGCAAAAAAAACTCAAGGTCAAAAATGCTCCGGTAACTTCAGCACAACCAGCTACAGTGCACACAGCACGTCAAAACCTCACTCTCAGTGATTGAACCAGAGGTTTCCCGCGCAGAAACACTTGCGCTGTGTCAGCGGCTCGGAAGGGCTTGCCTCCAGTTTGGAAATGCTGATGCAACACTTCGACTTGAGTTGTTGAAACAGATCCGTCTTTTCCGTGCTGAGCTGCGACGCGAGGAGCTTCTACACTCGACACAGACTACAATAGATGCTTACTTTCGTTAGATATGTAGTATGTACTTGTGCCGGTGATGCTCTACCGCACGGTGTCACAATTTGTCACAAGTGTGACATATGTACTAATGCATAAATCTCATAATGCATAGGGTCGAAGGGGGTCCCGACATTATGCATTATGAGATAGTGTACTGTACTGCCCCCATACCAGTGCTGCAGCTCAGAAATGACTCGAGTTTCAGGCTCTACAGTGGGTGGGACTATTGGACTCAGAGATAGATCAGGCAAGTTTCGAGGGCAAGGTTGTTCATTGTTATTGAATGTGATAAGACTTGTATTGACTAGCATTATCTATTCCGAAGCAGGTGACAATCAGCATTTCGCTATGCAGAAGTTGGAATAAAACATGCACATGTTCTGTCTGTGAGTTTCCAGCCTCAGGCTCGCTGTGACCTCCATGCTGCCTTGCCTTCTTTGCTGCACGCGCAGCTGCGACATTGCTAATCTGTGCGTCGCGACAGCACTTTCGTCTTCCCATGATGAGCGTTGTGGCAGTGCAACGGCCGACGCTGGATTTCTGTCGGAACTTCAAGTTCATTTTCTATCCATAATCAAGCCCTACGAAACTCTTAGAATTCAAAATGAACTCACCGCTTCCACGGAACACCAATATACTCAATAGATAAATCGCACACCGGTCGTTTCTATATTTTGCATAAACTAATTCTATACATTTCACCTCCGTTAAATTGTTTTTGAATATTTCAGCTTCGTCACTCTAATGTAACGTTTGGCACGTGATGATCGATGATTTCGCATGACGCCTACCTTAGATCTATCAACATGAAACGTTATGTTTATAATGTCCACAATTAGTATTCTATTCTCACTGACTCAGGTTCCCATCAGTGTTGATCGGGAGTTGTTGTTCTTTCGCATCCCCCTTGTTCTCTAGCATAGTGGCTATCCCTACTAAGTTGGCCCAACGTGACGCTCGATCGCCATGTTGTCATTACTCCTATGTTTCAGCCATATGCCTTTTTAATGGATATCAGATGTCCATCTATGCGAGGCTAGTCACACTCTGCTTGGAACGTTGATGCACAGCACTATATTACGTCTAGGACGTTTTGGAGTTGTCTCGACCTGCCAGTTTCAGCCAATGGCACCTTTGCAGTCCTGGTATATAAGGAATCATTGCACATTCTCAATGCCATTCTTCTTTTGCACATCGCCCCACGATGGATATTACTAGCTCGGAAGCGCAGCAGATGTGAGTGATACACACATGATCATGTATCCTGATGGCGACTAAATGTTTACAGGTTGTTCAGCACGTACGCCCTTCTGGCAGCAAACAGTACTAGGACTTATTCTGATTCTTGGTATTAAGACAATAACATGATATTATAGGTATTCTGATATACGACCATATGGCGACCCTACCAGAAGAAATCGCTTTTATTTGGCGTCGTCCGAAAGCGCTGTCTGCGATGTTATTTCTGCTTAATCGCTATCTCGCTCTGCTCTGCAACATCTCTAACTTAGTTTTAAGATTCGTACCACTCTCAGATGAGGTTCTATTGCTTCATGCATATACTGAACTGCCAGGTTCACAACTTCTTTCTGTAGAAGTTTGTTTTATTTTGAGTCTGGTTCTTGAATATTGATTAACAAAGCTTAGATGTCCGGAATACGAGCTATACAGGCAACTGACCCTTGTTTTCCAAGCAGCCGTTGTTTGCCGTGAGTAGAATTTCACTGCAAGTACTTCATATACTGAAAATAGCAGTTATAATGACCATTCGCACTTATGCTCTCTACGGCGGTAGCAGGCGCCTGCTTACTTGGATGGCAATAATAATGATTGCTCTTGCGATAGCAGTTTCTGTGCGTCTTCGAAGTTCGTGTAGAATTTTACACTCTTGTACTAATCGTTTCTAGGTGGGGAGTTTGGGGCATTTTACAGGCGTCCTTTTGTCAGGAGCTGGCTGTTTTGAAACATATACAGCAGCGACGTACGCCATCCTCTTCGCCGTTCTGTGTGTCTACTCAAAGTTGTTGCAGAGCCGTCCGTCAGTGAATCCCGAGTCTGATTTACATGTCACGACCTTACCCAGTTGCAGGTCTTGGGGTGGCATGGGTGGCCGAAATGGTATACGAATTACTGATCTTCATCCTCATAGTGTACAGGATTTGCAAAACTAGAGGCTTGCTGCGGTTGTCTCTAGTCACCAGGAGAAATATCATCGATATCATACTTCACGATGGTAATTTTTTCACTGCATCTGGATTGTACACACTGAATTGTTCAAACACAGGTGCGATGTATTTCGGGTGAGGTTGCTGACGAGATCGTGATTCAAGTGATTCTGATCCCATCATCCGCATACCTTCAGAGCGATGACGCTTGTTAACATACCGAACATCCTGACGTTCTACGTGAGTGAACGAATGAACATCGATAGAGTCACGAATCGCTTACAGCTTGAATCAGTCTGGTTCAGTGAGCACATACAGCCTCATCTCATATTCTGGTTTCCTATTTCCTGACGATTGGCAAGGATGCTATAAGAGGCAGTCTTGCAGCATTGACTAGCTGGTGAGTGGTCGATGCAATAAGCACGAATTGAGATTAATTATGACGTGACATCCAGCTTGTCCGTTACTCTGATCTCTCGTCTGATGCTTAATCTACACCAATCTATCGATACTGGCATTTGCTCCATCCCTGCCCGGGACGAAGGTCCCAGCCTCGCTGTCTTTACCACCAGGATCGACGTACAGTCCGCGATTTCCTCTCACCATTGGTAGGCTGGCATTGGACTCTGTTTCTGGATGCGAAGGTGCGGAGATACTTGATGGGAGTGAAAAACTGTTACTGTAGTCATTTTCTTGAATGCAGGGGCGGATGACGCTGCACTCGCGCTAGCAGCTAAGCGTCCTTAGATGCAATCTCATCTTTGGGCGTAGATAGTATGTTCATTATCCTATTTATTTTCCAATAATCATATATGTTCGTCCGCGATCAGATAATATTGTAATCAAGCCTCTCACGACGGGGTGTCATAACCTGTAGTTGAGAAGACTTGTTCTCTCCAACTGTCAATCAAACTGTCCCAGAGGGATATTGCTTCCGCGTTATTTCCCATTTTAGGTAATTCCTTGCTTTGTGCAACGTTGCCATCATCATGCCATCAACGTGAGCCTACTAAATTTTTAAGCGAATATCAATATCTGCTACCAACTCTTCTTTTCGGACGCCCTTGATCGCGATGGTAGTCATGTTCTAGTTCCCTGTGCTCAAGGAACACAAGCCTTGTAACGGCACAGCCTATGAATCGCCCACCCACGTGAGGCCAACCTCCTGTAACACGCCACGCTGATAAGTGATGGACCAACATGACACTTCATCTACAGTAATTTTTTTAAATCATTGTTTATTGTCCGTTGGGGCGAAGCCGTGCATCTACAGGAATGCACAGCACTATATACCACGTCTAGAACTTTGTTTCGGAGTCGTCCGACTCTTGTCGGCTCATCTCGTTCAGGGCAGTGTTTGACTTGCATGCTTGCATACATAGCATTTGTGCCATGATTGCGGGAAGGTCGGTCGAATTTTCAACGCCGAATGCGGCTCGCTGCTGGCATATAACGCGTAACGGACCACCGCACATTCTCAACGCCCTTGTTCTGTTGAATTTTGCCTCGTCACGATGTCTATTACTGACTCGGAAGTGCAGCAGATGTGAGTGGTACACACATGGTAGATTGTGGCACCACTGGCATGTATCCTGACGGCAACTGGGTATTTACAGGTTGTTCTGCATGTACGCCATTCTGGCGGGAAACAGTATTAGAGCCTATTATCTTCGGTGTCAGGACGATAACACGATATTCTAGGTATCCTGATATACGACCATATGGTGACCCTACCAGAAGAAATCGCTTTTATTTGGCGTCGGCCGAAAGCCCTGTCAGCGATATTATTTCTGCTCAATCGTTATGTTGCTCTGCTCGCCAATATTTCCAGCTTAGTTGTGGATTTGCAGCCTATAATTTCAGATGAGGTTCTGTCATTTTGTTATGCGTGTACCCAACTGGCATACTCACATCTTATGTGTAGAGGTTTGGCTCGCTCTGGTTCTTGAACATGTGTTGTTTCGCTCAATAGAAGCTTAGCTGTTTGAAATATTCGCTATACAGAGAAGTAGCCCTTTTCCTCCAGGGAATAATCGTTTGCAGTGAGTAGAAGTTTGTTGCGAGAAATTCTCTCACAGAACATTTTAGTCATAATGGCTATGCGCACTTATGCTCTCTATGGCTGTAGCAAGCGCCTCCTTACTTGGATAGTAATCGTCATGGTGGGTCTCGTGGGAGTATGTTGCGTAGGTTTTTGTGTATAATTTTGTACTCTAGAGTCAACTGATCGTTCCTAGGCGAACACTTTTGGACAATATTCAAGCAATGTGGACATCGTGCCAAGAGTTGGCTGCAATGAAACATTTTCAAAAAGGGTGTATGTTGTTCTCATCCTCGTTCTGTGCGCCTGCTCAATAGTTGTTGCAGAGCCGACCGTCAGTGAATTCTAAGTCACATTTGCATGTAACTTGATGTAATGACCTTATCCAACTGCAGGAATTGGGCTGGCATACGTTGCCGAATTTATCTTTGATTTATTCATCTTCGTGCTCACGATGTACAGGATTTACAAAACTACAGGCTTGCAGCGGTTGTCTCTAGTCACCAGGAGAAATATCATCGACATTATAGTTCACGATGGTGAATTTTTCGTTGCATCTGTATTAATATTGTAATAACTGAATCAACCGAACGCAGGTGCGATGTTTTTTGGGTGAGGTTGCTGACGAGATTGTGATGCGAGTGATTCTGATCACCATTCCAGAGCGATGACACTGTGCAATATTCCGAATATCCTGACGTACTACGTGAGTCGCTGAATGAGTATCGATGGTATCACAGAACGCTAACAACTTGTATCAGTCCGGTTCAGTGAGCATACAAATCCCGCACCTTATATTTGGCTTGAGTATTTCCTGATCATTGGCAAGGTTGGCCTCAGAGGCAGTCTTTGCACGTTTACTGGCTGGTGAGTAGTTGGTGCGATACGTGTGGATTTATATTGACTACGACATCCAGCATTTCCGTCACTCTCATCTCTCGGCTGATGCTTAATCTACACCAGACTTTCGATACTGGCATTTTCTCCATCCCCGCCCAGGACGAGGACCCAACCCTCGCTGTCCTTACCACCAGGATCGACATACAGTCCGGGTTTTCCATCTGACCATTCGTAGGCGGTATTGGATTCTGTTTTTGCAAGGATTCTTGCGTGGAGCGGAAAGCTGTTACTTTAGTTCTTTACTTAAATGCACTGCGCTGCGCCGGCGGTCATGGGTGCTTAATGTATGTAGAAATCTCATCGATTGTCATCTTTGGGCATGCCCTATGTAGATATGCTATTATTGGCTAATTATCCTGTATGTGCTCGTCCTTAATACGATATCTCTGTATACTTAATCCTAATCCTTTGTCTCTCGGTTCCCAAGTCCTGGTTGAGGTTGTTGTCTACTTTACCTTAATGTGCATCCACTAAACGGGCATCCTCTGTAAATCTTTTGATATCAGCTTAGTTATAGCTTTGCGGTTTGCAGTCTTCGAGCCCATATCGAGTCAAACTCATGTTCGACACACTCGGTCTTAGCGCTACCAAAGCCAAAGTGAAGTCGCAAGCAACTTTGGCTTGTTCACTTAAGACTGTTGAATTGAGCCTCTCACGATGGGCAGGCGAAGACGCTGTCCACTACCGCGTATGTCAACGTTTCAACGTTGCAACTTTGGCGGTGAAATCAACAATCAATCAAAATGAGGCACCGGGTACCGAGCGGTTAAGTCGGTGATTGATCGAATTGATTGCAATTGGATTGTTTTTGATATTTGCCATTTTAGGTAATTTTTTACTTTGAGCACAAGGACGTCGATGATTGATCGCTAGGTTCGTACAAGTCTCATGCATTCCTCTGAACCGCTCAACGTGTTGCAGACCACTTATGCAGAAGAAAGCAGCATGAAAATATCCGACGCTGATGATGAAAATGTCGCCTACTGTGTTTGCGCCGCGCCGCCGGCTTTGTATCCTCGTGGTTGGAAACGTGTTTCAAAATTACCGAAAAAGTTAATTTTGCAGCACGAATTGCCCTGACGCATTTTCTTCTGGCTTCTTTTGTTGGTCCGTAGGCAATTGCTCTCTTGATTGCCTTCTTTTATCGTCCTGAGCTCTTGGGTATATATCTAGGATCCATGTTCGTCTCGTCATCCCAACAAACCAGCCCCAGCCGCGTCCTCTAACAGCCCGAACAAAGCCTACCACTATCACTTGAAGAATCTTTCTTAACCACTGAGCTCTAAAATGTCTACCTCCCCCAGACTCTCCAGCGTCTTCGGCACCTGGCGCAAGGCTTCCATATCCTCAGTTGACATTGATCTTGAGGCACAAACCGTTACTGGCGCACACACTCCTTTCACTCTTCCTGCTGCCATCCAGGCAGCTTATTCTGCTGCTACGCCTGCGCATACACCTCAGCAGAATGACAACACCACAGACCCAGTGGATGACTTTTTTCGGGGTCACTTACGCTCGTGCGACTCGCGAGAGTCGCCATGACTCATACGTCTCTCCTAAGTCGCACTTCTGTGGCTTTGGATGGAGAAGCGCCTCCTCCATATACGAGTGCCACTGAGCCTCCTGCATATAGCTCCACTCCTGTGGAACCTGTGACACTTGCTATGTATCTGTACAGATTCGGATTTTGTGAGTATACGTCTGTTCTGCACTTGTCCGATTTTTCTGATCGAGTCTTTCATAGTGTTTCCCACCTTTCTGGGTAATTGGAGCAATCATCCTACTCTCGCCACTCAAGGCCCCTGCAGACTTTGAACCAACGAAGTCTGAGGACGAGCGCCAGGAGTTGGTCCAGATTATGAGAGATGCTGAGATCAAGTGGGCTAAAAGATCTGCTTGGGCACTCCTGATCTTCCTCGTTGCCATTGGCATTATTCTTGGAGCTATCATCGGTGTCTTGAGACCATAAGCATTCGACACACGTTCACTTTTCCCCTTACGACTATTTCATTCCCTCAAAGACCATCGCATGGATGACTTCATTTCCGTCTTCGTATTTCATTTCAACGTCCTGAAGGTGGCCTCAGGTCATAATCGCCAAGTCTTTCCTTATATTCCTCGGAACCAAAATTCTTTGTATCAGAAGAACTTCCTCACGATATCCGCATACACGAATGGGACGGGCAGTACGACTACATGTCCGTATTTATGACTATATTATGATAAATACTACTACGAATAAAAAAACATCGTTGTAACTTCGTGTATGTTGTTTCGGCGTCTGTGCGGCAAGTGCCGGAATTTGTCGGAGAATAAATCATCAGTTATTCGAATCTGGATATTGCAAAGTATTTTAAGCCTTGTTCGTTTCCTCGAAGCACTCGCTCGTTAAAATTTGGTGTTCTCTGTCTTTACACTTTTCCTCCTGTTTCCTCCGCACTAAAGAATTCGACCATGTTCCGTCGTCTTGCCCTTACTTGCGCCGCTTTGCTCGGTATCGTGTCTGCACAGTTGACCGTCACGTCTCCTGGTACCAATGACTGGTGGGGTGAGTGCCCAGAATGCAGATCTCTAGATATCGCAATGCTGACGAGTTAATGCGTATCCCTCTTGGCTTTTGTCGCTCAATTCTGTAATTCTCTGTTCAGTAGTCGCGTCATCGGCGAACACACTCTCGTGGACGTGTTCGACTTCTCCATACCAGAACTTCACCATTCTGTGCGTACGGTCTCGTTCGGTGCGAGTGAGAGCCCGTTCAACTGACATATTTTTTTGTAGTCTCACCAACTCGAACCCTTCAGTCCTCAGTGCACCCCTTGCCATCATTGCCGTTCAACAAAACTATGACTGTTCCGAAACCATCACCCAGCAGCAATCCGCCCAGCCCGCTGGCACCGGCTACATTGTTCAGTTTGCCAGCACTCTGAACATCACTGATGTGCGTAAACGTTTCTCAGGCTCGTTGACAATTTTTATTAAACATTACACAGATCTACGCTCAGAGCGAGCCTTTCGAGATCAAGGCTCTTGGTTCGTCTTATCCCACTACCACCAGCAGCGCAGGTAGTTCCGCTACTGGGACCTCTTCCACCACTGCTGGGGCTGCACAAGCTAGTAAAACCGGTGGTACTCTCGCGGGATATGTTCCTGTGGGCATGAGCATGGTCGCCGCTCTTGCTCTTGGCTTGGTCGTCGCTTGATGTCATTTCCGGACTTGGACTCCAAAACAGATATCCCTTTGTTTATTATCTTTTTCTTCTTCAGGACCTCCACTTCATGGAACGTATAACCCCCTTTGGAATGTCAGTTTTTTTACAACTTTATGGCCTAATGTGCAGTGTGACGATTTTGGACGTCGTGGTTTCACGCACTGTTGTTTTGCTACTACTTGCATGACGTTATGAACTTGATTCAGGTCGTATGGCCTGTTTGTGTAATTGTTGAGTTCATGGTTCAGCGCTAGCATGTACCGTAGCTTGAAGCTTCAAGATGTGGCAAATTGGTCATAGCATGTTATGAGACTTATGACCGAGTTAGGACCACTGGTCTGATTATCGACCGCTCGTTCGTTCACGCGAACAAAGACCGCCGGTACCTGGAGGTGTTAAGGCAGACTACTATCCCTTCCACTGCAGCAAGTCCCCGACTACCACGTTAGTGGAGGAGGGCACTTTGAAGTTTGTGGTTGTTACATCTCCAAAGGTAGGCTCTGGCGTATCAGAATGGTTACGAGTCTACCAAAAAAATTAACAACCGGCACCACACACGACCGCGCGGACGAACACGTATATATATATATGTATACATAATATAATTAGCCGACAATCCATAATGTACCGTATACGTATGGTCTACTACATGTTATCGCAGGGTAAGCCCAAGGATAACGATAAATGAAGATGTCTCTACATACATATCGAGCACGCATACCATGCTGCGTTCAAGAAAGGGACCAAAAGAACAGTTTTTACAGCTATCTTCATATCGATAGGCCAGAATCTAGAAAATTCACTCAGCCGCTTTTGTTTATTATTGGAGCGACACCAAACAGAGGCGCTGAGCGGCGCATGCTAGCTCTTTTTACGGTAAGTCATTAACCTTATGGAGCTTTTGCGGGGCGGTACAAATGCTATGATGAGACCTTGGAATCACGGCGCGCACGCACTGATCTGCCACCAGCCGCACAAGGTGATGGTGGTACTATGCTACTAGTACGTATGTGACCTTCATGGTCAAGTAATGAAGCCCTCACCATGGAAGACACTACCATGTTGTCAAAGGTAAGTCATACTTGTCATCAGATGAGGCTCCGCTTAGTTTCTCTGACACTTTAGCCTCTTCGTCTCCGTTGAAAACGTATATATATGTCGACAATTTCCGTGCGTGATGATGACGGTCGGCAGCCGTTGTAGTAGTACTCCCCAAGTAATGATGACGACTTACACGACTTACAAAAGTAGTATGAAGCGCCTTTGTTTGGCGTTGCTCCAATAATAAATAAAAGCGGCTAAGTGAATTTTCCAGATTCTGGCCTATCGATATGAAGATAGCTGTAACTTCCAATGAGAGCCTCTGCCACTTAACATCCAAAAACAGAATCCAATACGAGCCTACTAATGGTGAGAGGAGACCGCGGACTGTACGTCGACCCTAGTGGTAAGGACATCGAGGCTGGTCCCGGCGGGGGTAGAGAAAATGCCAGTGTCGATAGATTCATGCAGGTTAAGCATCAGGCGAGAGATGAGAGTAACAGACATGCTGGAGGTCATACTCAGGATCACTTTGTGTCTATCACATCAACCACCCACCAACTAGTAAATGGGCCCAGGCCGCCCTTAATGATATCCTTGTAAATCGTCAGGAAATAGTCAACCTGGTGAAAACATGCGGGCATATACTCACTGAAACAAACTAAATCGTGGTGTGAGCGTGCGACTGAACCAATATTTCATTTGTTGACTTACGAAGTATGTCAGAATGTTGGGTAAATTGACCAATGTCATCCCTCTAAGAGAACGCGGATCAGATCCACTCAAATCACAGGTTCACTAGCACTCTCACGCGAAGTACATCACACCTGCACTTGGTTGGTTCAGTGTTTACAATGCCACTGCGACGAAAAAATACCATCGTGGAATATGACATCAAGGATATCTCTCCTGGATACTAGGGATAATCGCGGGAATCCCCTGGTCTTGCAAGTCTGGATGACTGTGAGGACGAAGATGAGCAATTCGTAGATAAACATTGCTACCCATGCCATCGCATGACCTGCGATTGTGTGATATCGTGGCACCATCAATTTACATCCAGATGTGACTTGGAATGTACTGACGGACAGATCTGCCAAAACTATGAGCAGGCATGTGGAACGATGAAGGGAATGACATACGTCACTGCTGTGTATACTACATGGCAGTCGCCGTCGGTCGCACTGTTTGAATCATATCCAAAAGTTGCCGCCTAAAAGTTCAGCAGACTCCAAAGTCCAAAATTCTTCGTGAACACGTACCAACGCTCCTACCGTAAGAACAAGACCGATGATTGCCATCCATTTAAGCAGGCGCTTGCTACAGCCGTAGAGAGCATAAGTGCGAAGAGACAATATGACTGAAGTTTCAAAACCTCAGTATGTCTTTCTCGTGATAAACTTCTGACTCACGACAAATGAAGACTTGTTGGGAAAAAATTAACACCTGTCGGGCTACCAGGTATTTCGAACAGCTAAGCTTTTGTTGAGAAAATAACAAATATTCAAGAACCAAAGCTGAAACCTCTGCGGAGATGAGGTGTAAGCATGCCAGTCGAGTAACATGCACAACATCGTAGAACCTTATTTGAAACAGGCAGGAAATCGCTAAACAGGCCAAAGATATTACCGAGCAGAGCGGCATAACGATTAAAGAGAAATAACATTGCAGATAGCGCTTTCGGACGACTCCATATAAACGCGATTTCCTCTGGGAGGGTTGCTGTATGGTCGTATATCAGGATACCTATAATATTTGTGAGGGTCTCAAGGCCAAACGATGAAGTGTCCCAGTACAGTTTGCCACGACAAGGACGTACAAGTACACCGACCTGACAGATTACGATGTTAGGTCGCGCGATCAGCATATATAGTAAATCTATGCATTTATCACTCACACCTGCCGCGCTTCCAAGTCAGTAGTATACATTACAGAGGCGTTGTCATGAGAGGAAGGGGTGTTGAGACTTGGGGTTGACCGGAACGGTTTTATATTGGTGTTATACCACACCGCTGTGTTTCACTCCCCTCCCTGCATACATCAGAGATTCACTGTACCATCAAGGGCTATGTGGCCAGCAAGGCCGGTCACACAAAGGCTGGCTGTGCGGAACTGGGCGGAACGTTCAACCGAGTCGAAAGCGTTGATGATGCTGTGCATAGATGTTCTAAGCTAGTCTATTTAGGAATTAGTGTGTTGCTGCCACACGAATGATTCTTCAGGCCCTTACGCTGCTACAAGGCAGTTATGTGCCATTTCTCGCAAGAATAACTGCTACCATGGCGATTGGTCAAGGTCTGAGGGGGAAAAATTGACTGTTTTGGTAATACGCGAACCTAGACTAGCTAGGACGCATCGCTTTAGCAGAGCAGCGCTGGCGCAAATACGCCGGTCGGCGGTCGGGAATTTGGAATCGAATAGTAGGCTGTAGCATGCGCCGTTGTGCCATCTGTCCAGCTTTGTCCAGCTTTGTCTATACTGGACTCGTTTTGGATCTAAATAGAAAGGTACTAGGTAGTAGGGATAGTGTCAAGCCTTGGAGGGACGCAAGCGTAGAGGCCGCTGCATGAGTGGGTACCTGCCGAGGATTCGTCTCGCCACACATTGGCAAGAAGTGAGCAGTGAAAGATTTAGGACACCATTGCACGACGTACAGGTTAGGTGAACATATATGATTTTCGTCAAACGAAACGAGGCATAAAAGCTGAGCGAGGAATCAAACTGAGTGATGGCGGGACGGGGGGGTGAATGTAAGGATTACCATCGTTGACCGAATAGCGTTTCCGCTTACCTACCCCGCCGGAAATAGCCGTTCGCACGCTTACTCTTAACCCCACCAGGCGCGTTTCGCAAAATTTGCGTCCATTCACCAGTATTAAGTAAATATGTATCATATAACATCTAGTCCATGTCCCAATCTGCCTCTGTCAAGACCCTCTCTTGCACAATGGTGCTTGCCGGTGGAAGAACGACAGTGCTTCTTGGCGCTGCAGGTGCCAAATCTTTATCAGCCAGCACGTCGACTAGTTTCCTGGAATTGAGATTGATGATACTGGCAGCATCGAAATCTTCACCGTCGAAAGAATAACTTCTAACTCTCGGTTGACAGCACCAGCCTCGCCAATGTCTATAGTCCATTCAGCATCTGGGCTGAAGTCGGAGAACTTGTACTTGGATTCTGTTGCCGGTGGAACAGGAATGTCCGGTGGCAGTGCCTTGAGACATTGTCGCAGCTCAACTAGTTGATCTTGAGGTGTTGCTGCATGAAAGTTTTGTGGATCACGAATCACGAAGCTTGGCTGGGGGGATGAATGACTTGAAGTTCACACTATTCCATTCAATCCATTCACGCCTCGGTCAGCACGGACTCCAACTCCCTTTCCTCTCGTCATTGTTGACCCTCCAGCTTTCATTATTCGTCCACCGTCACCCTACTCCCAGTTCGCCGTGTCCCGAATCTGTCACAAGTCCCAATATGCAGCTCTCGTAATTTTGTTTAATACCATACCCTTTAATATCGCTAATCACTCATCGTTTCGTATTTCCCCTTCCACCTTCAGTCTACTCTACTCTGTCAGGCGCGACGCCACTCCCTTCAGCGCCCGTCGGCACCAGGGGTGATGCTCAAGACAAGATTGCGGATACGGCTTATAATCACTTGAGACGGGAGGCCCGAGTCCCATGAGCTGCGGCAATCAAGCATATGCATGATGTCTCCAGTATAAATAGCTACCATTTTCATCCTCTTCAGAGTCAGACTCATCTACGTCATTAACATAGGATATATTTGGCAAAGTCATAATTGTATCGGTTTATAGGTCTCATGACTACCATATCATGGACTCGTGAATTCACTGATGACCGTCATGTTATCGTAGGACAAGCCCAAGGAAAACAATAAATTAGGTGTCTCTACATACATATCGAGCACGCACACCATACTGCGTTCAAGAATAGGACTAAAAGAATAGTTTTTAACTTCCAACGAGAGCCTCTGCCACTCAGCATCCAAAAACAAAATCCAATACCAGCCTACCAATAGTGAGAGGAGACTGCGGACTGTACGTCGACCCTAGTGGTAAGGACAACGAGGCTAATCCCGGCGGGGGTAGAGAAAATGCCAGTGTCGATAGATTCGTGCAGGTTAAGCATCAGGCGAGAGATGAGAGTAACAGACATGCTGGAGGTCATACTTAGGATCGTTTCGTGTCTATCGCATCAACCACCCACCAACTAGTAAATGGGCCCAAGCTGCCCTTAATGATATTCTTGTAAATCGTCAGGAAATAGTCAACCTGGTGAAAACATGCGGGCATATACTCACTGAACCAAACTAAATCATGGTGTGAGCGTGCGACTGAACCAATAATTCATTTGTTGACTTACGAAGTATGTCAGAATGTTGGGTAAATTGACCAATGTCATCCCTCTAAGAGAACGCGGATCAGATTCACTCGAATCACAGGTTCACTAGCACTCTCACGCGAAGTACATCACACCTGTGCTTGGTTGGTTCAGTTCTTACAATACCGGTGCGACGAAAAAAATACCATCGTGGAATACGACATCAAGGATGTCTCTCCTGGATACTAGGAATAATCGCGGGAATCCCCTGGTCTTGCAAGTCCTGATGACTGTGAGGACGAAGATGAATAATTCGTAGATAAACATTGCCACCCATGCCATCGCATGACCTGCGATTGTGTGATTTAGTAGCACCATCAATTTACATCCAGATGTGACTTAGAATGTACTGACGGACAGATCTGCCAAGACTTTGAGCAGGCATGTGGAACGATGAAGGGAATGACATACGTCACTGTTGTGTATATTTCGTGGCAGTCGCCGTCGGTCGCACTGTTTGAATCATGTCCAAAAGTTCCCGCCTAAAAGTTCAGCAGACTTCAAAGTCCGCAATTCTTCGCGAACACGTACCAACCCTCCTGCTGCAAGACCAAGGCCCACGATTGCCATCCATTTAAGCAGGCGTTTGCTACAGCCGTAGAGAGCATAAGTGCGAAGAGACAATATGACTAAAGTTTTCAAAACTTCAGTATGTCTTTTTCGTGATAAACTTCTAACTCACGGCAAATGAAGACTTGTTGGGAAAAAAGTAACACCTGTTGGGCTACCACGTATTTCGAACAGCTAAACCTTTGTTGAGAAAAATAACAAATATGCAATAACCAAAGCTGAAACCTCTGCGGAGATAAGGTGTAAGCATGCCAATCGAGTAACATGCACAACATCGTAGAACCTTATTTGAAACGGGCAGGAATGCGCTAAACAGGCCAAAGACATTGCCGAGCAGAGCGACATAACGATTAGCGAGAAATAACATCGCAGACGGTGCTTTCGGACGACACCATATATACGCGATTTCTTCTGGGAGGGTCGCTGTATGGTCGTATATCAGGATACCTATAATATTTGTGAGGGTCTCGAGGCCAAACGATGAAGTGTCCCAGTACAGTTTGCCACGACAAGGGCGTACAAGTACACCAACCTGATAGATTGTGATGTTAGGTCGCGCGATCAGCACATATAGTAAATCTATGCATTTATTACTCACACCTGCTGCGCTTCCATGTCAGTAGTATTCATTATGGAGGTGTTATCATAAGAGGAAGGGGTGTTGAGACTTGGGATTGGCCGGAACGGTTTTATAGTGGTGTTATACTGCACAGCTGTGTTTCACTCCCCTCCCCGCATCCATTAGTTAATGATAGTGATTCACCGTACCATCAAGGGCTATGTAGCCAGCAAGGGCGATCACACATGAGTTGGTTGTGCGGAACTGGGCGGAACCTTGCGAGTCGAAAGCGTTGATGATGCTGTGCATAGACGTTCCAAGCTAGTCCATTTGCGAATTAATGTGTTGCTAGCACACGAATAATTCCTCGGGCCCTTACGCTGCTACAAGGAAGTTATTTGCCATCGGGACCGATGATATATCACAAGCGCTTTATGTGCCATGTGGTATAATTTCTTGCGAGAATGACTGCTACCATGGCGATTGGTCCAAGGGGGAAACATCGGCTATTTTGGTAACACGTGGACGGTGGACCTAGACTAGCTAGGACGCATCGCTTTAGTAGCGCAGCGCTGGCATCGGCGGTCAGGAATTTGGAATTGAATTGCAGCATACACCGTTGTGCCATCTGTCCAGCAAGGTCCAGCTTTGTCTATACTAGACTCATTTTAGATCTCGCATGGCGCAAATAGAAAGGTAGGGATAGTGTCAACCCCAGGAGGGACGCGAACGTAGAGGCCACTGCATGAGTGGGTTCCTTCTGTGGATTCGTCTCACCACACATTGGCAAGAAGTGAACAGTGAAAGGTTTAGGGCATCATTGCACGATGTACGGGCTATGATGAACATGGTTAAACCACTGGCAGGTGAACATGTATGATTTTCGTGAAACGAAACGAGGCATAAAATCCGAGTGAGGAATCAAACTGAGTGATGTCGGGACCGGGGAGAATAAAGTGCGAATAGTCGCTGTGATAAGCTAGGGATGATGAACACACTTTTAGACATCTCGCGGTGTCCTAGTATGACTAGTCCAACACCCGTTGTGCCTTCGGCACAGGAAGCAAACGGAGCGCTTCGCGCTCCTTTTTGGCTTCCTGGCCTTGGCTGCACTCGAACGGGCAATGGTATTGAGTCGGCGCTCGAACCACGTGACAAACCACGCGAGATTTCCAAAAAGAGGTTTAAGCAAGCTAAGCGTTCCTAAGCGAATCTAAGCGCATCTAAGCGTATCTACGCGAAAGCCACGCGAGCACCCGTCACTCCCCGAAACCCGTTGCACCTTACTTTATAGATTACATAGATGTCGAGGCCGACGTGGCTGTATCACCGTGAGATATTCATCATGTGATGATTGGCCCATCTCGTCGGTACCATGTAACTTATAAGATTGCAACACATTAAGCAGTTCAAACGGACACCTAGTAGCACTCGAGTGGCAGTAACATAGACGTATCTACTCTAGTAGTAGAGAACTGTACGAAACACAATAGTAATTCTATTCTGACCCATGAATCATGGCCATCGGTGTCCTGAAGCGTCAAACGAAAGCGAAAAAAGAAATTCCGCAACTCGACATCCAGAAACAAAACCCAATCAACCAGAATCAGCCTACTAATTGAGAGAGGATACCACGGCCTGAACACTGGTGGTAATGACATCGAGGCTGGGGCCATCGTTCCGGATGGCGGCGGAGAAAATGCCATCGTCCGTGGATTTGTGCAAGTTAAGCACCAGCCGAGAGACGAGAGTGACGGACATGCTAGGGGTCAACCGTCATATTCAAAATCGATCCGTGTTTATCGCACCAATCACTCACCAACCAGTAAACGTGGCTAGATTTCCCCTGGTGATATCCTTGTCGATCGTCAGGAAATTAGCCAACCTGCTTACAAGATGCGGGTGTGTGCTCACTGAACCACACTAAACCATGGTATGAGAATGCGACTCAATTAATGTCTCATTCGTTGACTTACGTAGTACATCAGAATGTTGGGTATATTAATCAATGTCATCGCTCTGAATGAACGCAGATCAGTTTCATTCCAATGACAGTTTTACTAGCAATCTTACGCGAAATACATCACACCTGCATTTTCTTGGTTCAGAATGTATATTACAGGTGTGACGGAAAAAAATACCATCTTGAAATACGACACCAGTGATATCTCTGCTGGATAGAGACGATCGCAGTAATCCCCTAGTCTTGCAAGTCCTGAAGACCATAAGGACAAAGATGAGTAAATCATAGACAAAAACTGCAATCCAAGCCAGCCCATGACCTGCAAGTGGATAAGGTAGTGGCATCATCAACTTGCATGAGACGTGACTGAAAATTCACTGACGGGCGGCTCTACCGCGACTTAGTTGAGTAGGCGCGCATACCGATGAAAGGAATGACATACGCCTCTGCTGTGAATGTGTTATGACAATCACTTCCTGGGATGTAAGTCGTGGTATTGTTGTCGCTATAAGAACTCGCCTAAAAAGATCAGCAGAATCTATGCAAAAGGATATGCGAACACGTACAGACGCTCCTCCCATAAGAGCAAGGCCGATGATTACCATGCAACTAAGCAAGCGCCAGTTACGACCATACAGGGCATGAATGCGCAGAGTCAATGTGACTGAAAATCTTTCAGGGTATGTATTTCTCGCGATTAATTTTCGCTCACAGGCAACAGTGATTTGTTGAATAAAAAGGTGCAGCTCTCCGACTAGCATGTATGTCGAACAGCTACTAAGCCTTTGGTAAGAACAACGATATATGTCCAATACGTAAGGTTAAAACCTCTGCAGAAATAAGTTGTGAGCCTGCCATCTGAGTAGATGCATGACGAAATAATCGAACCTTATCTGAAACGGCGGGCAGGAAATCGATAAACAAGCCAAAGACATTGCCGACCAGGGCAAAATAGCGATTGACGAGAAAGAAGATTGAAGACAGTATTTTCGGACGACACCAAATAAACCTGATTTCTTCTGGGAGGGTCACCATATGATCGTATATCAGAATACCTATAATATTTGTTATTGTCTTGAGAACAAAGATGGAAAGCGCCAGTACTGTTTGCCACGAGAACAGCGTACAAGTGAAACAACCTGGCAAATCATTGTAATGTCAAGATTATGATATTTGTGCGCGTATAAGTGATCACTCACAACTGTTGTTTTTCAGTGATATCCATTACAATGAGAGTGACAATGTGCAATATAAGAAGTGGGTGTTGTGAATGTCAGATCGACGCACTCAGTATAACAAGTATTAAATACATATCACCAGCGTCGCAGGAATCGACATGGTGAACCTACGCGGCTGTTCAAACTTCAAACGTTCATCTCTTGCTGGAACACAAATTGCCATATGGTGCAAAATAGGGACGATTATACCTGAGTTCACGGGTATCCAATACTACTAGTATGGACCAATTGGTACGTGGGTGTAAACAAACCAAAATACGTTACATGCGCTGCTGCACCTCTGCGCCGGACTCTGCCATTGATCATCCGAGTCCCGATGGAGGTTACCCTAAGGGTCATTATGATGCTGTGGGATTGCAAGTTAAGTTAGCGCCTTCAAAGTGCCTTACTTGTGAGGACCTAACAAGGCAGATAATCGAAAGACTACAAATTTGGTGCAGTGGCGGGCTACGTACCGTTAAAAGGGCCCTTACATGCCCATTAAAATATTATTGTGCCCCACTATAACGATATGCGCCAAGTTGGTCGTATTGCATGGTATCGTAATGTCACAAACGTTTTTCCGACATCTGTCTGTCCGTGGATACCCGGGACCTTGCTGTCAGAGGTCGAGAACAAGCTTGTTTTACTACTCGGGAAGCGGGTCAAGGTGGTGAGTACTATTCACCTTCAGATCTGCGTTCATTTTCTGACCATGCCGTAGAATACATCTAGTGATAAATGAGTTCTTCGAATGTTATGTTCCTGCCGACGGTCCAAATTTGACGACTACCGCGGACGCTCAAAGTATGTGGGGTATGTTTTCTACTTTTGAATTGATTCCTTAAGTAGAAGAGATTGTCTAGAAATTCCCGTTCTTCCCCGTTGGAACGGGCACGCACTGCAAGGGAAACTCGGGCCAAACCTCTATGGCGGGGGGCTGCGGCTCTATCTATCGAGGACTGACTACGACACGCCGCAGCTACGAGCCAGGACCCATGGCACTCCCGACCTGCCAGAGCACCCCGCTCCACCGTCTTTCACAGTCACATTTGGACGAGCCGAGAGGATCCTCCCGGCTCGTCCAAATGCAACTCCCATTGCATAGCCGTCACCACGGGTACCAATCCGTATGGCAAGAAGATTCGATGGGTTTGGGGAAAACTCCCATGCAAGATGAAGACTACTAGCTTTTGGAACAGGTGTTCGTCCATGTGGAATCTTATCGTGTTTGTCGAATCATGATGACGATAATACAGGAGTTATCACAATCGAGAAACACGGCACCCTCTTCAGGAGATGGTTCTGGATTTTCCAGGGTACGAAGAACCATGGTCGACATATATGCATGCAGATACTGTTCACGGCGAGAAACCAGTCCCATAGGCTTCGCTCGCAAGTTGCCAATTGACAGCTGTCACAAGCAGTACTATTGTAATACATAATATGCATCTGCGCAACCGGGGTTGTAAGCATATGCATAGCACGGAAGCATAAATCGTAAGCTCCCAACCTCCCACGTATGAGCGTCCCTATCGATTAATGGTCATATGTAGACCTACAAGGATGACACTGTTTGTCAGTCTGACCGATGATTGATGTGCAAATCAAGGGAGGATGTGGGAAAGAAACTTTGTTACACGGTTTCCTGACTCTCCTCAACAAGGCCTATCGTGCCAAGAGACTCAGATGTTACAAAATCGTGGCGGTGGCGAGTCGCGGAGTCGGGGATTATGGCTCAACCATCCTGATACGTCTCGGTACACGACTGTGTCATGATATATGTCCACATGGTCGTTGAATGGATCAAGCTAAGCGCTATACAATATGTCTATGGTTAGACTCTATGGGGTTGCGATGACTACTAGGCTACGCACTAGTGCGTTACACGCATGCATGCATGAACGTTTCAAATTTGAACGTTCGAACGTTAACATCACAATTGACATGCCACTTAAGCTAGAATTGCTTGCGACTTATCCCGGGAGAGTGCTATCCAACATGAATTTACATGGCATGTATGCAGCCTGATGATATTGACTTGTGCAAGACGAACCACAAAGGCCCGATGTAACTTGAGAGGGACACTGCGATACTTCCTGTGTTAGTCTTCCCGTGGGGGTCGAACTAACAAAGGGTTTCATATCGTGTACGCGCATACCGTAGACAACACTACTAGTACTACTCGCGCGACCGAGTCGCTGAGGAACATAGACATATCTCAAGAAATACTAAAAGTGCGTGGGTACAAAACTATTCGTACTCGCGCATAATGGTTATCAAAATATACTTATCCGGGAACATCAAACGAAAACGAAAAACAAACTTGTACATTACATCATGCTAAAGGGTACTGTGATCGTCACATGGGAAAGAAAAATAACATGCACCGGAAACTGTCACTGGACGAGAACGACGAGCTAGTGCGTACCTGACCCAGCCTTCACCTTCTCCACCATCTCACCATCGTCCGGCGCGTACTCGAAAGTCTCTGGGCTGCCGTTGAATGATCCGAAGAAAGGAGTAGCCGGACTGAGAGTAGATGGGGTACGAGACGAGTAAGTTAGCGCCGGGGATACGAGAGTAGGAGACTTCATGTCATTTTCGATTGATAGTTGTTGGGCTAAAGAAGGCGACTTCTGTGCAGGAACGTATGCTTTTGAGGACACAGAAGTAGAATCATGGCGATGGTCCTCTTGATCATCTGGCCGAGGCCGGGATGTTTGTGGCGAACGGAGATAGTTCTGAAGACTACTGTCGGGTTTATCGTTGGTATTGGATGTAGTGATAGTGCTGTTTAGGTTATTGGAGCGGCTGTCCGTGTGCTGATAACTGTGCTGGGATGAATTTGACGCAAGAGGAGAACGAGGGAGAGTAGCGACTTGTGCTTGCTGCCGCAGAGAAAGGTGCGAACGCGAAGAGGATTGAGAGCGATGGTGCGACTGTAAAGAACGCTTGGAATCAAGATGCTGAGGTGGCGCAACAATTTCGATGGCACGACTGGGCGGTTTCGTGATCCTGATGTTGCCAACATCACCGCCGAAATGCAGCTCCTCCTGGTAATGGGCGCGGAGATGGTCATAATGTGACCTGCACTCCAGCTGATGTTGCCCGAGAGCATGGAAGTCGTCTTCAGAGATTGGTGGTAGAGCGTCGCCCAAGAACTTGGACCGACTCGCCCCACCCAAGGCTCGACCAGCGAGCGGATAAGCAGCGATCTGCTCCGGGGCGTGGAATACCTGCGCGTTCGCATTGAGTTTGCTTCCGGATTCTAGTCGTCCAGATGAAGAGGCGCGCCGAGGTAGAATGTAATCACGTGGGTGCACAAGTTGCTGCTGGGTCTGCAGCTGTTGGTACTGTTGTTCACGTATCCTTGCATGAGCCTGGAGGATGAGCTCTTCAGCAGGAGTGAAGCCATTATTTGCTTGTATCTGGCTGCGAGGCTGCTGTACAGACGGCTGAGCGCTAGCCGTGTACAGCGTTGCATTTGCGAGAGCTTGAAGATGGGCGCGCTGAGCATCATGCTCTTGGTCAAGTGTCGACCCCGTGTAAGCGTGTGTCAAATTCAGGTTGTGTTGCAGTGACTGTAGAAGGTCGTCGGTGTAGTGATTCGATTGAAGGTCCTGGTACCCAGTCGACGGAGAGCTGTCGTACGGATAACCAAGATGGCCTGGCAGCGACGTAGATACAGGAATGTTTCCTGCTGATACGGAGGCGAGATTCAGGTTCGGGTAGGAGTGATGAATACTTGACAGGGAAATCTCGTCACAAGGTTGACCAATGACGGGGATATCATGGGCGCGATTTACTTGGGTCTTGCGAGCGTGAGCTTGGAGATCTTGGCCACGAAGGTTGAGAAGAGCTGCTTGAGCAATTGTCAAACGGGCTGGAGACTGGTCCCCATTCTTGGATACTCTCTCTGATCGCTAACACAAGACACGTGAATCAGTTCAAAGTAAAATACGTCTCAATCAGCGGACCGACCCTTAGCTCCCGTTGTTCGGCACTGTCGGCAAAACGGACGGAAATCCTGCATCCAGGGTCATTCCATCCACGGACCATTCGACCATGTAGGCGTTCGATGGTATCCTCTGCAGCTGCACGAGTCTCAAGTCTATACTAGGCGGATCAATTACAGAATTTCAATTTCCAGAACAAACTGACCGAACGAAAGCTATTATCCGAGGTGGTTCACTCAGCTTCGTTTTGAAGAAGCGGCTGCTTTTGATGGTGTAAGGATGTACCAAAGCAGCAAGGCTCTGTGTTCGCATGTAAATAACGTCGGATATGTGAACATCAGCTTCACACACCTCTTCATCAATCGAGAGAGGAAGTCTGAAAAGAGATATTCAGTACCAAACCGAGCTCATGCCGAGGCGACCCTTACCCCTCGATGTATAGGTTGGTGGATAACCCATCCTTTAGTTTTTCCATTCGCGCCTTGAAAGAATCTTCATCATGCTCTATTTGAGAGGGGCTTTGCTGGGCGTACACCGTGCCAGGTATGCGATGGATTTGCTATATCGGGAAATTTTAAGAATGTGGGTGGATACAAGAACAATAAAATGACCTTTGAGAACGACGGATGTAGGTTGCGATATTTACGAAGACCCTCGATACATTTTTCTGCCGAATCGACGTCGCTGAACCTTTGCAGGAATGAGGTGGACGATCGCACAAAAAATATATCCACCTACAAAACGAAGCCATACCCTCTGTTCACCAGAACGTGAGCTTTGTAATTTCGTGCCGTGGCAGAACCGGACATACGTTGGTTTCTCACTCACGTGCCTAGTGAACGATCTCACACTCTTTACCTCGCCAAATGGGCGAGTGAGAGCAAAGAGCTCTTGCTCCGGAAAATGAGGGGGCAGTCCATTGATATACACATTTGGGGTACGGTGTAATGCGCGAGACGCGCTGGGAAGGCGCTGGGAAGGCGTCTCGGGACTCAACGACAACTGTGAGTCGCTCGAGTCAGGAAACATATGGTCATATGAAAATTGCAAGCCTGTAGGACAGGAGATGCTATACGAGGCTGCAACCCGATACGGAATGCGAGTAAGTTGGGGGGATCACAGCCGATAAAATAAAACCTCACGAGAATTGGATGAAACTGCGGTAGAACGACTGTAAGAGGACGCCGTACCATTTTCCTGTAGCTTGAGGGACGGATTATTTGGTCTGGCGACAATGTGGTTTGTAGACATAGAGATAGTATTAGAATGCGAAGAATTGCTGGGCTTAGGACTGCCGACGTTAAATTTTTGAGACGGAGAGAGAGAAAGGTTGGGCTGGGATGAAGAAAATGAAGTACTACTATTGAGAATATTATTGCGCGGCGACGAATCTGAATCTGGCGGTGTGGGTGGCGCTTGACGAGAAGAGATCGGAGTGTTCAGTACGGTGTCACAGGCAGTACCGGCTGAGGCGCTATGTTCAAGATGCTGAGATTGTTTGTTATCGAAGGTAGGAGAAGCTGGGAAAGCCAGAACGGCAGATTGCGGCGGCGAAGAGCAAGAAAGGTTCATACTGGAGGATCAGGGCAAGTGAATTCGCGGGAGAGAAAGGAAGCAAGCGGAAGGAAAGATTTTAGGTAAGGTGAACGCCGGTGGACTGTAACGATTGCAATACGAATAGGATGGAAGAATTTGTTGAAATCGTTAAGAGTAGTGGTGGGGGGATGGAAGAAACAAGGAAACAAGGGGAAAAAATGAACTTGCGAGGTTTATATTCATTTTTCAACATATGACGCACGGAACTTCGAGGTTGGAATACTGGAAACCCAATAAAATGTGATGAAAGAAGCCAGGCTTTCACATTGCATACCCCATTTTAGGTCGGTCGCTGCCCAGATTTGGCAACTACACAAACAGCGCAAATAGGATATGCACGTCGAGGGCATTCCATGTTCCAAAGCTGATCTCGTTCGCAACTTCTTGGGTCCACTATTTCTTCTGTTCCAGCGCGATATTGACAGAAAATTAAGCTTTAAGAAGCATAGGCGAAGACCAGCGAAAATCATCGTGCCAACCTGACTGACGATCCAGAACTCATTGACCCCAAGAGAAAGTGACCATGCATGCCAATCGACAGAGACCATGCCAACGAAGGAAAGGAACCCAGACTAGTACTTCCGATAACAGGTGTGCCACTGGCCCAGCATCTGTTCTACGCTGCTTGGAAACAGACGACTATAAGAGCTTCATCGAGTGCCAAAAAGACCAAACCAAGCGCAAGGGCGCTGACAGAAGCAGGTCCTGCGAATCCTAAACTTGTCAGATGATAACGAAGACGACTGAAAGCATATTGCGTGAGCAGCAAGTCAGAACTCTGGTTGGTCCGTACTACGGTAGTGTTCGAGCATATTGTTACAGTACCATGATCGCAGGATAACCGTGACAGGTCGCAAATCTTTTGGTGGCAGTGTTGAAGAACTTGAGGAGAGAGGCAGGGTGGCTGTGCATCTGTGAAACGGACGTTTTCAAGTTCGCGTTATTATTCGGTTCAATCAAGACTTTGACATTGCATGCCGCGGTCGGTCAAGGTCACTGCCAGTGGGTAAGGTAGCAAGCCCTTGATCATCTCATTTGGTGTGTCCGTCCACGTACTTGACAATTCGTATTTCGCTGGAGTATTTGTACAGATAATAATCATATGGTCCCCCTTGTTAATTATGTAAACACTGGCTGCATTTCAATGACATTTTGACGCTTGTTTCGATGTTTGTAACTTGAGCAGATCGGTTTGACGCTAGTCTCTCGTACTACTAGGCAGACGACGTTATCGAAGGAAGTTAGTCGTTCCTTCGTATAGCAGCCAAGGTTTTGACTTGTTCGGGCCGAACTTCTATGTTCAAGAAGGATCTACAAGTCTGATAGGTAGCAAACGTCGACCAGCTTTTTCACACCTATACCCTCCAATTGGTGAGTCTGGATATTCCTTCGACAATCCTTTCTCCCTATTTTTTTTTCAGAAGGTGGGTGATTTTGGAAGTTACTGGACTTGTGCTCTCTTCGTCTCCAACTGAAGTCTGATACCTGTGTTTCTTTGTATTTCAAATGGACCTGACCACCCACGGTGGCCCACCACGCCTTGACAGATTCGTGGGTAGTTTTGCACGTTGTTACGAAAGCGGGCAAGATAATTCCGAGCTTCAGATTCTGCCAGCGTCTCTCGCTTCACTTGCGCTCACATTGACACCGCCGATCCGAGATAGCGAGGGAAATCAGCCCTGCATAAGCGATATCACTCTACATCCATGATGCATGATCGATGATATGTGGCTGTGACAACTGTCATCAGCGCAGCCTGTATATGCTCTCTGCGTCGCGGTCAGTTGGCAGCTAGTTTGCCCGTACCAGTGAGCATGACCGCCCCTATCTTTGACATCGTGGGATGCAACGACCCCCTAACATCCGCTTTGCGTGTTTTGAAATCGCCTCTATACTTAGGATCTCCAACTTCGAACGTATCAGCTTCTCCAGGCGCCCGCGTACACCTTCAACTCAAATTTCGGCTCTAGAATCGTGTTCGCCGTGAATGTCGGAGATAAAGAGAGTCCCTTGGTCAGTTTGTTTATCATATATCATATCTCTTCGTCCCAGCAATCTTGCCCGACGTAGGCGTTCTAAAGTATTTTTATTCAGATGCGGCAATCACCCTCAAGCTCGCACGACTACCCCAACTACCCCAACATTTTCTATTATCTCCCCGGTTCTGCACAGCACGACTCTTATCTGCCCCGCGTAGAGTTGGCGTAAGTCAGTAGGTCTAATCACATAAAAATCGTCTAGTGTTGCCCGGCGTTCACAGATACAGGGTAAGTTGGTGAACGGTTTCCGTGGAGGCACCTCGCTCGAAGTTCATTGACAACTTAAAGTCGAGGTTTCTCGGCGTTACCCGTCAATGTACTCCGAGGGGCGTTGATCTGGGAAAGTTGCAGAAGCCAACACAGCCCCACTATTTAACACCTGTATCCTACTTTGAATACCGCGGGCTCCGAAGTCATCAAATCAGAGTGCATTGTGCCAGTGCGGAGACTTCCTTGATTGGAGGGGTTCATTTAGGAGTGAGAGTCAAAAGCTTGGTAGGTGCTAAAGTGGCTGAACTTACTATCTTCAACTTCTGCCATACAACAGTTTGGTTCTGAGTTACTTATCATGTATGTTCGAGAAGTCGCTCGATGAAGGTTGAGGTTTTACGAGTGCCCTGGGGGCTTTCTGGCTCATCCGGCAATTGGACCTTTACTCGTTCAGCCCAGACCTGACATCATTTCATGACCACGGATCCAAGGACTTCGTTTGGCCCAATGACTCTGATGACACTGAGTGGAGTCGATGAATCAGTCTGGTTCAACGGTCTAGTGGATCTACGGTGTCGAGTAAGTAGTAATTGCTGATCATGGGGTATGTCTTCGACATTGTGGTACGTCTTTGATAAGATAAGAATACTTGTTGACGTGGCTATGCCACCCGACTCTACTTACCCAGGTTAATAATGTACAGTAACAGTAGATAATGATACAACTCATAAGAGTATAGCAGCCACCCATAGCAGAAACCGCGATTACAACACGCGACTTCAGTCAGGACATATCCATATCCTGATCCTCCGACGATCGCCCTGCCTCGTCCGTCATTTGCGACGACAGCACTGGAGTATCTTCAATATCACTCCACGCAGAGAAGTCGTCAATGGTAACACCCAGATCCGATAATTCTTGCAAGTTTTCATATTCTGCGGCGTAAGCCTCAATTTCCTCTTGCTCGAGGTCCTCCGGCGTCACACTATAGCTGTCGGGGGGCATTGCTGGAGCACACCCAAGTTCAGCCCATTGATGCCATCATTCAGAAAAGGAGAAACTGACCTTGCAAGTCACTTTCCCACCGGTTTACATCCTCCATATCCGGGTCAAAGGAGGATCCGACATCATAGGAATACGAAAGACGATAGGAATGGTTTTGCTTATGTGCAGTATTCGCAATGATTCTCCGAAAGAGCTACGAGACAAGCGTTCAACAAAGCAGACCCCCTATCAATAAAGTCACACACCTCATCTTGCATAACCAATTCATCATCCTCATCCTCATCACAGTCCATCTCAGAATCAAAAAACACGTCACTGCTGCTATGCGTCCTTTGTTTTTGGACTTTATCATGTCGTTGTTTCTGGGCGCGCTCAAGACATCGCGCTTTAAACCGATCACGTAAAAATGTTTTTTGAGGGTTTTCTGGCGTATTGCTACCAGCAAATGTGCATGGAAGCTGTGCGGCGCTTCTGGACGAACTGGTTACGCGAGCTTTGTATTGGGCCTGTCGTCTTGCTTGTGCGGCGGCTACCGGTGATGATTTCGGAGAAGCCAAGGGTGACGAAGCAAGTGGTTGGTGACTCCTTGCAGAATAATAAGATGAACGTCCAGGAGTAGAGGGAGTCTGGAAAATGGGACTAGAACTTTGCATACTCAGCATTTTTGTTGGATGCTGCCGCAGCAAGTGGTGAGTGTGACGGTCAAGAGTGGCGCGTTTGTTGTGGCTTGTTGACGTGTTTACACAGTGTGACTTACCGAGGCTGTACGTTGGTTCCACACCAAGTTCATGACTTGATATCTCGGCCGTTGCACCGACTCGCAGAGGCCGATATTTCATGTCATTGACAGACGGTTGATGTACTATGACCGCCGACAAAGGTGGCATGCTGGCGGAACGGTATTGAGGTTGTATCAGCCTGCATCATGATATCACCCAAATGAAAGGTATCGATATTGCAGAGTCCTTCGGCGCGAGATTGGTAAGCTGCAGCTTCTCATCCATGAGTGACGTGGCGGCTACTCGTCTGCTGAACGCTATTCACATTCAGGAATCTTATATGGACATGACTCCGGAGGCGACCGCTGGAGCCAACGGAACGATCATCAATTCGGCCATGAACACGATGACGGTGGGATCTGGATTGAGGTATAACTTGTATTCTTAGCTCATCAATTTGCCAGGTGTACACTCAATTGAAATGAAAATGGCGTCGATACGCAATCCAGGGAAATATTAATATTCATGTACAGTATGCGACGTGGCTGCCATTCGCGGACTGAACGCTGGAGAACTACGAATGCACATTCCATCCCAGGGTCATGATAGCGGAGCTGCGGCTTGGGCCTCTGCTGTTCATTTTCACCGTGGATTAGTGACTGAGCAAAACTGCAAGCACCTCATCGCGGCTGTGCCACGTCTTGCAGATCACTGTAAGTGCTAATTGCTGTCTCGGTGACTCGCAGACAATCTAACATCCTGCAACAGCGGCATTACGACTTACAATATTGATTACATATTTGCACTAGCACTCGATCCTCCGTGAACATATTCGTTGGTACCAAGATGTTCATTCGGTTGACTAACATACAAAGTATTTTGCTCTTCCTTAGTATGTTATCTTTTTCGAAACGCTTGTTCAAAGACATTCCGAAGAAAATAACGCTCGTTTCAGAAAGTTGGCTAGAACGTTAGCACTTGGTGCGATCGAGGCAAGCTGTGCGCCTTTGAAAGGGAAGCTTTTTGTTGTACTTATGTACAACCTCAGACGGTAGCAGTATGGCAAATTGTTGTCACACACTCCGATCTAGGTCGATACGGCGATACTGTTTGGGAAACCTCTGACGACAAAGCATGTCCGACAGTTGTCCGACAGTCCGCACAGAAGCAAACACAGCAGCTGGGGTCCTGCAACTATTCAGCGCTGTGACCCGAGTCAGAACCGCTTGCGGCGTTACCGAGGGACATGCCAATCTATGACGTGAATGCCGGGTCCGAGGCACAGTACTTAGGTCCTGATTTTGGCTCTTTTGGGAGACATGATGATTCCGATCACCGGTCTACCAGGTTTACCTGATTCGGACTGGGCACCTTTTGCAACGAAACGCGTCATCCCAAGATGTGTCGTGAACCGAACTGCCAGCAAATGCCCTGTACTCTCCTGTCCTCAGTAACCTTCATCTGGACCATTTAGCAGGCTGGGGGTTTGGCGTTCTAATTCCAAATTTTGCTCTGTTCTGGAAGATGCATTTCAACGTCTCCTTTGGGCTGGCGCTGTCGGAGGACATCCCAACTATAACTTGGGTTTGATCAAATTTCTAATATCTTTCGATCTGAGATATTTGATATCTCCGTTTTTTCAATTATGGCATACCTTCCGGTCGCAGGCATCCCCAAATCATGGCTAGTAAATTACTTAGGATCTACACTGGAAGTTCCGAAAGCTTTTAAAGAGGCAGTGTCTTATACATGGTCGGTTTGGTCCCTCAATCTCCCACTTCTTTAACATGTTCTTCCGGTCCCAGCATCGACGTGACTGGTGTGCATCCAGTTGTTCCCTGTGTTTACAAACTTACCCGTGAATCTGTCAGCGCCGCCAAACAAGTGGAACGACAGAGGAAATTGGATGAGCTACCCTCATCGTTCTTCGAGACATGCACAGAGACCGATAATAAGGTGCTTGACTTGTCCCTAAGTGAACTAGTCCGACGCCATACCGAGGGTTCACTGTCGACGGCGAGCATTTTGAATGCTTATGGGAAGAAAGTGGTCTCAGCGCAGAGGACCACTAATTGCCTATCTGGGGTCATGATTCAAGAGGCTCTGGTCCCGAAAGATTCAGCTTCTCCATCTGGTTCAGCCTGCACAGATATTCCCGAAGAACGTTCGAAACCCCTCTCTGGTGTCCTTGTCAGCATCAAAGAATGTATCGATATCGAAGGCTACGACACCACCGTAGGCTATTCTTCTAAAGTCAATCATCCCGTTTCATCGTCCGCAGCCATTGTCCGACTTCTTCATGATGCAGGAGCAATCACTCATGTGAGGACTACCGTACCTCCCGGTCTTCTCGGACTGGAGACGTCATCGGATCTTTTTGGGCGAACGAGTAATCCGTATAACGAGAAGTACTCCAGTGGCGCTTCGAGTGGTGGTGGGGGCGCACTTCTTGCGTGCAGAGGGAGTGTCATCGACATCGGCACAGACCTTGGTGGTAGCATAAGGATACCCGCCCATTTTTGTGGAATCTATGCTATGAGGTCTTCGATAGGACGCTTTCCGTCCCAGGGCACGCATTCCCCTATACCTGGACTAGAATCAGTGGCTACTATATCCGCTCCGATGTCTCGAAGACTAGAAGACCTAGAAGAATTTTGGAAGCGTGTTGTAGAGATGCGGCCATGGGAATATGACAACACGGTTCGCTAAGTTCTCATTTTCAGCATCTACAAGACCTGATGATCGTTGACTGCAGTGTGTTCCATTACCCTGGCGACCCATAGATCTTCAAAAGACGAAGCTGAAATTTGGAGTTGTTTGGAAAGATGGTCAGCCCCTTTCACGCTGCTGTTTTTTACATTCGTTCCTCATGTACCTAGGCATTATTGCTCCTTCTCCTGCTTGCCGTCGTGCTTTGGAATGGGCCTGTGATGCATTGGAGAAGCAAGGCCATGAAGTGGTTGACTTGTGCGTTCGAGCCGCTTTAATCTTGAGTTTTGCTGACCAATAGCATCACCCAGTTCACCTCCTAGCATCCCAGAAGGTCTTAACGTCGGATTACAGTTATGTTTTGGAGATGGAGGTGAGCGACCCTTTATTGTACTGTGAGCCACATATACCGAACTCTTCTTAGGGGCTGGTTTCTTCAATCCTTTGCGTAAGGACGAGAAAATCGATCCCGTGATGGTTGCTGTCAAGTCTTTATTGGGGATGCCCCTTTGGCTCAAGAAGTTCCTGGCGATGATCACGCGGAAATCTACTGGTGATGAGGTCTGGGCATCGATGCTCGAGACGCTTCACCTCAAATCCCCAGCTGAGGAACGTGCGCTTGTCGTCTCCCGAGATGAGTACAGAGAAAAGTGGCACCAAGTATGGGAAGATGAAGGGTTCGACTTTTTGCTGACGGTTCCACACGCATTACCCGCCATCCCTGCTGGAACCGCGGAGAAGGTGACTCTAGTGTCAGCTTCCTACATGATGATTTTCAATATCGTGAGCTTTATTTTCACTGTCGTATTATGATCGTGAACTCAATGGCGAATAGCTGGACTATGTTGCTGGTGTTCTCCCAGTAACTTTTGTTAACCGCGACTCGGACGCGCTACCGAAGGACTTCATGAAGAGTGCCGACTACAAGAACATGGGGTTGATTTCTAAGGGAGCATACTCTGTTTATGATGCTGATAAAATGCACGGACTGCCCCTTGGCGTGCAAGTCGTCGGCAGGCGTTTTGAGGAAGAGAAAGTCTTGCAGGGGATGAAGATCGTTGAAGACGCTCTTGAGGGATCTGATCGCAAGTTCATTCCCCGGGAATTTTAGGGTGACTTTGGAGTTTGGACATCGCTAAATTTATGTGATATACTGTACGCTATGTATATTTATGTATTGTCATCATAGCGGCGGCCAGCCGTAACTCCCTCGGATCTCTTTCCTTAGACAGTCTGGTTTATATGCGAGGCTGAATCCAAGTCCTCGACCTGCGCAGTTTTCATACACAATCATTGTACCCTGCCTTTTCCCTTTGACTTGTCACACTGTTTCCTCCCTTTCGCTCATTGACACAAGACACAGGACCTGGCATCTGTTGATGGCTCCCGCTGTGGCAGGTGTCATTGTCAAGGGACACGCTCTGCCAGTGCCTGCTTCGGCCACAGTACCCGATAGTATCTGCAATGTATACTCCAAGTACGTGGTGACTGAGGTGGAACCAGATCTATGTTAGTGCACCTTGGAGATGTTCCTGGTATGCATGAGGTGGAGTAATTTTACTGGCGCAATTATATGCGACGATTGGAGCTGCATAATCATGACGAGTGTCATCGGGCGTCTCTATTAAATGCCTCTCGCGCAGCCATGGAGTGGGCAGGCCACTCCCCGATGGAAGGGTAATTCCTTAAGCTTCGTTACCATGGCCCCTTTCTCATCGCATCTGAGTGAATTCGCCCTTGGACAGGTAATATGACGGTCTTGTAGTTGTCTAATTTTCTCTCAGGTCATTTGCAGGTCATCTTGGAAAGGATGTGCGGTGGTCACTGCGGTTATACAAGTGGTCTTGATATCCACGATGTCCTTCACTGTGCACAGCTCTGTAGGCATATGTTAGTTTCCATCTACTGGTAGGTAGTCTGTCAGGCAGACGACAACAATGACGGAGGGCTCAGCGGGCTCTGAGGGGTTGATAATGAATTGAAGTTATCCTGATAGCTTGAAGGCAGGTGCGAAAGCCACGCAGGATCATCATCGACAGTGGTGAGAATGCATACCATACCCGAAGAGATATCCCTTTCTTGCAAGTCCAAATGTTGGAAGACCATGCAAAGCACGTAGGTTGCCGCCTCAAATCGAGCTCGACAAAAGTCTTGACATGTTATCCACTCGAACGATAACTTTAGACACAGAAATACGACAAGCACGCTGAGAGCATCAGTAACATCCAGCCACGATTCACGAGCAACAACTGCAACCACTTACAAAAACTGGTACCATTTGCGAACACAGCAGAATGACACTGGAGGTAGTACAAAACAAAGGATCATGAAACAGAGGGCTTCATGGTCATCATCATGGGGTGGACAAGTAGCGATATCAAGAACATGCGCACACATGCAGGGACTCTTCTTCAAAAACACCATGGGTTCGCAACACCTGAAGAAGGAATTAACTGTCAGATATAAGTGCAAAAAAACAGTTCAAAAGTCATACAACGCAGGCCGGGGGTCCTCAAACAACCGACACGGGTGAAGAAGGTATCGAAAAGAATGAAAATGGTGTAACTTGAAATGGGATGGTGACTTGTCCTTGGCAGTAGCTTGGAACAACGGAATTGATCCAACCTAGACGGTGTACGGGGCCTCGTAGACTGCAGAACAGTGCCGCACAAAGGACATATTCAGTACACAAAAGGCATCAGCATCCATGATGTACATAGTTTACTAGGCGTCTGTTTTGCTCGGGCAAGTTTTGAGTGGTGTAAGTTATTTTGCATGCAGTAGTCACACGAAGTCCCAGTACTAATGAGACATAGAATATCAAAGGATTAGGGCGAGGATATTCTTCTAACGTTGAGGGTGCAGAACATGAAGGCCTGTTTAGCCAACGTGGTAGTAGCCAAATCAGGAAATTAGGTTTAGGGTCCGCTGCCTGAGGACGGCCGTAAGGTCAAGTCGACATTAATATTGACATTGATATTGACTTTTTAGAATTGAACATCCCTCGGCCTCAATGATATAGGGTGAGATAACAATAAATAAGGATACAAGTTACGTCACTGACTACGAATGTCCTTCGATAGGTTACTATATAAGATATTTATTATCGCAGAAGATACTGTCGGCAGGATCTAAATATGCCTCGTCAACAAATACCAGATAATAAACAAGGACTGCGAATGAGAACTAAACAAGAACGCCTTTTTCGGAGAGTTTTTGCCGAGCATCCACACCAGAGCTACGGCAAATAGACAGCTTCCCATAATGTACGTGTTTTCGATAAAGGCCAACATAACCAACATATGACAAGTCGTTAATATAACCTTCGTTTTGAGTATGGAACCGAGAAGGACGGGTATAGTGGGGACGCCGGCCTTCATATCGTCTTCGAAATCACGGACATCAGTCATGGTCTATAGACATGATCTGGGTCAAATATTATGGTCATATACCATCTACTTACTGCGTGGCATGAGCGGTTGACGGTTGACCAGACTATTAGTTGAACAATACTCCACGGAGGTGGCAGCGTGTTAGTCAGATTGCCCGATCCTGACAACACGGAGAAGACAACAGTGTAGATGCCACATCTGAGGAGCATTGGTTTACACGTGCGTCATTCAAGGCAAACACGCAGACGTACCCTCGAATGATGCCATTAAAAATGGATTTCATGCCAGGGATGCGTTTAATGACCAGGACAGGCGCAGATGTAGTAGCAGGCCGATGCTCGTCTCCGCCAAACCTCCCGAGGAGACGCCTCGTGATCAGCCAAAACTTCTTGAAACTAATCGGAGTGGTCCAGAGCAAGGCAGGAACGACGAACGATGCCGTGGTGAGGTGCGTCGAAATTGGACACTGAGATAGGGCCAATGCAAGGAGCACAGCGCTGGCTGTGAGGAAGGTTCGTGCATATATAAACCAAGAGGTGAGGCGTGGGTCGTTGGCGTCATTGCGATCCGACGAAAATTCCTCTTCTTTATCTTTAAGATGGTCAGCACCTATGGCAAGGATATCTGAGGTGACACAGATGGTTATCTGCGAAGACAATCGCATCAACGACATTATTTGGTATCAAATTAATGAACGTACCGGTCTCCAGTCGATGCTTCCATTGACGGACATGACATAGGACATAAGTGTTGACAGGGCCAAGCTGTTCAGGGATATTACGATGGGTTGCAGAAAGAGTTCATCTGCAAGCTTCGAAATTGTGAGGATTGACATATTGATTGATACTATTGAAGAGAAGGTAAATGATACTCTCCCCCGTTCTTTATACTGGTGCAACCGCTGTCCGTACTGACTCACTCGCGAGATTGGCACTGATCAATCCAAGTCATCTTATTGGTGCGAGGTTAGAATCAACGTTCAAATTTCAAACCTGTGTTTTTTCAGCGTGCTGCACCCCCGGCTTTCAATTCCTTGCCTACCATTGATGTATAAATGGTTATGTCTGGCAAAATTATGTATCTCCAAAATCGTCGTGGTTACGATATGGAGGACGTTTGAATTCACTGATGGCGGTGGCTTAGGCTCCCGATATCTGTGGGCCGAGTCAAAGGCTGTGCGAAAAGTCGCACAAAAAGTTCCATAGTCCGGCTCGGGTTGTACTACAGACGGTGTCCTACAGCAGTTGCGGAACTATCAGCAAGTCTAGGCTTTATCTGGCTGGCCAGTTGTCACACTGCCTCTAGACCGCTGTAGAGTTCACATAATCTACATAAATACTGTCTGCGATACTGAAAAATAAGCTTTTAGTATTACTGCCTTTTGGCATAACAGTTAAGGGACGACAGTCTTAGCTAAGTTACAACCGCGCTTGGAATCCATGTGGACGGGCATTAATTCATCGATCTGTTGGTGAGCAAGAGCGGTTGCTCCCTGCTTACTTGAAAGATTGAACAGTATTCGAGAAGCAAGAACATTGTACTCAACAATCATGATGGGACTACCCGAAGGCAATACCGACAGACAAGTCTCAGGTATTCGTGTGCTATGCAGCACTCGCATTCGAACATTTTGGCTTGTATTCGGATTCCTATGATGCAAAGCGGTGTTAATCGGTCTGGTTGCCTGTCTCGCGGATTTGTTTTTGGGAGATGGTTTGTTGTCACGGAAGTTGGAATTTTGTATTATGTTAGTTTTAAGGCAAGGGGTACCCGCTTGGGAAAAATGTACAAGAGGCCACCTTACGCCGTTAAGGCCCTCACAGACCCTCCTCCCCTCATGTTTGGCATTTCCCGAGCGGGTACCCCTCGTTTTAAGGCCGCGGATGTGCCAGTTCCCGACTTCGCCGACCGCAGCATAAGTCCCAGATGCCGATCACGTGTACTGTTCGTGCGAAACCTCTACAACCTCCTAGTACGAGCTTCTTATCTTATTCATACTGAACAAAACAATTCAACTAGATAAAGGCCGAGCTTCGCCAGCGGCAACCTTGTACCACTAGAATGGGACTGAACTTCCACATCGGGGATTCCAATATTTAAGACTAGTTTGAATGTTGTGCGAAATGTTAAGATAATACTTAATATTTAGGTTGTCGTCTAGGCGGATGTAAAATTTTAAATATTAAAGAGATCTTGCACGACAAGAGAAATATAAAGTATCAGCGAACATTTTGTTACTGTCTGGATGTCAATGATAATAAGAAATATAAATATATCTTTAATGCTGGCATAAACTTCGAAATGAAACTTCACATTTAAGACTCGAAAAAACTTCAACTATCGCACGTGACTGAATGCCTGCTCATGTATGAAGTTTAGACCGTCGCTTAGATGGGCGTTAAAATTCGAAATACCCCCTGACAATAAAACGTGAAAAGAAATCATCAAGTTTTATCTCCAAATAAAACTAATCGCCCGACGATCGCCCACTCACGGCTGAATCATCGCCCACTTACAATGACATCGCCCACTTAAGTTTGAGATGCGAGACATCAGCAAATCCCGAGGTTCCTTTTCATCCCTTAATGTTTCCTTGTATACCTTAATCTGCGTAATAAGACAATTTCAAGAAACTCGTTCACACTTAAAATAAGGAAAATAAGGAGGTCCATCTCCTTAAAAATCTCCTTAAACCTCCTTAGAATAAGGAGGTCATGATTCTCAAGGTGGTTAGATCAAAAAAGGCACTATTATTTGAGACATGGAGTGAGATACAAAAAAGGTAGGCTAAGGGGAAATAAGGAGGTCGACGAGTCAAAGGACAAAAAGGAGCAGATGATATTAAGGCAGCAGGTCCAAAAAATGTCGAAAAATGCATAATAGTGCGAGTGGCAGCTGTGCAAATAGATGAGACTGAAGGTAGGGAGGTGGACATATGAGTTCTGTAGTAGGATATCGGTGTCAGATTGAGAAAAGTACTAAGAGACAGAAAAACATTACAGATGCAGATACGTGAGCGCGGATTCACGGGAGCTTGAGTGTCACCATCGGCACTGTCATCCTGACCCCTGCGGTGTGCGCGCTTTAGGAATGGTTGGGATCACGCAACAATCTCCAGGATGCGTCCAAGGGATAGTTCATCAATTCGTTCCATGTAAGCAATGGTGTCCATCTCCCAGTTGCCCGATGAAAATGCAGTACCGGTATTGCTCATCTTGTTCGTGGCTTGATTAAGCGTCAATGCGATCTTGTGCAGTTTCTTGTCATTGTCCGAAGTGTCGTCCAGTAGTATAAGATTGTCCCGAGCCAAAATAAGTGTGCGCTCGGCCTGCAAATGAGAAGTGATTAAGTCTTACAGAAGCAGCGAAAAACTTACAGCTGCAGTTGCCAGTGCAAGCGCAGCTTGGTGTCCAGGTAAGCCACAGTCAATTATGTCAATTTTCTCATATCCTTGCATAGCATTAAGGTGGGTGGAAAAAACACGCAAGATGAATTCAGACAGAAAGGCTCCAGGTGAGTCCTCATTGTCCGGGTCTTCATACACGCAGCGCGAGTCCTTGAGCTGATATTCAGCATATTCCTTTCATGCCTCGGGAGCCTGGAAGTCGTCATTCGAAGCAAAAAACATCACCAGGACACTGATGGCAGTGGAGCCAAAGACTCCCCTCCACTCTGAAATCCTTTGACAAACCTGCTGAAATGTAGTTTACTGACTTGAATACGAAATAATATTTTACTCACCACATGAAACCCACCACTCCAGCTGTCGGCCTCAAATTCTCCGGGTGCACCATTGTACACTACGCTGAAAATATCATAGCAGACGTCTGAAAGTTTGTCATCGGGGATGGTCCAAGGATAGTTAGAGTTTCCAACCCAGTACATTACTGCTGGAAGGAATTTAGAATGCCATTTTCCATTCTGAGCATCGCTGGGTAAGTGAGTGTTCTTGGGTTTTTCTTTCTTGAGGCTTATCGTCTTTCATCGGTTGACTGCACTTTCAGTTTTGACAGGCTTCGAGTCATCTGACTCAACAATATCAACTGACATCTGTCGAAGGAATTTGTCAGCTCTCTCGCGCTATGTCAGTAAATTGAAAATTCTGCATACAGAGGTTGTGAGCCGAGTTTTCACTGCTTTGTTGGCCTAGTAGATTTGTGGTAAGTGATTCACCAGTTGCGTTATCTGATCCTTACCTTGGTACCAACCTCAGGCAGTTGCTGATCTACCATCTCGACATCATTGTCCACATCTTCTACTGGATCATTGACATTAGGGCCTTCATCAGCATCTGGATCATCTCGGACTTCACATTCTTCTTCTTCCTCCAACAAGTCAGAAAAGGCACACTTCTTTCCCCTGGACGCATCTTTAGCAGTCTGAAACATATGCACAACATCCTGCCTTCATTCCAGTATACTACCCATGAAGGTGCAATTTCACTCACTTTCCCAGCCCGATTTTTAACCATTTGCTCGTCAAATGTCTCAGGTTCATCAACATCTTCTGTCCACTCCGAGTTGTTGTTCGAGACCGCTGACAATACTATTAGCCTTGCTCAGAAACACAAGTTAATCCATACCCTGAGCGCTTCGTGTACTTGGTGGCGCAGAGGGCTGCAGTTGGGACTTGGACGCCACATTTTTCACCCACTTCGTTACTCCCACTTCCTCTGAACATGGTGCGGAAGACTCGGATGTGCTATGGGTCAGCGAACAAATAATATCAAAATAATACAAGGTGAGTTCTGATAGAAGCAGCATCGTTGTTCGAAATAGGAACTTACAACGTTCTTTTGATTTTCCCATCAGTGCTTCCCACACATGTCTGACTTAAAGTGGATACACCAGTGTTAGAAACCTTTCGATTCGCTTTGACACCGTCCTTAAAGGTGGTCTTCAAATCTTGATACTTGTTCTTCCCCGTGTTCACAGCATTTTGAGTTGTGTTTGCACTGCCAGCTATATCAGTCAAATTTTAATGGTAAGTCCTTGCAATAGTATTTTGGATTGCCGTGAATCGCTTGCTTACATGTTTTAGGGCCCGGCATAGTTGCCGCTGCATTTTCCGAGTCCAGGGACGACACTAAGGGTTTAGTCTTCTTCGATAGTGGGCAAGGCTTCGGTCTAATGAGCGGTCCAGGGCCAGCAAGCTGGGCACTCTGCTCAACAGCCATGGCATCCTCCTTAGCAGCAATCTGCTTGTGAGTACTGTCCAATGCAGCAGCCTTAGCTACTTTCACTGCTGCTTTCTGACTTTTTTCAGCCACGACCACTTTCCTGGGACATTGTACTCAATTTGCGTCAAGGACAATTTGTCCTGGGTGCTTATTAGCATTGCTGGGGCATGTTGTGACTCGAGGCATTTGAATAGAAGAAAACATCGACAGTAGGTGGATATCAAATGTGGGGTGGTAGAGAAAGAGGCAAAAACAGTGAGGCTTTTTATTTAAACATGTAATAGTGTACAATTCATGCACTTAATGCAGCTCAAACTCTGCATCACTCCCCAGTACTTTGCTGCCACCTTATCCACTGCCCAACATGGCCCCAAGGACGATCAGGCTTGTTTGTCAGGCTCCAGGCTGCAACCGTATATTCAAAAACAAGTCTGGTCTGACGAAGCACAATCACATGAAGCATTCAGTACTCCCGCAGATCAACCAAACTGTCCCAGGTCCTGGCTTCATAGCTCCAAGGGCACGATCTCCAACTACAGCAAGGGAAAATGATGATCATTTTCATCATGGTGCAGAGGATGAGCAGGAGAATCCAGGATTTGTACCCAAAGAAGGTACTTGGGTGGACACGGGACGCTTGCTCCGTGTGTTCCATCCACATCTCACAGGTAGGTGTCTTTTATCGAGTCCTTCCTTGCTATCTAATTGAACTGGTTTTTATCACAACTCAGGGCTTAAATGTGACGCTGATGGTGCATTTATTGAGCAAGATATGCCTCCCTTGCCGCTTATGGATGCCCCACCAACCGACTGGACACCTTATCAAAACAGAGTCGAATTTAAGACAGCAGAATTCCTCTTCATGCAGAACCAAATGTCCACAAAGCAAATTGACACGCTCCTCGACTTATGGGCTGCAACCCTCATCAGGCACGATGATGCTCCTCCCTTTGCAAACCACAAGGACATGCATGCAGCCATCAATGCGACCCCGGTAGGTGATGTCCCCTGGAAGAGCTTCATGATGTGCTACAACGGCATCAAACCACAAGACAATATACCGCCGTGGATGACCACCAAATATGACGTGTGGTGTAGAGACCCACTGGAACTTGTGTGCAACATGCTTGCAAATCCTGACTTTGATGGGGAAATCGAAGTTTCACCCTACTGTGACTACACCACTGACAACAAACAGTACTGGATTATGTCAGGTGATTGGGCATGGAAGCAAGCAGTACATTTTTTCAAGTCATAATCATAGCATGCTGACAATCATATTAAGGATCTTATTGCTCAAAATCCGGAGACCCATGGTTCAACATTCGTGCCACTGATCATGGGAAGTGACAAGACAATTGTCTTGGTTGCTACTGGACACACGGAGTATCACCCACTTTACCTATCGATTGGTAATATTTTGAATAGTGTGCGATGTGCACATCACAATGGCATAGTACTTGTTGGGTTTCTTGCTATACCGAAAAGTGAGTACCCACACGCCAATATCTCATATCATAAACCCACGTTGTTTGTCTAGGCACAAGAGAACATAATGGGTGCAGTCATTACAGAAACTTCTGGCGACAACTCTTCCAGCGGTCCCTTACAAAAAATTTTGAATCTGTGAAAATGTTCATGGAAACTCCTGATATCACATGCTTTCCGGATGGCCACTTTCGACAAACAATATATGGCATTGGCCCATACATTGCTGATTACCCAGAGCAGGTAATGCTATCTGGTGTCATGCAGCGATGGTGTCCACGGTATGACAAAATTTGTTTTATTTATATTTTTTCTTAGTACATGCTTTATAGGTGTCTGGCAGATCCCAAAGATCTTGACAGTGGTCGGCCTTGTCTGCATCGGCGTGAAGAACACACAGAGTTACTTGTTGACCAACTGACGTGTAAACAGCTGTGGTTCGAGTATGTGTTAAGACCGTAGCTCAAGGGTAGATGGATCCGAAGGGCTTGGCCTCAGCTCGTGTGCTGTGCCCCTTACCCGAGTACATGCCCTTAATTTCAGAATGAAGTCCAGATGGAATCTGACGAAGTCTGAAGGACTTCCGGAGGCTGGCTACTCTAGTAGAGTGCTAGAGGACTTCCGGATGAGTGCGAGAAACTTCCAGAGGAGTATAGGAAACTCCGGAGGAGTTTCATCCACTGTATTAGATCCAAAGGTAAGACTTCCCAAGGTAAGTTCCCTAGATGGAAACACATAGAGGAGGGACTGCAATGGACAGAGTCCAAAACAGGATAGGATAGAAGGAGTGGTCTGAAGGACAGGACGTCCGGAGGTCCGAAGGTTAAGACATCCGAAGGTTGCGTCGTCCAAAGGTTACAATGTCCGAAGGTTTACGAGGACCGGAGGAGCGGACAGGATTAGGACAGGAGGGGAAAGGCTACTACGGACAAGGTCCAGAGTATAAACAAACAGAGGTAGACTACACTTAAGTAGAGATGGAGTTGACAGGGTTTTAGACAGAAGTCTCGGAAAGACAGGAAGTGCTGGAAAGTGTCATATACCATATATCCGGTTACAGATCCGATGATCTGGATCTCAGATCCGATCCAGATCCGATGAACATATCCATCGTCCAGTCCACAGATCCGCTTTGATTCTTATTTCATTTCCTGTTCATATAACTCTAACTATCGTTCATCTCCTTTCGGTATTCCTGTACACCGGTATACCGGTTATCCTTTACTTCCGCTTTGCTTACTGATCCGCTATGCTTACTGATCCGCTACACTTACGAATCCGCTTTTACTTGTACTTCATTCCCGGTTCATGATTCGTGATCCATCCAACTTACCAATACGCTCCACTTAGACTTTGCTTATACTTTTGTACATAGCCTCGCACCTTTGCTTATTGATCATTCCGTTAGCTATCCGTAGTATATAAACCTTTGTATATGCGCTGTAGTAGATCAGTTCGAATATCACCTTAGATTGCACTCATTCCGTCTGGACTCTGAGTCCCTCCGTTATCCATCCGGACTTGAGTACGCTACTCTTGTCTACTCCGAGACTTAGGATAGATTCCTATAGTCTACATATCCGCCTCTGTCTTCGGACAGTCCTCACCCGTTAGTTTCTAGTCCGGATCCGATCCGGATTGGCCGTTACTCTATACGTTCGATATCCGGAAGTCTTAACGGATCCATTGCAATACTTATCCATTTCGCTAGACGCGATACTTTAGCTCTCTGAAATAAGGGGCAAGACTCGGGACAGGGGCACAGCGCACGAGCTGAGGCCGAAGCCCTTCGGACCCGATACTACTTGAGTACGGTCTTAACAGAAAGGCAAAACTTCGGTCTAGGGAATCAATCCCTAGACTTCAGAACAGAGACATAGGGGACAAATCCGAAGGTCCGGATTTCCGGCCTAGGGAATCCATCCCTAGGCCTTGATGGAAAGGCAGAACTCAGATGGACCAAAGTCCAAGACAAGAATGAGTGAATTCTAAGATGCAAGGGAGCAAGTCTATGTTGATATTCGAACTCTGGAAACTTTACAGGAGTTGTACAGATCTTTATATACTGGAAGGGATCTGAGAGGATCGGTAAGCTGAACACAAATGCTATGTACAAGCATGTGGAAACATATTAGTAAGTATGAACGGAACATAAGTAAATGAACTCGGATATGAACAGAGTACAAGGATCAATAAGCAAGACAGAAACAGAGATAACTGAAGTCCGGAGTCAAGGGGATTACCATAAGGAGATAGACACTGATTTAAGGTTTGGGCTTCGGATATGAGTATAGGTCGGATCCGGAGGTCTAGAGATATCAGATGAGGCATCTGGATATCGGATGAGCGGATCCGGAGATCTAGGTGAAGACGAGACTAGGATATGGATCATGGATATAGACTGGTAGTCTAGGGAAGGTAGAGTCTGAGATGGAATGAGCTCGGATCCGATAGGACTAAGGGTGGATGAAGCAGGCTTAGCTGCGGAGGTCCGAAGGTATGGATACATGGATGTATGAAGGTGTACGGATCCAAACCGATAGTGGACTGGAGGACTAAAGGCATGGATAAGGGTATGGAGTCATGGATAAGGGTATGGAGGTCCGGATGTGCATCCGGAAGGCGTCCAGAAGGCGTGGGAACATCATCGGATGAAGGTCCGGAATACGGGATATGACAGAATCAAACCAATAGTGGACTGGAGGACTGAAGGCATGGATAAGGGTATGGAGGTCCGGATGTGCATCCGGAAGGCGTGGGAACATCATCGGATGTAGGTCCAGAGTATGGGATATGACAGTACGGCATCATTGGTGATTTCATTGTAAGTTGCATACTGTTTAAATTTACCAGGCCTTATATAAATTCTCTCTGCTAGCCATTCACCAATGATTTCGCTCATGCAGATATTCATGAGCTTCTCTCCCCCGATCTTTTGCACCAAATCATCAAGGGAATTCTCAAGGACCACTTAGTTGATTGGGTGGAAGAGTACTTGACAATCACACACAGTGCTCACCATGCAGCCAAAATTATGGATGATATCGATTGCAGGTATGTAAACTATCGAATGTTCAACATTGACTACTGACGACACTAAAGGATAGCAGCAGTAGCCCCACTTGCTGGGTTACGATGCTTTCCAGATGGGTGCGGATTCAAGCAGTGGACTGGCAATGACTCTAAGGCATTAATGAAGGTACGCTGCAGTAAGTTCATCCTGTGCAAGTCAACTCATGAAATATTTAGGTCTATATACCTGCAATCAAAGATCACGTTCCTGAAGATATAACACGTGCGTTTAGCGCGTGCCTCGATTTTTGTTATCTTGTACAGCATGAGGCTCTCACTGAAGACGACCTTCTACATGTCCAAGAAGCCCTGGACCATTTCCATCAATACCAGGAGATCTTCAAGACAAGCGGTGCGACGAAGTCATTTTCTCTTCCCCGCCAGCATTCTATGTGTCACTACATCTTGATGATCCGACTTTTCGGGGCACTCAATGGCCTTTGCTCCTCCATAATGGAGTCTATACATATTAAAGCAGTAAAAGAACCCTGGCGCCGCTCTAGCAGGTTCAAGGCGCTTGGTCAAATGCTGCTAACAATTGAGGCACATGGCATGCTTCATGGCTCTTGCCTCTCTGAAGCTTTGCGAGAACTTCAAAAATGTGCGTGATCATTTGAAATGATATTTAGCACCTCTCATCTCACAACAGGTCGCTGTTACGAACTAGGATGGTTCTGACGTTTGGCTACTCGATAAGAGTAATCGGCCAAGGTCGGTTCAAGGCTTCGGCGTATACCGAAGTTCAATGGTTTCTAAGACAAGTCTAGGAGAGTGTCCTTGACTTGAATCACGTTCAATACGACTTAAGATTGGAGGTCTTTAAGCGAAGGAAGTTCCAGGTAAAACCTAGTAAGATTAAAGTAAAGAACTACATAGTACAGGGCGAGTTTATATAATGAACGGTAACGACTTTAGGGCCGGTACGATGAGGTCATAGAGACGAGTCATAGAGACGAGTCAGAGATAAGACGAGTCAGAGATAACAAGAATAGATCATCTAGCGACGGCAAGATGCGATCGTGATGTAATACAATGATGTAAGAGAAAGAAAATGAATAGGGGCGTACTTGACTGTAACATTACCCCGTTGTTATCGTTGAAGTCACCGATTTCAACAATCAAAGTTATCGTAAGCATCATAGTTGTCACGATCACCTGCGCATTGAACGAACATTCTCTCATCTTCTTCGATAGAGATCTGTTCTAAGGCGGCGTCCTTGTCAGCCTCCCATTTAGCGAGAGCTTCATAGAAGCCTTCATCCGTCCATACTAATGGGATAGGTTTCTCGCCTTTAAGGTCTTTACAAAAGACCGAAAGATGCCCTGGCGCGAGGTTACAGCATACGCGGCAGAAATATGTTGGGCAATTCTTGTGACGATGACCGAATTCTTTACAGTAGCAACATTTGAAGTTATCAATGGGTTCGGTTTTCACGATGGTGACGGGGGACGATTGCGGAGGCGGGGATGGTGTTTTGGAGCGTAGGGTATTGTTGCGTGAGGGAGGGGAGACGGAGATTTCACGTTTGGAGGGTCGTAGACGAATGGAGCGTGAGCGAGAGGTGGTTGCCGCCGGGGCAGTAGTAAGAGCAAACGGTACGACCGGTACATCAGAAGGAGTGCCAGTATCAGGCGTATGCTCAACGGGAGATAATGTCTCAACCGGAGGAGGGATGGGAACTGCGACATGAGGAGATGGCGGTCTGGCGATTGGGTTTGTTGCAATTCGTTCAGTAACAATATGGATGGCTTCTCTAACAACTTCCTTGGTAGAGGCAGGCATGAGACGTATCGCAGAGTTGCGAATGCGAATATGAAGATGACGGAAAATGGCCTTGAAGCGTTGGTCATTCTCGCTTTCACTGAGAAGGCCTGCGGTATGCTTGATGAGATTGGCGGCGCGAATAATGTTAATGAGGAGCGTGCTAGAGAGGGCCCCTTGTTCAGCAAGGAGGCGATCTATCTCGATAGCGTATTGCTCAGAAAGGAGGGCGGATTCAAAAGCGTGTTGGTTTCGATGTCGTCAAGGATGGTGAAATAGTTTGGCGATTCAATGGTTTCAGTCAAAGTGACGGACGTAGTGGATGGAGATGTGGCAAGGGTTTCGGACATATTATCAATGTATCGGACGAGAATTTGAAGTTGCAAGAGGCAAATCTGGAGAGTGCGGAGTTCTGAGAAAGACATCTTTTCGCGACCGCTCTTATAACTGGTGAGCTTTCTTATAAGCGGCGAGGATTGCGGAAGCGTTGTCAAGATTTTCCGTGGGAATCCATTCGTTACTGGCAGATGAATATCCTTTCCAGGATACGAGATAGCGTCTTCGTTTACCCGTGCCCTTGTGCGATAGGATTGCTTCGACTTCGTATTCTTCTTCGTTATCAATGACGTCAGGTGGAGGATCAGGGAAGTTAGGACCATGGATTTCGGTTTCGTGATAGGACGATAATTCGGAAGCATGGAATGTGGGGTGAACCTTCCATTGCTTTGGTAACTGGAGTGTGAACGTGATTGGTGACAGTACTGCGGTGATGGTAAAGGGGCCGTAGCGTTTCGGAGCGAGTTTTCGTGATGGTAACTGCGTGATAAGATTCTTCCCAGATAACCAAACCTTATCGCCAACTTTCCACGGTTGGTACTTCTTTCCGTAAGATCGTGCAGCCATTCGCTGCATTGCAAGATTGTGACAAGAGATAGCTTCTTCTCGTATTTTCTGAAGGAGACGAAGTCGCTCTTCTGCGGCGGGGACAGTGGAGTCTGGGAGTACATGGGGGAGAGCCCGTGGCTCGTATCCCATCATGAGGAAGAATGGGGATGCGTTGCGAGAGTCGTGTTTGCGATGGTTGTGAATGAATTCGGACATAGGGATATGTTCAACCCATTCTTCTGGGTTGTTACGGCAATAGATTCGAAGATAGGTTTCTAGTTCTTGATTCAGACGTTCGGTTTGACCGTCTGTTTGCGGATGATAAGCGGTGGAGGCGGCGATGTCGTATTTCAAAAGTTTTGCAAGAGCTTTAGAGAATTTGGATACGAACTGTGGGCCTCGATCTGAGATTACTTTCTCGTGGAGCCCGAAGCGGCGGTAGACGTATTTGAAGAATTTCTTTGCTACGCCTTCTGAAGTGATAGTCTTCGTACAAGGGATGAGAATTACCCCCTTCGTAAGACCATGGTCTACCACGACCATGATAGAGTCAAACCCGTTACATAGGGGAAGATCGGTGATGAGGTCGACAGAGACTTGGGAGAATGGGGTAGAGACCGAAGAAGGGATAGGAACCAACGGAGGTGTCATGGGATGGGTATCGGACTTCATTTGCTGACAAAGGGCGCAACCCTCAACGTATTTACGGATGTAGGTCCCCATAGACGGCCACCAGAAGTCGCGTTTAACCAGTTCTTCGGTTTTAGAGCGGCCGGGATGTCCCGCTGTAGCGTGGTCATGGGTGCGTTCTAAAATAGAGCGGCGTCCGGCTGGACGGACATAGGCACGATCTTTGTAAAATAGAACGTCATCTTTAATCGTCCAATCTGAGAGAGCCGATTTCATGGGAGGAAGGCAAAGGCCATTTAAGGCATCGGAGGCAGCTTGGAAGATGGGATCAGTGTCATCAGGATCAGGGTTCGCAAGAGTAGTCATGAGCTCTTGGTCAAGAAGGCGAATGAACATGGAATCGGGGAGGAGCGTCATGTCTTCGTTATCAATGGTATCGGGTGCATGATCAGGTCGTCGTGATAGGGCATCCGGTGCAGCCAGTTTGGTTCCTGGAACGTGGTGAAGTTCAATATCGTAACAAGAAAGAAGGAGCTGCCATCTGGCTTGGCGACGGGTTAACTTTTGCGCGGTACGGAAATAAAGGAGGTTCTTATGATCGGTGAAAACAATGATTGGATGGGGGTTTCCTTCCAAATAATGACGCCATTCTTGAAGTGCACGAATAACGGCCAGGAGTTCACGATCAAAGATCTGATAATTTCTTTCAGCGGGGTTCAGGGATTGGGAGAGGTATCCGCATGGATGATACATGCCATTCTCGTCCGTCTGTAGTAAGACAGCACCCGTTGCAACAAGAGATGCATCGGTGGCTACTGCGAATTGTCGAGACGGATCAGGGTTACGAAGGACAGGCTGTTTTAGGAAACACTCCTTTAACGTTCGAAATGCCTCTTGACACGGTGCGGACCAAAGGAAGACGTTATCTTTCTTTGTAAGGTCGATAAGGGGTCGTGCAATATCAGAGTAATGAGGGATGAAGTTCCGATAAAAGTTACAGAAACCTAGGAACGATCTGGTTTCCTTAACAGTGGATGGAGTTGGCCAATCGCGGATTCCGTCAGTTTTAGCAACGTCCATAGCTACACATCCGGGGCGAATAATCATGCCGAGGTATTCAACTTCTTGCGCGTCAAAGGTGCACTTCTCTGGTTTCAAGAAGAGTCGTTCTTCGCGGATCTTCGTGAGAATTCGACGGGTACGAGCGTGATGTTCAACCAGGTTATCCGAAAAGATGAGGATGTCGTCCATATAGATTACTAACCATCCTTCGTTGATTTCCTGTTGGAAAGTACGGTTCATGTAGGCTTGGAACGTGGCCGGGGAATTGCAAAGCCCGAAAAACATGACATTCGGCTCATAGAGTCCGAATTCAGTGGTGAACGCAGCTTTCCATCTATCATCAGGGTGAATGCGGATATTATTATAACCGGATCGGACGTCCATCTTGGTGAAATACTTTGCTCCATGTAACCGTGCGACAAGGGATAAGGGAAGCGGCAAGGGGTAGGTGTTCTTGATCGTCCAATAGTTGATATATCGATAATCTTGACAGGGTCGGAGATCTCCACTCTTCTTTCCTACGAAGAAGAAACCGCTGGCTTGTGGCGACTTAGACTCCGAGATAAAACCTTTCTTTACGTTTTCGTCAATGAATGCTTTGACGGCGGTTCGTTCGGCGATAGAGAGGGGATAGATTTTCGACGTTTTGGGGATGAATCCGGGTTTCGTCTCAATGCGATGGTCAATACCGGGTCGTTCAGGAGGGAGTTGAGTAAGACCGTCTTTAGCGAAGATATCAGCGAAGTCGTGGAGATAGGAGGGTACGAGTTCTTCGAAAGTTTTCTTCTTCTGTTCTAAGCCCGCAGCTAGAGCGAACTGCTGAGCTTTGTTACTAACTTTCGCGTATTCCGTAGACCGTGGCAAAGGTTTGACCGTAGTTTTCTGTTCAGAACGACTGGTACCATCCGGGGTCAATGGCGTATCCATGGTAGTATTTGAAATTACCCGGAGTTCGGATGCGTCAAGGGAGTATTCCACCAGAAATTCGTCGTCATCTAGGTCATACATAGAGACTTCTCGCACTGGTGCGGCAAAGTTCTCTTGCGTCCAGACATCTTCCTTGGTATCAAAAGTCTCATCATCTTCGTCGGGGATGGGGAGCAGATCAGGTAGTGAATCAGTGGGGGAATAGACGTGTGGTGCTTCTTCGTCAACGATCTCTTCGATGGTTGCCTTAGGATAAATGACAGGGGTTTCGGCGATTGGTGCTTTCTTAAGTTTGGATTGCTTCCAAGTCCGATCTATGGGTTCTTGTCGAAATAGAAGTGGAAGATCGTTCTTCTTCCTTTCTTTGTCGACTTCTTCTTCAACTTGATTACTCTTTTCCGTTCGAGAAAGGATAAGAGTTTCAGCTGCCCAGTCAATAACCGGGTTCATAGCCCGTAGCCAAGGGATCCCTAAGAGAATCTGATCTCTTCTGCCAAGACGTGTGACATTAAACTTCCCTATCATAGTTCGTTCGTCAATCTTGATGGTGAGAACGCAGTATCGGCGTATAGCTCCGCTTTTGGAATAGCTTCCATCGGCGGTAGTAACCCGGAAAGGTTTACTAAGGGCGTGGGTTCGGATCTTGTGTTTCTTGACGAAGTCTTCTGAGATAAAGGTTCCGGCTGCTCCGGAATCAACAACTGCGGTGGTTTCAACGGTTTTCAGACGTGTTTTCGAAATGAGGGAAAGGGGAACCCGAAGTTCTTTTCGTTCACCAACTTTTCGTACAAGTCTTATGGGTACATCGAGAGATACTGACGTTGATCCAGTCTCCCATATCAAAAATCCTCGTTGAGACGGCGGACTTCCGCTTCTTCTTCTTCTTCATCATCGCTGCTTTCTACTTCTTTGCGGCGTACCGGAGTCTTTCCTTTCTTCTTCTCTGGACAGTTCTTAAAAAGATGTCTGGTCTTGTGACAGGTGAAACACTTTCCAGTTCGGAAATGTTCCGCGCACTCTTCTTCGGAAAGCCGATCAATTACCATGGCGTTGGGGTCTCTAGATGGCACATATCGGTTAGATCCGAAGTTCTTCTTCTTCTGGGGTTGGTTGCGCGCCCTGATGGTGTTTAGGTGAAGGCGTGAGTTGTCGAGATTGATACAAGTGGAGAGGACAACTTCGAAATCGTCGGAGACATCGCCCGTGCCGTAAAGGCGAGCGAGCAGTCCTGGGTGCAGTCCGTCTAGGAAGAATTGCTTCTTCGCGACGTCGCCTTGAATTCCTGCCCGTCGTGTGAGCATCAAGAACTCCGAGATGTAATCTTGAAGTTCGGTTCCTTGTTTAAGGTTACGGAGCTTGGCTAGCGCCGTTCCTGAGGGATCAAGCGGCCTAAACGCGCTTTTGAAGTCGGCAAGGAATTCAGTCCATGTACCGTATCCTTTGACAAGGCCTGCGGTGGTCTTATTGTTAGGGTCTTGCGCTTGTCTGAGGAAATCTTCCTTCCAGTAGCGCGCGTTCCCTTCATTCATGAAGGAGGTTACGAAAATGATCTTCTGTTTGTCGTCGACATAGATTTTCTCGTTAATATCGAGATAGGACTGGCATGACATCAAGAATCCTTCGGATTTATCTCTATCCCCGTCAAAGACCGGGGGAGAACCGATTTTGATTTCAATGGGTTTCGTAGAAGACATTGGGGGGTTCAAAGGTGGTAGGGGTGGTACAGCACCTAGGTTCAAAGCGCCAAAGATTGGTGTCAAGGACGTCAGCTTGTTAGCTTCTGGGGACCTGGGGTTCTATCTGTCGTGATGACCAGGGTTTGTTCTGTTCTGGTTTTACAACGCGTGATAGCGATGTATTCGTAAAAGGACTTTAATCTTTTGTTACGAACTAGGATGGTTCTGACGTTTGGCTACTCGATAAGAGTAATCGGCCAAGGTCGGTTCAAGGCTTCGGCGTATACCGAAGTTCAATGGTTTCTAAGACAAGTCTAGGAGAGTGTCCTTGACTTGAATCATGTTCAATACGACTTAAGATTGGAGGTCTTTAAGCGAAGGAAGTTCCAGGTAAAACCTAGTAAGATTAAAGTAAAGAACTACATAGTACAGGGCGAGTTTATATAATGAACGGTAACGACTTTAGGGCCGGTACGATGAGGTCATAGAGACGAGTCATAGAGACGAGTCAGAGATAAGACGAGTCAGAGATAACAAGAATAGATCATCTAGCGACGGCAAGATGCGATCGTGATGTAATACAATGATGTAAGAGAAAGAAAATGAATAGGGGCGTACTTGACTGTAACAGTCGCAATAATCATGAAGATAGCGACTTGGATGAGGACACAATGGTTGACCCAGCACTTGAAGATCTCCCTGGGCGCCTGCAAGTTCATGAACTTCAAAGTCAATCCATTGAGGGAGACGACATTGAAGTTCTCGATGGACCATTTGTGGAATCTCATGTTGAACTTGGAGTGACAACCCGTAAGTCAATTCATATGCTCCTCGACCCACCCTTCTTCATGATACTTAGGTTGTGTCCTGAATGTCAATACACTCGGCCTTCAACTCAACCTTCCACATTTCCCTGCCATGATTCAAGAATTCCTCCACGACCAACTCCATTCAAAGGACCCAACCCTGCTCCTTTCAATCCTGCAACAGCCCCGATATTCTTGGGGAAAGTGACACTTTTTAACTCTGCTGCTGCGACATTCTATGCGCCTAGTGATCTGAGCGGTACCGGAGGCATGTGCCGTGAGCATATCTGGTCAACACCATCATGGCGGGGTGGCGCGGCTAGGCATGATTGCATTTTCGTTAACTTGGATGCTGACATGGACTCTCCCATGGGCGGGCTTGCGGTTGCGCAGGTCCTATGCTTTTTCTCATTCAAGTATCGAACATCATATTTTACTTGTGCTGTTGTCTGTTGGTACTCTCACGTACTCGAAAGATGTGATCTGGACACGGGCATGCATATTGTCACACCTGCAACAACTGATGATGGTACTCCAGATATTTCAATTATCCATATCGATTGCATCTTTCGTGCTGCCCACCTCATTCCAGTATACAGGCCAAATTTTATTGCTCATGGAACTAATCCACATGACTCGTACAATGACTTCGACTCATACTATGTCAACAAATACGCAGATCATCATGCTTTTGAGATAGCTTGACCTCAGGTAGGTATTATGGGACCGTGTACAGCGGCCTTAAACTCACTGTTGATAACTTTCTAGAGACGTTCTACTGATGGTGGACCGTGCTCGATGTCGTATCACATTACAGCGTGTCCTCAGGTAGGTATTATGGGACCGTGTACAGCAGCCTTAAACTCACTGTTTATAACTTTTAGAGATGTCTACTGATGGTGGACCGTGCTTGATGTCGTATCGCGTTACAGTGTGTCCTCAGGTAGGTATTATGGGACCATGTACAGTGGCCTTAAACTCACTGTTTATAACTTTTTAGAGATGTTTGTGCTCAATGTCGTAATGTGTTACTTCAGGCAAAAAAGAACTTGAATTTGGGCAGGGAAACATGGAGGTTATACTGGTACAAGGCTAATGGCATGAACTTTTACAGGCAGAGTCACTGCGACAAGGCTATCAAGATGATCAGTGAGTTCTTGTCAAAAATAAGATGCCCTAGCACTCACCAGCAGCAGCAGTACAGTTGAGCGACATGTTGTGCCCCTTCCTGCCCCAAAACCACCTCTCCCAGCAACCAAGCGAGCCTTCCGCTATCGCCTCCGCCTCTTCTGCCATCGCCTCTGCCCTGATCGCCTCCTCCGTGCGAAATGCTACATCCGACCACTGACATCTCTTCTGAAACCTCCCTCGTCTGCAATAAGCCGATTTTGAAGCCATGTAACGTACTATTGTCTTGTCAATCAATGATTGACGGGATACCAGTGACCGTAAAACTTACCGTTTGTTTTTTTCCTTCAAACTTTTGCGTTTTGAAACTGCTTGTTCATCGTGCGCTTATTTTTTTCGACTATTCGGAACATGCTAATTAGTCAGCAAATAGATGTAAATATGTTGTATTGATTTTTAAAACATATGCATTTAGTGATGCAGCGGCCTTGATTCACTTGTGTGCCTTCGCTGCCTTGTTCTAAGTATCTTGCCTTAGATTACCTTAGGTACACTTGTAATTACATCAGTCCTTAGAAAAATTGAACTAAGTACGAAAATAGTGACTTATGTGCCTTAGCTGCCTTGATAATATTTTTAAGTAATCTAAGGGACGAAAAGGAACCCGGGGATTTGCTGATAAATATTGTACATACACAAATTGACTCTACACACATCTACTGTACACAAATCTACTGTACACAAACATAGTAGAGTGAAACTGAAGCCTGTTTGACAGTAGTCAGACACTGGTGATTTCTCGAGGTGAATGAATGTACTTACAAAATCATTTCAACTTGCATACAGGCTAGTGCTAATTCTCTGTAAAAGCTGAGCAGGAGATTAGAGACGCACAAGTAACAACCAATTTATTCTTACCACTTGCTTGGGTGGCAAGAAAACTGCAAGATGCCGCGTTGACGTTTTTCATCATTTTGTTGGTGCCCGGATTGAATTTGAGTGAGCCTTTCCACTGCGAGCCAGACATTGGACCATTAGCATCATTAGTGAATTTATGTCGGTCTCGTGAAATGCCCTGTCAAATGTTGTCCAGGCATGACTGGAACCAAGATTCGCATCAACTGGACCAGAACCCAACATTTAGTCCTGAGGCAGCCCAGGCCTGGGGCCTAGGCCACCAGGAGACAATTTCAACATTCCTGTCGTCTAGATTATTATTCAAATATAAGCGCCTCTGTCAATGTAAATGAGAGAAACTTACTGGTATGCGCATAATACGTCCCACACATGAAATCTACCTCCTCCTCTGACAGCTCATCATCAAAATAAGTCTGGCCATTAATGTCCAGCATGAGGCCAAACGGCACCGCTTCCCATGAAATGCCGTCTAGAACGGAGGGGAGAACATCAAACCCAAGACTATGTAAAGCCAGCCGCCATATGAGGCCACCATGAAGAAGTGCTGCTCTTGCGAGAGGCCAGTTCATGAACTCGTGACGGTGCTGCTCGTACACAATGTAGTCAGCAAAAACAGGCCTAAAACAGGCGAGCCTGCGATCCTGGGGGGGGAGGACATGTCTGAGCGAGTATGTACGGAGTTCCGTAATTGGGCGTTGAGCGTGAGGCAGAACTGAGATTGGCTGTAACGTCTTTATAGCGATTCCTTTTTCAAGGAGGTTACATGCGATCTGGGTGATATCCGAACCCCAGTCACGCTGGAGGCACATCACAGCCGTAATAGCATCGGGAATTGCCAGTTTCCAGGGCACCAGATTTTACAACAGTGACTCGATGATGTAGAGCTGCTGCTTGGGTTGTTGCACATAGGAAACTCGAATGTGTGCGTTTGAGACTGACAGGGACGAGTCAGGTCCTAGATCCCAGAGATTGGGCGGGATATCTGACAACTGAGATTGAGGGAGGGTGATGAGGTATCCTATAAAACATGTGATAACATGCTTCTGTGTGTCTGGAATTGATGTGATATTTGTGGGGGTGTTGCTGACAAGTTTGCATAAGTGAGTCCACTGTGTCTTGCGAGTCCAATCATCGAATGTAGTCGATCTGCCTTGGGGTGTAGTGGTGGATGCTGCAAGGTGATATCCGAGATGAAAATGCAAAATCAAGACAAATTGCTCAACACTGCGAGTGTATTGCGTTGAGGGTGCAACCTCATAATGGCCAAAGTAGGCTTCAATGTCTTTCAAGAAACTGGACAGGGGTGGTGGAGGGGGAGGGGGAGCAGGGGTAGGTTCAGAAGGAGCAGATGCAGGCGGGAAATTATCTTCCTCCCAATTGCCATTGGGAATGCTGGTAGGATCCAAGGCATTGCATAAGTCCCACTTGTTACGGAACGAATCATATACCCTGGTAGATTTGCTATACAACATCCAAGTTGTTGGTATCTCAGCCTTTGTGAGATGGATGCATTGATGAAAGCCGCCAAACTCATCATCAGGCTGCCATTCAAACACCACAGTTGTGCTGCATTTGCCAGGCATGCTGTGGTTCATGGCTGAATGCTCATGGCTCTGACGCAACTGCCGTTGAGCTGGCATCTCCTTCTCCTCTTTCCTCTTGTTCTCCTCATGGCGCCGTGCAAAGAATGCCTTCCAGTCTTCTCCTCACTTCTGTCTAGAGTGGGGTTGGGGGATTGGGAACTGAGAGTCCACGTGTGCTTCAGGAACATCAGACATAGGCTGTGCCCCACTGTTCTGACCCCATCCAACTACACTACCGTCCCATCCAAGGGCACTCTGACCGTTGTTGACCGGTTGACCCCATGTACTGTCACCCTGCTGACCCCACGCACTGTCGTCCGGCTGACCCCAAGTGTCAGGCGTCTGCTCCCATTGAACTGCCTCGGTCGCATGGGTGACAGCTGCCGGAGACAGGATATAATGACGCGAACTAGAATCAACGGCGGCAGTATTCTGAGGAAAGCGGACCCAAATCAGAAGCGAGAATTTCTCAAACATGGGTAATTGAACTTGCCAAGGACAGTGAATGGAAGAGATCAAGGCTCCCGTACGTGGCACGTTTGTTGTCAGATCTCCAACAAATGAGCGTGACAACTCAAGAACCCATTCAGCGGGTATTGAATGTTGGGGGGCACCCATTAAGATAGCCATCCATGCGCGATCGGAATATTGGTATCAATGACTCATGATGTACCATGAGCAGGTGGCGGCAATTACTGGAAATCTGTCAGGCAATCACGAACAATGAATAAACTGGTTGACTTACATAGAAATGCGTTGTGTGACCTTATTGCAATCTTTTTAGCAAGGTTAGCATCTGTATGCCACCTTTGGTACACATAGGTAGTTGGAGCACGTGGAAGTTTAGTCCCCCACAGAATGAATAACCCGGCACCCAAACATTCCATGCACCAGAGCATTTTCTGCTCTAAGTCGGCCCATTTTGCCAGAATATCGCGGTGTGACAATCATATTGGCACTAGGCATGTATACCTGCATAAGCACTCAATAGGTGGACCAAAGTAATCCCTCATAATATTCACTACTCCCCTATCAGCAGTCTTCACTTGTCTCAGCCATAACCCTTGTCCGACGCTATTCCACACTTTCCCACACTATGCGCGCACATTCCCGCAGCGCTATTCATGCTCCTGCGACTTATCCGACGCTATTCCCGCGCTTATAGCGCTGTCAGAACCACCAGCAATGTGTTTTAGGTCCATTAGTGCATGTCCGCTCTATCTAGCACTTATCCAGCGTGCTGTTCTCGCGCTCTAGGAATCACCCGAAATGTCGGAATCCATCCATGGTCCATCCTACCTCATTGGTATGTAATTTGCCTTGCCTCGAGTTTGTAACAAGTGCTACAGTCTCATTACATGTATATCCTATCCCTTCCGAGTCCGAGATGGTATAGTTTACTAGTATAAGAAGCCTATGGTGATTACTTTGACATTACTTCCCTTCGACTGTATTTCCTTCCCCTTAGGTTTTACTTAGAAGTAGTCACCTTTAGTTGCGCTCTATAGCCCCTATTGGTTTACCTTGACTTTCCTTACCCTTGCAATCAATACTCTTGATCTCACTCGCTATCCAGCACCCTCCTTTGACTCAGTGTCCATTTTTCTTGACTCCTGCTTTTTCCCACGCATTAGCGCTCCACTACCGATGCATTAGCGCTCCACTACCGACGCATTAGCGCTCCACTACCGACCCAATAGCGACCATCTACCGACCCGCACTTCCGCTTTTCTCGCACCATAGTGCTCTATAGTTGCAACATACTTTCCCGCGCACTAGCGCTCTATCTTGCGACGCGTTATTCCTGCGCTTTAGCGCTCTTTGGGTCTTTCTATCTTAAGTTGTTCTTAGTAGCTTTTCCCTTGGGTTGAACGTTCTTGCTTTATTGTTTGCAAGTATAGCAGCATAGGCAGAGCTTAGACATATACTGGCTTAGTACCTTTACAAGTGCCTAGTCAGGTTGTGTTTTTCACAGCGGTGGAGGATGTGCTTTCCCTGCAGGATCTACCTCTGTAAGGAGGGAAAACCTGGAGTGGTTGAGGCATCCAAAGATCAGCCCATCGAAGCTAGGATTCACAGGTACAAGGGGAAACCACGGATGAGTTCTGTATACCCAGCGAGTAGTGAGTGGCGTAGTACTATCGTTGGGAGAATAATCGTAGTCTTCGCAAGGATCCCAAGGAGGCTCACAAGGCAGGACGTCGGGAAGGGAGTGTGTGGTGAGAGAGTTATAGACCTGCCCATCACAGACGAGGACATGGAGATTGTTACTCATGGAAGCGAGGAGACGCGAAGAATATCGCAGTCAAGACTACCGCAACAGTACAAACTGTTACATTATGTGTAGACCAGAGAGTTAAGAATATTGAAGTCAAGACTACCGCAACAGTACAAACTGTTACGTTAAATAAGGAAGAAGGTATGTAATGAAATGAGACTTCGGTGCGTCTAATATAGCAGTAGTGGAGTTTCAACAAACAATTACCATATTAGTGTGGTCTGTGCGGAATGTGGTCTGTGGATTGAGACAAGCGGAGGAAAACAGAACAAACAACAGAATTTCAACGAGTGATTACCATATCAGTGGCAACAATGCCAGGGCTGTGGCTTAAGATGAGTGGAGAAAATACAATGAAAATAAAAACAGAATTTTGACTGTGGTTTGAGACGTGAGTAAAGAACTACTGAACGAGGATGTCATTTTCAGATAATTAAGAATACAAATTTTGACACAGGCATGTATTAGAACCTTATGTGTATGGCCGCGGGTTGTCAATGTGTCCACCCAGTCTGACTTGCTGAAAGTTACTGTGGAGTTAAATGGCCGTCTGGTCTTTCATTTTGGGTTCGAGTTGGCGTTCACAGGGTTACGGTTAGCTAGTTAGTTTGACGATTGCTAGTCATGTGTGAAGATGCCTGATGTCGAGACAAGTTCACTGAGTCACCGTCATTTAGAAAAACGTGTTTTGCCCATGAAGTCTGAAGAGAAGCGGAGTTTGTCTCCAACCAGCTAATATTAGAGAGTTAACTTGGAGTTGGGACATTGACGATGGCGATGGAGGCAGAGAACGCTGGGTGGCATGACCGTACATACAGTCATGCCCTGGAAAAGGTCATTGAAGGTCGTTGTCGATGAGTTTCTGCCCAAGTTATATCTGCAATAGGCGGCATGAATGACACAACCTGACTAGGCACTTGTAAAGGTACTAAGCCAGTATATGTCTAAGCTCTGCCTATGCTGCTATACTTGCAAACAATAAAGCAAGAATGTTCGACCCGAGGGAAAAGCTACTAAGGACAACTCAAGATCGAAAGACCCGAAAGAGCGCTAAAGCGCGGGAATAGCGCGTCGCAAGATAGAGCGCTAATGCGCGGGAAAGAGCGGAAGTCAAGAAAGTGGACACAGAGTCAAAGGAGGGTAATGAATAGTGAGTGAGATCAAGGGTATTGATTGCAAGGGTAAGGAAAGTCAAATAGGGGCCATAGAGCGCAACTAAAGGGTGACTACTTCTAAGTGAAACCTAAGGGAAAGGAAATACAGTCAAAGGGAAGTAATGTTGAAGTAGTCACCATAGGCTTCTTATACTAGTAAACTATACCATCTCGGACTCGGAAGGGATAGGATATACATGTAATAAGACTGTAGCACTTTTTACAAACTCAAGGCAAGGCAAATTACATACCAATGAGGTAGGATGGACCATGGATGGATTCCGACATTTCGGGTGATTCCTAGAGCGCGAGAACAGCACGCTGGATAAGCGCTAAGTGCAGGAACAAGTGCTAGATAGAGCGGACATGCACTAATGCTCCTATAGACACATTGCTGGTAGTTCTTATAGTGCTATAAGCGCGGGAATAGCGTCGGATAAGTCGCGGGAGCATGAATAGCGCTGCGGGAATGTGCGCGCATAGTGCAGGAAAGTGCAGAATAGCGTCGGACAAGGGTTATGGCTGAGACAAGTGAAGACTGCTGATAGGGGAGTAGTGAATAATGTGAGGGATAACTTTGGTCCACCTATTGAAGGCTTATGCAGGTATACATGCCTAGCGCCAATATGATTGTCACAGCGGTCCAATGAAAGAGCAGAGTAAGGATGTTAAGCCCATGATCAATAAGAGGAGAATAACATCATGACGACGACTCACTTCATAGATCTGCAGTCCGATGAAAGAGCGGAGTAAGGATGTTAAGCCCATGATCAATATGGGACGAAGGGTCCTAAGGAAGACCAGGGAAAGGATGTTAAACCCATGATCAATAAGAGGAGAATAACGTCATGATGACTCACTTCATAGATCTGCAGTTTCTGCCCATGTTGTTTTCTGCGATAGGCGGTCCAATGAAAGAGCAGGGTAAGGATGTTAAGCCCATGATCAATATTGCCAGGAAGCGATGGATGTTGACTTGGAGTTGGGATGTTGGCGGGGGCGATGAAAGCAGAGAATGCCGGGCACGACCGTACATACAGTCATGCCCTGCAGAAGGTTGTAGAAGGTCATTGTCGACGAGAGGCCTGAGGCCTGATGATGATACAAGAAGCGAACACCGGGCATGACCGAAATACAGTCATGCCCTGGAGAAGGTCCTGAAAGGTCATTGTTGATGAGAAGTCCGGTCCAAGAGGAGAAAGGAGAATGCAGGGCATGACTGTACATACAGTCACACCCTGGAAGAAGGTGAGAGGAAGGTCGTTGTCGACAAGGAGAATGGTAGGCTCGACAGTACAAACTGTCGAACCTAGGAGAAGGTTGTAAAAAGACAAGTACTAGTAATGGTAATAAGGATTAGGGACTTAGAACTTTGGTGACGAAATCACCAAATAATCACAAACAACCATATTCAGAAAAAGGACTTAAAACTTTGGCAACAAAATCACCCAGCAGTCACAAACAAATACATTAGGAAATTGTTACATAATATTGACTGCTCAAGCCTTTCAAGCTTTGGCCCCAATGTTTATCACAACTACGAGCTCAATGGGCTCATCGTCCCCATCCTCAAAGCACAATGGTATGTACTGTCGTGCTCATCAAGTTCATTGTTCCTATCTTTGGGGCACGATGGTATGTACCATCGTGTCTCCTGCATTTCAATAAATGCCATTACCATCCACCTCGCCAACTCCATCCCTTTTCACTGAACTCTTGTCAACTCCTCCGCTTAACAATCCAGCCGTCAACACCTGTCATCCCCTCTACCATACATACAGTAGAGTGGGCAATGGCTCATCCGCCTTCGCTGACTGCGATCCTTGAGATCACGCTGGCTCATTCCTCCATACATCCTCTGAGTCAGGTAAGCTCCAATTTCAACATATCCAACCATTAATCAACCAACAAGTCCAGCCGTAAACACCCATCATCCCCTCCACTGTACATACAGTGGAGGGGGAATTGACTCATTGTATGTCCATCTACCCAATCCAGTGGAGGGCATAATGCAAAACTTATGTCTATGTTCGACTAGCATGCTACATATATGTACTGGAGGAGAGATAGGTCCTTCGTCTCTTCAACTCCTTTCACTGCTCGCAGGTAATCAGTATTGCGCTTGCCCTCATGTTCATCTTTGTCGGTCTCTCCGCCTGCTTCTTGAGCTAGCTCCATGAGCTTTGTCACTAATTCCTGGAGCATCATAATGTCATTTTTGACATATCCTTTGGTTGGCCCTCCCTTATTGTCCTTCTCGTCATCAAATATCATGGCAGCTTTGACATGCTGTGAAAAGTCATTGGCCACATCAATCATTGTTGCCGAAGTCATGTACCCATGTACATGATTCAGTGCCCCATCCTGAAGGTGCGTTAGTTAGATTCCTGCTGACTAACTGGCCCACTTACCAAAAAGCTGTCTCTATAATTCATCAGCAGGAAGACACTCATAGATAGCAGTGCCAGTAGTTGTGTCAATATCACCAGTATGTGTGACAGGGACCAGTAATCCCCTGAGGGCACCTTGGATACCTTCAGCACTGCATAGTCGTACGCCCATATCTTGATTGTAGTTTTCCCATGCCCTGGCACGGGCGAAGTGCTGGCAATTGTGCAGCGGCCATTGAGATTGTGTGTCTAAACCAGTTCAGTGACATTCTTTCCGACCAGTCTTAATACTTACTGATATTGTTTGCACAAGGCCAGTGTCCGCGTGGTGGAGGGTTTCAAGTGTCTGCCCTGTCTTTCGATCAAATATATATACAGTGGCTCAAAAAACTGTCCGCATGTTTTGACATTTTTCACTATCTATGATATTGTGTGAGAATGAACAAATTCCTCAAGGACATACTTATACCACATTGTAGTATGGCTTCAGGGCTTTTATTTGAGCCCTACACCGTGGGAATCGGCGGAGATATGGTGGAGATATAAGGCTTATAAAATGATGACTCATGTGGACAGTTTTTTGAGTGTATATTAAAACTATATAAATCATTATTTATGACACCATAAAAATCATGCCACTATTATATAAATTATAAAGTGGTGTCATTATGTTATTTTATGACTATATCTAACTATATAAACCAGAATATCTCATGTATCATAGTCATAATCACCATGAAAGCCATCTCCTCTGCTCAAAGAGATAATATCCTCTCTCTGTCTTATGCTGGCCTCTCTGCTCGCCAAATTTCCTCTAGAACTGGAATATGCAAGTCCACTGTGGCCAAGTTCATCAAAGAAAGCCACCCAGACAAGGAAAACTCTTGTGGAGGACGTCCATCCAAGCTTACCTCTACTGACAAAAGGGCTATTATCCAACATATCACTACAGGAAAGGCTGATAATGCTGTCCAAGCCACCCATTATATCAATTCCACCATCACTACCCCTGTCTCTTCACAAACTGTGAGGAATGTTCTCAAGGCAGCTCATCTCAAGGCAGTAACAAAGAAGAAAAAGCCTCTTCTCTCCATCAAACATAGGCAGAGAAGACTAGCCTTTGCCTTAGCTCATCAACACTGGACTGTAGAGGACTGGAAGCATGTTATATGGTCAGATGAGACCAAAATCAATAGGATTGGGTCAGATGGGAAGGTGTATGTATGGAAAAAGAAGGGAGATGGCCTAACAGACAGAGAGGTTAATGGGACTGTCAAGTTTGGAGGAGGTTCTTTAATGGTATGGGGCTGTATGGGATGGAATGGTGTGGGAATGCTTGCTGAGGTTGAGGGGAAGATGAATGCTGAGCAGTATGTGGACATTTTAAATGACCACTTGCTGCCTAGCTTGGCAGAATCAGGGATTGATGAAGAAGATATCATTTTCCAACAGGATAATGATCCCAAGCACACATCCAGAAGAGCTAGGGAATGGTTTGAAGAACATAACATCAATGTTCTTGACTGGCCAGCACAGTCTCCTGATGTCAATGTCATTGAACATCTCTGGGGAACACTCAAGAAAAAGCTTCAAGCCTATGAAAACCCCCCTAAAGGAGTATGGGAGCTTTGGGAGAGAGTAGCAGTGGAATGGGGGAAGATCACAGCTGAGGATTGCCAGAAATTAATTGAGAGTATGCCTAGAAGGATAGAGGCAGTAATTAAAGCCAAGGGAGGTCATACAAAATACTAGAATACCTGGTTATTACTGTAAAATACTTGAGTCAAAAAACTGTCCGCATGAGTCACCATTTTGTGAGCCTTGTATCTCCACCATATCTCCACCGATTCCCACGGTGTAGGGCTCAAATGAAAGCCCTGAAGCCATACTACAATGTGGTATAAGCATGTTTTTGAGGCATTTGTTTGTTCTCACACAATATTATAGATAGTGAAAAATGCCAAAACATACGGACGGTTTTTTGAGCCACTGTACTAGCCCATGGTCACTTCCTCCCACAACTACCTTGCCTTCTTCCCCGAATGCCACTTGCTTCGGGACCAACACGCTTGGCAAACCAGTTGCAAACATCCGAACAGGTTCACCATCACCTTCAAGGCGATATAATGTAAAGCCGTCTGTTGCATTATCTACAATGAAAACACCCCGCTTTGAGTACACCGCAGTGTGACCACTATATAATGTCAGTAACGCACCCAGGTTGAGAGTGGTAGTTCCTCACATCACTGATTTGCAGCTAATTTCTTGCACTATATTGCCATCTTCATCCTTCAGTTTTATGCTGTTTGGCTCCTCAGCATGCAATGAAAGTATGCAGTGGAAGGACGGACAAGTTGCCATCATAGAGCCCAAACACATAGATGCTCCGGTTATCTGTGAACGCTACCGACTTGGGCACCACATTTTCAAGTTGCACTGCGAAGACAGACTGGAGCTGCAAGCTTGTGTTGAGTGTCAGAACCTGAAACCATTTTGTCTCTTGTTCCGACTACAATTCGCAGGTTACCTTCAGAGGAAGTTGAACACCATGACAAGCATGTGATCTCAAAACCTGATCCCAGTCTCCTGGCGCATATTTCCTGGAATTTTTCCTGTTGGTGTCAATGTACGGTCGAACAGTAAATCTAAGCCCTTACATCTGTGAGACTGCATCACAAACATATGATATAACCCAGGCCTGTTCCATAACAGAGGGTTTTCTGCCGTGGTTTTCATAGTCGTGGCCCAAATTGTGTAACTGACTGTTCCCCTTGATTCATAATGATTAGACGAAGATGTGAGTTCTTTCCGAGATTCTGAGTTTCCACTTTCTTCCCACCACATGCAAGCAGGTGTCCATCATTAGAAATCGCAAGTGCATGGATAGAGCCATTATAGGCAGTTAAACGAGCGAGCAGCTTGTAATGCAGTGGCTGCACTGACTTGTTGAACAACGCAAGGAAAGACATTATGATATGATCCGCTGTAGTCGCCCGCTCACAACATATTTATCTGTGCTTCTCATTTGTTTTCAAATACTTTTGTATTGTTCCCGTATTTGATTCCATGGTAACTTGTTGACGCCATTTGTGTAGTGCTATTCTTCTTATTCTTCTCTTGATATACATTATACATTGATGGCTACCCCTATTATTCTTATTCTTCATATAAGTGCTATTCTTGGTTACCATTTTCGAAGCCCCTTATTGTTTTCGCTCAATATGGTAGTCTGTTGAATGCTTTGCTGAGCGCTTGCTCTCATGAACCATCCTTAAGTTCAAGGTAGCTACTCGGTTCTTTCTCTATCATGCACAGTACTACAGTTGTTCCACCTTTCTATGACTTGGAGCCTGGTGCTCCACCACCTCTTCCCCCAATGCTCACGGACCAGCTGGAGCTGTTTGGCAATGCCAATTGTCACCCGACTACACTTATTGCCAATGAAATCCTAGTTCCTCAAGCTAGTATCATTCCCACTGCTGCAAGGGCTTTGTCATCTACACCTGCCCCTGAATTCAAGCTTGCAAAGCGGATGGTCAAGCATTCTGATTGCTCTTCCTCTCCATACACCAAGAAAGTCACTTCCACGCACTCCCATTCTCAAATGCCTTCACCCTCAGATTCCTCAGGCTCTTTGGATTCTTTCTCAGATAGTGACTCCTCAACTTGAGCGTGAGCATATCGGAAGTCTCAAAGATTCCTAAACCTGCCAGTGAACCTGGGCGTCCAGGGCATGGGGGATACACACTGTGTGAAGCTTTAGATTGGAATCCAAAGGCATATGCAAAATTCAAGGTTCGCACATTGTCATTGTACCCTTAGTACTGCAAATCAACTCACGAATTCCTAAGAAATCTATGCATAGTCTCATCGAGGGCCACCTTGACACGACAAAATGCACTTCTGCCCAAAGTCCCACGCTATTGGAAGTCGTGCATGGCAAGGTGAACAGTTTCTCTGAGTCTCAATACTGTCAATGAACTTATGACATCATCTCAGGCACTCGACAACTTCCCAGATCTTGACAATTATAACAACTTGTGGCCAGTTAACGACATGATCATGACACGCCTGAAATACACATCTGGTTGCGTGAGATGAAAGGAGGGAGAAATGGCTGTAGGCAAGAGCAAGAGCAAGGTCAGGAAGTGATACCCCACTGCATTAGATGTCTCTGTCATTACCCGCTGTATGCATTCTGTATTAAGTTGGCATTCCAAAATCAAGCATATTCATTTACGGTATAAGACCCAAACAATAGACATTTCATGCGCCCTCGGCTTGAAAATTCTAATAATAACAGGTGTAGGAAAGACTAGTAACCATGAGCACATCAGGGAGAGCGAAACTACATTATGCAAGTCATCTGCGAAGCTACCCAGAACCTGTCAGTATCAGTTCAAGCCAGTGCTTTTGAATGTTTAGTCAAGATCATGACATTCTACATGGAACAGATCTTGTTTGGCATATATCTGCAGTCCAGCTGAGAAATTTGGTATATAACAATGCTTTCGTAGTCTAGGAAATTATACTATTATACTACTCCACACCTCGCAGCTGACCGACAATTGGTATGAGTGCTCAAGGGTTTCACAAGAGTAAGATTGCGCGGGAGCCTAGCTCTTGGACGACTACTTATGCTTTGCGCAAAGCTGAAAAGATAGTTATGATAGGCTCAAATAGATCATTGAGTTTACTCACTGGTGAATTATAAAGTCAGCAAATGCATTATCTCTGGCTCACATGTTCACAACTGAGGGATGGTTGACTCCAACCCTCATAACAACTGCGTTGCCTCAGAACTTATGATCACCACTGCTAAGAAGCACGTTGGCTCTGAGATGAAGATGTTGCTTGAAGAAGATGCAGAATCGATAGATGTGTCTCCCCTCGCACACATTCACAAAACAGTTGTGAACATAAGGCTGCATGGTAGCCTCCTGGAGAAGACTTTCAGGAACAGGAAAATGCTGAGCAGTGCGTGAGCGGCCAGAGCAACACATCAACATAGTGACCTCACAGGGTCTGGTCCACGATGCTGAATATAGCCTGCACTGCAGGTGAAGCTCCGGGGTCTGATTTAAAGGTAAATAAAGGGGTGTGAGGTATAAGTGATAACTTACAGAACATGTTGGAAGAATATATGTGCGAGTATTTACCATCTGATTATGATTCAATCAAGGCAATAATCTAAGAGGTGGGCGATGAATGTGGGCGATGAAAGCAGGTGATGGAAGCAGGCTATAGTAGCGGTCCGGCTTTTAAAAACTTCACGTGCTGAGTCAAAGACAATAACCATAATTGTTCGGGGGATGTAGTTGACAAAAAAAAAAGCGGGGAGCCAAACTGAAGAATGACAATCCAATCCTGCAGCGCTTGTTGTCAAGGGTAATTGTATGAGGTAATATATTCCTGTTAATACACTGGTCGCCAAGGGTAATTGTACGAGGTAATTGTAAGAGCAAATAGAGCAAATAGAGCAAAAGATAATTGAAAGTGATGGAGATGAACCTGGACCTGTTGTCCTGTTGTTCATACAACAAAACATCTAAAAGGATCAAGACAAAAATGCATGCACATAACTTAAAAAGACCCAGGAATGATGTTCGCAAACTGACGATGGATTCTTGCCCCGTTATGAATGTCGATAACACTGACATTGACATGCAGCATCCCAAGTTTCAGCCAGAAGATGTACAAACATCTCATGACGCGGATTTATTTGATGATGATGAAGATGACGATAAGGATGCTGGTGACTCCATGGATGCTGTCAGTCAGCCTCCCACCAGTGTGCCGCGAGTTGAAAAGAGGGCTAGAGATGAAGTGGTATGTAGATAGCATGAATCAGCTTCTATGACTCATAATGCCCATCCAGATATCTGGGAAGTGTCGCTTTCGTGAAGTTGACTATTCAGAGACACTTCGCCAGACTGTGTATGAACAACAAGAATGTATTAACAATACTATAGAGGAAACTGAAGTGGTACGCACGAGAAACTCATTGAAAATATACTGCTGATCATACCAGCAGATACGCCGAGAAGCTCAAGACCACATTGAGGAGCAACGACGTCTTGCTGAAGAAGAGCGTGAGCATCACATGCGCGATTTCAATGAGAAAACTTGGCAATGGGAAGCGGCTCTGAGAGAGCGAGAGCGGGAAAAGCAATTAAGTGCAACAGATACATTCAGTCAGACGCATGCTTACAACTTAATAGGACGTTCACACATGGCAAGAGCAGCAGCAAGCACTACTGAGGAAGAATGTTGCTGAAGAACTAGCATGACACAAAGCAAAGATAAGTGCAAGAAAAGACCAAGAGGTGGGAAAGAACGACTGACCAAGGAATTTCTAATGATAGTGAGTAGTTGACTGAAGAACTGGCACTGACACAATGCAGATTTAAATGCAAAAAAAAATCTAGAGGTGGGGAAGAACAACCGAACATGGGAATCGCTAATGATGTCAAGCAGTTGGAGGAATGTGAGAAAGCCATTTTTTGCCGAAATGGAGCGAAGGCTACAACTAGAAATAGAAAAAATGATGGTAGACAAAGAGAATGAGCTCGCTAACATGGAGCAGCACTTCGCAAGACATGGTAGGCAACAGCATGCGGCCACGGAAATGGGGACAGACCCCACCTGAAGGAACGCTCAACAGCCACCCCAAACGCCCCAGAAACCACAGTTCAAGACTCCATGCCTCGAGATGATTAAAAAGATCAGGAAGGCACATGGAACAACACACAAGATGTGTCTGGTATCTGTAGTAGAGGTAAGTACTAAGTGATCGGAACTCGTTTTAAACTCACGTCATAGCAGGATACCGACAACCCTATGGAAAGGCATCGAGAACGATCACTGACAATTGAGCAAGAGCCACAGCAATTTCAGCCTGACGACGTCTACCCTATGTCTGCGATGGAAAATGTGATCTCCAAAGGAATAGAGGTGGCACTCAGACGCATCTTCGTCAATAAGGATATCCTGATGTCCATGAAGCGTAGTCCTCGAAGGAAAAGAAGCAGGATGATGAAATTAGGATAGAAAAGGCCACAGAATCGAGCCACGAAAGAGACTTCCTCCTTGGGAGAGTTAAATTTTTGACGTATATGCTGATGCTGAGCATGAAGTAGAGTGAAATCTGACGTCTCCTCAAAGATACCTTCAGTATATCTCAAGATGCGGATTTTATTGTGCATCAGCCAGCGGATCGTCAAGATGTGTACTCATATGAGTACGAAGATGGCCCAGGCCCCAATACCCAGAATCTGGCCTTCGATCTCAAACACGGATCTAACACCCCCTGGAATGCAAAAATTCTCGATATTCTCCTTGAAGAATTGAAAAAGAGGAGTGTAGAAGAGGAGTGGCCGTTCCGGAGGTTGGATGGATATTATAAGGCGATACTTGAAGATCGCTACAAGCGGCTGCAGACAGTCTGGAGAGCAGCACAACCAAAGGTTACAGCAAAGGGCGGCTTGGAGACTGCAGCAGAAGTGGAGGAGAGGTTAATTGCAAAAAAAGACGAAAGTCTGAAGTCAGTTCACCAAACAACTCGTTGGCGAAATGTATGTCCGCAGCATGATCACAAGGCTCTTCGGGTACTAATGCGTTTATAGAAATATCTCCGCAGAGCGAAAGTTCTGGAGCAAGTTATTGAGCTGAAGAAAGATGGTGAGGATGAGGACCTACCAGCTTGGCAGTGGCTTCAAAAACTAATCAAGATGCTGGGAGATGGGGGTATGAGTTCAGAAGAAAGTGACGTGGAAAACAACGTTGAATGCATACTCCGGGTCAAGAACATGGCATGGCGTCGCGGGATAGAGCGAGAAGTGAATATCATCAATAGCCAGAGAGTGTTGGATGATGAAATTTTCGCGCCCCAGGGTTCCAAACCAATGAAAAGAATACGTGCATTGGGAAATTCAAAGACTGTACAGAGCCCAGTCACTGGATGACCCAAGGCCCTATACAACGCCAGATGGTTTGATGGCCTTACTGGAGGTCAGATGGAAAGGTTGAATGTGTCAGATGAGACGTTCCGATGGATGAAAGTTGGGGTAGCATAGTGTGTTGAATAGACATTGTAAGCAAACCGCAGGAACGCAGGATAAGTCAATTCCCCCTCCACTGTATGTACGGTGGAGGGGATGACAGATGTTAACAGCTGGATTGTTTGCCAACGTGATCCAAGGGGTCGTGATGTGACAATCATATTGGTGCTAGGCATGTATACCTGCATAAGCCTTCAATAGGTGGACCAAAGTTATCCCTCATATGATTCACTATTCCCCTATCAGCAGTCTTCACTTGTCTCAACCATAACCCTTGTCCGACGCTATTCCACACTTTCCTGCACTATGCGTGCACATTCCCGCAGCGCTATTCATGCTCCCGCGACTTATCCGACGCTATTCCCGCGCTTATAGCGCTATCAGAACTACCAGCAATGTGTCTATAGGAGCATTAGTGCATGTCCACTCTACCTAGCACTTGTCTGCTCTATCTAGCGCTTGTTCCTGTGCCTAGCACTAGTCCAGCGCGCTGTTCTCGCGCTCTAGGAATCACCCGAAATGTCGGAATCCATCCATGGTCCATCCTACCTCATTGGTATGTAATTTGCCTTGCCTTGAGTTTGTAAAAAGTGCTACAGTCTTATTACATGTATATCCTATCCCATCCGAGTCCAAGATGGTATAGTTTACTAGTATAAGAAGCCTATGGTGACTACTTCGACATTACTTCCCTTTGACTGTATTTCCTTTCCCTTAGGTTTTACTTAGAAGTAGTCACCCTTTAGTTGCGCTCTATGGCCCCTATTTGACATTCCTTACCCTTGCAATCAATACCCTTGATCTCTCTCGCTATCCATTTCCTTCCTTTGACTCAGTGTCCGCTTTTCCGACTTCCGCTCTTTCCCATGCACTAGTGCTCTATCTTGTGACGCGCTATTCCCGCGCTTTAGCGCTCTTTCAGGTCTTTCTGTCTTAAGTTGACCTTAGTAGCTTTTCCCTCGGGTCGAACATTCTTGCATCTTTGTTGCAAGTATAGCAGCATAGGCAGAGCATTAGACATATACTGGCTTAGTACCTTTACAAGTGCCTAGTCAGGTTGTGTTTTTCACAGTGATAAGCAAAAGCGAATTAGCCATTGCCCACTCCACTGTATGTACAGTGGAGAGGATGATGGGTGTTTACGGCTGGACTTGTTGGTTGATTAATGGTTGGATATGTTGAAATTGGAGCTTACCTGACTCAGAGGATGTATGGAGGAATGAGCCAGCGTGATCTCAAGGATCGCAGTCAGCGAAGGCGGATGAGCCATTGCCCACTCTACTGTATGTATGGTAGAGGGGATGACAGGTGTTGACGGCTGGATTGTTAAGCGGAGGAGTTGACAAGAGTTCAGTGAAAAGGGATGGAGTTGGCGAGGTGGATGGTAATGGCATTTATTGAAATGCAGGAGACACGATGGTACATACCATCGTGCCCCAAAGATAGGAACAATGAACTTGATGAGCACGACAGTACATACCATTGTGCTTTGAGGATGGGGACGATGAGCCCATTGAGCTCGTAGTTGTGATAAACATTGGGGCCAAAGCTTGAAAGGCTTGAGCAGTCAATATTATGTAACAATTTCCTAATGTATTTGTTTGTGACTGCTGGGTGATTTTGTTGCCAAAGTTTTAAGTCCTTTTTCTGAATATGGTTGTTTGTGATTATTTGGTGATTTCGTCACCAAAGTTCTAAGTCCCTAATCCTTATTACCATTACTAGTACTTGTCTTTTTACAACCTTCTCCTAGGTTCGACAGTTTGTACTGTCGAGCCTACCATTCTCCTTGTCGACAACGACCTTCCTCTCACCTTCTTCCAGGGTGTGACTGTATGTACAGTCATGCCCTGCATTCTCCTTTCTCCTCTTGGACCGGACTTCTCATCAACAATGACCTTTCAGGACCTTCTCCAGGGCATGACTGTATTTCGGTCATGCCCGGTGTTCGCTTCTTGTATCATCATCAGGCCTCAGGCCTCTCGTCGACAATGACCTTCTACAACCTTCTGCAGGGCATGACTGTATGTACGGTCGTGCCCGGCATTCTCTGCTTTCATCGCCCCCGCCAACATCCCAACTCCAAGTCAACATCCATCGCTTCCTGGCAATATTGATCATGGGCTTAACATCCTTACCCTGCTCTTTCATTGGACCGCCTATCGCAGAAACAACATGGGCAGAAACTGCAGATCTATGAAGTGAGTCATCATGACGTTATTCTCCTCTTATTGATCATGGGTTTAACATCCTTTCCCTGGTCTTCCTTAGGACCCTTCGTCCCATATTGATCATGGGCTTAACATCCTTACTCCGCTCTTTCATTGGACCGCCTATCGCAGATATAACTTGGGCAGAAACTCGTCGACAATGACCTTCTTCATGGCATGACTGTATGTACGGTCATGCCTGGCATTTTCTGCTTTCATTACCAACAATCAGTCCTTCAAAACTACCTATACCTTGTTCCTTCTCCGTTTCCCTGTAGGCATCCTCAGCGTCTTGTAGCCCAAAGCTGGCAATGCCATCCACACCAAGCTCAGGTCGCTGCCAGCTCTCCCTGACAACAGAGTTATATTTCCTTGTTTGGTTGTTCTTGTAATGAATGTCATATTTTCGTACAAGGCTTACTGCTGTCTTGTTATTTCATTACTGGAAATTGCAAGTTGTTTCTTCTATTGTTGTTGTTCATCTGACTTAAAGCTTGCCTATGCAGTCAGTTCTGGCTCTCCAATTCTATGACTCTCACTCCCATCCAATTCATAGACACGACGGTACATACTGTCATTGCTGTTGGTGACCATCCTCAATCAACAAAGGAAGCTGCCTTATTTTCGCCCTGCTCTTGATGCCTGTGTCTCGCTCACTGTTCAAACGGTGCTTCTGCGAGGAATGCATTGAAACCAGCAATCATGCTGAGGGTGCCACGCCTAAGGGGGTACTCATCGCAGAACATCTTATGGCTGCTCATCCACAATGCACCAAACGTACCCAAGCAGAACATGCTGCCGCTAGCTCTCCCCGCACCGACATCATCACGGATTTGGTAGTCTCACAGCTCCACGCACTTACCCTTATTGACAATGAACCGCCTGTTTCTCACCCCAACCCCACTCCACCATTATCTATTCCAGCTCTGGCAGATGATCTTGAGTGACTCACTTTGCTAGATTCTTTTGTTGCCTGTGAACCCAGAGTTGCCATTGCTGGTGATGTCTCCCAAAAGAACACACATCGGCAAACTGTGAAGGCCTTGATGGTCCTCGATAACATAGAGTCCCACGTTCAGTGGTGTTTTTGGTTCTTACTTGCGGGTAATTCCAATGATGTTGGTTGCAAGCTACCATTTCTTCGCACAGCTGTGGAGAATGTCAAACAAAATGGAGACCTTGTGATCACACGGAAGAGGGCAATTTTGTTGGAGATAGATATATTGGAAGGTCTAGTCCAGCATCACTCTCGTAACCTTCTCGGTTTGACTACAGCGACCACTTCATTGACTTTATCCCCTCTGGCCTTTTCATGCGACTTAGGCGATATGCCTCCGGGGATGACTTCAAAGGAAATGACTCAGGTCGCTGCTATACACACCCTTCTTGTTTCCCAGTTGTCTTCCGATGACGAAAATCTGGATAACCTGAAAAATTTGCTATTTCGCAAGAATACGGTGTGACAATCATACCAGCGCTGGGCACGTATGAGTGTCATAGGCATATTTTGCCTTGCAAAGAGGAAAAGAGTAAGGCACTAGTCACCAGCACTATTCAACTCCCAAGCTATCTGCTTTGGAACCACTTTTCTCCCATAGCACGCTGCCCAGCCCAATGCTTAGGTATTCTGTCCTCCAATGTCCTGCCTATGTCCACCTACCTCCGCTGGTGCGTTATTTTTCCTTAAATGTCGCTACTCATTAGTCGCAGGTCTTATTACATGTATCCTCGTGTTCCACAGCGCAGCACGTTTTCTTACCTGTCGCTACATTGTGCCCTCGCCAGTATCGTTACTATTCTCACCTACGCATTCCCAAACTTTTACGCAGTATGATAAAATGACCCGTTGCACATACAGTACAGTACTTCCCTTCCCCGGACCTTTGCTGGTGTTAGAGTCACTTTGGTCGCTATATCCTAGTCTTGGTGCAATCAATTCCGCTCTTGCCAATCTCTCTGATCGCATGTCGCTTGACTTGTTTTAAGTGCACGTCGCTAAAGTTCCCTCTTAAGTTCGACTTTCGCAATGTCGGGATCGCTGTCGGTAGTCGAGCTATAATCTAGTCGCTATCAGGCATTCCACTTGCACTGTCTTATCTTACTCCTCGCTTTTGCTCTCTTTGATTTCTTCTCACTATCGCTAGTCGGACATCACATAGCACTATCACATAAAACAACTTGCATAGTGCTTCTCACTTATACACACGTTTCTCTATCGGAACTCACTTGTCGCTAGTCGCTGATCGCTATAAGTGCTACTCATCAGTTTTTGGTCTTAGGTCGCTATAGGTTATTAGTCCTTCGCGCTATCGCTACCCTTGCATATTAGAAGGGAGTTGCTTCAATAGCAGTCCTCTTGGGTCGAATACTACACTCGCGCCTATTTGGATAAGTAGCACTAATTTCTAACCAGCCTAGTCGCTATTTCTCTTTCACAACGGGACCCCTCAAATTTTTTTGTGAGGCCTTGCAATGCATTCCCCAGAAATCTAGTAGATTGTTCAAAATCGACTATGTGAAAGCTCTCGTGGAATGGGTGAGTTCTTAATATGTCTACTTTTTTGCGAGTCTCCTATGTTTGTTCTCAGTGCTGTGGATAACCTTTTGCTGCTCCAGAGAAGGAGCTTCAGCTTGGTTCTCTAGATGCCCTTTATCGTGTTCAAGATGTCATCCAGCAGATAATCCTCCCATCTTGGTTTACTTTGGTCCCAAGTGATTTTGGAAGCGCATCTGCCAGGACGATGAAAGCGGACAAATGGCGCTCTCTAATCACCATCTACATTCCTATTGCCCTGGTGAGCTTGTGGGGGGCCGGCACCTCGCATCCTTCCGATGAAGTTAGCACTCACCTTAGAGCTGTTCTTGACCATACTATGGAACTTGTTTGCGCGGTATATCTCGCATGCGCCCGAACAACAACTGCAGAGCGAGCACATGTGTATCACTCTCATATTGTGCATTATGTTGAAAATTTGAAGACGATATACCCCACCTTCGCTTTGCATCCAAATCACCACGCTGCCTTCCACATATACAACTATCTACTTCTATTTGGCCCGGTGTCCTGCATGATTTGGGAATCATGCATGGACATGACTACTAGGTATCCCCCTAAAAAACAAAGTCTGTTAGCTTAGTCCTCAGACTAGTCAACTCATACCTTGGTATCAAACCTTGGTCCAATAGTTTCAGTTTTCCCTCAGTGATTCATGAATCCACCATGTTTTGAAGAAAAGTCATATGTGAGATGGGAATCACATAATGACCTAGTTGATATGAGAAGCAAAATGAAGGTTAAGGTATTGCCTTTCCTTTGGCTTATTCACTTTGGCTAGAGAAACCCATAGAGAAAAGTTCAAAGCCTAACAAAAACCTATCTAAAAAGCCCGCATATTGTGTACTATTATTTGTTCCATTATTTCTGAGTTGTTTTCTCTAGTGTTTCTTTACTTTACTTTTCTATTAGGATGCTCTGACTAATCAGATGCTTCATAAAATTGTACCTACAGGGTATGATGTCATAATGATGTCATAGGACTTCACCTACACTCCTGCAGGTATTTTGTTGAAAGATATGATATCATAGTGATGTCATAATGATGTCATGTTCCATGGAATTTGCTAGAACATTCCAATGACTCATAATGACTCATAATGACTCAGAGTGACTCAGAATGATGTCATTACCCCACCATGAATATTCTGGAATGTTCTTTTGCACGTGCTAGAACATTCTGCTCCAGTTTTTGGGATATTCTTCTCACATTCTGAAGACATTACATCACCTTTTTACTTACATAATATTCCCACACAAAATGTATATAAGGAGAGCCCATTCTCCCCCAAAAAAATAGATCTCCCACTTCTTGCATTCAAGAATCTCCCCCTTGAGCAAATTGAACTCTCACCTAAGAAGCTTCAGTCTGAACAAATTGCTGCTTACAAAGCCCATTTCCTTTGTAAGAACTGTCCAGACAAGTGCAGGGAGAGTGTTTCCCTTGAGATTACATAAGTTTCTCGCAATAGAAACCCAGTTTTGTGAGACCAGTGTTCTCACCACGTAGTGTTTACTGACCAACAGGAGCTTTGGTCATTGTTGTTATTTGTGAGACCAGTGTTCTCACCAGGTATTTGTATACTGACCAACACGAGCTTTGGTCATTGTTGTTATTTGTCATTGTTTTCTATTTGTCATTGTTGTTATTTGTGAGACCAGCATTCTCACCAGGTATTTGTATATTGACCAACATGAGCTTTGGTCCACGTAGTCACATTTGAGACCAGCTTCTCAACAGTTAAATGTATATTCAGGAAACCAGTTCAAGTGTCTAGATGGTATATCCTAGACAATCCCATAGTTTCAATCAGAGATAATAAAGCTCCGGCTAAGTTAATCTAACTGATTGGTTTAGCAAGCCTCCCAAGAACTCACACATTATCTACCACGAAAGAAGAAAAGTCGTAGACCGTGTTAATTGAGGACTGGCAAGAAGTCTTATCCAGTGTAATTGTGGTGTCATTACATTCTTACACATTTTCATATAAGACCCTCGGTTATTAAGACACCACGCATTAGCGCTCTATCTTGCGATGCGCTATTCCCACGCTTTAGCACTCTTTCGGGTCTTTTGATCTTGAGTTGTCCTTAGTAGCTTTTCCCTCGGGTCAAATGTTCTTGCATCTTTGTTGCAAGTATAGCAGCATAGGCAGAGCATTAGACATATACTGGCTGAGTACCTTAACAAGTGCCTAGTCAGGTTGTGTTTTTCACAGCGGCTTTCTTGTATAACAAGTATACCGCCAATTCAGGTGACCTAGAGGAAGGTCTTTTCAAAGGCAAAGTTCTCCTTCAGGTTTGTCGCACTGGAGTAGCCAAATCCTCATGATCTCACCAGGTTTTTTCAGGCATACAAAGCCGTGTTTACATCACCTTCCTCAGCAAAGGATGTTGAAGGGGATGGTGATGGCACAGATGTCATCCAGAACAACAGACATGCTAAGAGGTTGGCCTTCAGAGCTAAAGTCAAGAAACATGTTGCTCACATCATCAAGATGAGGAAAGTTACGCCTCGCTCAATCGTGTACATCACCTGTCAAGGAAGTAGTATTATCATTCTGTAAGCTTGATGATATATGACAACTACATAACAGGTTCGATTTGCACTTTCATCTGTTACCTCGTGGTGCTCTGTTGACGGTGACTTTGACTATGAACAATTCTGGCGGATCATCATGGACTTTTTGAAAGGGCTCCTGGTCATGCAGCGCAGTGCAGGATTGACCTTCTCCTCGAATGGTGAACTAGGTTCGTCATGTACACTCCCCGCTGCGAGCCTTACCTGAAATTATTATATAGAAAGGTTTTCAGACTGGAACGAACACAATAACCTCACCAACACGGCAAAGGCCAATATGTCCATCAACACTCTCACAAGGCAGAGGGAACAGCGTGATGATGCTACTTTTGATTCATCCTGGGGCTCTGTGATTACTAACTACATACACTCATTTACTTTTGATTTTAATCTTGTGGCTTGATGATTATTTGATTTTGTGAAATGTGGACACCAAATGGCCACCATTCTGGGAATACATCTAGATCGTGGCAACCCTGGAATATAAGTCTTCGCGCAAATGGCATAATTCAAACTCTGTTTGTAGATCTGTTCACTCATGTTTTATATGCTGATCCTAGGATGTACATTGATACCATGGTCATCTCTGAATTTTACAGTATTCGCGTGAATAATATGATTGAAGCTCTAGTTCTGCAAGATGAACACAATCAATGAAAATTGAGATAGTCAAGTTATAATATGTATTTTAGGCTTTCTATAATATTCCTTTGTGGTTTGGAGAGCTTGTTGCAAATACATGATCTTGCTCAATGACCACATGGTTGCGAACACAATAATTTAAAACATGGAGGTCTGAATGCTCATGGAAAGAAGTCCTCCTTGTGGTAGGTAAAAATGCAAGATTTTCCTGATGCATGGCACAATATAAACTATGTTTCTTTGAATAGTAAGTGATGTACTGGGGTAATCTATGACTCACTGTTGTCAAGGCCGGATGTAAGAGACTACGTCGTCAAGATGTAGTGTCTGTGCAAGGCCACAACCTCCTGCAACAGTATGCAAAGCAGAATTCAATTGTGGGTGGTTAAATAAACACAGAAAGTTGTGTAGATGTTCAGAGTAGAATGTAGATCGGTTGTCATTCACTTGGTGAACACGTGTTAGCTAGAGTGCAATGGGACAGCATTTTCACACAATTCCCAATTGATATATGACGGATAATCATCGCATATCTTAATGCAGGTGGCACAAAATTCACAGGAGTTTATGTAATGTTTTGTTCCCTCCTCGGTAGACATTTGTTGTTCTCTGGATGATATGATATGTCATTCTCAGCTTCGAGATTGTGAACCTTACCTCCAGCATGGCAGTTGTGAGTTCTCTGGCTTGATTCTTAGCTTTATGGTACATAACTTTATTTACTGTTGTTTTCTGGAAGACACTGTATTTCATACTCAGCTTCGAGATTGTGAGCCTCACTTCCAGCATTGTGGTTACGAGTCTTCTAGCCTGAAGGTTAGCTCTGTCTTCATCATCCCTCTCAGTTTGAATTCGAGCAATACGAGTATCTCTTCCCAATCACGAATCTTACCTTCAACATGGCAGTTACAACTTTCTAGCTTTACCAATTGCTTTTCTATCCATCTTTTTTTATCACTCACATGATGAATGCATAGTTGTTCTCTAGAAGACGCTGTATTTGACTCTCAGCTTCGAGATTGCAAGCCTCACTTCCAGCATTGTGGTTGTGAGTCTTCTATCCTAAAGGTTAGCTCTGTCTTCACCGTCCCTCTCAGTTTGAATTCGAGCAATACAAGTATCTCTTCCCGATCATGAATCTTACCTCCAACATGGCAGTTATGAGTCTCTAGCTTTATCAATTGCTTTTCTATCCATCTTTTTTTATTGCTCACTTGACAAACACATCGTTGTTCTCTAGAAGACGCTGTATTTCATACTCAGCTTCGAGATTGTGAGCCTCACTTCCGGCATTGTGGGTGCAAGTCTTCTAGCCTAAATTTTAGCTTTGTCTTCACCATCCCTTTCAGTTTGGACTCGAGCAATACAGCTGTCTTTAATCATGAACGTTCTGTGTCTTTAAATGGTCAAACAAGACCATGTGCATCAGGAAAAACCTCCCACAGGAATTCCACTGAAATCATCAAACTTGCATGTAAAACAGCTGAATTCCAGAAAATCTGCTAATTTGACCGAAATCGACCGAAATTATTGTATTTCAAAAGTAATAAAATCTGCCAGTCGGATTCAGCAGAAATCATTGTATTTCCAATGAACTCAGAGTAAATTCTGCCAGTCAGATTATAGTGAGATAAGCATGCCTGTCACTAAACGAGTTTACAAAGAAGGTAGAACCAAGCTCCAGAATGGTACTGCTCATCCATTCGTGAGGTACGACTGGGCCAAATTTTGGAATAAGGTGTACACTCCTGCGAATCTCAGAGATATCGATGATGCTCACAAGACGCTCTCCATTACGAATGATGCAGGAAATTTTGTACAAACCATGGTTTGCTTCGGGTTGCCTGAATGGCGTGAACCACTCCACATAAGCAAAGTGGGTAGGTGCCTTGGCAGGTGTGCGAAATCAGGCAGCCACAGCATGACTTGTCAGTGTGAAGACGACACGGACTTGTGCAACACAATACCCTGAAATTCATGATCAAATATTAGTTTAGTGAGGGAGTAGTACGAAAACACAACTAGAACAAGAATGAGAACGGTGACCGTTGATCGTTGAGAACTGGCAAATGAGAATGAGCGAGCGAGATCACTAGTCACAAGTGCAATTATATGAATTGGAAAATGAGTGAAAACAAGCAGGAACACTCACAGGCTAAGCGTGGACAGGGACAAACAAGCGCAGAAACGCAGACATGAAAAAACAAACTAGAATGATTAAAAATGAGTGAAACAAGTGGCAAAAGCCCATATAAGAAGAAATACTCACAAGTGGACAAGCAGAAATGAATGTAGAGCATTAGCATAATCAAAACGGTTGAAAATGTAAGACTCCGTTCGGGAACTCGAATCTGGCTAAGTTTCGACGAGATTTTGAACTTCGAATTTACTTAAGTAAGCTTGCCGGATTGCCATTCAATGTGACTGATTACATGTCACACCTTGATATCATATACGGTTATGCCCCCAACCCGACACTTTCGTTATTGTGACCATCTTTGCAGCCAAACGACTCTAATGACGAAGAAGAACTCGAAAAAAACGACAGGATGCCACCTTGATGGAACCGAAAGATCGTTGCATTTGGTCGCAGAGCGACGAGACGGCGTTGATAAACTATGTCATCACCAACAAATCGAAAGGGGGAGATGGCCTCAATTTCAATAAGACGTTCTGGAATGATACTGCTGTGGAGATGGTGAAACAGCCTGTAATGCAAGGTGAGTCCTGCCACAGATATCACGCCGTATTCATCTGACTTCTGCCTTATTCTAAGGCGCTGCAAAGACTGCAGAGGCATGTCAAACAAAATGGTCACGAGTACATACTTATTTCTACTGAGTGGCTGCTGGCGGTACTGATCTCTACTTTTCAGATTCGCAAGTTGTATCAAGTCATCTACAAGATAGCGCACACCTCTGGAATCTCATACAGTCCAGAGCTTGGCGCAAATATCGGACGTGAATTAGAGACGATCGGGGCAGACTACACTAGGGTATGTTTTTTTTATCATTTCCTGTCATGCCGTGTGCTAACTACATACATAGCACAACCCCCAAGCAAAGCCTTACAAGACGAAGGGCTGGCCTCATTATGAGGCGCTATATGGTATCATGTCAGTGCAACCAAGCACCTGGGTTGGTTTCCACACGGGCATTGACAACGCCGACAACGCATTAACACCCAGCGTAAGTGCCACTCCTGGGCCATCCAGTGCCAGTGACGTCATGATGGCGTCACTGGAGGACGCACTTGACCGTGTGGAATTCAACGCTCATCCTACTACTGACAACAATAACGACACTATGCACGCTGAGCCAGGGACATCCGGTCCTCCCGTCGCACCCCTCATTCCCATCTCCATTCCCCCCACAGCTTCTACTCCTGTCACGCCCATCACACCCATCACCCCAACCAGTTTCAACATCATGCAAAGTCGCCCTGCTCCCTCCACTCCTGCATCTTCGACAGCTGTGAAACGCAAAGCTGAAGGGGATGACAGTTCGCATCATGAGTCCCGTCCACCGCAATCCTCCAAAGGGAAGTCGTCGTCAAAGTCACAGCGTCTATCAATGCCGTCAGCATTGGAAGGCTTGGGAGGAAAGATGGCTGATAGTATCGCTAATGCAACGACAGCATTTCAGGAGACGGTCTCCAGTCATTTTGTTGAGCCTGTCCCCCTCCGCAAACAAAAAGCCATTCTACAGGTACAGGACGAAGAAGATCTCGACACGCATGAAATTGTCACTATGATTAATTTGTTTCAAGCTGATGTTTGTGTTGCTGATTCGTATCTCAACATTAAACGTGATATCGTATGCAAAGTCTTTCTTGCGCAGTATTTAGAGGACTATAGGAAGGCGAAGGAGCTCTAACTACGCTACAATTTGTTGTAGTACTAAATACATCATGTTATCGTTCTGGTGCTAACCATGCTTCTTCCTCTGCATCCAACCAGAATGGTGTTTCTTCCTCTGCCATGAACGACTCATCTTACGAAAAATTCGTATCACGTCTCCCGACTCCGCATCCAACCAGAATGGTGTTTCTTCCTCTGCCACAAATGACTCATCTTATGAAAAATTCATATCATGTCTCCCGACTCCGCATCCAACCAGAATGGTGTTTCTTCCTCTGCCACAAACAACTCATCTTACAAAAAATTTGATACATTGAGAAAAGTGCTACAGTAAGAAGAATAGTGCTACACTAAGAATTAGTCCTGCACTCCAGGTGGCATTGGTTCCCCTCTTCGACATCTCTCTGCAAGATAATCTAACCACATAGATTGCGCGAGTTGGTCGCGATGTTCATGTGCACGTGTCCTCGCAGCTTCAGTTGGAGGACCGTCAGCGAGCGTACCGGTGTACTGGGGCCCCCACTTGTCTAACTCAACATGTCGATAGTCCAGTAAGTTGTTAGGGTCGTGGATACGGATTATATTGTGGATCAAGCAGAGAGCTGGAGGAATGCGAGACTGGATTTCTGAGTTATACTCAGGGGGAAGTAGAATGATGCGGAAGCGTTTCTTGAGGACGCCAAAAATATGTTCAATAATGTTGCGAAGCATTGCGTGTCGCAAGTTATAGAGTTCCTTCACATTGCAAGGCCTCAAAGGCAGATAAGTATGAGAAGAATAAAATATTAGAAAACAACGTACAAAAGATTTGCACGGCCCCATTCTGCAAGGTGACAGCGTACACCTCGATAGGGTACAAGCAATTCATCGCATGCAGCGAATCCAGCGTCTGCTAGATAAAACTTCCCCGGCGGAATGGTGAAGTCCGTCAAATGCGCAGTGTGATAGACACGAGCATCTGCTGTGGACCCCTGGAAACCGCTCAGCATGTACATAAAGCACATGTCAAAATCACAGGCAGCAAGACAATTCTGTGTCAAGTTGCCCTTGCGGTCACGGGCAGCATGACAATCAGATGCTGTGGGGTGACACGCGATATGCGTGCCATCGATGGCGCCGATAACATTGGCAAAGTATGGGTAAAATTTCCTGGTTTTGAGGATAGTGGGGGGAGTGGGGGCCTGTGGACTGGGGAGACAGACATACGTGGTATAGATCGGCTGAGATGAGAATGCGATCAAAATTCGTTTAAAATACCTAGAAAGGAGCTATTGAGTTAGTACAGCCGGGTTCAAAGTCATGGGAGGACGTACTTTGATATAGTGTTGTTTGAGCATTGAAAACGCTCACCAAGATGGCGTACAGAAAGTCCAGTGACACAGGCATATAAGAAGATAGCAAGCTGTTCCTCCAGCAGCACATTCTTTGAGTTGTCTATTCCGCTTTCACGAAGCACATTCAATAATACAAAGAAAACATGGCGGCGGACGCCAAGCTCACATCGCACGTGTTCAGGGTGGCCAGTAAGGAGCTTGTTGACCCAAGCGATCCCCGATAGCACCGAGGTATGGTATGGTTCTTTCTCATAGTGGGTTTGTATGTAGGAGTTATAGGCGTCCACTGCGATGTCAACCACTCCAGCGGCCGATACCATCAGGTTCTGAAACACATTGATGATTTGTTGCAGGCGTTTTAGATCTCCCTTCTCTGCGTCATTTGGATCCCCCTCATCATCTCTATCATCTGACTGATCACCCATGTCATCGGAATTAGTAGCGTCGTCCTGGTGGTGCCAAAGACGCGAAAGCATACTGTTGGTATTATTGTACAATGAGCTCTGCAGCGTGCGGTGTGCGGTGTGCGACGTGCTCAGATCCTCGAGTCTGTAGCGTGACAGTGCAGAATTCAAACTCCGAGCTTACTTAAGTTTGAAGTTCAAAATCTCGTCAAAACTTAGCCAGATTCAAGTTCCCGAACGGAGTCTAAATGGTAGCTACAGCGCAACACTGAGGCCCAGTGAAAATCGACAAGAAAGAGGTAGATACGTGTCAATATATATCGAAGAAAATAAAGCCTATAGATCTTATCGTCGTGTTTCGAGGTCTTTCGAAAAAACGGCACTTTTCGAGATGAGAAAAGATAGAAGTCGAAAGGAAATTTAGATCTTTAGATAGGTTAAAATGGTTTGATTTGGCCCGGAAAATGGTATTGATACAGATCTAATGCTATTGAATGAATTGTAGATGGGTATCGCTGTGAATTGCTGGTATTAGGCAGGTATTATAGTAGTGGGGTCGCTCCTCCCGCCATCCCGCCATCCCGCCATCCCGCCATCCCGCCATCCCGCCATCCCGCCATCCCGACGCCAATGCTATCATGCACACATCCACCAGGATCCTGCCGCTAGTCATGGTGCTCATTCTTGCTGTCCTTGCCTTGGAGTGTCGAAGAAGAGCTGACCTGTAGTAGTAGAAGAACCAGTTAGTACAGTGGCCTATAGAACCAGTAGGCACAATGACACTCACCTGCGCTGTGGCCTTTCATTTGTATTCCTGGTGTACTGCATTAGCGCGGGAGGTTCTCCCTGATGTAGCACGTACCTCCTTGATACTGGTAGACAGATTGTTCCAGTAGAGTGCGAATGCAGCCGGTTCACACTGGTGACCAAGTATTGAGACATCTAAAACTTACAGTGGATTTTTTATCTAGCGAGCGCAGTTGAAGTTAGTACCAAATTGATGCAATGCAAGGTGCACATTTGACTCACCTCTATGTTGGCCGTTTCCTTAGCATTTCCTTTGTCGGTACTACATAGCGGCGATAGTGCTGGTGCTGATCCACATTCAGACGGCAGGTGCCACAGAACGTCTGAGCCGCAGGGTGAGTCTGGTCGCACTTACCTCATTCTCTTGAATCTTGATCATGAGATTCAATACAGGGAATCTCAGAACTGATGGAGAGTTGTGAAGGTGAGTCTGGGAGGCCACTCGTAGTACTGCCAGTTCGCTTTTTTTTCGGTGCTGGTATTGGTTGAACTTCGACATCACGAGATACAGCTCGTTTCAGAGGATTAGAGGGGGAGGTGGCCAATGTATCTGGGATCTCGATGGAGGACTCGTGGGTTTCAGGTGTCGTGTCGATGTCATCAGGAGCGCACCAGCAATAAGTCCAGTAGATGGGATTGTCATTCATGACAATCCACGAAACAAGTCCAGCTCACTACTAGGTCAATCAGGGGAGGTAAGGGATGAGAAGGATGAGAGAGCGAAGGGCTGCTGTAGATTAGTTTGATGATTCGAAAACGAATAGATTTCGTGTGCGTGATGCTACCATGACTGGTTAATGAAGCGTGGAAGACGAGATTGGTTTGAGTGAAGTAGAGAGATTAATCAGTGTGATAGAAAGACCAGTGACCAAGGAAACATAAGGGAGAGGCACAAAGAACTAGCAAGGACCAAGTTCCTCTCCTCAAGGACAACACTGGTAGTCACATTAAGTGAAACAACTGCTCACCGCCCCAGGCTTGCGGTTGTCGTGTTGTGCTAGCAACACAAGGGAATGGTCGTATCGAGCTGGACTCGGTGTCGCAGCAGGGGCGAATGACATGGTGGGCAGATGAGAAGATGCGAGTGGTTCAACTGTACTAGGACTCCAATAAACATAATGCAAATACGGTCTGGGTTACGGACTTGTGCGAAATACACACGTGCACACTGCATTGACATGATGCAGGTGCAAAATTTGTCGCAAAGTTGCAAACTACGCAATCGAAGTCCAACATGTTTGCATCTTTTCACCATTGGAAAGATTCTTTGTGTTTGCACAAAATTAGAGTTTTGCCTTCTCGAATTTCTTAGATTTGTATCCATCTCATTTTGTACTTAGACATCTATCAGCACGTATCTACCTCATTCTTGTCAATTTTCACTGGGACTGAGGAGCGAAACACTTAGATGGATTCTGATCAATCCGGGAAATGCCGAGTTTATTCTCACAGTTGAATTTTAAGAGTTTGGTTTGAAAATGACACGCAGGGCCATTCCCCTTCTCTCTACTACTTCGAGTTGCGCACACTCTTCTCTTTACTGAATGTTTTCGCTCGTTGTCAGGATGTGTGTAATCTCTTTTTTGACTTGCTTACTTGATGCCGATGGTGCCGTGTCTATGTCCCGCTCTGTGCGTGTCCTTGTCTTTGACCTGTTTACCCAACGCTGATGGTGCCATGGCCATGTTCCGCTTTCAGAATGTGTATGACCTTTTTTCTCGTGCCCCGCTAACCTTGTCCTTTCGCCCGCTTATCTGACGCTGATGGTGCTTTGGCCGTATCCCGCCATCGGAGTTGTGGTTGCAACTATCGTAGGTTTTTAGGTGTTTTTACTGTAGACCGACAATGCTAAGTATATTATCTTCACAGACTTAGTCTATACTGATGGACTGGATGAGTGGCAATCCACCATTGAGCTTGCAAGTCAAATCCTTCAACGCTACCCTCCACATTGCAACCCTCACTCAGATTTCCAAACGCGGGAAAAAAAGGTATCACGCGCTTATGGCATGGCTTTTCAAGGCGTCAGGTGCATTTCAGGTTCCTTGGATTGCGCCTGTCATTCACACACTCTCTGTTAGCGTGTCGCAGAGCATGTTACTGCTGGCTGGTTCGGGGAGCAACTTCGGCTACCTTGATGTTAATGCAATGTCCGAGGATTAAAGGTTGTTGTGTCTCTATTGCTGATCCAACTTGATCATAGTTGCATCTAATTCAAGCACTAGCGTCTTTGTGTGCTGTTGATACCCATGTTCATGTATAATACATTGTGATAAGCCATTTTAATGCAATATAATGTTGATTTTAGTGTAATTTGACATTGACCGATCATCAAGTGAATTGGATGATATTCAGAATAATCCATTGAGCGACAAGTGAATTTGATGGAATTCAAAAGAAACTACTCGGAATTCAAAGGAATTCAAAGGAATTCATTAAACGAGCTACTGGACTTAAATAATTCTGCAAAACCTGAATTCACTTGAAATCACTTGAAATCTTCCGAAAACAGAGGAATTACTTGGAATTACCTCGATTTCAGGGGGGAGGTTTTGCCTGATGTGATGATCGATAACAGAATTATGCTGATGCTTGTGATTACGTGCTATGTATTGTTTTATATATCATTCTAATTTCCCCACCAGTTTACTGATGATTATGGAGTGATAATGACCTTGTAGGTACAAGGTAATCATCTCATATGTCCACAAGTCATCCATCGACATGCCACTAATCTCCCGTGGAGTCCTGCTCATTTCGCCACCTCTTTGACTGATTTCAGTAAGTGTGAGATATGTGCAAATGGTTGAAACATGTCCACCCTCAATCAATGCAGACCACAATCATTAGCACTGTCATGCGTGCTACGTTGTTTGAAGTTGCGGAGGACCACCGTGGCTTGTATCACGTCCTACCAGCAGGCATCAGGCCAGGGCCATCTGAAGCCAGGCCAAAGCCGCAGCTTTTGGGCCAAGCCAGGTCGGAACATCACTAGTCAGTAACTTAGTATTACAGTAACCGTACCTGTCAGCATGGTGTACGGGTATGTTCACGGATAGCTGCACTATTTCCGAATCTTCTCCGCATTATTATATGTTGGACGTGACAAGGATTCGCCACTCACTACGATCCTTATTTTTCGGAGGGTCTTTGACTGCAACAGTGACCCACTGCTTCGATCCCATTTCTCGCTGCTTCAATATTCCTACCAGCTCATGTTCTTCCGTCTCCGAGACACATTACTATTACTGATTACAACTCGGTGATTCAGCAGTATAAAGTGACTCAGAGGTGTGCAGACTCTACATTTCTCAATACTCCATTTATTCCATCGTTGTGGTTAATCAGTCTATTGCCAATGACATGGCCTCGCTCGCTGAGTCTACCTCAGCACGTTCGGATGTATCGTCATCTCTGCAGTCCATAGCGGACAATGTTGCAAAACACGTTAAGCTTATCCTTCCACAGGTCAAATCAACCCCCTCCGAGTTGCATTCCGCTGCTCTGGAAGTAATTGATGTTGATATTGATGAAAATGATGCACCTCCTGCCGCCGAACAGGATGACGAAGCTGATCTAAGTACGTGAACTTATTGCTCGCATTTGCGTGGACCTTGATTGATTTTCACTCACAGACGCACTCAAGAAAACTTGGCGTTCAGCAGTCTTCGTTTTTTAAGCCCGACTGATGACTCAAACACATATCGCATTGCAACAGGTGAGCAATTGCTTTGGTATGGGGTGGTTTGTGCTGACCCACACTTGCTAGTTCTCCACCCTGGCCTGAAGCTCGAATATTTCCGACTACAGAAATGAGAAGATAAATGGATTGAAGCTGCCAAAAATCTCGTCCGAGAAGAGTACATAGATCGTTACAAAGACCAGGTCTTACCTTCGATTCCAGCTGCACATGTCTCGGCAGAAGACAAGGTACGATAATGTGCTGATGACTTTGGTGATATATCTCTTGGCACAGCGGCATCTCTAGTAGATGATTTTGACTACTATTTGCGGCAACCAGTGGAGAATACCCAAGTCCCACTGCAATGGTGAGTCTATAATCAAAAGACGTATCTAAATTTGCACCGGATAGCACTCGATTGCCTTAGTATTCCTGATAGGTTATGCACCATCGCTCTCGCTAGCATCACAGCTTATGCATTACACACCATAGCTACCTCGACTGCAGTCGAACGTGTATTTTCGCAAGGCTGGCACCTTCTACACTTCACTCGAAATCACCTGTCTCCGTCATCGACCCTTGCATTCCTCTGTCTTGGCTCGCGGCTCCGTTGTGATCTGGTAGCACCCGAGGACCTTACTAAGATCATGAAGTCTCTGAAGAAAAGAAAACAAGAGGACGAGAGTGTTGTTATTAGACCTACGTAGTGTTACTATTTCTTGTATGTGTACCCGCGTGTATACCCGTGCTATACCCTAGGCCGAACCTAGGCGGCGTACGGGGCCTCGTAGACTGCAGAACAGATCGCAAAGCAGATATTCAGTACACAAAAGGCATCAGCGTCAGAAGAGAAGGAAAATCGGCCAAAGGACATACAACCGCAAGGCGCAGGGACTTACTGGGAACGGTGGAGGCAAAGTGGAGGTGGTCTAGGCCTGCAGTCCTGAACTTTTACAGAAAAAGGCACGCGCACATGAAAATACAGGCGTTTAGGCTAGAGCTTAGCCTTCGTTTCATGTCCTTGTAATGACGACATTACTACGTTACACGATACGTACTGGACGGTGTAGCGGGGGCGCCCTATCAGGCTGTCAGGGGCTGGAGCAGGTGTAGTCCTAGTGGAGTGGAGAGTCAGAGGAGTGAGAGGCAGAGGTGGCAAGGGGCTCGGCAGAGCCCGGGGTCACAGTCGTACATAGATGCACGTGGCCCAGGCCACTCAGTAGTGCCGCATCAGTAAACCGGTGACACCCAGGAAAGAAGCATTGGGCTTACAAAATACTGCAATATTATCCTGAGTCTCACCGGTTTACTGATGCTAGTATTCAGACTCATCAGTTTATGTAGTTCTCCTTCTCCCTCTTGTGAAAGCGGTCCAACGGCTCATATAAAATTGAAACAAGCGCTGGCCACGTTAAGAAAACTCAGAAGAAGCCCACCACAACTCACAAAAGCAAGTTACTGTAGACGTATTTAGATGCTCATTGCCATCTTCCGGTCAAAATTATGCTTCCAAAGCTGGTTGAATTATGTTCTGTTGGGTGACAAGGTACTGACATGAATGCGGAACACAACTTGAAGGAACCATAATTCAAGTAATATCGGAACCGATATAGTATGGGTCCAGACTAGCTCACGACATACACGCCCAGACCAGTCCTCGAAACGGAGATCAATGCCGATCCTAAATCCCTATGGAGCAAGCCCTTCGTCCCAAGTATTCAGTCGCAAGAGAGGTATACATCGAAGGAATGTAATAGAGGAATCGGCTCCTGCTGGGTCACAGCAGGGTCATACATTAATATTCAACGCGGAGTTCTCGTTGGCTTTGAATTTAAATCTCAAGTGACTGAACTGCTTCAAGGAACGTATTCTGTCATTTGTCATAGTAGAGCCCCTTGAAGACGATGACCGGAACTTGATGGTGTCAGAGAGCTTGTGATAAGAATAACGAGGGAAGTCTTCTCATGCATCAGATCCCAGAGACACCCGGCGATAAAAATCAGTATCAATATCAGGAGGTCTGTTGGGCTATACTTCCAGTGCTTATCGGCATCATAGTAATGCAATGAGTATCAAGGTACACAGTTGCAGGACTATTAGGCTGATCCGAATTAATTGGCCCTGTGATATAATTTGTAAAGCCCAAGTAAACACAGGAAAACAATTGAATTTGAATAGTCGTTGCCAAGTCTAATCCAACGTTTCGAAGGTTACTCCTTTCTCTTCTCATCTTCGACAACAGTACTACCAGCGAGAAGCATTTTGGACAACTCTATCAATTCTTGCCAGCATATCACAGTTTTACTGGACCCGTAGTTTTACTGACAGCGGTTTCGGAAGCATTTTGCTTGCCGCCTGTCGAGGAACTCAACAACAGTTATAGCTCTTTCTCCACGCCTACCGTGTTAGGTTTCCCTGGGGTTTTCTTTAGAGTGAGTAGGTCATTCGTGGTCTATAAGCTATTCATCGTTTCCTCACCCTGCTTCTACCAGTCGTATCTTTCGTCTGTCTAAGCAGCGAGTGAGACTCGTGACGACCGTCTAGCACTGCTATACACCCCAGCCTTGCGCCACCAAGTACGTGGGTATTATACCTCTCTTTCGTGGTTTGCGTGGCTCAGTCTAATAAATATAGCTCCATCAGCCGTCATCGATCGTAGGTGGGGCTCACACTACCATCATATATAGTCATTCCCTCCCATCGTGAAACAATACCATCTCGCAAGTGGTTCCGTCCCACACACACAAAGCCTCAACTATCCCTGCGAGTTTCGGTCTCATAATTGTCGCTTGATCTGTCGCCTCGTGTGCTCGGCGATCAGATTCTTCTCAACCGGTCAGGGCCTTCGCACATCAGATCGAAACAAGCGGTTTTTATTGGCCTTTTAACACGGATCTTTACCTCACCTCTAGGATTAACTGTCGACTGCGCCTAACTTCCCACCTTCACTTTCATTCCGTGATTCATCTTATCAGTGGAACCAGCAGCCTGACACCTGCAGGCTTGCTGAAGTTGCTTTCTAACGTGCTGTGCCTGTTCAGGAACGCCTCAACCTTCAGTTGTCGGTTCACGTCTTTTGTCCCGACCCTTGCATTCAAATTCAGGCGCGATGATTGCATCTACCTCTGCCTCGCATGAACAAGCTATGGAAAATCAAACTTCATCAGATGACCCACCCTCGTCCCCGCCGCAGCCAGACTCTAGCGAGCGTCCGGCGACAGCACACGCAAGTGCTTCCCCTTCATTAGGTCGTGGAACTTCTTATCCTTCTATTCCACCTCCTGCTGAACGCCCTTTCACTGTTCACGGTACCTCAAATACCCCACGTGGTACATTCGCCGCAGGCCCATACAATTCCGCAAGTGCGCGGACATCGTTCACTCATGTCGATGTTGACAGTGCTCCGACCTTTGGAGCGTACCCTCCCCTTCCGAATTCAAATTTGGGACAAGCTGCGCCAGACATTGCAGTGAACAACGCTGAAGCAGTTGTACCACCTGCCGTAGACGGACCTACCGCACCAGAAAATCTTGTACCTCAGACACCTCAAGTGTCCCTGACATTCCTCCTCGTGTCTGGCCGAAGGCGGACTATGTCGTTCGATCCAGCAATAACAATTGGAAGGGTCAAAGAGCTGGTGTGGAACGCGTGGCCTGCAGGTCAGGGTTTCAAATCCTTCAGTCCCGGATTCTGTTGTTATAACGGTTCTCATTCATAGATTGGCAAGATGAAAGTCCACAAGCCCCATCACATTTGCGAATTCTTTACCTAGGCAAGATTCTGCAAGATGAGGACAATCTTACCCGTGAGCATACTAGTCATCAACGATGTTTTGTCTTACTTATGAGGATGAATGGCATGATTACAAGATCTTGCATTCGCAACTTCTCTACCATCAGATTCGTCTTCCCTACCCACGATCGTTCATCTTTCCATTCGCCCCTCCAACATCTCAACGGTTGATGATACTATGAAGAAGAGACGCTTGAGCAATGCATTTTCCCGCAGGGGAGCAATAAACAATGACACGGAGATCGCACGCGAAGGTGCCGATAATGCCGTGGGATCGGGATCTTGTTGTGGATGCATTATCTGCTAATGTGGGCAGAGGTCCCGACGATTTAGAAGGTCTGTGAGCATGCCGAAGGAGGACATTTCGGAATGAGCGTAAATGCCGTGATATCCGAATTGTTACTAACAACATGCGGGAGAACTTTGTTTGTATGGAGGAGGACGACTGACTTTCTTTACGATGGTATGCAACATATCTTTCGTAGGCTGCTCGAGCGACATATAACATACTATTGCAGCTAATACATCTGATCACTTTTGTACACATTTTACCTATGATACACGGACAAACTTGCAACTTTGAATCTGAGTCAGCAATTGAGATCCTCGGAGCTTTGGCTTTGCAAGTACCAAGTACTGAAATGATTCACCAAGGGTCTTGCGCTTAACAAACGATGACACAAATTTGGACCCATACATCCGAACTTGGGCGGTGACTACCTTATAAAAGTATGTCATCTCCGAACGAGATCCGACCATGACGAACTTCTACTAGTACCTGCACATATGGCATGAAGTTCGTTACGTCCTCTTGGCAGCGCATGTCTCTCTCCCCCTCATCACTCCCCAGTACATACAATGGGTAGGGTAATCTCATACAGGTCCATCGCAATCATCCTGCTTGCTTGTATTCTAGGGGTCACCCTGCGAAACGTCGTATTTACGCCGCCCGATAACAACATACTGGATTTGGACTCTCCCACGTCGCCGCACCCTCCCGTATTCGATTACTACTACCCAGAGGATGATCCACTCTCGGTTGATGATACGGTAGACATTGGCTTATTAGTGCAGGAGGAACCTCAGCCCCCTCCGCTTGGTGATCACCATTATGGTGATAATGGATTGCTCGTGGTTAACCCAGATGGACCTCATCCCATTTTTGAGCTTATAGAGCGAGCAGAAGAAGCTTGGGAAAAAAAGCTTGGTCGCGCGAGTAAGACGCTAGGCGAAGCTGTTGCGGAATATAAACGAAGATACCATAGGCCTCCTCCTATTCACTTCGAGAGATGGTACGTGACCAGCATTGAAACCAAGGTTTAACAAGTTTCATAGAGAAATCACCATTGGGCTTGTAGGTGGGACTATGTAGTGACGCACAACGTCCAACTTCCAGACGAATACGACGAGATATATCAAGATTTGGAGCCTTTCTGGGGTATTGATCCCCTGGCCTTCCAGGAGAGTAGAGAGCAACTGGAGGACGCAGTTCAATACTATTGTTATTGCAAAAACAGAACAACGCCCCTCCGTCGAGGTCGCCGACTACAATTTACCAGAAGATGCTACCGAAAGGCTCCTTGGTCGCATCGACAATGTACTACGACTCCTCCAGGATATAGAACATCTTCTCCCTCCTTTCCGCGCTGTTTTTTCACCTCACGACAATCCCAGTATGCTATCAGACCATGGCGTCAAATCCAAGGCACTTGAAGCGGCTGCTACTCACTCCAGTATGATCTTTCTGATTGTTGCACTGCAACAAGTTTTGCTCACACGTTGTTAAGCTCTAAAACGGAATGAATTACCCCCAGTGCAGCGATCCGGATGGCTTTCTGCATGCCATCCATCTTCTCCCGCGTGGCACAACCCTATTGATCTCGATAAACCCGCAGAGCGCCCATCTCACAAAACCTTTATTTCCGACCATCGCCTGTCTATGGACCCGTGCCTGAATCCTACCCTTCTCCGCAGCCACGGTCAATTCCTATCGCACGACAATGGGCCAGACCCTCAGAGCACACTAGTTCCGCGTTTTTCCTTCTGTTCGACAGTGGTTCACCATGATATTCGACCGGCTGTTCCCTATGGCTGGGTCGAGGACCTTCCAGAGTCAGACAATCCGCCGTGGGAAGAGAGGGTAGACGAAAGACTACTCTGGCGTGGTACGAATACTGGCATCTTTCACGGCGTTCATACCCGGTGGCGACAGGGGCACAGAGACCATCTGATACAGTTTGTCAACGATGTGGCGGGAACGACGGATGTGCTTCGTTCGCCTCTGAACGCTTCTAAACCTGTCGGGGAACCGGTACCGTTGCGCAAGGCACACCTCAATCCTGCGTTGATGGACATTCAATTCGCCGGAAAGGCAGGTTCCTGCGCACCAAACCTCTGCGATGAGCTGGATAGACTTTATGACTGGAGAAAAATGCAGACGCTCCAAGAGGCTGGCCATTATAAATATGTTTTTGATGTTAGTCTGCCTGTTAAATTCGATGACGACATTCAGTCATTCACCACTTTTAGATCGATGGGCACGGGTGGTCAGGACGGTTTAAGCGCCTCATAACATCAAACGCCCTTGTATTTAAAAACACGATATATCCCGAGTGGTGAGTGCTCCTCGTCTCATCTCATTCGCGTCGTAACAAACAAACCATGTTTATAGGTTTATGGATCGAGTTGCACCCTGGGTGCACTATGTACCTGTACAGATCGGATCTGTCTGATTTGTACGATACGTTCACTTTCTTTCCGTGGCGGACTCGATGGAGAAGGCGCACATGAAGACTTGGCGAAAAAAATAGCAGCTGCAGGACGCGAATGGAGCCAAACGTACTGGAGGAAGGAAGATCTGACAGCATATACGTTCCGGTAGGATTTCTCTCTCTTTCAAAAGACAGTCATCCTTACCAGTTGATTCAAGGTTTGCTCCTCGAGTATGCACGCGTCTCCAGTCTCGACCGCGATGCGAATGACATATAAAGAAGACTTGAACTCGTAGTACTGCGCAACGTTGTACTTGTAACTTATTGTTGAAAACTTGGATTTGGTCGTGTCACGCGAGTTCATGGGAGAGATCACCCATTATGAGGTTCCCGATTATTTTCATGATCTTCTCGTGGATCACGTAAGTGAGAACAAGAACCAGTGGCAGTTACGTTCATTCCCTGGTTCTAGCTGTTTTCTCCAACTTTGTTTTGGCGGCTTTGAGTAATACGTCTCGAGATCGAGACTTAATTATCGTTGAAAATTCATTAGTCTTAATGAGCGTCCAGCTTCAGAACCATAATATAGAAGTTCTGATAGAAGGCAAATTAAAATTCCAATGCTGGGGGGTTTAAGCGGCGTCGGGTGAGGCATTTCTCAGACGGTCGACCTGGCCGAGTGCCAAAGTGTAAAAACCACACAAATGCCGCAGATTAGGGGAAGATGATGCATATGATCCACCTGAGAGCGGAGCTGAGCAACGAAGCGCGCGGCTAGCTCGCACAAAGAATAAGTTGAAAATTCCAATGCTGGGGGCTTAAGCCGCGGCGTCGGTTGAGGCGCATTTCTCAGAGGGTCGACTTGGCCGAGTGCCAGCTGTGCAAACACCTCACAAATGCCGCAGATTAGGGGAAGATGATGCATATGATCCACCTGAGAGTGGAGCTGAGCAACGAGGCGCGCGGCTACTCTCGTGTTACGCTAGAAAGAGTTCAGGAAAGCCGGAACTCTATACTGTGGTATCTTGTCAAGCCTCTGTTGTTGGTGCTGGTTAGATACGAAATATTCAAAGCAAATCTGGCCTTGAACTGCGCATCAGTCTTTGCATTGCCATCATATGTACTCTGAACAGACCCAAAAACCATTTGAAAAAGACCCTGACAACAAAAAGCGCGTACGCACGCCAACTGGATTGCCATCCAGCCGCTGTGTCCACACTCCGTAAATAGAATTTTGCATCCGATAGCACTGGCAATATGTTGTCCATCAGGGAGACATCGCAACAGCAGAGTTGATCATCATGCAAGACTCGGAGACATTCGCCAACCAGCTGATTGGTTTTGAGGCCCCAGATACGAGCTGAATAGTCCTTGGATGCACTGTCAATGTCTTTCATTGAGGAACAGACAGGGATCTGATGGCGTTGGCATGACCCCGCCAGTGAAGAACGACAAGCTCTTTCCCATCGATAGACTGCGAACGGTGCAATCTCAAGACACGGAGAAGATGTGCACCGTCCTTGGACCAACTTGCACAACGGCGCACTTACGACCTTTGATTTTGATGAGCAACTTGCCGACATTTGACCACACGCGGATCACTTCGTACATCCCGCAGTTCGCCAAATTATTAGCTTGTGGAGTGTCCGGGCTGGGTTTGGATTCTTGGTACAGAAGGAGAGGTGCATTGTGCACAAGTGTTGGTGATACCACAGGATCAACTATTAACACGATCAGTACAAAAACCAAAGAAAAAAGACATACCTTTCCGTTCAGTCGAGATATGTAGGTGTATACATGCTATTGTTGGCTGGTAGTGATGTTGGTATGGAAATGAACAAAAAAATGACGCATACGTCTGGTTTTCTTGGCGTTATGGTGGTCATCATGGCATTCACTGTCATTAGAAAGGCGCCACTTGCCTTTGCTCTTGCCTTTGAAATAGAATAAGAGTCCACTTGACGGCATAGAGCCAATAGCTTGAAGCAAGCTTAAAGAGATTGTGAGTTGTCGAACCAATCCGGGACAATTCGGGGAAGGGAAGTTGACAGGGGAGAATGAATGAACACATTTTTCCCTGCCTACTTCCCTGCAGAGTTGGCAACAAGAAATGATTATGAGGGTATCTGATATCAGCAGAAGAGTAGTTGACAGACATGGTGGTAGTAGCAGAAAGACATCTACTACCTGCTACTACCACCAAGTGGTAATTTTTAGTATAAGTTAATTATTATGTAAGTGAGCTCAACATTCAACGCCGTCTGCTATCATAACAAGTACTGACATCTCTGGCGGACGTCTACTCGGGTAGCACTATGGAGAGTCACAATTATAATCTATAGAAATATAGGGGATCATACAATGGCGCACATCTTTAGTTCAGCTCTGCCAGCGAGCACTACCGACGTGGTTCTGTCTGGCTGTGCAGTAGTGTGGTCGCACAGCGGCCTCGTGCCCTCCCGTAAGCACTGAACGGCAAGCGCCTACTCGTCCTTCAACTGCCTTCCACCGTGACAACCATCCAGCGAGCTTTCCATAGTAGAATAGATTGAATCATTTATCTTCATCACGCTTTGCACTTTCCATCAATCGACAACTAGATTGTTCCGCGACCTAAGTCTTGTCACAACAAACAAACTTCAATTCAAATCTTCGTACGTCGTCCCTCCAGATAACTATCGCCCAGATTATTCATAACCACACCCTCAAACCCAGCTAGTACTTTCAATTAATTCATTGCATCTCGCATATCACAACCTTAGTCAATGAGTGACGACCAATGTCAGTACTTCCATCTCTTAGCTCTCGCATACTCTCTGACCTCTTTGACAGTTCTCGAAGGAACTTGGGCAAGGCTATCCCAGGTCGCTGTCAAGGGTGCCCAATATAACTCCCCTGAACGTCATCCCCACCCGAAATGTTTGGAAGGGACCCGGGTGGATCTCCTCAAATACATCCACGGGTACTTAGACGACCCGAAGAAGAATCAACTTATTTGGCTGCATGGCACGGCTGGTGTCGGAAAGTCCGCTGTTGCGTTCACTGTAGCTGAGAAGATGAGAGACCTTAAGGTAACAGAGCAGACGAATGTCGAAAAGCGGCTCGGGGGAACATTCTTTTTCTCGCGCAAGCACACCAAACGCTGCACGGCTGGATATTTCTTTGCGACGCTTGTTTACCAGCTTGCCACCAATTTTCCAAGCATCCGGAAGGATGTGTGCAGAATTATCCGCGACAATCCCGCTCTACTAGATCCAGACACGCCTCTCTGCGACCAGATGGAGGCTCTCTTTCTTCGACCTCTCCGGAAACTCCAATCCAGATTGCGCGGGTGTCCGCCTTTGTCGATCGTCATCGATGCCCTTGATGAATGCACGTCGGAACCCGAGCTTACCGATCTCATCCTTTCCCTTGCACAGGCTCTTCGTGAGCCTGATATACCTGTGACCCACATTCTGCTCACAAGTCGCTCGGAATCGTATATTAGCCAAGTCTTTCAGAACGACAAGGTGCGCCCATTGGTGCGCGAGATACCCGTGAGAACTTCTGTGGAGGGTGGCATCATTTCGTTGGATGGCGCAGACGTTGACAACGATATATGTACTTTCTTGCGGTATTCCTTCGAAGAGCTGAAAAGTCGCCATCCCGATTTCCCGCAGCCATCGGAGGTTGACCTTGCGAAGCTGGCGAGCCGAGCGGGCAGACGTTTCATCGTGGCGTCTACGATGATGAAGTTTATTATCGACGATGAAGACAATGATCCCCATGATTGGTTACAGTTGATGCTCGAGCTCACGAACGAGCTGCTACCAGGAACAGAGGTATACAAATTATACGATTGTATCCTCTCCACGTGTGCCGACCCCAAGCGGGCATACCTGCACTTGTCCATTGTCGCCGCCCTCGTAGACCCTCTTCCCATCTCGCAAATCTCGACACTTCTTGGCTCTGGTTTGGGCAGGGATGTGCAGACAACACTGATACAGCTATGGTCTGTCATGGATATCCCTACAGACAGCACTCTCCCTGTGAACATCTATCACTCGTCCATTCGCGACTATGTTTCCGACCCTTCAAACTGCGACCTCCCTGAAGTACGTGATATCGCATCACCTCACTCCCTACTTGCACATTCCTCTCTCCGGTTGATGAACGCGATTCTGGAAAGCACGACTCTCTTGGATGCACTCTCAGAACTGAAGGAGCAAAGCAATGCCATGCAAGCTGAGGACCCAAAAAAATTAAAAGACTCATTAGTGTTCCTTGTTTGGCTACCAGAGCCACTGTCAGTTGGGTCTGTATGCTGTGGCTTCGAGGAGATCGCACTTCAGATTTACAATATTGGCTGAGGACTGTGAATGGATGTGCCTGGCTGCAGATCCAGGCAGGACAACGCTGGCTGCAGACCAAAGGAGGATGAGGCTGGCTGCAGGATCAGGGAGGACGAGAATGGCTGCAGACCCTGGGAGTACAAGATTGGTTGCAGACCCAGGGAGGACGAGACTGGCTGCAGACCCATGAAGGAGGAGACTGGCTGCAGACCCAGGGAGGACAAGACTGGCTGCAGATTCAGGAAGGCTGAGACTGGCTGAAGACTCAGGAAGGACGATTCTGGCTGCAGGCTCAAGGAGGACGGGACTGGCTGCAGACCCAGGGAGGGGAGGACTGGCTGCAGACCCGGGAAGGACGATTCTGGCTGCAGATTCAGGGAGGTTGATTCTGGCTGCAACCCCCGAGGGGACGAGACTGGCTGCAGACCCAGGGAGGACAAGACTGGCTGCAGACCTGCGAAGGACAGGGAGGACGATACTGGACGCAGCCCCAGGCAGAACGAAACTGGCTGCAGACCCAGGCAGGACAAGAGTGGCTGCAGACACATGGTGGAGAAGGCTGGCTGCTGACCCAAGGAGGACGAGAGTGGCTGCAGACACAGGGAGTGCGAGAGTGGCTGCAGACACAGGGAGGACGAAAGTGGTTGCAGACACAGGGAGGATGAGAGTGGCTGCTGATACAGGGGGGACGAGAGTGGCTGCAGACACAGGGTGGGGAAGACTGGCTGCAGACTCGGGCAGGACGAGACTGGCTGCAGACCCTGTGTGGACAAGACTGGCTGCAGACTCCCCATGGTCAAGCGTGGCGATCCACTCCTGCAGCCTCTGTCTGGGTGACAATGGAAGAATTCTTGAGGACATCAGAAGCAATCAACGAGTATATCATTACCAGTGATGTACCAGCTTTTCAGGTAATCCAGCAGTTCAAGACCTTGCCAGATTTCTTGATGTTTCCGGTTTTCCTGGCATTAAGACACCAGCATCACCCCACCCCTGCAACATCAGAAAGCCTTCTTCTACCAGACAGGGAGATAACTCATGCCATGAATGCCTTTGAGAGGTTCGCAAATGAAGCACAGGAACGAAGTCAATCAGCTTCTGATGCTCTCAAGTACGCCTGTCACAACTGGGCCGTACATCTCTTGCGTGCTCCCCATCCATGGGATGACACGCTCAACCATATATTCCAGGCTTTTTGGAAAGATCATATTATCTCCTGGCTGGAAATGGAGTGGTGTTTGAGGGGTCTGTGGTCTTGCCTTGCCGTCTTATCTGAAGGGCAGAAATTTGTGAAGGTGTGTTTCAACGATTCTCCCGTCAAAGTGGCCACAACTGACGTCACCCCCCTATGGTTCCGTGATGTTTAGCCCATGACACACCTTGGCATTCTCTCTTATGTTCAGTCTAAACTGTTGAGCCACTGGCGCATACCGCGGCGCTAGCAGTCGAATTCGTTAGCCCTACCCTATTGACAGTGCTTACAAACCACAGGCAGGCGAGATTAGTATCAGCGCCAGCAAGTAATACCATTAGTACGTGCGGTGTAACAGATAGTGTGATGTACTTCACTCCTTGTTATGAAATATGTTGTCTTAAGTACCTAGATCTATTGTTGATACCAACTTGAGTTCTCTCGAGCTCTTGAGCAGTGGCACGTTCAAAAAGCCTACTTGCACTATCATAGAGGTCACTCATGATAAGACTATGTATTTTGCATCTGCTGTTTTTAGAATCTAGACACAGTTAGAGACTAGGTATCATGTGTAAGTATCTACTATCTAAGCGGGACAAAAGGAAGAAACGGAACGAACTGAGGGGAAAGAATGGGCGAGACGAAGACTATATATCATGGTTTGTTATGCCGTGCGCAGCTCCTTCCAAATCCACGGACGAGTACCCCATAGCAAGACATGAGTATAGAACTTCGATGGAGTGTCAGAGAGAGAAAGGATCCGATCAACAAATGCTCACCTTGTACACCTCAAATGTGTCTCTTTATATGCCAGTAGTGTACTGGGAAAGTGGCAGTGTGGATTCACCCTGGCTAATTCACCCGGGTGAATTAGAGTGAATCGTCGTTCTGGACTTTCATGCCAATCTATTGCAATGCAAAGGGCCCCGACATGGTTGCCGTCCAATGAGATGGTACAGATACAGAATCAGTTAGGGTTGGATTTCTTGAGGGGACTTTCGCATTGGACACCAGTCGTCCGTCGTACGTTGATGTTGAAATATAAGGAGGCACTGTAGTCCAAGGCTTGGCGAGCGCTAGTGAAAATTTCTTCAGGGGACTTTCGGTATGGATACCACTGGCCACCCTTGGCACCACTTGGTAAAGGTACCGAGGGCCTTTCAGGCTAGGTTCCGTTGTAGGTCGTTACCTGCCTGAAAGCCTACCTCCACAGCGCGGACCGTGGTGCATTTTGTAGAGCCTCCAGCGAGGAGGAGCCAGGAGGAGGTTGCATTTTGTAGAGCCTCCAGCGAGGAGGAGCCAGGAGGAGGTTACATTACGGAGGGAGGCTCGAGAGGCTCAGGCTCACGGAGATTAGTGATAAGTATAAGTAACATACCATTGCACACCTCTTTCGAGGAGCTAACATGTTTTCCCGCTCCTCGCGAGGCGTTTTTATTTGACCTTTTGTGAAATTCATAACATAGAACACACAACAAGAACTTTGTATTCAATTCAATACTACGAATACGCGAATACAAGTAGGAGGGCAATAAGCAAGAACATGGTTCCAAGAACAGGGAAGACAAACCAAGGTAATGCTCTAATTGCCTTCAGACTGAGGGGGAGACGACGAGTACTGCATAAGACCAGGTAGTGGGCTCGTTGAATTAGCGCGAATCGTCCGTCCATCCTCAGGATATGCGGCATAACGGGGCCAGTTTTGACGAAGATCATGTCTGTCATGACGCGGGGCTGGACCTTGATAATGATCATAGATCACCCGGCCATCACGGTATCCTGGGTATTCCTGGCGAGGAGCAGGTACATGACCATCGTGCACGTCCCTTCCTCCATGGTATGCTCCAGTCCCTTGCTCATAGGAATCTGAGCGCGTAGGATAGTAGGGGTGAGGAGGAGGGGGCGGAGGATATGTGTACATGGTGTTGCGAGGATCCATGGAATGTTGAGGCTGACGAGCTGCATTGACACCAGGGGCATAATTCACACCGCTAGGCAGATGCCGTTGAGTCATGGGCTGGTACTCCGTAGAACCACGAGATGGTGGCAGAGGAAGACTTCTATCGCTAATGTTTTGCTGCCCATTAGGTTGGGCAGTTGTGTTGTGCTGATCATGGGGTGCTGGAAGAAGTGAGCGCGGTTGCTCTCGACTCTGAGGGGATGGGGATGAAGGTGTGGGTGAAGGCACCTCCAAATGGTCGCTGGCCTGCGTGGGCCTGCGTGAACGTGTCCTCCATCTTCCCCCTCACAGGTAAATCCCATCTAGAGGTTCTGGGGCCTCTGGGTCCTCGTTGCTGTGCGACCTGGGCTGTATCACGGCTTCCTCGCGGGGCATCTGGAGGTCCTTGCGAGGCATCTTGCAGCACCTCCTGGGAGGTGTCGAGACTTCCTTGTCGTGCATCCTGGGTGGTGTTGGAACCTCCTGGTGCGTGCGGTTGACGCTTGCCTTCTGAGTATAGCGCAACTTGGCGTGCACTTTCAGATGATCCTGGAACGACTTGTTTGGGTTGTGGAAGTTCTACAAAATCATAAGCGCTGTTCCTGGTAGTGAAACCAATGTAGTACTTGCCGCGTTGAGTGCGTGGTTGCAATGAGTCCTGTGGGCCATCACGAAGACGTGAAGCTTTATGTCCTGGAAGGAGGGTTATTAGATCTCATATAGTGCAAGGGACTTTGCTCACCATCCTGTTCAGTGTCTGATTCAGTTGCGGCAGAGACATAGCGCACTCTCTTTGCGATCTTCTGCTCCTTGCCAGTATCCTGGTCAACCGCTTTGCCCTTGCCCTTGACAGCTTTTCTGCCCTCGCGAGGCGGTTCAACAGCTTGAACGTCGCTTGATGGAGCACGTCGCTTCTGCGAGCGATGGCCTCTGGTTCCCTTCACCTTGCGTTTACGAGAGGTGGCGACTTCATCTTCATACTGTGAGTCTTCACTCTCAAGGGCGTCTTTGTCCTCCTTGAACTCATCCTCGGCATCTGACTCCGAGCTGACCTGTACATCGCTGGACAAGTCGACGGGAATGACCTCGCGTGCGGGTTTCTTTCCCTTTGAAGCCTTCAATGGACGTGGAGGAGGACGATTCCGGATCTCGACAATTGGGACAAGCTTCTTGTTAGGGATTGATTGGGATTGTGGAGGCGTGTCGTCTACGAGAATGGGGGATGCACGATGGCCTTCCTTGCGTGTTTGAGGGCTTCGGCTGCTTGACCTTTGTGCTTGCTGCACCTGGTCCATGACAAGCGATTCCCTGACGGTCGATGGTGCCATCAACAAGCATGCGACGACCATGCGAATGTAAGGATTCTTCAGGAGGGGCCTCGCCGAATATAATGGGGGATTTTTGGTCTATAAAATGATTAGCTAGCCGTATTGGAAGTGAATTGATTTGCACGTACCCAAGTCTCCATTTTTTTTGTCGTTCGATGGTCAATCTGCCTGATCGCAAGGCATCCGCAAGTATGACACGCTCACGTTTATCAAGGTCGCTGATGCCTTTCGGTCGTGCAAACCGTTACATGTGGCTCTCCCGGCATCAACATGTCTTCAGGATACCCTTTCATCACAAACCGGTGACGCGCCCAGCTCGGCAGGTAATAGTTTCCATGGGAAAGTTCCTGACCGTGCTGTTAACTTCCCGCCGAGGTTACTGAACATTGAGGTTATGCCGACTTTGATGCATTGTATGTGGTCGGCCAGTGTCTTCCAATCGACATTGTTGGGAACCTCCTGTACCTCGTCATCATCTTCTTTTACCCCTGGGGTGCGCGTGCGCCGCCCAGGCAATGATATATCCTTTTTGGAAGGTTGAAGTCCGCCATCACCGTAAACGTCCTCAACAACGGCAAGAGAAGCCAGGTGGCTGGAAAAACATCAGCTGAAGTATTGAGACAAGAAAATATAATTGACTTACTATACATGGGCCTTAAAATGTCCCACCATCGTGTTCTCATCGGCACGACAGCGGGAAGCCCAAAACTAAAAGAACACGCAGTCAGCAAGGCCTTTGGTACACTGATGGCTCGAATTTACCTCTTCTGCACCAGGGGTCGTGTGTATGTAGCCAATTGACGCATCTTGATTCACAACCTTCCCGCACATAAGCAGCGCTGCTTCGAAGCCATGCTTTGCGGTGGCCAGATCCAGCTGGATGCTCCATTAGCGCATAAAAATTAAGTACACAATGTAAGACTTACCATGGATGTCACTTTCTTTGTCAACCTCGTGAATTCTTGTGACCGCTGTGCAACAGTCAGAGGCGGGCCTGAAGCGATCCGTGTCTCGTCAAATGTGTCGAGAATGTCTTGCCAATCCTCAGGATATGCGTCCTGGAAGGACCTATAACATTCGCCTTGGATGGTCGATGTGACTGCATCCCAACATGAGTCATAACCACTGAACTACAAAAACAGACTTACTGATAATATTCGCATCCTTGCCAGCTCGCTGTAGCTCGCGCAGGCGGTGGGCTTTGAAGTATTGCCCGTAGATGTTCCAGTGATTTGTTCCATTATTGACGCGGCCACGAGACTTGAGAAATAGATTCAAAACTTGCTGCAGTTGGCATGCCAGTCGAGACTACAAGCTCATTGATGGCGCAATCAATGAGGTCGAACTGTTTTTCCATTGCAGCGTTGGCATCTTCTGACCTCCGACCAACGACAGTGGCACCTGAAGGCCCTCCCTGGGTGTCCATCGCGAGGTTTCCCGTCATGACAGGGTTGGCAGGAGGGGGAGGGATGACACCGGTGTCCATCGTGAGGTTTCCCATCATGACAGGGTTGACGGGAGTGGGAGGGATGACACGGGTGGCAGGAATATTGAGTCCAGTTGGGAATGGAACATGCGGAGGCGTATTATGTTCTGGTAGATGACTCTCGTGCGGTATGAAAAGGTTGTTTGGCTGCATGACGTCGAACGATCCTCCAGCTATAGAGTCCCAGGATGGGGCAGGGACATCGAGCGACGAGAAGTCGTAGGCATCTTGTTCACCGCTGCGGATGGGCAGATCTTGTTGGGTCTGTCCCGACATACTGCTCAGGGTTGGCTGAGGAAGTATCGCATCACAGGGTGCTGTGAACACTTCCTGCATGAAGTGAGGCTCGCGAGGAACCATAGGCGACCGCTCGCGTGACACACTGCGTCTAGAAAATTCGAAAGAGCTGCCTGGAGGTACCCCTCCAGGCACTTCCAGCCGACCTTGGGAAGAAAACACCAGAGAAGTGCTCTAAGTGAGAACTCGGCACACCATCTGATGCATGGCCATCAGAGCCATTGTCTGGAACCAGTTTCGCTCTATTGCGGGCGCTTTTTCGAACAAGACCACCGTCGCGTGAGGTGGGTCTTATGCGAGTGCGAAGTTTGGTGGGAGTCTGGATGGGGGGGGGTGATTTTTGACGCCCTCCTCCGATTTGCTCAGGGTGAGGTTCTAAAGCTGTGAAAGAGGGCGTTGAGGAGCGCGCCAAATTTTCTGGGAGATATTCTTCATTCATTTCTACATTAGAAATACAGTCAGACTGACTATGCCAGATTATGAACATGCAAACTTACTTGGGAGAGGAGCAAAAGACGTAAGATATATATGATGGGTGATAGACTAACACAAGGCTAGTCCGCGTTTAATATGAGTCAGTGATAGACTAACACAAGGCTAGTCCACATTTAAAATGAGTCAGTGATAAATGGTCCAGCTCAAGATGCATTCACCTTCGTCTAAGCAAATACTAGCAAGTCTCGAGGGCAACGTTGATCCTACTGACGGCAATACAAGCGGGAGGAAAAAGGTGTGAAAAAAAAGTGCATGTGATGCTTTCGTGCCTTCCATATTTCTGGGAGAGTAGCAGCTCGCATTCCATAGGGATTCACTGACAGAAAATCACTAGGACAGAAGATCGACGGCGACTCACTGCGTACCTGTGTGACATAACACGAGTACACTCCTCCAGGAAGGCTCGAGAGACCATGGAAATTGCTAAATGATGAGGGATCCTCCAAGGAGGCGCTGGAGCACCTGAGGGCGCAGGAGGTTTGACACGAGGTTGCCGCAAATATGAATGCAGGCTGGTTTCATTGGGAAATACGTATGATAACTACTTTACTCATCGAAGGCCCAGGGTTCCACCATCTTAATTCGTCCTTCATCGATGGCAATCCTGACTTTTTCCTCCCCAATTGCAACAGACTCAACCTCATGGTAAACAGCACCAGCGACACCCAGAACGCAGTTGAGTGCATTCTCCCTAGTGTAAAAATGATCAAATACGACAAGCGCCTGGAATGAATCTGTGCTCACCAGCCTGCCACTACACCAATGTGAGACCCGCGGGTGACATAGAACATGCTTTGAGAGGGTTTGACTTGTACTGAAATATTATAACAGTTTAGCGAGAAGGATACATGTGTTGATTGACTCACCTGGAATGTTATAGAAAACATCCTTGTAGACGTGAAGGACAGAGTCGTCCGCCCTCGATCTCACAGCATTCTCGAAATCTGGATGGTTGTGATTGATGATGGTGAACTCTGGGCTTGCCGTGGAGAGTGCGCGATTGACGAAGACGACTGGAGGTGAAGACGAGGTGAAGACACGCTCGATGAAAAATGGTTCGGTCACCGACGACATAGTTTGCTGGGGGAAAAATTGTGAGAATTAGTGGAGTACGCTCAAAGGTTGAAAAGGCTCATCTGATGAGAAGTGGAAGATACCTACAATCGCATTCAACTTGCCAAAAAGGGTGGCATATGCATAGTGCTTGCTGGACGTTTCTGAAAAACAATTCAGAAGTTGAAAAAGCCCTGTGTTGACCAAAACGAGTGGAAAGGATTCTATGTGTTTACGTGGAGTAAAGCTCACGTGTGTTCTTGCGCGACCCTTAGTACAGTGCCAAATAAAGTTAACCAAGATGCTCACGTTTGACGATGAACTTCTCGGCGTGCTACACCCAATGAGCAATGTTAATGAAGGCTCAGGCAAGACGTCGCCGAGTGCGGAAGTAAGGGTTCCCTATTCCAAACGTCGCCAAGTGCGGAAGTAAGGCTTCCTTGTTCCGAGTTGTTCCGATTGTTTTCCCTTCACAACAATAGGCTATGGGGAGGCTCGTGTGGGTCTGAAGAAAAAAGGAATATCAGTGGGGTCGAACCGGGGAGCAGGGCGTTGCAAAGACCACTGCGCGATAACCACTATGCCATGAGTGCTTCCATTCATTGCACAATATTACATCCTAGAGAGTATCATAATGTCAACTAATACGCACCTTCTGAAGTCCCGAGAGCTTCTGCAATCGACCACGATGTCTTATTGTGGCCTTCTGCGTCCTGCAATCGATGGCGATGGGTTTTATCTGCAATGGTCGCGATCCTTCTCTACCGCACCTATACATCTTGATCATGGATTTCACTGAACTCGACCATTCCCTCCAACGCATTGCATCGCGGCACCATTTGCCAGTAGAGACGACATTGGAAAGGTGGCTGGAGAGGCGGGCGGAAATGAATGATCCTAACGCATGGAAAGAGCTTGATGGCATACCATGTATTGTTGCTGGGCTAGCGGCGTTGCTTGGTAAGTGCTGTGGTTGACATCTGTAATAGAATAATCAAGTCAAAATGTTTGCAGGAAAACTTGAAGCGCCAGGGGGATTCTTTCCATGGAAAAGGCTACCCGCTGAACTAGCCAAACGTGGCTACGTCCTCCAACACTACCCTGAAAATGTTCTGATGCCTGGGGAGAGACGCGCCACCCTTGCAAAGAGCAAGGGGATACACGACCTTACGCTTCGTGAGCGCCAAATCTTTGCCGATGCCCTCAAGAACAATTTACTCACCGTCAAAACCATCACTGGCAAAGACGCCCGTGCAAAGCTCGTGGCCTCCCGTAGGCCTGTCATCGTCGGGGAAGCGCCTGCACCTGATTCCAACAACAGACGTGGTCGGCGTTGGTTTGCTAATGGTCATCTTGATAGGAGGGGTCTTCGTCGCCTCGAATTCACAGACACCTCTTCCGACACCTCCCCCGAGCCATCCCCTGCACCAGTGTCTGATGCGCCGCGTCCACGTCCTGGTCCTGCATCCGTGCGTCCTCGTCCTGGTCCTGCATCGCTGGCTCGTGTGTCTCCTACACCACGTCCTCGTCCTGCTCGTCCAGCACTACTCCCACCTTTCTCCCCCGAGCCATCCCCTGCATCAGTGTCTGATGCGCCGCGTCCTCGTAGGAGGGGTCTTCGTCGCATCGTGTTCACAGACACCTCTTCCGACACCTCCCCCGAGCCATCCCCTGCACCAGTGTCTGATGCGCCTCGTCCTCGTCCTGGTCCTGCATCCGTGCGTCCTCGTCCTGGTCCTGCATCCATTCGTCCTCGTCCTGGTCCTGCATCCATGCGTCCTCGTGTGTCTCCTACACCACGTCCTCGTCCTGCTCGTCCAGCACTGCTCCCACCTTTACAGGTAGTTAAACCCAATGTCGATGAACTCATCCCGGATATATCCTACCTTGGGCAGGCTTCACAATATTCTGATGGTGCCACGCACGAGGAAGACGAAGTGGAGGTCGATGAGTTGTTTGGGACCCAGGGAAGTAAAGTTGTGCGCGCTGTATAATAGTGTCATTGGGCATCGTTGTAGTACTAAAGGTTCTATATACTGGTGAAGGGGGGAGAATGTATCGAGACGAAATGCGTGAATATAAGCCTTAGATACGGATCCTCTTCTGGTACATCAGCTCACCCATTGAGTGAGCAACCGTCAACTCAGTGAGTCCTTCAATGTCCAAAAAATACTGGACATCATCTATATAAGCGAGTGTAGTGCTTAAGAACCGGGAGACTGATTCAGTAGCGCGAGACTCGGTTGAGACTCCACAGAAAATTATGATTTGATCCTGCACTCGAGTTGCACGGCGGAGTAAGCGTTCGACCTCTGTTTTCGCATTTTGAATGATTGAGGTGTCGCCCTTGCCATGCACTTCATCTGGCAAGCTTTTGACGTACTGAAGGAGGAGGCTCTCTGTAAATGCGCAGGGTTCTCCAATTAGCACCAACATCTCGTCCTTGATGCTTTTGAAAGCGAGCAGGCACGATGGGAGATCTATTGATCTGTAGATATTTAAATTATGTTTCGCTATTAAAAAAAATGACATACAGTGCGTCATTCTCGTCTTCACTCGTCTCCGGCTCAGATAGATCTTCATCGTAGCCTAAGGCTACAGCGAGTGCTCTTTGAATCTCCTGTACCTCCTGCGATGGCTTTGTGAGGCGAAGCCCTCGTCGCCTACTCAATATACCGTCTCTGTGTCTTTGTACGTCAGTTGACCTGCCGTCTGTGAAAGACAATAAATAAAACTCAAACTTACTTTGCGTAATGATGTTGGCGTCTCTCTTGACTCGCTTCAAAATTTTTTGTTCTGTTTTATGAACGGGGGGACGCAGCATGATGATCGTGCAGACTGGGAAAATAGACGAGTGAGCAAGGAGACCGGCAGAGGGATGTATACCAGTGGATGGTCCATCGCGGATCCACGGATAGAAGTTTCGGATCCTCCAACTCAGGTGGGAGGCGCTAGAGGAGCTGGCTGGTGCATCACGACAAGGGTCGGATGGTGGACAGTAGTTGGATAGAGGGAGGGTGAATGTGTAGGGACAGGAACAGCCAGATATCGTCAATTGCTCCTACTAGTAGTAGACACAGTCAAGAAAATAAATGGACTAACTCACCTGTGATGTTTTCGATTTCTTACAAGAGCGCCGATGGATCTTGATGGATCTGGATCCCCTAGGTACATAAGTCAAATTCGAAGCTTGACGAAATGGGGAGTTCAGCACATGCGGCTTGATTAGCCAATAGGCATTCAGATACAGTTCAAGACCAATGAAAAACATATCCCAACCACGCTCGTCTTCGCGTAGACTTTGCGGATAGTGGTTTTTGAATTCTTCGTTTTTTGCCGGTTCGATTGGTACCAAAATTTCCCAATGTTTGAGTGAAGGAGGTCCGTCCGTAGAATAAGTAGCTAAGTGCGTGCATGTGTTCATTCAGCCTTTGCATCTCTCTACTGTCATTATGGGTCAAAAAGCCAAATATCTAACGTTGGCAGAAAAAACAGCTGCATTGCGCAGACAAAAGGCGAACTATGCACAGTCTGAGAGGTATGTTTACACCACACTGCACATGGCATTCTTAACCTCCACATTGTCATTGGCAGGGGGAAAGCTACTCGTCGACTTCGACGTTCTCAAAACTATGCCAAAGCACACAGTCGCAAAGGCTCGTCAAAGCCACCCCTAGCATCATCCCGGCTTCCACCCCTGCCTCGAGTTCTCATCAATCTAGCAAACGCCTCCCTTCCAGACGGTGATCTATTTCGTTGCGCTTCCCAAAGTGCTGACAACCTCGATGAATCGGAGCTCCCACAATGGGACAATAATCCCCCCTACGCTATGCCTCCTCCATCCGACACTCCAGCAGAGGTTCGATTCACAGAAAACCTTGTGCAGGTCATGCACGGCCGTAACTCACGCTTAGAGAAGGAGCAGCTACAACAACGTGCACGGAAGTACAATGCAGGAAGGCCAGATCTTTGTACAGAGTTGAAACGTGCTATTGGCGTGCTGCTGGGAGAGTGGTACATATTGCAAGACTATATCTCTGACGCAAGGGACTGTGATAGACACATCAAGATGGCCCAATGTCTCTTGCGATGGCGTGCACGCAGGATTTATCTCTATCACACTGAGGTTGAGAAGATGTTAAACGGACTTGATCCATATATTTAGTTACACATTAATACGACAAGTGTATGAAGGTAGTGACGAAACGCAGACATATGGTCTTCTTTCAAACCCGTACAGTGGCATCCATGCAAAGTTGCCGCGATCATTGCAAGCACCCATATGCCACAGTCATAGCCATTAGTCTGAACCGCGGTCTTCTGATAGAAAATTAGGATAAGTGTACGTTTAATGTATAACATACTTACTATCAGCGGTCGCACAACCCAACCGTAGAAGTCAACGTCGACTTTGAACACACGTTGATGTTGCCGAGCGATGTTGAAAAGCCGAACAATCAATTTCATGACGTCCTAGATGCATTAAGTCTAATGAAAGAGGTACTATGTCAGTACTCACTTTGACTTCACTCTTCCAAGGTCGTTGCTCAGCGAAGCTATCAAAGAGATGAAGCTCCTTGCTCTGGAGGTGGACAATACACAAGACCCAATGACCGACACCCGAGGGCCTATGAATTGGTATGATCCATACATCCTTGGCCCAATATTTAGTCCGTGATATGTTGCGCCAAAGCATGTCGTCTGATGCATTGTACCGAATGCGGGGGAGGTCGTGTGTGGACAAAATCGCGTATTGTTGGACAGCGGGAGAAGCCTGTAAAGAGTCTAAATAAAGCAACACTGCACAACCGTTGATGAGGCTATCGTTCAGTAGCACAGTAGGCGATGCGAGGATCTTGATGTCCTTTGGTTCGAAAATTTGCTGTGGGAATGCATCGCGGGCGGGACATACCAAAGTTCTGAGGATTCCAGGGATAATAACGGTAGTCTCATTCATCGGTGGTACTGCGTCAATGATGACTTGCTAGATAAACTATGAATGCATGGACGCCTGGTAAGGAAAGATGACTTACCTGGGGAGTGTGCCAGGTGATGAGAGCACGAGGGTCAGCTGGGATATCAATATCCTCTTCGTCTTCACTGTCAAGAGTGTCAACGTTTATGATGTCATCGAGGGCAAGGTGTTCAGGTGGAGGATCATCGAAAAACGTAGCGGTAACCTCCGGATCCTCTGCGCCCTCTTCCTCCTCCACAGAAGTGGTGCATGATATCAATGGAACCCAGTGAAGTGCACATTCTTGGGAGGCACCTGAGATCCGCATCGCCAATGATTCAGCGTGTCTTGCGCGAGATTCAAATCGTAATGGTGACGCAAGTGGGTTGGACCAGCGAATTTGAAGATGTCGGAGATGCTCCCGCCGCTGACGCAGTAAGATGGAAAATCTGATATCTGTGAAGGAATTAGTGCATTGATCGAAGGTGACATAAAGGAAGGTACACACTTTCAGGCAACTGTAGAGCGAGTTCTATTGCAGCGAGTTCATCGCCAAACCACCTGCAAAGGTTGTCAGCTTCTAGCCCAAGCCGTCTCTGCTCCTCAATGCATCTATCACGCTTTAACATAGCGCGTATCCCATCACGGACATCCTGATCATCCAGCCAACGAGGAACGTCGCCCACTGAAGGTGTAATCCAAATGTCCTCCATCAATGTTTGATCATTACGGAGTTCATTCAGCTTGGTAGGGAGAGGCGTCGGAAGAGGGATACTGCAATCTGGTTCGTATAGTTCTTCAAGGCGTTCGCAGTATCCATTGAATTTGCGTAGTGCGGCCAGTAAGGCTGGTTGTCGCTTTGATATGGCCTTTCGGGTCTGCTGGTGAAGTTTGGTCCCTGCAAAGTGTGAACACACGTCACCGAGCGAGTCTATCCACCTACCTAATGCTTGTTGTGTGCCGCCGACAGCACGATCGAGTTTGTCCCACTCGAAGAAGCTCCCAATTGCGCGCTTCCGGATGTTGATCTTCAGGTCCCATGCTAAGAGAAGTGTGCGAATGAATTCGACGTTGATTCCTTCTAGCTCAGGGAACCTGTCGTGAACGTTGAGGGAAGCATATAACACATCCACCTTGTCCATGAGGCGCTGGTGACTTCGTTCGAGGCTCTCGATCGCGTCACGCGTGCATTGGGATGCATTTCCCTTCGATATCACCTCGCTCGTGGCTTGAAGTGCCTTCTCTGAGGCATCAAGGTCACCTTGGAGGGCAAACACAGTGTCCAGCTCTTTCTTGAGCCGAGCAGGGGCATCTATAGAATAGAGTTAGAGATGGTCAGGCTGACGAAGTAAATTGAACGGACAAGCACGGATAGACAACTGTGACTGTTGTTGCAGAGCCCATTGATGTCGCAGATCTTCAATTGTCGCATCGCACTCACTCAGCGTGGCCTGTGCAGCTGTCCCTTGCTCATCAATCCCTCGTTTAAGTCGACGCCGGATCCAGTCCCCAAGGTCAGCGCACATCTCAAGACCGATAGCAGCAGCTTGTCGGTCAAGTAGCCATAACCGACGTTGTCTCTATAGTAACTCAAATATTAGTAGAAATGATACAAAAATTGAGGGCACTTACTGACGAAGAGCGCTGGATACCTATCAAGCGGATAAACCTCGACCATAGTCTCTCAGTGCCTTCTCCATCTGAAAGGCCAAGACCTTCGCATATTCGTGGGTTATAAATAAGTTGGCACGACCATTCGTGCCCATAGGCATGCATTGCGGTGGTTGCGAATCGCAAGCGCTTTGTTACAGTTTCGGCAAGTATGTCGTACTTGAAGGGATCAGCAATGAGGTTCGAAGAATTACAGAAATGACTCACCTGACTTAAAGATCATGCAAGAACACATCCCACATCATACAGAGTAACAACTGTTGCGCCTCCAGGTATTAAAGCAAAGAGGTGATCGATTAGGGCGACAGCATATTTTTGCTGCTCACCTGGGGTGTCAATGTTTGCAAAGAAGAGGGGAATGTCGTGTCGACATATCAATGCCATGACTCCCGTGTCGTCGAAGCTGTCCATGGCTGCTTTCTGCTTCTTCCCATCGGCGGCCTCGTACGAATTCTCGCACAGGTCGATAGCCTCATGAGGTACAAGTGGTGCATGCGGCTTTGGAGCAGACTTGCGAGTGCGATCAATGTGTCGACCAATGGCGTCGACCTGAGCTTTCGGTAAGAAGTAGGAGGGATCATAGAAGTGAGGTGAATCGCCTGCTGAACGCCGATGTCGATGATGGAAGTTGCCATCAGTAGCGACATGAATATCACCGCCTTCTTCCAGCTTCCTGCCAAAGACGACTCCTCCAAAACAGGCAGGGCAATGCTGAAGAAGGATCGCGGCACAGCGCTCGCGTGGAATCACGTCTACAGTGGGAATAAATGGTGCGGGATGCTCTGGAGGTTCTCGAGAGGCCTCTATGAGGTCTCGGCTTGCTTGAACAGCGCGTTCAAGCTGGGATTCAAGCTCCACCTGTAAGACGTCAAACCAAAGAATGGCTTGACCAAGACTTCGCCGGAAAGGCTCTTGAATGAATTCGCCCTAAGTTTTGTAAGAATCGAAGGAACTCAACATAGATTCACTTACTTTGCCATTGGTCATACGAAAACCTCTACGGACGTAATGCGTGTGAAGGGCAGATGCGAGTGCATTTACAGCATCACAGGAGCGCTCGAAAAGCGCGCGATAGAATGCGAGCAAGTCCGTAGACACTGCCATACGCGGCTGGGAGGGTGAAGTGGGGAACAAACCGTGCAGAATCAGGACTTGAGCTGCAGTAGCGCATCTGCAGCTCAAGACGTCGAGGGAGGTGAAACCTTGGAAATCATTGATGAATTGAAGCATTCAATATCTAGGGACTTACTATCGAAGAATAGTCCAATCAAGGTCGTGCGCCTTTGTGCACATTTCCGGGAGCGACATGCAGACAAGACCGTTGAAGGTCGCTCGAGAATCTTGCCGACGGTCCTCTGAGTATACCCGAGTTGAACATCAACGAGTGTGGGTATCAGTGTTTTCCAGGTATCGTATAAGCGTGCGGCGGCGACATCAGGTAGAATTCGATGACTTTTAATACATTCAGAGGTGTTTAGTGGCGGAACAGATTCGTCAGGTTGAATAAGTGGAAAAACTTCGTTTTCGATGAAGGAATCCTCGTAAGCATCGGCGGGAGTGTTCTCGATATCAGGTGAGGTGGAAGTAGTGGTTGGTTCAGAACTTGAAGTTGATTTTCCTGCGAGGAGGGCTGCTAACTTGGCTTGTAGTTTATCTTGCTTTGCTTTCTGCCCGGGCAGCTCGACTAACGTCTGGGTCTTGAGTTTGTTTCTGGGTTTCCGTGGACTGACGAATTGGGCGCCCAATCCAGATGTTGTGAGCTGGGCAGCACGTGTATTTGAGGGCTGGGGAGCCATAAAAATGAAGGTAGAACGCGAGTTGGATATTTTTATTTCTAAATTAAGGTAATAATACAGGACATTTTCAAGTAAGTATGAGGGCAACGAGGTGGCATCCTAGGTGCATGTGAGGCACGCGAGCAACCCAGTGGGAGGGCAACGAAGTGGTGGGGGAGGGCAACGAGGCGGTGGGGGAGGGCAACGAGTCATGATTTTATTTTTAGAACAGCCCTAAAATTAGATTGGCGAATCCTGGGCCTCTCAGGCCAGTTTCCCATAACATAGAAACCCGGCCTAAGAGGCTACCTTTTACCTCCGAAAACTACTGCCTGAGGTGCCACTGGCAGTTGTCCGTCGTACGCTGATGTTGAAACTGAAGGAGGCACCGCTGTCCCTTGGCGAGCACTAGTGTCGGGCTCAGAGATCAGAGATTCCGAGTCGGCTCATCACAAAGCATCCAAACTAGTACCTATAGAAACAAGGTAAGTATACAAAAGTATACGAGGGATCCGTGACGTGCACGAGCAGTAGTGTCGAACAACATTGGACGACAAAGCCGCAGTTCTCACATACCACACAATAAGATTATGTTAGCGGATATTACTGTGTGAGGGATGGAACAGGTGTTCCAGGATCGAAATGTTCTGCCCAATCCGACTGTGGAGGGGTAATATCTAAGGGCGGCAACATCTATAAATCTATAAAGTAAAGGAGAACGGGTTTCAGGGAGTCGCGGGTGCTTAGGGCTGGCCACCGTACTAGGTCGTATTACGAGCATGTAGTACGGTGGCGTGATACGAGAACCGTACCCGTACCGTCGGGGCTTTAGAGCTCTCATTGATGGTTATGGTATACAGTCATTTGAGTACCGTATGACACCGTAAGTTTACGGCCGTATGTACCTGTCATACGGGACATACGGTTCTACCTAGATCTGCACATGTGAGTAGTATAGCTATGTACCAGCTGAGTCCTGACAGTGTATCCAGTTTGGGTTTGCTGTGAAGAAGGTTAGAGATACAGTCAGAGGTTTAGTCAAAAAAAAAGAACATACTCTAACACATCAGCAAAAGTGCAAAGGCCTGAAAACGCCTGGTCACCACCTGACCGTCCTGGCAGCAACCTGGATAACCTGAACGTCTGGGAGGTATTTCATTCTCACGCACGACAAATGAATCTTCAGCGGTGAAAAAAGATGTAGTAGTACAGCTTCCTGCTCATACTATACCAGTGTACCATACATTTACCATAATGTCACTCAATTCTCGGTCTCGTGATTCATTCCCTACAACACCCAAAGGCTCAGGAGTCAAACGGTAAGCCAATTCATTATCAGGCTACTACTAGTACTAAGTTCAACTGAGTCTCTAGTTCTCACTCCGAACCCCCCAGCCCGGTCAAACCACACCTTGATTCAGAGGCTGGCAATCCGGATATGGACCATGCCAATGATGGCCCGCTCCAGATCAAAAAAACGGTCAGTCCGAGTCATGCAATTGCTCACTGGCACACGATTCTCATGCCAAACTCACCAGTCGTCGTCTATCTCAGCGCCTCAAAATACCTGCTGATCCCAATGGACCTTTCGAATATAGTACGAGACATTATTTTCCAAGCTCTAACTTATCTCTGACCATATGTACACAGCCCCAGAATACCTTGCAACACTCGCTACACAGCGAAAAACACCGGAATCTCCCAGTCCTACTAATTTTCAGGCTGAAACCCTTGCCATCCCTGTGGACTTCCTTCAAAACCTTGTTGATGCACGTTGGAAGGCTGAGCGAGCGCGCTGTGATGCCGAACATAAATTTCAATTACAACAGGTGCAAAAAACTGCCTCGAACTTAAAAATATTACTATGTATGATACCTGACAATCTTATTTGCCTGTGCGCTCTGTTGAGCCTGAACATAATCTGAGACGGCCTGGTCAAAACACGATTTCATTGGCATGATGGTCAGCATATTTGTTTACATAGTAAGCATTGAAGGAATCAAGAGAATAAGAAAAATGAAAGTCTAGAGGAAGCGGACCGTCACCAAAGACAGGAAGGAGGTGCGCAGCTCGATAAATGGTGTCAATGTGCTCAACAGACTGAATGCGAGTCCGTCGTCTCCCTGTAACCATCACCTCTGGCTTTATCTTCCACATTCCCGTGAAGTTATCTGGCCCTCGACCCATACGAGAGAAGCGGTCAACAAGAGCACATGGGTAAGTAACTCCATCATGCGTGAAGGAAAAGAACAGCTTGACCCTGCCAACAATCATTCCCCTCATGCCTGACTTTGTCTCATCAGCCACGATGAACACAATCGTGTCGCGAGTACTGTCGCCTCCACAGCGGCGTTGAGCGAATGATCTCACGATGCATCCCATGAGTCCCAGAGACGTCACTAGGGCTGATGAATACAAGAAAGTACAATGAGATTCGAGAACGATGCACAATACGACGAAGACGATGCGATGCAACACGTCTTGATCAGAAATCTCAGAGGAGCGCTCATGGGTCATTTTTCGCATTATGTAATTACAGAATTATCATCTTTCACCCGACCTCACCATGTTGAGTTTTCACTGTCTCTCAAGGAAGAACATAGACATGACCTATCGACTACAGGGTAGATTCCGAACAAGCATAAAGAGTTAAAGGTCAATGAATTATTGATCGTTATGTCGTAAACATTGCATACATGAAGGGCCATTTGTTTGTCCATCCATTAATTGGAAGGGGAATTGGACCTGAAAAGGTTGTGTGCCGCAAATTGACGCGCAGGAACGTGTTCTTCGAAAAGAACATCAAGCCTAATTAATAAGATCCCATCAGAAAAGAACGGCGAGCGATAGGACTGGATTTTAACTGACTCGTCGACTGTGCGATCCTTAGTTTCTGGAATGAAGTACCAGGTCCAGATTGTTCCAGCAAAAGCCAGACCGCCAAAAATAAAGCCAACGTATCCACCAAGATTTGCCTCGTCTGGGTTGACGCTGAAGAAGAATATTTAAGATTGACTATGGGACGGCAAAACAGAAGGACTTGCAGATACGGGACAACAATATTCACGACCATACTACACAAGGAATTTACCCAAATCCCTAATGCGACAGTCTTTGATCGCAGCTTGGCAGACGAAACTTCAGCAAAGATGACATAGCCTAGGGGGCCACTGTCACCCAGTTCATTAGTAAAGGTCAACTTGACAACAGCAAAGTGACTCACATGCCAGTTTGATATATAAAATTGTATATGATTGTCTAAAGCAGAAAAATTAGTAAGTACCAAATGTGAGCCGTCCTCAACGAAAATGCAACACACAAAGGCAGCCACTGTCCATCTGGCATTTTGAGAATCTGATATGGATATAAAGCCAATCAACAATAGCACTGTAGTGCAAGCAAGCATTCCCCAGAAGAATATGAATCTACGACCGAGTCGATTGACTGTATAAAATGTTAGCAGGTTGCCCACGACCTAGACAAATATCATTCGATGTTAACGAAGAGCGAAATGACAGCCAAACGCTTACGCCGATGGCTGTCACTCCGATGCCTAAGTTGAAGGCATTGGTATCAGCGAAACCCGCAAGCTCAAAGAAGTATGTGCTGAAGCCCAGAACGAATACGACCCCTTTTAAATATTTAGCGTCCTAGTGCTGACACTTGTAGTATAAACGTACCAGCGCCTTGCTGAAGCACGAAGACCATCATTGCTACGATAGTGCGTCTGAGGTTGACTCCTGTTTCACCATCAGACACGGTGTAATCGGGGTTTATTGGCAGAATGAGACAAACCCCTGAAGCAATCAATGTATCTGGCACTCGCCGCATACGTGTCTTCGAGCTCAATCGTGTCCTGAATTTGCTGAAGTTGCATATCTGCATCGATCGTTGGGCCACCAAGTCGCGTGATGACCTTCCGAGCGTCATCTACCCTTCCTTTGCGGACAAGCCACCAAGGGGATTCCGGAGCGAAAGGAAGGCCTACAAGGAGGATGACTGGAAAGATCCATTGGAGTGCACTGGATGAAGGAATAAGGCTAAATGTAGGGCAAGGAGTCGAACCACTTACAAAGGCAAACGGTAAGCATAAGCATCGGTTCGGTTGCCTGTTCCACGAATTACTCCATTCGACATGCTATGCTCCCTGTTGAGCAATGTACCAATGAAGATGCATGAGGAACATACAATTGACCCACTAAATGTGACATGTTGTGTAAGAACTTGAGGATAAAATTAGGTTGAAGATAAAACGTACGATCTATCCACAGATTAACAGATGCAGTAGTGATCCCACGTAAAGCGAGAGGGGAAACTTCTGCGCAGTAAGATCCAGCACTTGATACGTACATTCCTACACAAGTCGGTTAAGACAGCGAAAGGTTGAGTGGGTATATGTCAAACCAAGCGAGAAACCATTGATCAATTTGCCAGCTAATAGCATCCCGTTTTTATGAGGGGGCGTAAGGAATTGTATCAGAATACCAACGATGGAGACAAAACAAGCGACGGCGACAGCGCCACGTCGTCTGTCTCGTGTGAGCAACAGGATCTAAAACTCCAGACCCTCGTACGTACCCGAAAAGCTCCGAGATGTAACCTAAGGAAAAGGCTCCAGCCATGCCACCGACAGAGCTGATACTGTTAAAGGCACTTTGCCATGATGCAGCAAGGACGTATTGTTGATCAATAAAGCTGCCGAAATCCCTACGGAACGAAGAGACGCTCAATAAACCACCGCCAACCTAACAGAAGACTATCTTGACATCGTTCCACCCATTTATGGTTGAATCACCCACCTGAGAGTCGTAACCCCATAACAGTGCCCCCATGTTAATAAATAAACACCATGCAAAAGCGCGCCAATACGTTCGCACAGCCTGCGCCGGAGTGATGGCATGTTCAGTTGCAGCAGCCTGCGCTAGCGTCGTGAGGTTGCCATAGGGAGATTTCTTCTCATTGAAACCACTAGTCGCATCGACTTCTGATTGTGCCGTTTGAGCTGCTTTCTCGTCGACTGTGCCAGTCATAGTTCTGTGTGAAGTATATGGGACCCCCACCCCGATCGTTGATCGGTTTTTATGCAGACAATCCGGCGCTTGTGGATATGCCGGTCATGCTGGAAATAGAAAACTCAAAGAGGAACATAATGAATTACCTATGAAACAAATTCGTTCTTGGGCGAGGACAATCCTAGTAGCAAAACCCATTAGACTGCCGGCACATAAAAGAAAGGTGTTAACATCGTATCCTTTAGAAAATGGATACATACACTGTTCAAGGACATGTGAAGGTCGACAATAGGACTTGAAGGCTTGAAGCTTGAAACTCTAGATCGGTACAGCATGACCCGATACGCCGGCGTCCATCTGCACACATGATCATGGTACCACATGAAAAGCAAGTCCGTTGTTTACTTGTGCATAACAATGGTATATTAATCTGTCTATTATTCATGGTGCAATCTAGATATAAATGCAGTCGTTAAGTTATTTTGGTCATCTCTGAGTCATAAAAAGTCACGAGCGAAGTGAAACTACGCAGGCTGCAGTGGTGGTATGCCCCGGTGATACCACCTCTTGAACACGAGTGGCCATGAGCCAATAACGGCAATTGGAGCCGCAATAAGAAGCATCACTACTGCGCCCCACCCATTGTTATCGGAGGCATGGGTAAATAGCCCATCGTGTCTTGTCGTCGAGCTCGTCATTGCCGTTGTGGGTTTGGTGGATGTCGTTGAAGTAATGGATGGGCTCGGAGTGGCAGATGGTAGAGCAGAAGTATATGCGCGAACATAGGAAATGTTGAAATATGCGTCATCATATCGTGGACTTCCAGGCCCGACTACGCAGTCATTGTACTGTATCACAAGCGTTGAACACAAAAAATGTCATTTTTCGGCTGTTAGCACTCACACACAGACCTGTTGGGCCTGAGTTGCCACACGACGCATTATAGGATGCTCCAATACCTGCCCTATATATAACGTAATTATGGAGGTCCTGTGCTGCGAGGTATGACAGGACTCACCAGTCTCCGCAAAGAGTGATGTCTAAAACCAGGTTTTGTGCACTGAAATATTGGGTAATGTTGCAAGTGTTAGAAAAATAACTGGCATGCGGAATTCCCCATTGAGTGACGTCCATCGAGGCTGAATAGATGGAAGCGGGTACGTCGGGGCGCTGAAAAATGTGTCAGCACGTTACAATATTTATCAAACCCAAGGGTACACCGCACACTCCAGAACCAAATACTACAGGGAATTGTTAGCCATAAGGATGACGAGGATATGACATGTGCAACTACGTACAAGATACCCGACACATCAAACTGCGTTGCCCAAACTCCCCCGCCAGCTGCCGCAAAACCACTTCCAAAACTATTCGGAGAAGTTTGCATCACTGTGCATCCAGAGGGTTGAGAACAGTCGGTTGTTGTACCGCTTGTACCAAATTGATATTCTGATCCATTAGCAGTACATCCTGGCGTGGTGTGAATGCTTATTTGGTTATCGGGCATCAAATTGATGCCCTCGATGATATCTATCTCCCCGTCCTCCGGCCAGTTAGGCCCTACAAAGTCGCGTCAACGAGTGAAATCAAAGCCAACAGCATCACACGCACCAAAACTCCAAAATGCGGGCCATACCTTACGTAGATAGTTCAGATGCTAACGGCAAGTAAACCAAGTTTCTCATAACATACCGAGCATCCAAACGGTATGTGACTGAGATCGATTATCCAAAGGCTTCCGACATCATACGTGTCTTGAGTGGTTATGCGAACCTGTTGTGCTCTAATAAGTACCGGGTGTTTGGATCCTGTATTTTGCGCACTGAGCTACGGTTCTGGCCCATAGGCACATCTGTTGTGTTGTCCACTTTGATTATGGCATTTCCTTGACCGTCTATGTACGCCAGGCTCTGACTGGTTGCATAGGACTCGTTGACCCATATGACATTACCTGTATCGTGTTTTCTACTGTAGCAGAATATAAGGAATGACGAATACGATACCCACCTTGAGTCGTGTTGTCATAAGCGCCATAAAAGTCCCAAAGATCGAAGAAGCTCTGACCCGAATATTCGCGGACGAGACTATAGCCCTTCACAGAAGATATATAAGAAGCAAAGATCTCGAACACAAGCCAGTGCTTCATGGTCACGAAGTGTGAAAATATGGGCAGAGGAAAACCGGAAGGCATTCATATAGTCAGCAAATCTCCGAGTGGCGATGGTCGGGCGAGTAACCTCGCTGCCGGCTGGAGAAGGGATGGTTTGGAGCTCGAGGCCCTGCGTAATGAAACCTTATGCATACATACTTAACCGCGCGCGTTGTGGCTTCCGGCGACTCACGCACATGACTAGATCCGAACAAACATGAGGCGCGTGACAGCAGAAGCGCGTGACCGAAGCACGCACTACGTGACGGTGCTTACAGTCGCATATAAGTACATGCATTAAGCTCCCAAAGCACTAAGTACTAGTACTACTAGTGCAGTAGCCTAGTAACCTAGCGCAAAAGGCGCAAAGCTTAAACGCTTCTTATTACTCGAGCACTTAGTACTTAATACTGACGGGGTCAAACGTTCAAACGTTCAAGGCTGGAACAACCACTTTGCTTCCACGCACTGGCGCTGAACTCTGAATCGTCCTGATCCTTTGCCGCGGGGACCGACCCGGATGTCCTACAACGCGATGCAACGTTGTACTTGGCAGATGCTTATAATCGGTGTGCATCACAAGTGTGCCAACAGGCGCCACCCTTGTGATGCACAGCTATTTAGTACAAGTACAAGCGGTATGATAGATTGCATGACCACATCATCTACCACGATCGCAGTGTTAATGTCAGTCTTCTTCAACAGGAGGCAGTCAAAAGCAGTACACAGACTCTATAACCCTTGCACCAAGGACATCACCAGCAACACAGCCAAGCACAGGCTATAGTATGAGAGGCAGTCAACAAAAATAGAAACTTACCGTCCCATCACGGTCAGCCCCTGGAATACTTGTCGCTAACGTATACAATATTATGTCACTGCTAGTATTAGCTACTACGTGGGGATTCTGGTGGGTGTGCACGTTTTCAGATCAAACACCATGATGCTGTCCTGATGGTGATGCATAGTATGATGGTTTTCCGCTAATAAAAAGAGAAGTTGCAGCCTCCGTCGGCAGCCACTTCGAACTTCTTACTTTCTGCGCACTCTCTATTCGCCATGGAAAAGCCCTCGACAATGTTGATTGAGCAGTTACAAAGCGTCCACGCCCGTCAACGGAAGGTTATTCAACAACTTCACGCAGATAATGCTAGATTGCTCAGCGATCTCGTTGAAATTCGTCGGGAGAGAGATGATTTCCGAGCGGAGGCTGCGAAGCTTCGCAGGGAGCAGGCAGACCTGCACAACCGACTGGATGAAACGCTATCGGAGAATCAAGATTTGAAGCGCGAGCGTCTCACTCTTTCTCGCGCATTCAGCAATGCGTCTTCTTTTGGACGGCCATCAAAATCTAATAATAAGGTGTGTGCAAGTGTACACAGTGATTATGCGGCTCTAAGTCATTCAATCAGGCGATGCATATCTTATCAGCGTTGGCAGGAGAAGAGGTGAAGAGTCCATCTCTTGATTATAGCACAGTCAGTCATCGAGTCGTTACCATCGAAGCATGATTCCATTTCTTTTCGCAGGGGATGACCCACGACAGTCAGAACTCATATTCAAGCCGTGAGTTGCCAGAGCCTGTCACAACGGACGAGTCTCGAATAGATGAGCCTGTTCACCGAATTCGGAAGCAGCATACAATTATGACGCCTATTCCAAGGGCATCATTGTACGCACTCGACATGAACCGTTAAACGCGCCATGGGAATAAGTTTATGCCACTACAATGAGACATGTAATGGTAGGCAGTGCCATGGAAAATTGTTTGCCTTTTGTCATATTGCTGTGGATATGTATCAGAGGACAGTATTATTTAACGTGTTGGACTTCATCAGGAAAAATGGGAACTGCAATATAGTGCCACAGAGGCTACATCGCACGTATAGCCTGGTTGCATCTCCCCCCCCCGATATAGTACCATGTAGCGCAGACCATATGTCTATTTGCACAACATAGCATCCGGTATCTCGCACCTTTGCAATATAGTGCAGCTATGTAGTGATCTAATGTTTACCATTGCAGTAAGTACATATCAGGTACATCATACCACTCGCGCACTCGCAAATAACAGGGAGATCAATGGCGTGCATTCACGGTTTAACAGTTTAATACTAGTCAGCAGTTATTCTCGCGTCCTCAACATCATCACCTTCAAATCGACCACCCTCAAGCTCCAAGTCAGACTCCACCTCGTCACTGTCATCTGCACCACCACCCTGCTGGTATTCCCGGATGGCCTTGTTGATCTCGTCGTCTGAGAGGCAGTCACCGTCTCCGATTTTAATCGGATCCACCTTAGCATGCAACCTGTATTATGATTGTCAACTTTCCAAGTTTAAATCCTTGAAACGCACTTACCTGCCATTGTTGTTGATTTCCGTCAGGATGCCATCAAGGATTCCGTGATCCTTCGTTCGAGTGTGAAACTTCTTCAGGTTCGCAAGATGCTTGTCGTAAATCTCCTTATAATCGCCGCTCAAGATGCTGATATCTACCCGTTCGCCGTCATACCATTCATCAATGCAACATTCGGCCTGCAGCCGATAATATCACCATCTGAAGCCAATAGACAATAGCATGACTCACTGCGGTGTACACTAAGGCCAAGGCTGGAATTGGAAACGGCGAAAAAGATTTCTCAAAAACAATCCCTTCATCCTTCTTGTTGCGGTACCAGAGTAAATTTGCCGCTTGCTGATTTAACCTTGACCGAAAGAGGCCACTGCGAGGGACATTATTCTGTTGGTCCCCGAGGTCCTTACAACCAAACATAAGTACAAAACATGACTCAAGATATTATTAACGCACCCGGTAACACATGCCAAATTTATCCTTGAGCTGACGGGCGAGTTTGCGATTCCTACACTTGATGGACTCCCGATTGGTGGACTCGAAACCATAAATATTCTCGACAAGCGGGCGAACTTTCCCTTTCACCTCACTTGTGAGATGCGATGTGCGCCGGGTAATCTTGAACAAGAAATTAGGCAGATGAAATAATAGAACTCGATCACGTACCATCTGGATGATCTCACCATTGAATCCCATCTCCATCTCATAACAGCTACATGCCTCCTTCCAGGCCTCCTTCGCCCAAAGGACTTGAGTCATGCGATCCGGATAGGCATACTTGGATGCGAGCCAGACACAGAAATGGCTGATCGCGAACTTGATGAGTTGCTGCACTGCTACTTCATAATCATGGGCCGCTACATGGCCCTTACTCTGATGAATCTTGCGTGGAAGTCGCTGTTCACCTTGTTGTGGGGAAGGCGAATCTTCGGACTGGCGCGTCCGCTTATGACTCTGTGTGCTGTCACCCTCATCATCTGAGGGTGGTAGCCACACACGCTTCAAGTGGCGCAAATCTGCAAGATCATTCAGCTGCCATTTGAGTGTATGATACAGCACCACTCACCGTCATAGTTGTTATCCTCACCATAGTATATATCTCCACCGGCGAACACGTCACTATTGTCCCCATCATGAATGACAGGGTCTTCGTCATCGCCGTCGGACTGCTCGCCATCGTCATATTGCTCGCTGTCGTCATGCTGCTCCGTGTCGGTCAAGTTCAAGTCATTATCTAAGTCTCCTTTGGACTGCGCCATCGGAGTTGGATGAGCTCGTTGGCACGTGCCAGCTGTCAACTTCCGTGGCGCAGGCGGTGGCTTAACATAATGATGAGTGCCCCAAAACTAAGGCGAAGGCAATGACACTTACACTGAGATCGTTGGACCTATGTTCACGATTGACAAAACCAGACCCCTTACAAACAAGCCATCAACATCAAAGTTGAAGTTATCATGCGGCCGACTCACTTTAGTAAGAGTATCTTCCTGCCAGCCCCCAGACATGGATGTTCTACTCGGAGCTGGTGTATGTACCTTTGTGTTTGATCAGATATCGCATACTAAGAGTCAATGATATTCTCAGCTCACCTGTGTGATATGTTTTGGCCGTGGGGTGTGTTTATCTCGTGGGGGGACCTTGCTGAACCGGGGCCGCAGGTCTAGTGGACTGTTGGATGGTCCGCTACCTCTGGACAGGACGATAGGCTGCGTTGAAAAACTGTGTGCCGTCATGTGTACCTGAAAATAGTTAGGTGGCAGGCAACCGATGCGACAGTCAATAACACACCTCTGTCCACCCGATTTTTCCGGGTGGCCTTGATTTTGTCTTGACCACTTGGGCGGCGGCGTGCCTCACGGCATTCTTGGTCCTCCTCGACTAGGTACGATATAATGATATAGTTAGTGATAGAATTGGTAGTACATAAGAAATGGCATACCTTGGTATAGAGCCTTCTCTGAAGGGCGGCAGTCGCGGCGTTGACGCTGAGAGGGAGCTGAATCAGTATTGTTGAGAATATTACTCAGTGCTTGGCGAGCAGGACCAGTGGAAGACATTCTGGATGTTGATTGAACGTGAGGATGAGACAATCTAAATTTTATGAGTATGAGGGGGCACAGCGCACCTTTTTTCTATCATCACATCCTTTATAATGACACTGTCGCGTCTGCAGACCATGATCAACAATCAATGCGCAACAACACGCTCACGTCAAGTTATGTGCAAACTGCGATCTTGAGGGATCACACTGATCTTGAGGAAAAAAGTTTTGATGTCCGATGGATGACAAGTCAGCCAGGTGAGACTTGATTGAACTGTCACTTACGGGTCAGCTTTTTTGGCTTGTGAACCTTGAACCTCCTGCTCGACCATACCATCATGCACCGCTGCAATTTTTGCCTCAAAGGCAACTTCCAGAGTGCAAGGGCCGTTAGCCTTCATATAAGCCGGACTCTAGCCTGTAAGCAACACATGGACCAGCTGCGCAACCATGAGCAAGCCACACAAGAGGCCACACCCAACAACAACCAACCTGAAGATGTCTACTTTGACGGAGACATACCTTGGGAGTTTGATGGCCAGGGGGATGTCATACCGGAAGGGCCACAAATACCGGAGCATCGTGGTGTCCAAGTCGAAGAAGTAGAAGATGAGGAAAGGATGTGGATGCGATTTGTCCAGTCATACCCAGGGCAAGTAGCGCAAACGCTTGGCTGCGCAGAGAGCATGTTCCATGACATCAGAGCCCAACAAGAGGCTCAAGGTCTAGACCCATGGGCGCCATTTGCGGACACAGAGGAATGGGGACTTGTGAAATGGTTGGTATCCCGTGTGGGCCAAAATGCGATAGACGAGTTCATGAAACTACCAATTGTAAGTCAGTGATTCAGCCCCAATTCACAACATACTCACCAATGCACAGACCAGCCGCCTTAATACATCATTCACGAGCAAATACACCCTGATGAAAGCAATCGATCAGCTTCCCCGCGGAACAGAATGGCAGTTAAAGAGAATAAACGTAGAGGGCAACAAACTCACCAATGACGGGCACTGCGAAACTGAGGATCTTGAACTGTGGCTGCGGGACCCAGTAGACTGCATCTGCGAACTCATGGCGAATCCAGAGTTCGATCGCATGGTATCATATGCACCAGAGAGAGTGTTTGCTGATGCGGAGGGCAAGACAAGACGGTTTGACGAAATGTGGACAGGTAACTGGTGGTGGGAGATGCAGGTAAGCACAGGTGTCTACATGTGGCAAAAAAACGCACTAAAGCCATTCCCACAGGGAAGACTGCCTCAAGGGGCGGTTGTTGCGCCAGTCATCCTAGCGTCTGATAAAACCTCACTGTTGCAGTTCCGGGGAGACCAGGAGGTGTGGCCCGTCTACTTGACCCTCGGAAACATCTCCAAAGAGATCCGCAGTCAGCCATCCAAACACGCTGCAATTCTGATCGCGTACTTACCGATCTCGAAGTTAGAATGCTTCACGCGCGATACACGTTCCGTGGAACGTTATCGTCTCTTCCACTACTGCATGACGCAGGTCCTGGAGCCATTGGTCAAGGCAGGCAAGGATGGTGTCGATGTCACATGCCCTGATCGTCAAGTAAGGCGCATGCATCCAGTCGTGGCAGCGTATGTGGCGGACTTTCCAGAGCAGTGCCTGGTGGCCTGCTCCATGGAGAATAGGTGCCCAAAGTGTGTTGTGGGACGCAACGAGTGTGGTGACATGACGAGGTCGGAAATGCGCAATCGAGAATCAACGCTGGAATACCTACGCTTGCACCATGACGGCGAAATGAGTAATGAACAGTTTGAGGGAGGACTAGGACTATGAGCGATCTACTCACCATTCTGGGCTACACTGCCACACAACGACATATTCTCATGTATCACCCCCGACATTCTACACCAGCTGCACAAAGGTGTTTTCAAAGATCACCTGGTCAGCTGGTGCTCCGATATCATAGGCGAGGAGGAACTTGACGCGCATTTCAAAGCGATGACGTCCTATTCGGGCCTTCGGCACTTCAAGAAAGAGATTTCCAAATGGAAACAATGGACGGGGGCAGATTATAGAGAGTTACAGCGGGTTTTCCTTGGGGTAATTGCTGGTGCGGTCAACAGCCAAGTTCTTGCTGCCGTTCGTGGTGTGTTAGATTTTGTCTATTATGCACAGTACCAGACACACACAGACGTCACACTTTCCCACATGCATAGTGCACTTGCATCATTCCATGCCAACAAGCACGTTTTCCTCAATCTCGGAGTGCGGGAGCACTTCAACATACCTAAAATTGATTCCATGCTTCACTACATCGACGCTATTTGTCTGTTTGGAAGTGCAGATGGCTTTAATACCGAGCTCCCTGAGCGTCTGCACATCGATTTTGCTAAGCATGCTTACCGTGCCTCTAATCGACGTGACTATGTTATCCAGATGACTACCTGGTTACAATGGCAAGAGTCCATCGCCATTCAAGATGCTTACCTTCGATGGTGGGCTTCACAACACCCTGCCAATGATAATTTGGTGCAAGACGAGGCAGATTCCAGTACCTCGGACTCGGATTCTGATGGTCCAGCGCCTATGGGAGCCAACCACATCATCCTGCCTTGTCAAGCACAACGCTTCACGATGCTGATGGCATCACAGGGGTACTTCGTCCCCAGAAGGTGTCCATTCCCAAACTCTACAATCCAACGGTTACTCCATGACTATGGCACTGCACTTTTCATCCCTGCTCTTGAAGATTTCCTTCGTAACCACATACCAAAAGGGTTGCACAGAAAGCTCACTCCACAAGACCGCGTCAATGTCTACAAATACTTGAAGGTCCTCTCGCCAGTACAACCACATATAAACAAAACCAAATGTTTATTTAAGGTACGCGCGGCGCCAGTCATACCATCGAAGGATGCAAGGAAAGGGCCAGCGCCTGCACACTTTGACACGGTGCTTGTGATTGAGGATGAGGACCGGTACACTGGGGAGGGAATGTCAGGTGAGTGTTATTGTTTTATGATTGTCTATGCTTGCTCACTATACCTAGGTCTGCGCGTTGGTGAAGTGATGGTGATTTTCGACCTCCCGTCACGTTTCGGTCATTTTCCCCACCCCCTTGCATACATCCATTGGTTCCGGCCACTTCAGGCATTCGACGATAATTTGCAGTTTTTCAGGCTCATGAGGTCTTCACGGCAGCGGGGACCTAACGCAGCCATTCTACCCGTGAATCGAATTCTTCGCCCTTGTCACCTTGTTCCACGGTTCAGTTGAGATGGGTCAGAAGAGTTCTATCTCAATAGATACATTGATTTGGAGCTGTTTGAGTGCCTGTCTTAGCATAGCTGGTGTGGCGCTAATATTATAGGGCACAATATTGTCTACTGTGTGCGGGAGGAATTACATAGCTCCAGTTGCGATTAGGTTGAGCTACAGGTCGCTATGTAGTGCTACTGTATGTGGTGTGGGTGCTCTGTTGTGCTAGAGAGGCTACATGGCGCTATGTATCCTCGCAGGTTGCAAATGGTGGCCGAGCTTTTTCCTGATGAAGACGAAGGTAAAAATAGAATCTGGCACTGGAAACGTGAGTCCGAGGCAGTACATAATGTACATAATACTACCTTAAAAGCCCCGGCCTGGGCCGGCGGCTTAGGCTTCGCAAAATCATGGGCCAGGCCAAAGCCCTACGCAAGCCGTGACTTTGGCCTGGCTAGGCCTGGCTCAATGGGGGCAGGCTTTGGCTGGCTCACGGCCCAAAGCCGGGCCATGCACATCACTAACCTCGAGGCAAGAACAATCCGCCTCGATGAGTTATTTTAATTTTTAAACCCACGGCGAGTGGTTTTGCTGCTTCCTCCGGTCCGTAGCGCTGATCATGCTGGCATTTTTGTACCCAGATCTTAACAACGGCTGGGTCTGGTTGGGTATTTGTGATTATTGTTATAAATCTCTCCCCCGCTGTACTAGTACGCCACGCTCAGCTCGCGATTGACGATGGTGTCAGAAGAAAGCCCTCTGTTGGCTATCACTACGCATGAAGCTATTTATGATAGGTTCGCACCAGATCAAAAGGGGTGGATCGTGTTTCTCGTTTCTTTTGCGGGATTTTTGCCTAGTAAGTACTGATAGTCAAAAGTTAAATACTGCTGATGCGGAAGTGATGCTGACGAACGTCGATCAGTGTTTGTCTCATCGACATTCGTGCCTTCCATCCCTCAGATAGCTAAAGATCTCGACTCGACGCATGCTGTCGTCAGGTGCGTGTTGTATGTTCATCTGATGTAATATTTAGTGATCGAGCGATTTTCCCAGCTTGACCGTCAGTCTATCGATTTTGGCGAGTGCTGTCGGAGGGTTGGTTTGGGCTGCTTATTCGTCCTTTTGTGCGTGCATCAATAGCGTGTCATGAGCTAGTAATGTGTGTTTGAGGTTTTAACAACAGTCCTGCAGATGGACGTCGATCGATATATTTGTGGGGGATGCCGTTTGTATGTGTTGGGAGTTGTGGTGTTGCACTGTCGACTTCATTGCAGAGTCTGTTGTTCTGGCGATTTGTGCAGACGTTTGGATGCGCTGGGGGAATGTCCTTGGGTGCTGGTGTTATCGGCGATATTTATAAATTAGAGGAGAGGGGGACTGCTATCGGGATATTCTTTGGTGTGAGAAATCATGATGATTGAATGATTTTGTCCGTTTGGTACTGACACGATTGTCTCAGGCCACACTTCTGGGGCTCGCTGTTGCCCCGTTTCTTGGAGGCAAATATATTCTTGATGTTATGCATGGAGACTCTAACTGCTAGCTATGTATTTGAACAGGTGCTGCGACACAGTATTGGTCCTGGCGCAATTTGCATTATTCCATTGGTGCATGGGGCTTGGTCCAAATGCTTCTTCTGTACCTTTCGTTTCCTGAGACGAGCCATCCCGGTACATTGGGTATCGATAAAATAAGGCGCAGGAGATGGATCCATATCACATGGGTTAACCCTCTGAGAAGTCTCTGGTTGCTTCGGAGTCCGAACTTGTTTGCGATTGTGAGTGCATTTGTTGCTCGCTGGTTACAAATTCTTAATTATGCATGGGATGTAGATGCTTGCGTCAAGTCTAGTGCTCATGAGTGACTTTGGTGCGTCAATACTATCTGCGCAGTGCATTCTCACATCAAGCAATGCAGTTCTTCTCGTACCGCTGGCGTATACAATTGTGAGCTGACAATTGTCTTCCATCTCGCATCCTGATCGTGGTGCAGGGCGTCCGTTATGGAATCACGAATGAGGCCATCATCGGGGCGTGTTTCCTCCCAAATGGACTGGGAAACTTCAGTAAGTGCAGTGTGTGATATTCACAGTTCACCGATGTAACCTTTAACAGTTGGAGCGCCGGTTGCAGGCCGCCTATCAGACATTGTGGTCAGAAGATGGCGGGAGAAGCGCAGAGGAGTGTGGTACCCCGAAGACCGCTTGAGAGCGACATGGATCGGAGGGTTGTTCATGGTCCCGTTGTCTGTTGGGGCATCGGGGCTGATCACGACGTATGTTGAGGGGCCGATCGGCCTTGCATTGAATCTATTGTGCCTTCTCACAAATGGAATGGGGGTAAGTCCTCCCAGCCAGATCCTCTCACCCCACGCATGGAATTTTACTGATTCCTATAGGTCGACTTCGTGGTGAATCCCATTGGTTCTTATAATGTGGACGTAGTGCATTCTCGAAGTGCAGAGGCCATAGCTGCTCACATGTCAGTCTCCATTATATTACGTGACTATCAAAGTTGAACTCGTTCATTTACCTCAGGGCGAGCAGGTCACTTGTGATATCTGCTGCGACTGCTCTTGTCATTCCATTGATCGAGCGCATAGGTGTTGCGTGGACGGACATCATCGCGGCTGTCCTTGCGGTCATTGGACAAGGGTGGGGTCTTTTTTCACTGTAAGATCCGGAATACTGACATAGAACCGCTTCAAAATTTCTTTTGTAGGATCATTTTCTTGACGATTCGTTATGGTGATCGCATGAGGGCGAGCATAGACGTTGGTTTCTCGACCATGGAGAATAATTGACCCATTGATCTGAAGGGAAAGATTGAATTAGAATCAATGTATCAAGTTGGCAGGTGTACGTATATAGCAGCTTGCGGGAAAGCATGAGCTGAAATCCTACGTATACTCCAGATCAGTCACTGTCGAGTGAATTCGAGACTCAAGGGTATGAGAAAATAACATGCGGTCGATTCGGTTCATCTACGATTAGGCCTGAATCAGGTTGATTATCCATTATCTGTGCTAGTCTGTTGTGTGCTCGTTGGATGCTGTGGGTTTCTACAATATTGGTGCCGTTTGAAACCAATAATATCATACCACCCTGAACACAGACCGAGGGGGGTGGCAAACATTTGAACATATTGCGCTCTGAAGGACTCGTTGGGAAGAATGAGGCCCGGGAAGCACACATGTCATGAGTGGTATGCTCAAAAGACTCAGACAGTATAGAGTAAATATCGATGTTAACACAGCATCCATCGATGGTCGCAGGGGCATAAAAAAACTGAACCCAGATGCAGGTCCCTTGATTACATTGATTGAGCAATTCGAGGAGGTCTTTTCGATTGTGCGGAGAAAATGCACAACGGTACTATAGCAGTTCAACAGTGGAGAAAACAACTAACCACGACAACGACAATGAATAAACGAAAGAACTCGAAGGTATGTAACAACATTCCCGAACGTGAATATATTCCAAAATCAATTATTCTAGGAGGCTCCCGCGACATACAGCGCATGAGCTTTCAAAGATGTGAGATGGGTGTTGACTTCATCCCAACTCCTATTCCCGTTTTCAACTTGGTCGACACAAGGGAGCCAGGCGAAAATGATGCGAGCGAGAGTTTCAGCATTCGTTATTGGAAAATTGGATGCCTCCAATTTCAATGTTCGTAAGGAGGTATGTTGTATTAGCTCAGCATCAGGATCAATGTCGAGAGTTGCAGTATTGATTGTAAGTTGCAGTGTATGCAATTGTGGACATAGACGGAGCGCTGTGAATAATCCATGGAATGAGACTGAAGATGGACGAAAACCTGAGTCTTTGATTTCCAGAGTGTGGATGTGCGGCCAAGTAGACATAGCCTCCAAGAGAATGTCATTGTCCAGGTAGATGCAGGAATTAGATTTAAAAAGCATGAGCTGCAGGGTTCGGAGCTGTGTGAAGCAAAGGAAATGCGGAATTATTGTCAAAGTGGTGTCTAGGGGCCCCATGAACTCGTCGTAGAAACACTGAATGGATATTTTTTCTAGGGTCGCTTTGCAGTGGGACAGCGCACGAAGGAGTTCCTCGGCATCTGCTGAATACAGAATGTCAATGTCTAATCCGAACTCCTTCAGAGAGGGGAATTGCGAGTGTTGCATGACTGGGATGATGTATGCAGCATCGTACAGGTGGAAGAGAAGACTCGTGATGTTAAGGAATGGTGAGAAATTGATGATATCCTGTTCCAACAGCAAAGGAGCGTCCACTAATCCTTGATCAATGTCCACTCTGAGAATGGTAGGGATGTATGAGAGGTGCTTCCATGCTACCCAGTCGAGTATTGGACAATACAGAGTTACAGAGTCAAGCCGCGTACACCAACGGATCCTATCGGATAGCAGGGACAGCTCATCTGCTGTGCTGGTATCATAAGCGCACGTATCAACAATGTTGATGCATAAGTGCTCCAAAGTAAAGCGACGTGTCACAACAGATTCAAGACTCTCGTTGACAGTCAATAGATGGCATTGGTGCAGCATATGAGGCAGGAAGTGGTTCAAATATTTGGTGGAAAGAGTTAGCGACCTCAGGTTCGGAGATACGCATGCCTCAGCGGGCATGACTGAGAGAAGGTGAGAACTTCTTGAAGGGTGATTGGATGATATGTTCAATTTGCGAATACGGGCGGAGTGACGTAAAAATTGACGGGCCTCGTGGGCAGATAATGGCTCGACGTCGTGCGCCCAGAGGTTGTGCCACTATCATGATGATTGTTCAGACGCTCGGTCAGCCGAAAAGAAATGAACAAGGCGTAATGAAGTACTGACCGGGACCCCTATACCACTACCATATATCAGTGGATGTAACCTCGTTACACAGCCTAGCAGTGGTTCTAACTGATATATTTCAGCCCACAGCAAATCCATCGCAGGCTCGTAGAAGACTTTGCATGTCGTTGCAAGGGCTGCAAGGGATTTCTGAGTCGATCGTATTTGAGTATATGATCTTTCATTCACATAGGCGAATATCTCCAGGAGGACTTCGGGAATAAGTAAAGCCTGATGCATTACTGGTAATAGGTACAGAGTCAGGATTCAAATTCTACAAAAACTTTGCCTACGTGGCTCGTGGGACCTGGATATCGGATACCGTGTGTTATGATAGGTTTCGAGCTTGTGTTCACACTACTTAGACTGGTCCATGATACCAGAATTCTCCTTGTGCTTGACGACCGTCCACTTATCGGTGGCTTGCGTTGTTCAACTTCCAAGTATTCAACGATAGCGATCTACACATGTTCCAAACAATGTTCCAGCACGTAAAGGCTATACTATAGGCTCTTGCTCTGTGCCCTGAAGGAGTTGCGGGGAAAAATCTCGCAAGCTATCAAGAGAGCGAGATATTCGGAACACAAATGGTAAGGGACGGTGTCAGATGTGAATGTTGCTTTGGAACGAAATCAAACCAGATGGTTTGAGTGGGGGAAAGCAAGTCGAGAAAGGTGAGTTCTAACTATGCTCATCCTAGCCATCCTCCTCTACGACGCGTTCGTTTCTCTTTCTCCTGATGTCAGCTTCTTGCGTTAGACGTTCCTGCCGTATTCGTAATGACCGAGCAAGACTAGCAACAATGGGTTGATGGACATGGGAAAAGTGAAGGAGGGAGAGGTTGGGTGCAAGAGGAGCGGGGTGGTAGAGCGCAATCGATTGTGATGGGAGATCAGAATCTTGCATTGCAGAACGAATGAACAATGGAGTAGGAAAAAAGCGCTCATGAAATCACTGCTCAGGCGCCCAAGTCCCGACCAAATCGAATCGTTCATCGTTCATCGCTCTAGTTGGTGCGGTTGAATACACTTTTATATTATAATCGGTGACCACAATCTAACGGAACAAAATGACGACAAATATCCCTCATCCCTCCAGAAGTATTTCGGTCCCCGACAACCTGCATACCTGTTATATTCAGAATCCCAGTCAAGATGTGAACTACACGCAGTATAGATACAATTTCAAATATTGCCAAGTTTTGGATACTTCGTTGTTCAGTGCATCACTTCGAACATTTCGTCAACTTTCATTTTGTTGCGTAAGTCAGGTTGTTGGTGAACGAGAGCTGTACACATCTTGTAAACTACGACGCAAATTGATAGACCCTCTAGAATTCCAATCAAGTTCTAAATCAAGCGTACAGATCACATGCGTCTGGTCGGAGCGCACACCACTGCGGCTGGAGTGGGATGGCATTGATGCCGCGCTGTACCATCCTGTACCTGACGTCCTGTATCGTCCATCTGTTATTTAAGTACTTCCACATCAGGAAGCACTACTCACATGCAAGCGAGGAAGTGCCTCGGTGACGTTGAGTGCAGCGCCAGAAGGCTGCTTAGCACTCCAGAAAATTTCTGCTGATGATGCAGCGCGTGGCCACACGATTGGGTCGACGTTTTGGGGACCAGATTGCTCACTCCATAGAAGTTGCTCGCCTGTGGAATGTTCAGAAAGGTCGATTTAACCTAGAGAAAAGATTGTGTTTACCTCCGAGAACAAGTTCGTACTGCGCCTCGGTCAAGTTTGCCAATGGGTCAAAGGTATATGACTAACAAAACATTGTGAGATGCGTGGCTGTCCTGAACAATCATACTAACCTCGGACCAGGTCTTGAAGGGATCGCACCAGCTATTTCTATTCTCCCAAAGCATGTCAGTTCAGATCGAGTATATTCAACAATATGAAGACTAACCCAGTTGGGTCGTCTCCCAACCATTCACCAGCACCACAATCCTAGGATAATAAGAACATTTTGTTCTGTAGCAGAACTTGTCAACTAACCAGGTAGAAGTAATTTGATGGTGCTTGAATGATCCTGAAACCCTTTTCTACCACTGCTGCCGCATCTGCGGAAGAAATCCAGATCCTTTCAACAGTCGAATCAGCCGAGTCAGATCATGATATCATCATACTTACATCACAATAGTCTCGTTTGAGAGTGTAATATTCCAGTCGAGGACCATTTCTGAACGACCATCTCCACTTAATACCGTCATTGAAAGGAACAAACACGGCGCATACCTTCCCATACGACAGGCGTCTTTCCCTGGGCAATCAGTGCACCGTGAGTGGTCTGTGTGAAAGTGTCAAGAGCATCGTTCAGCGTCGTTCCGGTGCTGTTGAGCTGCTGCTGCGTGAGGTAGTCGTCGGTATAACAGTTCGTGTTAAGTTCATCGCCACCGGTGCTGAAATAATACGAGGGCAAGGTATTTGCGATGTCACTGAGCAAGGAAGCAGTGAAGTTCATGACCTCTGGGAGTGCAAAACGAAGCTGGCCGGCAGGTGGCTCGTTGGCATAGTCTGCCCACGGAGCTGCGTCGAAGCACGCGACATATTCGGGGTAAGTGGCCCCGATGATAGCGGTGTGGCCGGGTGTATCGATTTCCTGGTAGAATATTGAGGGTTTGTTTGCAAAATTGACTGATGAGTACTGACCATCAAAACATCGATACCTCTCTGTGGGAACGGCATCAGCGAACAAAAGACCGTGATAAAGGAAGGGACGTACTGCAGCAGCATATTGCACAATGTATTGGACATCACTCGCTGTGTAAACTTCATCAGGAGAGTATGCACCGTTGATAGTGATCTCGGGGTACTGCGCAACTTCAAGCGGGAAACTCTGACTGTCCGTGATATGCCAGTGGAAAGTGTTGATCTGTCTAGCTCGTGAGAGATGAAAAGACGAGACGCTAGGAAAGCATTCACCTTGACCCAGCTCATCGCGTCCAAAGTTCGCAGAAGATCGTTGACCGGGTAGTAGTTCCTCGAGGTATCCAGTGTTAAACCTCGGAAAGGCTGTGTATATGGGTTCATGCACCTGACATCAAAGTGTAAACGATAGCTGCTCACATATGCAGGAGTGTCCGTGATTGCAATTGGGGCGAGTAAAGTATAAGTTACCCCTCCGTAGTAGTAGAAAAGCTGATTGAAGGTGGTGAGTCCTCTGTACAGACCCAGGGTCGAGTTCGCTGTCAAAGTAGCAGCCGAGCCGTCTGCTGGAATCGTCAGTGCGTACTCCTCACTACGGGTTCCCAGGGGCTTGACAGCTTCTGAAGAAATGGACTCTACAGTAGCTCCACTCGTAAGAGACAGCGTCAAGTTTGAAATCGTCATCGCGCTAGCAAGCGCGGTAGTGTCATTCGCGCCGCGGCCTACGACGAGACGTCCAAGTTTGTCATTTTCGAGATAGTACTGTGATTGCGCAACCGCGTCAAGTAAATCCGACGGCGCGCCTTCAATCTGCACGTCAAAGAAGAACTCGGAGGGGGAGATTTTGAGGGCGGTCACCCCGGTCTCGAGAGTAGTTGGGATGGGCCAGAGAGCCTGGACACCAGAAGGGAGGAGGCATCCTGCGACAAGCGCCAGGATGGCTACGTGGCGAGAAAAGACCATGATTCAAGATGTGCGGGTCAAAGACGTGACCAGTTCAACTGCAGCTGTTTATAAAAGTCATAGCTAGCGGTCATGTGCGCTTTCAACATGCACGTACGTAACACTAAAAATAATGAGCGACCCAGAATTCTAATGCGGTTAGAAAATTTGCCATATGTCCAGTGTTGACAGGTCCAGCGTGGATGTCTTTTGGAAGTTTGGATCACCCATACTCAAGAGGTGGGACCTCACAACGGCGTCAACGGCGCGTAAATGTGTCTGTCACGGTCGCGTGACTTAGACTTTCTCGAAATGGAACTACGTAATATAGCTTGTTAATCCATTCCACGGGGACCATTCCTGCGTCATGCGCGGCAAGAACAAATGACGCGCGTGGGCTCAAACAGATATCATTTACAAGTCAGCCGACTTCGAGCCTGGCCTTCTCTGTCGTCCGGTGATTGCTAGCCCATGTGCAACTGGTGGTGTGGTAGAATTCGAAATGCAAAGCCGAGGTGGGCCCACGGTTATCTGGTGTTCATGTTATCTCAGTCAATTGATAAGCCTGTCCTCATTCTCATGGCCCCGGCAGGCATATAGAAACCGTAGACTCACAGGGCCCCAGATAACGAGTCCAAATGACTTGCGTGATGGCGTCCCACAAGACCTTCTAACAAGTACTTACTACGGTATAAACCAGCCTGTCGCCTGTGGTGACACCACCATTCCGCAATATAATATTCGTGCCAACTGGCTTCAATCATGGTCGGTCGCTTTCGTTGTGTCCCTGAAAGCTGTCTAACGTTGCGTCCAGAACTTTACTGTTTACTCGACCAATGCATATGACTTGTTCGTCAATCCGTTGGTGCTGATTGTCATAGGGTAGAAGTTTGTAAGCCGTCCGATCTCGTTCGTGTCTTCGGTTGACATTTTGTTTCCGTATAGTACCTTGTTCCATGTGGAGGTGTTTTTTGGGCTGTGGTCTTGAAGAAACTGGCGCGCTGTCTAACGACGACAAAGTAAGCCGAGGCATCATGGAATGGAGGGGTGAAGTGGTGCAACTGTGCTCGACAAACTTCTAGTGCCAGTCATCATGACATTGACCGTGTTTTGTTCAATACAGCGTAATCATGATTTCTCTCTGCAACATCATTTGGTTGGAGTCTAAACAACACCTTACAGGCTGCACCCCCTGTGTATCTTTAGCACAGCAGCAATCCGTTCGGCTGTCTAACCCACGAGGCTTATGTTCAAAACCAATTCTTTGTAAGTAATCCAGTTACATGCTAAGTGGCTTCGCAGCTTCAGAAGCAATGTGCTCTGCAGTAGCCGATACATAGTCAAATTCGAATGCGTCTTCGCGCTAACAAGCACGGTAGTGTCATTCGCGCCGCGACCGACGATGAAGCGACCAAGTTTGCATGCACTCACCCAGGATTGCAGTCACGACCACATTCATCCAACTTTGTGAGAGGTACAAAATACGACCTGATAACTCCGGTTAGTGTTCAGCCTTGAAGGATCGAACACTCGAATAAACTCATAGCTGTGGCAGCCATTAGATCAACAAGTTGATCTCACTTACCCCTACGGCAACGTCTGGCTTCTGATAGAGTCGGTGACACGATCCAGCTGTGTTGGGCTGGTGCGAGCGTTAGCTCGGGGTCGAACGCAAGCAGGTGGAGCCGCTGGGAGGGCGGGAAACCCGCTTAAGGATTTGATCATACAGTGACTCTTATGCGATGTGACGAAAGGTAAAAACCAGATTTTATCGCATATCCTATGCTCGACCACGTATCAAGCGACGAAAGATAAGTATAGCGAGCTAGTGAGAATATGTGAAGTATGCCGAACTCGACGTCGATGGTAAGTCGAAAAATGAAAACTGCGCTAACACTCAGCGCTGTGGTGCCGGGAAACTCCGACGAGCTACGTCATCCGGCACGAACAGTATGTGTCATCAGCCGCACTTATGTAAGGCACAGCATCTGTTCCATGAGCTGACGAGGTAGTACTTGCATATCATATGCTATATAGTTGCATCAGTACTAGCATTATAGTCAACCAATTACAAACGTTCAAACATTCAAATGTTTATAATTCTCATTTATCGTTCACGTGTCGCCATCAAAACCACAGTACTATATATGACAGTGTGTCCGCAGCCGTCGCGTCGACATCACGGAGTATTTGGTGAGTGTTTTGACAAATCATCCGATAGAAACATGCAACATCGGCGAGTCCTTTCTATCAGAACGCTGAACACAGGATATTGTTCTCGAAGGGTACATAATATACCATGGTTACGTATCCTTTCGCGCGCTGGCCATCCGCTTTGATCGGTCGTCCCCTATGTTATAATATGCGATTGCCTCTTATTCTGATCCAAAAACCTCTGCACTCTACACATGAATCCCACTCGTCCTCCTGTACTAGTCGTAAGTGAACTGCATATGATGGAAGGTTGCGCCTCAGCTAAATTCCTCTTTCTTAGGTAGGCGCTGGGCCGGCTGGTCTGGTAGCAGCGTTAACGCTCCTCCAGAATGGCATCCCAGTTCGCATCATCGATAAAGAACCCAACCCTCGGATGGGACAGCGTGGTCCTGGAATCTGGGTTTGTCATAATACCGCATCTCTGATTCCCTGTAGTCTCATTCAATGGATGATCTAGCCACGCTCCCTCGAACTTTTTAACTTCCTGGACGTACCAGAAGTCAACAACCTGGGGAAACCCGTCCCCATAATGCGTACCTACAAGCACGGGACGTTGGAACCTCAAACGGAACCTTCCATGGTCCCGCATGTGGAACCTAGCCCTGCGGTGCCATTCGTACGTACTACGCAGAATCGCCGTCATCTCAAGCAGTCACGCTGATGATTTTTTCAATATTGTAGCACGTTCCAAAGCTGATAGGTCAACAACTACTAGATGTGATTCTGCGACGCCACCTCGAAAAATTCTCGTGCTCTGTCGAGATGGGCACCGAACTGCGTTCGTTCGAGCAGTCCGACGAAGGTGTCACAGCAGTTCTGGCAAAGAACGGCACATTAGAGACCTTCAATACTAAGTGGGTGATCGGCGCTGACGGTGCTAAAGGTTAGATATGATCAATTTCAAATGCAGTAGGATGAATCTGAACTGTGGTTTGTAGGCGTCGTGCGCAAACAGCTTGGGCTTACATTCTTGGGCGAGACTAGAGACGATGTCCGAATGGTCATGGGAGATATTCGTTTGCATGCCGTTGGTCTTGATAGAACGGTGCGTCCGATTTCTACTTACTCCGAAAGAGCGCTCTTGATGCTGTCTTAAAAGTATTGGCACCGATTTGGAAACTTCAAGGAACGAGGGTATGTCTAATTTCTGCTCTTAGGACTTGGAGAAACATGTATATTGACGCTGGGCAGCGTCTCGTTGCGCCCAACAGACGAAATTGGAGAGGATGGCTGGCAATTTGTCATCTCTGCTCCCGATGTTGACCTGACAAAGCTCGCTCAGAGCGAGGAGTTAATCATGGAGATCATCGCATCGTTGATACCTACGGAGGTCACATTCAACAAAATCGTCTGGGTGAGCGAGTATAGGTGTGTTTTATTTTGTGACATCGTTGCGTTTTCAATGTTCATTGGTTTACTTTAGGGCCAATATCCGCATGGTAAACAAGCTTAGCGAGGGCCAAGGATTTGTTGTGGGTGGTATGTTGTTCTGCTTATGAATGATGTACCTGCGCTGATGGAAGTCCACATAGATGCTGCTCAGTATGTCTATCTTTGAGTGCCTTCTTGCCAAACTGATTCTGACATACTTCCAGTGTTCACAGTCCAACCGGTGGTCAGGTGCGTGCGCTCTAATCGAATGCTGATGCATACTCATTTATCCATGAACAGGGACTTAATTCAGGTATACAAGATGCTGTAAGTCTTGCAAATGCAGCACGTACGACACTACTAACTGTACACCAGTTCAATTTAGGTTGGAAACTTGCACTTGTCGAAAAAGGACTCGCCGACAAGTCTCTTCTTGAGACGTATAATGCCGAGCGTTTACCTGTCGTCTCCGAGATGCTTGAGAGGACCACCACGATTCTCAATCAGGCAATGAAGGCAGAAAACATGACCGCCCCACGAAGCCCCATCCTTTTCATGCTTGGTATCAATTGCCGGTTCAGTAACATCGTCCTCGATGAATTTGCAATTCCAGGGAAGCCTATTAATGCGTACGGAGTGCTTGACGAGGGGAACCTGGAGGCTGGGGACAGGGCGCCTGACGCACCAAATATGTTGCAGGTGGGGTGCGGAGAATCTGACGTGAAGACGCTTTTTAGTCTTTATAGACCGTCGTATCACACAGTGCTTGTGTTCGCGCCAAGTCTCGTAGGTGCTACCCCGATCTTGGGTGCGCTGGAGGCATACGACAAAAGTGTTGTGCGATCGGCAATCGTTCTGCCTTCATCTGCAATAGGCGTTCCTGTTGCAGCCCCTGCTGACCTCGTTCTTGTCGATGAGGATGGCCATGCTTATTCGGCTTACCTCATAGAAGTTGGTCAGACGAAAGTGTTTGTGATACGGCCGGACGGGGTGATTGGGGCGATTGTACATGGTGCAGAAGGTGTGAAGAAGTATTTCTCAGGAATATTTTTGGGTGTCGTGTAGTGGGCTGTTCTTTTCACTTGTATCCTTATATCCTGATTCATTTGTATATCATAATCAACGTAGTTACTAAGCAGTCAAGATGTGACTTGTTGGGAGTGAGCTTCAAAAGTAATGGTCAAAGGGTGTAGGTCACACAGAAACTCCTATCAGCAAACTTCTCTCTTGCCCATGCCTCCCGCACCAACTCCACAAGGAGATCCTGTCGGTCATAAAACATGGAATGACATGGTGGATGCACTGGTCACCGGGTGATACCTAACTGCAATCAGAGAACACAGATCACCCGGCGAAATGAGCACCGCAGCATAATGATAATGCTCAAAATCGTCACACTAGAGGATGAAGCGTAGACTAGTATCCTGAGAAAAGCGGTGTTAATCTGAATCTACCACACTACAAACTGCAAGTGCTTACAATGGGGTGGGAGCTCGACAGTTGCGGTTTCTGTTGATAATTCTGCTTCAAAATGTCTCTAACAGACTTGAGCAGTTCTTGGTAACTTTGTACCGGATTCCTTGCTGTGCGCTAAGTCAGTCTCATGCAGGAAGAAACAGGACTCCCGACCAACTTAAAGACGTAACCAAGGCCTGTCCATGTATGTCAGCTGCAAACAGGTGGAGAGGTTCGAATGAATATATCGCTTACGTAGCTCATAGCCCCAACAGCCATATCACCCTGTGTTCTAGTTTGATCTTCGCGACAGCCAGAGAATGATATCTAGATAGAAGACAAGTGGAAGAAGCACACAGCACATAACGTCAGGCAGTCACATACCACGTCAGCATTTGTGGCTTTCTCTGCTTGAGCCCGTTGAGTTATATGGCTTCCCTTGAGGCGTCCATTCGAATGATACTGCAAGAAGATGATCAGCCCTAATGCTGACCGAAGCAAGTATCGTGCTCACAATGTAGGGCAAATCTGGCAGTCGTGGGCTTTCAGCCAACATTTATCATTACGGAATGGAGTACTTACCTAGTGCCGTCCCTGAGTGACAAGACTAGGGAAATCTATCAGATTTGTCTGATGGGCGCATTGTGAGACGGCCTTACGTCAAAGATAGCCTGGATGTATATGGTTCTGTAAGCTCTGAACAGGAAACTAAAGGTCAAGCCTTACAGTCAAACGACAGCCTGCTGGCAATGATTTGACCTGCGGAATTTTTCAGATCGGTGTGTTTCTCCTATCGTGCGACAAGCGTACCATAATGTGGTGCATTTCCTGCATTGGAGTTATGAGCATAGACAGGTTGAAAATAAAAGTCCTCACGTCATCAACAATTAATCCCGCCTTCTTGTAGTCGACAGGGTATATAACTGCGAGTGATGAAATCTAACGATGTTCTAAAGAGAAAGGGTATCCCTTACCTTCATCAAGTCCATCAACTTTATCCCCATCCTTGTCTGGAACTTGTCCCCCGTGGCCCGAGTCTAGACGATAACGAGGATATTCGGAAATTATACCCGAGGCTCGAAAAAAATATCGTACAGTGGAAAAACAGTGCATCATGAGGATGGGCGCCCTTCACAAGCCAACGCATCGCATCCAGAATGTTTCGCCTTGTTGGCATTTGCCTCGAAAGATCGGTGTCATCGACCAACATTACAATATCGCCGTTTTTGTAACCCCATTTGGCTAGTGCAAGGTATAAGCATCGACGCCGCAACAGTCAACTAACAACGCACATATTAAGAACCGCTTCACATTGTGCGCATCATTGATACAGCCCCGAAGCTGACCTTGATAGTTGATTCCGATCTCAAAAAGGACTCAACTTAAATTTTCAATTAATATTATATCTTCACTCACGCAGAGTGCTTTTTTCCGCCCGGTGCACTTCGAATATTGGAAATAAACATGACCTTTATGATGCACGACCTGTTGGTGAACATGTGGCTGCACCTGCTGCTGAGGATGAACAATAGGCCTATGCGCGCTACTTGCCGAGATTACGCGCGATCGCTGACCATTACCTGAGGGGCCTGAGTGAGGCGTTGGGGGACGTAGATGTTGTGAAGAACGTGAGCGGTGCAAATTTTGCGAACTGCTTGCGTGCTGAAGTGAATGGGACGAAGGCTGGGTGAGTGGCGCGAAACGGAGCTGCTGCGAGGTGGTGCGACGGATAGTCTTAGGTATGGCAGAAGTCGAATGAGAATGTTGGTGATCCCCGTGTCTGTGAGAATGAACTTGAGTATGAGTATGTGCATCAGTGTGGTTGTTTCTGGATGACGGTTGGACATTGGATGACTTTGAAACAATTTGCGGGACAGGCATGGGTGGAGCACGCGGTGAACGACGAGAGATCAAAGGCTGAGGTGGCGGTAGAGACAGTTGAGACGTATAGGGAGATGGGGGTGGCCGCGTTGCATGGGGGATCGGTGGGGGAGGCGCCCGCCCGCGAGAAGGAAAGTCCTCCTGGATAGGCGAAGGGAGATTCTCGTGTGAATACATGCTGTAAGATATCAACGAAGTAACGAAAGCAGCAAATTGAATAAATACCATATGAATATGACATCTAAATTGAAGCTTACCGGGGACTGTGGGGGGAAATGCGTTGTGCGTCAACACGTTCATTGCAGAAAAACCGGAAAAAAATCACTTTGGTGACACTGATCGCGGAGCGTTGGGCAGACCGAGGGGTTCAAATGGCCGGGGGAACGGATCATGGGATCGATGCAGGTCTCTGTGATGGTCATTTTTGTATCGATAACGACTTGCTGTATCACGCAGACCGTTGCGTACCTCACTGGTGGGATTACAGAGCTATATGATTATATTATCTATTGAGAACAACGGAGAACAAGTGTATTATAACTCACGATGCCATTGGAAACCTAGTATTCGAAAAACGTCGCCGATCTTGGGTGGCGTCGTTGCGGCGTAGATCCCTGTGTTAACTTGGGTATCGGGAACAACAGGAATGCAGGACAGCCTGGCATGGCGGAGATCATGGTGAGCACAATCCACCACGAAGCTTGTATAGTCCTAATGAATGCTCAAGTAACTTACAGTGAGGAGGAAACCCAAGAAGACCCGGAGAGGGAGATCTGACTGGGAAAGCGATGAAAAAGAGCATCTCTGCGAGAACAGCGGCTTTATTTGACTGGACTGGGGCCCCCTGAAGGTCATTTTAGCATTTTTCAGGCCTGAATTTGGCCAAATCTCTGTCTGGACTTAGGGCCTAGGCCGATGTCTGTTCGAAGTCAGCATGTTTGGGGGTCAGGTGGACTTCAGGTTATGTTATGTTAGTGATCGGATGTATTAGTTACCTGCACGTGCGGTCACACAAAATTGTAATGGAAAGTCACGGTATCGTCACACTGGTGTACTGTCTTACGAACCTCAGGGGTCAATTGACCGATCACCGAGGGTGCATTTGGAATGAAGTATAGGACGTACGTGTCCCCGAAACAGATCACATTTCATCTGCATGTCTTCATCGCAGGAACCACGACGAAGGAAATTTAACACGTACAATCTTGTTGTCCATGCCATTTGGATTTCATCTTCTGCGTGTTGGTTATGAGCTAGTCTAGCATAGACTGGACCAAAGTGAAAATTTATTGGGCTAACTGTTTTGTTGAGTCTAATTAAATGAGCAGAAGCAACAGAAAATAAAATACAAAAGCTCCAGTACGTATGACAGCGAATTTCGCGACACAAGACAGGCTGATACAGGACAGGGAAACCACCGGTGGCAACCAGAAGGAATAACTACATTCAGTTTGACTAACACTACTCCTTCAGGTATTCAGTTGGTTGTAATTCAGCCTCCACTCGAGCGATTAGACGGAGAACCACTAATCAATTCGCTATTCATACAAGTAATCGATAACATACATATTTAGTGGATATCTAAATATTTAAGATCATAAAATGCACAAACACCTACAATAAACATAAGCTTTGGTGAGGCACTCCCGCACAACGCACGTACAGATGAAAAGCAGATGCATAGTCAAAAAGCACACGGAAGAAGAGAGAATTAATCATGGTGTCTGCATGATTCTTCACCTGTTGGGAAAAGGGACATCAAAATTTTTGAGTCTCTGCACCATATTAGCGAACCAGTAATTGTGATTAAACACCAGTGTGACTGGCTCGCAGATAAAGTGTGAATTCTCTCTCGCATGAATGATACATGGTGTGTGCCAATTGAGTAGCCACATGACGGCCATGGACACCTCGAGCACTCCCAAATATAGAGGAAAGTAAAGGGAACAACCGCATCACTGACCTTCTCCATCTGCCGTGTGTTATGAAAACATGATCTCGTGAAAAGCCATGGAAGTGCACCCACACGGCTGGAAGAATAAGGATTCAGCTCACCAAAATATAATGTGTGTTCCAAGGATGCGAGGGAGCGAATTTGGCGTAACACAACAATGATCCTTCCTTGAGATCGCAGTGGAACTGCATCTGCAAAACGACTGAAATGAACGCTTAGTTACGTGTGTTACGAACACTTACGAACACTTACGACATCAGAAGCAGAGGGTGCTGATTGGTGGAATCAAAACGCATCTCAAATCAGACGAAATTTTCAAGATAAGCCAGGGCATCAAGATAATCACGTCTAGATAACATTGTACATAGCAAGCTATACTGATCAACGAGCTCCGCTACGTAGATTTTGATACATTGCCCTCCACCTATTTAACAAATTTGGGTTGTTCCGAATGTTACTGCAAATGAAATCCATAAGTCTCGTGTACAAGGCGTGAAAACTTGTATAAGTGAAATCTATCTGCTTGAATACACCAGTTGCAAACTCTTGCAGACTGCAACAAGCAGCCGCTGCCGACATTGACATGATATTGTCGAGGCTCTTGTCAGAGTCGATAAACTTGTGGTAGCTGTCGCGAAAGGCAGCGTGAACTGTGATCTGAATGATGGCCTTGTGCTCGAATGGATAGCGGATCTTGCGGCCATTTTCGAGCTGTCAGTTGGCTCATTATGATCTGAATAGTAGGTTTCCCAAGAAAATATATTTACTCTTACTATATCACCAAATATAAAGTTAAGGCTACCTTGTCTGGTGAGGAAATCGACCGTCGTTTTGTTGTGATTGGCGCGGACCGTTTCGTCGGTCCAAATTGATGTATCAAGCCCGTAAACATTTTCGACAAGATCCTGCGCGCACTTCTTGAAGCGATTCAGAATCGTTGACATCGGCGTGACGACAGATTTGTATAGCATATTCACATTGTCGTCAATCCATAGTCTGATCCCGCGATCTATAATCACGTTAGTTTTCGAAATCGAGCTCACTGACAAGCAACGTACCATTGTCAATGACAAACGAAAATGCCTCAGTGAGCGCTTCATGAACCACGTCCATGCGACCTATAGAATCTCGGAATCCGCACTTATTGAGTGTAGCGGAGACCACGTAGTCCTTTGCTTCCTTCACAACGACTTTCAACTGCGTTTTGCTCACCACAGGCTTCGTAATGACATCCGAACTCGGTTCGTCTTGTCGGCGACTCGTACAAGTCGCAATAGTAGATGATGTAGATGCATTTGGAGTGGTGGCAGTGGGCATGGTGTCCGAATCAGCCGCTAGAGATTCCCGCGGGGGTCTAACAGGAGGTAGTGGATAGCGGCGTGTCACTGATTTCTGTATTCCTGTAGTTTGGTCTCTCTGAAACAATTATTAAGTGCGATTTGGATAATATAATAAGAGACTTACATATATGACACCGTCAGTATACTCTTGACGCGAGCGTTCGGCACCACGAAGAGGTGCATATGCATACACCATACGATAACGCGATGCAACGTCACCCGAAGGTGCAAACGATCGATGTACTCGATCAGGTCCTGTAGCACGAGGGGGCTCCCCAGTGAAATGTGATGCCCTCGGTAAAGGTACACCACCCTGATGATTGGGTGGCATAGAGCTGTAGCTGTCATGGGAGAAAACGGGGGGAGGATTGATGTGAGGGGGCAACGGAGGCATCCCCATTGAATCCGGTGTTTCCGATGCACAACCAAGCTGGTCTTCCGACGAATGACCAGCGATATTGAGCCCAGTTTGTCGAACGATGGGCACATCCTGTCGTGTTATGTGAGCCAGCGCAAACAGTAAAGCGAAGGTACTTACACGGATGACTCTTCGTCGAGATGAAGTATTTGAGGGCATGGTGGTCAAGCGCAGACCTGGTAATCAATCGATGATCAGTTTCAACTCAGTGTCGGCGATATTAATCTGCATCAGGCAAAAGATTCACGTCGCACAAAGCGCTACATTGGTAGCTGTACATACAAACAGTGGCATACAACATAGAATTTAGTCGAAAGTCGAGAGAACATCTGTGGAGCTACATCTATGAATAGATCAGCACAGGCTGCGAGATGCGAACAATGAAACTTACCTTGGGGGTATTGATAATAAGGATAAATCCGCGTTCTTATTTACTGCAGCTTTCCTGCCAGCTCATCTTTGGTGTTGACATGTATGTCGCTGGCAGCATTGTGAGGGGATGGTAAGTGTGGGGAAAGAAATATATCAAGCTCGTTGAGCTCAGTGTTCAACTCATTCATCTTTTTCATCTCGTCCTTGTGAGTTGCAGTGACAGAATCCAAATCCTTGGAAGTGCGCTCTGAGTCATGATCAACGATCATGCATGTAAAGAGTGCTGCTTCTTCAAATGCTTCAGTGGTCTTGTCCGCTTGTAGCTGCTGTTCCTCGTTGAGAAAATGCTTGAGCCGCGAGAGCTTCTCTGCCTCCCAAGCCAGGGTCATCGAGAGATGCCTGTGGTATTCAAGTTCTGCTTCCTTGTAATAAGCAGCATGGTGGATACCTTCAGCAGACATCTTCTGTAGGCCCCAAGAGAATATTTTGCGAACCTAAATATGTGTCACTGAGAGTTTCTACATAAAATATAATGACATACCGATTCATCATTGTGGCCCAAGTCTTCAGCTACTTTCCCCATCAGGCTTGCCATCTTGCGCTCTGCCTGCGGAGTGGGGGGAGTTTTACGGATATAGGGGTGGTGGATTGACTGTCGTTTTACATGATGTTGGCCCTCCCGCCTTCTCACGTGTGACCCAACTGGATCAAAGTCAGGGGGCCCAGAAGAAGTGATGGAGGTTTCCTGGAATTCTAATGAATCTTTGTTGCTTTGGGGTGATGAGGGACAAAGGCTGGTGGGTGGAGAAGAGTTTTGGGGGCTGTCACGATAAATGCAAGTGAAAGCTTCAGCAAAATCAATCCTTGGCAAAAGCGGACTAGATTTTGGACTAGGCAATGGACTGGATTGGGGGCTATCGTCGTTTAATTCGTCCTTGAATAGAGCCTGTGGGGGATACATAGTTGATATCAATCAGCTGTCGTCGCCTTTGTTGCCTTGAGTTCAAGTTAGCTGACACCTGAGGCTCGTCGGAGTTTCAAAGACTTTGTGCATTTTGCACAGTTGTGCTCACCGATGGCGTCTCAGAATCAGTCCTACGATCCATACAACTCTGGTTTTCGGCATGAAGATCCTGACTCTGACTTTGATGAGTTAATTGAAAAGTAAGTACTGGTAGTCCTCTATGGAATTGCACTTGCACGACTCACCTTTCATATTGCGTACATCCTTTAGTTCGCCCTTCAATCCTGTCACCTTGTGTCCTAACTGCAAGAAACAATATCAGTCAGCGGAGGCGGTGATCGAGCACCTCAATAGTGCAGATACGTGCTGGCCAGAGAATCTCATCAATGGATCAAGGCTGCCAGTCCCACAGGCTCTGCAACGACCGCCTGAGCAGATAAACTTGTCAGCAATATATCACCCCACCTCTGGCTACCACTACCTAATTCCAGATCAACCTCCTCCGCAAAATATATTCCAAGAAATGCAAAGCCACCCTCTTCAACAAACTAGAGAGACCAATGTATGGTATCCATTCGACGGGCCAGGTGAATGGTCCCTTGCAAAATTTCTTGTCGAGAACCTTTCCCAGACGCAGATCGATAAATTCCTCAAGTTGGATTGGGTATATCAACTTGTTATCAAACAAATACTTAACTCACATACTTCAGTTCCAGACACGAGATCGGCCACAATTTAAGTCGAAGGACAAGTTATTCTTTTACATGCAGCAGCTTCCTGGGCATAGGCCGCAATGACAGTGTACAAAGCTTAAGCTCAAGGGCTATGAAAGTGAACAGCCGATTCATCTTATCTGGAGGGATGGTTTGGAGGTGACGAAGCAGCTTTTTGCAAATCCCGTCTATGCAAACCATATGTGCTACGACCCTCACTATATCTATCAAGGACAAGAGTGTCAATTTGGAGAATTCTGGACGTCAGATGACGCATGGGAGATTCAGGTAAGTAGTCGCACTTTGGTTCGGGGATACTCCAGTGACGCTCGACAATATAGAATCAGCTGCCTGAAGGGGCGACTATTGTTCCAATCATTGCCGCCTCTGACAAAACCCCGGTAACAAGACATATGGGTGGCCTCGAGATGTACCCACTATTCTTAACTATCGGAAATATTCAGGCCGACGTCCACATGAAGGCGACATCGCATGCATGGTGATGTACTGCGTTCATGCCCATACCAACGTTCATCGTTAATTCTTATTTCCAAACTCTCCTCCGGTCGCGCCTGTGGCACAAGTGCATGGATCTTGTGTGTTCGAACTTGAAGATCGCAGCTCGCATTGGCGAGTACATGATCAATCCCTCAGCCAGACAACGCTATTGCTTCACCCCTCTTATCAGCCACATCGCTGACCTCCCCGAACAACTGATGATTGCATGCGTTATGAAAAACTCATCCCCCGTCACCACAGCGACTCAGAAAGAGTTTGGCGATGAAACACCGCATCCTCCACAGAATGGAACACAGACATACGCACTTATCTAGCAGCTCTGTGATCATGTCGACCCATGGGATCTTATTGCATTCGTGAGAGAGGCCAAGAAGCTCCATCTCAGTGGGGTGCACTTGCCGTACTGGAGGAACTGGAGGCACTCAAATCCTGCTAGGTTCCTGACACCCGAAATCTTGCACGCACTGCACAAGTTTTTTTTCGATCATGTTCTTAAGTGGATCAAACAGATCATGGGCCATGAACTTGATGTACGGTTCAAGAGCCATCACAAGCGCACCGGTGTCCGCCATTTCTCTGGGGGTGTCTCTCATGTCAACCAAATGACTGAACGAGAGCACCGAGATATTCAGCGCACAATTGTGCCGACACTGTGGGGTATCGCAAGCCCCAGTTTTATCTGTGCTGTACGGGCAATGATCGACTTTATCTACCTTGCTCAGAACCCCCTCCACACTGAATCCAGCATTGCTGCTATGACTCAAGCGCTTCGGGATTTCCATGATAACAAACAGGCTATCCTCGACACAGAGGCCCGACAGGGAAAGGGCGGCGCCAAAGATGACTTTTTCATTCCAAAACTCGAACTTATGCAAAGCTTCCCTCGCGCCATCTTCCACGTCGGTCCACTCATGCAGTGGACAGCAGACGTATCGGAACACCTTTTGATAACTCACTGCAAACATCCCTTTGAACGCATGAGTCGTCAAAAGGATTTCGTTTTGCAGATAGCACGCATCCTCGATCGGGAGGAGACCATCCGGCTTTTCGACCTTTATACATTGCTATCCACATCTTCGTCTACGCCTGGTCAGGATCCGCTCATCAATGCCATCACAATGGAGGAAGAGGAGATTGCCAGCACAGAGACAGATCCTACCTTTGCTTGGGTCTCCAACGCAAACCCAGCCGCCCAGCTGCATCTTCAGGCACCGCGCCCTGTCCGCAATCACTTCTTGAAAGGGATCGTGTCTGACAACGCACGCATTGCATTCAATGTGACGGTGAAAGCGGATCGCAGCCGCCTCGACGTGTCTCAGCTGCAGTTGCTATACAATATTCCCGACTTCTCTCAAGCTTTACATCTCTACGCGACTCGCAATGGGTGCACTGTCCCCAGCTGGTTAGCTTTCAACACCTGGTCAAAATTTCGGATTCAACTACATTCCACATTTCATCTATGCAGAATTATGCCAAGCCAACAGATTCACGCTGATCCACCTTCCACCAATTTCCCTCAAGGGAACTGTGATACCGTGTTGTTTAACCGGATGGTTGATGGCGGTAGTGATGGTGCGTCTCGTAAATACTCGTGACGTGACAATTGCTGATACCCTCACAATATCTAGAGTCTCGTGTAGCTCAAGTACGAATTATATTTCAGCCAACTCACCCCCGAGGATCGCATGCGCAAGTACCTGAGCGCTTGTCTCAGGTGCTGGTGTACGTCCAGCATTTTGACTTCATTGTGCCTGGTCCCGAGCCATCTACGGGCATGTGGATGGTCAGACGATCATATACTCGATACCCTCCGCAGTCAGAGAGGGTAATCTGATGTGACACCATAATTCCTCTCACAGACATTACGCATGCAGTGGAGATTATACCTGTCTATGGAGGACCGTTGGGAAGGGATGTGAATTCTGGGAACTTGCTGGAGGTATTCGACGACTATTTCTTGAACAATTTCGCAGACAAAGAACTATACCACTCACTATCAGTTATGTCGGAAAATTAGATATCTTTTAGTGCTGCCGAAGTTCGGTTCTGTCCGGTTTTTTCAAGATAACTGAGGACCGAGAACCAAACCTTGGTCAAGTTCACACAGGTAGGTTGGACTCTGGGCCGGACCACTTCGAACGGGTTCACAATGGTCAGGTTCGGGTTCAGACCAGTTCGAACTGCCGAACGCGACATAATATTTTGCAAAATTTACCAAGAGATCTACAAACAATTGTAGGTTAGTACAGTGGCTCAAAAAACTGTCCGCATGTTTTGACATTTTTCACTATCTATGATATTGTGTGAGAATGAACAAATTCCTCAAGGACATACTTATACCACATTGTAGTATGGCTTCAGGGCTTTTATTTGAGCCCTACACCGTGGGAATCGGCGGAGATATGGTGGAGATATAAGGCTTATAAAATGATGACTCATGTGGACAGTTTTTTGAGTGTATATTAAAACTATATAAATCATTATTTATGACACCATAAAAATCATGCCACTATTATATAAATTATAAAGTGGTGTCATTATGTTATTTTATGACTATATCTAACTATATAAACCAGAATATCTCATGTATCATAGTCATAATCACCATGAAAGCCATCTCCTCTGCTCAAAGAGATAATATCCTCTCTCTGTCTTATGCTGGCCTCTCTGCTCGCCAAATTTCCTCTAGAACTGGAATATGCAAGTCCACTGTGGCCAAGTTCATCAAAGAAAGCCACCCAGACAAGGAAAACTCTTGTGGAGGACGTCCATCCAAGCTTACCTCTACTGACAAAAGGGCTATTATCCAACATATCACTACAGGAAAGGCTGATAATGCTGTCCAAGCCACCCATTATATCAATTCCACCATCACTACCCCTGTCTCTTCACAAACTGTGAGGAAGGCAGAGAAGACTAGCCTTTGCCTTAGCTCATCAACACTGGACTGTAGAGGACTGGAAGCATGTTATATGGTCAGATGAGACCAAAATCAATAGGATTGGGTCAGATGGGAAGGTGTATGTATGGAAAAAGAAGGGAGATGGCCTAACAGACAGAGAGGTTAATGGGACTGTCAAGTTTGGAGGAGGTTCTTTAATGGTATGGGGCTGTATGGGATGGAATGGTGTGGGAATGCTTGCTGAGGTTGAGGGGAAGATGAATGCTGAGCAGTATGTGGACATTTTAAATGACCACTTGCTGCCTAGCTTGGCAGAATCAGGGATTGATGAAGAAGATATCATTTTCCAACAGGATAATGATCCCAAGCACACATCCAGAAGAGCTAGGGAATGGTTTGAAGAACATAACATCAATGTTCTTGACTGGCCAGCACAGTCTCCTGATGTCAATGTCATTGAACATCTCTGGGGAACACTCAAGAAAAAGCTTCAAGCCTATGAAAACCCCCCTAAAGGAGTATGGGAGCTTTGGGAGAGAGTAGCAGTGGAATGGGGGAAGATCACAGCTGAGGATTGCCAGAAATTAATTGAGAGTATGCCTAGAAGGATAGAGGCAGTAATTAAAGCCAAGGGAGGTCATACAAAATACTAGAATACCTGGTTATTACTGTAAAATACTTGAGTCAAAAAACTGTCCGCATGAGTCACCATTTTGTGAGCCTTGTATCTCCACCATATCTCCACCGATTCCCACAGGTGTAGGGCTCAAATGAAAGCCCTGAAGCCATACTACAATGTGGTATAAGCATGTTTTTGAGGCATTTGTTTGTTCTCACACAATATTATAGATAGTGAAAAATGCCAAAACATACGGACGGTTTTTTGAGCCACTGTATGACAGACCCCTGAATAGCAAGGGAGTCTTTTGCGATGTGAGCAAAGTCCTCAAGTTCCTGGTGAGGCCTTTGATGAGCTGCATCATGCGAGACACGAGCTTTGATTGCATTGCACATCCAACTATGACCACAATAACCTTAGCGCGAGAGGGACGGTACAGAAACATAATGTCCAAACCAGACTCAGAGAGGAACTTCTTGTGTTTGGCGCGGATCCGACATATGACCAATCAAAGGTCAATCTCCCATACTTGGATGCGGTTGTCCATGAAATTCTATGACTCCATCCTCCGCTAGGCGAGTTCAGTCGTCTTGTGAGTGTGTATGTCTACATGTGAATAGACACTCACAATAGGTCCATTGAGCGAACCTGTGGGCACGGAGTCCGGGGAAATGACGGATAGTATATCTATAGCGAAAGGGACATTGATCACGATATCAGGCGCGGTGATCAATCGCTCTTTGGCCATCTGGGGGCCTGACGCAAAGGAATTCAAGCCTGATCGTTGGCTGACTGAAGATGTGATCGGGAAGGCCGCAGTTGTAATGGAAAGTATTTGCTCAAGCTGTTTAATCGCCCTTCCCTCGAGCTGATAGGATAGAAGACTTGCACTTCGCGCATGTTGGTTTGCGAGTGGATGGAGCAGAACCTTGAATGATGGGTTCGGACCAGTTCGGACTGGTCCGAACAGGTCCGAGAACCATCCGAGACTCCCTGAACGACGAACCTAGGTAGGGTCTGGTCCTGCATTGTGTGTCGAACCACTAACCGAACGATGGTCCCGTCCGCAAAAGTTCAGGTTCGAACCCAGGTTCGGGACCGAACGGCGGCAGCACTAATATCTTTCATGTAGCACAGTTATCAATCTCAATCTGATCATATCATGCTATCTATCTGTTGATCTTGGCCTGATAATCTCAAGATTTTGGCGCACCACATCTCCGAGAGTCATAAACACCAAAAGGAGTATGGTGTGCAAGGTATACGAGAGTGTCCCTGGACTATACCAAAAGCATCGCTCTCAAGTGTCTCTCAAGACGAGTCCAAACATAGATGCACTTCGCACGCTTCTTCCAGCCTATCTTTGAACTCCGTCGTACACTGGACGTTCTGATCTCAACAATGTCATTTTGACTGGGCATGAAAAGGTATGGCAAGCTGATAGGTGAGCGATCACGCATGTCAAGGGCGGTCGTCCGAATGCTTATATATATCTATGGACGCAATACCTCTACCATAGCTGTGTACTTATCGACATCCGGTACCGAATCCGGGAAACTTCTCGGCTTCCGTTGCATAATCAATGTTGAAATCGGCCTAGGATGATGACGAGATAGTCGACCTTCTGTTCGTTCCTCACACACCGGGGGTTTCGACATTCTACCACATTTTGCCACTAGTGAAATCACATTCTAAATGAAATCTAGAGCGCTTCAGGCTAGGTCTAGATTTGCTTTTGATTGAAATTTTGCAAGAGGTAAAATGTCCAAACCTCCGATGTGGAGCGCAGGGCGCTGTGGAATGTCATTACGTATAGGAAAATGTACATAGCTACGGGTGCTTCGTCTACATAGCAATGAAGCTGTGAAGAAACACAAGGATAATGTATCGGACGGTCCTCAAAAACGTTATGACAAACGACCACCCAAGGTCAACTCCCAACCAAACACCCGTTGATTGCGCACTGGGCTCGTCTGAAAGGTGCTTCCTGTGAGTGATACTCTAAGCTCTTCTGCAGGTTAAAGCTGATGACTTGCTTACCGGCGACTTCAGATACCCGCAAAGATCAATTGCGCACTATCGAATTTAGGAGCACCTGAATACGTCGTCCAAAAGTTGTCTTGTGAATGAGGGTTGGATATTAAATCCTGTCTTGTGAGTAATGGCTTGTATGATTTTAAATATCCGAAAATGACAGGAGATAGGCCCCTGGACTCACCAGCAATCATTACCGTTGCTGGATAACCTGGTCTGATTCCAAGATCTCGGTAGACTTACCTCATATACACATGCCACGATCTGGCGTAGTTGACACTCCGAGTGTGGACCATGCCTAAGACTATTCAAGGTCATACCGACTGGCTAAATGGTGTTGTGCACTTGCCCGGCGGACGAAGCTTCGTCACATGTTCTTGGGACGGCTCACTCCGACTATGGGACATAGAGAGCGGCACACAGATAGGCGAGGATTGGCGGGACGAGAATAACGCAGTGCGGTCCATGGCATTATCTCCAAACGGAAAAACAATTGCAAGCGGAAGCGGAGGTAGCGATTACAATGTGAGGTTGTGGGACGTCAGGACGAAGAAAGTTATTGCCAATTGGACAGGACACACCTATGTTGTGTGCGCATTGTGCTGGAGTGCAGATGGAGAGCGAGTAGTGAGTGGATCCTGGGATGGGACAGCAAGAATCTGGAATGTCAAGAGCGGTCAAACTGTCCTGATGATCGAAACCGGGCACAACTGGGTGTATGCTGTAATGTACTCACCTGACTCATCAAAAATTGCGACAGGCGGAGACGAAGAGAACGCGGTAAAAATCTGGCATGCTAAGACAGGCGAGCTTCTCAAAACACTCAAACACGATGGAATGGTTTGCAGCTTGGTATGGACCTCGGACCGGAAGAAACTGATTGCCGGGTCACATGGCCAGATTAGGATCTTCAACACTGCCACTTGGAAGCAGATCGCTATCCTTGAAGGTCACTCAAATTGGGTCACCAACATCTCCTTGTCTCCCAACAACCGCCTCCTTGCAAGTGCCTCATTAGATTCAACAGCGCGTCTATGGAATCTCAAAACCAACCTCCAAATCGGACTACCCCTCCAGCACGAGGGAGTTTTGTGGTCTGCAACCCTTTCCCTTGATGGACAGGTGCTAACCACTGCTTGCGACAATAAAAACGCGTACACCCGGGATGTTCACACCATCCTCAAAGACGCCGGCGTTAAAAAACTACTCCCAAATGTGACCAATATTGTGAGCACTTGTCAGCATATCACCGCTCTTTCTCACTGACAATGTCTGCTGTTAGGCACCAAAAGACAGACTTGAACAGAAGGCATCAAAAGAGGGACTCGAACAGAAGGCACCAAAAGAGAGACTCGAACAGATGGTATCTCAAGATGATTCAGGATTACGGCACATACCCCGCTCTTCGCTCGATGACAAGTCATTTTTGGAAGTATGTGCTGTGTTTGCAATATTTCTTATTCATCATGACAGTAACATTCCAGGCTGATGCTACCCGATGCCCTGGTCAGTTTGGTGATGTCGATGAACTCCCGTCAACATTTTTTGACCACATGGAAACCGATGATGATGTGCGTAATCCGTATTTCTGTTACCTGGTTCTTATCTAGGCTTCCGTGCTCCCAGTCCTCCCCAATGGGTGGTGCACACCCCCATTCCTCTGCAAATCCACTCCTCGCTCGTTTTTCCTCGTTCCTCCGTCGCTTTCGACCCGACAATGGTGAAACGACTGAACTTCCGCAACACTCAAGCCCTTCGGCGTTCCATCTACACGCTCTCCTCACTCGCCTGTCATCACTTATTCACTACTCTCCGCCTGGAAGTGATACTCCAAATGAACTTCAGCAACCCTCCACGACATTGTGGTTAGATCCACGTGCACTCTTAGCTCGCCTTTCCTCACTATCCCCCCGGTCTCAACTGGGCACAGACGAAGAAGCAGAACCCCATCCAACAGTGCCTTCAAGTTCACGTCCAGGTGCACTCATCAGCCAACTGTCCTCACTCTTCCACTCTCAAACCCACACCAACGAAAAAATTGAACTCCGGCAACGCCTAAGTCATCCTCGCGTTGTTGAAGTGGCTGCAGTCCGGGACAGGCAGGTATGGTTCTCCTTGGTGCGTTTACAATCTCCGTGATTTAATCATTTCTGTTCAGGCTTTGGTGGTTGCTCGGGGACCAAAATTCGAGAAAGCAAAACGAGCATATGAGCAACAAACCCAATCGCACGGCCAAGCCCAGGCGTCGTCATCTCACACTCAACTTGCTTCAACATCCATGATATCTCCTGCTCCAGGTACTACCACAGCAGGTGTAGCAACCCCACAGTCACCACCCATCACATGGTGGGCTCAGACCGTACTGTTTCTTTGCTGTGCATCCCCACCACACGCCAATGGTTATTAATACAGTTAGCGTCGCAGCATTTGAACAACTACATCACCTTTCCTTCTATTGATTTTGCACGTCATCTCTCTCACTGTTTTTTCAGTACACCATCAATTTTTTTTCCCTCGTCGTGACATTTGCATCAAACACGATAATGCTAATCGTTGTGAGCGGAGGACGGTGTGCTTCGTTTGCACGTGAATTAAACAGGAGTCTTCTACAACGACCCCAGTCATCAGAGAAAGGCATCATGACCATGAAACACATTGTTTGTTATACCCGTGATCGAGGACCTGTTGAGCGCCGCCTCGTAAGTCTGAACAGGTCTTTAGATTTGAGGGCAGACGCTGGCTTTTCTCATCGCTCACTGCTTCAAATATTCAGCGTTGCGGTCGTCGTTATACATGCAGGTTACTAACACTCTCAAGGTAGCTGCCTCTGGCGCGTTTCATAATGATTGATATGTACGACCTGGTGGTCATTATGGGCCACTACAAATCAGTAACTTATCTAGACACATTCATCTCCCCGAACATGTCTCCCTCACTCATCCTTTGCTCTATTCCGCTGCATGTTTCTCTCTGTTGGCGGTGTACACCTTCCAGAAGGGTTGTCCAAGAGTCCAAGCCAATCTAATAACAGTGTTAGATGAGCGCATTCCCTATCCACAATGTATCTGGTCAGAAGCCTTACCTTGACAACGCCAACCGTAAGTGTCGGTCCGTGTTCAAAAGAGGCTAGCTTATTGTTTTTGTAGACGTCCGAGTCAACCCCGACACTACATTATTCGCGCCTCACCAGCGTGAGTCGATCTTTCTATGTGATATTAATAGTGCAAGGTCAGTATACTCCTACTTCAGTTTGGTGCATTTCTGAGACATTGATTGGTTCTTTGAGGAGGGGGGGCAACAATTTCCACAACAATGCATCCGCACTCACCCTGCGTTCGCTGATGGTAGCGCCAGTGACTATGGTATTGAAGTTGACAAGATCTAACAGCGTTACAAAGGTGCCTGTAAATTTCCCGCTTGGCTATTCCAATCCATAACAAGGATGGTGTCATGGCTTTGGGGAAGGGGGCGTCTCTGATTATTATCCCTACGATGTTGCATCATGATCATTCCAATGGACGACAAGATGAACGACCTATTTGCTGGCTATGTCTGTGATTATTGACTGACATCATTCATGGAGATCTAGCTTTGAGAACTCGACAATGTCTCCACTGCTGCTCAGCGCGAGAGCTTCGATTGGCAGCACGTTATGTTGATGAGCTGGTGCGTTGTACGTTGTAACCGGATGTAAAGGTGAGTTCATAACGAAGCTCAGCGCTCAACCCTCGTATGAAGACTGACAAAAGTTCTTCTCTTTGTACGGTGAATAGGAGGGGATCCGTGTAGAGTGCATTTGGATTGCAGTCTAGGACGTACGTGTCCCCGAAACAGATTACACGTCATCAGCATGTTTTCATGGCAAATGAGCGCAGGAACTGCGACGAAGGAATTTAACGCGTACGGTCTTGTTGTCCATGCCATTCAAAGTTTAGATTTGATCTTCTCCACGTTAGTCATGAACCGGCCCTAGCAACATGAATTGGACCAAGGTGAAAATTTATCGGGTTAGCTGTTTCGTTGAGTCTAATTGAGCAAGCAGAAGTAACCCATCATCAACATCTCAAATACAACAGTTCCAGTACGTACGTACGATAGCGATTCCCGTGACACGAACACAGGCTAATACAGGACAGGGAGACCACTGGTGGCAACGATATCCAAAGGGAATAACTGCCTTTAGTTTGACTAACATTACTCATTCCGGTATTCAGTTGGTTACCGTTCAGCCTCAACTCGAGCGACCTACTTGCAGCTAATATCCTTCAAGTAGCTCGATGACTGTCACCGTCTGCTGTACCATGCCGCCTCATGCACCGTATCTTTCTGTCGGTGTGATAATTCATGTTGTAGCGATTCTCCTGCTGCTTGTTGCTGCCATGATTCCGAGTCATTCCTCCACCACGCCTCTACCCCATCTAGTAATTGACCAAAGCCTGCTGGCTTGCCCACGCGGGAAAATATATCCTCGAGGAGGGGCCCAATGGCAAGCTTGTCTTTAATTTCGAGGCGACGTTTCAACTTGAAAGCACGTTTAACTGTGCTTGACAAACTGGCGACAACGCGGTTGGGTCGTGTGACTTTTGCGTTCTCTCGAGACTCGAGCGCACTCGCAAAGAATGCAAAAACCCGTCGACCGCACACACGTGTGTACCTGTAGACCATCAACTTTCCTGTAAGCAGCTCTTCTTTCCAACTTGTCATTGGTCGATGTTACATATGTGCGTGATCAAAACATCAACGGTTTGTAACTACAGTCATTCATTGTTGCAGTTCGCTGGTATCGGCATAGATACATATCTCACGGAAGAGCTTGAACAATCAGTGTCTGCAACATTGATTATTAAAAGATCATTCGTCCCTCGTTGTAGCCCTTTCTGAACCTACATGCTTAGATACTTGGATTGATCAGTCTACGCTAGGTGGATGGTCTCACGATTTGGGGCAATGGGAACTGGGGTGTCTTCGTGAGACAGCAATAGCTAACATTCGAATGTTCAACTACGACTCCAGTCACAGTTATTTCTAGAAATGCTTCCAGAAGACAACTTGAACCATAGGTTGTAAGAAATGCTATATTATGATGTACAAATACACAATACCCAACGAAAAAATTTGCATCAGTTGGTGGTGGCATCCGTGTAGGCGGTTGTGGCAAAACCGACTTGGGAGTTGGTGGTATCGAATACGGAGTAGAAACGCTCAAGGAAAGTGTAGCCGTTGATGAAGTCGAGACCTTCACCACTGGGAGTGCCAATGGAGTTGACAACGAGGTAGATGTAGTTGGCGCTACCACCAAGGTAGGTGTTAAGGGCACGAGGCCAGATCTGGGCGTTAGCGGTGAGAGCGTAGGTGTTCTGTGCAAAATGGTGAACAAGCGGCATTAAGACTCAAGACAGAAAGGACGTACGCTGCCAATATTGAAGTTCAGGTCCTCAAGGGCATCGTACTGGGTGGTGGTAATGCGGAGAAGACCAGTCTCCCTGTCCAGAGTAGCACCGGTTGCAGACTGGTACTCGCTGAAGGCGTCTATTGAACACTGATCAGATTAAGATCACTCGCTGTACTCGAGATACACACTGGTGGCAATGAGGATGAGGGTAGTGCCAGTGTCAACGATACCAGCCGTCTCAGACAAGATGGTCGTGGTGCCGTAAGTGATGCTCTCGTTGATACCCCAATAGTAGGATGCAGGGTAGGTGGTGGTGAGAGGACTGAAATAAGCAATTAATGTCAGTCTGGATTGATCTCCGAGCTGCAGCAACTTACGTGTATGCAATGTCGCCCGTGTACTTGGTAGCGTCAGTTCCACCGAAGGTGAGCTCTCCATTGGTGTCTGTCTCCGTAGTGGTGGGCTCGAAAGAGATACCAACAACTATCTCAGAAATGATGCCTTGGCTATACAGGTTGTCAGTGACAGTCGGGATCGTCGTGTCCGGTTCATCTGTCAGGGTCCCCTCTGTCAAGTCTAGGGGCCCGATCCCAATGATACCGTCAACACCAGTGAAGCCCGTCGAAGTAGCAGCAACACCAATCGACTGCGCGGTGATGGTGAGCCCACTACCGAGAGTGACGGTGTCGGTGTACTCAGTTCCTATAGATAATCGTAGGTATTTTCAACTTATGATATCGTTGTATGTCATACCAGAGAATGAGCCAGAACCGTAGGTAACTTCTACAGGCTCGCCAGTGTCGACGCTGGTGCTGGTCTTCACGTACGCAGTGCCGGCGCCAACCCATGTATTCGAGCTACCGGTGTCAACAATCAAGTTGTCTGCAATAATATATCAGCAGTCGTATGTTTCCTCAGTGTTGAACCCACAGGTTGTGGCGGGGCTGCCAACGCCGACTGCTGCAATGTAGCCCACAGCATCGTTTGTCACAGCAATGCTACCAGTACGACGGTTGAGGGTGTTTTCGCCGACATTTTTGAGGGCAGCCGCGCGAGATTGATCGTGCTGCAAGATGTTGATGGAACCACCAGAGGTGTTTAGCCTCCTGGCGATGGGGAGGGTGATGGGGGAGTTGCGGATCTCAACAGGCGATGCCGCGATGGACAAGGCCAGGAGGAGAGTCGTCAATAGGGATGCAGCTGGAAACATGATTGAACGGTGCTGGAGGCTAATGATCATACTACATTTCAAAGCTCATTATATATGTGCTGGTAAACCTGAAACACTGTACTGAAAGGTGAGCACATGGTTAATCTCATCCTCAGAAGGCTGAACCGTATGGAACGCGCCCCCTTACGTGAAAAAATGACGACAGGAATAACTAAAAAATCGACTCGTTGTGCGCACACCTTGGATCAAAACCGACATAGCGGTACAGGTAGCCTGTTTTTGGTCGTGAGTAAGAGGAACTGCGGCATCCATGAGGATGCGCTGTTACCCCAGTTTATTCATGGACCAATGGTTAGGGAGTGCTTACCTTACATTGTGAAGCTCGCGCATGACGAGTCCACCTTCGGTCGTTCGCAGTACATCATTGCTGGGAAGAATGGCGCCCGAGCTTGATGATGCCACTTTGAAAATTTTGTTACACTGATGTGAATAGGCTCGACACAAAGATTTAGTCGTGGTGTTGCTGTCAAGGAGATATGGAGAATCAAGTTCCCTGGACTCGGAGCGTATGCCCCGCAACTGATTCCTGGGGTATCAATCTCGCGACTAACGGGGGCCATTTTTTCTGAGGAAGAAAGAAATTTGATATAGATGGAAAACAGCGGACAAGACAGTGATGAGAGACTTTTCGTGGCAAATGGTGAACATGATGGTACCGATATCTTGCTTTAATCACTGCCGTTGGGAAATGGGGCAATTAGGGCCGCATGACTTTGCATGAATGATACATGCCACTAGCTAGTGGTCAGTGCCCAGGCCCTAGCAGCATCCTGGCAGTACTTGTTCTCCGTCGGGACCCCCGTCTTCCTTCCGTTTGGTAATAAGCCCGGCAGGCGCATATGCCATCGTCTGATTCATATACTTCGGTTAGTATTCGCGCTACATCCCTCGAGCACTTCAGCAGCCTACTAAGTAGCTCAACGGGAGCCGTCAAAGATACTAGCATCCTGTGCTTGTGAAGCAGCAACCGTAAAGTACTTGGTCATGATGATCACCTGAATCATTGCCAGAACGGTTGCCGTGAAATCGTGGCTGCCGACACTAGTAGGACTGCAAAGCCCAACGGAGCTGGGACCGACAATTTCCAGGCGCGAAGCTGGCACGCGCGAATCCCACGCATACAGCCTCTGCCCAGCCAATTCGGAGTCTGGACACAGTCCTAAGGTGAGAAATTTGCGGTCCTTTCGAACTCCGCTCGGCAACGCTCAGCAGCGTTGGTGACGAGACATCTTCCGAGCTCTGTGCTCACACCTCTCAAAAGCTTTGGAAGATCAACTACGCCGCATTATCGACCGCTCTACCGACAGTCGACTCACAGAATTTTCCGCCCAGCGCTCGACTCTTCGACTACGTCAAGATATCCACTGTCAGCCTTCCTCATCATGACAATGAACATAATGGAATTGGTGAGTATGATGGTGATCACGAGATCATGCTTGTAATTTGCTCTTTGCGATAAGCTCCCACATAGTTCCTGCCGAACACTGGTTAATCTGTACGAGCTGATTTTTCCCTTTCATGGGAATGTGGCTCGAAATCAACAAATCACTGCCTATAGTTAATCATCAGCTCCAATACTGCTTCATCTCCTTTTATACCTTACCGCATGCGACACTGCGAGCAAGCCTGACGGCGTAATTCCGGAGCTTTGCACCGCACTGACGTGAGTACCAAACTGTTCTCTGAGGATACCGAAACATAAGTTGCATGACTACCGCAGTTTTTAAAAGGGACGTTCAAAGTTTGGCGCACACGCTCACTGCACATGCCTATCGTATTTGAGGCTTAATACTTTTGATCTTCGACTTGACTCGCATGAAGTCGCACCGGCCTTACATTCAGAGCCGACATGTTTATTTATATCGTTGTTGAACTGCGCTTCTCCATGCGTTATACTAGCTACACCACAACTGAAATTTTGAATCCATGCTTAAAAATCTAAGAATACAGATCAGGCTGTGTGTGGGGAGGTGATTTGTTGACGGTATCAATGATAGGCGACGTACGCCGGGTGTTTGATAGTCGTAAGTTGGCATGTACGTGCGAGGATAACGGGTCATACCCTTCGTGACTGCAGGCGATCCTCACTGCTCAGCGAGAGTATCGGAGGTGGAGGGATTCAGCCGACTTGTAATGTCAACACCACCAAACGTACGGGCACTTCCGCTACCACTTTATAGAATCGGAACAACTAGTCAAGTTAACTGTTAACAGCAACCCCATGCGATGATGGAAACGCGTTCGGACGAAGCCAGAGTATTGGTTATATACACAGGCGGGACCATTGGAATGCTTGTCAGCTCACGAGGTTACGTTCCCGAGCCTTATTTCCTCACCGACACCCTCCGGAGCCAAAAACGCTTCCATGATCCTCTGCAAGACTCCCTCTTCTCTAACGCTGCATCCGTAGAGGGTTATAGAGAGTGGAGCAATAGCGGAAAGTCCACTCCAGTCAACTCAGATGACGTCACGACTCCGGGTGCACTCAATCAGCCCACCCTTCTGGTCAGATCTTCCCGCCCGATTGGTAGCACGAGTACCCTGTCTCCGTCTATATCTTCGCAGATTCAGAAAGTGATTGAGCAGCCCGAATGTATAAATGTCGCTGATGGTGTCTATGAAACACGTCTGCCAAGTCTTGTAACTCCCCGAAGTGTCGTTCCTGGACATGGACATACGAAACGCATACGCTACGCAATTCTTGAGGTCAGTCGTCCCTATGTATTCATCACTCAGCCAATAGCTTAGCAAATTCAGTGGAACCCACTGCTTGATAGTAGCAACATGGAAATGGACGGTGCTCATTTTTGGCATTCCTCTTAGGTGTCTCCCGTTCACAATTCTAACTAGGACAGATTGGATCCGCATAGCCGCTGAGATCGAGCTAAACTACACATCCTTTGACGCATTCGTAATACTACATGGCACCGATACCATGTCATACACTTCTAGCGCACTCAGCTTCTTGCTCGAGGATCTCGGAAAAACTGTTGTACGTGTTACATCCCTCAATAATATGATCATCCTCACGCGAATCGCACGAAACTAGATCCTTACCGGAGCTCAAATACCCCTCTCACAACTTCGGAACGACGCTGTCGATAATCTTCTTGGTGCACTTTCCATTGCAGGCAACTACATCATACCAGGTAATTCTAACAACTCGATCGTGCAGCTGTGGTTCATCATTTGTTCTAGAATGCAGCTTGTATTTCAATCATACATTGTACCGCGGCAATAGAGTATCCAAGGCCTCTTCCTATGACCTCAATGCCTTTCATAGCCCTAATTTCCCCCCGCTTGTGAATGGTATGCGAGTACACATATCGTCTTCGTAGTGATCATGATTTTTTTTTCAGTTGGAATAGATATAGTCGTTAACTGGAACGACGTTCTACGTCAGACCAGCCTTCGAAGATTCAGAGCCTACAAAGGAAAGCATCAATATTTCTACTCATTCGATAATCTCACTAACGTCTCCCTAAAGACATGAGTCCCCATGTCGGTAAGCACATACAGAACACATTTAAATTAAACCTGACACTCTCTAGCAACTCTCCGCCTCTTCCCGGGCATGACAGGTGCCACTGCTCACGCCTTCCTTGCCCCGCCAACACGTGGTATCGTTCTAGAGACATTCGGTGCCGGGAATGCTTCTCAACGACCAGATGTCCTGGCTGCATTCAAGGATGCATGCGATGGAGACGTCGTGATCGTCGCCATCTCTCAATGTTTCAAAGGCTCTGTATCGGGTGATTACGAGACAGGACAAACACTAATCCAAGCCGGTGTCGTCCCCGGCGGAGACATGACCCCAGAGGTGTGTCATCTGTTTAGTTCTCGTCTCAGCTGACCGACCATTTCCAAGTGTGCTCTTACCAAGCTTAGCTACCTTCTAGCAAAACCCGAACTTACCGCGGCCGAAGTGCGCTCACTTATAAGCCTTCCTTTAAGGGGCGAGCTCACGCCACCCGTGCCATCTCTACCTGCGGCACCGTCATCAGATGATGTGAACACAGACCTTTCGGGACTGCTTTCTCAATTTGTTCGCCTTTCTTCGTCTGCGCGGAAGACGGATATCCCTCAGATTGTGATTGGAGAAGAAGCGCAAGACGCCGCAGCTCCGTGGAGTCGTACTGCCGCAGAACGCGCGAGCACGGAGGCCGCGCTCTTACCGTTTCTTGTACATCTTGCTGTTGCGCGGGATGACGTCGAGGGACTTGAGTTCTGCCTTACTTCAGCAGGTACAACCTCGTGTTCCGGTGTGACTGAGGGAACGGCAGAGGTCGTCGTCCCAGGAGGTATAGCGAATTGTCTGGACCCGGGGAGCGGACGGAGTCCTTTACATGTCGCCGCATTAAATGGGAATATGAGGTGTGTCGAGAAATTACTAAAGAGCGGTGCTTTGGTGCATCTCAGGGACGAATTGGGACACACTGCCTTGTATTATGTGAGTGTTGCGTGATCTTAGTGTGGGTTCGAGTGGCTGAGGTTAGTAGGCTGCACGTCAGGGCCATGCTGACATTGTCGATACGCTTGTGAGCGCAGGCGCGAATCTTGGGGGAATGGAGAATGAGGCAGGTTATGTGGGGCTTGCGATGCAGAATGCGGTTCATGCTGGAAATGAAGCTATGGTGGACATTTGGAGACAGGCTGGCGTGAAACTTGTGGATTAGTTATTAGCTGTCCCTGCAACCTTGTGACCACGGCGAGTTTCATACCGTCAGCGTTATGTACATAGTACAGTCGTGTAATATTGGAGAAAATAAATTTGATGATACCGCCATGGATCTGCGGATCCAGTTAGATCTCAGCGCGAAGCCAGCATTGTGAATTGCCGCACTAACTCTAAGTACAGTAGAGCTCAAAACCGTTTTGTCTTTCACGTATACTGCATTAATGGTTCCATCGTTCCGAAACCCGTCCACGACTTCGGAGCTTCGCTGAATGTCACGATACACGTGACCGACGCGTCGTGGGATCATGTTTATTTTTATTTGTCTTTAAGAGGATAGCACGCCTCGTGTTCCCCACAAAAGGGTCTTTCACACCTTTCACTTTTCCCCAGGACCGGTCAGTCCGCCTTATATAAAGGTTTGGGTTCCGCTGGCAAAAAGATCAGGGCTGACCTTCTCTTCTCTTTCTTTCGTCTTACAGTTGGTCATCGCTGGAAGATTCTAACCTCCGCTAATCTCTCTCTTACTCGACCTTTATCCACTGCAAACTACTTTCGCATAACGATCGGATCAGATCACTGATTCACAGGTTGAAATTCGAGTTTCGAGTCAAGTTCGAGTCGAGAAAATTGGCGTCATGGCTTTAACGATAGCAGCACACCCAATACTAGTCAGAGACCACGCATCGCGCGTAACACGGGCGGGATCCGTTCTCGTTGACACAACCAACTTGCACCGTCGTATCAGGTCTTCACCATCGACGAAGCACTATAACCTTCTTTTCCCACTCTCCTCCCGCCCCTGCAAAGCCCCACCCACCCTTTCCCTTTCAGCGACATGCGCTAGTTCCTCGCAGTCGCAAGCGCTCCTGCCATCTCCCCTCGATCTACCAGACGTACGGAGTGTCATACCCTTCCCTTCCACGTTGTCCGCAGATGATGTTGCTAGCCTAATGGATGTCAATATGTTCGATGGGACAACAGATAGCGTTGATTCGCAGTCTTTCCTATCAACCCCGTTTTCATCCTGTAACGACATCGCCTCCCCGTGCTCTGCGCAGGTTCGACTTCGCAAACGGCGTTCCCAAGCTATCGCCACGCTCTCCCAGCCAACAAGTCCCAGACGGGATAAAAAGGCCAAGACAAGGGAGAATAGCAGATCCTGGAGTGCAGACACGACTGTGCGCAAGCGGTCTCGTAAGAGTTGGCGCCAAGTCGCGGACTTGATGTTCCTCGCCACCGTCCATCGCAGCCTCATATCGAACTGCAGTACAGATCCGTGCTACTGCGTTCGCGGGGAGGATGTTGCGCCGGTAGATGCACAGACCCTTGAGGGGCAGGATGTGCTCCTGGCGCGCAAGATCCAGACACGACTGATCGAATATGGATGGTCATTGGTAATCGATGGCATCCCGGAGGTGTCTCGCGATAATGACGCATCCATTCCTTCTTGCGCGCAAGAAGAGTCATCTCGATCTATACACTACGACGCAGTCCTCAACCTCCGCAGCCTATCATCTGACACGCCCTCGCCACGATCATCCCCACCGCCCACAAGCACCCCCATGCCCTCCGTCCTCACTATGCCTCAGCTCGTCGCTACGCTGACGATGCGATACAATGACCGATGTAGCACGCGTTCGCGCTCGAGCTGGAAAGCTCGCCGTGCTGATTTATCTTCTGGCCATTTCGTCGAGCGGAAGTCGTCCCTGTCTGTGGCTTGTAGCTAGCAGACTTGTGCGTGCTGACTTCCCTGCTCTGATGAGGCAGAGATTGAATCTTTGCTGCCAGGCTTCGTATCTTGGCGCCGACGCGTCATATATCTTCGCCGCGGCCACGACGCATCGTATCTTTGCCACGATGCTTCACACCATTGCCACGAGGCTTCATATATTTGTCATGAGGCATTTATCTTTTTTATGTATTTTCACGACGTTTAACGGGCGCTACGACATGTCATACTGTGTATTGATAGTCATTTAATTCTTCGCGCGGGACACGGTTGAGTACTGAGTACGTATACCCGCTAATTCGTGTTCATCTACGTAGTGCTGTGCAAGACGATGTTATGATTCAGTTAATTGTGATTACATTGGTCAAATTTCAAATGCGAGATGGAAACTTGGTCCTATTGAACTTAGCTTTTTTTTTTTCAGATCCAATTATTGTCCATGTGGGGTACGGTACCCTATGTAGGACATTACTAACTAGGAAAGGGGGAGAACTTAGCTTGACTAATCGCCTTTTATGCATCGACGTTCGTGGGATGTGTACACAGTCGTCGAACGCGTTCAACGCAGTGGCACAACGCACAGTTTCAAACTTTCGGACTCGTACGTAAGCGCCCACCTACTGTGTACCCCAAGACTCAAGTCCTTTATTCTTTGTCATTTATACATGGTGACACTCTCAGCAAGTACTATTCCATCAACTGAGAACTGATGCATCGGGCTCTACTTGTTTCCGATATCCTCCTATACATATTCACACATGTAGATCGAATACCACCTATTGCCGTCACGGTTAACAATTCATCGTCTCCGAGTCGGAAATCGCTTGCATCGCTTGCAGCAACATGCAGAGCTTTCTACGAGCCCGCGATGGATTTTCTGTGGGCTGATGTATTTGGATTAGAGCGACTGCTGGGCTGTGTAATGAGGCTACATCCACTGGTCTATCGTGCATCAGTGAGTGCAGACCACTCTTATTCCGTTTACTTCTTTCCGTTCATCGGCTGACCGAACCCATCTACTAAAAAGCGGGACTTGGACCCCTGGGCAGCAGGCGTCGACCCATTATCTGCCGACGAGGCCCGTCAATGTTTGCGTCACTCCGCCCGTATTCGCTCATTGACCATACTACGCACTGACAACCGCCTTGTCCCGCTTCTCTCGGTCATCCCCGTCGATGTATGCGTCTTCCCAAGGCTGCAGCGGTTATCTCTTCCCAGCCCCAAATATTTGGGGCTATTCCTGTCTCACACCCTGCGCAATTGTTTTGTATCCTCTGGCAATGTAAATCATGCGATTCCCGGTACTGCTTTGTTCAACTTATCCATCAACACAAAAATCTTGACAAGAGCACAGCAGATCAACTGTCCCTGCTGTCTGACCGTGTCCGTTTGTGCAATCAGCTAGTAACTCTGTCTTGTCCACCCCTCGACTGGGCAGCATGGAAGCACCTTTCCAATCTCCCTACCCTGGTGGAAATCGAAGTTCATGGCACCCCTCCTTGGCTATTGGAACAGCATATCCTCAATTTCTCGCCATTCCTTCACCTCACGAGTCTTTCCTTCTGGGTATACAGTGCTGCATACGCGACCACCATCCTGCAACACTTACAGTTCCCCTCGTTGAAAAGTTTCTTGATCGATGTGGACGTTTTGACTTTGACAGAGGCTGAGCGATTCTTTCGTGTGCTGTCCAACTGCAAACAGACCCTGGAACACCTCACTATCATATTCGAGAGATATCACGATCCCCAATACAAGGCTTTAACAGCAATTCAACATCTCCTTTCCTTCACATAGCTTCGGAGTCTGCGACTCGGTAACTATGATTCCGAGGCCCGCATCTACCTTGACAACAACCTTCTTCTGGAAGCCATGTCCGCTTGGCCGCACATCCACACTCTGACAATAGAAGACTCCAGTGGCCGTCCTTCCGTTACGTTCCGCGGATTATTCACCGCAATCCGACAACGTCCTCAGTTGGAATCGCTGCGACTGTATATTGACACCGTAAATATCGACATCAATCCTGATGCTGAGCCAATACAGCACTCCTTACAAATATTGCACATGGAAACACCCGGGGCTTACCTAGTAAATGCTGAAGTTCTCGCTCGCATCATTTTCAAGTGGCTTCCTTGCGTCGACCAAGTTAACAAGGTGGTGCGTGGTTGGGGGGCTTGGAATGAAGTCAACAAACATCTCGTATTACTGAGAACTGCTGCGCTGCATGCTACAGGGGCCGCCTCGAATATCTGAATTCAGTGAGATATGTTTACATTCGGGAACTCATTTGGATTTATTCGTGTTCGTTCGTGTTTTTCGTTGTCGGTATGGTGGTTTTTACTGTGGTTGCAATTGTTTTCTCCCTTCTCAGTGTCGAATTGATGTATTACATGGGTTTCCATGCCTTTATGTTGTAGTTATCCGCGAACAATTCGTATATGTTCCCACTTGCATGTCCTTCGACTGGACGGTCCAGCTGAGTTACATCCCGAAGTTGTTGCCTGCATCGCTGTCTCCAGACTCTAACTCCTTAAGTCGACAAAGTTTAGCATCTCCGAACGCGTCACGGTAGTATGAAGTGATCAAGGCTGGTATGATTTCAGCCAGGGCCCAAGAGGGACATTCATCGATGGGATCAATCATCCGTTGTGAGCTAAGTGGTGCTATGCAAATCGTGATTGATCAAGTATTGCGTCAAGCTTTAAATTTCGTCAAGACCGGATTCGCACTGCCAGCTGGCACACATTATTATCTGGGCACCTGCAACAAGCAAGACCGTCGTCAGCTGCAGTGTTCTGCGACATGTGGCATGCTTTCCTTGAATTCAAGTGAGAAACGTAATTTGAATCAGCAATTGAGATTCCACCATCGACAACAAACACCAGCAAACACCGTGGGAGCCTAGGGCTCGCACACTACTACTAGTAGTACTAGTACGCGGTGTTGTAAGTAAGGCTGCTCGTGGTCCAAGTTCGTACCCTCAACTTCACTGACTTTGTCGTTGATGTCCAATTGATCGGTCCGCTCAGCGAACCAATCGAATTGTCGCCAGCTCAAAGCCATGGATTCATGGTGAAACGCACCGGTAGTCCGTGGACAGCTAAACCTGGAGTCAGGTCTGGACACACCAGCCACCGCTAACGCTATCGAGGCGTTAGGAGTCTATAATCGCATTCGGAAGTTGCATTCAATATCCCAAGCCAAGCCTTCCCGGGGCCTCCAAGAATAACTGATAACGAACCTCGTTGCACGCATGGAGTATCGATATTGAAGAAGCTTCCAAGAATAGGTAGGTCAAGTTGTTACTTGCTTGGATTCGGGATCAATCGTTTCATCCTCATCAGCAAGCGTCAATTATCACTCAAGATGGGGTGTTCTCTATGTTTGAAATTCCGCGATAGGATTTGGCTGAGGAGCAGATATGAGATATTCGAAGTGTTGTTTGATGTGTGTGTCGTCTGCGTTATCAGTGCTATCTGTGACTTAGATGCTGTTTGAGCGTTCTGCAGTTTAGAGAAAGACATCCACAATCTCTCTTGAAAGTTCACCTCGACCGTGCTCAATATTATCAACCTCCAGCAAAATGTCGCACTCCATTCCAGGCACCACACTTCTTCAAGCTTTTGAAGATAATCGGAGCACTGCATCTGCAGTCGCTGTTTTCCCCGATAAACGACGGATAATCACCAGCTCGCAGGACAAAACGCTTCGTATGTGGGACTTGAGGACTGGTATGATGTTGAAGAAGATGGAAGGGCATCGCCATAAGGTGTTGGCATTGGCAGTATCAAGAGATGGGCAATTGATAGCAAGCGGTGATGAAAGTGGCGAGGTCATCGCTTGGAATGGAGAAACCGGAGAACCATTAACATCGCAACCCATCAAAGCCTACTCCCATGGCATCTCCTCGCTGGACTTTTCTCCCGATGCAGCAGAGCTGGCTATTTCAGCAGACTGTACGGTGATGCTGTGGAACACGCTGACATGGGAAGTATCGGTTGATAATCTATTGCGATACCCAATTTGCTGGAGCAGTTCCGTCCGCTGCGTTCGGTATTCGCCATCTGACGACCTTCTTGTCATCGCAACCGACAGCAATATCAACATTTTTAATCGGGGCGCGTGGGGATGTACAGCAACCTTCGAGGCTCATCCAACAGGGAATATGTCAATTACGTGGACGCCAGATGGTAGCCGCCTTCTTTCAGGAGGCAATAGCGTCGATCCTACCATACGTGAGTGGGATACATCGACCTGGAACCAGGTCGGTGATCCCTGGACGGGCCATATAGGCGGTATCAAAGCCATTGCCATTAATCCAGCTGGCACACTCGCCGCTTCCTTATCTGAAGACAATGATGTCCGGCTCTGGCGGCTCTCTGATCGACAAACTATTATCGTCTTCAGGCCCTCATACTCGATTCCATACGTCACTTTCTCCATAGATGGCAGGCACCTCCTCAGCGGAGGTGAAGATTGGGCGGTACCCAACTTGGGCATTAATTCAAACGTATGTTTCCATCCTTGACCTGCATGACACAATTTGAGCATGCTCCGTACAGATCCTCGCCATTGACATGGCATCCCGCAATGCACTTATAACCGGGAATCTGTCTAGTGCCGAAGAGCTACTCACCCAAGAGATCGACACCGATAGCAACAACTATACTTCCTATGCGAGCCGCTCATTCGTTATGGCGAGAAAAAACGACTGGGACCGCGCTCTTGATGACGCAATCAAGGTGAGATAACTGACCGATCATGACCAACTTACGAAAGGCTAACTTCATCACGATGTAGTCCATCAGTATTCAACCTTCATTGACGGGCTATATCTCCATGGGTATAGCCCACTGCGGCAGAGGCCACGTCCGGGACGCGCGGATAGCATTTAACATCGCGTTCTTATTCACGAACCAAGAGTTAGAGGCCATTCATTTTCTTCTCTTGATCACGGTAGGTTGAATTTGTCTCGCATACTCTCTACTCCATGTGTGTTTCAGGTCATCGCCCTCTTCAATCTAGATCAACTCGAAGAGGCAATGTTGCTCCTCAAAGAGCTCGCTGCCACCCGTCCGAATGCCGATCTTCTCGCGTGTCATGTTGTGGAAGTGAGTATCATGTCGTTAGGCTTGGCTAACAACACCGATTTTTGCAAATCGTACCTTAGGCACATCTACGTGTTCAACTTGGAATCAAATCCTTGAACGATGCGCGCCACGATGAAGCCGCTGACCTACCTCACTGCCGCTATCAACTCCGGCGCATTCTCATCGAACCTCATTCGCGAGGACTTCGTCGTGGTGCGTCAAGATGAGACATCCAAAAGTGTTTTTCATAACTGTGTGCTTCTTCCAGCTCTTCGGCTGGGACCTCAAGTCCTTGTGGCAAAAGGCCCACCAGAAACGATGCGATGCACTGCCTTCTCGGCAGGTAGACCTGAAGAAGCCGTACAATCGTACCGATATATAATGGATACGATTGACGACAATACAAGGGCCAGCTGCCTTGACTGGTCCAACGGCAAGTCTAAATTTTTTAATGTCATGCAGGCTAGAATCCTCACCTGCATTCACTCAGCATTTAAGGAAGAAGTGCGGCACGCTCTGCCTTGCCAACGGAGATGCCGCCCTCGCTGCGAGCGATTATGACAAGGCTATTGACCTATACTCGGCGGCGATCGACCTTAATTCTACATCTCATGATCGTCTTTGCAAAGCGCAGCAAGGCCAAGTCGATAAAACGCTTATGGGACGGATGCTCTTCTCGATGCAGCAAAAGGTACGATGACATCTAGTAGAGCTGCTCTGTAAGCCGATGCTCACTTTAGGAGACGCACAGGCCATTGAACTCGACCCCTCATCTTATGCTGGATACCAGGTGAAACATGCAGCCCTTCGTGGTGCACGCCGCTATGATGAAGCTATCGAAGCCTTCAAAATCATGTTGTCTAAGTTGGACAGTGCTCCCGAAGCGCAGATACGAGGTAAGACCCGGCGGAATACTCATGGGTTAAGTTGAAAATGTTTATATCGTTTAACAGAGCTGCGTCAGCAGTATGTCTCTCCACCCGAAGCAGAAGTTGGTATCCAAACTGCTGCTTGGACTGAAATCGAATCTGCTCCGCTTCGTCTAATTAACACCTCCACGGGTCTTTTGTGCGATCGAGCAGCACAAATAAACTCCTTCAAAACGAGCGCAACATACAAGGAGCTTTTGTCGTTCACAACGAAGCATTCAGACCTCCAAATGGAGCGCATCAAAGACGTGGCGGCAGTGTACTTCCGCCGTGTCCTGCTGTCACACAGGTGGGAAGAGAGAGAGCCGCTGCTGCACGACGTCCAGGATAAAGTCGTGTACGAGTTAAATGCAGTTGGCGGCATCGTGAAATTGCAGTCGTTCTGCAAAATCGCTCGTGATGCGGGGTACCACTGGGCGTGGATGGATACATGTTGCATCGATAAGAATGACGATGCTGAGGTCCAAGGAACGATCGATTCCATGTTCATCTGGTACCGCCATTCGGCACTTACCATCGTCTACCTGTGCGATGTTCCTCCTTCATCCGGGCCTGGAGCACTAGCGAATAGCGCTTGGAACAGGCGAGGATGGCCCTTTCAGGAACTCGTGGCTTCCAGAGTTGTTATCTTTTATCAGAAGGATTGGTCGTTATATCTCGACGATCAGTATCCCAACCACAAAGAGTCCCCAGCCATCATGAAGGAACTGGAGGATGCAACAGGGCATAGATGCGCAGGCCCTCGTGGCCTTCTGTCCAGGGATGAACAACGCCCGAGAGAAACTGCGATGTGCGTCGATGCGTGAGACCACGCTGCAGGAAGACATTGCATACTCATTGTTTGGCATCTTCGGTATCCACCTTCCTGTCCTTTATGGCGAGAACTAAGCACAATGCCCTTGGACGGCTCTTGCAGGAAATCGTGGCTCGAACGGGAGACATCACTGTCCTGGACTGGATCGGACAGTCATCCGGGTTCAATAGTTGCCTTCCAGCCAACATCACCTCATACGCAACTCTGCCACACACCGTGCCACCTCAGGTCTGAGGATGATATTCGGACAACAGTCTCCTTCACTGCGAAGAAATACCACAGGTTGTCAATTTGGCTTCGAAACTTTATGACGAGCTTGCCAACATGAGCACTCCTCGTTTCGCGAACCTGTAGGCTGCATCTACCCTGCATCGCATTCCGTGTCGCGGAAAGTCAGACAGAAAGAGCGGTCCAGCCCAAGAGACTCATTTCACGTATGAGGTCAAGGCACATGGACTTCATGATCTGCTGATCGCCACGGAAGAGATGCTGATGCAGTCCCGCAAGGCCCACTTTGCAGACATTCTTGCTTGTCCTTCCCTGGGATAGGTACCTCCTCGAGCTACCCAACTCTGCAGAACCGCCTGTCAGTGATGATACGCAGAGTGAGGATGGTTATTGGTCCGTGCCCCAGTCTCCGTTAGACGACTCAGCCAGCGGTTGTCCTGATTTAGAATATCACTCACGAGCATTGAGATTGCTTGTTCGCCTTGGACAGCCTTTCAGCGCACTTTTCCTGGCGCAGCCTGCGTGGTGGAGAATACAAGAGGATCGCATCGGATCATGATATCATTGCACAGGTCAAAGATATAGCTTCTGTTAGCGATATGATGGACATCAGGACCGTAGAAATATTGTAGCTATATGGATTCTTATAGGAGACTACTTATAAGGCACTCTATGTTTAAGTACCAGTGGTTTGTACCCTGTCCTCCACTATCAAATATTCATGTCGCCCAAACCTACCTTCGGATTTACTGAGTCTCTTGCACAGGAAACGCGCACTAATCCTCGTACATTTTGTTGACGTTCATTCGTCCAAACTTCCTGCAGACAAAGTTGGAGTATGCGCATGAATATGGTATCGGGATTCGGCGGCACCACCGTGTGACCACCAACTAGGCTTGTCTTTGTCGCTTAGTACTCCGTTGACGTAGAACTGATGCACATCAGGCTCTACTTGTTTCCGATGTCCTCCTGGACATATTCGCACAAGTGAATGAAATACCATCTACTGGCAAAAAACCACTGTCTCGGACGTCCCTTGCAGCAACATGCAAAGCCTTCCACGAGCCCGCGATGGATTTGCTGTGGGCTGAAGTAGATCGATTGCAAACCATTGCTAGGTTGTTGTAATCAGGTTACATCCACTGATATATCGTCGTGGTCGTGCGCCAGTAAGTGCAGAGTGATCTTAACTAGTCCCGCTCTGTTTCTTTTTGTTCGTTCATTAGTTGACTGAGATCCAATAATCACATGTCTAAAACGCGCGGCGGGAACGGCGGACCGGTGGAGGCAAGCCTCACACCGGGGCATTCATGAATCTAGAGGTGGGGGGGGGGGGGGGGGGGCACAGGGGCCCAAGACTAGATAGTACTGTCTTACATAGAGTTACACTCTCAAAGACAAAAATCCGGATTTAAAATTAAAAAAATTAAAAAAAATAGTGGGACGACACCTGCCAGTGGGCAGAGGCATCGAACCATTGTCTGCCGATGAAGCCCGTCAATTTTGGCATCACTCCCGGCCGTATTCGTTCATTGAACAATGAACATACCACCCGCTGATCGCCTTTTCCCGCTCCTCTCAGTAATCCCATCGAGGCATGCGTCTTCCCGAGGCTACACAGTAACTCATTTCTCTGGCACACATTTAGGCCTATTCCTGTCACACACCCTACGCCATTGTTCTGTATTTTCCGTGAATGCAGATCCGCCCCAATCTATTACGGTTCCCGGTGCTGCTTTGAAGTTTGGTATCCATCAAATCTTCGACAAGAGCCAGCAGATCAGCTGTCCACTCTGTCTGAACCGTGTACTTTATTCAAGCAGCTCGTAAACTCGCCGTCCACCGCTCGATTGGCAGCATGTGAAGCATCTCTCTAACCTCCCCACTCTGGGTTGAAGTGGGAATTCTTGAAGTGCGTGGTCATGGTGCACCTCTTGGCGGCGTTGGATCTGCATATCGTCAATTTTCACCCATTCTTAACCTCACGACTTCTTTCCTTACGTAGAACAGTGCTGCTGCATACATTGCACAATCCTGCAACACTCACAATTTCCCCTCGTTGAAAAGGTTCTGGATCATGATCGGAAGTTGTGTCTTCGACAGAGGCTGAGCGACTCTTTCGTGCGCTGTCCCCTACAAACAGACCCTGGAAACACTTATCGGTATCTTGAGCGAATATCACGACCTCCAAAAACAACTATTTGACAGCGATTCACACATCTCCTTTGCTTCGCAATGTAACATGGTAGACTGCTTACAGACAGCTGCGATTTCTTCAGCTCGATTGTCCTGATTCCTCCATCTACCTGGACAACAATCCTTCTCTTGGAAGCTATGTCAGCTTGGCCGCACATCCACTACTCTGAAAATAGAAGACTGCGGTATTAGTCCTTGCCATCACATTCCGCGGATTATTCACAGCGCTGCGTCAATGTCCACAATTGGAATCGCTCCGAGTGTTGATTGACACTGTGAACTATTGATATCGATCCTAATGCTGAGCCAATACCACACACTTCCTTACGAACATTGGACTTGGAAACATTCGAGTCTCCTATAAGAAATGCTGAAGTTCTCGCTCGCATCATTTTCGCCTGGCTCCCTTGCGTCGACTGAGTTAACAAAGTCGCGGATGATTGGGAGCCTTGGGATGAAGTCAATATACATCTCGTATCTTTGAGAGCTGCTGCGCGGCGTGTTATAGGAGGTGCCTTGAATCCCTGACTTCAATGGGATATGTCTACGTTCGGGAACATCCTGGAGTTTATACATTCATTCGCGCCAATTCGTTCGTGTCGTTGTTGGTATGATCGCTTTTAACTGTGGTTGCAATTGTTTTCTCCCTTCTGACCATTAAATTGCTTACACGGGTCTTCACGCCCTTCTGTAGAACATCTTCATCTGCTATGATCTGCACAGTGCTATGTAATTCGAAGTCTGATACTATGATACTGTGCACATCGATGAGGTTTGGTTCAGAACCTACTACAGTACACGTATATCTCTACACAGAGTGGATCCTCCATTCATCAGCCCTGTCTCTAGAATGTGCTACTGTGATGCACTCATTCCAGATAATAATCGACAAGCTGAAAGCTGTCTACCTGGCTGAAGATCCCTTCAACGGACGTAACGCCAAAATTGTTCGCACTCTCTGCCCTATTTATGATGAGCCCGCCATGTGAGGAGCCTCTATTCGCGTTAGCCCTCCTGCAACAATTCAGAGTGGCTGAGCTCGAGAAAACGAACCCTTGAGCAATGAGTTGGAGGCAAAGACACAAAAGAGGTTCGCCAAGATACTACGGTTGTCCTGACTAGCGAATCATACGTGTTCCGTACAGCTTCAAGCCCTACGTGGCATAAAGGACTCTGCAGATAAAAGCTCGTGTGACCCTCTAGACAATATATCATGGGCTTGAAGACTTGGCGATCTGCGATTACTTGTCGTGCTTCGCAGACTGGCTCAAAACACTATTCCATACCTTTTGCTCGAAAATCACGAGAGAGTTCTGTGGATCCGATTCCTGCCTTTTTGTAAGCTTGCCCATAGGAGAAAAGTAGGCTAATGCTATGCGATCCAGGGCGAGGGCACACGGATTTGACAATATGACCCACAAGGCGGCCTCATCTGATGTGAATTCAATGCGAGGAGAGTACCCGTGATGTGAACTGTAGCATGCCTATAAAAAGTTAGAAGATGCAAGAAGCACGTGGCACATCATTCTGATCTGACCCATAGATGACGAGGGCGTTGGCGTGCAAGAGCCACTGCCTGCACCACCGTTGTTTGGGGAGTGACCCATGGTGGTTATCACGATCAGATACCGAGACGAAGTCGCACCGGATATGTGAGCTTACGAGTCGATGAAAGTGATGGTTGTCTTTTTACAGATGCATCGATCCGGAGATCATCCACAGTGGGGCTGATAAAGAGCACGAGGCTTTGTACTCATCCTTACGCGCATCTCTAATGCTGCGTGGGTTGGTCTATCAAGTGGAGAGGATTGGGTAGGCATGGACTCAAGGACAGTTGAGATGATGGCATGAGGAAACTAGTCACATGGCATTGAAAGACAAACTGCAACGAAGGGCGAGGAACAAAGAAAACTGCAAGCTACAATCAAACATTTGGCCATCCAGATACGCGTTTTACGAGACTGGCTGGTGGGAAATGGACATGAGATTGACGCTCTGACATGAGAACTTCGGCTATGGCTACGAGCGAAATAATGCACATGCCACGCAGAAGCGGGTTAGCATATATGCAAGGACGACCGCTGTTGACATCCAAGAAGTCTTTGTTCCTCATCCTGGTTAATCTCTTTGTAGCATCGAATCCTCAACTGAGCCATCGGCGTGGGTGAACTGGCCATCAACTTCTGCAGGAAAAATGTCGAAATCACCATCAACGTCAGGATTACAGCGCAGGAAGACACAGCTCCTTCGAACGCATCCAAAGAATATCTTGGCTACTCAACTGCGGTTTTGCTCAAGGAGATGCATCACACAGCGATGAATTCCACAAGCTGTTCGGTGCGGAAATACAATCTTGACCCTGGTAATGGCGTTAGAGGATGAGTATCACAACCATATCTGACTTCCCCAATGGCTAGTAAACGACCAGGCCATGATGGCGCATATAGGCGGGTAAAGAGGTTGAGTAAGTGCGGGATATCTGCAGGGCAGAAACACGGCAGCGGCAATATCAACAGATGGTCGATGCTACGGTAACCGATGACCGTCCAGACCTGCAGGGCTTTGGAAGCCCGAGGTGGGGATTGTGAAAGCATTTCGAGGCCACTCGCTAGAGGCGAGCTGCATACATATCTCTGCGGACAGCACGCTACTGGCGAGTGGGAATCCTCAGCGCGGATATGGAGCTCAGAGCTGTGGAACTCGTAACTGGTCTCCGACTCGGATTTGGGACTCCGATTAGGATCTATATAAGTAATGAATCATACGTCATGGAAAAGAGTGTAAAAATTTGGGATGCAGGATGGAAAGAAACTCATCTCGTCTACAATAGTAGGATATTCGACAGTCACCTGGGAGGAGATCTCCATCTTCAAAAGTCGACACCATCACCTTGTCTCAGAACGACCGCCTGCTTGCAAGTGCTATCGCATGATGAAACGGTGCGTCTGTGGACAAACCTCCCAGTCGGACTTCCCCTCCAGCACAAAGAGAGAGTGCAATGCAGTGTTAGTCACTAGTTGGTTGTCGTGACAAAGATGTGTATCCATGGAACATTCACGCCGTCCTCGGAGATCGGTTGGCCTTGAAGACTTATTGCCCGCTCCAGAGCCTTCCACTGGCAGGTTAGGTCTAGAATGCTCTAGCCAGGTCTAGATCTGCTTTTGATTGAAGGTAAAATGTCCAAACCTCCGATGTGTTACTCTACATAACTGAATCTCCCAGGCTGTCGTACCCCTATAAGACAGCATCCTTAAAAGCTGAGCTGAACCTAGCATATGATCCGCCTAGAATATTCAGCACTTGCATTAATTACAATCATTGAAAAAATAGCCATATCTGACAATATTAATGCGTCAGTTTCTCGTATGATAAGTATGGCGACTAAGAACTGCAGAGGATTTGAAGTATCTGCAAAGCGTTCCCAGAGCGAGTTATAGAAATGAATTAATTAGACGAATTATTTTCTATTTCTAAATTTAGACTTAGACTGCGCAGTCTCCGCTTTAAAGGGTCGTCGCATCACCGTGTGGAACAGCGATGAGACCTATTTTCTTTCATTCTTCGATCTTCATATCAGCTTAAATCAGGTGTAATTTGGCACGATGTCGCAGTGGGGCCAGCCGGGATTTCAGTATCCTATGTCCACAGGCTATCCAGGTCAACAGCAGCAACAGTTTCAGCCTGGCCAGAATCCTCAATTTCAGCAGCAACCCGGTTTCCAGCCTGGAGGAATGGCTGGTGGAGTTTTTAATCCTGGTGGAATTGCTCCACAGCCTACTGGATTTTCAGGCGCACGACCACAGCAGGGTTACCAGCAGCCTCAACAGACAGGCTACATGGGCCCTGGTCCCTCTAGACTGGGTGTCTTACAAGCTCAGCCTACGGGTTTCCCAGGTGGGAGTAGCTTTGCACAGCAGGCTCGTCCACAGCCTCCACCTGTCCCGTCAATCCCAAGTCAATTCCAGCAGCAGCCTCCGCCTGTCCCGCCAATCCCAAGTCAATTCCAGCAGCAGCCTCCACCTGTTCCGCCCATTCCAAGTCAATTCCAGCAGCAGCCTCAGTTACACCAACAAACCGGGTTCGCAAATCCACAGGCACATCGTTTCGGAGGTCCGTCACAATTCGGTGGAAACCCAGGCCTCGTACCTCAGCCGACCGGCTTTGTGGGTCGTACTGCTGCGCCCTTGATACCCCAAGTAACTGGCTTCGTAGACCCGCGGTTGCAGATGATGTCTAACTCGTTCTTACCTGCCAATATCTCTGCACCATATAGTGCGGGAGGAATGCCCCAGCTTGCTGCCCCTCCCCAGCAACAATTGGGTCTTTCTTTACAGCAATCCTTCCAGCAACATAATCAGGCACGAGGCATAGGGTCTACACCCAAGATCCCATGGACGCTCTCCAAGGCCGAAAAGAAGCAATACGACCAGATTTTCAGATCATGGGATGCCCAAGGCAGTGGTTTCATCAACGGTCAGACTGCACTCGAGGTCTTTGGCCAGAGTGGAATCGATAAGAATGATCTGGCTCGCATCTGGTGATTATCAAAATTGTCTTATTGTACATCGAGTCTCTAATGCTGATGTAGGACCCTTGCTGACACTGATAACCGCGGCAAGCTCAACCTTGCTGAATTCCATGTCGCAATGGGCCTCATCTACCGCAGTATGTCCTTGAATTTTCTTATTTGCTTCACACGACTGACGCAACACTAGAACTCAATGGCAATGACATACCTGACGAACTCCCATCCGAACTCATCCCTCCTTCCTCCCGAGATCTTGATGGCTCTGTTAATTTCCTTAAGGACATTCTCAAGAACGATACACGCGCTCGCTCTCCATTGGGTCTCGACACTCCTGTCTCGCGTCTTAAAGAGCGCTCGTTTAATTCTACATCTGCACCAGGTGCTGGCGGACGACAAGATGCTACAGTCTACAAGCACACCGACGCAGAGCCTCCTGGTGGGTTCTATCAGCCCCGCAGCAGGCACCTCGACCGCAGCACTGTGCGCTCGCGCAATGAAGACAACAGCCCTGCCGCAGATATGTCTGATATAAAACGTCAACTTGCCAACACGCAAAAGATGCTCGATGCAAGCGCCGTGGCAGATGCGGGCGATGATGATCTCGATCGTGAGATGGGCAATCTGCGTTACCGCATAAAGCGGCTGCAAGATGATTTGGACTATGTCTCTCGCGGTCCGAGGAGCGCGAGCAAAGAGGAGGAGCGTAGGAGGTTGGAGAGAGAGCTTTTGCAGCTCATGCATGAGCGTGTACCTGAGCTCGAGCGCAAGATCCAGGACCGCCAGGCGAGGAAAGAGAGGGAGGATCGCGAGTACGCCAGAGAGCGTGATAGGAGGAACGAGAGATCTGGTCGGTTTGACGATACGGATGACAGGCATTCGCTCTCGCGCTATCGAGATGATGACCGCGATAGGCCTTATTCTCGCAGTGCATCAAGGTACGACAGGGATGACAGAGAGTACGACAGGGATAGGTCATACCGTGACCGCCATGACGATCGGGACCTGGATCGCGGTTTGTCGACATCAACGCGTACTCCACCGCCACCGCCGCCACCTGCTGCTCCAGCAAACAACATATCGCAACCTCCACCACCAGCACCAGCCCCCAGCCGCTCGCCTGCTCCAGGAATGAAAAACATGACACCTGAAGAGCGCAAAGCGTTTATCCAAGCGCAAGCCAAGAAACGTCTCGAAGAGCGTATGCAAGCTCTAGGCGTTTCAACCCCATCTTCGACTGCATCACCTACCCTGGGTGTCAGCGTTGAAGACAGACTCGCTCAGGAAAAGAAGGAAGCGGAGGAGAAAGCCAAGGAAGCTGAGAGACAGGCTGAAGAGCGCGAGAGGCTTAGGAGAGAACGACTCGAAAGCGAGAAGGCTCTCAAGGAAGGCAAGGCAACTCCTCAACCTACGCCTACTATACCGACACCTACTACCACTGCCCCACCTCCTGCCCCTGTACCCAAGGTTGCATCGCCAGCTCTGAAACCACGTGCACCACCACCTCCACCAAGGAAGGGCTCTGGTCTTCGCACGCCTGCGCCCTCGCTTGTTCCCGCTCCCCCAGTACCAACCCCTATGCATGCTGTTGTTCCCCCGCCAGCTCCCGTAGCACCTGCTCCTCCACCAGTACCTGCTGTACCAAAAGAAGACCCGGAGGACGCAGCTCTCAAAGCCCGTGAAGCAGCCCTTCGTCAGAAACGAGAAGACCACGCTGCCCTCCTCCGCAAGCTTGAGGAAGAGGAGGAGGAGGCGCGTCGTGCTGAGGAATTATACCTGGCACGCCGAAAGCAGTTCTTGGCTGGTAAATCTGCCGTGTCCCCTATCACGCCCGCTACACCTACATCTCCTGTCCTCCCGCCACAGCCTGCTTTCGTTCCTGCTCCGCCGCCGCCTGCTCCTCCAGCAGAGCCGGAGTCTAGGCCGGAGGAAGTGACACCGCCTACTATTCCTGCTCCACCACCACCGCCGCCGCCGCCCGTACTACCTGTAAATAAGTCAAGTACCAATCCCTTCAGTCGAATGATGAAGGAGGGGGGGTCTGCTGTTTCGACCCCGGCAGCGACCAACGGCAGCAGCAACCCCTTCTTCCTCAACAATCCTGCGCCACCACCTACCACATCTGCTCCCCCCAAAAGTCCGGCTCCTCCCAAAAGTCCCGGACCTTCGAGCAAGACGACCTACAACACAGCTGGAGGTGATAGCTGAAGAAGAATGGGATGAGGTCATGGAAAACGAAGGTAATGATAGTAGTGATGAGGAGTTGGGTTCAAGGGATACGCGTATGGGTTTGGCGCAGCAGCTGTTTGGGAACTTGTTGCCTTCAAGGCCGCAATCTACTGGTCCTGAAAAGTCTCGAAGTCCTGCGCCTTCTGTGCCTCTGCCGCCACCTTCTGCGCCTCCTGCGCCATTTGCTCCCACTCCCCCTGCTGCACCTCCGCCGCCATCCGCACCATTTGCGCCCCCGCCACCAGCAGTCAATATTACATCCCCAGCTCCAACTGGCGATCGCAATGCCCTCTTGAGCGCTATCCAAGGAGGAGCAAGATTGAGGAAGGCTGTTACCAATGACCGCAGTGCTGCAGCGACCTCTGGCCAAGTTATTGGCGATGTTGCTCCTCCTGCTCATATCAATGCTGCGCCCCGTCCAGCGTCGCCTCCCGTTGCTGTCGCACCAGCTACATTCATGCTTCCTTCACCCCAAGAGCCCGTCACTGAGGCGCCCCAGATTTCCGGAGGGTCAACTTCAGGACACAGTAAGAAGGAATCGGTCGATTGGTATGCTGGTCTTGCTGCTGACCAAGGCGCTGTGCATCACTTGCCAACTACTATCGAAGAGGATGAGGAGCCGGCTGAGGAGGCGTCTGCGATGCCAGGGATTCAAGCGTCTGAGGCGGCTGATCTGATGGATGATATTGATAAGTCTACTGGTGAGCAGTCATGGGGTAGAAGGAGTTTGAGCTGATTATTTTTCAGAGTTCCGTGTGCGGTCACTTTACCCGTATGAAGGACAGAGACATGATGATCTCAGTATGCTCGTTATTGATTTGTATGACTGATCGCTGATTATCTTGTTAGGTTTTGTTGCGAACCTGATCATTACTGCTCATCCGTCCAAGACAGGAGGCGATTGGTGGTATGGCACCATCGTGAAGGATGGCAAATCTGGATTCTTCCCACAAACATACGTGCAGATGGTGGAACCAGGTGCGTAAACGTCGATGTACTTTTATTTCAATATGTTCATCACGTATGCAGTGAAAGCAAATGCTTTGTACTCGTACGCAGGGGAGAACGCAGATGAGCTTCCCTTTGCCGAAGGCGACGAACTGTCCATCATAGATAGAAGCGAAGCAGATTGGTGGAAAGCTGAACGAGACGGGATCGTCTTTATCGTGCCAGCGGCTTACCTGGAGATAGTAGAGGGTTCGTGGATTCTACCGCCTCCCCCTTGAGTTTTCCTCTTAACCTTGACCGCCGGTGGCAACTAGACTAAAATCTATTCTTTTGCTTTTCTTTTACATGTACGATTTGGAAATACCATTTTCGTTATCTACAGCCGCCGGATCTCCACACCTCATGCGCGTGAACCCGCGTGAGAAGCCGTCGACTAACATTGACAGCCTCGAACGTCGTGACATAAGTGGAGCAACAGCTGCCAGTGGATCACCTGATGATGACGACCAAGTTGACAGGTCTTCCGATGGAGGCGAGGACTATTTTTCGATGGACGAGTCAGATGACGATTCAGAAGGGTCTGAAGATGGGACTGTTGAGGACGAACACTCCCGAGAGCTTGAACGTCAACGAGTGTTGGAGGCGGCGGGTCTGATTGTAGATACGAGCTCGAGTGTGATGGCGCCGCTTAATCCCCCAGTACAGAAGCGCCGTCCTCCACCCGTGACTCCTCATCGGGTTTCCATAGCACCATTGACTTCGAAGAATCTTCCGCCGGTGCCGACTGTCGACTTGACAGATACTGAACTCGATTCGACCTCTCGTCTGGACGACGCTTTCGATCGCTACGAGGTTTTCAAGAAGACGAATGTGAATTTCAACAATAGGATGTCTGTCTCATCCTTTGATACCACCCCTTCGTCGCCTCCGCGCTCCCCTGCCGTGTCTTTGGCGCCTAGTCTTACTCATCGAGATTGGGAGAGTCGTACGTCACAGTTTTTGAGCTTTCTTGGGAGACATACGAACAGGTCGACTACGCCGGAACCTGAGAAGAAAAACGTTGGTCATATCTGGTCCTATCGTCAATACGCCTCCTGGTGGTGAGACTGGAGATGAGAACCCTAGTTTTGGCACGGTGCGTGTCTTTTTGACTCTTATCGGGCGCCGTATTGAGGTGAGTAGTCGTGGGCGAGCTTAGTGGACAAGTCGGCGCTCGAGGGCATCCCTAAGATGGAGCGGCGGCGACAAGAGGTGAGATGATGTGCTTGTAGTGTTGTTGCTGTGTCTCACGGTCTGGCAGGCAATATTTGAACTTATCTCCACCGAAGCAGACTACGTTCGCGACCTGCAGCTCATCGTTGGAGTATGGTTCAGAGTGCCATTGTTGTGTTCAGATCACTCACGTCACTGTGACAGTTGTTCTACTCTCGACTTATGGGCACGCTCGGAGAGAAGGCGACTACTGTTATATTTGCTAATATTGAAGACATACTACTCACTAATACCGTACGTTATCCGTGCCCTCGCTTATTAGCTATGACTAACAGTCTTGTAGACATTCCTTTCTGTTCTCGAAGAACGTCAGAAAGACTGCCGACTCTATATCGACCACATTGGCGATGTTCTCGAGACTCACATTCCTAACATGCACCTTTATTTGGTATGTGCTTCCTTAGTCTGCGCGTCGTTGGTATTCACCGTTGTTTAGTCGTATTGCGTGAACCAGTTCAACGCTGCCAAGGTTCTTCAGTCCATGAGAGACAGCAATGCTGACCTTGCTACTCAACTTCAGGTACATTACCAACGTACTGTTAGCTGTTTACTGACATTTCTCTCAGCGCCTCCGCGATGACCCTTCTGCTCGATGTCTTGATTTGTCACATTATCTCCTCGTACCTAGTAGGCTCATTCGGTACCAGACGTAGCGGCCCCTAGTAGCTAACTTTCTATTCCAGTGCAACGTCTCACCCGATACCCTCTCCTAATTCGCCAAATCCTTCAATACACTGATAACCCCTCAACAACTAACACTGCTACTCAAACCACAACTAGCGGATACTCACCAGCAATCTCCGACCAGCTCCAGGAACGACAAAACATCAGTGCTGCTTTGGACGCAGCAGGGAAGATTCTAGAGCACGTGAACGAGACGATACGGGAGCAAGAAGGGAAGGAAAGGCTAAGTGAGATTAGCAAGGATCTGTGGATTGGACAGGGGTGCGTGTTTTCTTTCATATTTGCTCCTGATGGTGTTGAGTTGTCTTCCCAGTCGCCTTGATCTAACTGCTCCAACTCGCCATCTGGGACCGCGAAAGCTTTTGAAGGAAGGGGTGATAAGCAAAGCAAAAAGCGGGCGCAAACTTCGTCTATTCCTATGCAGCGACATCCTCGTGCTGACACATGAAGGGGGCAAGGGTTTATATCGTGTTGTGAGCGTTTTTTGTTGCCATTGCCGGAAATTAAGTGGGTGCTGACGTGTGCGATAGCCCATACCTCTCAACGAAGTACAAATAAAGGGGTCGAGAAACGAACGAGGTTTGTGAGGTTTCTACCTATCACGACCTTGAATTTACTGTGCTATAGAGGACTATCTGCTTCGCCTGCACCTTGCATACCCGCGTGGTGGCGATACCATTGTTTTGCGAGCAACTTCACCCAAGGAATGTTTATCATGGAAGGATGCGATCGAGCGTGCTAGTCGAAAAGCTAGAGAGGGAGAACGAAGAGCTGCTAAAGTTCAGCGTACGGTATCATCGAAGACGGACCTAGTAGTATCGTAGAGTTTACAGACATTTGATTCGATTTATTTACTTGTTCTATATTCCCCAGTACTAACCGAGCTTCAGTTATTCGTTGCCAGATATCGCTGTGGTCGCTGTGACTTGATCACTGGGATGCGTTAGGAAAAATGAAGGATGCGACTGTCTTCCTGGATTCTAGTAGGTCGCAGGGTCTGCCAGTGACCATGAGATACTGCACGAAAGCTAATGCTCGTGGTCCAATCAGATTCAATTATGTACATAGGGGCACACAGCCTCAGTCAACTGATTTCAAATATGGATCTTGATTTACACACATAAACGGAAACCCAATTTGCTAAAAGGCCATCACTGAGTACTGAATCCAGGACTCGTGTATGCCTCATGGTGCAGCTATATCAATATTAAGCCCTATGCCCTATGCCCTAGATGCTGGCTTCGGATCAGGTTTGCCGGTACATTATAAGTAGCGCTACACCAACGCTTTTCTAGTCATATTTACCTTCCCCATGGATCCTTCAAGGATAACCTGGATAAGAGAGAAAATCGGTCGCTTTCGAATCCTCGTTATAGGGAGAGCAAATGCAGGAAAAACTACCATCCTCCAGAGAGTTTGCAACACACGGGGCAACCCAGAAATCTATGACGGCGCTGGAAAAAAGGTGCACCTCATGATGATAGTAAGAGGCTGGTAGTAACGACTGACCAATTGACATCAGATCGATACTGCAGTTTTAAATGCATCCAGAGAGGTAAGGTGTGCTCTTGGTCCATGACATGGACTGACGTGCTCTCAGCGCGGAGAGCACGATATCGAGAATGAGATGGTGTTTCGAAGCAACCCAGGATTCGTTTTTCATGATTCACGTGGTTTTGAGGCTGGCGGCGAATCCGAATTTAACAAGGTGAAGGCGTTTATCGCCGCCCGTTCTAAGGAAACAAGCTTAAAGAATCAACTCCATGCTATCTGGTAATTGCAACTGATCAATCGCGATATGCGCTGTCTCACAGTTTCAACATAGGTTCTGCATCCCCATGGATGAGGAAAGCAGATCATTCACAAAAGGCGAAGAGAAATTTTTTTCTCAGTGCGACACTGGAAGCAGTGAGCTTTCGCAACCCGGCCATCGTCCATGTCTGACTGATGCGCACATTCACAATCCTCAGTTCCCGTGATGGTATTGTTCACAAAGTTTGATGCCCTCTACGACGTCGAATTCTCACAGCTGAGAGAGAAAGGAATGCTGCGGAAAGACGCTATAAATCTGGCCCCAAAACACGCCAAGGAGTCGTTTGCTAACGGTCCACAGCTGAAGTTTTTCAACGATGTCCGATGGCCTCCAAAATGCCATGTATGCCTTCCTAGTAAGCCGTTTGATGGTGGAGTCACGATACATGATGACCGTTGATCCATTAGACATGGACAAGGATGACGCAGATTGCGGGCCACTCATTGAACGCACGGCTGGAATTCTGGATAATGAAGTGCTGCAGCAATTATTCGTCTCGACGCAGCAGACCAACTTGGAGCTCTGCGTGAAATATGCAGTCGAGAAGTAACTACCCATGGTCTTGTTTACCTGCCGCGAGCGTTAGTGACTGATATTGTACAGAGCACTCCCGAGATTTTTTGACTCTGCTGAGACAACAGCATCTGAGGGTCATGAGAAGATGATATGGAAATTGGGTACCTGGTTTCCACATCTTTTTGTAAGATTGTTGGAAAGTTTGAACGTTGCTTTCATTTACGTTGGGCGTTTACTTGCAGGTAGTACGTGTGTTAATCTTTCTTCGAGTTCGAACCATGCTGATCGAAGTCGTTGCCCACTGTTCGCAGTGGGTGAGTGTATCGATCCTCCTTCGAGCTCGAGCCATGCTGATCGAAGTCATTGCCCACTGTTCGCAGGATGTGAGTGTGTCGATCCTCCTTCGAGCTCGAGCCATGCTGATCGAAGTCGTTGCCCACTGTTCGCAGTGGGTGAGTGTATCGATCCTCCTTCGAGCTCGAGCCATGCTGATCGAAGTCATTGCCCACTGTTCGCAGTATGTGAGTGTGTCGATCCTCCTTCGAGCTCGAGCCATGCTGATCGAAGTCGTTGCCCACTGTTCGCAGGATGTGAGTGTGTCGATCCTCCTTCGAGTTCGAGCCATGCTGATCGAAGTCATTGCCCACTGTTCGTAGCGTGTAAGTATATTGATCATCCTTCGAGTTCGAACCATGCTGATCGAAGTCGTTGCCCACTGTTCGCAGTATGTGAGTGTGTCGATCCTCCTTCGAGCTCGAGCCATGCTGATCGAAGTCATTGCCCACTGTTCGCAGGATGTGAGTGTGTCGATCCTCCTTCGAGCTCGAGCCATGCTGATCGAAGTCGTTGCCCACTGTTCGCAGTGGGTGAGTGTATCGATCCTCCTTCGAGCTCGAGCCATGCTGATCGAAGTCATTGCCCACTGTTCGCAGGATGTGAGTGTGTCGATCCTCCTTCGAGTTCGAAGCCATGCTGATCGAAGTCATTGCCCACTGTTCGTAGCGTGTAAGTATATTGATCATCCTTCGAGCTCGAGCCATGCTGATCGAAGTCGTTGCCAACTGTTCGCAGCGGGTGAGTGTATCGATCCTCCTTCGAGCTCGAGCCATGCTGATCGAAGTCGTTGCCCACTGTTCGCAGGATGGTGAGTGTGTCGATCCTCCTTCGAGCTCGAGCCATGCTGATCGAAGTCATTGCCCACTGTTCGCAGGATGTGAGTATGTCGATCCTCCTTCGAGTTCGAAGCCATGCTGATCGAAGTCGTTGCCCACTGTTCGCAGGATGTGAGTGTGTCGATCCTCCTTCGAGCTCGAGCCATGCTGATCGAAGTCGTTGCCCACTGTTCGCAGTGGGTGAGTGTATCGATCCTCCTTCGAGCTCGAGCCATGCTGATCGAAGTCATTGCCCACTGTTCGCTAGGATGTGAGTAGTATTGATCATCCTTCGAGTTCGAACCATGCTGATCGAAGTCGTTGCCCACTGTTCGCAGTATGTGAGTGTGTCGATCCTCCTTCGAGCTCGAGCCATGCTGATCGAAGTCATTGCCCACTGTTCGCAGGATGTGAGTGTGTCGATCCTCCTTCGAGCTCGAGCCATGCTGATCGAAGTCATTGCCCACTGTTCGCAGCGTGTAAGTGTGTCAATCCTCCCCCGAGCTCGAGGCATGTTGATCGAAGTCATTGCCCACTGTTCGTAGCGTGTAAGTGTATTGATCCTCAGAGCTCCAGTCTTGCTGAATCAAGCCATCTCCCATCCGTTGATAGAATGTGAGCGCATCGATCCTTTGTCGAGTTCAGGCATTCCTTACCAAAGCATTTGATGATATATCTTCAGGAGGTTAGTACATTGATTCTCCACCGACCTTGAGCCACTGACCAAAAAATCGTCGATCCATTGACAGCTTGTGAGTGTGATTATCCTATGTTGACTTCCTGCCTTCCTCACCGATCCAATCACTGATGCATTGTCAGGATGTGAGTGTATTGATCCTCTGTGACCCTCGCGTCATACTGACCGAAAACGTTGCTACTCCATTAACAGATTGTGAGTTGGTTGATCCATCATCGAGCTCGAGCCGTACTGACTGAAGACATCTTCCATCCGTTCACAGGATGTAAGTGCAGCGACCCGCAGTCGAATTGGAGCATCACTCACCAATGAAATTGCCGATCCCCGTTGACAGGACGTGAGTGTGTTCAAATCTGCCGTTGAGCGCGAGTGTTGCTGATCAACGACCTTGCTGATCCCTTGATAGTCGGCGAGTCTCTTCACCACCAATCGAGCTTTAGTCTTGCTGACCATTGAGATTGCTCACCCACTGACAGAAAGTTAGTGTGCTGACCTTCTGTTGAGCTTTCCTTACGACTGAAATCGTGCACCCCTTAACAGACTGTGAGTGTTTTGATTCTGGAGCTTTCCTCGCGAACAACATAGCTGACCCATCAATAGGAAGTTAGTTTCTTCATCCTTCTTTGACATCTGGTCATGCTGACCAAAGATGTTACACATTGGCAGCGTGTGAGTGTATCGATCCTCAGCAGAGGTGGACGATTTTCAACTTTCCATCATGATTTGACCAGCTTTGGCCGAGTCATCGTGCAGAGATGCGGTCTAGGTTACTCTCTATGGTATGTCCAATTACAGATTGCACACACGTTTCTTATGTTGCGAATGTGCCAGGCCTCTGGTTCATCACTCTTGGAGAACATTGTTCAGCTCGGTTCTGGTGAATTTTGAGGCTACATTGCGATGAACCTGCTTATTATTGATTATTTAGCTGTTGTCATTATCTTCGAGCACTCTTTCTACATTTTCGACAAGCGGCGCTATCTTCTGGACCAGCAAGAGTCTGTTCCCTCTTTTTATGTCGCCCTCGAGCAGTACATTGCGTCTCCGCATGCAGCTGCTGTCAGGGAAGCCGCAACCGCTGCCGTCCAGGCGTATCAAGAAGCCATGAAGACTCCTGTTAAAGGGAAAATGCCTACTTGGATGGCGAAGATACTGTCTGAACGCTCTCAGAAGGAGAAAAAATCTTTGGCAAAGGCGGAGCTCACCAAGACTATTCTTGAAATCAGTTTAAACCATCGCCTGCGTATGTTTGGCTGTCATGTTGTGGTAACAATCCCGCTGATCTGCTCACCTTCAGCAAGACCTTAATGTCGAGCAATCCAACACAGCATAGATGGTGTTCCGGTTCGGAGTGGACTTGATGGTGAATCCGGGTATATGATTTTCTTGGATGGTCTGTCGAGGTAGTTTTAGGAGGTGGAACTGTACGAAATGGTTGTATGATCGCGCTTTTTCTGGTATGGCGTCATGTGTGATTGAAGCACTCCGGTCACCTTCAGCCGGACATACTGGGCTTCCCAATTTGAAGTATCTGTGGTCCGATTCAAGGTTAGGTACTTGCGTCATTTCAAAGTCACATTCTATTTAAACACATGCTGACGACGTCAGTGTGTAACTGAGTACAGTTCAGACGTCGGCAAATACTTACGGCATACTGCAGTGTTCCTCGCCCAGTGTCATTTAGCTGTATGTTCCACTACTTACCATAGTAAGCTCTCCCATTCCATCTCAGTCACGTCTTGCACTCTATCACTGCACAACATGATCCATTTGCGACCCAAACCTTTTTCACAATTTCATCATCATCTAATTCGAATCTTTGTAGGTCTGAGTCACGTCCCCGAAATAATACCCAGATGCCCATCTAATCGCACCCTCGAATCTAGGCTACCCAGCTAGTACTTCCCTGAGTTGTTATTTCATTCAATCACACGATTTGGGTCACATCCGTCGTCGGTCAGTGTCAGTAGTTCCATCTCTTGTACATCTCTCGCTCCCTGACTTCATTAATAGTGATTTCATCGTTTGACGGAACTTGGGAGAAGCTGTCTCAAGTCGCTGTCACGGGTGCCGAATATGACTCCCGTGAACGTCAGCCCCATCCAAAATGTTTGAACGGGACCCGAGTGGACCTTTTCAGCTACATCCACAAATCATTAGACAACTGAGAGAAGAATGAGTTCCTTTGGCTGCATGGCACTGCGGCCGTAGGAAAGTCTGCCGTTGCATTCACTGTAGCTGAAAGGATGAGAGGTATCAAAGTTACCGAGCAGACGAATGTCGAAAAGCGGCTTGCCGGAACATTCTTTTT